GTTTGTGGTTCACATATAGTGAAAATTCAAGCCAGAGACATCGTGACTTACGTAGACAAATATCTCGGCACCATCATTCATTTGCTCAAGAGGGTTCGTCAGAATTTTCTCCAAAACGCTCCAAGGCTAGTTCAGAAAACGCAGCGCCGGCTAGTTGAGCGAGGACAGAGCGATCGCCTCCGCATTCGATGGGCTGGAGATACAGGACAACTTCGCGGATAATTTGTGCGTTGCAAATACACTCTAATACGGGGAGTTTAGAGTGCAGCATGCATGTGGATAGGCGGTATTGGCGTGGGAAGATTGCTGAATAAAGATTGGAGATCTGGCTGTCCACAGTGTCGACAACCAGAAGCAGAGGCGAGTGGACAAGGGCTACCGTGACCCCATCACGTTATTGTATCGCGGCCCACAGAATCATGGGCGCCGAAGCGCAAATTCATGATGAGTCCTCCTTGGAATCACCGTTTATTCGTGCATTTTACAGTACAAAACACCGCAAATCTGCTGGACGCAGAAGTGGCCTCTCGAGAGCTCTCGAGCGAAGTGCGGAGTCGCCGGAGAGCACCTTGTCTTCTCCCCTGTGGAACATATCCGTAATTCAGGTGGAGCGCAGATACCAGGAGACAGATGACGCACGCACATGCATGCAGTGACTCTAAGTTGTTGATATCCGTGACGCATCTGGAGATTAGGAGCCAAGGGAGCGGAGAATTATGTAGTACGATCGTACGACATACGACTTTTTGGGACGTGTTAATTGAAGGATGGAACCCTGAGCGCATCGGAGCAGAGTAGGGCGCCTTCCAAAGCCTTGGCGAATTTCAAGATATTTTGAATCAGATAACACTAAAACGTCGACGAGCGTGCATGGCTGTCGCGAAAAAACCCACCGTCAGTATGGCCTTCTACATGACAAATTGGAAGTTGTACCCACAATATAACATGCAGCCTGCGGAAGCACATAGACAGAAGAGCGTTGATGACGGACCTTACGTAGTGTAATCAGGCGCACAAGCTACTCAACACAATAGCGTGTGCAGCCTGTATTGACAGCTGACATGGATGAACATGACCTTACGGCAAGAAATCTCGTCGTGCAAGAATCAGAGCATACCAATTACCACCGGGCGGTATTTGGGAAGATCACGACATATCAGCACAGCATTCTTTCGTTGAATGTAGGCAGTGTGGGAAGCAACGTGCGTCGACCGCAAAGCTAGCAGAGACACACAGTCGAGAACGAGTTCTGCGCCGTAGAAATAGCCAACTGATGTACAGCCGCCAACCCAAGCTTCATCGAGTCAAATTGGAGAGCACATGCGTCTGCGCTGACGCTCTGTGAGTCTGCACCTCGGGGCTGACACACCGGGTACGTAATGAGGAGCTACTTGGGTCCTCCGGATCGTCAGCTGAGGTGCCATGAGGCAGCGAAGAATAGAGAGCCGGGGAGAGGATGCAGACCACCGAAATGCTCACGTACAGCCCGTGTCCAAGTCGAACCTCGGATGTGCGCTGCGCCGGGACCAAAGGTGGTCTAAACAGTATGGCGATGCGGCGCACGCGGAGCGAGCGGCAGGGGAAGATATCGAGCACGGTCAGATGGCCTTCTACCGGCATCGCAGAGCTTTAACGTGGAAGATAACTAGGGTCAGCGACTCCGTCAATGCACGCCATGACCAATACACACATACCTCCGACCGTGCCCGCGAGTAAGTTCCAAGCCGCATGCCAGGCATCCAGTGGGAACGCTCGCACCCGTGTGGTTCAACCTCGCACGATCGATGTATCGGTGGGACCATCCACAATGAATCCGACCTGTGCCCCCCTCCGGAACCGAATTACAGGACCACGGTGAACAATCTGCCCAGCGAACGAGTCGGAACACGTACCTGTGAGATGCCCCAGGACAATTGAGCATATTACAGTATACAGCTTGGCAAGTTCCTCGTCCAGCGTGGGTGGCGTCCGGTTCGCGATATCGGCCTCGAGGCAGACCGGAACGTGAGATCAGCGAGGGCGTCATCAGAACTGCCCTCGCCTGATGCGCAGCGAGACCTGGCGATACGAGGGTGAAGAAGTACCGGCGAATGCGCGTAATCGCCGGCGCAACAGGGAGCTCAGCAATATAGGAACGTCGGGTGGGACGAACGCAGTGCAGGGTCGCGCCAAAAAGGAAGCTCAGTAAGAACGGCGGCAGCCTTGAGAAGCAGCGAGTCAACAAAGCCACGCAGAAGATCCCATCGCCCATCTTAGCGCGCTCCAAAACGATCTCGTGGGTCTTCTATCCGTGCTACGCCGTCGTCCTCTCCCGTTGGGCTAATAGCTCGCCTCATACAGCCCAGCCATGCTCCATCGGTCCGAGTATTCTCGCACGGGGTGATCAGGTAGGGTAAATGGGCAAATTCATTCGACAGGTACACACGGTCAGAAGGTCCAAAAGACGCTACTACCACATTCTCGCCAACACAACGCTCACACATGCAGTGGGGAGAACAAAAAAAGCAGAGGAGATTGCACCATGGCCTAAGCCGCGACCTTACCTAAGGGCGTCTTCGCCATGACGCTCAGCACTTCGTACAGCACCTGCGAATTCGCACAGCGAGAAAGCGTCAGCAGGTCACCTCGGAAGGGAAATGGAAGCTTACATCGGCCGCGGCCATGGTGGTCAGCTCGGCGTTTGTGTCGTATGCGGGCGCCACCTCAACGATATCCGCCGAGACAATGTGCAGCCCGTCAAGCCCACGCAAGATCGTGCGCAGTTCGCGCGTCGACCACCCGCCCGTCTCAGGGGTGCCTGTCGCTGGCGCAAACGCAGGGTCAATCGAGTCGATCTGGTGTGTGAAGGCAATCAGCGGGCGGTTACTATCAGGAAGAGAAGACGCGGGCACGGCGTACATCGATGGAAAGGTAGACGGGCTCGTCGCCGACGGTCTCGCGAATCTTCTTGATGATTCCCGCAGTGCCTACGCGGGAGAAGCGTGAGCGACGAAATTTGAAGGATGTGCGACGCAGATTTACCGATGGTATCAATCTCGCGCGCTTCAATCCGCTGGAAGCCGGACGCGTCGTCGTTGGCGTAGTCGGCAGGGCCTGAGAGCGTTGTGCGGATTGCGCCGTGCTATATCAAACGAACGAACTAGGATCACAAGTTTTTGGACGGCAGCGAGAATAAAATGATCGGGGAAATGGATCAGAGTAAAGGATACTTGCAATTGACGAGCCATTCTTGATGAGGCCCTCCTGGCTGGCCCAGTAGAAATAGGTGCCGTGGTTGATCGCGGCCTGGTCGGAGGGCGCACCGCCGAAGACGGAGGGCTTCCACGTGTCGAGGTGGCTGTCGAAGTGGATGACGGAAATCGCGCCGTACGCGCTGTAGATGGAGCGCAGAAGAGGGAGCACGATCGTATGGTCGCCACCGAGCGTGATGATGCGCGGATGGCTCTTCCCATCCACGGCCAGCGGCTCCAGCGGGGCACCGGTGAGCGAATCGTTACCGAGCGGAGAGAACGGCGCGCGGTGCAGCAGCGCCTTGTGTCCTTGTTCGATCTGCTGTATCGCGTACTTGTTGTCGTATGGCGTGACAGGGATGTCGCCGCAGTCGACGATCTTGAGGCCGGACCGGAACGGGTTCACCGCGAGCGGAACGTTGTACCCCCCGTAGAGCGTGAGCCGCCGCGAGCCCGCGCGGATACCCGCGGGTCCGAAGCGAGCGCCCGGACGGTACGAGGTGCCCGTGTCCTGTGTCGCGGAGCGTGTCAGCAGCGCGATCGTGCATACTAAAAAATTAACGGAGTACGCACGAAGGGGGCGCCGATGAACGCGACGTCAAAGGCGACATTCCTGTCCTTACCAAGACATTGGACCCATGGAAGCTTGGCGAAGGTAGTGATGCCGGAGAAAATAGAGTCAGCAGTGACTGGAAGAACGGTGTAAGAATAGCGCAGAGGCAGACGTCCGTCGCGACTGACCTTCGTTGTCGCCGGGGTATACGGCCTGCCAGGGATACTTGACGTAGTCAAGAGGCATTTGCGTGTCGTGGTCATGTCCTTCATGGGCGACGACCGAGATCGCGAGCGAGACGAGGGACGCGAATGGGGCGAAAGGTTTCATGGTGAACGAGCGCCAGACGATGGGGAGTTGCACACGGTGGTGGACAGCCTTTTAAATCGGAATGGCCTCGAGGCGCAGAGAACTAGCGATAGCCCCATGACAGGGGCATGGCATCATTCTGACTGCATGTGAAGAAGAGAGTATCAGAGTGGGATATCACGGAAGACAAATTACACTGGACGTGACATACGTGCCGTACGAGTATCTCCGAGTGGTTGGAATCCATCCGAAGGAGCTTATCGTCGAGGGAGAAATATCAAGAGGCACATTCATTGGCCCGAGCGGTGGCTGACGGACGCAGGAGCGATAGCTCGCACGCGGGAGTCTGAACACAGATAGGGTATTGCAGAGACCCGCCGGAGAGACGCCGTCCCATGCAGAGGAAAGACATGAGGCTGAGGGTGGAATCTCGTAAAAGACCGGGAGGACGTCCTCGTACCGGATAACCTGTGCATTCCTCAAACATGGTCGAGCCCGCGCGGGAGACCGACGAGTCTGCACCGCTCCTCGCCGCGGCGGTCGACGAAGAGAGTCCGTCCTCGACGCCGTCCTTGACGACGACCGAGGGCTATGGGCTCGGAAGATCGACGAACTTGGTGGCGCCTGAAGGAGCAGGGGCGACCCAAGACATCGGGCCTCTCTTTTGGTCGCTGCTCGCCGACTCTGTCCCTGGTCAGTCCCTTCTCTCCTCTCCATTCCTCCTGCGCATTGATCCTTTCTTTCTTCAGTCATTCTGTCCTACATTCTTCAGAATTCAATCCAAACAGTCTCTGTCCTTGTTGCAGGACGTCTCGGCCCAGATGAGTTGTCTGCCGCCGCCTTTTCGCTCATGCTCGCCATGGTATGTACGTACTCGAGTCGTGCTCCTTCGCAGTGTGTTCATCTCACATTCGCCAAGCGGGATGGTGCGTTGCTCTTGGAGGGACGACAGCGCTAGATACGCTGGGCTCGCAGGCATTCACCGGTGATGACAGGCTGTCTGTCTCGATACACCTACAGCGTTGCTTGCTGCTTCTCTGGATCCTCTTTATCCCAGTCGCCGTGCTCTGGTTCTTCATCGAGCCGGTGTTGCTCATGCTTGGACAAGAAGAACTTCTCAGTCGGAATGTGCAGAACTTCCTTCGCATTCTGGTTGCAGGTGCTCCTGGTTACATCGGCTTCGAGAGTGTGAAGAAGTATCTCCAGTGCCAAGGTACGCGTTTTACGCGTCATCTCCCGCACATCACATACTCACCGCCGACCAGGCATTATGCGCGCGTCCACTTTTGTTCTCATCCTCGTCGCCCCCGTGAACCTCGCTCTCAACGTGTTCTGTATACACTACACGCCCCTCGGCCTTCTCGGCTCGCCCGTCGCCATTTCCATCACCTACTGGCTCTGCTTCCTTCTCCTCGTCCTCGTCACCGCTCTCTCCTCCACCCACCGACACAATAAAACATGGGCCGGCCTCCACCTTGCCGCTGTGTTCGACCTCCGCAGCTCCCTAACCTTCCTCAGGCTCGCTATCCCCGGCATCCTCATGGTAGGTACAGAATGGTGAGATTTTCACCTTTTTTCCCTATTTATTTCTCGTCTGACCTTGTCCTTAGGGCCGCGTTTGAGATCGTCGCATTGGCAGCCGGACGGCTTGGTGCCCTGCCTCTCGCGGCCCAGTCCGTGATAATGACTACGGACCAGAGTACGCCTCTCTGATTCATCTCATGCGTATCGTATTTCACGTCGGCGTGGCAGTCCTTAACACGATACCGTTTGGCATCGGTGAGCACCCCCCTCCTCTTAGACGCGCGCGGGCGTCTTAACTCTCGTTCAGGGGTCTCTGCATCAACCCGCGTCGGGAATCTCATCGGTGCCCGCGCACCTTCTGCCGCCAAACACGCAAGCCACGCGTCCGCCGCGCTGAGCGTCGTCGTCGGGCTCGTCGTCATGATCGTCATGATGGCGACGAAAAACGTGCGCATCTCCTCGGTTCCCTGGTCCGCTTCCCGCGCTGATGCGGATGCAGATATTCGGCTATATCTTCAGCGATGATACAGCCGTCGTGCTCCTCGTGAGCAAGGTGATGCCGCTCGTCGCCTCGTTCCAGGTGAGCTCCGAAGAAACTCCCACTATCGCATCTAACCCATCTATCTCCCTTCAGATAGCCGACGGCCTCGCTGGCTCGTGTGGTGGTGTTCTTCGTGGCCAAGGCGTGCAGTCGTCTATACCGATTATCAGATTGCTCCACTGATAACTCGTGCGCTTATTCAGGCCGCCAGCACCTCGGCGCGCTCTTCAACCTCGTCGCCTACTATGTCCTCGCACTCCCGCTCGGTATCACCCTCGCGTTCCACCGGCGGACGCGCCTTGGTCTGCAGGGCCTCTGGATCGGTCAGTTTCTCTATACTTCCTTTGCGTCCATCTCGTCGCCTTTCCCACTGTCTCGTTGCATGTACTAGGGATACTGACGCGTTACTGCAGGCCAAGTCGTTGCACTCTTCATCGTTGGCCTCGGCGAGTACGCCGTCGTATGGCTCGGAACTGACTGGGAGGACGAAGTTCGGAGGGGGATCGAGCGCAATCAGGCCGAAGCGAAGCGGAGGCATCAGCATGAGCGCTCCCCACAATGAAAGGTGCCCAGAGCATCACGCACATTGAATTTTATTCATGAAGTTCTTATGATAACAGCAGAACGACGTGTGGACAGAGAACCTCGAAGCAGCACAGAAGTTAACATAGGTTAATATTCTGTACATTAGAATACATATGTTGGACGTTATCCATTAGATACGCTACACCACTATACAGAAGGAACGCATGCACCGACGTGAATAAATAAAGATCTTGCTTAGCAAGGACGCTCTGAAGACAAAACGCAGGAAGAAATTACATAAAGAAGATGCCCGAACACGGCTGGCACCTGTTGAGCTCCAGCATCACATCAATCTCGCACCGCGTCATCCCAGCTATCATCACGTTCAGATATATGGCGCAGATACTTAGGTAGAAGGTACCGATGGCGAAGTAGGTGATCAATATCAGCACCATCATGACCGGCATGAAGTACTCCAGCGACGAGGCGGTGACGGGGCGATCAAGGAGCACGGGCGAACGATGCATAGTACCTTCCGAACAAAACAAAAAGCACATCGAGTCAGTGGCATGCTTCAAGTAAACATCGTAAGACTCACTCGCAGGACCACTTTCGATATGCTTCCAATTCTCCTTATGAAGGTCACTGACCACCTGCGCGACACGACCCCATCCGCGACTGCGATCGAAATCGCTCGCGCTAGTGCCGAATACTGTTGCATTTGGGAACGTTGCTACGATAAATCGTGCGACGGCGACGGGGTCCGTAATGGGCTCCACAATTTCCTCTACCGGACGGCCAGCGACGGCGTACCCAAGAGTCAGGACGTACACGGCCGGGTTTGACGCCGCAGGGTCGGGCGGGGGCGCATCGGTCGTGGAGACGGTGCAACGGAGGCGCAAATTAAATAGCTGCGGGCAGTGGCGGGCAAAATGTCGGAGGGAGTATACGCACGGCTCCTGGGGAGCGGGGAGGTGGATGAGCGAGAAAACCTGGAGGCGCGGCCAACTGGATGCCATGTCGTGTACATCGTCATTCGTCACGTTGAGTATGGACTCAGTGCTGATAGACACTTCTTCGAGATGTTGAGCTTTCAATAAAGGCCGGAGAACGTCCATGAAGCCATGCGGAGCACCGTCGGACATGCTTGTGGTTATGCTGATAGTGCACAGTGAGGCAGCAAAACGTGAGCCCAGGATCGCGAAGCACTGGCGATTATTCACCCAGCCATCCGACCGCAACAAGGGTCGAAAGAAGCAGCGGAAGCTACTGAGATGTGGCGAAGATATCAGACCGAGAATCTGGACGATTTCCGACGGGTGACCCATCACCTCCAGTGAACGAAGAGCTAAAAATCCAGGAACAGAAGTAGATACAGGAATATCCGTATCCTCGCCATGGATCGCACCGAGAATCCTATGGCCAATGACAACACGCAAACTCTGGAGTTCAGGTAGATTTGCAAGTTCGCGGAGAGACAGCACCGAAGCCATATCCCCAGTAAAGCACACCGTCTGAAGCCTGGTAAAGAGAGCCAGTGATTGTGGAACCTTTAGACTTAGGGCCATGATATGAATCTCGCGGAGGAAAGGTGCCTTGAGCGCGAGCGCGTCCCCATGCCTGTCAAAAAAACTCAGCGGCCGGAGGAGTGCATCTTCGGTCAGAGAATAATGAGAATAAATTTTTAGGCACCGAAGCATGGGAGAGGAAAACAACAGCATCATCGCAGACGAATGTCTGATGTGCGGGAGTTTCAGAGACACCAGAGATGTAAAGATGGGCTTGCCACCAGCATGCATAATGAGATCGACGAAGACTGTTCGGTGGATATCACTGTTCGTAGGCACCGACAAGTAGCGAATACGCCGCGCGTACGCCACGAAACGTTGCCACTCTTCCTCGAGCGGAGAGCATTTAAGGATCTATGACAATAATATCGGTCAGAGAAGAAAAAGGCAAATGACAGATACCAGGGCAGATGCTTACCCATCCGACAGACCTGTGAGCTCCATCCTCGAAAATACGCAATACAAACGACGAAGCCAGTACCTTCAACAAAGGCATGATATCGTAGAGCTTCCGCCACAGGGCGTCAAGAGCCGGTTCACAGAAAAATCTTGAGACCAGGATTAGCTTTGTGAGGGTTCGTTTGTCTTCTGCAATGGCAAGGTGGCCAAAGATCTCGTGGAGGATATCTTCTGTCTGGAGAGCTCGATGAGGTTCAGACGGCGGCCGCGAAAGTTCAGCAGGTCCGTGGGATGAGCCAGCCACAGAATCCTCTGGATGGTCCTGCTGTCCATGCATTGAAGGATCCTGTCGGACATCAAGATCGCATTCGTGCATGACTTGAGGAGCTGAGGACATGGTCGTCTTCTCGTGCAACTCGAACCAAAGAAATACTGTACGTCGCGATCACGTGCAATTCATTTCACCGTGGCCAACAGCTGGCCACGAACAATGGACGGGACAAAGGTAGCTCGATACAACGAACAATACACGAGAACGGACAATACACAACAGCGGAAAATACACGCCAATCACGATGCAATACAACACTAAAACCCCAGACAAATACACACCAACAAAACCACCGACGAAACACAAACGACAGCCAATCTCAACCACGCGGATTCCCTCCTAGGAACCGCAGAGGCCGGGGAAATGTCAGAGCGCCGATCCCACGTCATGAACAGTGCACCAAGAAATACAAGACAAACATACTTCAAATCGGCCTTGTTGCTCAGAAGAGCGCTAACACGCCGACGGAGGGACGGAAGAGAGGTCGTAGGCGCACCGCCAGTAGGAGGGATCACGACAAAATTGTACGGATACAGCGGAAGGGCGACCTGATTCCGCTCGACAGGCTGCGCAGTCGGAGGCGGGGCAAGACGCGGGAGCACCGTCTCGAATACTATATGGTGTTAGCCATCCATCTAAATGCAAAACCAAAAATGCCAGCTGGCTTACCTGGCGGTATATCACGCTCCCACACATCCTGCAGTGGTCCAACAGGCGGGAAGCCCACTGGAAGGGGGATCAGAATTCGATTCGGGAACGTATGGCCCACGAACAGCGCCATCAGATAGACATTCCTTGCCTCGACCATAATTCCACCCTTCGGGTCGTACTTGAACGAAAGGCTCGTCACGGTCCGGCTTGAGGGACCTGCAAGAATATCCGACCGCAGAATGGTAGGCTCGGCAACTACACGGGGGATAGCCAGGGTGTGCAAGTGCGGACAGTGCACGGCAAAGGCTGCGAGTGAGAAAACGGACGGTGCATCCATGTCGAGTTCATCACGATATGTCAGAGTCAGTGACTTCAGACTAGTCCACGCAGAAGCCATTTCCTGAATATCGTCGCCGGTAAGCGACAGCGGAAGACGGACGTCCATCTCGAGAGATTCGAGACCGGAGACTTGGAGGAGCGGTAACAGCGCATCCATCACGCGCGCCCGGGGCTTATTCAGGATGTAGTAGTGTTTGATGTTGACGACACGGAGGGAGGATCTGAGCTGACTGCTCAGCGCTTCGATGAACGCACGACAGGGCGGCCATACGTCCGAAGCAAACGCAAGGCCTTGCACATCAACTTTAACCATGTGCAGCCGAGGTGCGGAGAGAGCTCCGAAGAACCAGGCCAGATCCGACGGGTGTCCACCAACATCAAGATATTGCAGAGCGCCGAAGGTATAAGGGACTACATCGCCTTGTGCATCTCGGAGTGTGATGCGCAGACCCTTGAGCACCTCCATACCAGCCAGAACCCCCAGATCCGAAGGCGAGACGTGGGTGGATTCAACACACAGCTCCTCAAGCCTGTTGAACGAGGCGATACTCTCCAGAAGCGGGGAATGCAGCGGACCAGCGACAGTCAGTGCGCGCAAAGGGGACGCTTGCTGCGCCAGAGGATCGACGTCTGCAGTGAGAAGCTGTGTAGCTGAGGGAGAAGCGATAGCGGGCCATTCTCGCGTGGCTGTCGTGCGCTCTATCATGCCGTCGGAAGGGCGGAGAGCCCCGGCGGCGAAAAAGAGGAGCATCGGGGCAGCGCTGGTGATGGAAGATATGAAAAGTTCACTCAGGAACGGGAATATGCGCTGGTCTGCCGCACAACGAGCGAGCATTATGAAAGACATGGGTCTGATTTTCATGGAAATGTCCATGAGACATAGCGAATGCACGCGGCGGGCGTAGGCAAGGAACCGCACCCAGCTCCCGTCATTCACGATAGTTTCCGCAGCGAACTACAGAACAAATAGCGAGTTATAAGAAAACGGGTATCGATGTTGGGGCATAACACATACACATTGACACACAAGCTGATCACACGGGTTGTCCAACAACAGCGATTTCTCGAGGAGCTTCAACAGAGGCACGATGCTCCCCAACTCCCTCCACAGGACGTCGAGCGCAAGATCGCAGAAGTCTTTGCATACCAGAGCCAGGTTGGCCAGAGTCCTCCCATTGTAGAACGGGCTGAGATGACTGAAGATCGCTTGCACGATGTCGTCTGCGTCGAGTGCGCGAGGTTGTATGCGCGTCGGGGCGACGATGCGGCCGTCCACTTCTTCCAAATCGCGGTCGACTTTCGTGGAGAGCATAGTACAGTAGCCTTCACGAGCGATTGTTGACCAATGCGACCAATGCGAGGAAAGTTCAGACACGATGGAGATGTCGGTGAAGCTCGACGCGGACGAACTTACACCGGAGACAGCGGGCAATATCGCATCTGCGGACATTGTGGGAAAATTCTGCCTTACATTGTACATGTATGACCGGCTCTTGTTGCCTGCGGAAATTTTGCCTTATATCCTTTCTCAGCCAATCAGGTCGCGAGAATAAGCTTGTTTACAAAAATGTACAACTGTCTGACATTCTACCACATATGTACAATGTTAGATGGGATATTTGCACAATATTAGATGTCCAGATATAGCTCGCCGTCTCCGGTGTTGGGTGAACGACGAAGTTCAAGCTTCAAATTCAAGCTCTCAAAATTTCAAATTTCAAGGTCCACGACGTAACTCAATTTGACCTGCAATGAAATATACCACAGCATAAAACTACTGCATCATGATTAAATAAAGCGCCTCTGCATACCAGGCAAGAGTAGATAAATACACCGAGGGACAAGTAAACGCGAGATCAGTACTAGTAGAAACACCGTCGTGCACAAACCGGCAGAGGCACGACAATAAAGAGCACACCTAAACCGAAATCTAACCAATGTTAACTGCGGCCGGAACCCACCATGCGTACGATATTAAAGAGAACGTAGTAAACCGTGCGCATGCTCACCAAAGATTGCCGATAGTACTCGACTGGAACTGACCGACGAGCGACCACAGGCAGCGGCAGACGGTCAGACGCCGTAACCGGCGGAGCGTTCTCCAGGCCGTCGTGTATCCTCTGCCTGGCACGCGCAAGAAGCCTCACCATGCGATGAAAGTAGTGTGCCACAGGGGCGACGACGCGCTCACACGTCGGATTATCGCAGTCAAAGTCGATCTCCGCATCGGGGAACGTCCGATAGATGAAATCCGCCGCCCGCAGCGCGTTCAGGACACCTACAGGTGTTGGGTCCCGGGGCATGCCATACTCGAACGACAGATACTCCAAGCCATGCGCGGGGACATCTTGCAGTTGCGCGCGCACGTCGCCGCTGGCACGGGAGGACGAGCACCGGCAGGCCAAACGCGGGATGACGAGCCCGCGCAGACGCGGACACTTGCGTGCGAAATGCCCGAGGGAGAATACACTGGGCATCCCATTGTTGGATCGCAGAGGCCATTCGAGCTCGAGCAGTTCCAGGCGCGGGAACGCGGTGGCCATGGCGCAGACGTCTAGGTCGGACAGCACTACATAGAAGCACATGTTCACGGAGAGGTTCGCGAGGGCAGAGAGCCGCAGGATTGCCCCGAACAGATCCGCAAAATAGGCGGAAGGAGTGTTGGCCCCGTCATCGGCAGAATGGGCGTCGATCTTGAGTGTGCCAAGGGTCGAGCGGAGGGAAGCAGGAAGCATCTCGAGGGCCTCCGAGAAGCTATTCAAGAAACCCAAGTCCTTGCAATATAAAAGCCGGATCGTCAACGAGTTCAGCCGTGGCACCGAGAGGTTCCGAAACAAGTCGAAAAGGGCCCTTGGGTCACCTGCAATGTCCAGACGCTCCAGGTAGCGAAATACAAATGGTCGATTGAGTGGCGGATACCCACGGAACGAGAAACGGAGATCGCATAGCCTCTTCACTTTAGCTAGGGTTCGCAGCCACAGAGCCGTAGGCATCCCGTTTATGATATCAACCTGTATGAGCCCGCCGAAGCCACGTACGGCATCCAGAACCATATGTGACTTGCCCGCAAGAGTCAATTTGAGCATCGGCGCCACTTGCAGCGCGTTCCTGTCCAGTAGTGTACTCAAAGGAAATGCGTATAGGCGGGAGTGTCCAAGCAAGATCCCCCGTACGAGCCCATTCGTAGCCGGAGAGGTGTACAGGCATCCAGAAAGAAAGAGAAAAAGGACGTAGTCGGCCGCGCACCACAACGTCATCTCCAGCGAGACCAAGGAAGGGAAAACATGCCACCCGCCCGCGCGCAGGACAAGAGCGAGGAGGGTGCGATTGTCCATCCTGCCTTCATACTCTGGCAAGGCGATGCCGACAACGTGAACGCGACGCGCATACGCGAGAAAACGCGTCCAGTCGGCCTCCGGGATCTCTCGCATGGCAGCCTGAAACACGAGCACTGTCAGGGCACAAATGAAGCAGGACGAGACAGAAAAGTCACATACACAGAAGCACGGGTCCGTTCTACAACAGACGTCGTGAATGGCCCAGCGTTCGCCCTCCACGAGCCTGAATAGCGGGAGTACATCGTCCAATTGCCGCCACAAGATGTCCAGGGCGAGGTCGCAGAACCGTCCGGAGACGAGAGCCAAACTTCTGACAGTCTTCCTGTCTGGACGGAGATGACTGAGGATCTCCACAAAAATGTCCAGATTCACGCGCGTTTTTCGTCCAAACGCTTGCATGGTGGTGATCATGAGATGGTGGCCAAAGAAGAGACTCGTCCTTGACGCGCTTTTAAGCCACCGTGACACGTGCCCCGTTCACGCAAGCAGTACTTGGCTTCGTAAGCGGTTTGACTAGTACTATCATTACCCCAGTAATGCAATTGCGATTGCATCTCTGTCATCGTTCCTTCAAATCGGGCCCGTTTTCCTTCGAACCTCTTTGGATCAAATATACAACATATAAGCTACCTTCTGTGTGACTGCCAATTTTTTTCCTGATGTTGTGCGACTCCAAGACCGAACGCAGTGAAGAGACTCATTTGCACGCAAGAGCGCCGAATCGGTCACAGATCGTCACGCTTGCCGACGTGCCGTTCCCTTGTTCTCCCTCTAGTCGGAGTTTTAAATGGCACATTTCACTGTCACGCCTGAGTCCTCCAAACTTGCAATTCAGAGACTTCGCACTCTTCCCCTCCGAGTTTGACTCCCAAGTTGCACAGCCAAGGTATTTGGGACTGTGCACATCTATTGCATATTTCTTTGTGATTTTTAGTGCAGCAAAATGCGGCAAAACGGCGAAATTGCATAACTAGACCAGATTGCAATACTGGGGTAACGATAGTAGGGAACTTCAGCCTCGATGGAGGTGAAGACAAAGACATATTTGGCAGAAGACTACAGGCAACTTTTCTGGGCTATATTGAAGGTCGCCCGGATGTGCCATGTACAGCCAATTCAGTCCTCCAATTGTGAATTTTCTCAGATACCAGAAAGGCTCACGCGTATTTATCAAAAAATCGAAGATTGAAGAGTAGACACGCAGTTTCTACATCTACAATTTCGACGCAGTCCAGTAAGGAAAAAAGCGACATGAAAAAGAAGATGGGTCATTTGGCATATTCAAGTCGACCATAGTGCACATATCTATAGAGCACGCCAGACAGAAATATTCAGTACACCGAGGGGAACGAGTAAACTAGAGATACCGACGACAATAATGACCGCCATGGAGAGACCAGCAAAGACATAACAATAAGCAGCAAAGAAAATCACCTATCATTAAATCACCTATCATTGCATGGGAGTCGTACCACCGCTACGGAACCGACCGCATGACACCAACCAGAATGACATAAACCGTGTGCACGAGCATAGACAGCAGAGAATACCGATTCAAGACAGACCGAAGACCGTAATCTTCGAGCAGCACAACCGGCGCAGGCGCGTCGCAGCACTCCAGGGCAGAGAGCATCGTCTCCCTCGCGCGCGCAAGCATCTCTTCCGAGCGATCAAAGTAGTACAATTGCGGGCGTCAGAGGGCCACATCATACTGGAACGTAAGCCGCTTGAATCCACGCGCAGGCGCATCTCGCAACGGCGTATCCGCGTCGCCGCCGGAAGGGGAGGAGGACCTGTACACCAGACGCGGGATAGCGAACTCGCGCAGACGCGGGCACTTGCTCAGGAAATGCACGAGGAAAGCCACACTGAGCGCGTCTTTGTCCTCTTCGTCAGGCGGAAGCGGCCATGAGCACGCGAGCACCTGCAGGCGGGGGAACGCAGTCGCCACGGTGCAGGCGTCCTTGTTGGACAACACTAGTGGGAAGCAAACGTTCACGGTGAGATTTTCGAGCGCAGACAGCCGCAGGAGCGCCGCGAACACGTCCACGAAAGGGGCCGGAGCAGGCGTGTTCGTCCCGTCGGGAAAGCGGCTATGGATCTCAAGCGTGCGAAGGGTCGAGCGGAACGACGCAGGCAGCGCACCGAGGCACGCCCGGTAGTTGTCCCAGAAATTCCGATCCTTGCCATACAAAAACCGGATCGTGAGCGAGTGCAGCGACGGCGCCGAGAGATTGCGGAAGAGTCTGAGGAGGCTCGGCGGGTATCCTGAGACGTCAAGGCGCTCCAGGTTGCGCAACACGGCCGGCCCGACGAGTATCCGACAGGTATCGACCAGGCGGCGGGGATCGGCCACAAAGCGTATATCGCGCAGCTTCTCCGCTCTGCCCAGGGCTTTCAGCCACACGTGCGGGTACACCCCTTCCTTGATCTCTATTTGTTCGAGCCCGCCCATGCGATGAACCGCACACACAAGGAGATACGACTTGCCAGCGAGGACCAGTTTGCGTACGGGCGCCACCCGCAGCGCATTCACGTCGAGCAATATCGGCAAAGAAAAAGCGCCGTGTGTCGGGTGCGAGAGCAAGATCTGCCGTATTCGCCCAGTCACAGATGGAGCGGTACAGAGGCACCCAGTGAGGAACGCAAAGAGCACGAAATCAGCCAGGCACGACACAGTCATTTCCACCGAGACCAAGGAGGGGAAAACGTGGCAGCTGCCGGCGCGCAGGACAAGAGCGAGGAGAGTACGGTTGTCCATCCTGCCTTTGTACCCTGGCAAGCCGATGCCGGCAACACGAACGCGGCGTGCATATGCCAGAAAACGCGTCCAGTCGGCATCTGGAATTTTTCGCATGGCAGCCTGAAACACGAGCACTGTCAACTACAAATGTGGGACAAGACAGAGGTCACATACACAGAAACACGGGCGCATTCTGCAACAGATGTCGTGAATGGCCCAGCTTCGGCCCTCCACGAGCCTGAATAGCGGAAGAACATCGTCTAATTGCTGCCAAAGAACGTCGAGCGCAAGATCGCAGAACCGCCTGGAGACGAGAGCCAAGCTTCTGAGAGTCTTCCTGTCTGAGACCGGATGGAGATGGCTGAGGATCTCCAAGAAAATGTCTATGTTCACGGCGGTCTTCTGTACAGCAGCTTGCATGATGGTTGAGAAGGTGGCCAGAGGAAATGGAAACGACAACCATGCTGCGTCTTAAGCTTAAGTATTAACAATGCATCATGCCTCATGTTAACCTCAAGCGCGGCCCGGACACTGCCGACCAGTAAAGCGCAGAGAACAAAAGCGTAGGTGCCTTAGTCACGACGTAACATTGCTGTCGTCTCACTGTAACTAACGGGCAGTAATGTACAGTTATCCACAAACGTAAGCTAGACAGGAACCCGAACAACCAACGGACGATATGCTAAAAGGGCACAGTAAGTACAAACAACAAATGGTCATCGATGCAGCGACTAGGAAAGAAAGCGTATGATACAAATTTCGAAGCGTGTCCGATAGGTAGTCCGAGTACGAGTCCAACAACGCGTCCAAGAATTCGAGTCCGGGACGCGTCCGTGGCAGTCATAAGTCCGTGAATCGCATAATGGGGCGCCACGCGGCTCAGATGATGTTGAGGGTGATGTTCCTCACTTCGAGACTCGGGTAAGGGCCCGCCTGAACGAGGCATTAGCCAACCAGATTCTCCGCAAGGTCAGAAAGGGACTTACGCCGACGAGCGAGAAGTGGGATAATGACAGCGAGGCCTGGCCAGTAGAGAAGGAGGTGGGCACCTGCACGGTGAAGTTCTGGTAGGGCTCGTAGAAACCCACGGGCTGGAAGGCCGGTGCGAAGGGTCCCTGGTACAGCACGGTACCAAGGCGCTGTGTGACGTCGAAGGAGGCGCAACCGCCGGTGTAACCCGCACAGCTCTGGAGCGCGATTGCGATCGCGACCTCGTCGGAGCCGGTCAGAGTATCCTGCGAGAACGTGCCACGTGAGCTGATGGTGTTGGAATGGAGCTACGGACGACGTACGGGTCTGGTGATCTGGGCGGTGAAGTTCTCTCCTGGGGAAAAGGAGTCATATTCGACGGGTAAGTTGATGAAGGCCGACTGGGCGAGCGCGGTAGCGGCGAGGCATGCAAGCGTGAAGAAGGACTTGAACATCATCATCGGAAATGGTATTTTTCGGGGGGAGAAAGGTAAGGAACTGAGGGTGAGCGGATGGCGGAGAGGAAAGCCGGGTGGGACCTTATATACGTAGGCGTGACGGCGCCACAGAGCCGACGCGTAGAGCGGGCTTGGTCATGGGGTGACCCATTTCTGTCCAGGATGAAACGCGTGTGCATCGCCACAGAAGGAGGTCCATTGGACGGACGAGGTGCACGTTCTCGGCAATTTGTTTGGCCGAGTCCAAGACTGAACGGGTCCATTGGGTCCACTCTCCTGAGGGAGAGAAAGCTGGAAAGCGTTTCAGTAGTAAGTCGGGTTACGCAATGCGGCCGGGTGGAGTACACAGCGCTGAGGCGACAGGTTGATGCCATCGGGAGGCGTTCATTTGGGAAAGCACGGCTAGACGTATCGCAGAATAATTCCTGCGCACGAGGTGTTGTGTGATTCGAGCATCCTGGAAGGCTTCTGCCTGGTGAGCCTGGTCATGGGCCAGTAGTGTCGAAGAGACGGTCTCTACTCGAATTCGAGCAGTCCGAAGCGCTGACGTCAGCGCTCCATATGTTCTCCCGTCACGTGCTCTCCACGACGCCTCCGCCACACCGCGCACACTCGCCACGCGGGTCGCAGCATGTAACGACGTCCAGCTCCTTGTGCTCCAGTGTTCCTTCCGCTCATCTTCCCTTCCCTAAGAAACTATTGCAGGTCGACTCTAGAGTGTGCCATCGGAAGAATCATGTCTGGTTTTCTCCCGGTGGTCATCATGTCCGCCCTTCTCGCCGCGGCATCTTTCGCCATTGGCGTCCTTCCTCTCGCCTTCGCCTTCTCCAGTCAGTCCTCTGTGCTACCAGATGTCTCAGACTGCTGACTCACCCCCGGCGTCGCACGTAGACGCAACTATTGCGAAGTTGTCCGCGCTCGGAACAGGTCTCCTGCTTGGCGCTGCGCTAGGTGTCGTCATTCCAGAGTGCGTAGTCTTTTCGCTAGCATGGTCGTCCGCTGGTTTGTTCCATTCTGCGGTATTACGAATCAGCTAAGATCCGCAGTGGTTTGGCTAGCATATTGTTCCGCTGCCACTGCCACTGTGAGCTACCGAGGCCCAGTTGAGTGGAGACTTTGACACCGCGCAGCGTAGCGAGACACGGTCGCAGTGCTTACTTCTGAGGCTCCGAAGTCGGAATGCTGTGCGGTACAGGCATCTCATGCCCGCCGCGACAGTTCATGTCCGTGGTGTGTTGCCATTGAAGCACCAAGTCGCGCAACGGCTGAGCTTTCAGCGGTCCCGAGCGTTGACATGCCCGATCTTCCTAGAGTCACTTCCGCTCTCGCAGACGCGCATATATGGCGCATGCTCCTCTCCGAGCACACTAGCTGAGGAACCACCTGTCAAGTACCACCAGCGCCCGCCCATTCTATCGTCTCTCCATTCGCAGCCACCGCTGACGCCGATCCGCGCTTCCCAGAGGCATCGAGACGCTCGTCACCAGCAGCCCGTCCACCGAATTCCCCACCTCGACCCTCGCCCTCGCCCTCCTCGCCGGCTTCACATGCATGCTCGTCCTCGAGCAGCTCCTCTCCCCCCGCTCTCATGCGCACCCGCAGCCCGCCCCGCCCCCATCCCCCAAGCCGGCCGCGGCGGACGTGCAGTTCGACGTCGAGCTCGGCGAGCTCGAGCGCACGGAGGGCATCGACATCGACTGGGACCGCAGCACAGCCGCTGCCGCTGCCACGGCGGCCAAATCGCCTGAAGGCGCGTCGAGCGCGGACAGCATCGCGCGCGCGTACCCGCTCACGCTCGGGCTCGTCCTCCATGCGCTCGCAGACGGGCTCGCGCTCGGCGCGTCCGCGCTTTCGTCCGGCACGGGCGTGTCGGCGGTGCCCTCGCGGCTCTCGCTCGTAGTGTTTCTCGCGCTGGTGGTGCACAAGGGTACGTGACTCTGCCTGGCTGCTCTGTCGCGCGTGTGGGCTAATTGATATGTGCAGCTCCGACCGCGTTGGCCCTGACTACGTCGCTCCTGGCCACAGCGCTCCCCCGTGCACAGTGCAAGATGCACCTGGCGGTGTTCAGCGCGGCAACGCCCGTCGGGGCGCTGCTGTCATACGTGTTCCTCTCGATCCTCGGTGAGCGCAGTGAAGGCCGCTGGCCCGGGATCGCGTTGCTCGTTTCTGTGAGTAACCCCCGTGTGACTTTGGAAGCTCCAACTTCTTGCTAACTTCTGAGCTAATGTGTCTCGCAGGGAGGCACGTTCTTGTACGTCGCGACCGTCGTCCAGCCCGTACGAGGCTCCTCTGCGGATGGACTGGGCACGAAGACGCGGACGCTCTTGATCGTGTTGGGGATGGTTATCCCGTTTGCTGTAGGTGCCGTCCTTGGGCACGGGCATGGACATTGACGTGGGACGTTCTACGGATCGGATATACCGGTATTGTATTCTACACTCACAATTCTGTAATTTACCCCTCCGTCCCGTCTCATCATGCAGCAGCAAGTCCCCAGTCCGAAATAAACGCGCACTCAGCGATCGACAAGATCCTCCCAAAAAAGATCGAGCCAGCAGGGCCCATCCCTCCACTCACCTAGCGGCGCGTAGTGCCGTCCGCGTGTCTGTCGAGGCGGTCGTCGCGAGCACAGCGCGAGCGCGTCTGGTCTTTCAGCGCTGGTGGGCGAGGGCGTGAGCGAGGGAGACAGAGGGAGGCAGGGTATTATGCACCGGTGCCGATGTTGTCTGTGACGCCTTAATCGTAGTCCGGGCCGTCCTTCGCGGGCGAAGCTTGTGATATCGAGCCAACGTCGTTAACGTTTGCAGCGGCCCTCACTCCACGTCGGGCTCGGCACGACAGAGTCCGCGAGCACCGGGACGATGTAATCCGGGCTGACGGATGACTGGTGTAAGTGCCACTCCTCCTCGAGCAGCAGCGCTCAGCTCCTGCACGTCGTCCTTTTTGTCCGTGTGATGATAAAGTGGTGAGGGTACGGCGAGAGGAGCCGAGTGTGACTGTTGTTCTGTCGTGCAAGAAAACGGTAGACGATCCCACGCATGCTGTGGCGAGATCCTCGCCCTTCTCAGTGATCGTGCGCTCGACGTTATGCGTGAATTCAGAGGAGGGCGCAGGGAGGCGTCTGATGAGGAAAAATCTGAGCACCGGTGGGAGTGCGGTACCTAATATGGCGAGGACGAGCAGAAATGAGACGTACGCGTCTCGCGACGAGTGCAATCGTCAAAAAAAGCGGGCGGACAGGCTAAAGCCAGATAGCACTACCTCATTCGTCGTAGCCCTTCATGTGTGGACAATCAGCTAGGAGAATGGTAGGCTGCTTGGGAGACATACCGCCCTGTGAGGAAAGCTCAATTTCTGCTGCGATGTGAGGAGCTCGGGCGAAGATGTCGCCATATCGAGCATGTCGCCGTTCGTGCGGGACACCTTCTAGAAGATCTTGAGGGGGAAACTACTTCTAGCGCACGAAGCTGCAGCTAGGGACGGAACGCGTCGACCAGCCGTCGTCAATATTGTCGTCGTCGTCCTTGAAACGGGCGTTAAAGAGATGCCGAGTACTGCAGAGGCAAGGACAGAGTCTGTCCTTGCCTCTGCAGTACTCGGCATCTCTTTCGCCTGTTTCAAGGACACGTTTCAAGGACGACGATGACATGATGATGGCTGGTCGACGCGCTCCGTCCCCGTTCTGCAGCTTCGTGCGCTAGAAATAGTTTCCCCCTCAAGATCTTCTAGAAGGTCGTTGTGGGCAACCTCGAAGTCTTCCGAAGGATATCCCTGACAAAGAGAGCTCAGTGTGTATTTTTCGACGACGACAAGGAACGGATATATTCATGGTAAAGCAAGTTGGAGCTGGGGCTTTGCAACGACAAATTATGGTTCCCGACGAGACAGAAATCGAGGCACAAAGTTTGAGTGACAGTGTTGCGAACAGAGTCACGTGCATGTTGCAGAGCGCGTTACCGCAGAAAGACACCATACCATCCCTCACACTACGTGACTCCAGAGATCCTTAGCGTAGTAATTTTTTGACGCCAAATTCATCGTCTCATACATTGATGCATCTAGTCCTTGAGCACTACGACATCCTACACGAAATTGTCCCTTATGTGACTGCCTCTCCACTCTCCCTCACCTGGCTCGTGTATCCAGTGCATGCGTCGATCCTGCCCTTGGTTTTCTATGGAGAAATATGAGTACCTTGGTTCCATTATTCACCTTATTGCCTTCCGTTGAGCTCATTGATGATAGCTTCGGGAAATTTTATTCGCGTCATCCTCGCGGATTTGGCTGCGGTTTGCTCCCCGACTGACACATGTGCTCGCTACATGCAAGGTGCATCGCGACAGCTTTACATCCGACGACGTTGCTGAGAGGTTCCACTCTTATGCGTGCCGAATTCGGATCTTGAAACTAAGTCAATACCACGAAGGGGTAGGTTTCTCGGGTTTTGTCCAGCTGATCTTGCTTTCTGCAGGAAAACCACTGTTTCCTTCTCTTGTTGACTTGCAACTCTCTCATCGGTGGCAAGAGACATTTGGCTCAGAAATGTTTTGTTCTCTCTCCCCGTCACTCCGTCGTGTCAAATTTGAAGCGTTCAACATAGATGTCCTACCTGTCACTCAAAAGCGTCTAACGAGAGAATTTCTGTGTAACCTTGGCACTACTGCTGTGTTTCTAGAGCATCTTACCATCGGAATTGGCGTGAAAGACCCACACCTACCTTCCCTTACTCATTTTGCCCGCCTTCAGACAGTGGACATTGCCAACTGTTCTGCATGCCTTCCCCTCATCTCTTCCCTTGCCAAGCTGGAGCATCTTAACAAACTTTCTGTGAACATCTACGAACTGACAGGCGAGGGAATAGCATCCTGTACCGGGTTCTCCGCACTGGTTGATCTTTGGATATCAGGTGGCGCCGGGCAGATTCCCAAGTTTCTCAGATGCATCACCTCCGAGTCGCGGCACCTCCAAATACTCGAGTGCATGAACGGATGGGCTGAGGTCGATGAATTGCACGATTACCATGAATTATTCTTCTTGCTGGGATCGCAGTTTTCGGCATCGTTGAGGAAGCTCTCCCTTAAGCCCACTGCAATTTCGTACGACCATCCTGTACGTCTGTTGGATTCGACGTACCCATCACTCGACCCTCACCAACTTGAATGGCTAGACCTCGACATTTGGGGCCGCATTCAAATAACAAGCGTGAATCTTCGCACCATGGCCCTCTCTTGGCCCAAGATCATAGCCCTTCGTATCACAGCAGATCATGATACTGCTGTTGCACCATCTATTTATACCTTGGCAGACCTTGCTCACCATTGTCCGCATCTCCAGAAGCTGTGTCTCCCTGGTGTAGAGGTTATCACTCCTCCGCCTCCCGAGCTCAAATCCTCACCCGTCTCGGGGCACGCACTCAAAGTCTTTACTATGGCAGGCCCGGAGAATGAGAGTCCGCCCTTCAGAATTGAGGTTGCTGACCCGGCGCAGGTCGCTGAGTTTCTGGACACGCTTTTCCCTCAGGTTCGGCTGGAGTTCTATGTGGAAGGGGACTGGGAACGGGTCATCGAGAAGCAGGAAGCATTGCAGGCTGCTCGGCGCAATGCTCGAGCTCGAGCTGAGAAGGATGATCGAAGATTACTAGTGGATGGTTGAAGAGTGGTCTACGTGAGTGTCAGTTTTTGATTTTCAGAGCTCTGCGTCGCTCACTGGGTTGCTATTGCTATGATATCAGGACAGATTTGCTCAACCGTGGCCCGAGACTCCCCTACCAAAGAACATCTCAATAACCGTTCAATATCTCGAATATCTACCCTGATACACAATGTGAGAGTCGCACTGAGGATTTCGTTTTGTTTTCTCCTGGGCATGCAATGTGAATCATTTAAATTGCTGCGTAGACCATCCCGTGAGCTGTTTTCACGCTTCAGCTTCGATTTCAGCCCCTTCTCCTGTCGTGCACCGCATCCTCTGATGCTCTTCCGATGATTCTTCGACCGCTCGAGATCAGATATCCTCGCGTTCCGATTCGGGTCTCCCCTGACGCGATTCTGCTCTTAGGATGCCGCAGCTTGAAGTCCGTGTTTAGTCTAGTCTCTCGGACGGTCGCATCTGCACTGTGAGCTGCGGGCTTCTTCTTTTGCGAGCTGACAGCTACCAAGCGATCCCTCCGCCGCCGCAGGAACTGCTATTTTTCCGGTGAAAACGCACCGTTGTCGACATCGCCTTAGCAATTTCGCACCTCACACTGGAGTCAACCTCTAGAACAAAATGGCGCGTGGCCTGCAAGATGTATAAAGCATGTAAGAGGTGCTGCGACATGCGTCAAGCGGAATTGGGTGAATAGCGCGTGTATATCGGTCAGTTGTCTGCACCTTCTGCGATCTTTCGGGACATACTTGTTTACCTTTTTTTAATAAATGTGCACCGCAGCCTCTTAGCACCTCAAGTAACCTTGTTGTCCTAGCCTTTCCATGTTCTGAGTCGGACTTCCAGCGACGAACGCAGATACCACATTCTCTCCAGAGCTCGAATCTGTCAATGTGCTCCCTGGCTCCCCATGCTGCGAAGGTCCTTGTGGGCGACTGTCACAAGCCGGGACCCTAAGCCTGCGGCACCATTCATCGACAGTCTGTTTCCCAATGCCCAGATAGAGTTGTGCTTGTGCTGGGATCCCAGCTAGTGAGCAGTCGGTGACATACAGGCCGCTAGGCTCGACGAGAGCGGAGATACGAGTCGCTCAGCAAGGAAAAGATTGTTGAGGAATTACACGGATCCGGATTAGCACCCGCGGAAAGACAAGCATATTGGCTTCGACTACTGTTCGGGCATACAGATATACGAGTAGTTTAATATGGCTGAACGGAATATGAACATGCTACGCGCACAACGGGCGAGGAACACCACAAGAAGAACGAGTGGAGAAACCACCACGCCCTTGCTCAACTAGCTTGCGCACGCAGGTCGTTTTGCGTACCGGCGCTGAATATCTTGTGGGAGAGTATGGACGACGTCTTCCCTCTGTTGAAGATCCTCTCGAGTTCGCTCGCTTCGGAGCCCAGCAGTGCAGCGAGTCCTGTCTACGTACGGGTCTGCCCTGTGTAAATCTGCGCACTTTCCTGGCTGCACAAAATAATACTCCCACGTGCCCGCTGCCCGCATGTTCCCTTGCCATGTACGAGCAAAAATATCAAAATATCAAAACTAGTCTTTGAGCACGTTAAAAATCTATTTCTGAACTACTCCACATTTGAAACGAGTACTCTGCACTGGCTATGAGCTGCGCACAGTATGTGACATGCTGCACAGGACTCGTTGCGGAGGGATGAAAAGCGTAAGTGAGCGGGCGGCCAAAGTGGGCAGGTGCGACAGAGAAAGGGTCGAGGAGCCCGACGGAGCAGACACGTCAGGCTAGACCGTCGAGAGCGGGAGCAGGCCACAGGTGGCGTGACGCAATGCACTTGGCAGGAAGATATTGCCAGATCGCGAGGGAAAAGGCGGTTCGGGGACGGCGGCAGCGTGGTCGCGCAAGTGGCAGAGGGCATCGTCATGCCACGTCGTGCGCGTCAGCAAAACCTCCGTGAGCTGGCCCAACCATTAGCCAAGATGGACCAGGAATAAAATGCGGGAGACACCAGCGGCGAGACGTCCGCGCATGCCTTGCGCTGGCTCTTCCGGGCACAGATATGGAGATACAAGCAGTGGCCAGGAGACAGGCATAGCGCACGGCATGTACAACAACAGGGAGCCGAACAACGAGCTGCTCGCTCAGCTTGAGCATAGACGAGGGAAGAGAATTATGGCTACCAAATAGACAACAGCTCGGAGGACAGCGCTGACGACAACGACGAGCCTGAAGATGAGAATGCATACACAGGTGAGTCACTGGGTCCCGAAGATGGCGAGGACGAACATTTAACGGGAGTTGGCCGCGGAAGGGATTGCTGACTTGTAACTACCCGGAATGTGTTCGTATACCCATGCCAGCGGACTGTCTTTGAAACTGTGACTGACCGAGTGAATCCGAGTCTGAGAACGGTCGGGCGCTCACCGACGTGTTGGTCCAATGCCGTAGGATGTACGTAGCCTAGACGTAGACAAAGGGAATGTCAAAGAAGTTAATGAAAACGCGAGAATGATGGTCCAAGCCCTGAACGGCCATTTCCATTACTTTGACCAGCGTCCGGGCTGACCCTACCACAACGAAAGCAGCTCCCATGTTCTGCCGCAGCTCGTTCTCGTCCGTGCCGAGCAGCCAGGCTCTTGACTGGGATTCAACGCTAGTGTATTCCTATCATACAAATGCCATGTTCCAGTGTATGTTCAGAGTCTAAATACCTATCCAAATCATGCTGGAGGATCTGCATGTTCCTGGGCACAGCCAATGGCTGCCAGTATGGCGGCCCCACGAGCAGGGAGGTCATCGGGGACTTCCTGGCCAGGGTAATATCCCTCAAAATACCTGCGAGACTCACGCCGACCTAGGGCATGCACTACATCGGCTGAAGTCAGTTGCGGAAGAGGATTATTCTGTGGATCATTGAGGCATAATTCACATATGATGAGGCAAACGTAACTTACATGGTGGATATATCCCCAGGGGAATGTGCCATTCGCCCATGGGACCTCAAGGAACGGAGTGGCATTACCCGGCCCCACAGTTCGATTGTGCATCTGCAAGTTAAATCGTTTACTCAGAACGTTGTCAATGCTAGCAATAGAAAACGGCGACAGTACCAAAGCTACGGCTCTCTGCATGTGTGCTTGACGGTCCTTCACGTCCTTCAGGTCGACCTTGATCGTGGCGATGTCAGCTTTCATTTCAACAATGTTCGCCTTGACAGTCTGGAGCTCATTGCCGAATGCTGTCATTCTGACTTCCAATGGCTGGAGAGCGGTCGCCATGGCCTGAGCAAACCACGGCGGCTGGGCGTTGTTGGGGCCTGCTAACCTCGCACATATCAGGGCATTTGATGTTTAGCTCGCGAGAATGGACGAACCTGGATTCTCAGTGGCAGCCGCAACGACAGCATTCTTGTACTGGACGACGTTGATGAACTTGTCCTGAGTAAGTGTCCGACTACCTGGTCAATGACGAATTATTGTCAGAGTGCACAAGATAGCGAGATGAAGGCATCGATACTCGCGATAGGCCGCGAGGGTATCATGCTCGAACAGAACTGCCAGAGCGACATCCTTGGGAGTAGGAGGATTATGTGGCTGGGGTGGACTATCAATGACACCGGTATTTTCAGCCCGAGCGATACCTGCAGGTACAGGGATTTGCGGAGCAGCAACAGACATTGCAGTGGATGCGTGGTTGCTTGCGTGGTTCAAGGCAAGTTCAAGGTTGAGTTCTGAACCTGTTGCACGTGCAGGATGGGATTTGAACGACAGCACAACGACAGCAGACATGGCGGGGCAGCCCATTTTGGCTCTTGCTCTCAACCGTCGACGGCCATGTCGCAGTTCCAGCTCGACGTCGCTGTTGTCCTCTCCTCGTTGCTAGCCTCGCTGTCAACCTCTCTAGGCCTGCTGAAGGCACATCCGCCTTCCCGCCAACGTCTCAGATGACGATTTCCCTCAGCATGACCCCTTCAACATTGCAAAACCGGAGGACCGCATCGACGGCACCCCCGTTGATGAGAATCAAATTTGGCCTCGCATGAGTACTGCTGATGTGTCGCCTCTCGTCGTTGCTCAATCCCGTATAGATGTGTCTCCGGAAGCTCGTCCTGTCCGTCTTTCTCGCGGCATTCTGGCCATACATAGCGCCTCTCTCGGATGGGCGATCGTGGGCAGCGACCACTCTAGCATAATCATGTGAGCGCTACATGTCTTCTTTGCTCTCTAAGCTCTCGTCCTTCCCGTCCGTTCCGTCAACTACCCCGACGGTCCCCATTCGGACTCGGTCGTCCACCTTTTCCTGCTGATCTTCTCCGCGACCGTCTTGCTCTTCACGACAGCCATTCTTCCTTCCTCGCAGCCTATCATTTGTGTGTTCGTCCCGTGCACTGTCTGGACCGCTTTCGATATGGTATGAGGCGTTCACACTATCGCTTGTCCTTCGCAATTGTGATAATCATACCCCGGGGCCTTCTTCCCTCCGCTTCCCCTCCGAGAAGATCTATTCGGACAAGACCCTGATGCTTCTCAATATTCACGACTACCTGCTCTGATTCGACCGAGGCTGGAGCTGGGTGTACTGTGCCGGCCGGCCTCTACTTTAGCAACACGATCGCACAGCTCAGTAAGTTTTGTCCGTTTCATTTGGGGCTAGTACGGAAGACGCGACGTCCTTCTGCCCGAGCGTCTTCGCGAAGATGATGGAGTTGAGCTGTATGCGCAGCCTACTTACGCTGGCGTAATATCACATCCTACAGAATCACCGATCAAGCTAACGATCGGCACGATTTTCCTTTCCGCCTCTCCAGGTTCCGAGAGGGCCAACGAAGTAGACGGCTCGCTAAGAGATGGTCGCGGGTGGTAAAGACAGAATATGGTGCACAGGTGAGGCCAACGCCAGCAAGACGCATCTTGAGAGTCGGGCACGTAGACAAGATAAGTATCCGACATGTCGAGAAGTAGACACTCGCGCCGCGCACAGAACCTTTCTGGATGATGCTCGGTGGGTTGGTATGTACCGGCGGGTCCAGCTGGGACTTGATTCGAGAAGAACGACATGGTGAAGTCTGTGGGACGAGATGATGAGGTGACAAGGGCGCCATTGGGCGACGCGAGTGACGTAGAGGCCTTCGTCACCGTGGGGCCATGGGCAGAGTCAAGTGGAAGGCGAAGCTGAAGGGGAGCGGCGGGCGCTTCCGCGCTCGTAGCGTACTCCATCTCGCCTTAACTCTTGGCTCTGTCGCACGCAGTGATTCTCGCGCTGCCAGGTTGCAAGTCTGTCGATTATACTTACGATCGCCCGACTTGCAACCTGGGAAGCTCGCAGGGCTGCCCGAATCAGGGTGAAGCAGGTATGTTATATCGTTGTTTCTCCCGACGCCAGATGATAGAGAATCGTGCGCCTGTCGACCGGAGGTCGCTGACTGAAGGCCGGCTTATGAATGTTCCACTGCTCCCAAAATCGAAAGAGACTCACGAGCCTATACGTGGTTACTGTGGCGTCGCGAACCTACAAAAGCAACGCCTGTTCCAACGTCTCTCTCGATATGGCCCTTTTCTTTTCCTCTTCAACTTCCATCTCAACTCGCTCTTGATTTGTTCTGGCGCTGTCAACTGTCATGCATCACGCACTCGAAATGGACGACATCATCCCTGAAGTCGTCCACCATCTCAGGCCCCGCGAAAATGCAGATCGCCGCGCCCTTGCTCAGCTAGCTCGCACACGCAGGTCGTTTTGCGTACCGGCGCTGGATATTTTGTGGGAAAGTATGGACGATGTCTTGCCGCTGTTGAAGATCCTCTCGAGTTCTCTCGCTTGGAAGCCCAGCGGTCCAGCGAGTCCTGTCTACGTACGTGGCCGAAACGCCTCGGGTTCGGGTCCTGACTTATGCGAGCGAATTGTAGACGGTGCATCGACCCATTTTCAAGTCCGAGTGGCTCCGGTTTCAGTCTTACGCCCGGCGCATCCACAGCCTCTGTCCTCGCCCACTATGCCATATTGATTCGTCTGTCTTTGACCGCCTAAGCAGTTACTTAGAGAGAGATCCGTTGCTCCCTTGTTTGACATCCTTGACCATCTCGTGGAGCGGATGGACTACATTTGAATTCGAAGCCCTGTTTTTCGTCTCGCCCTCACTGCGCCAGGTTCGCGTCTCCATCGAGCTCCCAGACGTGTGGTCTGGTAGGCAGAGCTGCATCGCCGCAAAATTTCTGTATCTCTTGTGCCTGGAGAGTGTGAATCTCGAACATCTGACCCTTTGCAGCGGTGCCCATGGCGCATACTTGCCGTCTGTTGCGCAAGCGGCCAATCTGCGAGAGCTGGTGCTGACCGAGTGCAACATCTCTCCTTCTCTGCTCTCATCCTGTGCGCAGTTGCCGCTACTGACTGTGTTCCGTGTTAGGTTGCTCGAGCGCCAAGCACCCGATCTTTCCTGCTGTGGAGCCGGACCCGGATTCCCTGCGCTGGAGGTCTTGGACGCCATGGGCGACCTGGGGCCCGTAACGGAATTGATCAAGATCATCACGTCGCCCCATCTCCGGTCTTTCTCCTGGACTGAACGTGGCCCCCGTGCGCACACCCGTCAAGATCTGTACGTCCTCTACTCCGCGCTGTCCTCCAGACATTCGGCGGCTCTGCGCGAACTCGACATCTCTTTCGCCCATTTCGCCAACGGCGCCGACGACTCGGCGCGAGTGGTCGACGCGCTCCGGCCGCTCCTGAAGCTCCGCGCGCTCGAGAAGCTCGCGCTCAAGACCCACGCGCGCGTCTCCCTCGCGTCCAGCCACCTGCACGACATGGCCTCATCCTGGCCGCACCTCACCGCGCTCCTCATCGCAGCAGCCCCGCCGGGCCCCACAGCGCCACGCCTACACTCCCTAGCCGCCGTCGCGCGCAGTTGCCCCGCACTCGCGGTCCTGCGGCTGCCCGGCATGGACGTGCGGGTGGACGCGCTCGCGGTTCCGCATCGTCTGCAGACTCTCTGCATTTGTGCTGCGCCATCGAGTTTGGTTGCGGACCCGGCGGCGGTGGCGGGGTTCCTCGACGGGCTGTTTCCGGAGGTGGAGATTGAGGTAGAGGCGGGTGCGAAGGGGGCCTGGGAGGAGGCCGTTGGCGTGCAGGCCGCGCTGCAGCGCGCGAGGCGACTCGGGCTCGGAGTGGTGAGTGGTTGTGGCCTGCGGTTGTGCACCTGGCGTGCCGACTGCTATGTGTCTCGCCGACGCCTGGAGCCGTCGTTGATTCTATGTGGATCACTTCGTGCTCGTCGTTGTACTTAGATGGCGGTCGTCTGTGCCGGAAATTTTAAAGTCGTCCATCGTTCTCGCGCTCCCGACCCGGCGCTCCCTGGCCTGACCGAAATCGGAGCACACACTGCGAGGCATCTCCGTGAATGGTCTATTGACACCCTTGGCCCCAAGTTTGCGCGGTGTCACTTTCTGAGTCTGTCCGAATTTTTGTTTTCCTAGTGGTAGGATGAAGTTTCTCTGTCGGTTTTCGTGCGATCTCCGAGTCGCCGTTTCGCGCGCGTAGGCGCGTTCACGTTCTATATATCCAACTATATACCCCATCCGTACGTCCGAGCAGCCCAACCAAGCCCAAACCCAAAGCCCAACATCCACACATCTCACACTCCCTCCGCGAGCCACGACTCCAATCTCGCACGTGGAAGCTGGGAAACGTGCCGGCGCGTCGAGGGGACGGCGCTGCGGGGTTCAGGATCCCCCGACGGCGGTGCACGAACGCTTTCGTTCGCAGGGGGGGGGAGGGCGCGCGACAGCCCGGGGTGCGGTGCGTTCGGCTCGGGCGGAGGCGGTGGAGTGCCCGTGTCGTCCGTCCTGGGAGTTCCCTGTAGGAAGAGGCGAGCAGCCCGGCGGCGGGTGCACGAATCCCGCCTCCGCAGATCGACGTTGGGGGCATAAAGCGACGGACAGAGGGGGGGGGGCAGCGAAAGGAGGTGCGAGCGCGGCAAAGCGAAAGCGGGCGGGTCGTCCTCGGTGGACACGCAGCCGGCATGGCGGGCTGCTTGGGAGGAGACACGCCGAGCTGGCAGGTGCGCTGATGGGGCGCGATGTCGCCATGTCGAGCAGGGCACTGTTACAAACGCACCCCGCCCCTACACGGCGGAGAAAGCCAGCGGTGCAGCTGAAGAGACGTCAGGGCACGACGGCATCCGAGGGTTGCACACACACGCGCGCGCGGGGGAGGCACGCCGCCGCGGCGAGTCGGTCTGCTAAGTTCTCGAGGACCAATCCTGGAGAACTCAAGGGACCGAACTCGCGCAGCCATGTCGGCGCAGTCCTGCCGAGTTGCGTCGTGCGTCTGCGGCAAGCGTGAGATGGGTGTCCAAGTCCAAGCAGGGGGGTGGAAGGAACAGAGAGAAGGAACGCACCGGACACCGTGGTATTATCGATATCGCGAGCACCAGAAATGGCCTTTTACCGCGCGCACGCACGCAGACAGAGGTAGCTTCCAGGTCAGCCGCGAGAACGAGGGCACGAGCCCTGCAGCGGGTATAAGATGCACCTTGATAGGTCGGTGCGGCACACCTCTACGTTGGCGGCAGGCTGCGAGGAGGCCCTCCAGGCAGGTTGGTCCCCCACTGTGTCGCCGACCGGTCCTACCGAGGGGCGCGAAACACCTCGCAGGGATCTTGACAGTGGCGACGAGCCCTTGGCCGGATGGACGGCCGCACGGGGAATATCGAGCCTGCCCTTGGCAAGAGACGCACGGCACTGCTCGTCTATGACGTCGACGATGACGAACGATGGCAACGGAGCGTTCGGGCGTGCAGCGTCGATGCGTAGATCGACTGTCGATCTTGAGCCAACGACATCACGATTAGGCGTCATGCAGAACCTCGACTCTTCCAGCCAATATAAGACGCAGCTGGAGGGTGCGGCACATCTCCACGGACGCGGAGAAGTGCGAGGTCCTCCCGTTCAAGTATACCAGGCAGGCAACGCGCGCGAGGTCATTGAGGCCTGGGATTCGGATCGAGCGGGTGAGGGGTGCTTGCCCAGCTGATCCATAATGCCCCGACAGCGCCGTCCCTACGAGACACTTACTCACACCGTGCTGTGCTCGAACCGGGCCCAGTTGCCAGTTGCCCTCGGCATCCAGCGCTCGTGCAGGGGTAGAGCGTGCAGAGCGCAGGGCACGGTGATGGGAGCGGGGAGGGGCGAGTGAGCTACCTAATAATAGCGACGAATAACGCGTTCGGTGACGTCGTTGAGCCTGCCCTCGCGTCTCTCCTTAACGTCGACGACGTCCGTGGGATGGCGTCTCTCTCCCTGACTCGATCCGATACCGGGCGAGGCGCGCAGGCGTCGTCCATGAGAACCCCCCTAACATCCCTCTCACACGAGCCCCTCCACCGCCCCAAGGTGAGCCCTCCATCTCTGCCTCGCCCCGCTATCCGTCCTTGACCTTCCCTCAGCACAATGACACACTTGAACGACCCCACCACCGCTGAACGCGCCCAGGAACACGCCTGGCACCGCGCCATCGCCAACCTGCAGGCAGACGTCGAGGCATACAAGTCCGCCGGGGACGCCGCCCAAAGAGCAGCAGCAGCGAGCACCGTCGCCCTCTCCCTCCGGCGCGCCGGCGCGCTGCACCCCGACCCCAGCGTGGCGCACAAGATGGCGGAGGACGCGGACGCGTTCGAGCGCGCGGACGCGGGCGAGAAGGAGCGCATGATGCACCCCCTGCTGACCGGCCTCGCCGTCCTGCTCGGCACCCCGTTCGCCCTCGTCGGCGCTGTGCTCGTCGCCGCGGGCGGCGTCGTCTACGGCGTCGCGAAGACCCTCGAGGGCGTCGGCAGGGGCCTCGCCGCGGGCCCCGAGTACCTGTACGCGCTCTGGGCGCGCTCGCGCGCCCCGCAGAGCTAGGCGGTGCGTGGGTTCGCGGCTCGGCACCTTCGTCGTCGCTCCAGCTGAGGGGATGCTACAAGAAGCGGGCTGCACGGTGTTCGGACCGCCGCTTCTTGCGGCATGCTCTTTCTCTTTGCGTGTAACTTTAGCGGAATCCCGGGTCTTGTATGATATTTGGGTTGGGTTTCATTGTGACCAGGCGTGCATTTCCGTTTTGTTGGGGGGGGGGGTAAGCGCTACCTTCGGGACGCAACACCCGACATCGATTATCTGGCAGGAGCTCTCACGCACACGCTTATCCTCCTCATCCTCCTCATCTACAGGTCCGTCCAAAGCCGCACCACGTCCGTCCCAACCACACCCCACCCCATCGCCCACCATCCAGCAAGGTGCTACCATCCAGCGTCGGATCGTGCATGCCCGCACCCTATCCCCCCTGCGAGCCCCCCCCGAACCGGTGCCTGTCGCGAATCGTTCCAACCGGCAGCCCCGGGCACCCGACACTTGCACTTGCACTTGGGTATAGTGACCCGTATAAGTCTGAAAGGAGTGCCTTTCAGGTTACGGCTCACTAACTGCTGCGTTCCCACAAGAAGGGGGGGCGGGGGACAAGCTCCTACAGTATATTATAACGTTAACGTTCGTTCATTTTGGGCACGGGCGGCGTGCGTGCCCGTACAGACCTCGCGCCCACCGGCCGGGCACGAAGAAGGAATAGGAGTACGCGTTACGCGCGCGTGGCGCCGCTCCCGCGCGCCAGCTGCGCTATATTCGCGGGGTCGCACCCTGTCCGCCCGTTCTCCTCTCCAACACGCACGCGCCCGCCCGCCGACCGCCAGGAACGCCGGGATCGCTACGGACCCCCCCCCCCCCCCCCCCCCCCCCCCCGTCGGCGCGTTCACGCTTGCAACTGGGGCCGACGATGGATCGGCAGGAGGGGGTGGCGGTGCGTTTTCCCCGCGTCCCACTACGACGCGGTTGGGTGCGCCGGTTTCTCAGGCTAGACGCGCGTCCTCGACCTCGTCCCCCCCCCGCCTTGGAGCTTCCTCCTCATCGGGCAGAGGCAGCCGACGCGAGACGCACAGCGTCGGTCGCCACGCTGCTACGCGCCCTACTATCTATGCCAGCGGGCGGGCGGCGGAGGCCCGTCCTCTCCGCGAACGCTCACGTTTGCTGGCTGGGAGCGATCCCGGTCGCGCATGTGCATGTGCATGTGCATATTCGGGTTCGGGTTCGGTTTTCACCGCGGCGGAGGGAATGCGGGAGGCCCCGCCGTCGGAGCCCCCCTTCTCGCGCGCGTGCGCTTCTCTTTCTCTTCTGGGCACCTTTCCTCCTCCTCCTCCTCCTCTTCCTCCTCCTCTTCCTCCTCCTCTTCCTCCTCCTCCTCCATCACCTCCCCGCGGCGCCGGGCACGACGCAAGTGTTCTTCGACATCTCGTACGGGCCACGTCGGCCGCCTTGCGCGTCGCGCGGGTCCCGCCGTCCAGACGTGCGCTCCCTCCTCAGGCTTACAAAGCTTCAAGGAGCCTCGCTATATACACCATTATTACCGCTATCACTATTATCATACGCGGTCCGCCGGCGAATTCGCCTTGGGCGCTTCCTCCCACCTCTCCTCTTCTCTCCTCTTAACTTCCCGTACGCTCCTCTTAACTTCCCGTACGCTCCTCTTAACTTCCCGTACGCTCGGAGTCTTGCCCCCGTCCCCCGTCGCGCCGCCGTCATGCGTCCCCAGATCCCCAACAAAACACGTCGCAGCGGCGAAAACGGTCGCCCCGCAGCTCCCTGCCGCCCGCCCCCCCCGCACGCGCTGAAGCGGCGCCCGCCCGGATCTGCCAACGGCGGGTTCCCCGTGCGCGACCGGTCGGTGCGCTGGCGCGGCTCGCGGTGGACTTGCACCCCTCCCCCCCTCTGTAAGACGTGATATCGATTTGATTGGCTTTGGCCACTGCGCGGACGTGCGGGATGGTACAGATGGGAGATGTACTGTAGTTCTGTAGGAGGCCGTGCTACTAACACGTCCGCAAGGCAAGAAACACACACAGAGAGAGAGCAAAAGAGAGAGAGAGCACCCGCGACGAAAACAAAAAGGCGGGCAGAGCGAACGCGGAAAACTCGCGGATTCGACACCGACCCACGCCGCGAAAAACCGACCGACGATGAATCACCTCTTCCCACAAAAAAAGGATATCTTAAAATCGGTGTGCGCACTCAACAATCGAGCCAGAAGTCGAGGCGCAGTCGCACAGAACCGGCGACGCGACGGGCGGTGCGTCCCAGACGAATATATGTGGGCGCGCACGACCACACCGATGCGCACACGACCAGCCGAAGCCGTCTCCGCCCTCCCCCAGACCCCCTTTCGCGCGACGTCTCGACCTCCAGGAACACTCCGTCGCGAAAACGCGCCACCGCCACAGGAGACGTCCAGCGGAGCCTCCGACCGACGTCCGCAGGTCCACAAAGTAAGCCTCCGATGCTGCGGTGCGGCTTGGGGGGGGGGGGGGGGGAGACGGCAGGGTCTTCCACGCCAGGCAGTCAGAGAATCGCGAGCCCAGGGCAATGTACCGCACCGAGTTGGGGGTGGGGAGGGAATACACCGGCCGCGCCAGCACTGTAAGGCCGAACCCCCGTTCAGCCTCAGGGCTTCGGCCGCGATGTGGCCATGCGGTGCATATTGCTGGTGGTGCAAGACACCCTCGCGAACGTCTTGAGGGGGGGAAACCTTTCCGAGTGCGACAAGCTTCGGAACAGGGACAGAGCACGTCGGCCTGCCGCGTTGACAAGCCCCGGCGGTATGTAATCGCTGAAAAGCGCGAAAAAGACGTCGGGTTCCCGCGAGGTACAGGGACAGATAGGGGCGCGGGTCTGCATGATGAATATATACTCAGTCCTGGAGAACGAAGACAGGTTGGAGGCAACGATACTTTGGTCTTGACAAACTCCGTTATGCGTTCCGGGCCGTCACAGTCCGAGGCTTGGAATTCAACGCAGGGATCCGGAACGTGAGGGGAAATCGGGGACTTCGTGCTCGAGCAGCCGAACTCGAAACACAGTTCAGTAATCGCGACAATTGAGTGCAGTTAGGTTAGGTTAGGTTAGTTAGGTTGTACTCGGATAGGACTAGCCCTCTACGTTTCGCAGCCGGTGCAACAGAGGGCAAAAACGCTCCATCGGGCATCGCCAGCAAAGGGCAGATGCTCAAGAAAATCTAAAACTACCAATCATGAACGCCGCAAACAATTTGCGACGACGCAGTTTTGCACAGTGGTCCACGAGTCAAGGAGACTCAAACGTGATCTCGGCGCAGTGTGAGATGAAAAATGCAGAAGGGTAGAATGTATACAATCAGTAGTAGCGACAATGAGTACGCACCGGGGATCGAGGAAGCACTTGGGCCGTGGGCACCACCGACGGCTTAATGGCGAGCCTATCACATCGTACTTCTCGCCCCGGCCGGGAATCGCGTGGTGTAAGCCGTGACAAATTGACGAATGCGGATCGAGAACGGGGGCCTGAGGGACGAATGATGGGCGAGATGGACAGGAGAGATGTCCATTCGAGCGTCTCGAGCATGAACCTGTCAGGCATCAAGCAGCATACAGTGCCGCGCTAGGGGAGAGGGAGAGAACGCACAGTCTTAGCGCCAGTGCAGTGCGAACGGCACAGGATGCGACCGCGAGGAACAGGGTGAAGCTGGAATAGTTGCCCGGAGAGAGACCATATTCTATTCATTACTGATCTTGTAAAACTGGCATATGGAGGAGCAGATAAGCCAGTGCCGAGGATGACTAGCCGGCCGTCGTCGGCCATGCGCTGTGAATGCGTGCGCTTGGACTGAGAGAACGCAGCGCAGGTGGGTGTCTGAAAATGTGGGCCGTCAGTATGGCAGCGGACGGACATGTTCGTCAATAAATGCTCGCTGCATTGGGAGATGCAGACTACGAATGATACCTATCAGACGGATCTACCTGGAGGATATGCAGGAGGCTCAAAGTCTGATCCCATTCAAACCATGCTAGAACGCGCAAGGACGAGCCATCAAAATAAATACAGCCACCGTAGCTAAGCCTTTGCCGGCGTAGGATACCTAATTCATAAAGACAATATTATCAGTCACTAACAAGGAACACGATTTTACACCCTTCTACCGGGCAGATCTTCCATCCAGTCCTCATCGGATTGTAACGACGAAATGAGGACACTCTCGTCGTCGGATGATGCGGGAGATGACTGACGCGATAGTAACCTCCCTTGCCGTATGGCAGTCCGGCCCCTCTCCACGAATGCCGATCGTAGCTCTTCCATAAGGTCTCGCTCCAACAAAGCCAAGACTTCCAGGGGGATCCCGAATCTTGGAGGAGCCCAGGGAACGACCTTGCCATGAGTGCCCGGTAACACGAAGCATTCCTGCATCGGCACAGGGAGATTTTTACCCAGCCAGTCGCAGCACCAACAGCATTGCTTGTTGACAACAATGACATTGTCGATGTCCTAGAACAAGTTAGTATACGTGCGACAATGCAAAATGACGGACCTGGAAAATAGCCGCTTGTGCGTGCACGTCAATACCAGATGGCGGAACAATTATAGAATTTGCGGCGGCCTTCACAGCCATCAGGACTGCTTCGCAGTGTACTGAGCCGTAGAAATGCTTGGTGCTATAAGGAATGGCTAACTGGAGCTTCTCCAATACGGACTCCTTCTCATTATCCGACGCCCCCGATTCCGGAGGGAAGACTCGCCGCATAACAGACGCCAGGAATTCCTCACTTATCACGTTTTCCACACTTTCCATATCTTCATCAGGATGTGGGGTGCGGATAACGGCGAACCACAGTGGCCGGCCGGTCGACAAAACACCACGAGATGTCAAGAAACGGACAGCAGAATGCCACGCCACGAGCGTACGGATGTATCTGAGGGGGAAGGGGTCCTCTTCGGGACTCAATACTTGTATTTCTATTCAGCGATCAGTACAGACGAGTCGTGAAAATGGTAGAGATGTTACAAGGTACCTTCGTATTCGTCCTGGTCTCTCAGATTGTCCTTCTTCTGCAACTCTGCCATGCTATGAGTGACGTAATAATGAGGAATAGTTGTTGACTTACTCAGTCGTTCGGTGTGCAAAAGTTGCGCAAGCGAAGGCAAGTTGAAGATTGCCTCGAATACTCGCGCAGATAGGAGCCTATCGATGTTGGTACTGATGTCCATCACCTTGTTCAACTCCCTCGTACTCAGTTCCCGACGGCACTCGGTGATCATGCTACCGATAGAGCTTAGAGGGCAGAGGACCTTGGACAAAAGTTCCGCGAGGACCCAAATCCAAGAGGCTGCCGTCTCAATATTAACGGCGTACATATCCCGATCCCCGCAACGAACCAGCGGGATATCAGATTGCTGCAGAATTATGCCAACCGACGAAGCCGGTATGAACTTCTCATCGAGTGTGTCTGAAAGCTCAGGTGTCCAAGACTTGAGAATCTCGAATAAATCCTTATCCCAGATTTTGCGCCTCATCTCGTAACGCTGCAGCATGCTCTTGCAGGACCTCCTGACGGCGAAGCGTGTGAAGGAAGTAACACATGCCACGAAAGAGGGATCACGTCGAGGAGGTATCTGCATGAGAGCGGAAATTGTATCGCCCACATGTTCTTTCAATGTAATGTCGACATCCGTTTTGCTAAAAAACGATGAGATCAAATCGCCTTGAGACTGGGTATCGAAACGTACTCGGAGCTTCCGAGATCGGCTAATCTCTTTTCGCTGGCTGGGATCCAATCTATGTCCAATGCTACCGTCAACTCCTCCTTTGCGACAGAGTTCTGCATCGCTGGGAGCATGCCGACAGAAATATCCGCGTTCTTGTCATCCTCGTCATGTTCACTGATCGCTACCACGGTGCCCTCCGAAGTGGATTTCCCCGTCACGGCGATAACCTTCGAACCATGCGCATCGTCCTCAGTACCACGAGTAAGCAGAGTGGCAATGTTGTGATATGTCTTTGCGTGTCCAGCCTGTCGGCCTGCAATGCTCTGCGGCGCACCGAGGTGAGCCTTGACTTCCTTGAGTACTGTCGTGAGCGTCTTGATTCGCCGCACAAGGCGGTCGTATTCTCGAGAATCCACCGCATGGCCTACAGACATGTTGAGCTTGTTGACTGCCAGAGTCGGGCTGAGTAGAGAATCTCAAGATGATCGAATGGAGGGAACCTAGGACAAACATGTACAAATAATTTGCCCCGCGAGACGCGAACGAACTAGCAGTCCGCGGCCTCTACCATCGTCCTAGGGCCACCGCAAGTGCTATACGATCTATCCCTGGAGCGGCGCTTCTGGGGTCTCGGAAGTATGCTTATTTTCGTACTCGAAAAGGTTCGAAAGGCCGCCAGCTGGTGCTTGCTTGGTGACGCTGTACCGACACTGTTAGAAATCGCGCCTTAGTTCCCAAATAGGAAGGTAGTGATGGCGGGTCAAGATGCGTTGGGGCGCGTGATTACGCGTCCTAAAATAGATTTCTGTATATATACAGTTCTAGACGCTCCACTTTATATAAGCAAATTTCCTTCTTTGTCTTTCTTTGTAATCATGCTCTCGGCTTGTCTGCCCTTGGGCGCTCCCCAATTTCTGGAGCTCCAGAAATTTGGACGCTACTTTCCAACACTCCCCCTCAAGCCGATGGGCATTCCGAGCTTCTTTGTGAGCTTCTCGTGCCTCGGCTTAGAGAGTGACTTTGTTAGGATATCCGCTATCATGTCCTCCGTGGGACAGTAGTGGATATCAATATATTTATCCCTCAATTTTTCGCGCACATAATGATGCTTTACATCAAAATGTTTCGATTTCGCGTGAAATTGGGGATCACGTGCGATTGAGATCGCCGCTGTATTATCCTCGAATAAAATTGTAGGATCTTGTTGCTCGAAACCTATTTCTTTGAATAGTGTTCAGAGCCACACGACTTCTTTTGCCGCTTCGGCGGATGCCATGTATTCGGCTTCCGTGGTGGATGATGCAACTGTGGTTTGCTTCTTTGAGCTCCACGTGATCGTGCCATTTCCTAATTTAAATAAATATCCCGAGATTGATTTGCGATCTCGGATATCATTCGCATAGTCTGCATCTGAGTAGCCCACAAATATGGATTGATCTTCGGGCTTGACATCTGAAATTGGCCCGTAGATTATTCCAAGTTCTCGCATTTCAGATAGATAGCGGAGGACGCGTTTAGCAGCAGTCCAATGAGCCATTCCGGGATTGGCAGTAAATGAGCTAAGCCGTTGCACGGCGTGAGCAATGTCTGGTCTCGTGGCAATTGCCGCGTACATCAGTGATCCGACGAGCGATGCATATCCGTTGTCTCGGTCGCATTCGTCATCAGTTTCGGGTTCTTCTTTTTCAAGCACTGTATTTGGATCAAGAGGCATCCCGACCGTGTTGGCGTTTGTAAGCCCATTCTTGTGTAGGATAGACTCAATATATTTTGTCTGAGAGATTTTGATTGTCCGCTTTGAACGGTCTCTCACAATTTCTATCCCCACAATTTTTCGGGGTTCGCCAAGGTCGGTAACTTCGAACATATTTCGGAGTTCCCTCTTCAATTGGTCCATCAGTGCGCAATCATTGGTGAATATTAATAGGTCGTCCACCCAAATGGTGATGATTTCTATCTTATCACCTTTGATCTGAATGTACGCACATGGATCCGAGAATAGGTGCTTGAATCCCGCGTCTAGTAACTTGCGGTTCAGCATGATATTCCATTCTCGGCCAGACTGCTTTAGCCCATAGAGGGTTTTCTTTAATTTACATATGCGGTATGTTCCATCGCTGTATCCTTCGGGTTGCCGCATATACACTTCTTCTTTGAGAGTTCCATTAAGATAGGCGCCTTTCACGTCCATCTGTCCGATCTCCCAATCTAAGATTGCGGCTAGCCCGAGGATAGCTCGAATGGTTTCGAGGCGAACTATGGGCACGAACGTCTCAGTATAGTCCATGCCTGGGATTTGAGAATATCCCTTCACAATCAGGCGGGCTTTGTATTTGATTATTTCACCCTCTTTGTTTGTTTTCTTAACTAGAACCCATTTATTTCCTACGGGTTTTCGATCTTCGGGAGGTTCCACTAACTCCCAAGTCTCCATACCCTGTAGTTGATTGAGTTCCGTCTGGACTGCCTGTTCCTATTTGGGCCACTCGAGTGATCTCTTGGCATCACTGAGCGTCTTTGGCTCGTCCGCATCCGCATTTCCATGGGCGCTCATCGCAATATAGACTAATTCGGCATTTGATTTATCTGGATCATTATCCAGATCTTCGTCTGCCTCTGGGTCGTGCATTAGATGGTAATCATGCTGAACTGTCTTTCTTCTGGTTCGTCTGGGCTGGCTTGGTGCGTCCGTCCCACTTTTCTCGCGTTGATCAGGATCATCGTCCTATCTGCGCTTTCGCAGATTTTTGGCAGGTGACTGTGGCACGGAAGTTCCTAACTCCCCCTCGCGCCGCACGTCTGCGGTCATTGTGAGGTTTGGGACTTCGGGTCTCCTTTCCGCATGCAGCACGTCTGACGCATTGCTAGGTAAAGTGCCCGGAAACATATTTTGCTCCCCCTCACGCTGTGCTGTGAGGATAGGTACGTCAGATCCTATTTGCTCTTGTGGCACGTGAGGCATGTTGTCGGGCAAATGGTCCGGGAAATTCGAAGAAAATTGGAAATTATGTGAGATTTTAATCTGGCGCATGTGCGCATCATAATATTTGATGGCTTTGGGTTCGTCCATGTATCCAACAAAAATATACTTGTTGGCACGGGGCACTAGCTTTGATAGTGTTGCGTCTTCCGTGAGAACCCATACGGGGGAACCGAATTCTTGTAGGTACGAGATATTTGGTTTCGTCCCATTCCATTTTTCTTCAGGAGTTGCCCCATTTAACGCCTGGGTAGGCGATCTATTTTTAATATAGACTGCGTGAGCAATCACTTCAGCCCAAAGATAACGAGGTAGATCTCTCGCATAGATCATCGTGCACGCTAGTCCAAGCAGTGTGCGATTTAATCTCTCAGAGACTCCATTCTGGGATGGTGAGTACAGCGCAGTCGGACCCATCTCAATCCCTTTCATTTGACACCAGTTAATTAATTCGGTGTTCATATATTCTCGACCGTTGTCGAGCCTGAGTCGCAAGGGTTTATTTCCAAACTTGTGCTCGATATAGGTAATATAATTCTTTACCTTTTCTGTTACTTCATCTTTATGCCTCATAAATAGTACTGTACTTCGACGACTGTAATCATCGGTAAATGTAATAAAATATTTCCACCCTTGTAGAGCGGCTGTCTGCGCAGGTCCCCACACATCCGTGTGTGTTAATTCTCTGGGTACCTTGCTGCATTCGTCCGTCTCTTTGGGAAATGGCTTCCGCGTCGCCTTTGCTTGGATGCACGCCTCACAATTAATTTCATCTGGGCTTGGCGAGATTTCTAGGCCATCAACAAGCCCTTCGCGATATAATCGCATAAGCGCTGGTTTCCCGATATGGCCATAGATTTTGTGCCACTCTTCCCAGGTATGCGGGCCGTATTCCTTAGCAGTATAGGTTCACGCAGGTTGCGGAACTATTGGACGCAATTTCAATGAATATAGTCGTCCATTTTTCTTGCCTATAGCAAGAGTGTGTTTATTTTTATCTATTAGTATTGTGTGACTATTACCCATAAGTACTCTTCCTCCCGCATTGTCCAAACGCGTGATGGAGAGGAGGCTATTGGGTGCTGTCAGCGCATACAGTACACCGTGGAGACGGAATTTCACTTTCTGGTCTCCTACTTCACTTTCGACATCGATCGTACTGCGGCCCAATGCCTGCATTGGTTGCGGTCCGATGCCCGTGATCGCGTGATCTTCGAGTGCCTGATAGGTCGCGAAGACTTCACGACGATTTGTAATGTGCGAAGTTGTCCCGGAGTCGGCAAACCACTCATAGAAAGAAGCGATTTTGCCATCAGATCCGAGAGATACAGTGTCACTATCATTATCGTAAGCTATTTTTGCCTCATCCTCTTTCGATTTGACCTCGCGCGCTTCATAAGCACGTTCCATCTTTTGCCGTTTTATCGGCGGGCCCTGTCCGGCTTTGCCGCCGCCTTTAGCCCAACAATCCGCGGCCTTATGCCCAAATTTTCCGCAATTCATACATTTGACCTTGTCGCGGTGCTGACACTCGTTACCAAAATGTCCCGGCTTTCCGCAGATCGAACATTTTTTGTATTCCCCAAAGGGGCGCTTCTTTCCTTTGGCAACCATGGCTTGGTCCGAGGATTGACTGCGCTCGCCACGCTCGTGCCTTCGCCTATTTTCATCAAGAATGATGGCAATCAATTCTTGTGATGTAAGCTGAGGGCACACGTTGTCAGCACCTTCAGCGCCAACATTGCCGCCCACGGCGCCAAAGTAAGAGCTGAGGAAAGAGTCCCAGCTCTCCGGTAATGAGGTAGCCAGAATGAGCCGGAAATTCTTGTCAGAAACAACCTTCCCCATTAGGTGGAGTTGTTCCTGGATCTGTCGTAGCTGTGTAATGTGACTGGAGATATTATCTTCTTCCTTGGCTTGCATCCGGTAAAAACGCTGGCACAGCGCGAGAATTCCATGCTGTCCACGCTGTTCCTTGACTGTGCGAAGCTGCTCCCACATGGCCCGTGCCGTCTCGGCTCCAGCGATGTGCACCATCTGGGAATCTCCCAGTGATAGCACAATTACGTTCTGGGCCTTGAGGTCCTTCTCTCCTCAGGCGCTAATCTCCGCCTCTCTCGCTGCCCTATTGGCCGGGTCATTACTCGGCTGCAGCTTCGGTGTCTTTCCGGTCACATACTCCTGGAGACCCTTATCATTAAGGATGGCCTCGATGCGGCGCTTCCACGGGAGCCAATTGTCTTCCTTCAGGAGCGGGATCCGGTAAGCATTGCTATCGCTCGTAATCAGCTGGTCGACATTATTTGTTCTCGTACTAGTAAGGGGGTAACAATTTTTGTAGCCACAATAAGGGCTGTTGTTATCCAAGTATTTATTGGCTAGAGCCGGGGCTCATAACCTGTTAGAAATCGCGCCTTAGTTCCCAAATAGGAAGGTAGTGATGGCGGGTCAAGATGCGTTGGGGCTGGGGCGTGTGATTACACGTCCTAAAATAGATTTCTGTATATATACAGTTCTAGACGCTCCACTTTATATAAGCAAATTTCCTTCTTTGTCTTTCTTTGTAATCATGCCCTCGGCTTGTCTGCCCTTGGGCGCTCCCCAATTTCTGGAGCTCCAGAAATTTGGGCGCTACTTTCCAACAGACACAGATAAGATTCAAGCAGAGTGTCTGGGGAGGCTAGCTGTGCCATAAACATCATGGTTAGCAGTCCGCAGATCCGAACATTTTTCCGGACGAAGCTACTTACGAATTTCGTTGCCGTTGATCCTCTCTAGCGCGATCGTCGTGCTCGACTGCGCACTTGCTTTGCTCAAGGCCATCACATCCACACGGCTTACATCTTTCAGCTACAAAGATTATCAGGGTCATAGCTGGAACAAGTACACTGATTTATTCACTGAGTTGGCAGTTAGGCAAGTAGTGTGGGAGTTGCAGCGAGCGCGGCTGGATGGTCAACGAGAGCGGAGCGCTTCATAGGAGTCGTTCGGCGAAGAGAAGGCTGTCCCGAAGAACTACCGGGTCCATATGTTCGTGGAGGGTGCATGTTGTATGTATCTATACATTTGTCTGGGATGCGCCGTCATCAGTTCTATGTAGATCTCTTTGCTAGATATTTTTCACTTATCTGTGGTGCACGTATCGAGAAAAGAAAAGTAAACAAGTTTGTCCGTCAGGGTCACAGCACGACTGGTACACCTGAGCTATGCTACAAATTTCACTGGAAGCGCGTCGCGACAGAGATTACGTGCTCTATACATCCCGCAGGCCATTCACCATTTTGTTCCGGAGGTTGACTCTAGTACGATGTTAGAAATTGCTACGGTGATGGCGACGATGGTGCATTTTCACTGGAAAAGTTGAGCGCCTGCGGTGGTGAAGCGATCGCTTGCTGATCGTCAGGACGCAAAATACGAAGCCTCCAGCCACAGTGGAGACGTGTGCGCCAGAGAGGCACTAGGGCCAAACTCGGACTCCAAGCCGCAGCGTCGTTGCAGCATCATAAGAGTAACATCGTGTGGGAAGACGTGAATTGGAACGCTAGGATATCGGCTCTCCAGTCAGAGAATCATTGAAAGAGCATTGAAAGCACGGTGCGGTGCACAACTGGTGGGGAAAGGGCTGAGTGTGAGCACGGAATGCAGCGGAAAAAACATGGCTAATTCACATCATGTATCTGGTCCTTTGACCGAACAGTAGATCCACAAGAAATGAAACGGAAAGGAAATTCTGGGGTGACTGTCTAGTAGTAAAAGTGCTTCATAGATATTTATTCCAGAATTGATGAGGAGACTTGAAACCGGGTTATTGTTGTAAGTATCCAAACAATTAGACGAGCGTTGCAGTCTTTTCTAGCAGCAGATTACACCGCCGAGCATCTTTTTGATGACATAGCAGCAACGCAAAAACCTGAGCGATGGCTAGGCTTGGAAATCAAAAACGGACACTGACCTAGATGACTCTTCAACCACAAAACATCCCGGATCATGGCTCAAGCCCGAGCGTTCCGCCGAGCAGCCTGCAAGGCTTTCTGCCAGTCTCCCTCCGAGTACGATTCCACCTCGACCTCAGTAAAAAGTGTGTCGAGGAACTCAGCGACTCTTGGTGGGTCCGCAATGTCTATCTCGAGGGGCATCGCCACTTCCGGCGGGCCCGCGATAGAGAGGAGCTCAAGCGCGTGCACTGAGATAGGGAGACGGCGACTGGTCTCGGACAGACGGAGGGCATCCGACGGTTCGAGAAGGGAAGCGAGGAGGAGGAGGACATCGCCGTTGACGGATACCAGACTCACAGTGCTGTCCAGATGTCCAAGCCGCCCGCTGTGGTTACAGCTCAAGGTGCACGCTTGTGAAACTTGCCTTGTATGGCATCCGAACTTCCCTTCTCGGGCGGCTGATCTGCTCAACCGTCACTACCGGCTGTGCTCACACCCACCTAGTTCCCTGGAATTCTCATCTGTATATACCGCGCAACTCGCACGAACCAATGGCGGGTACTACTACTTGTACATTCATTGGGCCGAGGCTATTGCCGTGTCAGGTCCGTACTCCTTTGTTCAGAAAATATCACCGCCGTACGACGTGGCACTGTCGCCTGCTTGTATCTACTGCCTCCGCTGAATAGAGATATTATTACAGAGGGGATTTTTTTGTCCTTGATCATATCTATGAGATGGTACACTGGTAACTTCTCTGGACTTCATGCTCGCAGTGCGTTCACCATCCTGACCCTTAGGCTCTGAGCCCGACGCTCCCATTAACTTGCTACACATGTGCATTCAGATGTCAAAGCTGTTTGAGTTATGCTGGAGAAAGAACAGTGTACAATTTCACCGTGTCTGAACGACGACGCCCTCTTGGCAATCATTTCCCATCTCTACGCATGATACACTCTTGCTATCCGCAACTACTCGCGCTGCATAGTTTGGCCGTTTTGCCATGCTCTTTCCTCGGTGATGATCCACTTCTGAAATGCTGTCCATTTCAAGGCGTTTTGCAGGTATGTTCTCTCCGATATCCGATCGGTTGCACTGCGCGCCAGATCTTGAGGTCAGCGAGGAAGCATGCAGGCTCAAAACACGGCACGCTGTACGTAACACTTCCGGCTCTGCTGGCAGATATTCTAGAGAAGACCCGGTTGGGCCATCTGCAGGTGTCAGTTTTGTATCTGCCGGTGATGATAATTGGTGGGGAACCGTGAATCCAGGCTACTATCTATACCTTTCTCCGTCCGGTAGAAATTGAAATGCAGGTCTCGGGTTCACTTGATGATGTGCTAGCTGGGCTATCCCATTTCGACAGGTCGAGATAGTAGAGTTGTCCGGCGGTGAGTGTGGATTCCTCGAGTTTGGTTTCCGCATTTTGTCCTTTCATGCGCTGTCTTATTTTGAACATGAAGGTGAATCTGGCGCTGTTTTTTTTTCTATTCGTTTCCTAATATACGAAGATTCTACTTGTGCAATTTCTGGGACAGGTCTCCGAGATTTTCAGATTATTCCAGATTAAGTATTCCAGAATTAGAAACACATGGACTATACGACTCTCCAGCAATGGTGGCTCACTTGTCCTGTCCATTGGCTGGAGCTCCGCAATTGCAAGTTAGATATCTATCTCCAGCTTCACAAGTCCGAAGAGGTGTTTGTTATAATGAACGTCTCCCGCCGTACTGTATCTGTGCCGTCGACGAATATCAGGAGTCCAGGTGCCACAAGGCTCAATATCTGAAAACTGTACCATAATTCGTTACGGATACTTTGTTATATATGATTGTACACAAGAGACGCTGGCACTTAAGCTTCACCTTTCTTTGTGGCCGCACTTCGTGCACCCATGGCCACAGGTTCTTTTCAACATTCTGTATAGTTCCAAAGCGCCGGCGCTTTTGTGGTCGCCTTGGCGTGTGCTTCCCGGACCAATATTCTGATATAGGTTGGCACTGATAGTACTGCTATACGACCTGCAATGTCACCAGAACACCATAGCCTCGCCACCGACAGAAACCCACGGTCCAGCCCCAATTCTCTTACCGACTACCACAATGCCAATACCATGTCGAATATAGTGTCCCCGAGACGTACTCGAGCGCGGAAAGGCGGTTCCCCGCGGAACAGCGTAGCTTGCAATGAAGCCGCATCATCGAAACACACTCATTTCTCGTCCAAGGGCCACCAGCCAATTGTTGAACCGTGTGCGCCGACGCACCATCACGCTTACACCTGTCTTGGGGGCCACGGAAGCCTCGAAATCCTCGCGGAGGCCGCATGCGGAATTGCATCTCTGGTTAACTGTCGTATCACACCATCTGCCTCTCCTCAGCTGTCTACCGTCAGGGACACAGATTCGGTGGAAACGATCAACTGCCGCAGGAAAACGCCACCCGGAGCGTATAACATCCGTAGGCGACACAGCGCGGCAGAGGACCTCGAACATTCTGCGGGCCAACGAGGAGTCTTCGAACAACTACGCTGTCTCGAGGTGGAGATGCCGACTGAATCTCAAGCTGACGCAAGTTCCAGAACATCGTTGTGGGTAGAAGAACTTCGAAAGTATAGACGTCGCCGGAAGGCCACCAATACTTGACTGTTTCGAGATCAAAGGGTTGAGGGCCTCGACCGACTTCACTTCTTTGATTATCTTCTCTGGTCGTAGGATGGGTGCAAAAAGTCTTTACATAAGATCAACATTTACATTCTATAAGCAGGACACTTACAAAACCACACATATGGTCCTGAAAACTCATTGAAGTACGAGTATATTGCCAAAGCGACCACCATATCCTCAAGCACGCAGTTTCAGTGCCGTTCAAACAGTGCGCATCTGCGCTTGGCACTGTGGCATACCAATCCAATTTGTGAAGGTATACACGCACCTCATGTTCTCCTGTAGACCGAGCGCTCGCTGATCATCCGCACGGGCCTCTGTGTAGTGCATAAAGTTAGCATTGCGAACGTCACAGACACAAATACTGCACACGCTAATCGTGTGGTCACAATGTAGTACGATGGACGGGCAAAATCGTGCAGGAACTGGTCACCATGATAATCTATATCTCACAGGATGGCACCTTACGCACAATAATGACGGCACATCTCAAAAGTGCGAAGTTACATACCTTGAACAGCTGATCGAAAATCGCAGTTTTAGTGATAATTGGGAATGCAGAAACAAAGCCGCAAAGTACTGCGTACCTTACATACATACTCTGACTCATTTGCATACCGTCCATGGCCAGCGCGGGTAGACTTATTGCCTCAGCGTCCCGGGTGTTTGCTGACGCCACCACGTAATATGGGCTGAAGACCGCAAAGAAATCTAGAGGGCACATGGACTGATAACTTGAAGAAATAACTCAAAATATGCATTGCAGCGGTAGCATCTTGGCCTTAGCATATACTTAGATACTTGTCGACAAGCACGTCGTCAGAGTCGAGTAGAAAACTTCAAGGTTGAACGTGCGCTTAAGGACACGAGGCTCTCGCCTCCGATCGCTTAACTTCTTCGGGAGAAGCCTCTGCAAATTCGAGCGCTCGCGACTTTATTCTAGATTGCTCGATTGTAAATTATGTACTGCCGTACGGTAGTACATAATTTACAATCGAGCAATCAATAAAGTCGCGCGTCGTGAATGTTGTAAATATCCTCCTTTACACCACGAATTCCTTTTTAAATGGAAGGCTGAAAAGTCGCTAATTGCTCGTACCGCCAAGGAATGTAAAATGTATCGCAGCGCGTGTGAGCAACAAACCCGACCTATGGAGGCTACAACCTCCACAAAGATGAGTGAAAAGACCACATCAATAGCTATGATATCGCCACATAAGGCTTCCGGAGCCGGTTGCGCCATTTGGCGCAGCGCCAACTGTTCTCAAAGTTCGACCGTTCCGCCGCGATCTGGCTCAGCTATTCGCAGTCGTACTCTGGCCTCAACTGCGAACGGCTCCGTCGTGAACCTTCGCATACAGTTTCCCGAAGTCCGGTCCCAAAGATGAGCATATCCCACCCCAAGTGGTCCTGGGTTGTTCCTACCCGGGGAGGCGATTATACGGGTTTGATATCATTTTTGAGATGCTCGGTAGGATCTGGGAGTGTGACACTGGGTAGTGTTTATGCAGGATGATTGGCAGCTGCAATGTCTCATCCAGGTTATAGGGAGTGGCCACAGAAGAGGACGAGGCGTATGATGACAATGACGAGGATGAAGACAAAGGGGGCAATGAGGGCAAGAAAGGTACTGTTGCTCCGGCATGAACAGACCAGTCCACTTCCTTTCTCAGTACTCCAAACGCAGGCGAGACGGGACTCGCCTGGACAGGGAAGAAGGGGATGAAGGCGGGAGCAGGGGCAACCACGCGGCGAACGGCATGGGCTCGGCGACGGACGAGGTTCCGAGGGATCTGTGGAAGTGGAGGGAGGATGCGTTCGTTGTTAATGACGCATCGCTTCATCACCTCGTCGTAGTGGACCAGCAAGTGTTCTTCCTGAATGCCGACCTCAAAGTCAATTGCCTTGAGGAACTTGCGCTCCGCCCATCTAATTTCGGCCCTCGACATTGCCGACCACACCTTCCAATACTTCAAGTAATATGAGCTCTCCGTCATGTACTATAAGCCGGAACTGGTATAAGATGCATGCAGAGCAGAACAAACACTTATTTGCGTACCTTTGTGGCTAGAAACAAAGCGGCTAAGAAAACTTGTTCGCAGCTCAACTGCGGGACATCCGCAACTGAACTGTGGCTCCACCTGTCTACATATACCAGTGCGACCAACACGGCCGCAGTGTTCACGCGGGAGGCCACGACCAGACGCTTGACAAAGTCAAACAAGGCCGCAGTCTTGAGTGCGTCTTCTGTAGGCTGTGCTATAGAATGATACTGAGATGGGGCCGCGGACCAGACAAGGGATGCCTTGACTAGATAATCGACAATGTAACCTGTAAAGCAAAGGAAGGTTAGAAGAGACGAAACATGTCGTAGCCGAAATGTGCTGCAGACCGAAAAAGTCCCAATGGAGCGGGACCGCTAGCAAGGACACCAGTCTGCGGTCGTGCAATTCTGGATCCACTCTGCGTGTTCGATCCTCAACGGTGGCCACGCATCGGTTGATGGTCCGTCGCGCAGGAGTGCCAGGTTTCGCGGAGGACGAGTACAGCGCAGGGTAGTGCTGCGTTGATATTTTGATATCGGGAAACACCATGTTAGTACGATGACGATTCGGAGTTGTGGAGCGATGGAAGGATGGTGGATGAGGGTATGATGAAAGCGTTGAGGTGCACGCTTTAATATACCGCCAACACCTTATGTCAGCACCGCGACGCACTTGTGGCTACAGACATCGCCCGGACAAAGGAAATGCCCATTTGGAGCGTGGGCAAAAGAGGACTTTTGGAAATGCATTGTTTACGGGACCATCACCGATAATGAAGCCCACATTCGGGCCTTGTTCCCACTCCGATTCCACCAAGGAAACGACTGGAAGTATACCAGCTGGGTTCACTAGGATACATGCATGCTCAACCTCGTGTCCGGCCGGCTGTGAATAACAGAGCACATACCTGACAAACCAATAATGCAATTGTAATAGAATCCTGAGTGCAACGCCAGTCAAGCATTGATGAAGCAAAGTATGAAGCCACCCATTTGCTTTTCTTTCTTCGACTATAGAGCGGCCAAATGACTGCAAATAGAATTCTCGCAATCGCGAAGGAGCGCTTCCACAAAAAAATACACATTGTCGAAGATCTGCATCTCGCAATTCATCACAATACACATGCATCATTCGGCATGGTCGAATCTATGCTGAGCAGCGGCACCTGCAAATACCACGACAAGCATTGAGTCTCACCTGTGCTATAAGGTCCTCGAAGTAACCGCAGGCCAGGTATAAAACGCGAGCGCGGCGAGGGTATTCGCCGCTATGAAGTGTCATAGGCGTAACGAAAATGACTTGAAAAATGACGACTTCAAATGAAGGAGAGATGTACTGCTTTAATGCGATGAAATGCAAACTAATTGCATCACCGGTTAGTACGTACCTTTTGAGAATGGAAAAGTGGAGCAATCACGAACGTACGGAGAAGTCAGGAATAATTACTGGCCTGTAAGCATGGCACAAATTAGGATTCCTGCACAGGCGGGGCGAGGATATGATGGGGCGCGCCACCTCTTCGCGTACCCAATTTATCCGCGAGTTGTCATGAGCGGACCAAAACCGTTACGGTTGTCAGACTTGCAGCGGCGAGTGTGTACATACATGCGATCGACTACGTTCTGCTCGGGACGGAAGTAGTGAGACTAAGAGACGCGACTACGTATGTGCCTCCACACGTACCTTTAATATGTCAGAAATTTGCCAATGTTCTTCGTCTACAGACTTGCCTCTGCAATACGTAGAGAGGTCGACATTACACAGCGAATATAGACGAGATCAAGCGTGTGTAGCCGAATGCATCTCCGCTTGTTAACCTCTAGCGTCAGATAACCTCGTTGCTGGTTGTTCAGGCTTAGTAGGGGATCATCCAGCTACTGCAAAGAATATAGACTTCACGGAGCCGTGTTCGCTATCAAGACCCATCATCAGGCTGGTATCCCGCAGGAAGAACCCGTAGCAGCTACATACCTCCGCCATACCGTCGCTGCCAATGATGCTCTTGAACGAAAGTGCGACAGTTTTAACCAACGGGAACAAGGACAGACATTATGTCGCCGGACACTGGCAGAAACGCATTACAGTACCGACAGCAGCTTGTGTTCCAATGCTACCTAGAGTAGGCTCGTTAAGTAGAGGAATATGCGTTGTCACAGGGTGAGGCTTGGGTAAGGGGGGCTTGATGCGAAGTAAAGGCGGGCCGGTGCGCCCGGTACAAGCCCACCAGTGAACACGCGAACAAAGAATATATATTCTGTGCTAGAAAATTCATTTGGTAAACAGGATCTTCCTCTGCGTCGCCAAATATTAAGTCTGGTCCTCCAACTGTACATGTCGGACATGAGCTACATCCTTGTTCCGCTTTGCGATGAATCGCAGTCCACCTTTTCATGTGCAACACTTAGCCCTCTGAGGGTATTCCATCAAACCGCCTCCATGAAGGTAGAGGGCTCCGACTCGATCAAGCATTCTACAAGCGTTACCACAGACGTACGGTCAAACTGTCAATGTGTATCCCGCGAATAAGAGCGAATTCCAGAAGATATCGTATCCAGCGAGGCTGTCGTTCCGTCGTCTGAATATCTGGCAAGGTCTGCTTAACAGAGTTAGTCTGGCAGAAGAATATAATTGGTTTCAAAGCTCCCCTCTCCACTGGCAGTGGCTTAGAATTCGAGCGAGCCTCCAAATTGAGGTTCCTGCCAGGCGCAGTGCAATTGTTCTCGCTACTGGTGGTGGCATATCAGTCGCAGATTAAACAACGACGGTCTCAGACGATATTGAGCATTCAGATTGAATGATGTCGAGCTCGTGGAGAAGGATGGTGATCATGAGTTGGAGGGCTGCCGGCGCACTGCGGCCAGAAACGCGATTGTGACATATCATGTGACTTATGTCAGGCAGATGTAACACTCTACCGTGACTTGATGGCCGCACGACTTGCACTTGGCACTGTGTGCACGTCGCTGTCGCTCGTTTCCTCGTTTGAACAACCTCTCCTTGTCCGCCACTTTCCTTCCGAGCCAGGTCTTACGACAAAATTCCTCGGTGGCCTATATTCATCGAGAATGCCAGATATGGACGTGCCTGACGAGACTATAGTAGGCGACCTGCATGCGCAGAAGGAGACCTGGACAATGGAGGTAATGGGGAAGCCAGAAGTTGTGGATACTTCTGATTATGATGAGGCTGAGGCTCTTTATGCCGCCTCTCCAGGATATTGGGCCGACTTCGTGGGTGTACCTGGTAGGACAGTGGATCAGCAGCTGCTTCTTCCTTCCCCTGGACCATCTCAAGCATTATCGACTAGTGATACGGAAGGTCCACCTTTGAAGCGAATTAAGGTAAGCTCTGAGGAATATCAGTTGATTGGCGCTTATTCGACCGTGTATTCTTTAGCTCTCGCTTCCAGCAGATGCATCGAATGTTGCACCAGTATCTCCGGCACATTCAGCATTTTACTCAACTGTAGCCTTATTTACTGGCGCAGAGACAGATGAGGTTCCTTCCAGCACGTCATCAGAAATTCGGAAGCGCACTCACAGTTTCGCGTCGCTACTTACGTTGACGGCTCGCGTTCCTTCAAGCGACACTGAACACCAGCAAGCACGAAGCCCACCTCCTACACTGATCACGCGTTCCTCATCTCCGCGACTTCTGCTTCATTCATATATGCCAACCACGTCAGCTACTGTTGCACACTCACTGGTCGGGACGCCTTCACATCCAGTGATGCCCGACACGCCTGAAAAGCTACCCTTCTTTTCTTCTCCACGTTCTTCTCCGCAAGGTTCTCTTCCAGTACTAGCCAATTATCCCTCGCACAGTCAATCCTCGCGGTTCACACCTGTCTCGCCTCCTCCTTCGCATGCCTCGGCTCCCGCTTCGATTCGGAGCCCATCTCCTGAGTCCAGTGTGCTCCTACCCACACCAGAACCTCTGAAGCAAGATGACGAGGATCCACTGGTTGCAACTGGTTACCACGTCGATTGCTGCCAAGACGTGAAGTGGTTTCATGACGGTCCTTCGGGGAGTCTAGTCAAAGGCGATTCTGGCTCAGTCAATACATTCACTCAAGTCGGCCTCCACAACTTCCAGACATCCCCACACGCTTCGCAACCCTCCATCTTTCGGTCACCCTCTGCGTCGTTAGACCCACTATCTCTGTTCGTGCCGATGAAGACGAAGCTTTCTCTGCCTATAGGGACTCCTGCGCCCTCAACACCTCCCGCTCAGGAGCCAATCTTTTTACCGTCATCCCCCCTCACTCCACCATCCTCTCTCGCGGAGCTCTCCGAGAGGCACACCCCACCACACACATCACCTCATCTCGTGTCCGCGCATTCCTCGCCTGCCCTTCCGCCTCCTCAAGAGAGTATTGTGGACAAGGAAGCGGAGCACTTGCAGGCCGAAGAAAACACTCGTGCGCACGGCAGGTACTCCCTTCGCACGCGCCAAGCGAAGCAGGTGAAACCGTACGCGTTCGACAACCTGCAGTACAAGCGCCAGATGCGCGAAATCCCTGATGCAATCGTGAAGATCGTGAGCCCACCGAGGGAGCGTCGGTGGCGTGCCTCGCATACGGGATCAGGCGACAAGGACGGCGATGGTGACGGCGATGGTGAAGGAGAGAGTCAGTATGTGTATGAAGAGGGAGCCGATGAAATGGACAGGTCGTGGAGAGCGCGCAGGCGGAAGGAGAAGTCGCGAAGTTTGAGTGTCCATGTCCAGAAGGATGCTAGCGACGGGGGATCGGACATGGAGGAGCGGAGACGCAGAGGCTGGGGTTCTGATCCTAGCACCCTCTCACGCCATGCAAGTAGTCCGGATGGGGCGCAGAAGCACAATCATTGGTACCCAGAGGCGTTCAATGAGACGTTCAGCAGCAGCGAGGATGACCATGATACGCACTCACAACAATCAGTCCGTCGGAGGAGGAAAACAAAGACTGCATCTAACATTGTCGTTCGAACCCACAACCTGAAGCAATCCCCTACGAAGAAGAAAGACTTCGAAGGAAGCTCTCCAGAACCACAGTATTCTCCAGTTGAGTCCATTTCAGTTTCACACAAAGGCTGTTCACCTCTGATCCGATGTTGAACAGCACACGCCTTCATCACCTGGTGTTATTAAGCTAGATTTGAATGGAGAACTTGACCAGCCTATCTCCTCATTCCACAAGAGCAGCAATTTCCCGTCCTTTCGCTCTCCACAGAAGTCATCGTCCCCTGACCCCACCGCCTCACCCCTGCTTGATGACCTTCCCTTTACTGAGTATGATGACTTTGACTATGGGAGTCCTGCACCTCTTCCGCCAACCTCCACCGACATGGACCCATCGACGTCTCAGTCTGAACCTGAAATACAGCCGGACCATTCTCGTGCTCATTCCACCCATTCCGATTGTGATTCAGTGGAGATCATTTCTGTCGGACGCAATAGGCTGCATCGGAGGACTAACAATCCGGAGATAGAAATATCCGTGTCGAAATCTGGTTCCTCAGCTGTAAAAATGTCTTCGAAGTACCGCCGAGGTTTGAAAGTGCTGAAGAGAATGATGCCCAACGTCCTCATCTCGCGTCTTGAAGAGGCCAATTCGGGACGTCGGCGCAGCACTTCACAAGCAGCGCGCAGCGATAACGAGGACAGTCACCCCCAAGAACCGCCGCTGCTGCCTGGGCAGTCGAGAGTGCACGTTGGCGGCAAGTATAGGGAAGACATGGAAATCAGAGGGGACAGCGAGAGCTCTGACATCGAGATTCTTGATGTGGATGCGAGCGCGAGCGCCTCATCGTCGGACACATCGTCAGAGTCGGACATGGACGTCGTCAGTTGCCCCATGCACACGAGGAAGCACGTCTCTGACCCTTCCGGCATTACCGTTTCCGATGCGGAGTCTCAACACGATGACGATAGTGTCAATGCAGAAGTTGGCGAATGGCTGGCAGAAGGGCCTACTGCCGGCCGTTCTATGTCTAGCAGGAGCGGCGAGGCTAAGGAGGGTGACCTGATCGACAGGATGTTGTCCCGCACAAGGGTCGACGGCGCTAAACCAAAGCGCAACCGCAATAAACATCGGCCCTCCGGAAACCACAGATCGCACAAGTCGTCGTCTAAGAGTAAGGTGCATGTGGTAACGGCTGGTGCAAGGAACAGTGGCTCGGGTCGGCAAACTTTTCTGCCGTTCACTCGAAATAATAGCGTCAACGAAACTGCTGACGATAGCCGCCGATCGAGTAAGTTGCTTTTTCCTCTCCGTGTGCTGCTAGAAACTTGATGTATGTGCAGAATCAAATGAACACCATGTTCAGACCGACGAAGCGTCCTATCGAATGAATGGAAAACATAGGAAGCGCCAAAAGCACAAGAAGGGCGACGGGCTGTTTGTCGTTACCTCCGGTGGTGAGCATCTGGTTTCTGGGAGGCTGCACAAGCAGCCTACCACGATCGACGAAGAGCAGGTCGCCGTTCACGATTCAAGACTTACACTGTTGCATGACCGCAGCAACGAAGATCTCCCGCGTCCCGTACGTCCGCACAGACCCCGTCCGAAGTCCGCCAGACAGGTCGAAACAACGCTGGAACATTATTGGGACGAACGCCGTAATTCAGTTGATTCGACTTCCGAAAGCATGCACAAGGCTGCTCAAGATCAGGATACTGCTTTGTACGGTGAAATGACGGCTGACTGCAAAATCTCCTTCCTACCATCAGGACTCTCCATGGGCGCCACCACTTACATGGCTCGAGGATGGCTGCATGAACTGATCTCACTTCTCTCGGCTACTGGAGAAATTCCTTCTCCCATTGCATACTCCATGTTCGACCTCCGCCTTCAGTCGCAGATGTCTACCCAAGATATCTCCGTATGCTTGGAGAGCACCTACGAAATGCTTCACGATCACGTCACCCAACGAAGAGGTGATAGTTTAGACGATTCCCAGCTCTGGCAGACATTCCTGCACTCTCTCTGCGAACATTTCTCCTGGCTACTTAGCAACGCTGGTGAAGATGACACTGTCTCCTTGTATGTCTCAGCCACTAAGCAACTACACCGATTTGCCATATTCATGGAGGAACCTACGGAAATTTTACCAGACGATGAAAAACCAAACTTACTTTCTATGGAAATTCGATGGTTCATGGTCGAACTCTCTTGCCGGGTTGAATGTCATCGCCTCCGCCAGCATAAGCAAGCTGAGGACTCTAACATAATGACCCATGTGAAGCAGCTTATCCGTCTTCTGTGGCGCTATGGCTTTGAGAAGATGGGCTCATTTTTAAACGAGGATCCTCCTGGCAAGATAGAACCTTCCAAGCCACAGCGAGCAGCCGAGCTTTGGATCTCGCTCATTCATCTCCTCGACACCTGGCCTTCCTGCATGTCCGGGGCCAACATTCAATCGGCGAACTCTTCCGCATTTTGGACAATGTACGCCCAGACCATTGAATCATATGGACTTTTACAGTCGTTTTCGTCGGACCTCCGGGCAAGTGAAACGATGTGGAAGAGTATCTTCAGCTTATGCGCGCTATCCCAATTCTCTGTACACGGATTGACGACATCTTCACCTCGATTGTCTGCCTCCTGGGCCATTGTCCTTCTTCCCTTAGCGAAGATCCCCCTGACTCCTCTGCCTACCGACGCAAAGCTCCCCACACGACTTCTGAATAAACGTGATGAGTGTATCCGTCTTAATGTCTCGAGATGTCTTGTCTTGAGTCATAAGTGGCGATGGGACCTTGGCGATGCTTTCCCTGTGTTCAATTGCCTCCTCGAGATCTTCAAGTCTCGCCGTTTTGCAAACCTTTCGTTTGAACCGTCCGATTTTCCGAGCTGGCTTCGTCACGACAACCTGCAGTTACTTTCTGAGACCAAGCGCAGTGACACCGCATTCACATTGTTCTTGAAACTGCTAGTCCAGAGTGTAAAGGATGCTCTAAAAGATCACGACGGAAATCGGAAGGTGAAGAAATTGCTTGCTATATATATTCCGGTTGGTTCTGTACCTTTCACGAAGGCCAACCCGCCTACTGGACAGGAGCTGTCTATGCTCTACAACAGGTTTAGTGCAGTCGCGGTTGCCATCTTCCTGGAGCCTACCTCGGCCAATGTCAAGTCTCGCTTGGCCCACGCGCGCAGATACGTCGATTTTAAGGATACTGACCATGAGACTCGTCGAGCTTGTATCCGAGGGTTGATGCATCTGACCATACTCCTGCGCCACCTCCATCTAGCGCTGGACGACATTCTCGATTGGCTAAGCGAAATAACAAATGTTCTTGTTGACGAATACTGTGAAGCGGAGGTTGCAGGTACTAAAACGTTCGGACGGGATCCCCGTAAATGGATAGTGATTTGTATTCAAATGCTTCTTGGTTGCGTCCGCCGGATCATTGAAACACCCCTCATGGACCCTGACCAGACATCAGCTCAATATCCTGATCCAGCGTTATTGCAAGGGCGTAAGTTGGACTTCCTCCTTCCTCGATATGATTGCTGACGGCTTTGCTCAGCATGGATCGCTAGAGTTTTCTCCAATCAAACGAACCTGACCAGTGTCATTACGACAGGTCTCGAGATCCGCCGTCTGGTTCAAGCATTCCTGGATGCTAGAGCGCGTGTTATTCCTAGACCACCTCGTCCACGACCGGTTTCAGCGGTTGCGGAAGAAACACAGGAGAGCCAGGAAGACTATGGGATGTTCGACTTGAACATGGATGATCCGGAGCTGCTCGCTGCTCTAGGCGAAGTGGAGGAGTCCGCTCGGATGCAAGATCAGAAGGCAAAGGAGACAGTAGTGGCTGAAGTAAGGTTGCACCCGTTGTGAGCGTGAATATCGTTAACTGTTTCTTAACAGATCATCGATATGCATATCTCCCCCGCTATCTACCGCCTCGTGTGCAAACATTTTCAACAGGGTTCAACTGAAGGGTACTCTCTTCAGGATACCGATCGTTGGATTGATTGTTGGGTTGGCTGTGTTAGCGTAGTTGTACAAAACGGGAAGAGGGTACGTCTGATTGCAATATCCTTCGAACTGTCCTAACGCCGATATCAGGACTGGGATATGTATCTACAAATGGGCTCCCAGTCTTGGCAGCGCATCATCGATTCGATGTGGCGACGTCGGGTAGGTTTGCGTTTCATGTTCATGCTTCTGCAATTAGACCCTTCAGCCTACCCTGTAAGTTCTCACTCCAATTTCTTGACGCAAAGTTCGGCTGAGTTTTATGGCGTCTAGACCTACACTGATCGCTTTATCGACATCTTTATGGAGTCGATAGTCACTGCCAGAGTGTCTTTCGAACACGATTTTACCTCGCTCTTGTTTTCTATCGATGGACTACGATACCCGCTCTTTCGTGATCTTCCTTGTGAGCTCCCTGAGGATTATACAGATTACAAACTATCGAAAAAGGATTTCCTGGACGGTCGGATAGCCATCGTGGAAAGTAAGTCGCACTCTTGCTTTGTTCGTGTGCTTCCGAGCTTATTTGCCCCAGAAATCTGCGCCAATCTCGCGGACTGTTTACAAGAAGAACTGGCTGGCAATTCGAAGCTCATTGGACAAAACCAAACAAGTATTGGGTCACTCATGACGATGTTGTCAACCATGCAAGACATCTATAACGTAAGCCGGCAGTCTATCGTGCCACCTCAGTTGCGCTGACGTAGTCTAGCAATTTGAGGCTGGATCAGAGGATCGAGTAAAATACGAGTCATTCTGTAAACAAGTCGCCGATTGTCTCTCGCGGCATGCCCTTCTCCGCACTAATTCTCGTCTCGCCGCACTGTTCGATTGGACAACTCATCTGTCGTGATCTTTTCCAGCATCTGCTGCATTCGTTGGTCACATACTGTTTAAAATGTTCGTGGTGTATCATTGCGAGTTCCGCGTAGATAACTCGTTGTAAATTTGTGTCTCATGTAGCATTAGATATCTCAGCTTTCACCATCCCTTGAGGCCTGGAAGTGCAGGACCATAGATATTGAATTTGAGCATTTCAGTTCGTCATCACACCGTTGAGGAATGTCTGCAGAACACATTGCGCGGGCGAATGTGTATACAATGGTCTACAATCGACAAGTACAAACGCTACTGCATCCTTCGAACAAGTTACAGATCCGACACACGAAGTGAGGTTCCACGACAGCGCGAGGGCTCATTTTGAAGCGCGCCATCCACGCGGACTATCCTGGTGCGACAAGACCGATTCCGTATCATGTTCCTACACATGGAGCCTGGCAAGGGAGCGCGGAATCGTATCCCAGGTACTTGGTGAGTTCCGAGAGTTCAAAGCCTGCTGCGACGGTGAATCAGGCGAACCGAGATTGCAGGCATAAATCCGAGTGGCTGTGACTGCAGGATAGGCCAGATCGGCGGCGTCATTTTTACTCGTCAAGGCGCCCGCAGTCCTCAGTGGTAGCCAAGGAGAACCAGGAGAAACAAGCTCTTGAGTGTATAGGCTTGTGTATTCCGGTGATCGACATCCCGCTACGGTGTGCTTAGCCCGCATCGCCAGTTGGAGTGAAGTATTGGGCGAGGCGAACGGGCGGTTGTACAAGCACGTATCGTCTGTTATAGTCGCGCTGGGTCCACACAACCTCACCGTCATGACATGCTTTGCCCACTCGGGCGTTTCGATAGAAGGTGAGTCGGGCAAGGGTGTCGTCCGAGCAAAGAACAGTGGATCCCAATCGGGGCTCATCGTTTCCAAGTCCTGCAGAGCAAACATCGATTTCGAGATAGGTAGTGATACGACCGATATGGGAAGCGTAGATAGAGAAGACGAGGCCGACATATCTATACTACATAGATTAGTTAGGCTTTGGTGAGGGAAACGACCGTACCAACCTGGGCTGGCGCACCGTTGTATCACAGCGTCGCGATGCGCCAAAAGATCCTCGTCGCGGATCCTGAGATCATAGGCTATCACCCGCAGGAAGTCGCGCTCCGTCCGCGCAACGTCCTTGGCTTCAAAAGAATCCAGGCAACTCGCCCAAACGTTTAGATTCTGCCGCCGCTCCTTGACGTACTGACAAGGACGAACACAGGTAAGACAGATGTAAAGGGCAAACCCACGGCCATACCTTCATAGCGAGCAGCAAAGCGATGAGGAACACGGTCTCGCAACTCCAGTGGCCCGGACTTTCGTCATGCCATTCGCGGCCCCACTTGTCCACGTAGGACAGGGCGACAACAATTACGCACATGTCCACGTCCAACGTTGGGTGGTAGGCAAGGACAGTAACCAAATCCAGAAGGGAAGCAGTATCGATCCTCGATTGCGCTGAAGTAAAACAACTAGTACACGAAAACGCGCTGACCACACAATCGACAACGTAGTCTGTGGACCAAGAGACGGTTAGAAGAGGTAGAACAAGCTTTCGGTGAGAAATGTCACAGACCTAGTAGGTCAAAAGTCAATGGAAGGTCCAGCATTTCCATCAGCTCAATCTCGTGCTGCGATGGATCCAACTGACTCGCAGGCTCAATTACACGGGACGCGGCCTGATCGGAATAAGGTTCCATGAAAAAAGCCGTAGTCAATGTTTGAACAGAGTGGATAAATCGAATTGTGCGGCGGGATATAGGGTAAGACGGGAGTCCTGGAGTGCGAGGGTCAGGTTTGGGTGTTTATAACAATGCGAGTTGAACACAAACGTTGCCAAAGACTCGTGTAGGGATCTCGGAGATCTACGAGGCTTACAGGACGCGCGCCAGATCATTACTGAGAGGCATGGCCAAGTGGCCCATACAGACATGAACCGGTATCAAAGCGGAAGAAGTCCTGGGCAACCAAGCCAAACCATATTAGTCGACTGGGCAACTGAGAACAATGGGAGGAGGAGCCACTATGTCGAAGCTATGCGAACCTTAAGTTTTGAATGCTTCATCCTCGATCCTCGGGCTGAGGAAACCAGTGAGTTGGAAGAATCATACCACATGTGGAATCAAAATCTGATACCGGACTCTTCTTGTCGACGGAGTGGCGTGGGGACGACAAAATACCAAAGCGTAATAGCAGCATCCTACGTCAGACATTCCGAAAGACAAAGTACCCAGTCCACAAAAAAAGCGCATATGAAGAGTCCGACAGTAGCGAAGCAATGTACTTTCTCGATCTGCCAGAAGTTCGGCTAAGTCACTACACGTCGTCGCAACTCCATCTGTTGCAGTCGGTCCAGGTATGTATGAATTTCCCGAAGCCATTGCCGTTCCTCCCAAGCATTTTCGTGCAGAGCGTCCTGAATTACCACTTGTCGTTTCAGCCCCCAGTCCATGGATACATCCTCGCCAGCGGCAGAGCTCCAGTCATTGCTGGCATCATACAAATCGGCGCCCATGGACGTTGGCACGACCTCGTCCTTCTCGCTGAGCAGCACCAGCATGTTCTTCGACAACCGCGCAAGCAGGCACTCTGGTCTATCCCGTGCTGTCTGCATCGCAGCCAATGCGTTCCATTTATCGAGCACAAACGGTGTAAGATAGTGATAAGGCAGCCAGCGCTGAGGATAGAGCGCCCTTACCATCCCCGGAATTGACGAGAAGGGATTTTCCAGGATCATTCCCAGAACCGCGGGATATTCAGAACCGCTCAAGCGAGAAGCCAGGCATACTGCTATGGCACCACCCAGCGAGTGCCCGTATAGGACGATGATAGAAGAGGGGAAGCGGTGACAGACGTATGACAGAACATGCTCGTAGTCTTTCGCCAAGCCACGCTCTGTAGGTATTCGTGAGGAGGATTTCCAGTATGAACGAGGCGCGACAGCGACGACAGCGATGTTGCGAGCCTTTGGCTGCGGTTCCAGTCGTGATGACACTCCAAGCAACCTCTCGAAGACAGGCATACGAGCCAAAGGGTTTCCAGCATTGCCTACAAAGATGTCGATGAATGTCGTGTGTGGTATACGGGACATGGGCTACTCGCCTTGAAGATAGAGGACTACAGCGTCCGGCGGCGAGTCACCAATATGCGAGGCTGGTCGGACCACAATTCCGGCAAGCATGACTCTCTTCTCACTTGGAATCTGAATTTCTTCGCAATGAATCGCCTTTGGTACCCTTACGTCGCGCAACTGCTCGCTCCGAGCCCCTGGAGGTATATATCCTGCTCGCGTCCGCAAATAAGCGGAGTCATAGTGAAACAACCAGTGAAATGACACGTACCCATGTAGATGAGCTTTCTTTGGAAAATAACCATCACGAGACACTGGCTTGCGAGAAGGGCCGTGAATCTCGAGGTGCGTTAAGCAGTGTTCGATCACTTTACCTTGTACAACCACAGGGCAATAGGTAGGCCGAACGCTGTGGCAACGGCCAGCCATAGAGTGGGACCCTCAGAGGAAGGTTGTAGAGCGAAGGACGAGATGGCTCCCAATTGCAGCAGGCTGTGTGATCGGCCTTCTATCACGGCGCTTTGGTGGTCAAGCAACCTGCTGGCCTTATTTTGAAGCGGTCTTCGCCGGGGGACCACTTGGGCATGCATTGAAGGGAGTACGACCCTTGTTCTCAATACGGAACAAGGTCTGCACCTGGGAACGGGCATGATGCGAGATCTCGAAAACTTCAGAATGGACATAAATGATAGTAGTTATGGCCTGGGAGCGGCGCTATTCGTACCTTCAAGTTCGGTGCGATCAGTGATGTGGAGTTCCACATTCGGCAAGTCTCCAAGAACCAATCCTTTTATCGATGGGCAGCGAACAGACCTTTTCTAAATCCTACGTAGATACAGTGAGAGTGTCTTCATCCGTTGATCGAGGCTAATCATGATAACATAGCCCGCATCGATGCTATCGCGTGAATACTACAGCATTGAAGAATACGGCGGAAGGATCAGACATCACATTTGACAAATAAATCGGACAACAAATTATACAGGTCGTCAAATGCTTCCCGCTACTGCTTCCCCCTCCTGGCTTTTGAGACACGGTAGCATTGGTATCACGAGCCCAGGTCGTATTCCCTTGGCCATCGCTTGCTTGAACGATTCTGCAAGCTTCCGACTGCGTTCAACGTCCATCTGTCCGTCGGGGTGGAACTCGTCATCCTGAGAAGGAAGACGACTGGGGATGGTAAACCTGGGTGTCTGAGTTATTCCCGCTGACATTTCGCTGTCGGGAGTAGCCGGCACGACAGTCTGGGACTCCTTGCACGCGGGTGTCTGCTTGTGCTGATGCTTCAACAATAGTCGCAATCGGCGGCGCTCCATCTTCGCTGCCATCTTGGCGGCATGAGCAGGACCGACTAGGTCCGGACGCATGAGGGCCAGAATCCGAGCCCTCTTCTTCCTCAGTGCTCTGGCGGCGCGTCGCTCTTTCTTGGCTCTCTGCTCAGCGGACATTGGAACCTGGGAGGAAGTCGACGCCGGTGGAGAGCTTGCTGCAGGGACTCGGCAACAACTTGCAGACGAGCAGTCGTGGCATCCTTCAGGGACGTTGTGAGAGGGATTCGGCACACTTACTGGCGACCTCGCAAGGTCTCCGCTCTGGTGCAATGAGGAAGATTTTGCATGCGCAGTTGGGTCAGATTCATTCTTGGCCGGGACAGGCACGTTCTCAGAAGCTTCGCTTACTCTTCGACGTTTAACACAGTCAGTCGATCTGTCATCTTGTGCAGAGCTCAAACTTTCCGCAGATCCCTTTGATAGGTTGCGTAGATCGACGAGGGGAACATTCGGGCTTTCTTGAACGCCCGCGAACAGCTCAAAGCTAGCGGCGTGTTTCATGTTTGTGGACGTGCTGCTGCGGAAGAAGGTCGCTTGCCCAGCGGCCGTGCCTGATTCAACATGGAACAGCGTAGAGGCCGTAGGGTCATTGAATTGCGCATCTGGAGCGATGATCTGGATTGTCTTCCGTTTGAGGTTATCGCTGGATCTCTGTGAGTCCAGGTGTATCGGGGAACCAAGTTCAAAGGTCGGTCGGCGTAGGGATACTTGGGAAACTTTTCTTTTCGTGTGAGATTCGGGTGATGGAGGCATGATCTTCAACGAGCTGTTCTTCGAAGGGGGAGTCATCAGCATCTGCGTGGGCATCTTGGCGATCTGAGACTGCGCGGCCTTCGTCTTCTCGGTCTGTGGCCTACGCTTCGGGGTGTCGTCGACTATCGGCGACGGAGTCTTGTCACAGGCGCCGAGGGGCTGATCTGGAGGGATCCCCGCGAGTTCGGCGAAAAGGAAGTGCGCGGTGCGCGCACGCTCATCCGCTGCATCTTCGTCTTCAGTCTCCTCGTCTGACTCGGGCTGAGCAAACTTGGACTTAATGCGTGCCATGGCTCTTGCCGTTTCGCTAAGCGACGCCCGTCCTTGAAATGAAGGGACTGGCGCTTTCTTCGCATTCGTAGTTCCTGTGAGCGCACAGCTGGTGGTGGCATTCTGCTCTTGGCGAGGAGAGCTGTCGGTCTTCCCCTCGTCCAAGATGTGGTCCACGACGCGTCGAGTGTCCCCCTCAAGATATCCTCGCATGACCTCCAGCTTATGCCTGCTCCTCCCTGTCTCCGCCCATCTCTCCGCGACCTCCAGCGCGCCCTCTCCCTCCAGATTCTTCAGAGCCACGTCCTCCATGCTCTCTTCGGCAGTGACCAGCGCGGATGCCAGGTCCCGCGTGTCCACGTCTACAGCGCTGTCGACCGGGGAGTCGCTAGCGAGACACCCCGCAAACATCTTGCGCATACACGCATGGTCGAGGCCGTGTAGTGCGGGGTCAAGGGTGTTGGGCACAACCCTCTTCGGCCTGAACATCGACACGAAGGCGCGGAGCTCTGGAAGGGGGGAATGGCGCGATAAGGGCACGAGCTGCAATGCATATATAGGTGATGAGTGACACCAGCGATGCAATGTGATAACAGCCGATCGAGCGACGCACCAGGTGATTCACGACCTCGCCGCGGAGGAGCTTTGCACGCGTGTCTTGGAGGTAGAGCTCCCAGCTTGCGGCCCCTAGTGTGACTGGATTGACATAGACGACGTGCTGGCCTGTCTTGTTGGAAGTCGTGCGTGATGAGGCAGCGGCAGCTGTGGGCGCACGCGACCCTTGTCCGTCTACCGCAACGCATTCGCAGCGGTTAAACCGCTCGCAAGCATGGAACCGCGTAGAGGCACCGTCTTGGGTAAGGATCGACCGGAGGAATGGGTCGCCAGTGGTATGTCTGTAGATCGAGAACTTGTAGCGATCTACGTGAATCTGATGCAGATAGGCGGACGGTGGCGTAAGAGACAAATTGATTACAGATGCATATACTAATTCACCTTGCTCCTGAACGTGCGTGCCACAGCTTTAAAGATGTCTTCATAGCCCCAGGTCCAAGCGTTGATGAAGAACAACGTAGTAGGGGGAAAGATGGACATCAATGAGACCAAGCCCGACGTAGCTTCGTCCTGTCATCCGGAGGCGCATCCAGTGTATAAGCTACAGGAGGAAAAAAACCAAAGTCGATGCTTACCTTCGTCGGTATATTCAGTGTCCCGAGGAGGCATGCCGTATCAAGGTATATCGCTTCCAGGGTCTTGAGAACGCCAAGGTGGCCATACTCATTTAATTTTCCGTTCTCGTATGGCCGCAGAGGTAAGCTCGAAGGAGGGGCGGCGATGTACTGCTGAATATACGGATTCTTTGAAAGCGATTCCAGAAACCATGGTTCAGCTCTGAAGTCTCCGGTGTGTAAAACTGCCCCTTTCGCGCCTTCGACGAGATACCTATGGAATATGAGGGCTTAGTGACCAATGCCATGAAACGCCACCAGATAATCTTCGGGTTGTGCTTACATGACGGCCCCAGGGCAGTGGTTGGCGTCGAAAAGAGTGATCGTCACTTCCTCCTTGCCGTTCAGTGGTACCAGCGTTGGTGTGTGAAGCGGAAGAGCTTTCTGTGGACACAACACTTGGTCATTATCACATGCAAAATTGAGACGCCCGTGAAAATTCCACCGCGTTGTGGACGTGGGGAGGACCGAACTCTACTGACCAGTAAGTCTCTACTAAAGGTGTAATCCCAAGAGCCGTCATTCATCTTGCGCGGGTTGACTTTGAGGTGGCTGAACGTGCGCACATTCTCCACGCGCAGCTCCATGTCCTTGAGCGTCCTCTCGGCATACACTTCGTGGCGCAATAGCATTTCTTTCGCGTCGCGAGAACATATGATCGTTGAAGAGAACGAGCGCGCAGATAGGCCGTTGACGTGGTCTGCGTGGGTATGAGTGAGGAGGTAGAGAGCCGGGGTGGTCATGATGTCAGGGGACGATGCGAAGTCGTCCACGCGAATATTGTATGGAGCGATGAACGAGTGGTTGGGTGTTCCGGTAGGCATGTTCCTCAAGAAGTTGTCTCAGGAAGATGGTGGTTTCTGACAACCAGTATGAACTTTATCTATGGAAGAATCCAAAGCGTTCGACGTGAAGAAACCCTGAGGAACAATAAAGATATGGACGATGTGGCGGGCGGCAGCGGTTCATATAATCTGTGACATGAGAAAACAGTTGTCAGACTAACTTCCGAGAACAATCGCCGAGCACAAAGCATGGTTGTAATTGACGCCACGAACGCTTGTGCGTCGCCGTCGAAAGCTTCCAACGATTACAGAGAGATGGTAGGGGGGGGGGGCAGGAAAAAGTAGGTCTATGTTCATCGCAAGCAGAATAATACATACCATAGCGTAAGAAGGGATTTCAGAGCGGGGCGTGGCAGATACACAGGGCATGGTGTGTGCGCCAGGGGTGCGCGCGAACTTCGCGACACGGAGGGTCACGGTCACATGAGATGGGCGCTAATGATGCGTCCAGTCACTGTTTCTCACGCCCCAACTGCTTGCACCGACAGTCATGGCGGGCAAATCGAAAGCACGGTAAGTAAATTCTCTCTTTCTTTCGTTTGCTTTGACTCAACATGATCTTATTTACAGGACTATCATTGTCCGGATGATCTCTACGGCCAAGACTGGCTACTTTTATTCGACACAGCGTCTGCGCATTGGGCCCAAACTCGCCGCTGTCAAGTATGACCCGAGAGGCAAGTGCCTCATTCTGTCAGCTGTCAATCACCTCCTGAATATGCGTGTTTACCAGTGAAAGCAAGAGTATTGTTCGTGGAAAGCAGAAAGACCGCGAAATAGATTTATTTTGCCTTGATCAGCCACCACCACGAACACAAACCGCCATACTCTGTCCAGACTTCAGTGCAATCGAAGCACTACTACTATGCTACTCACATCGAGCTGCCAAACCATTTGTGGCGAGAGGGTGGTCGCGTCCTGCAATCCAGGACTTAGCTAAGAGCCCCTACCCTTACGGCATCTACCTAAATAACACTTCTGCGTGCTCGTCATACTCTGCCTAGAATGCGTTCGCAGGTTGCAATACGAATTTTCAAAATGCAACTCATTGCAGTACGATTTTTCGTCCCTGTTCTGCGTTGATTCCTCTCGCCATTACTTTGAAGTGCACGAGAATGCTATTGGTGTATTACCATGGCTTCACTGTCGGGGACTTACAACGATACCTGCACTGATGAAGCGCTTGCAAAGACAGAACCAACAATAGGTCCACTGGGTTAGAACTGGAAGTGTAGGCATGCTAATGGTACAAAACTGCGTTGAACGACTTGGTATTACAGTCACATCATTGCAACACAAAACACATCAAGACCGTGGAATTAAAAACTGACGACCGAGTCTTACGAGATCAGCGTAATTCTGTGTAAGGCAAAATCTAGAACGAAAAGACGACGCACAGTTGTAGAGTGAAAAATACGTTAATGACCGTCCACCCGATCAGGGATTTGTGCTACTTGACGAGCGGTCGCACGCCGATGCCGTTGTCCTTGAGACTGCGGCCGGCGTAGTTCCTGACTTCTTTCTGGTACTGCGCTGTGGCATCGAGCGAATATCAGTGATATATTCTATACCACGCGAGTATCGATACTCACTCATAGGCTTATCAACCTTAGGCTTCTTTGCGGAAGTCTCTGTGGTAGGTGTTGAGCTCGCGGTATCAGGAAGAGGGCGCTTGCCCCGTTTTTTCTGGGATCGGCAAGTAAGCAAAGGTAACAAAAAAGGGAGAAATATCACTTACAAAACGTTCATCAAAACCCCGTTTCCTGTCATCGGACATACGTCAGGAAGTAGGCTAGACAGATGTGAGGGTACGCACTGCGCCAGCATCTCTTCCTGCTTCTTTTTCTCTTCCTCGTCCTGCCAGCAGCGCAGGCACGATGTTCAAGTAAGATCATACGACACGGGCGCGGAAACGCACCTTCTTGATGTGCTGAAAGCGCTCTAGGAAGGAGCCGTCATTAGAAAACACATTGGCGGGTTTAGCTTTGGAATGGGGCTTCTGAGCTACGGGGACTACGGGTGGCGGGGCGGATAAGGGGGCTGGTGAGGCGTACCCGCTCGAGGACTGTGGTGTCGATACACTAGACATTTACTCGACGTTGATCTGTGCAGTTGCTAACCGGTGGAGCAACGGTGGTAAGAAACGAAAGCGTCGCCCGCGTTCTGTAAGGGCTTCAGAATTTACTAGTGATTTCTAGTGTTGATACAAACGACCAATACAACGGCAATCTGATCTCGTCTAACCGGCATTCACCGGCCTGACCTCATCATCTAGCGTTCGTCACGCAGCGCAGTCGATTTCGACAGCAACATCCACGCCATGTCTGACCCACCGAAGAAACCAGGTTCGCTGCGCGACCGCATCGCTGCCTTCGAGAACAAGGGCTCTACGCTCGCTGCAGCTCCACCTCCCATACCTCGCCCAAAGCCCGCCGGCGGTGTCTCGTGGAAACCCCGCCCACGCTCTCCGCCGTCTTCCCCGCCTCAGAGCGATGCCGCGGTCGCCCATGAGAAGCCTGTGGGTACGATGTCCGCTGCAGACGCGAAGGAGAGCATCGGCAAGGGCGGCAGCCTCAAAGACCGCATGGCTGCGCTTCAAGGGCTCTCTGCGTTCGGCGGCGGAGCGCCGTCTCCCCCACCCAAGCCCACCAGCGAGAAGCCCAAGTGGAAGCCGCCTCCCGTCGTGCATAAGGTCCCGGCAGAAGGCGATGATGAGGAGGAAGAACCACCGAAGGCGCATGCGGAAACTAGTGCTGAGGAGCATGCTGAGCCGGTTGGAGGAGAAGAGCATGCGAGTGAGGCGACGGCTGAAGGGGAAGAGGCGCAGGCTGGGCCTGATCCTGTGGAGGAAGAGAGGCAGCGTCGTGCTGCAATTGCTGCGCGCATGGCTCGGCTTGGAGGTGCTAGGGTCGGGATGTCCCCGCCCGTGTTTGGCAGGAAGCCAGAGGTGAAGAAGGTCGAAACGCACAAGGACGAGGAGGAGAAGCCAGCGGAACATGCAGCTGCAACGTCTCCCGAAGGTTAGCATCCCAGGATAATCTCGAACATATACTGACATCGGTCACTTCCAGACGTCGCTGCATCCCATCCTACTGAACTTACTGAGGCAGCCGTTGCACAACAGTCAAACACGGACGCGAGTGCAGGTAAGCATATCTCTACTCCGACACTAGACTATAAACTCGGTCTCTGGGCCCGTCATAATGTGGTGGTCGCCGGTTGGTGGTCGCCAGGTAATCCTACCCATTTTCTACTTCATCCGTTTTAAAAACTCGTTTGATTCGTCTCTTTATCATGATCACTCGTTCAGATGTTTGAAGAGATTTGGATATTCTGTTGACGCCAGAGACCTGAGTTTCTCACCGGGCATTGTCTCTTGAGTCTGCTAGGTACAGTGCTGATAACATTACTCCAGACTACTTTGACGGTAAAGACACTGGAGGCAAGGATTCTGCATCTCTTTTATCAACAGACTCTGCCTCCTCTGGCGTGCGCTCGTCGCCCATGCCAGTTCCCGCTGGTCCTCGCCGAGCTGTGCCTCCGAGAAAGCGCGTAGCAAAGTCTCCCGCGCCGCCCGCGCCAGTGCTCGACGAGGTCATTCACGAGAGTCCTTCCCCGATTCCAGGCACAACTCCGGAGATAGCCTCGGCGGAGCCTAGCGAGGGTACTTCTGTTGAGGTGAAGGACCTGGAACCACATGGCAATCGTCAGCCTGAGATCACGCACTCGCAGGTCGCTCTGGTTGAGGCCGAAATCGCCAAGGCTGAGGAGAAGCACGAAGCTCCTGTCGAGACCCCCAAAGTTCATCAAGCGATTGAAGAGGTACCACAGCCGATCGCGGAGCCGACTGCCAAAGTTTACCATCCCGAGCCGGTCGAAGTGGAGGAGCGACTCGAAGTTGCAGAAGCGGAGGTTCCTGAGGTTGCCGCTGCAACTGAGGAAGCCCCTGTTCAAGCCGCTGCTGAGGAGTCCGCCGAGGAAACTGAAGAGGACGTGGTCGCTCGCCGCAAGCGCATCACCGAGCGGTTGGCCAAGTCGGGTGGTGTCACGCCGCTTGGCGGAGCATCCCCTCTTGCAGCGCCCCCAATTGTAACGGCCCAGCGACATGAGAGCCTTAGCCGAAAGAGTACTGATTCGGACGTCGTCTCACCCCGCAGTCCTATTCGACGGGCAAGCACCGACTCCACTAAATCCCACATCCACCCTGCTAGTCGCGTCGTCGCAGAGCCGCCAACAGTGTCCGAGTCACTTGGTAGGAAGGGTAGCGTCGGTTCCGTCCATTCGAATGTCGAACCAGAGGCGCCGGTTAAGAGGTTATCTCAGGATGGTGAATTTTAATGCCCTTATGCTGCGTGCAGGCGGCCGCGATATACGAGTAGTTATTGATCGATCTGTTTTCCTGTAGATCAACGAACTGTGCTTGCTGAACATATCCTCAGCGAGGAGCCGCGTGAGGAAGATGTTGAGCATGCATACGGCGGCGACGTTGAATCCACCCGCGAGGCGGCACATGAATTGCATCTGGAAGACGTCGAAGAGGACGACGAAGGGGAAGAAGCAGAAAGCGACTATCACGAGACCGAGTCTGAGCAGATCGCCTACGATAAGCATACTATTTCGGCCGCAGCTGAGAATGATGAGCGCCATGTAGCTCCTTCGCATGACGACATTGTCGACGATCACAGACAGGAATCACCAGCCGCAGTCCTCCACGACGAGTCTCCGGTTCGTCCACCCCATATTGCGAGAGCTCTCCCGCCTCCACCAACGGCGCCTGTCGTAGAGTCTCTGGTACCAGCACCAGCGCCGCCTCCTGTGTTGTCTCCGCGTGTCCCGACGAAGAGACTGTCCGTACCTCCCCCTCCGAGAGTGCCCCCGCCACCGCCGAGAGAAACATCTACCGAGGAATTCGAGCCAGTGCTCTCCCCCCCTCCTCCGGTTCGTAGCTCTTCCTTGCATCGCCTATCCGTACCGCCACCTCCACGCATTCCTCCTCCCCCACCACTTATAACAGAACTTGCGGAAGGGGAGGAAGAATCGCTTCCACCTCGCAGGAGGGCTTCATTGCCGCCGGCGCATCCTGAACGCACGCGGTTCATCGGAACAGAAACGCCTGCGTCGGATTCGGATGAGTTCGTGGACACGGAGTATCATCGGATATCCACGTACTCGCAGCCGGAATCAACATCAATATATGAGGATGACGAGCAGGAGCGCGAAGCGCAGGAACTCGAGCCAGAGTATGAAGTAGCCACTGGACCGTACGAAGTTAGCGAGCCCGACGAAATTGAGGAGGAAGAGGATGTCACGCCACCACCACCTCCTCGACGAGTTTCGCTCCCGCCACCGCCCCCTGTGAGTCATCATCAAGAGGTTGAGTCTGTAGAGGAAGTGGTACTCCCTCCTCCGCCTGTCCCACCACAACGCAAACCTAGCATCGCGTCTCGTGCATCTTTGAGTCCCGTGAGGCGAATGTCGGCAGAGGCACCACCGTCGCCCAGCTCGGTGAAAACGCCGACCCGCCCGCCGCCAGCCGCTCAAGAAAAAGAGATACTGCACGAATCTGATGTCGGTGAGTATGCGGCTATGATTAAGCAAGTTCTTCCATCTCATTTAAATTTTTTCAGACCCGATCGACCCAGCTTTCTACCGTCCACAGAAGCCTACACCCGCTATGTCTGACACGATTCGTCCGGACACTGTCTCTGAAGCGGCGACATCAGGCGTCCAGCGACAGCCCTCTTCTCAGCCTATGCAAGCACCCCGTCCACCTGCTCCGGCCACTGATAAAGAGCAGACACCTACCGAAAAGCCGGAGCCAGAGGAAGAATCTGAACAGACGCGACGTCATACCATTGCCGAACGAATGGCCAAACTGGGAGGGATCAGATTTGGAGCTCCTCTTCCACCGCCTGTCCGTCCTCCCCAACTGACGCGACCTACCTCCGAGGAGGTCGATCACTCTGGAGAGTCGGCAGCATCTGGAGAACAACCAGAATCTGAGCAGCCGCCGGAAGAGGAGGACGAATTTGCACGGAAGCAGCGTATTGCTGCAAGGATAGCGGGAATGGGAGGAATGCGATTTGGAATGCTGCCTACGCCCATGGCGCCTCCTGCTCCGCAGTCGGCCCGACCTGCTCAGGAGGACGTTGAGGAAGTCAGGGCACCCCCGCCGCCTCACCGCACGTTACCGGTTCCTCCACCCCCGCCTCCGGCGACTCGCGAAGATGAAGAAGAATTGGAGAGCGTAAGCATCACTGACGAAGGTGAACATATTGAGCTAGAAGAGAGTGAGGCTGAAGAAGTCACATATGCAGACGTTGAGGAAGAAATTCCTCCTCCTGTTCCTTTCCGAGGAGGTAGACACCCTTCCACGCAAGAAGTGCAGCGCGCGCCGCCTGTGCCTCAGGTAACGCGTCCTCCTGTGCCACAAGTAACCCGCCCTCCTGTACCATCGGTGCCTTCACCTGCTGCTGCGTCGTCTCCACGAACAAGCAGGGCAATTCCTGCTCAGTCACCGGCGTCATTCGGCTATCCACCCGCCCCGGCTCCTCCGCCTCCCTCGACTCGCCCATCAGTCCCTATCCACGAGTCGCACAGCGACTACGTCATGGTTGATGAAGCTGAGACTGTTGACAACTATCCGCACGTACTGCCACCCCGTACTGCTAGCATGAAGGTGCGTCTTCCTGCACGTTCTGTACCGCCGCCTCCGCCGTTACAACCTCATCCCATGGAATCGGGTGATTCCCAGTGGGAAATGCCAAATGTTCCTCAAGTCGACTTCGGTGCTGAGACCGACTTGTCGCTTTCTGCGCAGTGGTCTGAGGATTCCACTAGCTATCCTCCGCCTCCCTCAGCCAAGACGAACGCCTCGAGACCGTCCAGTCAGATTCCCTCGGGACATGCTGGGTCGTCTCATGTAGAACAACAGCTCACAGCAGATGATCTCGTGGCACAGTGGGGTCGTGTAGGTGTTCAGATACACGAAGTTGCATCCGTGTCGTTCGAGAAGTCGAAGAAAGCATTGATTGGTGATGGCTCTTACGTCGGATTCGTCACTGCAGTGCTCAGTGAAGTACCCAATGCTGTCCAGCCTGTCCCTCCCTACGACTCGTTCGGGTATCTCATCTATGCGCAGACGGGCTCGGCTGTGCAGAGGCGTGCGAGTGACCTCCTACCTGGCGACATCATCGTTGTGCATGATGCGAAGTTCAAGGGGCACAAGGGTCTGCAGACATATCACCAGAATGTTGGCGTGGGTCAGCCGCTTATCGCCATCATCGGGGACTACGAAGTGAAGAAAGCGAAGGTGAAGGTATTCCAAGCAAATCAGCATGTCGGCCAGCAGGTATGTGGCGTTGGTTCCAAATACAGCTACATCGACTTACGACTTACTCGACTTTTCGCAGAGCGTTGAGTCTGCGAGTTACCGTCTGGAGGATCTCAAGAGTGGTTCCGTTAAGGTGCGCTCTTACCCATGCAGGCCCTGTGTAAGGGTTACATGCTTACTATCATTCTCCTAGGTGTACCGAGTCCTGGAGAAGTGAAGAGTGGACTTCAATTCTCGTTTGGAACGCTACTGTGTAGCCGGAAATGTTTGTGTAATCTAGTTTTGTCCATCCACTCAGTCATCGTGTGCGCATTTGTATACATAATTTCACAGTACTTCGTGTATATTCGACGGAGCTTCAGCAATATACATGTCATATAGCGCAGGTATGAACTAGAAATTCGGGAGGTAAATAGCCACAATCGCAAGAGTGACAAAACTCGGGCGTAACGTTCAGGCCAAAGGAGTCAATTCTTACTATGAAGGAATATTCCGATCGCTGCTGTCGACTTGTGCATCGTTTCATTACAGATCACGATGCATGCGTGATAATCGATAAGCGCTAAGCGCCCACCTGCAATCTTAACGGAAGCCTCACCGTGACGGTACTCAAGTCTTAGAGCTTGAAACTGCAAGCTTCAGCTTCAAGCCCAAGAGTCGTGCATTTGTCTGTCAGCTAGCGGGGTCTATTTTTCTGCTTCAGGACCGTGACTGGCAACACCTGCAGCACAACAACTGAGCTAAACGTTATGGGTCACTCGGAGATGGTGCACGCCCGGTTCTGCTCAGTCTGGCGGTCTACATACTTGTGGAACGCTCGCTGCATTTGCTTGTCTCAGAGACGCCCTATTGTCTATTTTATGCACTGCTTACCGGGATGGAGCTTCGTCGCCACTCCTATCTGTATCTGCTTACTATGTGTTATGGAGGCAAAGAGCGGTTGTGGTTAAATGCTGGACGTATAGATACCCGCGTCGTGCGACGCGCTTGGTCTCGCTGTCCTGACGCAATGCCTTTCTCTCTGAGGCGTCCTCGCCCTCACAAGCCGTCTCGTTCAATATTCGATGTAATAAAATCCATATATGCTCCTGAGTGAGTTATGTTCCAGTTCACCTCTATAACGAAACATTGACGCTTATAAGGAGGAAGAATGTGGCCCATCGTAAGCTTAAGCCAAAAATATGCGGTCTCACGTATCTCTCACCCTGTTCGCGTGTAGTCCAAATATATTCTCAAACTCGCTCTTCCAGTAACTTCCTGCGAGCACATCCCATCACCCTATTGCCAAACGAGATCTTAGGGTTCCTCTTCGTTCTTGGAGCACAAGATGATGACATGCTGCCTATGCGGGTCTCGCATGTATGTAGAACTTGGCGCGATCTAGCCCAGCATACACCTGCGCTGTGGAGGCGCATCAGCCTCGACTCGCGCTCTTACATGTGGACGCAGCGCATACTACGAGCGAAGGCGTGCACTCTCGACATAGAGCTTGTTCCTCCACTCTATCGGGCAACCCGCATCCAATATCACGATGCACAGGCAGTCTTACTGTGCATGCACCTCATCATGCCCCACATCTCTCGCTGGCGTTCACTCGAGATCAGGTTTGCCACATACGCCCCGTATCTGTGGAATGCGGCGCTATCTGCGTGTTGTGGGCATAGTCCCAGACTGCGCGCATTCGCTTTACAGGAGCTTATACTGGTCTACCCTGGAAATGACGACACGAAGGAGTTTGCCTTATTCGACGGCGTCGCACCACGGCTTCGCAAGGTCACTCTATGTGGCATCCGACTGGCGTGGCTGCCGTCCCTATTTCAGCACCTCACCTCCCTCGATTATACCCACCATGGTTTCACTCAAGCGAACGAGGCGGTTTCAGAAATTTTGTACATGCTCAATGTCTCTGCGTGTCTGCGAGAGTTGCGGCTTACCTTTCCGTGGACAGCAGACGGTATAGCTAGCCGCGTGGCGCCTTCATCGCGCTCAGTACATTTGCCATTCCTCCGCACGCTCGAGCTGCACATTGAGGGCCGTACCATCCCCTCCATGGTCCTCTATCTTCTTGCGTACGTCTCTCTTCCCGCTGTGCATACCTTCCGTCTTTCCTCCCGTCCGGTTTTCGACTTTCACCGCCCTCAGCCGACGGTTTTTCCCCACTTGCGCCGCGTTCTGCGCGTCCTGCCGCCGCTTGTCACGCTCGAATACCTCTACCTTGAACATTGCTGGCTCGATGCACACTTCACATGTGCGCTTGTGCAGAGCCTGCCTCGCCTGGCGCATCTTACTCTACGTGGGACGCTCATTCTCGATTCGCTCCTTATCGCTCTTGGTGGGGTACTTTGGGGACGGGTGCGTAGTACTGGCGTGTGTCTGCAGTTGCTGGAGCTCGTTCAGTGTGAACTCGCGTCGGGCCAGGGGTTGGTGGCCGCTGTCAGCCGCAGGGCTCGTACTGCCTCGTGTATCTCCGAGGTACACCTTCGGGACTGTGTGGGTATTGATCTGGTGGCCGTAGGCAGCCTGAGAAGGAGTGGCGTCAGATTAAAGATTTGGAAGCATGGGGCAGAGGTTGACACTGCGAAGCTTGGGACGGTCTCTCGCCGGGGAGTTCACTAGTTTCCTCATTTTCGTCCCAGCCCGACCTCCTGATGCCACTGCTCTAGATCTCCTTATGCCCTTCGTCCTCCTCAGGTCTCTGCTAGTGGTGATGTTCCGATTGAGCCTCTAATTCACAGTAATCGCAGACATGTATTTACAGTATATGCTCTTTCGACCTAGTTGTGAACTCACGCGTGTGACGATGACGTCCGGGCTCTTGCTCACTCATAAACCGCAAATTCGCTGTATTTCGCATGTCTTATGCACAACTTGTAGAACAGTAGAAATACAATCGGACCATACATCAATGGAGGTCTAGATGGCTGAGTACATACAAAGATTCTACAAGGGTATGGCTTCCTCTACGTTATACACAGGCCAGAGATCATTGCGTGGACGGATTGACCGCAGTGTAGCCTCCGTCAATGATGATGTCCTGGCCATTGGTGTAGCACCCTGCTGGCGATGCGAGGTAGATGACTGTCCCTGCCACCTCCTGTGCACTACAACCAAAGTCAGCTACTGGCCACAAATCCTATGAGAAGGCCACGCACGTCCCGGGCCTGTTCGCGGGCACGGGGATGAGTCCCTTGCCAACGATGTTCACCTTGTCTGGCCCAATAGTGTCGAAGGTCATCTCCGATTCGTACACGCCAGGTGCGACGCCGCATACACGCACGGGTACCTTCTTCAGTGCGAATTCTGTCGCGAGCATCTTCGTCAAATGCGACGCAGCAGCCTTCGAGCTGTTATAACCAAACTGGAAGCCCGGTTGCCTTATCAGCGGAAGTACGAAGGAAAGTGGGAGGAAAAGACACGGTACTGACGTGGTTCTGCGCTACCTTGATATACCCGCTGATGCTCGTAATGTTAATCACGCAGGACGGGTACCCCACGACGTCCGTGCTGCCCTTGGCGAGCAAACCGAGGAAAGCAGTAGTGACGAAGAAGATGGAAAAGGTGTTGCTGCTGTACACGCCTGCCCACTCCTCGAAGGACTCGTTGTTGAAGAGCGCGCGTCCCAGCGTCTCAGCGTCCGCGTGTTGCGGCGCAGACATATCGTTCAGAAAGGGTGAAACGGGTCCCGTCTGTCCCGCGCTGGGTCGCGTGATGGACCATGAGAAACGGAATCATTGTGGGAGAAATATTGGCAGACGCACTTGTTCACAAGGATATGTAGCTTTCCTTCCTTCTCCGCGATGAGCTCTTGGGCGGCGGATATGCTTGTGCGATCGGTGACATCTAACTGCAGACTGGCATCCACCCGTGAATGTCAGAGATTGAGTAACATGTGCGAGAGCACCCACGGGATGATCGACCCCTTCGCCGCACTGTCCTGCGCCCACGCCGCAGCTACCCTTTCCAATACCTCCAAACGTCGCCCTGTTATGTAGACTTTCGCACCGTTTGCTGAGAGGCCGCGCGCGATCATCCAGCCGATCCCAGTGCCACCGCCAGTAACCAACGCGATGCGACCGTCGAGCTTGAACAGCTTATCAACGTGCATCGTCTCAGCCATCGTGGATGTGGGTGTGGGATGCAATCAAGAGTGAAGAGAGTGCAAGCATCGTGTGGACGATATGGAAGAGATTTATGGCACACGGTTTTCCTGCTGTCGGGCGGCCGGGCCGTTGGACGCCTGCCGTACCTCTGCAAGAGGTAACGAGAGGTTAACCGCGAGTAAATACGAGAAGTCTCAACTAGCAGACGTAACGTTGAGAGCACATGAGGTAATGTTCACCAAGGCGAGTGAGACGTTGTAGTGGAAGAGGTGTTTAAAGTTTGAGTGTGGGAACATAAGTATGGCGTCAATCCATAGCAATGCATCCAGGACTGAGCAATTTCCGTTCACGATGTTGGTCGAACAGAATACGTTCTACCGCATATCAGAAAAAATGGCTGTAAAAATACCTGAATATGAAGGCAATACTCAGAGCTCCATTTCGAGGTCCACTTACCGGTTTATGCTCTTTTTGATCTGGTCCGGGCTTAAGAACGATAGTGTTGAACGGAATATTGTACCGCAGGGTAGGACCAGAACAACATCTGACAAAGGAACCGCATTATATCCTCAAATCTATATAACCAAGACGTCATGCTGGTACAGGACCGTTGCTGAAATGCTGTGTTGTGACTCACCCAATGATATAGGATTATTATTAGGGACACCGAGGATTGTATGGTTGGCATACCGTATGGGCTGCCGCAACTTGTTATCCATTATGGGGCACAGATTTCAGCTTTGGAACAGCTGCAGCCTCTGTGGTCAAGTTCAGGATCGTATAGCATTGTCGGGCACACTGAACGACGTCATCATTCCCAGGTGTTGTAATCAATGCGGCGTCTGGACACTACAGATTTCCATTTGACTCGTGCCTGTCTGTTGCCACATCGGACCATGGCCATTCCAAACTTTGAAGTGTTTTGCAGTGAGAATGGAATAGCGGGCTTGCACAGACAAGATTAATACGAGGAAAGGCTTCAGTGAAGAGTTACATTCTAGTGCGAATCGTCAGGGTGCTACCGCAGAAACGGGGAAACGAGTAATGTTGGCTAGCCGGCTGGCTCATCAGCAAAAGTGTCCAAACTCTGCAACGCCAGGCAGGGTTTGTAAGCAGGGGTCAGATTGCGTCGCGATGCAGCGAGCTGTAAAAGGCAAGCGAGGTGGTATGAGTTTGCATGTCAAAGTCCTCCCGACATAGATATGCATATCCCGGCAGAGTCCGGTTGGGTATGCAGACGGTATACAGACGTAGGCAGTTATTCTGTATATAGCTGGATATTATATACAAGGGTGTGACATTACTCTCGAGTACTCGCGTGCTACAGCGGCGCATAGCCTTCATCGCCGTACTCGTCCTCTTCACCATCCTCGCCGTCCTCCGGACCAAGATCTTCCTCCTCGTGATCAATCCCTTCATCTCCAGCGCCCTCCTCGTCTTCTTCGTCGTCCGAAATATCATAGCCGTAGTCGTCTTCTTCCTGTGCAATCGGGCCTTCGTCTTCGTCTTCATGTTCATCTTCATCTTCGTCTTCGTCTTCGTCTTGCACTCTCGAGTCCACAGATTGATTGTCATCATCCGATTCATCGTCGTCTATGTCCATCCCATCATTGTCCTCCGTGGGGGAGACACTGGCTCCCTTGTGTCCGACAGCACCACCGAGGTATTTCATAAACATGTCACGATCGATGAACCTGAGCGACAGTAAGAAGAATAAAATGAAGGAAATAATAGCAAACACGTACATATTAACGTAATAGAATTGCCAGTCCTCATCGTTGTTGTCAGACCGTCACGCAACGGAAGGAGGTAAAAGACTTGATGTTCATCCATGTGCGAATGCTGGAATAAGGTGAACACCTCGGAGAACTTCATCAGGATTGAGGAATCCAAATGGCTTGTAATCGTCAACATCAACGAAGCCGACGCGGTGCAAGCGGCGGGTCCCGAAGCCACCAGGTGCTGTAAGATCACGACCGAACCAACGGACCCACAGAAAGTCCATGCGTCGCGGTTGTCGGGATATCGAAGGCATCTGATGTCTGAGAATGCTTGTCTAGGCGTTTGAGCTCGCGCGCAGCACTGAAGTTCTGGAGGTGATTGGCATCGAAGTCGTCTGCGAGCAACACATCGTGAATGAGACTGTCCACTTCGGAGATTGACTTCATATCAGAAGTGCCGTACATCCAGTTTAACAGCCGGTAGGTAGTGACGTTCAGGAAGGGAGTGAATTATCGCGGGTACTTTGCAGAGTATCTGTAAAGGTTTCGCGAAGACGGTGAAGTGGATTACGTCCACACAAAGTTGTTTCTGGTGTGGTAATGAACGTCGGTGAGTCGCACAGAGAATCCAGAATTGTTTCGTCCTCTGGGTCCTTCTGGGGTTTGACGCTGTATACACGATACAAACCAAATTCATTCGGCTCAGTCTTGATCGAGAGCTCAGCTGTGTCTATAGCGGGGACATTCTCCACTACCAAAGCAGCAAATTCGGCAGTTGGGTCTTGCTGCCCCTGCAAAGTGTCCACCTGGCCATGATATGGCCTAAATACCCTCTGTTCTCGCGGCGGCCTGCGTATATGCGCCGGTATACCACGGAACGGTTGTGGAAGATAGTCAGCCAGACCTTTTGGCACGCGAAGTCGTCGTCCAGATCATGTTGTGACTTCAGGAATGGCATCTACTTCAGCCGCAGGTGCAGGCTCGATCGGCATGCCTTCTGCTGCATCGTACCCGAGGTCACCAGGTTCAAACAGAGCCTAACACATATTCAGTACAACATCAAAATGAAAAATGCATGTTGTAGAAGCAACAGAATATATTCCCATGAATCAGGCCCGGCAGTGACGGCTAAAACACTCAAATCGGCACAACTAGTAACGTACAGGTTCTATCTCTTGCACTGGTTTGGCTCGTATATCTCTTATCTCCCTAGCGCGTATTTTCTTCTCTTTCTTCTCCGCTTTCTTCCTCAGGTGTTTGACTTCGTGCACATGCAGCCCTTTGCGTGTAAGCTCGCGGTTTTTCTTGCATCCGCCACCACCTGTGTGATTGCTGAGTCCTCGGGCATGCTTAAATTCCTTGAGGCATCCTAGGCACTTCAGTGTCATATATATAGATAGCAGGAATATCAGTAGCAGAGGTGCCAGCCGCATTTAGCCAAGAGAGAGAGCCTATGGAGAGGTGGTCGAGACTTAGGATTATCGTCTGCAGGAGCGACCACGTGACAGACGCGAAAACGCGTTGGGGCACTGCGTGACCGTGTCCTCTATACACGCCTCTGCCCTTGCACAGCCAATATCCACCTGCTGATCCTTGCGTTATCCCTCTGGTATTAATCTCATCATGGGTCGTACCAATGCCAAGAAACATTCACCTTCTCACCGCAACCCACTGTCTTCAATCAAGATGCCGTCTCGCTATCCTCCGGCTAACTCGGACTCCTCTCAAAAAGCTCCCGCATCTTCACGAGTGCAACATACAGCACGTACCAGAACTACAGGCTCAGAGGACGAAGATGAAGAGGTGCGTCCACCAAAGAAGAAGAGCACCAAGGCACATCTGGATCGAGAACCGGCTGACCACCGCAAGAAGAGAGCACTTCCAGCAAAAGAAAGCAGTGACGAAGACGACAGCAGTGATTCAGGTAAGGAGGACGACGAAGATAATGGCTACTCACACGCGAATAAGGATACTGATGAAGATGAGGAGGTGGAGCTAGGTGAAGGTGAGATGGAGATCGAAGCCGAGAATGAGGACGACAACGAGAAAGAGGACAAGGCCCATGCCCGAGGGCACAAGCGCGGAAGCACTGAGCTGGATGATCAGTCCGACTCAGTGTCACATAAACGCCGTCGCACCAAGAAGCTTGTGAGGGGTATGGCCGAAAGACGTGATCCGAAGTATGAATTCGAAGCAAATACAGGCTTTTACTGACTGGAGTCCATCTGTTTGCAGAGTATTTCGTCCCCTCAAGCCGTACCATGATGGTGCACGATTTATTCCCTGCATCATCGGTCCTTTCGCACGTCCAATGCAAGCACTGCAGCTCGGCTTAATCTCGCAGCAAGATTGTAAGGATATTAGAAGGATAGAGTAGTCGAGGCGTCGGAGTTAGCCGAGGCGTTGAATACGTGCTCAACCGCATAGATGGGTTTTTCGTCTTTACTTTACTCGCTGAAAACTTGCCTTCCGAATACACTCGGTTCAGTGCATTTCCCGCGACTTAAGGACCACCAAAGGCCGCAAAAGCCTTATACATTTTTGCACTCGCTGCTGATACCACCTCGGTATTAGTGAAGTCTATTCTAGCTAGGCAACAAACCCCTTTTCTACACCCCTTCGAAAAGACCTTGCTTCTACCACCTTCTCTGTCGACATGCCGGCCAAGAGGAACCCTACAAGCTCCACTGTGACCATCACCACTGGAGTTGGTGGAATGAAGACAAGGCGTAGTACCGTTCAGGACACCGCCGCCGACGACGATAACGTCGATGATCGCGGCCAATCCACTGACAAGAATGAACCGGTACCACCTGCCGACGTTCATGATGACGCCGGTGACCCGTCTCGTGAGGCTGATCCCTCGCGATCGGGCAGATCAGAGCGCGATGGCGTCGTCGATACGCCGGGCGACCGTGATGCTCGCACGGGCGCTGCAGACGACAACACAGTCAGTGATCAGCACCGTGTATCTGATACTAACATGGATGAGCCGCAGCTCAGCCAGTTGTGGAACCACACAGAGGACCTCCTCGCTACGATCTTGGCGAGGCTTGATGAGTCCGATGTGGCCTCTCAGCAGGCTATCAGCTATGCTAACCGGGCCATTCGTGAGGCCAATGTGGCCCGTGCTAGAGCCGCAAATGCTCGAAGGGATTTTGAGGAAGCGATTGGTAAGATTCATACCTCAATCCTCCGTATTAAGAAGCAGGAGAATCCCGAGCTTGACGAATTATACACACCGCGTGAGTATTCTCATGCTGCAGATGAAGCAGCACATCCGTCGAGGCCGCCCGTTGGCGTTGAAGGCGATCGGCCGCAGTCTCCGCCGATCAACTCAGACGACTATGTCGAGAGGTCGCTCGACATACTGTTCCGGCCCTGCGACCGAAACGAGACGGATGCCACATACAACATTCGTCTCGATGGCCAAACCCGCTTTTTGGATGCACGCGGGGCAGAACAACGGCGTCGAGAGTGCGAGGCCCGCATCAATGAGACCTGGCAGCAGGCCGAGTCCCGCATAGACATGCATGCGCGTTGGGGTAGTGCGATGCCCTTCACCACGCTGCGCACCGCATTTGGTGATGCACCGCCGCCGGAACCACCTGGTGGTGGTGGTAACAACAACCCGCCGCGTCGTGGAGGTTTGCCCGCGCGTGGTCGTGGACCACACTCCTCTGGTTGGGGATTCCGTTCTGGTGGATTCCCTGGTGGAGGCGGTGATGGCGGTCCTCCGCATGGCGATGGCGACTCGAGTCCGCATGGTAGCGGCTCGGATGGAGATAATGGAGATGATGATGAGAGCCCCGAGAGGCCGTCTGTCCGTAATCTTGACAGGCATGCAACACGGAGTCCCAGCTACTTACAGGGTAGACATAGCATGCCCCGTGGTAGTGTACCTCGTCAGCAACAACAGCCACAGCCGGGATATACGTTACCCGCTGTTGACGACTCGTTCATGCGTGATGGTGTGAAAACTATCCACGAGATGATCAGGAAGAAAGTCGGACGGGCACTACCTGATAGTAATGCTCTGAAAAATATGAAAAATATACCTCTGCCTGACAAGTATTCAGGTGAGGATGATCTCAAAGTTTTCGAATCGTGGTTGAAGTCCCTATTGCGATGGCTTCGGCTTTATCGCATGTGCGGACCAGACCTCGATGAGGAACAGCTCCAACTTATGGGCCAATTTCTCAAGGGTAAGGCTGCCGACTGGTACAATGACAATGTCGACACGCCTCACAATAATGTAAAGTGGAATTTCGAAGATGCCGCGTGTGCCATTTTCTGGCAGTTCTTGTATCACGCAACCACAGGAAATGCGGCTGATAAATTCTACGCAGTAATATACACGAAGGATGGCAGAGTAAACGGTGTATGGGATGAGCTAGCTAAGTATGCTGCCCGTATGCCTCAGCCGCCCAATGACTACACGTTCGCGCGAACCTTTGTCAAGGCGCTTCCGGACGAAGTCTGCGTCCCTCTGTTCAGATCGAAGGACGTTTCCGTCGAGACCACTCCGCTTACCACATTGCTGCGTCTCGCTGTTCAGCAAGAACACAACAACCAGGTCGTTTCACAAAATCGTGTCAAACATTCCGCGCCTGCGCCCGTACCCACGCCGGCGAAAACTACTTCTACCTAAGACACTCATGGCCAGAGCTCATCTGTGAAGCACCCCGACCATGGAAAGTCGACGCGATTTGTGCGCGTCGTGCGTCGCAATGATTTTCGTCGTGATGGCGGATCTGGAAACCGTCCGCCGCAGAGCACGAATCGCTCATTGCAAGCCCTGCCGCAGTCCACGCAGAAGGACGGGCGGCCTACTAACTTCTCTGGAAATCGTGGCGGACCGTCGGGAAACCTTGCGAACGTCCGGTGTTACAACTGTGGTGAGTACGGCCACTTGTCACCGAACTGCCCGAAGCCCAAGGGCCCGAAGCTTCACGCGGCTCGTGTAATTGACGAGCGAGAAGCCGCGGAGGCAGAACCTGCCCAGGATGACGCGCAGGAGCATGCGGAGGTAGCTGAGGATGAGCACACTTTTGTGCATGATAATGTCGCACCCAATGCAGGAAATGGCGAACCCGAGGACGAGATGGTTGCACTCGTCGAGGGCTCACAGTATGATCCAGAGGAGGAGAGCAACCCTCTGGAGGAGTACTTTGACCTCGAAGATGATGAGGTCATGTACTACGGGTCGATGCGCATCGTTGAGGATGAAGATTCTGCGGAATCTGAGCCCTCGCGTGAAACACTCTCCGTGTTCGAGCATGAGATGCTTCGACTCCAGACCAAGATTACGGCTGGAGGAGATGCTACAGCACTTGTTGGAGATGCTGACAATGCTGCTGTGTCCGCTGTATTTACGAATCCACCGGCATACCAGGATGAGTCCTCGGAGCCGCTGTTGTTCGAATCGGACACAGATGTGGAATCCCAGCTGCAACACCATGCATTCAGGTAGGAATTATTACTGAGATAATGAGACTTGTCGGAATGGAACAGTTTCCACCATGGACTTTTAATAGTCATAGATAGAATAAATAGAGTTGGAGTGTCTTTTTTTACAAGCTGTACAGTACGACAAGACACAAAATTGTATTTTTTTGAAGAGCACACGTGATCTCTGACTTTGATTGACCCGTCTGACTGACACGTCAAGTCAAGGTGTCAGTCAGTCAAATTTGACCCTCACTGACACGTCAAAGAATTTTTGCCAACACTGATGTGGATGACGACGAAATGCTGCCACTTGTGGCAATTCCAGATGCTGAGGAAAATAGTGACAGCATCTCGGAAGTTAATACTAATGGCGCTCTTGAGTCATGGCTTGCAGGTCCTCCGATGGATGCTATCCACGGCCTGTATGCCCTCAATGGTGACCTCCTTTCAAACCTACAACAGTACGGCCGGTACATCGACATATTGTACGGCCAATTGTTGTGGACCCAACGCGAGCTTGCCCGCAGCGTCGTAGAGCAAGGAAACTTGCTGCGCGACCCGTTTGATCGCGTGCGGGCGCTGACCGAATTCGTGCGGCGGCGCAAGCGAATTCGTGCACGGCTTCTAGTGCAGCGTGATATTCTTGCTGCAATGCCGTTGCCTGACCGCGGTGACTATGAGGATGACCCGTCGCCCGCCGCGGTGTTCAATGCAATATCGGACATCCTCTTCGAGGACCCCAACGATGCTCCGCCTGTATATGAGCTTCAGGACTTTGCGCCAACATCAGTATCGCTGCGTGCAATGGCCGCTACGCTGGCGCCTGCAGCATTACCCGTGGTAACTCATGCCATGATACGGCGCCAGCAGACTTGTCGTCGGCCAGACGTGTCGCGTCTTGACCAGACTTGTCTCATGGGCTACGTTACTGTCAACGGCCTACAGGCCCTCGTCCTGTTTGACTCGGGGAGTACGACAGACTCGATCTCTCCGGAGTTTGCTCGCGTAGCAGGAATCTCGATCTTGGAACTCGAGAATCCTGTAATCCTTCAACTTGGATGTGTTGGTAGTCGCTCACGAATTAATTATGGTGTGAGGGTTCCTGTTATTTGTGGAACCTTCCAGGATGATGTCTACTTAGACGTCGTCAATCTTGATCGATATGATGTTGTACTGGGGACACCATTCATGCGTAAGTTCGGTGTCATTCTTGATTTTGCGAACAGCATCATTCACTTCCATGGACAACAAATTCATGCACTCCTGCCAGGGGAGGAGGAAGCTGGTGCTAATCGGCGAAAAAAGACGTTTCCTATGCGTCGTGCTCATGCTAGCAGCATTGCCGCTGTGAATACTCCAAGTCCTACATCCCGTTCGGACCGACTAGCCGCTCGAAGAGACGGCAACGGTGAGGTGACCGGAACCTCATCGCAGACGATTCGACTGCATCGAATCACCACGGATGTACACGGTTTGGCAAACACTATGGATATTAAGCGATGCTCGAGAATTTGCGACAAGATTCTTGAGCAGAATGCAGATTTGTTGGAGCCTGTGCCACCAGGCCTCCCTCCATTGCGAGAGGTTGTGCATATGATCCCTCTAATTGACGAGCGGAAGAGATATAATTATTATCTTCCGAAGTGCCCAGATGCACTCAAACCAAAGCTGCTTGAGAAGATCAAGAGATATGTCGATGCTGGCTGGTGGATACCTTGCCATGCAGGTCAAGCAGCACCCCTTATGTGCATTCCCAAAAAGAATGGGGATATTCGTACTGTCGTTGATCTGAGACAGCGAAATGAGAATACGGTCAAGGATGTGACACCATTCCCTGACCAAGATCAGATACGAAATGATGTGGCTCGAGCTCGCATTCGCTCGAAGCTAGATATGTCAGATGCTTATGAACAAATTCGGGTTACACCTGAAGATGTTCATAAGACAACATTTGCAACAATTTATGGCACATTTCAGAGTTGTGTCATACAGCAAGGCGATTGCAATGCGCCATCGTCTTTCCAATGATTAATGACAACAATATTCCGTGACAATATCGGAATTTTCGTGCATGTCTATTTGGATGATATTTTCATATTCTCGGACACAATCGAGGAGCATGAAAAACACCTCGAGTGGGTATTTGCGAAACTCCGGAAGCACCGGATGTTTCTCAGCTGCAAGAAGTGTGCCCTATTTGCACAACAAATGGACTGTCTCGGTCATTTAATTGATGACAAGGGGCTTCATGCCGATGTGGACAAGATGGCCCATGTCAGAGATTGGCCAGTCCCTAGGAATTACAATGATGTCCAGCGATTTTTGGGACTTGTGCAGTATCTCGCACACTTTATGCCTGATGTCTCTGCATACACGGGACCACTCAGCAGAATGGTACGTAACGGTCAGGCCTTTAATTGGCGACCGATACACCAGAAATGTCTGTATTCGATCAAAGCTCTTGCGTGCAGGACACCAATCCTTAGACCAATTGACCTGCGAAACCCTGAGCCTATTTGGGTTATTACTGACGCCTCTACATCGGGCGTTGGTGCCGTGTATGGTCAGGGCCCTGAGTGGAATCGATGCCGCCCAGCGGGATTCATGTCCAAGAAGTTCACGACAGCGCAGCATGCATACTATACCTTCGAGATGGAGGTGCTTGCTGTGCTTGAGGCTCTCATGAAATGGGAGGACAAATTGATCGGACGTCACTTCAAGGTAGTGACTGATCACCGTGCACTTATATTTCTCAAGGACAAGCGCAAGGTGCCGCAGCGACTCGAGCGGTGGATCGAGTACCTCAGCCGATTTGACTATGAAATTGTGCATGTTCAAGGCACAACAAACCGAGTCGCAGACTCATTCTCCCGCTACTTTGCGGAAGAAGATGCGGACATGCTGCACGACCCGCAGGATTATGTGTCAGCCGATATCCGACTTGACCCGCGAGGAGAAACCCTCTCTGGGAATCGCATGGCGGAAATCCGTGCTCAGCGTATAATTGAGCCGGTTGAGCAGCGCGTGCAGGAAGCGACTGAACTTGCTGCGCACCGCCCCACAGACGTACTGCAAACTAGTGCAGGTACTGGCGAAGATCCTACCGCATTAGATTCTGAAGTTGCAGGCCCTCCGCTTGATGTTATAGTTGAGCGGATTGTTGATTTCAAGGCAACAGTGAAGGACGGGTACAAGGACGATATGTTCTTCGCCAAGGTCCTAGAGCATTCTGATGATCACAAGGCTTTCGCCGTTCAAGACGGATTTATCTGGCACCGTCAGAGTGTGAGAGACGATGTTCTGTGTATTCCGCGGGTGCTAGTACATCACCGGAATCTCACGGAAATCATTATTGACCAAGCGCATGTCACACTGGGTCATTTGGGGAACCGACGTACCTCCGACTATGTTCGTCGCTGGTATTGGTGGCCAGATGTCGGAAAGGACATTGCAAAGTTCTGCGCGAGTTGCGGAACATGTCAGACATCGAAATCTGCTACCCAGCGTCCTCTCGGATTGTTACACAGCATGCCGGTTGCAGCACGCCCATGGGACTCGATCGGTATGGATTTCGTGGGACCATTCCCGGAATCCCAAGGTCATGACTATCTGTGGGTTATCATTGATCGTCTAACATCAATGGTACATTTAGTACCCACCAATACAACGGCAAAAGTGTCGGAAATCGCTTGGTTATATTTCAGGGAAGTCATCCGACTTCACGGCCTACCTGAGTCGATCGTCTCCGACCGAGATTCAAAGTTTACGTCGAAGTTTTGGAGCGAACTGCACCGCCTTCTGGGCAGTCAGTTGCTCATGTCGACATCATTTCATCCGCAGACCAATGGCGCTTCGGAGCGGTCGATCCGCACTGTCTCACAAATCCTACGAAGTCTGGTCAGGCCAGATCAGATGGACTGGGTTGAAAAGATACCGTTGGTCGAGTTTGCAATAAACTCGAGCATCAACGCGTCCACGGGGTTCGCTCCGTTCGAGTTGAACAGTGGATACATGCCACGGATGATACGGGATCTTGCTCGAGAGCCGGCAATGCCGGGGGTGAAGGTGTTCGCCGAACGCGCACTGGAAAATCTGTCGATCGCGCACGATTCAATTATCGCTAGCAGGGTGGTACAGACTCACCATGCTAACCTGAGACGACGTTCTGAGCACCCAGAATTGGGCTCAGAAGGCGAAAATCTTGTAGGAAAGTTACTTTACCTGTCCACAGAGAACCTCTCTCTGCCGAAAGGGAGGGCCAAGAAACTGACCCCAAGGTTCATTGGGCCATATAAGGTGCTAAAGGCGCACCCTGAGACATCCAGCTATACCCTGGATCTGTCTAGTGAGCTCAGGAGGAGGAGAATCCATCCTACCTTCCATGCCTCCAGGCTCCGGCATCATGAGCCTAATGACAATGTCCTATTCCCTTCTAGAGATCCTAGGGCATTCTATGACTTTGGAAATGAGTCAGAAGACGAATTTTTGGTGGATGAAATTGTTGCTCACCAGTGGAAAGGCAATTCTATCCAATTCCTTGTCAGGTTTGACGATGGAGACACTCTGTGGGAACCATATGTCGAATGCAAAGACCTGGAAGCATTAGACCGTTACCTGGAGCTTCTAGGAGTGTCCGACTGGCGTCATTTGCCACGCTCGGGACGGCCGTGCGAGCAGTGCGAGTAGGTCGCATTTGCGCGTGAACGTTCGGCTAGCACTAACAGGACTTCGAGCTCGACGCGCGTTCAAGTCACGAGACGCCGACGCGTCGAGATTTGGTCTTTTCTTACGCCCAGCGCTTGTGACTGAATCTCGCCATTCGGTCATTTTGCTTCTTTCTCTCACAAGCACCTGGCTTGCTGGTGAAGTAGCTCACCAGCAATTATTCACGCTGCGCTATTAGGCGCGAATAAATTTGGGTTTTGTTCTGCGTTCTCCGGGACTGTTTTGGCCATGCCGCGTTCGAAGGCAGACTACGACTACCCGATGTCGGAAGGAGAACGTGAACACTGTGAGTTCGAGGATCATACTCACATGCGTCGATCTGAATCTCGCGAAGGCGGCGTTCGTCGCCCTCGCTCAGAATCACCCGGGGAGGTGACGGTACGCCTTCCCACACAGATAAGGCTCCCTTGGCGATACAAGGAGGAGCTCCGCAGCATCCTGCATGACCGAGGCTGCCTGACATGTGATAAATATGCGGACCACGTCAAGGATCACGGCAAGGTCAGCAAGGCATACAAGGATGCCGTGCATGACCTCGAGTTGACCGTCGGGAAGCGTCAGCGGGACCAGGCATACAATGTGGGCTACCTCCATGGGATAGATGAAGGTCAAGCCATGGCTGCGCAAGCCAATCGTGATGACCTTATAATTCAGCTCAACAAGCACATCGCAGAGCTAGAGGACATCGTTGAACAGACCAACACGTCCCACGCTCGGTTCACTTTCTCGTACCCCGTGAGAGGCTCTTCCTCTGTAGGGGGGGGTCCGTCGCATAACATAGACCACCATGTTCCGGTGATTTTCACAGCTAAGCCTACCGTCCAGTCTGATGGAGCATCAGCCAAGTCGAGGCCTACCTCCATGCCTGTGTCAATAGCCAAACTTGACCGGATGATCAAGGATGCGATGGTTCCTAACCATTGGAGATCTGCAGAGGCACTTCAGCACTGGTTGCAAGAAGCTCAGCCAGCGCTGCTTGCGAACCAAAGCACACCTGTCCAGCGCTACTTGCAGAAGATGTGGCATGCTCTGGAATGGTTCAACCCGGAGATGCGCACTCCCTTCTGGAATGATTCATGTGCAACATGGGTCAACTACTTGACAACTAACCCGAAGAAAGAGGTCATGGGCCTCATTCGTGTCGGCGAGAATGGCTTATTCAATGAGGAGTCATTCCGCATCATTCACGGAGTTCGCCTGCTAGCTGACGTGCAGGTGAAGATGAGTATTAACAGGAGGACCCATCGCGCAAATGTTCTTGCTCGTCTCCAGGAGCTTTTCCAAGACCTGCAAGCCTATGCTCAGGAATTGAAGGCCGCTGGCACGACTATAGCCAGTGTCCTCAAGTTGCAGCCTATTCCGGAGTCGAACAATTATCGTCTCCGCGACGTCGCAATTCACTGTGCGAAATGCGGCGTCACTATGCAGATGGCACAAGACGCACTGTCGGTTTGGGGCCGCGGAACTCTTCCCGGACCGAATGCAGAGGCGGCGCCGGAGCAACCTGCTCCGGGACCATCAAATATTGCCCCTACTGCCACTGACAGCACCCAGGACGGCCATGCCACCATAGCCGGCGATCCTGTGGGCAACACGCCAACTGAACCCGTTCCCAGACAGGACGCGGTGATGACGGATGTGAATCCTGCAGTGGTCAATGGCAACCCGGCTTAAATATGCCTATCGTGCGGCGATGGATCCATGTGGGTCCCCGCTGTACCTTAAGGCCGCCATTGCCTCTGGCCTCCGCCCCGCACAGTCACTGCTCCCTTATCCACGTCGAGTGTGCGCGAGTGCTCGATGTTAATCAGGAATCTCGGCCCTAAACTGGGAATTATGCAATCCGTCTCGCTCGTCGGGCGGTTCTCTTCAAACCCCTACTCAAGTCGCAGGTTCAACAGCCTGCTGTATTTCGCTCCCCCCCGGACTCGCTTTGGAGGAGGAGGGTGTAAGGATATTAGAAGGATAGAGTAGTCGAGGCGTCGGAGTTAGCCGAGGCGTTGAATACGCGCTCAACCGCGTAGATGGGTTTTTCGTCTTTACTTTACTCGCTGAAAACTTGCCTTCCGAATACACTCGGTTCAGTGCATTTCCCGCGACTTAAGGACCACCAAAGGCCGCAAAAGCCTTATAAAGATGCCGATGAACTCAATCCGCAAATGATAGCCACCTTCAATTCCATGTGAGTGTTATTCTTGGTACATGTATATGACGTTACGACGCGCATACACTGACCTATACTTTACTCTTAGGGACAAAGATGAACGTGAAGAACTCATTTACACTTTCGAAGCGATTATCACCTTCATACCTGGTCTCAAGGATCAGTTAGCATACATGGGAGAGGACATTGATGCCGTTGATATCCTTGGGTCCTACGTAAGTCCTCGCATATAACCTACTCGTCTTGCACTAACTGCTTATACAAGCTCAATCACTATGCCACCGATGCTCGTGATGATCACCTCGGCTCTCTTCGGGAGCGCATCATCAACTACATACCAGATTTCGGCGACGGATACCCTACATTGAAGCCACAAGATAGCAAATGGAAGCGTGGTTTCCAGAGCACCACAACCGGCTGCCTGCTTTGCCCCCAGTCCATGCTTTCGGATTTTCTAGCTGAACCTGATGGGTAAGTCTCTGGATATGAGCGAGTTCTATATTGACAATCATGTCCATCAGTTTCTGCCGCCAAGTTTGCGATGGTGAGATCGATGTCGCTTCTGACGAATTTCCATCGTTTCTGTATGATCAAGATCTCTATGATCCCGACGAATTGGATGCAGGGTTGCTTAAAGGCCCAGTGCTTCTCTCGGTGCGTACTCTAATCAACTCGTCATTCATCCCCCTATTACAGATTGCACTGAACTGATGTTGTCACGCAGTGCTTCAAGTCATTAATTACAGGTCCCGGTAGTGCATCATCAAACCGTGGAGACCGTGAGGGCGGGAGCAGCAGACCCGGACGCCCACCTCTCGCAAAAAAGTATGATATGACTCACGTCAGTCCTAGGAGTATCGCATACGTGGCAGTCCTGGTGAGCAGTATCGTAGTTCGGTCTCTCGCATTGTTCAGATATGCACTCTAGGTCCGCTTCCTCTTGAACAGCCAGCACTCATGGTCCAATATTGACGTCAACTTCAATCTCGAAGAGTTCTTCTTTGAAATTCTCCGGCTCTTCCAGGACGAAGAATGGGGGGAAGCCACATTAGATTGGTGGAACAAGTAAGCTTTGTACTGGAGCTATACTTGTGCTCACACCTCACATATAGATCGGTGTTCGGTACACCCGCAAAGAGCGCGAAAAAGAAAACCCGGCCACAATCAGCAATTGCTAAGTTGAAGGCTCAGCGCGCGGCTCGAGCAGCTGCGCAATCCGGCGCCATTTGATTCTCATGATGGTAATTATCTGCTTTTTTTCGGTCATACGTGCTTATTTTGTTATTTACATCTAGCACAAACCTCACCCTACTTGCTGCCGCTTGCACCAACTCTACCCGCAAGTTCCTTTTGCTCGCCTTCTTGCTCCCGCTTTTGTCTGCATCCTCCGATTTGCTGGTGTCTCCCGCACTTGTGTCTCATGCTCTCGCTCACTCCTCGTGTTCGCACCCGCTTGCTGACTCTTCCGCGCTCACTCTTCCGCGCTCACTGTTTCCACACTCACTGTTTCCGCACTCACTGTTTCCGTGCTTTGCTGCTGTACTCGGGTGCTCTCGCGGTGCTTAACCTTCGGCGCGTGTCACCGGCATTGTTGTTCTCTCTCAGTGGCCTCGTAGTAGATTTGTACCGGTTTTGTTGCATCCAAAATATACCTTTTGTCGAGCCATCTGCAGTGCCTGCTATGTGAAGGCAATGAAAGATAGATAAATTGTATTGAAATTATGGAGTCCGTGAATGTATTTACAAAGTTTATACCTTCGCATGCAGACTAATAACCTAACTTTGTAAAGCCGTACATCGGCTGCAAACTATCGCACGCTCGGCAACGTCTGCCGCAGATTGGTAAGTATGCATCGGACCGCCAATAATTTACATACCTATTAGGACACTGACGGAAACCGCTGCATACTGGTTACCTATCTTGCAGGGTTTGCAGCTCAGGTAAGGTTTACAGTGCGCTGTACTGCGCTGCATTCCGAATGCACTTTTTGCTGATGCTACGCAGCCTACGCTGGCGGTCGCGCATTGGTCGCGCGTGGTAAAGTAGTCACCACGTGACCGCGTCGCGCGTCATTTTCTCGATCTTCAACCCAATCTGTAACGCTACAGTACTGTATACTGCGCTACGCTTGCGGTACAAACATGGGTATGAATAGAGATCGTTCATATTATTCTGACGCGCTTCTTCCCCGAATTTACTCCAACCTGGACCACATGCCCTACATCCTCGTCGAATTTGAACCTCGAATTCGCCGTGGACGATGCCACTGACGACAACTTTGAAGAGGATGGTGAAAATGAAGTCGTAGTGGACGAGCTGCCTACTCAGTTCCAGAAGTTCAGCCACTCCCAGGTTCTTGTGCGTACGACACTTCTACCTCTCCAAAGGCTCGGCCTGAGCTCTCAAATGACGGTGAGTTCAATGGCTATTGCCGGGAATATATACTGATCTTGTCTCTCATCGTCGCACACAGTGCCGACGCCTATTTTAAGAAAACTCAAGTATAGTCTTCGGACCTGACGGAAGACCATGGATGTCCCACCAAAACATGTTTCGACGAGAATTTGTATCCGTTCGTAAAACGTGGCTGCCATGTCCTCGATTTCATATGAAAGTATCCTGCTCAACGGCTGCTGGATTCTCATGGGTCCGAAAGGTTGTGGATCTTCTGTGTTCTGTACAATATTCGAACAATGTACTGATCAGCTATAAAGGTGAATTTCCCGCCATTCCTTTCGACCTTCACGCAGCATAGGGTCTATTTCCGCCTCTGTCCCGTAATATCAGAGAAACTAGTCCAAGCGATTTCTGTCTTATCCAATCTGCAAATATCATCAGCGATGCGATCTCTCAAGTTGAGAAAGCGAGCAGAGATGGGGCGGTTCCATCCCACACGGAGTGCGACCATTAGTTGTATTCGATGCAGGAAAATATCCAGAGGTGAGAATATTCTTCTCATCTCGCGGGAGAAGCTCTGTTCGTTATTTACTTACTATAGCTCATCGACAAGCAATATCGAGCAGAAACAACAGCAAGACGATCAAGAGTCCAAGAGCACAGGTACAGGCCCATACACGACGCTCGACTTCTTGTCCGACGATATCGCGACGACCTGAAATCGTTCTTCTTCCTCGCTCGGTTCTGTTCTACATTTGAACCCTAGTCGCCCATTTGTCGGGACCACGGCCTTCTACGTCGAGTGCAACAGCTGGAGATCCAGACTCGAGCGTGTGACTGTGAAGAATAATCTGATTTCGTTTAGAATTTTCATAGACGCTCAATTACGATGCGACGCCATAGATATATGTTTTCTCCTTGCGCAGCCATTAAGGGGAACTTGAACACTGTGGATGACTACAACAATCATTGTACTCATTCCTCTGAATCTACAACATGTCGTCCGGCATGACTTAGGTTGTTCGAGTTGAAGTTTAAATTAGTGCTTACCGCACGTTCATGCACATGAGTTGCGTCGACGTCTTGACAGGTACAAGGTTCTGCTGCTGGAGAACACGACCAGAAGTGTGAAGCAAAGCAGCGTGGCCAGACCACACTAGTAGCTACTTCACTGAGCCACACCCCGGCCAGCATGACATGATTCTTAGGGGTAGGAAACAAACAAACTGAGAAACGCGCATCAATTCCGGCTTCTCGCATTCATTCGTTTGCTTTTCCCTGGTCGTTTTGAACCACCCTTCATGCCTCCCTTCCCACTTCGCACACCCTTGCCCGCCCGGGCATCGAAGTTGTCCGTCGAGGCCTTCGTATTCTGCTTTGATCTCCTTTGTGGTCCGCCAAACCCAAACTTTTTGTCTCGTGCTTGACGCGGTAGTTTCTTGTTCCCTCCAGGGCCTGGGCCTTTGGGACGTTTCGAGGGATGGTCTGATATCGCATCTTCCACTGCGACGTCGAAGTCGTCGCCTTGCGGGTTGTCCAGAACGTCTTTCCGTTCTGAAGCGTCCAGAATGTTAGTTTGAGCAAGAATAAAGAGGTGACGAGGTACTTGCTCCGCTTCAAACCCTTCAGCCGTTGTTCCATCTCCTTCTTGCTCATCTCCCTCTCCCGGAGCTTCTCCAATTGCACCTGCTTACCAAACTTCTTGCCTTCCCGCTCCTTCCGCTTGTCCTCGCTGAACTTGATTGAAGCACTTTCGTCAAGAAGACGCTGACGAATACGTTCCATGTGCGCATCGGACTTGACCATTTCTGCGAAGTAGTCTGCAGGACGCGTGAAGGGGAGTTTGTGCTTCGCAGCGAGTGAGCGCGCAGTATTGGCTGCATGCATAGCCTGCTTGTAACTGTCCGAATCTAGTAAGATACAGGATACTGATAATATCAATGAACGTACAACGCAAGCTCGCGGTTCAGGTCGTCATTGACATCCATGTCAATACTTTGCGGATATGACACAGTTAGCGTTTCCGTCCAAGGTAGTGAAGAGTCCAGCTTTATCGTATCACGTATCCGTTCAAGCGCAACCTGTCGATGCAAGATTACCGAAATTCGTTTACTTTCTGTCGAAGTAAAACGCACCTTGTTGTCTATCTCAAGTTTTTGCTGGGGTACCACGTCTTCATCCACGGAGTCCATATCAGATAAATTGTCGGCAGGAATTTCATCGTCAGAGTGCTCTTCGTCAAATGCAACTTCTAAGCTCGACAGAGGCGACATGGTAATTGCCACTTCGCAAGAAGAATCTTTTCCAGCTGGCTCGTTTGCTGAAGGGCGTCACATGACTCTTCGAGTCGACGTACTTGCCGCTCTGCGTCGACAGTTGACTGAGACGACGTCGTCCAGTCTCTACGACGTGGCTTCGTCGCAGAGAATACAGTATGTTCTCTGTACGGTACGTTCCCTTCGTTAAACCTACATACCCTCTCTGGCTCCGGTTATCCTGACGGACGTTTACAGAGAGAAGTCTTCTTTGGCTACTGGAGCGAGATATTAACAGACACCAGTAACGGCGGTGCGTTTGGCGTATCATCTTCCGTGGGCTCAGTGTAATAAACTGTTGTTGTCTTAGTTAGAGACGAGTGCAGCGTATCAGATGATGCCAACTTTACTGCATCTACCCCCAGAGATCATAGAGCAGATTCTGCTCGAGCTTGATCCGCTTCATATCGGCTCGCTCGCCCAGTCCTGCTCTGACATGCACTCATTTATCTATGACCCCGCTGATCAACACCTCTGGCGCAGTTTATATCTATTGCAACCGTTGGATGACCCACGGCAATGTTTGACCGAGCTGGGTTACCCGATATCGGAGGTTAACTGGATGGCGAAGCTCCAACGGATTATCAGAGCCAGGACAGTTATTAGCCGTCCGGCACAATGTCACGTAGAGGAGAGGTGCACGATCCTTTATACTCTCCTTGACCTTGTCAGTAACCTCCCAGCGGCCCCGAGCGTCTTTAGCGACGATCTCGCACTAAATCTCGTGTGGTTGGCTGCTCTCTTACGCGGGGGGAGTTACCTGGATGAAGAACACTGGGAAATTTCTGACGAAGAGAAGCAACTTCGTGCGCGCCTCCACACGTACTTTGGTCTCACCACTTCCGACTATCGCAGTCAGAGCAGGAAGCAGTCGCGCGCATACGTATACGCTATGCGGCACTACAAGTGGGACAACGATTTCGGTCCGTTTATGATGGATGGAAGCGGACGTGTAAACTGGGTACATCTACAGGCGATTCACCATGTTATGTCTATGCACATCGTCCCACCGGAGCAGGAGTCGGAATCGGAAGCTTCCGTGTTCACTATCTTTCCGATGAGTCTGCCTTACTGCCAAAGTATTATCCCTCGTCATCTGGATCTCGACCAAGAAGAGGATTGGGCCGGAGTGGCAGGTCTATGGGAGTGCTCGTTCTGTTTCTGTGATCACCACGAACTTCTCCGTAGGCTGCCATCTTCAATGCACGGGATTTTTGACTGACTTCTCTGCAGTCTACAATAACATGAATGTAAGTTATTATAGGTCCGCCTGATCGCGAAAAGATTTAGCGAGGTTCACCAGATATCTGACGTCGATCCGCTTCAATCTGCTATATTCGACGATCCCTCGTTCGTCGAAGTCTTCCGCACGATTAATGTCGAGTTGCGTGTCATCTCCACACAGCGACAATCAGACCATCCCAGTCGTCCTATGATTAAATTCGCAGGAGAGATCGATGACATGGCGATTATGGTCGGTTGGGTCAAAGTGACATCTGACGACCAGATCCGATGGCATTTTGTGAGTTTGCGTGTGCTGTAGAGCTATTTATAAAGCTGACGGTCTGCTTAATAGAATTCAGGAGAAAACGGCAATGCAATTTGGGGGTATGTCATGTTCGCTTAGTCCTGCTTCACGCCTAGATAGAAAATGCTGCTGAACACCGTGCGATAAGCAGTTCCGAGGGTGTTCAAGTTGGCGGAATCAGATCAACATTTGGCGTGCTGGGTGCTTGGACTACCACTCACCACGATCAACAGGATCCAGTCGGTGCGTACCTCCGCGAGCTTTCATACCTGTCAAAAGTAACAACTTCTTGTAGGCCCGTTCTGGATGCGGAAAGCGCATCCTCCGTCAGAAGCGGAGGACCTGGATCAGTCCACCGCGGAAACATGAATTCATTCATTGTTCATCCCGCGTTCATACTCTCGGCTTCTGAAGCGCTGTAAGATCGCAAGCATAAGTCCGTTGAGTAGAGTTAATCAATGTCAGATGCGTTGTTCTTTTGGAGCATTTGGCAAATTTTCCGTAGACTATGATACTGTATGGTTACGTTGTGGACTCGCGGCGCAGACGTATCTGTAGCTGCGTCACTTAGAGGCTGCGCGAGAGTGCAGATCTTGCGCATCAGTTACACTAGCGAGTCCCTGCCCCCCCTCCTCCTCCCCGCCATACGGATATCAGCGCAAATAATGTATCTCATTGCAGCCGGGACCTTTGTGCTGCATCTCATTCCCTGACTCATCATGAGACAAGATCTGTAACCTCTATGTAGAGCGCTCAGGCTTTCATCTCACCGTGAACTATCACGCCTATGCGTACGATTGCCGTGCTGGGCCCGGGCGTTCCTTTATGGCTCCATTAATTCATCGATGATCGTATTACGCGGGAGCTCTATAGCATCTGATCAGACAGTACGTGATCATATGTACATTACAAGCTCTCTGATGGCAGCACTTTGAATTCTCGAATTCACAGTCACGAGAGACTACGTTCGGAGTCTCACGTAAATTGTCTACGCACGTCAGTATCTATATAAAACCAACCGGTCAATCGTGTATTATGTTCACTACCTTCGACTGCGTTATCGTCGGCTCAGGGCATGCTGGCAGTTGTGCAGCAATGTCTGCTGTCGAAGGGGGCAGCAAGCATGTGCTCGTGGTGGAGAAAAGCCCTAAAGATTGGGTTGGCGGGAACGGCTATTTCACAGCAGGAGCACACCGCACGGTACATGGTGGTGTAAAGGACCTTCTGCGGATCGTGCAGAATGTCAGTGAGGAGGTAGCGACTACGATTGATATCGAGCCGTATTCCGCGGAAGAGTTCATCGGGGACATCATGCGGCTCGGGGACAACCAGTCCGACCCGGCGATAGTGCAGGCCGTCGTGGAGGGGTCGAGTGATGCTGTTCAGTGGCTGGCCGATTCCATCCAGGTTCCCTTCACTTTGGCTTTCAACAGACAAGCCTATCTGGTGAATGGCCGGCAGAAGTTCTGGGGCGGCATGGCCCTCAGCGTGGAGGACGGCGGAAAGGGGTTAATACGGGCGCACCAGCAGGCCTTGGAGAAAGCTGGCGTCGAAGTCTGGTTTGATACGCCTGCTGTCGAGTTGGTTGTGGACTCAAACAGCTGCATTGCCGGACTGATCGTCCTTCATAATGGTGAGCGGCTACTGTTATCCACTCCGGCAGTCATCCTCGCTTGCGGAGGCTTCGAGTCCAGCACCGAGCTGCGTGCAAAGAATTTGGGGCAGGAGTGGACACATGCCAAAGTAAGCATAGTACCCTATCTCAATACTTTTTGTGAATAATGTTCCTCTCTTCCTTGTTGAGGTCCGAGGCACGCCGTACAACACAGGGGATGGAATTGCGCTTGCTCAAGCTATCGGCGCGAAGGTTGCAGGCGACTTCGCAGGCTGTCATTCTACGTGTTGGGACGCAAATGCGCCACCCGATCGTGGCGATCGTGCCTTGAGCAATCAGTTCACGAAATCGGGATATCCTCTCGGTATCATGTTGAACGCACTCGGCAGACGCTTCGTCGACGAAGGCGAGGACTTCCGCAACTACACGTACGCTAAGTTCGGGCGCGAGATTTTGCGTCAGCCTGGAGGCTTCGTATTTCAGGTGTGGGACTCTAGGACAGTTGATTGGTTGCGGAATGAAGAGTACGGCGATGAACTAGTGGAAAAGATATGGGCTCAAAGTGTTTCCCAACTGGCGGAAAAGTTGTCATCGAAGGGTTTGCAAGATACTCGCGAGTTCATCTATACGATTGAGTCATACAATTCCGCCGTGCGCGCTTTTCAGCTCGAAAATGCCTCGCTCGAGTGGGACCCTGCTATCAAGGACGGGCTGTCAAGTGAATCATCCACGACCTCCCTGCAACCCCCGAAGTCGAATTGGGCTTTACCTATCGAGCAGCCTCCCCTCCTGGCCGTGAAAGTGGCTTGCGGTATCACATTCACCTTTGGAGGGCTTGCAATTTCCCCGGATACTGCAGGTGTGATCTCCAGCAGGACAGATAAGCCGATCGTCGGGCTTTTCTGTACAGGGGAGCTCGTCGGAGGCTTGTTCTTTAAGAACTATCCCGGCGGCAGCGGTTTGACTGCAGGCGCGGTGTTCGGGCGAAAAGCAGGACATGCAGCTGCGGCATTATCGTTGCGTAACTCGTAGGCGAGCAAATGCTTGCTACAGTAGACACTTCAATTTGTTCCCTCATTCGATAGACGACAGAAATTAGGAAGTTTGCTCGTAGGACCACAAAATAAGTATCATATCTCGTTCGCAAGAAGTCTGACGAACGTCTCGGGCTGATCCCAATGAACCTGATGAAATACTTTAGTGACAATATGCTGATGGGAATATGGCACTTACAAAATGATTAGCGTTCTCCACTCTAACAAACTCCAGGTTTCTGCCCGCAGGTGAAATTCCATCAAGAATACCCATGATCTTTGAGGCCGCTAACAATTCCTCTCCGACACTCATGTCACACCAGAGCGCCCGGAGCTTCAGCGAGGGCCATATTTCCTCCCGACCGTTATCGCCATCAATGTAGCAGCGGGACAGTGCGCGGCGCAAATTCTCTCCATAGACTGTGACATCCACATTCTGAATCAGTACTTGCGACCGTAGCATGACGCTGGGATCTGCAACAGCAGCGAAGACGTCATCCGACATTCGGAGCACAGACGGTGTCCAACGAGCGTCATCGGTGTCTTCGTGGACCGCCTTGCGTGAAGTCAGGGTCGATAAGAAGGCAGGTGTTTCAGGTTCCAGATCGACTCGCGTGAAGTAGGATGACACCCACGCCGGGAAGCCAGCAACTTTCTCCTCGTAAGTGAGTCTGGCATCACGAAAGATACCATACATGTCCTGTGGCGCTGCTTCACCAATACCCGTCAAGGACGAATCTAACGTGCCGGTCCGTGATTCAGTCCACCGCTCCACTTGCCATTCCACACGACACATACCGTGAAAAAAGTAGGCGCGGAAGTAAGCATTGAATAGCTTCCGCGTCTTTTCTGGCATTTTGTCTGCATGGGCAATCACAGGAATGGTCTGACAATTTGCCGAGGACCATCCGAGAAGTGCGAAGCCTCCCGTGGTGTCAGCAGCCTCGGCGGCTGAACGCGAAGTGGGTGGTATCTGCTCCTGCTCGATGAACCAGGTAATGAAGGCGGCGAGCTCAAGGCCACGGTTCTGTATTGCTGCTGCCTGCGCTTCGCGACCTGGTCCAGCGAGCAATTCGCGCTCGGTAGGTGAATACGGCGACGAGCCAGGGTAATCACGAAGATTGACAAGGACAAGGCGAAGGTTATGGACGGCTGCGTATGGGACCATAGGCCGAAATATTCCTGAGATAAGGAAGAGGTCATTGATTTTAAGACCTTTCGCTAATAACCCACTCACCACTATGGAACATAGTTCCGTGCACGAGGAAGATTGTCGCGTATGTAGTGGATGCTCCTGGCACGCCAGAGTCCTCGTAATAAAGTGCTGTGCCTTTGTCGTCTACTGGACCAACTGGCATGGCGAGATGGAAATCGAAGAAAGAGTAGGCTCTCACGCTCCCAGGCGAACTACACCCTTACTTCGGGACTTTTAGCTGGACTCATATGACTCCTCCGGGCAGGACGGGGTGGTGGGGGTGGTTCGTCGTTTAGCTGGATTTATCTCCGAAGACCTGTGATGAACAAAATCTAACAACAGCCTTGCCTAGGCTACTAAGTAACTCATGGCTTGAAGCACTTTAGCCTATACCGGATAATAGGTGTGATGATTCTTCCAGTCTTGAGTCACCCAGACTAGATACTGTCACAAGTCAGAAAGCTAGAAGAGACCAAGCAAGACTGGCGAAACTACACGTCAGAACGTTATTAGCTTAGCTTACTCCCCAACCTGATGCCAGGAAATACGGGAGACCTAGCCTGCACGCGCTGCAGATGATCAAAGAACGACTTCACCACCCCAGGAGTCAATTCGCAACTACATGACACATAAGGTCCTCTTCGTATTAGTTGCAGCATCTGCGGCTCACGCGAAGTTAACTATTTCTCGGTCTTCTGCCAGTGCGTCAGTGCGCTTGCGCTTGCGAGCGGCGCCGGAAGCCAGGGTCTTTGGAGCCTCGGCTTTTGTGGACCCTTTCTTTTTGCTGTTCGCCTTTGGAGACCATTATTTCTGGGAATACTTGTAGTAGCGAGCAAGGAGTAGAAGGTAGTAGATGCGGAACACGATGCAGCATCTTACTACATGCAGACTCACTGTCACGCGTCTCAAGTTACTACATCACGTGCACCGCGTCAGTAACGCACTACGTCATCGACGCCGGAGAACTACTGCAGCCGTGGATGCCTAGCAATAGAGTCGAGGCGATTTGGTTCGTGTTTTGGTCAGATATTATTCAGAAACAATGTAGGCGACTTCGAGCAAATTGTATGAACGTCCCTATGTACCTCTCACCCCGACTATGATGAGATAGGATGGGCAGGGTATTCATTAGGAACCGTCAAATCTAGTTAGCCTCCTTATCTGCCTGAATAAGGAGAAATCAGAAGAAATATGCAAAAATAAGACGGGAGATCGCCTTATTTTTCCTTAAATAAGGCAATAAGGAGGTTAGGCAGATTTGACTTTCGCTGATGTGACGGAGATCCAATTCGTATAACGAATGCAGGCCGCTTGTAATTCCAGACGTTGATGCACGGACTGCAGCGGTTTTTTCGATGTCCGACGTTGGTGCTCGGCAGCCTCCGAGGCAGAGCCGAGGAACGGCATGAACGTACATATGTAGAAATCCGCGATTACAAATCATAGACACGGACCGGCTGCTTACGACGACCACTACTCTCCCTCAACTTGCCATCTCTTTAGAATCCCCTGAACAAAATGATTCCAGTCTTTGGAGATGATCCTATTAAACGCCGCCGAGAAATCAATCTGGGAGGTGCTCACTCTGCTGTTAGTTACTCCGACATTCTCAACGACGCTAAGGCGAAGCGACTACGTCGACTGGATGTCAAGCGCAGAGAGGAAGCTGCAATATCGATACAAGCTTGGTGGAGGGGACACTCCGAGGCGCGATTTGTGAAGCAGAATCTTCTGTGCACATTTCAGGAAGATGTCACCAGCCTGCGTGGCCTTAGATGTCTCGTGCTCATCGGACAGGATGAGGAGGCGCTGGGAGCATGGTCGGCCGCAGTGGTGAACGGGCAACAAGGTGTGTGTTACAACATCTGCCATGCTCACGTACGCTGAGGTTTCTCAGATGTCCTTCTGCAAGCGGACGCCAGTTGGCGCTTTCTCCTTCGGAGGACAGCATTATTGCTATTGCGATCTCTCTCCAACGCTCCAGAGTAAGTCTATAATACACAATGTCATACTTGTATTCACGTTCTGGGCTGCTCAAGATCTCAATATGCTGTGATGCACTTGACTGTGCTGAACCAACTGCTATCTGGCAATGCGTACACGTCGGAGTACACCAAGTACCTTCTTGATCATGGATTTTACTTTCTGATCGGACAATCGATGTCGCATATTGTACGTATTCAAGCGATGCACTGTCCGTATGTACTCATCATTTTTGCAGCCTATCGAAAGGAAGACTTCCCCGAGTTTGCCACTGCTGACAACGCTAATTACGCTGCCATTATCAAATGCTGAATTTCTCAGACAGAGCTTTCAAGATTTCATCATCCATATATTCAGCATTCCACTCCTACCCAATCGCCTCTCGCTACCTTTGCTTACATCCCTGTCCGCTCGTCTACCTTTGTCTTCAATTCACGTTCTGTCTCGCTCTGTGGCAGATATTGTCGGCAACCCGTTATTGTCGTTGCCAGAGGCGAAGGTTCACTTGCTAGCAAACATGACTGCATTCATGCCTCCGCGATACGAGAAATTGCCCGCTAGATCTTTCGACACGTATCTCCAGCTCACTGCAGCGCTCATGAATTCGCTTCCGACACAGGCCCTGGAGCCTCCAGAGAAGAAGCAGGAAACCTCATCACATTGGGCCGATGGAGATGATGCTGACGACGAACCACGCGTCTCCGTTGTATCTTCGTTTGATGCAAAATTGCAGTTGCCACAACTAGATGGACGTACATTGAAACGACTCCAAACTCTTCCATCTCCGCAGCATCTGAACTCACTGCTGGCAGCTACACAGTCTCGTTCGTCAAGATCTGATCTGCTATCATTTCTTTTTGCATTGACTACTGTGTGGCCGACCCGGAGGGATAAGGTGCTAAGCACGGTTTTTGCATATAACGGAGGTGGTCTTGTGCGAGAGATCTATCGTAGCTATGTGCGAGGTTCGCCTTTGGGCCGCGAAGACGACGCAGGATCTATGACAAGTACGTCTTGCATGGAGTTATCACGTATTCTGGTCTCACGTGGGCCATCAGACACTGGAAACGCTTCGTTGTGGCCTCCACTCCTGTTCCTCGTTGACCTATACAATCAGGCGCTGTTGACGATGGGAGACGATGAGTTCTTCTCAAGCAATTCGAGCGTTAACGTTGCCCGCAATCCGTTATCAGTTGATGAACTCACGTCTTTCTCCCGACAACTCCTCAACATCGCATTCACTTTGTACTGGAAAGAGGACCAGACCAACGTCCAGGAAGGTGGTGTCCCAGGATTAGGTATCTTGAAGTGGGAGGACGTTCGGGTGAAAATCACGAAGTGCCTGCAAGCCATCCATGCAAGAGAGTAAAGTTGAATTACCTTTTGTCTGACCTACATTCTATCTGACACCTTGCCTACAGTTCCCGCAGACCATTCACGCCCGCCGATCACTGGTTGATTACCTCTCAGGTCGACATGACTACCTTCGTTCAAGCGGCTGTGTAAGCATTCGTGGTTGTCCTATCGTGTGCATTCATTGCTCATCTGACCGCCTAGTTTCGAGGAACGTCAGATTGCCCAGCCGGAAGGTACCCGCCCACTGTCAAAGCGCCAAGTCGCATATTTGTCTCCACGACTGGGTGTGCTCAACAACATCCCGTTCGCGATTCCGTTCGAGACTCGCGTGTCCATCTTTCGCCATTTCATCGCGAACGACATGCTCAGTAGAGGGGTTGACCAATACGGGCGCCGATTCCAGACTCGCGTTACCGTGCGGCGGGGAATGATTGCACAGGATGGATTTGATCATCTGCAGGATGTGGACTTGAAGTCGCCTATCGCGATCTCGTTCATTGACCAATTCGGGCAGGAAGAGTAAGTCGTGTTTGCAGTCTTCAGCGACGTCGCAGTGATTGATTCCGGCGTCTCAGAGCTGGCATCGACGGAGGCGGCGTATTCAAGGAGTTCTTGACCTCTCTCTGTAAGGAGGTGTTTGATACAGACAGGGGACTTTGGCTCGCAAATCAGAAGCACGAATTGTATCCCAACCCGCACTCATACGCTACAGAAAGTAATTTACCGGGTATCAGTTGTTGAGCCCAGGAAGCTCATGCGATTTCGTTTTAGCCCATAGCTTGAACTGGTATCGTTTCATTGGCCGTATCCTCGGAAAGGCGCTATACGAGGGCATTCTAATCGACGTCGCTTTTGCCGGGTTCTTCCTCGCTAAGGTGAGGCGGTCTTGGTTGATAGCCACAAGTCGAGTCTTACGGATCATCTATCCTCAGTGGCTTGGGAAGCAAAGCTTCCTAGACGATCTGGCATCGTTAGACCCAGAGCTGTACCAAGGCCTGATCTTCCTCAAACATTACACCGGCAATCCGGAAGACCTGTCTCTTAACTTCACTGTCGCGGAAGAAGGTGCGCTCTTCATTACGTGGTGGTTTCGTTGTCTGGATCGCTCATTGTGCAACAGAGTTTGGTGTCGCAAAAGCCATGGAGCTCATACCCGACGGTAGCAATATTCCGGTCACCAGGGAAAACAGACTGCAATACATATACCTCGTGTCGCATTATCGCCTTACCAAACAGATCAAGCTGCAGAGTGAGGCATTCTTTGAGGGTCTCTCCGAGATGATCGACTCAAAGTGGCTCCGGTGAGTAGATAGACTTGTATCACAGCTATGACTGCTCGTGTTGACGTCCATCGTAGGATGTTTAATCAACAGGAGCTCCAGATCTTGTTGGGCGGCGTGAACTCTCCGATCGATCTCGAAGACCTGAGGGAGCATACTCATTATGGTGGTCTATACGACGATCACGAACCTACTATTCAAGTATTCTGGAGAGTACGTACCACGCTTCATCCCAAAATCAGTTAGCTGACATAATATGCAGGTTGTCGACTCGTTTGATCAAGAACAGCGCCGAAAATTGCTGCGCTTCGCAACCAGTTGCAGTCGTCCGCCCTTACTGTTAGTCTGCAGTTCTGCCGCTTTGTTCTGCGTACTCACTTTCTGCGCAGTGGATTCAGAGAACTTGTTCCCAATTTCTCCGTCCGAGATGCTGGCTCAGACGAAAATCGCCTCCCAACTGCGAGCACATGCGTAAACCTGCTAAAGGTCAGTGTGTTTGCCATTATATTGTTCTGATTTTCATCCAACGAATTCTGTTCCGCAGCTGCCACGGTACAAGAGCGAGATTGTTCTTCGTGATAAGCTCCTGCAAGCTATCAACGCCAATGCTGGCTTCGACCTGTCTTGATTCCGTGCAATTTGCTTCCGCCTTCTAGAGATCATCCTCTCGCCTCTCGCTTTGTAGCAGTGATTCGTGGCACATGTTGTATTAATTAGACTTCATACCGCTTGTTCGAAGTTCTCTGCATGCGTAGACGTGATGCATTTACATCCTTCGTTTCGGTTTGGTCAGCGTTACGCTCTATTGCCATTACAGAGCTAAGACCCTTTAGCGTGCCGAAGGTGCAACATTGGCTGGTTAGCTTTCAACCAAAAGTGAATCCATGACGCGAATGGTATTAGCGATACCTGAGGCCCGGAGCCAACATATGAATTCGTGTTGCTGGTATGTACGCTCGGTGAGGTCTCTGGCTTAGAGCCACTTGACATGACCTAGACTGTGGTTAGGGTTTTGGATCACCCCTCAGAGTCTGCGAATTCGCCAAGGTTATTACTCGAAGGACCGCCGGGCGGCGGCAGATCTTGCTCGGAGATGCTCGACGGTAATGACCAGGTGACGACGTGGTTAAATGGACTTTGTATAGGTTGGCAATACCGTAGCAATACAAACAGATAGAATAGTGGGTGCACAAAAAAAAACCCACACCGCAGGGGAAAAAGCTACCACATTTTGTTGGTCTCTATATGTTGGCGCAGTAGACGGTAGGGAAGTAACAGGGACAGATAGAATAGTGAATGTATTAAAGAAAGGACGCACAGGGGAAGACCATATTTTGTCGGTCTCGCATACCTATCATCCACCTTTGATGATGCTTGTAAGTTATGTCTTCTAGAGCATCACATTCCATGTAGCCGCAGCGCTTCCTGCTGCTCTACCTGCGGCTCTTCGCGGGCGGTGCGGACGTCTGGGCGAACTCGCAGCAGCACTTTGACCTGCGCATGGACGTGGTGATGGGCTGCCCAGATGAGGCCGTGCTGGTCATCGCGGAGATCTTGGCACTCGCGCACTGGAAGGTGGCGGAGTGCGTGAATCGTGCGCTGCGAGGACCTGAGCTGAGCTGCATGATTGAACAGAGTGGTTGCCGGATACAATTCATGCAAAAGTTGTCAGTGCTGGGTAAGTTTTTACATTGGAAGATATATCTACACATATAGAGAATCCATCCTCAGGGGTCTGATATGTTATGGAAACCTCCCATCTGTTGCAAGTTGCAGGTTTTGGAGTGCCCAAAAGGTCCAATTTTCGTTAATGTGGGTCAGCTGTGCACGTGATTGAAGAGAATGGTCAGCTACAATTCCTGTGGGCACATTGGGTATGATTTTTTGGGTGGTCTGGCAACTCGAACCATCACTGAATGTGCTGGAATGTACCATGGTCTTTCAAAAACCAGCCCGAGCATGCAAAACCCAAGTGCAATCAACGAGCATTCAACTGGGAGGGAGAGATAACAGTTACCAGGAACAAACAACTATAAATATCCGTGCAGGACGGACTGCAGAAGATGCCGCGTCAATTATGGGTTGGGATAGCTTGCTCTCCGAGCAAGAACTGGTCTATTTTGACTCCAGACCGACGCTACTGACACCATTGTTGCGGACTTCGACTGAAAGTAGCTGCCTGAAAGATGCTTGAGAACGAACCTTGCCGGTGCCAGTGCGTGATAAAGTGTTCACGCCACGATGCCATACTTTCAATATTGCTCACTTTTACAGATTGTGCCCTAAATTTTGGCAGATGCCGATTGGTGTGTTTGACTCTTCGCGCATCGCCGCTTCCGAGTGGGCTGTCGTATATAAACTGGTGTCAGCGTCCGACTCAAGTCAAACTAACTGGCCGTTTTCACTTTCTGCATTTTTTTGCTCTTAGGCCGAACACAACTTCATTATGTCTCATATACAGCGTAGGGTTCCCTAGCGACTTTGCTGAAGTGATGGGAAAACTTTCCCACCGTTTGTCTATAGCTGCAAGCTCGAGTTTCAGGCTTGAAGCGCATTCACGGCGAGGCAATGCCGAGTTCGTCAATGGGCCAATCTTCAGGTACCCGGACCGAGCAGACCTGCAGGCTGTAGGCGCGAGTGGCATATTTCAGGTATTGCCACAAGATATATGGGTGTATACGGTATGATCGATAAAGGGAGGATGATCCAACAGTCAAGAAGCATCGCGTAAATTCACTGCCAGTGGTCGCATCCAGGTTCTCTTCAAGCCTTTTGACTATCTCACTAATAGGCGTAGGCCGTCTGTAACCCCGGCGCAAATACAGGAAGCTTATGGTCGTCATTGAAGGACTGCAGAGGCCTTTGGTGGCTCCGGCGGAGTGCTCGAACGAATAGGGAAGAGGTACTCGTACGTGCAAGGACCCCTCCTGACCAAAAGCCGGTCAAAATCACCGTTGAGGAGCGTGCCACGGGCACCATCTTTCTTTGCGATCCTATCCGGATGGCAGGAACAAATATGACACCAAGGAAATAGGTGGAAAAGCACTCCGTAACCACTCCCGAGCCTCCTTCACGTAGTCTGTCATACAGAACTTCCATGTCTTACTTTTTGGTATCATATGTACCAGATATAATAATTTTAGCTCCAGCCGTTGCCCATGGAAGCTGGTCACATATCGCCCTCCGAAACACCCGCTCAGAAATTTCCCGACTCTCTTTCCGAGACTCATTTTTCCGCGCTGTATGCACCTGCGTATGGGACGTACGTCATGCGGATATAACCTTTCGAAAGCACACCTTGTAGTTATTGCATTGAGTTGGATACAACAACAGTCTCGCTCTACCCCAATTTACATTGTTCAATTCTTCTTCGCACTGACCATAAGCCAACAACTCATTCCCGACGGCCCTACGCGTTGACGGCGCCGACTTCATACAAATATGTGCCCAGCAATTTGCTCTGCGAAATCCGTACTCCGGTGAGCAGCATGCATGGAATAGAAATAACGTTACACGTACTCCTTCTATGAAGTTCGACTTGTCCAGTTTTTCGTTGGCTGAGCTGAAAGTGGAACAAGTCAATACTTGTCCCGCCCCCTCAACTCAAGAACTCACTGAGCACCGTCATCCCCTCTTCCCATCGGCAAGAGCAAGACATTCACACCAAGACTTTCCGCAAAGGTTAGAGTGACAGGAATAGAGCCGCCTCCACGAGTCAAGTTGGGCGTCTGCTTGTATACCGCCTATTCCAAGAACCGACATCAAAACATTCGCAACAAGGGACAAGATCTGGAGGAACGGGACAGGGCATACCTCTGTCACGCGCTTCGCTGCTTCATAGTTCCAGTGATTGTGGTCGGCGACCCAGGGCTTGCCGCCGTGAAGATTTTCAATCTTCAGCTTGTTCTTCGAGTTCAGCCTTGCAAATTCTGCATTTATGTATGCGAACACTAGAGGCTCTACAGCTTCTGGGGTTTGCGGAGGCACCAAGCTGCATGGGCTGTCAGAAACATTTTCCAAAAGAACTTAAACCAAACTAACCGGATGCTGAATTTACCCGAGACACTCGCAGGAATGACGGTTTTAGCACCCGCGCCACCGTCAATGCCGTGCAGAGACAGCGAAGGGTAGCGCATACGTCCCATAAGAACCTCCACTTTGTCATCAGACAAAGCAATTGGTGCGCCCACTGCATTCTCGACATCGGCGACAGAGTAATCAAGCTGCGCATATAGTGCTCTAGACGAACGTGTCAGATTGAAGTACCATTGGGTATGCGAAGGTCAACTTACTTCTCTTCTTGGCTAGCAACAGACACCATCTCGTCAACACCTGGGACCAGAATCTTGCCATTCGTATCCACCAGCTTACTCATGAGCAAGACGAGGTCAGTCATTGGCTCATGCACGGTTCTGCCAAAGGCACCAGAGTGCAAATCACGCGCAGGTCCAGAAACGGTGAGATTAAAGTAGGCTATTCCACGAAGACCATATGTTATGCAAGGAGTTCGCGCATTGAGCCAGTAGTTGTCCGACTGTGATCGGGTCAGAATTTCCTCGTCAGAGAGACAATGTCGAGCTTTATCTTGCACTTACGATGCAGACGCAATCTACACCCCAGAACCAGCCGTCCTTTCCCTTCGCTACCTCGGACGTGATCAGTTCGTCCAATCCATCGCTACCGCTTTCTTCCATTCCTTCAAAGCAAAATTTCAAATTTACTGGAAGATCAAGGCCAAGAGCTTTGTGTGCCTCTAACACATTCAGCCAACCAAGGATTGGACCTTTGTCGTCTGTGGAACCTCGCCCGATGAGCCTGTCCGTGGCAGGATCTACAGCGAGAGTGAACGGCTCAGTGTCCCATCCATCACTCTTCTCCGCCTGTCGTGAACCAAAATGGATGTTCACTACATTCCGGAAGACCTGATACAAAATTACATACCGGCTGCACATCGTAGTGTCCGTAGATTAGCACGGTCTTCTTCTTGGGATCATCACCAATTCTGCCCAAGATTGCAGGGGGTAAGGGAAGATCCTGACCGTCCATGACATGTCTTCCAAGGTCTACGGATTTGGTCTGCACACCAAGAGTGTCCAGCTGGCCCTGCAACCACAATGCCATCTTGAACACATCCTGACGATAAACTCCGTTGCCGCTTATGCTGAAGAGGACACTGATCGACTGGTTTCAACATGACCGTGAACTTAAGGTGCTCACCTCTGAATAGACACAGCATCTGCAAGGCGCTGGATAAACCTACCAGCGTTCTGATCAATGAAGCTCAGAAACCCCGAAGGAGCTGCCATATCTTCTTACTGGCAACAATCATTCAATCGCCAGAAACATGTGATGGAACCGCATGCACACTCACGATATAATGAAAACTTCAGAGCGATATCCTCGAATTTGCGGTGAATGACCGAAGGAGGACTGCCGTGAGGCTCTCGACAAGGAGGCGCGTCAGAAAGCAGACTACGGTGGATCATCATTGGATGAGTATCTCTGACGCCCCCACTGAGCGAAATTGACACACCTATGAGAGCCGAGCGGCGTTCAAGGTTATCATATTGACCATGCCAGGCACCTGCGACCCGACGCTGGACGTTAAAGAGCGCTACGCCCAGCAGCTGTGCGTCGTGGGCAGCAGGATAATAGGACCGGGCAGTGGACCACGAGAACCGATAATCGATTGCTTTTGCAAGACAGAACTGACCAACCAGACTGACCGCTCCGTGACAAGATCGGAGCGCCCCACTGGCAGGGCCCAACGAGTGCTAGCGCGACCGCCAGACGACCTCATGGACTGGCGAGCACGACATAGTGAGCATCATGGCCTGCTAGGAGGAACTCTGTAAGATCGGAATCGCCAAGACGCGACAGGGCGAGGCACCACACACCATGATGTACATGCCCGTGGTCCAACGACCTTCTACATAAATTCGAGAGGCGGTGCGTGCATGCGTAAGAAGCTCGCGGGACGAAGCCTGACGAAGCCAGTACATACCTCCACGGGCCCTGAACGAATGGCGGTTCCAGGCAACAAGGCAGTAGTCAGCTGGAAGGAGCGCAAACTCCGAATTGTGAATTCAGCGGACCGCACACACGCGGCGTGCTGAAGCCGCGCGCGCGCACGACTCACTCACAAATATCCCAAAAAAATATCTAGGATAGTAGGAATGGGAGCGTTGCCAGCGACGACCATTCCATTGCGAGGTAGTAGTCATAATCTTTGTCGTGACAGTATAGCGTACGTGCAGAAGAGCCAGACTATTATGCAGCGGGATCTAAGTAGAGGGAAGAAGAGGGTGCGCTATCGTACAGAGCTGGTCATGGCGTAATCGACGTAGGAGAGTCCATAACAGCGGATGCGAGGGTAAATGACGGAAAAGACATGGCGAATCCGCCAAGGAGCCCCCGGCAAAGAGAAGGTGGAAGGTGAAGTGTACCTACGTGTTCAAAATATCAAAAGCACTCCGATAGTTTAGTGAGCGAAAAATTTACAGTCGGAACGTTCATCAACCAGACCACATCTGCTTTTCGCTCCCTTCGGCTCGAGACATCTACTCCCGCGGGATCTGGTCGTACCGGGGAGGGATCTCTGCAGGAGCTTCCTCCTCCTCGGGTGTCGCGTTCAATCGACCGGCGTCCCGGTGCTGCACGACTTCTGGAGGATTGGACACCTGCAACCCGGAACGGTATGCTTCGCGCTCTTTGGCCGACTGGAGAACGCCGCCAAACGGCGGGGTCGATCCCGTGTGCGTAGAGCTGGTCATGGCCAACGACGGGCCAGGGCTAGGGTGCCTGAACTCTCCGGTAGGTATTGCGCCGACGTTATACGCGCCCTGTCCCTGATCCGACGACTGCGAGTACTGCGAGGGCGCCGACGTGGCTGGCGGGCTCCGGCGGTCGGACATCGCACCCGCAGCGCCCGCTGCAAGGAACGCAGGCACGTCCGCCTGCTGCCGCATCTCCTGCTGCGCGGGACTATAGCTGTATGGCGTGACCTCGTCCGCCCCCGCCAAGTCGATCGCGGGCAGCGTTGCTCCGTCGCGCGCGGAACCGCCGACCACACGATCGGGGTCGAAGTTCCCGTCGAAGTCGTCGCGCTTGGCCCGGCGGCGGCGGCAGATGAACCACAGCAGCGTGACCAGGATGATCGCGCCCACGACACCACCGACGACGCCACCCACGATCGCGCCCGTGTGTGAGGTGCTGTGGCTCGACGTGTTCGACCCGGCACTTGGCGTTATCGTGAACGACTGCACGACCGTGGATGTGATTATGGACCCCTGAGCATTCGTCGATCTGTAGGAGATCAGCGGGAGTTGGCGGAGAAGAGGCTAGGAGCTCACACAATCGTGCTTGTCTGCAGGGAGGTCGAAAGGTTGGTCGACGAGGAAGAGGAGAAAGATGAGTGCGACGACGACGCCGAAGAGGTATCCGAGGTCGGAGCAAAACTGAAACTGGAGCTTGAGGGCGCTGAACTTGTGGCAATGGAGCTGGCCGAGGTTGGGGTGCTTGTAGGAGTACTTGACGGAGTGAAGGTTGGTGTAGACGAGGGTGTCGACGTTGGAGTTGACGACGGTGGTGGAGACGGGGTTGAGGTCGGAGGAGTTGATGAGGGAGTTGATGAGGGAGTTGATGATGGGATACTCGAACTGGAAGACACCGGGAGGGAGGAGGAGGTAGACATTGATGATGAGCTGGATGGGCCTGAGAAAGGGGGGTCAGCACTGGTGGAAGAGCTGGACGACTGCGATGGCGGGTCGCTCGACATACTGAACGTCGACGACGGCGCCGAGGTCGGCGCCGCAGACGACTCGGAGCTCGCTGAGGACATAATCGCAAGTGGAGAAACAGGAGAGCTCTAGGAGAGAAGGCGGAGCGCAATGGGCCGAAAGAGCGCGAGGCTGCGCCATGAAATAATCGCTCCGCAAGCCCGATAACGCTCAGATACGCCCGTCTCGGTTGACCGCAGCCATCTCAGAAACATTAGAAAAACTCACCTCCGGACGACGAGGACATGCGAGAGCTGCTCTTTCAAACGATGGTGGTCGTGCGGAAGTGTGTCGCCCCTGCATGGAATGTATATATCCGCACGGCCTTCGTGACTCCCAGGTGACCGCACTCAATTTTCTCGTCACACTTTCTCCGAGCACCTGCTTTTCTCGATCTTCCAATCGTCCACCCCGACGTTGCTGAATTTTCCAAGGACATATTGCGAGCTTGGGTTTGACCGCTGCACCCATCAAACGCACTTCCTTCGCTCACTGTGACCTCGTCCACTGGCCAGCTGCGATCGGCAAAGCCATTATGCGTCACGCTGTGTCACACATCACATCACGTTCCCACCGTGGAGGACCATGCCCATCGCTCGTTTTGTTTGTTGTCAACGACCCTTCTCGACATGGCCAATGAATGCACCAGCGCGAAGACTTTCCCCATCGCTGGCGGCTCTCTGGCCACCGGTCCTTCATACTGAGCAGTGCCACCTTGTGTGACCGATTTTTCGGTGACATATGCGCAGCCCTTCTCGCATCACCTTCGCCGGGTACTCACACACATGCGCCCTCACATTCACACGCAGTGGCTATTCATGCTGCGGATGCCCCACGCCTTACAAGCTCTTCCATCGTGGCGCATATCTATATCCTCCCTGACGCATGGCGGCCCGCGTCGAGCGTGGATGCATCTTGCATGCTTTGAGAACTTCCGTGAGCGTCAGCTTCTGTCTGTGTCGTCTCCATAAAAAGAACTTCTCGTTCGTCCCGCGTATGGCGTGACTTTGCGTTGGTCGGGATTTCCGTATTGTCCAGGAGCAGGTGTTATAACCTCCCATTGCACCGCCGCAAATTCTGCAGGCCTTCATTCTTCCAGGACTCCGTTCACGCTTTCTTTTTATCATGTGTCGACCGCCGCGCGTCGATGTATACCAAAGAAATGTAAACAATGCAGGCTTTTCATGATCGTCTACTCCCAGCCCATAGTTTTGACTGGTACCACCGAGGCGTTCAGAAACAGGTTGTGTTGGACAGAAAGAGCGTGGTGTAGAGCACACTGACTCCTGGTTACGGAATCAAATTCCACTTTCGAATTCAGTATCGTTTCACGACATTCGTGAAGAACGTGAGCCGCAGTGAAGCAGAGCAAGGTGGAGTACGGTACTTCGTTGATCAAGTCATTCCTGGGGATTGACGTGACAGAAGCGCAGAAGAATGACACCGCTTACTGCTGGCGAGGAAGCAAAGCAATAATATGTGTCATATGATAGGCGCCAGCGCCAATATATACACTGTTGTTTCCCAGCCCATCATCGATGACCATGTCCTCAGTGATCCCTTCCTCCCTGCCCGCGTCCGTGGACCCTTTGATGCCCTCCTCTACTTCGCACACTTCACCCAAGACTCAGAGTAAGCTTTCATCTGGTCATTGGCAGCGGGAAACTAACATTGGTGTAATTGTCAGGTCTCGAAGTGCACACAAGTGCGTTGCAGTCGCGGTCGAGTGCGTCAAAGTTGCGGCGGTCTGCCGAATTGAATGAGGCTCGCATTTCTGATGGGGCAAGTGCCAGTGTTGTATACTGACTTACATTATCTAGGTTCTCGCCAGGTTCCGGCAGCAATGGGAGAAGTCAGCAGAATTTCGTGGTGTCCGACGGGAGCAGGTAGCGCCAATTCGTGGAGTTCAACAGCTGCGGGAGAAGTTAGCGGAACTTCGTCGTCTCCGACAGCAGCGGAAGCAGGTAGCGTCAATTCGTGGTGTCCGACAGCAGCGGGAGCAGGTAGCGCTAATTCGTAGTGTCTAACAGCGGCTGGAGAAGATAGCGGAACTTCGTGGTGCCCTCCAACAGCAGCGGAAGCAGGTAGCGTCAATTCGTGGTGTCCGACAGCAGCAGGAGCAGGTAGCGCCAATTCGTGGTGCCCGATTGTAACTTGATCGCCTTGGCAGCCTCTACTGTCCTTCGCTGCCGTGCTTCGCATTGTAAACATGCAGCGTCCCATTGACTGTGCTACTTAATACACGAGTTTCCGGGCAAAGCGAGGCAGGATTATTAATAATAATCATCCTCCACAACTTGCAGTCCACCATTGCACCTAAAGTCCGACTGCATTTATCTTGAACATCCTGGGCAGTACAACTTTGTATGTTGATTAAATGTCCTGAGCATGAGCCATCTGTCGTATGTCCGAATATATGATATTGCACCAGTGAGTACTGTTCGTGAAACACCCGATTCAGAATAATGGTAGCAACCTGTGCAGGACTCCAGGATCCGAGACGGAACTCACTCTGAATCTCGTGACGGTTCACCGTCTAATGTTTATTATCCAGCAGCACAATAAATACCGGATTATGATTGCCTCGACGAAAAGGATTGACTAGTATAGTAGCAAGGAATGTGGTAGTCCGTCCTGAAGTCCGAATAGTCCGTGCGAGGATACCTAGATACTATACATGTGTGTTGGGACTTTCGTCATGATAAAAGCAGAGCAGGAGGGAAGCGCAGACGTAAGATATCGCGATGTAAGATTACCAAATAGATTATGATGAGAGGCGACGCTGCAGAACCGAGCCGTTGTCCAATCCGAGTAGGCAAATTAAAGCGCCTCCCCCATAACAAACTCGCCTTCGTCCTCCTCCCTGACCTCCCTGCTCACCTTCTTCGGCGAGCGCTCCAGCCAGCGGGTGGTGCGGCCAGGGAGCGGGGGCGACCCAGTCGAAGTCGGCGACCCCATGTTCGTGACAAAGAGCGGAGCAGAGCGGGGGAACGTCGGCGACCCTGGTGAGTCAGGCGGAAGCAGCGCAGTCTGCGAGGTAGAGCGCCCATGGCCGCTGGGGGAGTCGTCCGATGACACGCTATGCATTGCGCGAGCGTGCGTGCGCGGAAGCGTGCTCGCGCTCGCGCTCGCTGCTGTCCTCACGCTTGCGCCCGCACCGAATGGTGAGGCGTTGCTGGGACCCATAACGTCGTCGATGATGCGGTGCAGATCGTCGGACTCGGATATGAGTGGGTCGACGAGAGTCTTCGGCGGAGGCCACACCGCCTCCTGGAAGATCGAGCCGGAGTCGGAGGCGCGCAGGCCGAGTAGGTGCGGGGAAGGCGTGTTGCGCGCGACCATGACCGTTTCCGGCAATGGCGATGGTGCATGAGAGTACGACTGTGTGCGCGGATCCATCGAGCTGGGATAGTCTTGGTACGACTGCATGCGCGGGCCGAGGTCGTAATCGTCCATGTCCTCGCCCTCGAGCAACATGCTGCGACGCGGGCGCGGCTCCCTCCTGAAGAAGTTTAGTTTCTTGTGTTGGTGTCGCCGGTAGAAGAACACCACAGCAAATATCAGGCCAATAAAAGCCACTCCGCCGACGACGCTTCCAATAATTACGCCGCGCCTTGTCGCAGTCGACATTCCGGACGAAGAGTCAGCTAAGGTAGAAGGGAAGGTCGTGTAAACGGTACTGATTGGGACTCCGTTTGACGAGATAACAATCTTCGACGTAACCCACACCTCAGTGCCATTGCTACTTGTGCTGCTCGTGGGGGGTGGTGTGGATATTGAACTGGAAGACGTCTGAGAGTTAGAAGACGGTGTGGAGGTCGGCGTGGAGGTCGGCGTGGCGGATGAAGAATTTGAGGAGGGCGACGGTATATTTGAAGACGTGGATGCACTCGAAGATGTACCAGACGACGTGACGGACCGTGTTGAAGAAGGTGTGGCCGAAGGTGTTGATGAGGGTGTAGATGACTGTGTAGGCGGGGTCGAGCTTGGGCTGGTGCTGCTGGACCTGCAAACAAGCTCAGTGATTGCAGAATGCGAGGACAATGAACGTACGTCGGAGATGAAGATGGTGGAGGAGTGGTTGTATCTGATGATGCGGAGGAACTATCACTTGCAGCGCTCGAGCTCGAATCGGAAGCAGATGCTGTAGGGGAGTCCTGGGAAGACGAGCCGGACGATCCAGAGTCCGACGTGGGGCCTGCAGGTTGAGCAGCGGTGGCGGAGCTGTCTGAGCCACCCGAGCCAGTCGAAGTGACGAACGGCTGGAAATCTTGTCTGCGTAACTGTTCCTAGCTTTCAGTTAGAATTACTGGTAGTCTGTGGTCTATACATACGTTTTCTCCAGTAATGAAATAGACGTCCACCGCGGCCGTTGGCTGAGTTGGGTCTTCTCAATCAGGTTTTGTATCCCCGAGGGGAGAATCGAGCGCACCTGTGACGATGACATGTCATCGACTTTTCTCCGTTTCGCAGAATTACCGCCTCTTCGCCCGCCGGTGAACACCATTGGGTAAAGACGAAAGAAATGAGGGCAAGAGTATGATGAGCGCTAGGAACACGCTCAGCTATCGCCGTAACGGGAACTTTTGTCCACGTGGGCACAGCCTTGGAAGCGCCCGTGAGTGGCGCTCAACCGTTCGTTCACTTCGCATCTTTTCGATTGAGCATCATCTGGAGAAAGCCAGGCATGTCTTTTCATGAACTTAGTGCGATCTGCACGACAAAGCACATTTCGTCTGTAGTTAAGCGTCGGGCTTCGACATGTTATGTGAGACGATCGTGGTGAAAACATTGGATTGAGAATGTGATATGATTTGGTTGGATCTCGATGCTTCCTCCAGATTCTCCACGTGCTATTAACCGTACTACTCGATCACCGCGACTGCATCTCGAGCACCGACGGTGGTTGGCAGAAATGGCTTTCCGTGTCCTACTTCTCGGAGCTGGTGAGATCAACTTTGGTGAGTGTTATGTGCTAAATAGGCCAGCTATCTCGTGGAACTGAGTGTTCAATGGTCAGGTTCGGTCGAAGGACCCATGTTCGTCTTGAAGCATATCTCGCTCATTAGAGACATAACTGAAAAGAAATTGTACAGACATTACACTTGGAACAGTACGTTCATGCTGCTTCATATATTCTTTTCTTTTACTGTGTCTACAGGAAGTTGGGTTCGCGACTGAAGGTCGTGGGACTTATTGACCCAGATTATGAACGAGCGAAGTTTGCACTTGAGTCCAAGTTCAACGGCAACTTTGGGCCAGCATACTCAGAATGCAAGCTATTCCAGACGGTTGAGTCAGCCGTACAAGGCTTACCAGTTGATATGCATCCGCAGTGCGTCAAGTCTTCCTACTTAATCCATAGATGCTCAGATATTTACTAACATAGTTTGGCCATCGTTGGTGCACCACCTTTCGCGAGAGGAACTGATTTACCTGGTCAGGACCTCGAGCTACAGCTCGTTCGGGCGTTCCCGAGTTGTGCGCTCTTCATAGAGAAACCGGTAAGTAGTGGGCCGGAAGATGCATGCTGGCGAGTGGCTGCGGAACTAGAGGGACGAGGAACGCTTGTTGGAGTGGGGTACATGCTGAGATACTCCAAAGGTGATCTTTTTTTGAAGTTCCAACGTTGGAACGGTACTTATTGCTTCAGCTCAGCTGTCCAAACGATGAAGTAGGTATCTAATTTGATCACGTTATATATGGACGATGACAGCATTGTCGCAGGAAAATAATCGAGGATCATAACATTGCCGTTATGGGTACCAATGCGAGATATGTGATGGCATAGTGCGTCTTATCCGTTATCTTGAATTGCCCACCTATCAGCACTCTCATCCAGCGAGTATGCCAGAAAGCCGGTAAGGCCACATTTTCCGGTGGCATCCCATGAAAATACCTTCACTCCTGCGTCCTACAGTCATGGTGGGACAAAACTTCGTCAGGGGGTCGTACGTAGCTCAGCGAACTGAACTGAAATTGTGACCCGGGAGACTAAATATCTTGGCTTCTAGCGATTGTTGAGCAAGCAACTCACTTCTGTGCGCTCTCTGTGGCTGAAAGTCTTACAACTATGCTGACCAATCCAAGGTGACCTCTCGCGCTATTTCGGCGGAGATGTCTCCCTCGCCTCCGTCTCCGCACACACGGTCGAGCATGACGACGCTCCAGGTCACCTCTCTGCAAAACGCTTTGACGAAGAGCCCATTCCCCCGGAGAACCGCCTTCCCCGCTTAACGAGTGCGACGTGGAAGTACAAGAGTGGTGCCGTAGGGACTCTGACGCATGTCATCGCACTGCATGGTGAGGGTTTCTGCAATTGGATGGTAGGGTCACGAGAAAGCCGAATGAGAGCTTTTCAGGAACGACGTATGACACGGAGTTCGAAGTCTATGCGGACGGGTATCGCCTGAAGCTTGTTGATCCGTACGATGCGCCAGTGCTGTACGTGCGCAGGCCCGGCGCTGCTGCAGAAGGTGTGCTGCTTTGTTTTTCTGGAAGCACACCATGCTATATCACTAAATTGCCAACAAATATGCTCTAGATGTCTATTCCTTCACTGGGGCATGTTTCAGATGACCCCGTTGATTTTGTTATGCTTACGAAAACTCCATCTTCCACAGGACGATCCATTCTTTACCGAACTTTCTACTTTTATAGATGTTGTTGAGGATTCGCAATCGCACACAAGAGCGTGCATCCTGAGCACGTACGCAGACGCCGTCCAAACTTATGAATTTGTGCGTGTCACTGCGAAACACATACGGTTACTTCCTTAACGAATTATTTATGTATTAGACATGGCGCATTCGCCGTGCTGGAGAGATGTCTACAGCAGAAAAGCGGGCCGCGCAGCACAGTAAATAGATAATGACAGATCATTTCTTACTGGGATGAATACATACACTGCCTCCGTGAATGCAAGTCGGATGTGGTAACAATTACTTGTTCGAGGCGTAATCGCGTGCTCGAGCGTTGGGAAGAGTGGAAACATATGACCGAACTGTTGTGAGGATAAAGCATAGAGGAAGACCGGAAGAGCTGATAACCACGGGCCAACCCTTCCGGCTGTTGTCAGTTCACAGAATAAGTCTGGGCAAGAGAACGTGAATACGGACCTCCAGCTAGAGAGTAGTTCTAGAGTACCGTTCCTAATACTGCTTCAGACGACCCTTCCATCTGAAGTCTCGCTCCCAAGGCCATTCTCGCTTTCCGAATAGGCATCATCGTCACCATCCTCGTTCCCTAGAGAGGAATCCGCGTTCCTACTGTCATTATCCGGAGCCGGATCTGTACCGTCCACCGAACTAGTCTCGGCACCAGGCATCGATCCATCCCACTCCAACTTGGCATTTGGGAAAAGGCGCAAAAGATATTCGGTGACTCGAACAGGGTCCTGTGGCCGAAGCTCCACTTCCTCCACTTCGGACTCTTCATCATACGGCCCCGAGAAGCTAAGTTCCTTTAAATTAGGATTTGAGATCGAAGGCAACTCTCCGAGCAACTCGACAACATCGTCGGTCTTTACAGGGGGAAGTTGTAACACTTCCAAGAGGGGGCAACAGCGTGCCACCTCAACCAAAGAAGAGAGTGATGGTACACGGCTTCCCTCATACATCCTCAGCTGCAGGGATTTCATTTTGGGCCAGGAAGACACCATATCCCGCACATCTTTGTCCGTGACCGACACCGGATCTCTGACACTGATGTCGAGATGTTCAAGTTGATGCATGTCCAGCAATGGTTCTATGAGTTCCATTATCTGCCACTCCGGGGTAACCGAGAGCGAGTACAACAACATTCTGACCGAAGTCATTGTCCCGGCGAATCTCGAACTCAACACGGAGAAACAACGGCAAAGCCCCTCCAGGTCGGCGTTGTCAGTCTCGGGATCGTAGGTGAACCACCGTAGGCTCGTGGACAATATGGATTCGATGAACTTTATGACTTTGGAAACATGCCCGTCTACCCACAGGATCTCCAGCTTTGAAAATCCTGAAGCAGATACTCTCTCCGTTTCGGGCACGTCATCGAGGTCGACGAGGAGCCTGGTGAGATTCGGCAGCAGGGCAGCTACACGAAAGGCCTTGGAACACCTCCTGATGTCGAAATTCTTTAATTCCTCAAGATGTGCGATGCATCCTAGATCTGCAAAATCGACATGAAGACATAAACTGAGGTCCTGCAGGTGAGGCGCTAGACGGCCTAAGGCGCAAATAGTTTGTTCCACAGTGCGGTTATGTGCGATTGAGTCCCGATCTTCCGGCCCGCCAAGAGAAAGATCTAAGCGACGAAGTAACGGAGGTACCAACGACAGAATCTCTGTTCGAAGAGGAGCTTGACTGAAACTCAGTGACACGAGCGACGGGAATAGTAAGTTTCTCCCTGCGAGGAGAACAAGCTGCGAGATTATTAAGCCATCAACCGGTGAATGATGGCTTTCAGTGTCGACTGCTATAGAACGGACTCGACGCGAATAAAAGCAAAATCTTGTCCACTGGTCTTTTGAGATGCAGCCGCGGAGGACCTGGTAAGTCGGCACGGGAGTACGCCCAAAGGTTGTGAGTATGCTGTGAGTGATAATCCAGGGGGGTGGGGGACACTCACATATACCATCCGCTTATTCCCATACCTGTCATTGACCTCCATCTGCGAGAGGAACGCCGACAATATATTTAGTAGAGGCATCAAATCACGTAGATGCTCCCACAAGGAGTCCAGCGCCGGATCTAAAAATATTTTGCTGGTGTGTGCCAGAGCCAGGAGAGTCTTCCGACTTTCTGAGGGATCCAAAGCATCGTGTGTGATCCATCCGACAATATTGGAGAGCGTCTCTCGAACCCAGAATACCATATGCATTCTCGTGGCCGCTGTTAGATAAACTGTGTGCAAGAGATTACTGCCGCCTCTCGATAAGTTTTACGAGTAGTCTCACCACCTTATACTGAAAGTGAATGTTGTTCGCAAGCCTCATTTGACACCTGAGTTCGAGCGATATCACGATGATCGATTGGTGGTGGATGACGCGACTCGCTTTATGTAACCGAGCGTTGCAAACATACGGACAAGAAAAATCTCATTGTGCTAGTCGAGGAACTTGGCATAGAGCGGCCCTAACTTTGAAAGTATCGCCCATAGCACAATACAAACATGTATTAAAGACATTGTCCACGGACTAAGTCGCAGGCTCCCTTCGGAGAAAGACAAGTTCGAGGATATAAGACACAAATGTACCACAGTATCTGACCAAAACCCAGGCTCATTCAGACTCTTCACTCATCTTATGGATGATGCCCTCTGGAACCTGAACCTTCAGCTGTGCAAAATGGAGTCCGATGCTGTACGGAACAATGTCCGGGAAACCAACTCCATCAGCAATTCGAGTCCTGACCTTCTGTGTGTCAGGGTCAACGACAGTCAGATCGCCCTTCCAACTGATAGGCTTCACGCGGCCTCGATAGTCGGCCACGTCAACGGAGACCCAGTTGTCCGTGCCAATGCATCCGTCCTGAGCAGCTGTAGGCGACGCTTCCAGCGGTGGCTGTACGAGAGTGAAGGGTATGGGTGAATGTTTCAAATTCAGGGGAATTTCAGGTAAGGGAATCGCTCTGGGTCGGATGTTCACTGCGAAGAATGGGGTATCGCTGAAGATCGAGGATTCAGGGTTTTCAAACGACGTTGGAGCAAAGACTTTGACTTCCATTTCCCCATCTGAGTTGGGTGCGAAGGAAAACTTGGCAAGCGTCTTGGGAATATTCCAATTCCGCCGACCTGGTATAGTTTCTCGGATTAGAGCATTGTGAATTGGGTTTCTATCGTGGCTGCTCACCATTGATGACGGAGTTCATAGCTGAGACATAGATACGGGTGATGCGAGGCGCTTCTGCTGGTTTCAAGCCCGGCGGTGACTTGAATGACCCAGGTATGAGGATGAGTTCATCATATGGACCTATTCAGAGATGAAAAATTACTCCGCGAGATATTGATATTACTCACCTGCAGGGCTCTCGGTATAGCGAAGAAGCTGAATCATCCCATGATTCCCAAGGTATGCATCCTCTTCGGTGGCGAGAGAGCGCGAGTGCTCGTGAAGCGGGTCAAAATAGCCCGGCGCAGACATTTCCCCCTTCTTGGGCCTGTGGAACAACGCGGTGAAGAACCACCACGCCTGCCGAAACCAAGCATCAATTGGTCGGATACAGCACATTTTACTTTTCGCGGCCCATTGCTTTACGCACCTCGCCTTCGAACAACCACGGTGCAGGTAAATCAGAGACTGGCAAATGGTTGTTATCCATGTGAGGGAGATAGAGAACAATGTTAGGGTGCTTGAACTATACCGTCCTAACTTTAAGTACCGAAAAGTGCACTCCGGAGCAGAAGTTCTGACGGCCGGAGCATTGCGTATCTATATCGGGGTCGTGGCCAAGAATGCGCCACCGAGTGCGGCAACGCCGGTAGTAGTATTCAATAGCTGACATTTGAACGCGTGAACCGCCCGTAATATCTCCTGAATGTGACCCCGAGTGTTTCAGTATACCTCAACATGAACTGCAGACCTGTTAATTGCCGCCTACTAAGTGAAGAAGTGCAAGTCTGCAGAAGGCAGTCTCATTGCTTTACACCACGGCGGCCGAAAAGGGGGCATCAAATCGGGGGATCTCGACCAGCTCGGTAGGACAAGCAAAGGCGACAATTAATAGGGAGCACTTCAATGGACTTCACGACAGGTAAATTGACATACCGGACATATCTACTTACCGGCAATGGTCTCTGTTGTGCAGCAGTCTCGACAGACTCCTGAGGTGGTAGGGGATCCAATTATTCTCGCCCAGATATATAACGCTCAATGGTTGCCCCAAGTATTACATCCAAACCGGGAGGGAGATGAACCTCAATCCAGTCTGCACACTCGGAAAGTACGGTGCACCTAACGGCGGACTACAAACGGCATAGTAATTTAGTTGTGCAAATGACACAGCAAGCAATACAACAACAACGCGCAGAGTCCAACCTCCATACGTACATCATTGCTGGTCCAGGACGCTACATTCACCGTGCGCCCTCGACAACAGCCGGCTGCCCCTCCTCTTGCACGCCAAGCGGCTGTGGCAGCTGCGTGCGGGACATGGCTGCACCAAGCGCCTGAGTACGAAAAGCAAGTCCACGCGTCTTTTCAATGACGGACTGGTAGATCGGAAGTGGAGGTCGGTTGATTTCAATGACGTTCTGGAGAGGAAGCTGTTTGTGCGTGAAGACGAGACGGGATGAGAGAAGTACGGCACCTTTTCAAGATCAATTTTCGCATCTGCACCCATGCGTGTCTCACGGATGAGATTGACGATCCACTTCTCACCTTCATCTCGTGAGAGGTTCAACCGCTCGGACAGATCTCTGCAAGATTATCAATCAAGATACGCGGGAAACAAAGAACGGGTGCGCGCACCCGATATCGATTCTTTGGTGTATCCGGCAGTACGCCTCGCTGATCAAGTACCGTGCATTGTCCATAAAATCGTCGCGGAACTCGCTCAGGAAAAAATCATTGGCAACCACACGCTCGGCCTTACTGAGCTCACGCTGCGCCGCCTCGAAGTCGAACTCGACGTAAAGCTCCTTGAGGAACGCAGTGACAGGGTCCTGATACTGGTATTCCTCCATGTGGATGACCTTGACGATCTCGCGGATGGAGTGGCGCACACGTGAGGAGAGCGCGCCAGATGCCGACTTTCGGGAAAGGACGGCGGCGGTTGTCAGGTAGCGGAGGATCCATGGGCATGAAGTCTGGATGGTGTTCAGGTACGTAGGAGAGAGGAAGGTCTCAAGGAGGAGGGTGCGACCCTGCGGGTGGTTAAAATACACGAAAAGCGACCAATGGAGAAGCCAAGTGCGGGAGTGCAACTGGGCGAGCGCAGGGTCGGTTGTTGACGTGGAAGGTGCGGTAGCGAATGCAGGCACAGAGGGTGCGCGGGAATCAATCGCCTCACGGAGAGTGTTGAGCTCTTCAAGCGCGACGTCCCATTTTCCAGTGAGGATGTCGGAGGCAAGCTTGCCCCAGTGTGCAGAGATGGTAAGATCGGGGTCGGTAGAAAGGACGCGGAAGTGATAAAGGTAGTCTGCAGCACCGCTGTAGTTTCCGTACGTATATTGAAATTGGCCAAAGTTGTACAGAGCGGTGATTTGCTCAAGGGTAACCTGGTGCAAGATCCAGTTTAACAGATGAGTAGATAACACGGGACTGACGCACATTGTAATGCTCTTTGAGATACTGCAAGTTTTGGTTTTTGTCTTGTCGTAGCGACTGTGCGACTTCGGGGTTCTCAATGACATTAAGCACGGCCTGTGCTTCTTGCTGCAGCCGCTCGTTTGTTGATACGGCCTTTTCACGCTTCCCGGAGAATTCTACCTTTTGTCAATACATCGCCCCATCTTCCGTGTCCAAAAGACTGACCTTCTGGGATCTCTTCATCTGGGTGCAACTGCTGGAATAGACTGACAGCATAATCGACCATGTTTGTCTCCTTGGCGAGCATATACTGCGCCGCTTGGACTTGCTCTACTGGGAACAACTCATTCTCCACGAGATGGGCGAGTAGCGGAAAGACGAGGTGTCTATCGCAGTATGGAATGATAGTTTTTGTAAGATCGTACTCAGCCATGTTGGAGGAGACCGTGTTGGACGGCGAGCACAATTGAGCGATCGAGGACAGAAATTTCTGCCTTCCATATTGAGGAAGTCCACGTGGTACGAGACGCGTTCAATCATGGACACGTCGCGCTGCACCACACCGACCACCACGACCCGCTTGTCGTTCCTACCCTCCAGATGACTGCAATAACTAGAAAATTTACTTGGTTTATCAAGGATTTAGGTATATCCATCGTTGGAGAGGTACGCGATGCCTTCAGCTACGTAAGGTTTATACTCACTTGTGAATCCCCATTCTTAGAAATGCTATGTTTCTCTCGTAGAAAACTTGAATATCAGCGATGTAGAGTGTATCAAGTACTCGCTCTCCAAGGGTATTGGACTGGGTATCGTCGTAGGAGGCTCTATCATGAAAGTACCTCAATTATTGCTAAGTAAGCTGCCAGATCTCTAGTGAATTCTATGTTTGACTTCTCTCCTAGTCGTGTCTGCACGCTCTGCGCGTGGTCTCTCTCTTCCTGCATACGTCCTTGAGACACTCGCATACGCGATCACGCTTGCGTACTCATACCGGAATGAATTCCCCTTCTCAACCTATGGCGAGAACTTATTCCTCACCATCCAGAACGCCGTCATCACCCTCTTCATACTGTACTACTCGTCGACGCCACGACTCACACACGCGTCGAGCTCCACCTTGCCGAAGGTTGCCTTCGCCGCAGTCGCCATGATCGTCTGCGGCATCGCCTTCGCATTCCTGCCGACCGCCACCCTCGCACCGCTGCAGCTCGCGACGCTGCCCCTCTCCCTCTTCTCCAAGCTCCCCCAGATCCAGCAGAACCACCGCGCAAAAAGTACCGGCCAGCTCTCAGCGTTTGCCGTGATCGCGCAGATCGGCGGTTGCCTCGCGCGCTTGTTCACAACCGCGACCGAGGTCGGCGACCCCCTCGTCAGCGCGGGCTTCGCGCTGGCGCTCGTTCTCAACTGCGTCGTCGGCGCACAGATGTACATGTACTGGGGCAAGGACGAGAAGGAGGACGTCGCGAGGGTGCCCATTGCCGTGCAAGAGCAGGAGAAGGTCCCATGGCAAGCGCCTGCCGAGAAGGTCGAGGTAGTGATTCCGCCACATTCACCCACCCGTCGTCAATCCGGCAGGAAGTGGGCGCGGAAGATAGATTAAGCCAGAGCTCCCTAGCACTGTCTATTATGGTGTGAAACTCTATTTATTTGTACGCATTCTAGTAATCAGCACCAGATCTTCTCCGTCACGAAGAAAAGTGGTTAAGTTCAGTTGATATATTCTGCGTTTCCTTTTCCGTGCCAGAAATTGTGGTAAGTCCAAACACATAATGAGACTGCGAATTAGAGGAACCTCTGTAGTGCAGTTGTCAGCCAAAGTATCAGCGATGAGTACAGCAATCTGAACGAACTCCGAGATGGTGAAGGGACAGAGGAAACTGCATTTAACAGTCTGTCCTAGCCATGTAGCGGGTTGTACAGGAGAACTGGAAAGTGGAACAATAGCCGGTCAACAGGTGAACAGCATAAGGCGTAAATGCCGATGGTATCGAGTATCGGAACGTACTAAGTATATGTATGTCCACACGGACCGTCCTAAATGAGTGACGAGGTCAACAAGCGTACAACGAGCTTGATATAAGCCAGTGGAAAGTACCGGGAACCCAGATGACCAGAGAAACTGGCAAAGCAAGCAATGTCAGATCTAACAAACAGGCGAAGTTGGCAGTAAACCAAGAAATGCATGCATCTGGACATCGACCACCCTTCGGGTGAATCATCTGCAATACATAAGTGGAGAGAAACCACCACGACTCGAGAAGGAACATACAGCACCATAGCATTGCTAACCCACTACCGGCATCATACTCCTCGACTTCTGGAGGTAGTACATTTTGCGGCGCACACATTCCCACTGATCTCCCAGGCATTCCTCACTGCCTAGTGATGTAACATCCAGACAAGGAAAAAGACAATCCAGGAAGCACGCGACCGAGTCGGCATCTGTAACAGACACCAACTGATTCGGGATGAGTAACTCTTGCAGGCCGTGCCAACATACTGGAGGCGCTGGGAGGCCCAACGAAGGCACCGCAGGGGTGTCGAGGCATGGGAGGGACACGGTATGCAGCTTAGGACAATGAGATGCGAAGGAGATGAGCGAATACACAGACGGATATACGGCTGAGACGGGCCCAGGATAGTAAATATCCAGCACTGTGACTCGCGGCCAAGATAGTGCCATTGCTTGTACATCTTCGTTTGTCAGCTCGAGTGGGATGGTACGGGGAAAAGTCAGCTCGAGCCTTTTGAGCTGGTGAATACAGAGGAGAGGTTCCAGTATCTGCTTGGATGCAGCTGGCAAGGACGGAGAATCCGCATTCCATGCGTTTCTTGTCCCCTGAAAGACAATGCTCTCTAAAGAGGCAGAAAAGCGTGTGCGCAAGACTTCAAAGCATTGACGATAATTTTCCGCTACTGGTGCGGAGGTGGATGTGGGTACCTTGATGACGAGCTCCTCGAGGCATGGAGAGGATACAGCCTCGAGAAAACGAGTGATGGTCTGAAGTTCTCCTGCAACTTCAAGCGTCCGAAGACAGGGAAAATCACAGGTGACAGTCTCAGCGTGCATCATCCCAGGCAGATTGACGGCTAAGGTCACCAGATTGTCCATGTTGGCAAAACGATGTAGGGCCCGGAGGGGGATCTGGGGATAGTGGATATGCAGACTTTGTAAATCCATCGTCTCAGTCTCGGACACGAGTAACGACGAGGTCACCGGACCTGTAAACGTGAAGCTTCGAAGAAATGGAGACTTGGCTCGCAAGGCGCTGAAGATATCTTTGAACACCTCATCTTCTTCGGAGAGCGCTTCATCAAATGGATTGCGGTAACTGCCCAATGTGATCGCCAAATTAGTGAGTGAGCCAGATAGGAACGATATAATTTGCGTGTCAGGGGAATACTGGAACCAGTGTAGGGATACTAGAGTTGGGAGGAGAGGCTTTCCTGATGCTTGACGTGACAAGCGATAGAAAACTGAAGGGTGAATTCGATCTGTAGTATTGTGGAAGATGAGTCGGCGAATACGGCGTGCGTAGTATTGGAACCGTAACCATTCTTCGTCCTTAATACGACCACAGAGAACCTAGGATAATCGAGACGGTGAATGGAGGAACAGATAGGAGATGGTATAGCACATACGAATGCATGTTTCACGTGGCGACACAGGTGATTAGGAAAATCCAAATAGGTAGATGATGATTCAAGTACTACCCGTACAAATGATGACGACAGAAGTTGGAGAAGGGGTATTAGGTCGTCCAATTCTCTCCATAGGAGGTCAAGAGCGTGCTCTGAGAACAGTTTGCAGACTGTAGCGGTCCGAAAAAGAGTCTTCGCTGGCAGATCGCTCATCGGAGACAACCACTGGAATATCTCTGAAAGAATATCCTCATTATGCAACGCTCTGTGAGGCTGCTTCCGAATCAGCCCGCGTTGGCGAGTCGGCGGAGGCGAAGAGATCAACTGCAGGATATAAGTCATGTGTAGCTGCTTAGACGTCCACAGAAAGGATGAGAGCCTTGTGCAGGCCTTGCGGAAAGTTGCCAGTAGCGTACAGCCTGTCACGTGCACACGTCAGACCACCATGACGTCCACGAAACGCAGCGAGAAAAAGGTTCTGTCTTCAACATCTGCAAGAGATATATATACGTAAGTGCGAAATGTGAAGTGGACCGTGTTTCCTGGAGCATCGGTTGGCTAGAGCGTATAAAGTCACAAAATCAACTTAAAAGGTTAACAAGAAGGAAAACAAATAACGGAAGAAACTTCTTGTGACATCCTTCGGCTGTGCCTTATGCATTTACAATGATCATGGTGAAAGTGCTAGGTCGCGCATCTAACTCTATTTAATCATGACATCTTCTCGTCGTTTGTCGTGCTGCCCTGTGCGCGCTCATTGGCCTTATCACCTGTCGATGTAGTGACTGGCTCGATTCCCAAAATCCTATCTGCCTCTGGAGATCCAGCTGGAGGAACGTCCTTCCGCAGTGAGACGGTCACCGGCGAGACACCCTCGTTGTACGCCAACGCAAAGATAACGTCGATATCTAAGCGGCAGTAGGGAGAATCGACATCGGATAATGGTAGGGCAGGACTGTCCTTACCTTCAAGCGAACGACCTGCGGTCTCGGGAAAGAAGAAATAGACCACGGGAACAATGAAAGCGTTCAACGCGGCAAAAACTGCCGATGTATAGTCAGCATAACGCACTGTTCTCAAGGCTGCGTACCGATATACGTCCGCCAACCGATGTTATTGAACGACGGCCCAGTAACCATTACAACGACAAAGTTGAAAACCCAATTTGATGCTGATGAATCTCTGGTCAACGGAGCACTTACAGCAATTCAACATCATACTGACCAGTACTCAGCGCATTCGCGGGAGCCCGTATCCGCAAACCGGCAATTTCTGCAGGCTACAGGAACAGACTGAGGATCTTCAAGGGTCTGGTAAGGGTTTTTAACTCACATACAACCAAGTCATACCCAGCCAGCCCAACGCAAATATGGAATTGTACACGAAGAGGAGCACAACGCTGACGGTCTGCGTCGCTTTGTTTACGAATCTTCCGAGGATGCCCATGAGCACCAGGTCGATGCAAAGGCCGCTCGCACTGAACATCATTAGGCGTCGTCGGCCGACGTAGTCAATGAGTGGTATGGTGAGGAGGGAGAAGAGAAAGTATTCAGTTCCCATTGCAGCGGCGACAATTCGCGAGTTGACATTGGATAATCCTAGTCTCTGAAAGAGAATTGTCTAACAGGGAACCCGTCTCAGTGACAAAGTTACTTAGAGCGTTCGCTCAACGCTCACCGCATAGCTGTCAATGAGGCATGTCAGCAAGATGTCGCGACACGATATTGACCGAATGACGTACAAGATAACGACATTGATGCCAGTAATTTGCTGGAAGCATTGAGAAACAACGCCCAATGCCATTCTCCGGAAGTTCTGGCTGCGTCCTCCTGTGAACAGCTCTCGCAAGGAGACCTGACCTCTCCCCAGGGTACCAGACGCTGTGTCACCCGTGGTCACATTGGGATTCACACCGTTCTCGATTTCTACTGCCTCGCGGATAGCATGATACGTTTGCTGTACGGTGGGATCAGACGGGGGCTTGTCCTCTAGTGCCGAGATGACTGCCATTGCCTTAGCATTGTGGCCGTGTTTTAACAACCTAGTAGGGAACATGGTTATAGGATCGCTCTCCAGCTATAGCGTTGATTCACATACCATCGGGGAGACTCTGGTAGCTACAAGGCATGGTTATACCACATACTGCGGGGGCGAACAATCAGGCAACTCACGAATCCAATGGAAAGCACCATGATAAGAGCGAAAATGATCTGGATGGCAATGGGCACCCTCCATTGCGCGGAGCTACCGGAAGCCCAATACCTGCCAGGATAAGAATGAATGTCCTCGAAGACGAACTGGCTCTAGTAGCCCACTCACAAGGCAAAGTCTAACCACTGAATATTGCATTTGGTCAGAGTAGGCGATTGAAATAATATGAGACCATTGGACTCACGTAGCTGTGTTACTCGAACAGTCAGTTGTTGTGCGGCACAACGGCAAGAGGAATGAAACATACGAGGTAGCAATACCAAAAGTGATCAGACTTCCCTCCACCATGATCAGACTACCGCGTTTGGCAGCAGGTGAACATTCCGCATGGTAGGATGGAACAGTGGAGGTCTAAAGGACACGGCCATTCAGTATGAAAACAGTGCATACGTTAACGAACACACACATTCAGACCGTTCCCTAGCCCAGTGATAATGCGAGCAACGACGAGTTGTGCATAGCTGTACGATGCTGTTTGAATGATAGCACCGATGATCATGATGATGCCGCCCAGCATAATCGTATGCCTGCGACCGAGACGGTCTCCAATCCATAGGTTAGAAAGAGCACCAATCAGACATCCGACTTCCTGTTGCAAATTCAGCGACATTTTTCAGGTGAAGGGTGGTACTCACGTAGATAGCGACCACAAAACTCTGCAGTGTAGCATGACTGGGATGGTCGGAGTCCACTACTACCTGCGGAAAAACCTTATCGAACTGTGATGCGGTCAGCAAAGTCAGCCAACCATGTTTGAACGCACATTTACCTGTCCAGCGGTGAGTAGTGCAGACATCACGCCTTCATCGTAACTAACGTGCAACGTAAGCGGACAAGAGGTGTTCAGACACGAAGCGAACTGCTCACCCAAAAAGGGCAAAACCGGTTCCTGCGACGAAGAGCAATGCAACCATTAACTTGCGACCGCGGAGAGATAAAGAATTTGCAGTCACTTCTGCGTCGAAGTCCGAAGATTGTTTCACTTCAACTTCATACTGGGCCTTGTCGCTGGAAGAAGGCTTGGAGGTCTCGGTTGGCACAGGTGGGGAAGCCATCTTTCGTCTAGTTCACCAGTAACTATGCTCCAGGCCACACGGAAAATTGGCATACCATGCTCCGTCTTAAGAACCAAGGATGCGGCTTAGAGTTGCGGTCCCGCGGAGGACCGCAGAGGAGTCCGGTGACACAAGCCATCATAAGCTCATTCTTCTTGATCACACTCGAAGCATCGTGTACCTTCGAAGCTACGAGAATAGATCATTGGACTTCGGCCAGTAGCAGATGAGAACGAATATTAATGGTGTTATCATGACATAGCCCGTAAGAAGAGAAGGTCAACGAAGATATTCCGCGCGCGTCTTATGTTTTCGATCTAAAAATAGCCAGAACGTCGGTGTGTGCAGAACGTTTGCTGAGCGACGCGAGGATCTGAGGAAATTGAAGGGTATTCAGCGTCAGGCATTCAACATGCTCGCATGAAGGTCAAGAGTGGACACGTGAGACTGAGATACTAAAACAATTCGACAAACAGTGGCCGTCATACCATGGTTAAAGGGAGTGGTCGGCCAACTAGGTTCGGCCACCTGGTCTTCGACTGCTTGTATGCATAGATCAATTTATCTCTAGGACAGATTTTCAAGTCATGGCACCAGAAGTTCGTGAAGACAATGACAATGCGGGTCGGCTAGAGAGCACCGAGCACTTCAAGGTCACCGATAGTAGATACGAGGTATCTTCATGGCCACAGACGACCTTGAGAGAGACGGCATGTCAGGCGGGTTGCAACACAATAGACAAGCTCAGACAGCATTCGTCAGCAAATACTGTAGGATTAACGCGCACATGAGGGAACCAAATGAACGAGCGGATGGATTCGAACGCTAGAAGAACTGGATCAACGATAGGACTTCGCAAGGGAGGGAGAAGGTCGCCACGCACGTCTTCCTTGAAGCCGCGCCGGAAGTCAGTTATCTGGATGGATATGTCCTTGTTCGATTGGTGAACGAATGAGTCATGAGCGCAATATCCTGAGTGGAACAAGGGATAGAGACGGGTGAGTTCAGTCAAAGGTTACATGTACACGAATCATGGCTTAGGATGCGTACATAAAGATGCCGTATATGCTGTGCAAAATCTAGCTTCGTTATGTGGTCTATCGAAGGACAGCTGCCACGAGAACGACGGTCGAATCTGAGGTTTAATTACGTCAGAAGCCTTTAAACTGATGCAATGGCGCCCCAGAACTCGTCCGGGCATGTAATCGCATCACACGAAGCTAAAATAAGAATGCTCACTCAACGTCGTGCCAGTTTTTCAATCACGGTACTCCGTGTATAGTGAATGTACTCAACACTGTGATAACACGGACGTGCAACTCGTGCGACATCTGGCAGCGACATGCACACAGAGTGGCTGTAACGAGAATGATAATCACGGACCTGTGTTTGCATAATGGTGCGCCTCGGTCGAGGAAAGTCTTCGTAACATATGTGATACACTCGCCAAGCGACAGCACTACATGTTTCCAAATGCATTAAATCTGACAATATCGCAATCAATACCAGGCCTCAGTCAGCTACCGGTGCCTAAGAAGACACTATTGAGTACTCACTTCAACAGCTAAGAATCTAGTGTTAATAGGCTCGTGTCGAAATCACATATTGAAAAGAAGCAAGGTAAATATTCTTAGAACGCTGGAAATGTCGAAGTGAGTTAGCAGGACAGTAACTTTCGTCGAGTAACGCACCAGTTGATGTGCGGACCCGAATAGATAAAGAATCACAACACCACCGGTATAATAGTCAACATTATCAACCTGTCTGGATGTCTGTAATTGCCCCTACATTTTGATGACATCGTCCCAATTGTCCTCTGAGAAGGACTCTATCTTGACCGCTGGATAGAACCGATCTATGAAGCCGGCGACTTTAGCGGGATCCTCGACAGAGATCTCCACTAATTCTTCTGAATAAGGGCATCCCGAAATGCCCGAGATCTGCAACCCATGAGGCGGGAGCTGGAGGGATTCTAGCTCTGGCGGGGGGTCGGTATGAGTTTCAATCCCGGAGAGTCGAAGGGAGTGTCAGGCGGGACAACGGCGAGCTAACTCGGCCAAGGCGTAGACAGAGGGCTGCACTGAGATGCCCTAATTAACAGCGGAACTTTGGCCAGGATGTTGCCATAGAATGCATATCCTGGTTCGTCGACGCTGCCGAGACTAGAAGGTTCGACTGTATCGAGTTGGCGAATGTTGAGTAACCTCTTGATGTAATCTAGTAAGTGAACTGGGTCATCTTCATTGAGTTTTCAAAGGACATGGTGATTTTCTTCAGCGTTGCCGCAAACTTTTAGCCTAGCAAGTCAAAGCAGTTCCGGGATTGACGCGTGGTCCAGTACCCGGCATCTTCATCATTCTATTCACATGACTGGAGGGTGGACAATGATATTGAATTCAGGCACTGTGAAACGACTGCAGGTGCACCCGAGAGGGTGAGATTCTGAAGGGCAGAGAATCCAGGGCAAAATGCCAGGGCGTGCGGGGCTACCGAGAGGAACCGCACAACAAGATTGATTAGCATCTCCATTTTAGCGTAGGCAGAGAATATTGGGACAGAGACATTGCTTACACTCATGTCCAAACTTTGAAGTCCGGTAAAATGTGTCGTGCAATCCAGAAAGGATGGCTGGTGCCGAAATTTAAGTTTTCGAGGGCAGGAGCGGTAGAACACAGGTATGTAAGAACTGACGGGACAAGATATTCTTCCGGGATGGAATGTGTACACGGGAACGGGACTCGAGTTGGAGGTAGACACGACGGAGTGATGGCGTCAGAGGCCATGATCTCTCCGTCAGAGACATCCGATAAGCAGAAGGAAGTAAGATGCGGAGATAACGGCTTCCCACTCGCGAGGTAAATTAATTGGAAGAGTAACGACGGTTCGACTTGGTTCTGGTACTTGCGTATGGACATGGTCCGAATACGGTGTGCGTAGGAACAGAATCTTGACCATTGTATGCCATATACATACTTCGTTGGACCTGGGAGCGACAGGCAGAGGATATGCTCGTCATCCTGATATCAGTCAAAAGTAGAACCACTACGTACGTATACTCCACGTCAAAGTGTTTTTTTCATCAATTATTGAAGTGCGACCGACTTACTCGACTTTTGGGGGAGCTCCTGCAGCTGTATACAAGATCCGGCACAAAACAGCGTCCAAGCTTAAGATTAATCAGACCATGCGCGGCGACTGCGACGTACATACCGCTGTGGGGCTAGTGAGTCAGTGAAGTTGACCGCTGGAGGCAGGGTGTCGCTCCCGGACCCTCGGCATGTCCCGGGTGGGGACGATAGTGACGTTTTCAATATACACGCACAGCTCTCGAAATTGCAAAAGCAGTCGGATAGAGACAAAACGAAGCGTTGCTGTAATCACACGAGATATGTAAGGAGAGTCGACTAGGAAGTCAACCCGTTGCAAGGTATGTACGACGAATTGACATCACAGCGCATTATTCTTGTGTAAATTCTCGGGAGGACCCAAGGTGAGAAGGAATCCATGTGCACACACAGGAGATTCCAATTTCTATGACTGGGGGAAATGAAAACTGCGCATTTCCAAGAATGATCAGGACAACTTACTGATTGCTTTCCACTATATCCTCTTCTTGCTGCATCCTGAAGAATTTCTAGGACCGCATTGATATCTGTCCACTCTTTCCCAACACAGTGCTCCATCGTCATGTTGGGGAAGAGATGGTTCAGAAAGTGAGCCACTGCGATAGAATGGCCATGCTCGTAATGTGCATCCAAGGACACATTATTGCGGCCCGTCACACAGAGCCCTTTTAAAGAGCAAGAAGAGGTGGAAACCCATTCCGACTCTGGAGGCAGTGCAGGACGAGGGTCAAGTCCGGGGAGTTTCAGGAATATCAGGTAGGGACACCACTGAGCGAATTCGGTCAGGCTATAGACCGAAGGTGAAACGGACCCTTGATATACCGAGAAATCGAGTGTCTGGATATTGGGCCACGAAAACGCCATTCGACACACGTCGTCGCTCGTTACTGATACTGCAAGCGAGGAATCGATGCGGAGCTCTTCGAGCACACGGAAGTCTAGGAGAGGATCGATGACACTCATCAATGATGGAGTACTGACATCATCGAAGACTGCAATAGTGAAGTACACGCCACGGATCGTTGCTGCAGACTTAGAATGAAGGGCGGCGAGCATGACGCGATAGTTGCCAAGATCCTGTCGTGCTCGTAAAAACCTATCATGATAGGCCTGATCGATATACGTGAACGAACGCAATACGGTGGTCGACAACATGGGCAGAAGGGCAGTAGCTTGGGAAGGGTGACTGTGAACCGACAGATTCTCCAAAACAGGAAATCCATGGCAGCGCTTGATGTCTTCTACTGTCAATCCCTTGAGACCGATGTCCAAGGTGATGAGAGAGCTCATCTTTGCACAAGCCGAGAGGACAGAAAAGGAAGCGACACACCGCCCGATGTCGAGAGTTTGCAGTTCGCTGAATGGGGTGAAATCCGTATGAGTCATAAAGTCGGGATCGTCAAAACGTTCCAACGTCAGGTGGCGCAGAGACGAAGCTGCACAGCGCAAGGCGAAGACAAAATCGCGACCAATATCTGTGACGAAGGATGTATCCAGACCCCACGACCCAACCTGCAACGTGACATCGTGGAGTAATGGGGATAGGAAGGCCAGGATTTCGGACACAGATTTAGCCGAGATTAGATCGAACTGCAAAGAAACCAATGAAGGGAGCAGAGGTTCTCCGCACGACCGGGTGGCCAGCTGCGCTATCACTGGAGAATGCAAAGTCTCCATGTACCGGTGGATTTGGACCGAACGTACACGGCGGGCATAAGAACGAAACCTATTCCACTGCGCGTCAGATATACACGTCAAGGAAGCCTGCTAATACTGATTATCAGCTTGAGGTAATTCTCAGAATTTCAAGAAAAACAATGCGTACGCGCATCGGCGGTTTGACATCACCAGCGTGATCGGCAAGGTCCACAGAAATTGCTAGGATGTTGAGTAGCGGAAGGAGGCTTTCAAGGTTCCTCCACAACACATCTAGAGCTGGATCAGAAAATGCTCTGCATACCAGTGCCATGCGGCCAAGCGCATTCACATCCTCTCGGCGAGAAGTTCGAAAATGTTGAGCAACCTCGCGAAGGATGTCTTCGTTGAATAATGCTGTATGAGCCTCGGACTGCATGCTAGACAGAAAATGTTTTAGTAAATATTGGAGGAGGTCGGCTAAGCTTAAGTAGTGCTATACCGTAGTGTGAGTGTGCGAAGTGTGGCGTGGTCAGACACGGATATCCTGAGGCACGAAGGTTGAAGCAGAATGTACCATCTGCCTTCGGGACGTGGTGGACAGGCCAACACGAGGCTCTCGGACTCAGCGGCAACTTCCGTCATCCGTTTCATCCGTTTCGTCAATTCGGGCGAAGTTATCGACCTGACGGGCTCATGTTTTTTTTTGGCTGAGTAATGTGCTCCCCCTTTTCTCCCGCTGGTTGTGGTTAAAGTTGGTCAAATGTCTCCAATCAGCTGCAGTCTCTGGCGCGCTGCGTTCGGTTTGGTCTGGTGCGACGTATATGCCTTTGTTCTCAAGGCCTTCCCTAATTGGACGCCACCTTTTCCGATAAATATAAAGCCTCCGTCGCACGGTTTATCCCTCGTCGTTTATGCTTTACTCCTATGTCGAACACCGAGCGTCCTCCGTTTACAGACCGCAGTCGCCATGAAGCACAATATACTCCATCTGCAGAGGACATCGAAGCCTGTCGCAACTATCGTCATTACCAATCGATATGTAGGCTCGCGAACGGTGACTTGTCCGGCGGCCGGGTTCACAGTGGCAATCCACAAGTACATGGAGGAACTAGTGCTGGTCGACGGTCACCTACCCATACAGCTACATCTGCTTTTCCTCGGTCGTGTGCACCGTACTGTTCTACGCAGCAGAACAATTCAGCCACGACTAATCGGAGCGCCACGCGGGGCATCTGCTACGTGACTGGAGCGATGGACAGCCTGATATCGTCCCCCGCGAACCCCAACTTGAACAGCAATCACGGCCCTCGAGCTTCATCGATCCCGCAGGAAGTCCATTTAAATCCTGGCCTTGCTACAGAGGCTTCGCGAGCATATCATGGGCCACATCAACACAGTTACCCTGGAGCCACACAGCAGCTCGAAAGCTGGGCCCAAGGATCCGGCGTCAATACGCATGCACGAATTGACGTGCATCCTCTTGTTCGACATCTGCCAATTCAAACAGCTAGCGAACATGCGCGTCGTCCAAATGCCAATACCCTCGGGGCGCAAGCACGATCCAACTCGGGATACACCGCAGTGCATGCCTCTGCAGGGTTCTATCCCGGATTCACGGCAGTCCAGGCATCTACTCCCTCTCACATCTTTCTTCCTCCGTCCGTGCCTGCCAGCCGAAGTGCACGCCATCGGAACGAAACCATCGCCCAAGCAATGGCCGCTCCTCCTGCCGCTTTCTCCGCACCCATCTCATCTGCTCCTCGTGTCGTGTCTGCGAGCGAATATGCGCGACGCCAGCCCTCTCCCATCCAGCCGTCGCCTATGCCGTATTTCCTAACTCCAGCCCCACCTTACGAGGCGCTTCCTTCATATGACGATGTAGCACCCCCAATGCCGCCGGTATCGTTTACTCCCGTCATCGAGGAAGATGGACATACCGCCGAAAGTGGGGAGAATGAGGCACGCCCGGAGAATGGAGATGGTGAAGCAAATCAAGAGGACGAGGAGAACCAGGAGGAAGTGGAGATCGGTCTGCTGTCTCCGATTGCGATCAACGTTTCTGCTCTCCCTCAATGAACTCTGTCCCTCGAGCAGCAATACCACATCTATGCTGTGGCCATCCCTTGCTATTTTTCCGCGATGGCCGCCTTGTCTGAGCCCTGTGTGCACGATCTTCTGTGTTGGTTGTCGAGAAATTCTGTCTAGACATAGGTTTTCTATGGCCACTCATGGGAAGCTAACTTTGTGGCTCAAGCTAGATATCTGTCTGGCTATATCTGCTTTATGTACCATCTTTGCTGTGTTGCTTTTTTGTATGCTCTCTCGTGCTAGTAACTCAGGTCTTCCTGAAAATATGGGCCATGCATGACGGAGCAACTAAAAACAAGACACATATGTTAGACTTTTGGGGCTGATCATCCCCCGCACAAACTCTGCATTGAACGGCGCTAAATTGGGGCCACCCGAACCAACTGCTCTGGGAGTTTTTCTAGACTGGCTTACTTTCCACTGGCCACGACGTCGATGCTTTGTCTTTTACCACCTACCTCTCCTATAAGTTCTTCTGATCCCATTGTCTTGTTGTCAGGCTCAGTGATACACCGACGGGATATGATGCATATTTGATACCTGTAGCGAGGCTGGATCCAGCTTCGTTCGCCTTGCACAGGAAAAGCCATGAGTTTTGCATGTTCTATGACGCTGATGAGATGCAACGTGGTTTGATGTGGCAAATTATGCCTGTGCGACAATAGAAACCTCAGGATATTCCCCTTTTGTGCCTCTTACCTGCATCCCCGAAATCTGGCCAGTGGGATATAAGAGCTGTGCTGTCAGACTATACATGCCCCATCTTCGGATCGTCTCCTGCTCTGCAACACCCGGTAGTGACAATCGCGCGAATATGTCAAGTAGACCATCCTCCACTAGGCGTAGGTGTGGTGTTGCGGCCACCAAAAGGTCTCCAACTGCGTGCAACGTCCGTAGCCACACTCTGCCACAGACCATCTCTGTTTCTCAAGGCGTACCGGAACATGATCCCTCTCAGGCAGGCTCGGAAGACAGCTCCAGCGGGATACCTACTTTGATCGGCTTTCATGAACTGACACGATGCCGGGCGCGGGACGGGGACATCTCTCCAACTCATCCTTCGGCCACAACGGGCGCTCACCCTCAACGCCGGGCTTCCCCTTTTTCTCAAGTGCTGCGGATAGTGCGAACGCTGTGGGATATTTCCCCTGTGTCTCCTGGTGGCGAACGTTCTGGAAGAGATAGTGCTCCTCCAAGCCGGGCTGAGCGCAAGGCGAGGATTCGCGCCTGGTTGGAGAACGTCGAAGCTTGAATCGGATATTCAAAGACTAATGGTCATATAACGGGAAAAATGCACGACGTGCGATCAAGCTGAACTGTAACGTTCTGCCTCGGAGGTGTTAGATGAGCTGAGAACGGGTTATCGAGATAAATGTACATGTCACACTGCGAAGTATAGAATTTGGAAATGTATCCTGGATCAGGATTCAATCACGTACGATCGAATCAGACCACTATAATTGTATAAAATGCACGACGTTCCGAATCCTTTGTAGAAGGGATCTGGAAATTAAGCGCCCGGAGGCGAGAGCCTCGTGTTGAGTCTCAAGCCCGCGTTGCGAAGTTTAGCCCTCTTCTATTATTGAACAAACCCGTTACGCATGCGACTACAATGTTCCTACGCTGCTTAACGTTAACGAACGTACTCTACTCTGGATCACATTCGGATACAAACTGTTGTCGGTCACTGCCGTAATACGTTTCTGGGGGCATGAAGTTATCTTCTGTTGTTATCTCTCTCTGTTAAAACTGGCGCACTATGGTTCAAGAACAATATCGGCAGCAACCGCATTAGTGGCGGCACACCGGTCGTACGAGTCCTGCGGGATATTAGCCTGTCGAGGTACAGTCATCCGTACGAACACAGCTCTGCACAATCTATGTTCTTCGCGATCTCTGGACTAAGGCTGAACAGAAGCACGTCTACACGCTCTCGATCTTGTCTATGATTGCTCTGTAGTGCAGAACTCTCTACATATTACGGAGGCAAGTCTGTAAAGAACCACTGGGCTTCGCCGATGACAATAAACAGCACAAAAAAAAAGAGGTCTGTAGAGAAGAACATCGGCTGTCGCATCCAGAGCAGAAGGTAGCTGAGCGCATGTGTACGTATGTATCCATTCAGCACTGCAAATATGACAACGGTTTTGGTTCGCACATGGTAAGTCATGGAGAAATTGGGGACACGAATAGGTCATCCACCCATTTGTATCTCGTAGATTACCCCGATGATGCAGGATTCAGAATTGCTGCCATTTTAGGTCAGTAATTGCTCCAGAGTTCTCCGCAGATTACAACGTGATGCAAAAACCACAGAGTAAGAGTACATTCATGTCTAGTTGTACGTTCGTGATCCCCCCTTTCGCCATTCTCGAAAGGTACTAACAGGTGATGCAATCACAGGGTACTTATCATCGGTGCATATCCGTCGTTCAAAGATGCCATTTTTCAAGTCGTCTATGATAGCGGGCACTCTATTGCGCCGAATACTCGCGCCGCGCTCGCGTTTGACACTTAGCCTGTCGTTTTGACGAGGACCTTACACCATGGGTGAGGCTCCCTGCTTGCCGTGGAATTTGCAGGTGCTGCAGCTCAGCGTGGATTCAACAACGCTGAAGTCGCTTCACGGTCGTTGCCGAGCATTAGCTCCAGGCGACGCATGCATACTGTGACGAATTGCGAGACATAGGATTCTGACGATGCATACTGATTTGTGGCAGCACTTCTTTGCAATTGCGAGAATTTTGTTTGCAGTTATTTCGCGGCCCTATAGAAGAGCACATTTCTGCGGGTGGATGCACCTTGGTGTGGGACAGGCAGGTTGCACTCGAGATTCTATAACATTTGCATTCTTGATTTGTCAGGTATGTGCTCTCTTATTCTCGGCTGGTCGGCCCACGAAGTGAAAGTGTGCCCATATTCTAATGAACGAGATATGCTTCCAGCCCGTTTCCTTCGTGAAATCGGAGGTAGGAATAAGGGCCAATGTGGGCCTTACTTTTCGATGGTGGTCCCATAAACAATGCATTTCCAGCGAGCCTGTTTTGCCCACGCTTCAATTGGGCATTTCCTTTGTCCCGGGTGACGTCTGTGGCCACAAGTTCGTTGCGGTGCTGACATAAGGTGTTGGCCGTATATTAAAGCGTCGCACCTCAACACTATCATCTTACCCTCGTCCATCATCCTCTCAACGTTCCACAATCCCGAATCCTCATTGAATTAACATGGTATCCTCCAATATCAAAAGATTAGCGAAGAGCTATTCTGCGCTTCACTCCTCGCCGCGGCGTTCGTCGTCCATGAAACCTGGTGCCCCTGCACAACGGATCTTTAAGCATCGCGTGGCCACTGTTGTGGCTCAAAAAAGCACAGTGGATCAAGAATTTCGCAACGACAGACTGGTGTCCTTACTAGCGGTCCCTCTCCACTGGGACTTTTTCGGTCTGTGACACCTTTCGGTCCCGGTGTATTTTTTTTCTAATCTTCCTTCGCTTTACAGGTTACATTGTTGATTGTCTAGTCAAGGCATCCCTCGTCTGGTCCACAGCCCCATCACGATACCATTCTGTGGCGTGGCCTACAGAAGACACACTCAAGACAGCGGCCTTGTTTGACTTTGTCAAGCATCTGGTCGTGGCCTCTCGCGTGAATACCGCGGCCGTGTTGGTCGCGCTGGTATATGTAGACAGGTGGAGCCATAGCTCGGTTGCGGATGTTCCGCAGTTGAGCTGCGAACAAGTCTTCTTGGTCGCTCTATTTCTGGCCACAAAGGTACATACATGAGCGTTGATTTCACTCTGCATGCATCTTACACCAGTTCTGGCTTATAGTACGTGGCGGAGAGCTCATATGACTTGAAGTATTGGAAGGCGTGGTCAGCAATGTCGAAGGCCGAAATTAGATGGGCGGAGCGCAAGTTCCTCAAGGTGATCGACTTTGAGGTGGGCATTCAGGAAGAACACCTACTGGTCCACTACGACGAGGTGATGAAGCGATGCATCATTAACAACGAACGCATCCTCCCTCCGCTTCCAGAGATCTCTCCTCGTAGACTCGTCCGTCGCCGAGCCCATGCCGTTCGCCGTGTTGTCGCCCCTGCGCCCGCCTTCATCCCTTCCTTCCCTGTCCAGGCGAGTCCTGTCTCGCCTGTATTTGGAGTACTAAGAAGGGAAGTGGACTGGTCTGTCCATACCGGAGCAACAGTACCTTTCTCGCCCTCGTTGCCCCCTTTGTCTTCGTCCTCATCATTGTCATCATCCGCGTCGTCCTCTTCTGTGGCCACTCCCTACACTCTGGATAAGATATTGCAGCCACCAAAAATCCTCCATAAACACCACCCAGTGTCACACTCCCTGGTGCTACCGGGCATCTCGAAAATGATATCGAACCCGTATAATCGCCTCCCCGGGTAGGGACAACTCAGGACCGGCTGGATGCGGGATATGCTCATCTTTGGGTCCGGACTACGGGACACCGTATGCAGAGCTTCACGACGAAGCCGTGGTTTACGGTTGAGGCCAGAGTACCACCGCGAATAGCTGAGTCAGATCGCGGCGGAACGGTCGAACTTTGAGGACAGTCGGCGCTGCGCCAAATGGCGCAACCGGCGCCAGAAACCCTACGTGGCGATATCCTAGCTATCGATGTGGTCTTTTCGCCCGATGTGGTCTTTTCACTCCCCTTTGTGGAGGTTGTAGCCTCTGTAGATCGGGTTTGTTGCTCACGCGCTGCGAAACGTTTTGCATTCCTACGCAGTACGAGTAATTAACCACTTTTTAGCCTTCGATTTGAAAGAAAGGCTTTTTTCGCGCTGTAATACTATGACCAGGAGGATATTTACAACATTGGTGACGGTAGTACATAATTTACAACGAGCAATCTATAATAAAGTCGTGAGTGCTCAAATTTGCGGAGGCTTGTCCCAAAGAAGTTAAGCGCTCGGAGGCGAGAGCCTCGTGTTTTTAAGCGCACGTTGCTAAGTTTACTGTGAATTTCTGCTCGACTCTGACGACGTGCTTGGATGACTATGTAAGTATATGCAAGGGCCAAGACACGAGTGCTGCGGTGCATATTGTGAGCTATGTCTTCAAATTATCAGCCCATGTGCCCTCTAGATTTCTTTGCGGTCTTCAACCCATATTACGTGGTGGCGTCAGCAAACACTTGGGACGCTGAGGCAATAGCTTTGAAGTCTACCCGCACCTTCTTCTGGACGGTATGAAAATGAGTCAGAGTATGTATGTAAGGTACGCAGTACTTTGCGGCTTTGTTTCTGCATTCTCAATCATCACACAAACTGCGATTTTTGATCAGCTGTTCAAAGCTAACTTCGCACTTTTGAGATGTGCGGTCATTATTGTGCGTAAGCTGCCATTTTATGAGATATAGATTATCATGATGACCATTTCCTTCTCGATTTTGCCCGTCCATCGTACTACGTTGTGACCACACGATTAGCGTGTGCAGCATTTGTATCTCTGGCGTTCGCAATGCTAACTTTACGCACTACACAGAGGCCCGTGCGGATGATCAGCGAGCGCTGGTGCTCGGTCTACAGGAGAACAGGAGGTGCGTGTATACCTTCACAAATTAGACTGGTATGCCACAGTGCCAAGCGCAGACGCGCACTGTTTGAACGGCACTGAAACTGCCTGGTTGAGGATATGGTGGTCGCTTTGGCAATACACTCGTACTTCAATGAGTTTTCAGGATAATATGTGTGGTTTTGTCAGTGTCCTGCTCATAGAATGTAAATGTTGATCTTATGTACAGATTTTTTGCACCCATCCTACGACCAGAGAAGATAATCAAAGAAGTAAAGTCGGTCGAGGCCCTCAACCCTTTGATTTCGAAACAGTCAAGTATTGGTGGCCTTCCGGCGACGTCTATACTTTCGAAGTTCTTCTACCCACAACGCTGTTCTGGAACTTGCGTCAGCTTGAGATTCAGTCGGCATCTCCACCTCGAGACAGCGTAGTTGTTCGAAGACTCCTCGTTGGCCCGCAGAACGTTCGAGGTCCTCTGCCGCGCTGTGTCGCCTACGGATGTTATACGCTCCAAGTGGCGTTTTCCTGCGGCAGTTGATCGTTTCCACCGAATTTGTGTCCCTGATGGTAGACCGTTGAGGAGAGACAGATGGTGTGAGACGACGATTAACCAGAGATGCATTTCTGCATGCGGCCTCCGCGAGGATTTCCAGGCTTCCGTGGCCCCCAAGACAGGTGTAAGCGTGATGGCGCGTCGGCGCACACGGTTCAGCAATTGACTGGTGGCCCTTGGACGAGAAATGAGTGTGTTTGGATGATGCGGCTTCATTGCAAGCCACGCTGTTCTGCGGGGAACAGCCTTTCCGCGCTCGACTACGCCTCGGGGACACTGTATTCGACATGGTATTGGTATTGTGGTAGTCGGTAAGGGGGTTGGGGATGGACTGTGGGTTTCTGGCGAGGCGATGGTGTTCTGGTGACTTCGTTGCCGGTCGTGTAGCAGTACTAGCACTTATGTCAGAACGTTGGACCGGGAAGCACTCGCCAAAGCGACCACAAAAGCGCCGGCGCTTTGGAACTGTACAGAATGTTGAAAAGAACCTGTGGCCATGGGTGCACGAAGTGTAGCCACAAAGAAGGGTGAAGCTTAAGTGCCAGCGTCTCTTGTGCCAAAGTATCCGTAACGAATCGTGGTACAGTTCTAGTGAAGGTTTTCCTCAGGATTGAGCCTTGTGTCACGCTGGACTCCTGATATTCGTCGATGAGGCAGGGAGACAATATGGCAGGGGACGCTGATCTTAACAAACACCTCTTTAAACTCGTGAAGCTGGAGATAGATACCTGACCTGCGGAGCTCTAGCTATTGGACAGGGCAAGCGAGCCACCATTGTTGGATATCCATGAGCTCCGCACGGATGTAGTCCATGTGTTTCCAATCGCGTGCTCTAGAATAATCAGAACTCCTCGGAGACCTGTCCCAGAAATTGCACAGGTGGAATCTTCGTACTTTAGAAAAGAACAGATAAAAACAGCGCCAGATGCACGTTCATGTTGAAAGTAAGGCAGCGCATGAAAGGACAAACCAAACTCGAGCGGTCCACACTCACCGTCGGACAACTCTACTATCTCGAGCTGTCAAAATGGGATAGACCAGCTAGCACATCATCGGGGCGAACCCGAGACCTGCACTCCAATTTCTTTCAGACGGGAAAAAGTAGAGAGAGGAGCCTGGATTTGTGGTCCCCCACCAATTATCAACACCGGCAGATATAAAACTGACACTTGCAGATGGCTCTTGCCTAGAACATCTGCCAGCACTGAGCAGAGGCGGAAGTGTTACGTACAGCGTAACAGTGTTTTGGGCCTGCACGCTTCATCGCTGGCCTCAACGTCTCGCACCCAACGTAACCCATCGGATATATTGGAGAGAACATACCCGCAAAACGCCATGTGGGAAGCATTTCGGAAGTGTATCTTCACCGAAGGGACAGCAGGCGAATGGCTAGACCATGCAGTGCAAGTAGTCGCAGATAACGAGAGTATGTCATGCGTAGAGAGATGGGAGATAGCTTCGATATCTGAGTGCCCCGTGTAGTAAGTTAACGGGAAGGTTGAGCCTCAGGGAAGGTCAAGATGGTGGCCACACTATGTAAGCAACTGCGCCTCGGGCTACGAGTGGAAGAGGATAGAAATTGGCTTGACTACATAGAAGCCTGTTGAGCTCCTTATATACTGTAAACTAAAAGACTAGAAACTACCAGACTGTTCTCGAGACATTGTCCTTACTAATCCTAACCCTACGGACCTTTCCCGGACCTTTCCGTAGATGCCGGATTGCTAATCCGCACACCTCCAACACACCCCCTCAATTCGGCATCTCCAAAATTCATCGGCTATCCATACTTGGAAATCCTATACCTCGCTATATGCTGTGGGAGCCCTATGCTCGTGACAAGAGAGCCTCCTGCTACCATCCCGCCAGATCCTTCGACCACAACAGCAGAGCCAATGCTTCATTCCCAAGGTACCTCCCTTGATTCCCACGGTAACCCTAACCCTTCAAAATGCAACGTCTCGCAAATCAAAGGCAACCGACGCCTTCTCGGCCTTTGCCGAATTCTTTTCGTTGTACCTACCGGGTAAGCGACAATCACGAGCAATGTGACCACGCTTTCCGCAATTGTAACATTCCACGTTACGATTTCGATTGTCACGTTCTTTCTGCGCGAATAATGCCATATTCTCGACTTCTTTTTCATCGTCCGCTTTAGGCAATCCTCCGCGTCGTCCTTCTTCGTCGACTAGAGCACCTGTCACATCTGCTATCTTCAGATCACCCTTGGTGGCTGTGAGTGTGCCCGCGATATTAGAGTAGTCCTCATGTAGATTGAATATAAGGACATCAGTAACATCTTCGTCTTCGAGCGCAACTCCAATGCCCTTCAACTTTGCTGCCAAATTGGTAATGCCGCTGATGTAATCCCGGATCGGACACTTGGGATCATGCACGAAATTGTAGAATTGACGCTTGAGGGCGATTCGGTTCGCGCGGCTATTTTTCTCGTAGACCGCCGCCAATGCTTTCCATGCCGCCGGTCCATCCGCGCAATCACGAATGTAGCCGTACTGGCTCGGATCGACTGTGAGCCCGATCAGTGTGAGTCCATCTTCCGCTTTCTTCGGCCAGTCTCCCAACTTGTCTTCGGCAGGCTTCGACACCTTTCCACTCACAACGTCCCAGCACATGTTGCGCCGCATGACCATGGAAACCGCAAATTTCCAGTCATAGTAATTATCTCCTGTGAGGGTCGGGAGCTTGACATGGGGATTTAGCGATGCCATCTCGCGTGATAAGATCAAGTGATAAGATATGAGGGAGAGATTAGATATGAACTAGTGTGAGCGCGGGGCTCATAACCTGTAAGCAACTGCGCCTCGGGCTACGAGTGGAAGAGGATAGAAATTGGCTTGACTACATAGAAGCCTGTTGAGCTCCTTATATACTGTAAACTAAAAGACTAGAAACTACCAGACTGTTCTCGAGACATTGTCCTTACTAATCCTAACCCTACGGACCTTTCCCGGACCTTTCCGTAGATGCCGGATTGCTAATCCGCACACCTCCAACACACTACGAGCAAAAAGTCCAGACTCGGAGTTGCAAGTGTGCCATGTCATACGACAACAAGATCCCCTCTTTAATAACATATCTATATGATTCGGCGGATGCGGTAGCGGGTAGTGCCACGTCGCACGATAGTGACATTTTTTGAACAAAGAAGTACATACCAGACATGGTTCCGTGGCTGGTAATAGGGTCAAAGAGCAGTCCGTACGAGTTGCGTGGTATATATATACAGGTGAAAATTACAGGGAATTGGACGGGTGTGAGCACGCGCAATGTTAAGCAGGTCTGAGTTAGCTGAGAAGGGAAGCTCGGGCAAACACACACCAGAAGGGGACAGATAACCTTGGATCCACTTCTCCACTGCGGCATGATAGTGCGCATGCACGGCTTCGCCGAACTCAGTTGATATCCATGCAGGCTGGCGCGTATTGCTGGGTTGTTGAAAGCCTAAGCTCTTGCAACACCAGTGGCACCAGCGCAAACAACGGTTCGGTTGTGATGGCGGTGCATATCTATTATTCTCTCAAAAACTGCGGCGCAAGTACCTGGTACCTAAGGGAAGAGAATTATACAATTTTTATATTTAAATATGAGAAATGCACATATGCATTCCTGCTCTGCTTCAAAATACCATGGATTACCTGGGTAGTTAGCGGTGCCATTATGTGCCATCATCAGCGCTGAGCTATAGAAATTCCGAATGAGAGTCGCATTTATTGGATGGAGACGAAAAACCTACAATAGTCATAACAAAATGGCGATAAGCGCTTCTCGAGTCTGCTGCTGAGGTGAGGAGTTCATCGACCAACGAAATAACTGTTACATAGCTTCCTTAACTCGTAACACGATTCCGAAAATGAGGGAAGCTTACCTCATATCTCCCAAGAATAGTGGAATGTCTCCAATGTCGAGAAAACGGCGAAGCGGTAGTAAACAACAGGAGGACCAGTGGCACAATTTTCTATCAATCGTCAACGGTCTGCTGATCGACCGTCCGGGCAGGGTACATTCGGTGCATCGTCCACGTGGGGAAATTATTAGCATGAGCTGGGAAGACCTTGATGTTGCGTAGCAACCGCCATCCGTGTGTACCCGACTTGTGGACCACACGGAGATAACTGGGCCGCATGGGAGACCAGTGACACGAGTGGAGATGGGGGAGACAAAGAGACAGAGCGCAGAAGAAGTCGAGGCAGAAAATAGAGTGAAAGAGAGAGCGACATCAGATGAAGCGACGAAGAGCTAGGCAGAGAGGCAAGGGACGGAGGCGGAGAGACAGTGACAGAGAGACAGCGACAGAGAGACAAAGAGGTAGAGAGAGAAATGGAGGAACGGAGAACGGAGAAACACAGAGAGAGAGAGACAGATAGAGATAGAGATAGAGATAGAGAGAAAAATAGGGAGGCGAGAGCACAGAGTGAAACACACAGAGACAGTGAGTAGCGGTGAAAGGCGGGAGGTCGGAGCAACGGACAGAATAAGAGGGATAGGTGCGGGCGTTGAATCTACCTGCCAGAAAGGCTAACGGAAGACAGTACTAGATAGCAAAGTGAGGCAGCCGCGAGGAGAGCGACACTTGACGGATGGCAAAGCGAGATGGCACATCTTCAATAACAAAACTTGCGAAAGCTTTAATGTTGCGTATTGAGAGTGGATTCGCGAGCTCGATAGTAGGTACAAGCGAATCAAATAAGGTCCTGGAAAATGACTCCCTCAGGAACAATCATCGTTCATCGAACAGTAAACTTACAGAGCAATTGCAAGTTAACCAAGAACCGAGCAGCTTGATAGTTGATGACTTGGCATCTAAGGCGATTTGAAGGGTTAGGTCGCTGCGAACGTCGCTACGGGTATACAGCTAGAGTCGTGATTTGATCGTAGGAGCGTGCGTGATAGGGATGTGTCGTGTTTCCAACGTATGAACGCTACAGAGAGAGGTACTGCATGTGAGTAATTTCAAGGCCTATATGCGAAAATGGCTCGTACTTGTTGAGTTTTGAAATTTCTCGGAAACGACCAGTTTGATGGGTCGACCGACAAGAGGGTCATACAACTGTCTGTGATCATAGAGAGGCCATGGTTGAGGAAGAAAGGGATCCGAACGCTAACGCATTGCAGAAGACTGCGAGGGTGGCAGGTTGTACGACTGGAGTGGTCGCAGGTAGATTGTTGAGATCGATGACCCCAGGTCGAATTCCGTGAAGGAGGGGGGCCGTAAAATTGAGTGCCGACGTCGAGTACCGATGTACGGTGACCATAATGAACGTGGAGGATAGTGATAGGGGCCATGGAGACGGGAAGGGATACCCGGGGATAGTTTGCGCATCGGCGACTGAAACGTGGAACGAAGGGGATGAGGGCGGGGGTATGGAATGTGATGAGGGAGATTTCGGAAGTGGGAGGTTCATATATCCCTGTGGAACGACTGGTCGAAGATTAGAATGGTAGAAATAGTCATATGGCAAAAATAAGCAGGGTAGATAGAATGTCGATAGGGTGTGTAAATGCGGAACGTACTCTACATAGAATGTGGTTTTAGTGGTATAGTAGGGGAATATAGAAGGATGTGCGATATACGGGCGACACAGTCTAGAAAGTACATGGTACGAGGGAGCTACATGTTACAAGGTTAAATAGGATGAGAAATATACGGTGCATTGGGGCCACAAGTTTGTGCTTGATTATATTCTTTCTTGATTTTGCTACTGTATTGTTCGTTATTCGGGTACGTTACGGTCTTGATTGAGACAGAAGAAGATGTGATATGAAGTTCGAGGACACCATTGATCCGTAAAGCGGCGCTGGGACTCCTAGCTATCCCGAGGGGGGGTAACCGCGGACCCTAACGGTCCTGATGGCGAAGTCTAGGATCATGACGATCTAGGAGGCAGCAAATGTGTCGCCAAGAGACAGATACAAGCCGTTATGTGGGTGGAATGTCCCGGGAGAAGATCCGACAAATCGAAAGGTCGCAGAAGATATAAGCTTCAAGTCTAGTAGATATTTCCAGATATATCATGGTCTAGATGTGAGAATAAACAAGAAAAAGATCGACTCGTTCGACGTCGAGAATAATATGAAGCAGATGGAGGATAGAGCTTCAGAAGCGCGATCTTGAAGATGCAGAAGTATCGCCAGCAGTAAGGACTTAAGTCAACGAAGGCGCAGTAATCGAACCGAATGCCGAGATGAGGTCATCCATCTCCGCAGAGGAGGATATCCCAGTGGAACCCATTGCATCAGCGCAGTCATCCTCCTTAGGCGGGGTCGGTGCAACTACCTTGAGGATCTCCTCTGCAGTCTGGCCTCTGCAAGAGGTAAGAAATCAGCGACCGCGTGGCAATGGAGTAGGAAACAACGTACTTCGGGTTCCACTTGATTTTGAAACCCGTCTTCTTGTTCTCCTTATCTTTTTCCTTGTTGCGCTTGAGCAGACGCTTCACGCTCGACCTCCCATACGAGGTGTCTCCTCGATCCATCGATCCATCCCTCCACTCGTTGAACTCATTTCTTGCATTGCCGAGGGGGTTCATGCGACGAGAGCTGCGTTGGGTTCTAGCTAGGCCGGAGGACTCCTGTTTCCTGGAAGATCGGCCACAAAGGACCTCGTCTTCTGATTCTTCCTCTCCGAGGAAGCTTGGAATTACAGCGGAAGGAGGCGCGGGTGCAATATCGGGAACGTGGATGGGGGTGGAGGACAACGAGAACGATCGCATGTCGGCAACCAGTGCGTCGAAAGCATCCACTGCAACGGATTGTCCTTCTTCAGGAAGGTTGACCAAGGGATCGGGTCGAATCTCGTAAGCACGGAGGGCCTCGGGGTCGGGGCCAAAGAGATCATCCCAGTAAGCGTCCTCCAGAGCTCGGTCTGACGCTTGAGTAGCGGCGGGGCCATCCTCGACAGTGAACTTGGTGCACGCCTCGATTGGGCCGATGTACGTTACATCCTCGTCGATGCTCACTATACCGACAGCTGTGGAAGACCCGTGGATTTCCGGAACGTCACCTTCGCGCTCTGGCGAGACGTCAGTATAAGGTTGGCCTAGATTGTCCATCTCAGCTACATCATCGAAATCAACCAGTTCGGCAGAACACTGAGCGGCTGGCTGAGGAGGAAAAAGGACAGTTGCAAGGAACGCCTCGACCTCTTCCTCGGTGGCCGTTATAGGAGGGGCAGGATCGGCAGCTTCAAGACAAGACTCGCCATCACCAACAGCAGGAAGGACATTGTCGTCATACGGCGCTCCCATCGGCGATGGGGAGCTCAGAATGTCCGAAACGGCGTCCTCGTCGATCATGATAGGGTCGGCATCTAAAGCAGCAAATACATTGAGAGACGGCAGTGGAGCGGTGAAGAAGGCCTCGTCTTTGTCGACATCATGGAATGTCAAGGACTGGTATTCGTGGACCGCGTAAAACTCAGTGTGAGCTTGGGAAGGAATATGAGAAGCATGCATGGATGCATCCTCGTCCGCGATCGAGGTTGGGCGATAGAAGATATCCTCGTCGATGATGGTTGTGGTGTGCGTCAAAGACTCAGAAGAATGAGCACGTAGCGCCATATCAACATCCTGGTCAAGGTTGGTGTTCGGAGCAGGCACAATGGAAGAGCCGTCGAGAGTGCCCAATTCGATGCCCGCCCATAGCTCAGGGTCGTGGACAAATGTATGCTCCATATCGTACGGTTCTGCGAGAGCTGTTTCCAGCTGCTTCTCGAACTTGTCATTATCATTCACGAGTGTCTGGTCGAAATCTTCAATGACCACTGCTACTACCTTGGAACCGTCGTCGAAAGTCTGAATGTCCTTGAGCATCATCGGGGTTGGGGCTGATGAAGTGGTTGAGACAGCGTTGACATCCATAGCCGTTGCACGGCGACGCGCATCGAGTTCGTCGCATACCATATCGACAAATGCCTCCTCCTCCGGAGTGAGCCCATACTGATGCGACAGTCAGTAAATACTGCACGCTGACAATCAGCACACTTACGAAGTCCTCCTCGGCGTCATAGTACATCTCGTTCTCCTCGGTGGTGATTTGAGTGATAACTTCTTCGATAGTCAGCGGCGGATAATCAACCACCGACTGGGAAGGCTTCTCAGTAGCCTTTGTGGAAGTCTCCATCCTCGAGCAAAGATATGAGTGGTTGCTGTCGTAGGGTTTCAGGTAGTCGTGCAGGTACGTCGCACGCGGACGGCCGAAGGTGACAGTGTGGGCATCTCTCAGCGATGGAGAGAGAGAACCGTTCTTGGTCCTCGTCAGATGTTTGATGAGAGTAGGAATGAATTTGTTGTGCCGATGCTCGTCCCTCTTAGCACGTCTCTCCTTCACAGAAAGAGGAGCCCGCTGTAGGAATGCGTGAGCACTAGCCAGACAACGATATGAGAGTAACTAACCTCTCTCTTAATGCCCGACACCAGATTGTCGACGGAAAACACTCCCATCTGCGACGCATGACGTGCTCGGTCTTCCTCCGTGAACCTCTTGAACGTCGGGTTGACGTCAGCGTCGAGGTCGGGGAAGATGTCGGGAACATGGCGGCGCTTTCCAAGGCTCACAAGCTCGTCCCTAAATCCGGAGACGAGCGTGCCAACTTCACCCATTGCAGTATGGCGAGCGACGGGGACCGTGCCGAGGCCGCGATGTCTAGGGTGGTGACGCCCTGAGCCGTCGAAGTCCGAGAGGACCGCGACAGTGTAGTGCTCCTTTGAGGGGAAGATGCTGCGACCCAGCCGAGCAGCAGCCCAAGCCGCAGCAATGTAGCGTCTATGGCGCGCCACGGGGTATTGACCACGGTCGAGAGGAAAGAGACGGTGAACGGTGGATGCATACATATTGTATAATGATATTGGATAGTGATAATAAGAAGGTATATGAGGATACGATGTTTCGCGAGGGATGTAATGGTGAGAGACAGTGAAGAGAGGAGATGGAGACACTTATGTTGAACTTGTCGGGGCTTGGACTTTGACATGTCGATCGCGGTTCAACAAACGCGTCGTGTCGACCACGTGAGCGCAGGAACCATCCTAGAACTCGATCGCTAAAAATATTCCTCGGAAATGCAGGTAGAGAGCCATGGTTACCTGCCCAGAGCAGACGAAGAGCGAGCGTTGACACGTTTGTCAAAATTCATGGGCTGCAGGGCTATGATTAAGTACTTCGGCACATCGTACGCAAAATACTGTCGATAGCTTCTTTGAAGTCGATTTGAGCAGGAAGTTTCATACAGGTACGCACCTCAGATGCGTGGTAGGGAAACACACATCATGGTATAAGCGCCCATCCTGCCTTTAAACGCTACAGACACCCAGGAAGTGGCAGTCTCTGCCTCATCTACAGCTCATCTGTCCCAAGCATTTCACTAGGTTCACATGCCGATGAATTGAAATGTTTAACAGAATAGTGGGGAGGAAGATCAACGCACACGACGGTCCGAGTCTCCAACGTGAACACAATCCACACGATTCAGAGTCGGCACAACCACAGTACAAATCTGTCCCGGATGAGTAGACTTGCAAGAACAATAAGAGCAGTTATAATGGTCTGCAACCCGTCAAAATTTGGGACGTCAGAGGTCGGGCCAAAGATACTAGGGAGCTGGCCGACCTTCAAAATCGCCGGTATCGGGTGACGCGCATGAGACCGTAGCTCGTTGGTGGAGAAAAAAATGACATGGACGAGGCATGGACATAGCGTTGAATAGTCTTCCTTCAATGTTTCAAGCGGCAGACAAGCCAGGGCGCCGAAATGCGGCGTCCACGAAACACAGTCCGTTAAAATTGTAAACCGGGCGCACCAAATGGAACACCTGGAAACAGGTGCTCATGTAGAATCTCTGAGGCGTAATTTTGTACACCTGGCTTCTTCACGAACGGGAAGAAGGGACAACCCATCCTCAACTGCTGGACTTGTAGGTCAAGTCGGATAACACGCTCCCGAGGCAGTTACAGGTGCGCAACATCTGTTCAAATGTACTTACCGACGCTCAGCGCTCAATGAGAACTTCTCAGTCTTGATACCGACCCTCAACGAAGCGGACCTCTCCCCTGGAGCATCTTCAATAACTGGAGAACATGGGGCACGGGTTATGTACCTTGTAGTGAGCTGGAATGGAGATGTGCATGCGGGAAACAACGAGCCTGAGAGCTCGGCGTCTTCGCGAAGCCACGATCAGGCTGCTTGCTTCCACGTTCATCGCCTCGCGGATGGCTCTGCTATCATCGATGAACCATGCATGTTTGTCTCCGCCGTGCCATTTGTCGATGAGAGACATCGGTTAATTGCCATGTTGTCGCAGCGAGGTGATTCTGACAAGTGATAGCGCCGCCGCAACTGCGCACGGCCGCGGAGCGCTCCAGCTGCTCGACAGCCAGACTTTACACTGATCGCCCCCTCCTCATCCTCACTCTCTCCTTTGTCGTTCTCAATATATCTCGCAGAGACTTTGGCGTCGTTGTTGCCTCCTTATCTATCAGAGGAAGCACTAGCTTGCAACCAGTCGCATACAGTCTTACTTATCGTTTATTCCTGAACCGACCGCTGCGCCATGCTCACTCTGCCTGTGCTGTGGGCGTTCTCCACCCTGATCCTCCTCGTCTCCTCGTCACCAGTAATATCTGCATACGGTGCGAGCCAAGTCTTTCTTTCGCATGGTCATCGGGAGTACGAAAACGGAGAGTTGCCTCCTGTGGGCAACACTGAGGGGTGGATAGACCCCAGGATTAACGGAGGGCGATTTCTCGACGTGCGTAGAGTTTCAAAGGCTCTTCTTTCGTGTCGATTAATGTGGTTCATCCAGTTCACGACGGACGTCCTTGGTGAACCACTGAACATCGTGATCTCAGGGCTCTCCGATCCCTTCATACTCACCGAAGTGGGGCTACACAGCTACGCCAAGTATGTACTCCACACGCTCAGCCTCATGCATTGCTTACCATTCATCTAGGTCGATCGGGTTCTCGGAAGAGTGCCTCGGGCTGCACTACGGGCAGATCCACGAGGCGGACCTGGGCGACGGCGGCGGGCGCAAGGCGCAGCACTTCCTCGCGCGCCAGGACTACTTCCCCTTCATTGGCACGTGTTGGGAGAGCGTGCGCGGCGGACAGCACTTCCGCGCGTGGCACCAGAATGACACCGCCGCGAACAGTGGAGCGTGGTTCATCGGGTACGTGTCCGCCTTCTGATTTGCTCTATTGGCGTGTTGTCGGCACTGATGCGTGTGGAGCAGGGCGTCGCTGGAGAAGGTAGAATGGCGACAATGCGGTGGGAATGTGCTGCTGATATGTTTGTGCATAGGACTCGTCGAGAAACCACAAGATCGTGCCAGACGGGTATAACCTCGGGCGGGACTTCATCGTCGAGCAGGCGACCGCGGGTACCCGATGGAAGGGTATGTGGTGGAAAGCGGAGGTGGAGTGGCGTACAGGGCTCCTCGAGAAGGGGAAGCGAGGTGCGTGCTCTGTGCGTATGGCACAGGGGGTGCTGACGGGCGTAGCAGGCGTCAACCACGGAATTGAACAAGACGGTCGCGTTGCGATCCTCACCGTCGTCAGACTTTGACTCGGATTCTCACTAGATACCCCACTTACGAACTCACGACCCTTGGGTACCTTCCTTCACCGCGCATCAACTGAACCATGTGCATATATTTATTTGTATATTTTTATGATGTATCTTGCATAGACTATCATCTTCCTGTCGGTATCTACCGTATGCATGTACATAGCCTATATAATCGGTGGAAAAATGTGTACCCCGCTGCCTTCATTTTGGCCCGGGCAGGTCCGTGGACAGAGATGGGATCTTGCGCTCCGATCGACTTGCCCGGACCGTGCACCCACACTGCGCCCACAAGTGTCCGCGCCGTCGTCGGACATACTGACGCACTCGTAGGCCATTGCGAGGAGTGACTACTTATCCTAATACTCCAATTTTCTCTAGTTATAAGCCAATGTCACCGGTATCTACATCAAGGGCGTACAGTATCTGTCCGACCGCAACCCTACAGTACGACGAGACCGAGGAGGGTATCCAACTAAGCACTACAGGCACGTACAGGTACAGAAAATTGAACAGCAAGGCATCTGAGACATTGGGGGACATAGGGAAGGCATCTTGGGTATCAGAACGTGGGGCGTCACCAACCGTCCGTACCGAGTACGATGCAGGAACTGATGAGACACTAGATAGCAATAGAAATGCACCGAGGTATCAGTAAGGATACTAGCGTAGCCGCAGAGGCGACGGACGATACAATTAAACTATAATGGAGCCACACCATCTCATTACGGGGTCATCGACGCCTCTCCACTCTGTCTTGCATCGGGAGAGGCGTCCAGGAAGATATCCATGTTGAGATATTGATCAGGGTCGTCTACAGAATGAGATCAGTCAGCACAGGACACAGGTAGTGCAACGGCAATAGTTGGCCACCATACCTAGAATCAACTCCTCCTCGATGGGCTCGTCCGACAGAACGATCGGCAGTTGCGCCTCATTTGCCAGAGGCGGAAGAGGTTCTGGGGTGCCATACAGCCCAAGCGCACACTCCTGCTGCTCATAAAATGCCCCTGGGTCATTCTGTGCCGCGGACTGCTGAGCATCCATCGACATGGAGCTCTGCGACGGCGTTGTGGCGTCCGGCTCGAGCTCCATCGGCTTCCATCGGGAAGTTGCAGCGGGTACATCGCCTCCTGAGTTGTCGCCAGAGAACGACAGGTGACGGATACTGTCAAAGGAGGGATAATCCACGGGAAACTGCGGGTACGGTTCGTTGCTGCCGGATATCGTCACACTCGGCGAGGGCGCAAAGTCCTGCATTGGAGAGAAGTACGCCATGGAGGAGGGTCCGGGGTACTGCGCGTAGAGTGCATCACTTTGTGGCGAAGGGTAAGGACTGAGGCTGCTGCCAATCGTCTTGGGTGTGGCCGGTGGTGGCGTATACGTCGGGCCCGAGAACGGAACCATTGGTGAGATGGGTATGTTCTCGTGAATTGGATTTCTTGCTGTACGTTGGGGTGAGAAAATGTTTAATCGCTGGGTGGGCGATACATGGTTGGGGCGATTACGAAGGATTCGCGATCGTAGGGTTGGAGTGTTCATGCCAAGGCCCGGTTCAGCTGGGAAGTGTCGAGGTATACCTGCGTAACGGGCAGGAGTGTTAGCCGCTCCAGCATCAGATGAGGAGCAGCCAACGTAGGACATACCTTGGGGCACTGGGCTGCGCGATGGCGGAAGAGATGGAAGCGACGGCGGGATTTGAACTGCGCCAGGCCAATTTCCAATCGGAATCTCACCTTGTTGATGATCATATACACTCAGCAAGGTGTTGTTGGTAAAGCCTTGATAATGCTGTGGCGCACCGTATTGTGACGGCCCGTATGACGAATTGTAGCTTTGTTCGTATATTTGGTAGTGGAATCCGCGCGTCGGAGAGTATACAGGCCCTTCAAGGCTCATATCTTTGACCGGGCAGTGAGTACGCAACGGTGCACAACTATCGCCTGCCCTCTCACCTGGTGTCTGCGAACTCGGTCCTGGTAAACCAAACGGTACTTGTAGTTGTCCGATTGGCTGAGCAAATGGATATCTCCCTTCGCTAGCGTAGAATCGGGCGGCGGATTGGTCCAAGTGCTGCTCGAAGTCGAGCAATGAAGGTAGTCCAGATGAACCTGAGAAGGCGCCCGTCACTGTGGCGTCGCGTGCTTCGGCGCTTGTCATTACGCGCCCGTGTGACTGTCCCCGGACTTCCCCAGGAAGCATCTGCGGAGGAAAGATCTGAGGAAATGATCTCGCCGGCACATGGCTCGGCGCTGGAATATCTGGGAGTGGTGCAAAAAATGGACCTGAGGTTGCGGCGTCCTCTTCGAATCTGAAGGACGACATCATCTCGTTGAGCTCAGTTGTCGACACTTGGGAAGTGGATATCATGGGATGGCGTGGTATATCGCTGGGATCGAACGGTGCGAAGGTTTCGGGGACTGAGGACTCCCATCTGGATGCGATTATCGGTTCATGCTCAGCTTGTTTTGAAGAGCCCTGCTGGAACGTTGGGTAGACCGGCGGACGATCAGCCCTGCAAGGGCGCTCGGCTGAAGAAAATCTTCTCCCGAATATAGGAAACTAATATGTCAGGTTGAGCAGAGAATTGACGACGCCTAGCACGACTCACCTGCTCAGGATGCTGTGACTTGATATCGTTGAACGTTGACATTGTTGTACGAGTCGGTGGATGCTGGGATTGGTCTTGCCGCTCCTTACCATCACCTTTATTATCATCCTTCCTCCGCTGGGACATCGTGCCCTCTCAATGCGGCAGCGATGCACGGGTTGAAGCAAGTAGTTGTGAGGGAGTATAAAGAGCAGAACAGTGTCCTCTCGTAGAAGAGGACAAGTCGGCAGTGATGGTGGAAGGACGGCACGAGAGGATCGGTGCACTGCTTTCGCGCGCCCCCGACTAGCATACCCTTACTCTGCAGCGGTGTGCTCGGGTAAAACAGGGATAAAATTAGGAATGGACCTTGCACAGCTACCGCTCGCCAGCCCAAGGCACGGACAGGAATAAGCACATTCACTGGCATCGTACAATAAGGCCTTGCTAGCGAGCCAAGGCCATAGAGATGCGTGTACAACACGAGAGCTCGGGTAGTTCTATGTGCTGCAGAGAGAATAACGTCGCACACCACAAGAGCAAGGGACGTCGAGCAACGGTGCGAGCCGGCCGGTGCTTAACGGAGCGGACAGCACAAAGTCAACGACACCGCCGCGTGGGGAAATGGGCTACAAATGAAATGCTGCAACCGCAAACAAAAAATAGGTTAACGGTCAGAAGCCTGGACGGTAAGTGAAACGGACCTGGAGATGAGTTGACAGAAAAACCTCAAGACAAGCCATCTCAAGGATTCTCTGTAATAACGTCTAAATTGAGGTTGGATACGAGGCAACCCAACAGGTGCAGAAGGTGAAAGGGTTGTAGACGCATAACCATTGATAACACGGAGTGCAAGGAAGATTGTTGCTCGGGGCGAAGAGTCAACAGCGAGCACTCACAGGCTTACAAGGGGAACCAAGTAGAAGAAGGTTGCGAGGAAAATTTACGCCCAGCATGCCTACTGCATCAACTGATGCAGGATTACGACACCCACGTCACCAATTGACTGTCGTCAAGTTAGCAGTCGGCTAGAACACACTTCCACGTAAAGAAAACACTGTCCAGACAGCTGGATGCAACAAGTTCCTGTCAGAAAAACAAAGATAAAATCGGAAAGCAGGGTGGAAGAACAGGTCAGGTGAGAAAAGAAACAACGACAATATTTGCACCGAAGCATGCACGTACGCGGAGACAACGCGGAGAAAAAGCGGATGCGCTCCGACCAACTCCGACTCCGTCCCTCGTGGACTGAGTCTGAACCTTAGCCATCGTCAAGTAGTTCGAATATCACAAATTGCTGTTAATCCTTAGGCGGGTGCCGAAAAATATCATGCATGGTCGGACATCGAAATTAATATTCAGAAGAACCGATAACGTTTTGGCTCTGCATCAGCAAAAGTCAACTTTTGGTTACCTCCATTTACCTCCCTTACCTCCTTAATTAAGGAGGTCTCTGTTCTTATTTGGGCAATTAAAGCCAATAAGGGTGAATAATGGAGGAATAAGAGAAGGGATCTCCTTTTTTTTCCTTAATCAAGGGAGTAACGCCGGTAAGCAAAAGTTGACTTTTGCTGATGTGGTGGCTGGGTGCTTTCTCTTACGGCGCCTCACCTGGACCATAGTGCCGGGTGAAGCAAGGGTGAAGCGCGCTTGCCGCTCAAGCGCCTGGACGGGGCCGATGCCGATTCCAGGTTTCGCCCTTAGCCTGTGTGATCATTTTCAGCAGCCGCCTATCGATTAGCAAACGGCTGCAATTGCGTCGAATAACTTGAATTGCCTCAGTAAATCCCGAGTCGTACAGAGAGTGCTATTATTTATACTATGCCCTACCGTCCCATCGGCACCCCCCTACAAGTCGGCACCCCAGCATACCTCCCCCGTTTCCGGTCCCCTTGCTTACCTTCTTCATCTATGTTTATACTGGTATATCTCAAACAGTTGCGAACTTGGACGACGGCGGACGGTCTAGTATTGACCGAGTTCTGTTTTCGGCGAAAAATCATGTTTTATCACGCCATGTCACGATGTTGTCACGCTGACGTGCGAAATGGGTGACTGATGGGTGACATAACGCGTTACTGCCGACTTGAGGGGGGGTGCCGATGGGACGGTAGGGCATAGTATACGCCGTCTCTCGCATTTACAGAGTATACGAAAAACCTTGGCGTGCGACTTTTTTTTTCTGGGCTGATCTCCTCGCTTGCGAAGGCTCGGGACTTCGAGGAACTGCCCTTATTGTGGCTGATCGTACTCCAATTGTTCTCCAGCTTGTACAAAAGCAACTCTGTCATGCTACCATCATCAGCATGCACCAGGACAACTCAGCAACATCCTACTGTGTACATATGCTGGAATTCGGGTGAGCTCTGGATTTCCGTTGATTCAATGTCGTATTGCAGGCGTGGGACCCGTTTCCTTTCTCGGCAGTGCTGGCAGTCGGTCGAGAGCCAAAAAGTTGCGAGAGGGCGCGCGACCCAAAAAAAGTCGTACGTCAAGGTTTTCCGGATCGTCTGTAAGATACAGCAGCAATACCACTATAAAAGGCGAACATGTCGCACCTGGATTGGCCTGTGCGCGCCCCGCGAAGACAGCTTCGTGGGAGACACTCAAGAACCACAGCCCGCGGACTTTTCCACCGCCTTGCTATTGAATGAAAAGACACGCCTCGGCATCACCGCGAAATATGACACTGAGCCCTCAAGAGCAGTGTCAGCCTTCCATCTATCACGGCGAATCAACCTGTAGCATAGGCATCGTTCTGATCTCCCCAAAAATATCAGGCATCATCAGGATGGTGACATTCATGGATCTATCTCCAGACAGCAACCACAGATGGGTCAGTCGGGCCCGCAAGCGCACGAAGACTAGAATACAAGGCGCACCTAATATGGCTCGAGACCGTCAAAATTGCACTGTGATGAGCGAACTTTCATAAATACTCGTTTCCCGAGCTCGAGGGGCATGGACTTCGTCATCCGTGCTTCCCAGATGCCCATGGCCTCCCACCATAGTGGTGTGGCAACATAGCCAAAGCTGCTCGAGCGGATATCGCAATCGGCACGCGTGCCGACGCCAGTGCATATGTATCGGACAGTACTTGGGGACGGAGCTGCGATAGCTGTCGGCATTGCCTTGAGAATATTTACTGTCGTCAAAACTGAGACAGACCGTTTCGGATACATTGCGATTTCCAAGGTCCCAGCTCAAATCGCATGCACACGGTGTCAAGTCTGCCGAGAATTGGGAGAACGTTATCCTGCAATGCAATTCAACAATCTATCCCTTCTAAAGGCCGAAAACTTTTTCACCAAAGCGGAAGTTGGCACTTCAGCCTCGGCACCGCCTCGACGACATCGCGCCGGAAATCCGTATTCACGCCACAATCCTAATAGAGCAGTGACAACACAACCGGGGATGCATTCTGTATCTCTTGCTTCGGAAAGAGGCTTTGTTCGAGTTGTGACCGGTGAATAGGGGCATGCAAAGCGGGCCAACCATGCATGTCATGATCGGTTGCAGAGACATGATTCAACCAGTATGCCCCATTATCCCATGACATCGTGCCGGCATTCGGGGGAAGGGGGGTCGTACGTCGCGCAAGCGTGAGGTTTGCAGATGTGGAAACGCGTAGGCTAATGTGGAGATAGGAAAATGCAGTTGGACAGCGTAAGATGGTAAACATTGGGCCATTGTCGACGAGAATCTACCGGCAGCTGCAACACAATACTATGACCATGGAATCTCGACAACTCGAGGCATTGCAGAGTCTGCAGGGGAGCAATGTGGATGAAAAGATTATCTTCCCCGACATCGTGTTCGTTAGCGTGTCGCAGCACCAGCTTCCGCGGGCGGCCTTGCAGCGCTCCCATCACGTGTAGACTGCCCACCGCGATGTCAATTCGCGCAGAGCAGTCAGCGCGTCACCTATACGCGGTTCTGCGACCAGTAGTGCATCTATCACCTCAAGGAAGAGATGCCGCAGATTCGTTACGCGTTCCGGCAAGTCCGCCGAAGTAACGGAGAACTGCTCCTGGACGTATTTGTGCTGCAGTCTAAGAGCATTTTTCGTGACCATCAGATCGCGCAACCAGTACAGTCGATTCAGTGCGTCCGACAGCGCAAACGCGCATAATTTCTCGAACTAGGCAGGATGGTTCAAGGTCACAGTGGAGAGTGCATGCTGCCTGGAAATGTAGTGTATTGTTCGACCTGCAACAGACAGATTCAGTTCATCTGCCGTAGAAAGGAAGACGCAAACGACATCGTGATTGAGAGAGAATAGGCTTGTCATGGTAGGGGTGCGAGAGAATCAATGCCATCGAGGATTATAAGAGCGCGTCTCGAATCGCGGTAGGTCAGGCCGAGTCGCACATTGAACACAACTGTTACGACTGTTTGGGGGCTGAGTTGGGGCTGAGTTGAACGCCAAATCTTGTTTGAAAATGTGTTTGATGGAGATGAGACCCCTGCAAATTGATTAGCAAACGTCCAAAGTTCCACGCTTGATCATTGATGCGCCAAAATACTTACTAGTTTACCTGGTATCTGCTGTGCAGCTTAATCTACGGGACGGCGTGGCTTCCATATCACACCACTCACCGCGGGTATCAACTAGTTCCGCAACAGTTACATTTGTCCATACATCACGCAGGTCCTCAAAGGATGATCTTACTAGAGCAACAAAGCAGTAGCTCATCTCGCCATGGAGTCTTGGGCTCTGATACAAGATATTGCGATTCCAGAACAGGCCACGAGCTTGATACATCCAAATCCATTACATCGCGGCCCTCCCCCTTGGTTCGAACGGTAACAGAAGCGCGATGAATCCAGCCAAAATGAACAGGGCCGCAGACACGTAGATCGGCACAGAGGTCGCGAGGTTCGCATACAGTGCTATAATCGGAGCCTGTCAGGACATCGTCGACGAAAGTATGCGCCAACCCATATCAAGGAATTCGTCGAAACTTGTCAGTCGATCCTGCGGAAAGAGCATATCTCGAAACTCACCATGATCCCGAAAACGCGATTCGCGGAGGCAACGATGGCGTTGCCCGTGCCCCTGTCTTTCGTGGGAAAGAGCTCTGGAGACACTGCATACAGTACGCCGTACATCACATTGCTCGTGAAAGTGTATCCGCAATTCCAGCCAAGCAGTGCGTTCGACGTGCGTGCGGTCGTGCTCGCGAAGAGGAACACACCCGTGATAACTGCAGGTGGGTGAACGTATGAGGTTTGAGAAAACCGAATACAGTAGAACAAATTATAACCAAACACACCTGTTGATATTGCCAAAGTCCCCTTACGACCAAGGTATGGAATCTCAACCATCCAGCCTGCGAGAAGAGCACCCGGCACACCGATCACGCTTAAAATAACTTGCTAGATGAAGGAAGATTTATCAGTTGAATTGGACAGACATCTGGTAGCCAACGACTCACATTGCGATATGTAATATATACCGAACCATCTCCGAAGTCAGCACCTCGAGAGGCAAGGCTACAAACAGACCGATCATCTCAGCAAGTTGGCATCCTATATAAGACCGCGTGCTTACAAGTATGTCACGAATCCGTTGTATCTGTTGAGTAAAAGGTTCACATTTGCTACGTCATCCCGTATAGGTTTCACTCACAAGGGGAAAGCAAGTCCAATAAGAGCTAGAACGACGGTGAGCTTGGCAGACGATCATGATACGAGCTTAGGCGCACCCCAAATGATAATGAGCAAGGAAGTTGAATATGCAAGCTTCCTCGTCGCAAATAACGACTTCACATGCGATCCGCTGAACTTTCTCATCCTCCTAATCACAGCCGCACGCGCACTCGTATCCATCTCCGCCTCCCTTCCAGGCTCCTTGACCGTCTCGCCGGCCTCTGTAAGCATCTCAAGTATCAGCGAAGAAGTGCGGCCGTTGTACTTCGCAATGCGCTGCACGACCTCCACTGCCTCAGCATCGTGACCACGGCCCATTAAATATTTAGGGGACTCGTATAGGTGGAAGACGAAGAAGCGCAGGAAGAAGAAAAGCATCATGAGCCCGCCCATCGTGTAGAGGAAGTAGCGCCACCCCTGGTTTGACGACCGCGGGCAGTGTGCTGCGGATGCGCAGGAGTAATTCGCGATCAGCGGCCAAGCAATCTTCATATAGCGGGTCAGTTAGAGCTTATCGACAACGAGGAGCAGGCATACTAAGCTGCCAATGAGCTGGCCGAATGCCCACCAGATGGAAAGGATGGTCAGTAGATATTGGTGAGATGCCGGTACAAATTCTGTGCAGATATGTAGATGTGATCGCCGATCAATCGCGTGCAGATCTCACTCACCCAAAAACACAGCAGAATCCACAGGGAGGTTTCCGCCGACACCGACACTCCAAACTGCTGCGAGTGAGCAGAGAGCTACAGAATTGGGAGAACCGCCTGCCGCGATCGCAAATACACCAGTCATGCCCAGTGTGATATTAAAGCACCAGCTGAACATAGGTCAATAACGACTCCTGCATTTCGGAGAAAGTACAGACGCACCGCCGGCCCCAGACGTCCGACGCAACTCCCCAAAATGCAGCACCTACAAGGAGACCGATATTCTGCCCGAGCTTGAGGAAAGGACCTTGGAAGTTGAACTCGTTCACCACTGGCGATAAAATTAGCCCAGTGACAATCTGAAAGAGAACGATCAACGCTGCATAGCAGATCTGTAATCGTGCATATCGTACAGGCCATAGATTATCGCTGAGCAGATATGAGAGCGATTTCTCTGCAGTCAACTACAGTACTCACGAGAACCATCCGAATCCTGCTACGACGAACAAGTACCACTGTGCGTTTGAAACTGATAGTTAAAAGACGGTGCAAATCGGTGAGTAAAACGCACTTGATACTTTCCCATTCCAATCTCCTCAAAGGCATCGTTCAAGATTCTTGCCTTTGCCTGGTAGACGGGATCTACACCCGACTCGCCCTCATCGTACACATCATGCGTCTCTGCACGCACGGCTGCCTCGACATCGGGCTTTTTCTCGTCGTACTGTTTTGTCGTCGACATGGCGTATCGTCACCGTGGCTAAGGTAAGTGCAGGAGGACGGTAGCCTTAGGCGAGAGACGCCTGAATTGATAAGGTGCAAGCGCCGTTGGCAATTGCGAAATCGGTGATGGCTGTCAAGAAGTTCCACGTCCACATGTACCGTGTTCCAGTTCATTAGAAGGTGAGTCTGGGCGGTCGGATCTATTCTGTGAACCAAGAGAGCGCCATGACCGTGTATCGTAAATCATCTTGTAGGCAAGAGTTTGTTTTAAACAACGATATACCAGGCAGCCAGCAGACAGATACGGTGCAGTACTGACAGGCTCCGGACAGACGCGCATTCGGCAAAATGTGACCTTACAGATCACGTGGCCATGCTACGAAGCCGCTCGTAGAATTAATTAACCTCTTCTCCAGATATTCTAGCTGGTCTACTGGATGCACTGGACCTGTGTATACCCTTCGGTGGAGCAAGCCAAGTCAACCGAAATCATCTACCAAACCTCACACTTTGTGCCGAAGTACGTAGAACTCCGGGACGCTGACTCGCAATGAGTTTCAAGAAGAGGTGAGAGCTGTGTATTAATGCGTAGGACAGTCTGACGAATGCTATTCTCAGCAAGCTCGACCTCCTCGTTCGCGTCCGCTATTCCAACCCCCTTCCTGCACCGCCATGTCCTCCCAAACTACTCGACATCCCTACCGACCCCATGCGCTATGCGCGACCCGAATTTTTGGACGACATCGCGAGCGATATGCCACTCCCAATGATTGTGGACGGAGACCTCGGGATGCCGCTTGACTTGTCGCAATGGGAGTGTCTCTGGGGCGAGAACGGTGATATGTCAGGTGCGCATTCCATCGGTTTTCAATCACCTCTTTCTCTTACAGTGCCGGGGTTTATTTGCAGAGGTTAACCCGGACCCGGAAGATGTGCCACCATTAGACCCGAAGGACCAATTCTTGCTTGCAGACCCGGGATCATCGTCAGGCACATTCATGAACCACGGCTTCCCCAGCTCAGGCTCAGGCTCACTAACGCCATCATCCTCCATGCCGCAAGTCGCATGGCTCCGCAAAACCGAATACATCAGTCGCGAGGGCGTCTCGCGCTCCTCTCTGTCACAAGACATGTACGTCATTTCTATTTCCCAAGAGCTATACCTGAGCGCGTGTCGCAGCAAAAACACCAACGACACGCCCATCGACGTGTCGCGCGGGGCGCAGATCCGCGACATCGAGGCGTCGTTTACAGCCACGGAGGAGTTCGACCTCGCCACGCTCAAGCACCCGAACAAACCGGACGTCACTGCTGTCGAGTCCTATGAAGTCTTCCCCGATGCAGAGATATGGGCAAATGCGTACGACCTGTTCAGGTTCTCGGAACGGCCAGGGGAGCGGCCACCAGACGTGCGTTACATTAATACTTAGGCCTCGTCTCTTATCTCGGCCTTTGCTGTCTAGGTCGACGATCCACGTCTGGATTGTGCGATTCTGCGTCCTATGGAATCAGATGGGGACCATTTCCTCGCGTTCTATCTTACAAAAGAGGACGAAGCGGCAATCGAGTTCAAGCGGGAACGACTGGCACGCTCGCCAGACGCGCCAGAAGAAGATGAGGTGCGTTCAAGCATGTTGTGCGAGCGTCATCGCCCTCATGACTTTGCAGCCGACACCGTTCCACTTTGTGCGTGACTACGAGACGGTGAAGGTCGAGCAGGAGGTTCCCAACGAATTCCTGCTCATGTTAGATGACGGTGACGCGAAAGAGGAATACGCGGACGTGGATACGAAACCAAAACAGCGGCGCGCGAAGGGTGCTTACTACAAGAACATCGAGCGGAAGATGCTGCTCAAGAAGAAACGTGTAAACGTTAGTTACTCCTTCTCCGTCTTACTTTACAGGGTTTCCTGATTTGATCTCATCTTGCCTCAGTCGTATGAAGCGTACCTTGACAAGTGGGACGTCGTTAAGGTGACACACGCACCAATGAGCAAAGAAGAGCTTGATGAGCGAGAAGACGCGCTCGCGGAAGTCATGGACCCGATGTACTTACTCTCGCGCGGCGACGCGGACGCGGAGGGCGAAGTGGAGGATGACGGCGTCGCAGAGATGAGCAGGCATGCCCATGGCGACGAAAACACCGACGCGGTGGATGTATTCGGCGAGGACTAAGGTGGTCTCTGGTCACTTGGTGGGTCAGACGACGTGTACTGCGAGGTGTATCTTGTACGGGTTTGCATAGTGTTTTGATCGTATGCTATGTTTCTCCTTCCGATCTTCGGGTTTCATGTCGTCCTCTCAGAGTCAATATCAATGTCGACACAGCGGGAACACTTGATGGTTCCTCGAGAGGAGTCAGGACCGGAGGTATATTCACGTGACAGCATTTCAGGGAGACGACTTTGGGGGAGCTCGCAATGCGAAAGTGCGAAGGCCACCTTCAGCATTTCAGTCTAAGTTGCTGCTCAACTAGCTGCCACTCCTTTTTGTTCGTTTTTCGTCTGGGTTGGAAGACCTAAGTGAGTAGGTTCGTGTGGCACGTTGAGAAAGACTCAAGGTTCGAAGCAGCACAGGCGTAACGCCTGGCGTCTACCGTAACGGAGTAGACCGTCGACACAGCCAAGCTTGATTGATTCGGGACTGCTGGAAGCTGGACGGTATGTAGGTTTTTTTTGTTGCCTGGCATCACCAGTCTCACGCGACCATCAGAAATGCCTTCGCCATTTGATGAATCTCCACCTTCTCTCGCACTCAATTCGCACTTCCTTGAGAACGATCACGACCACCCCTCTTCCTCTTTTGACGAGCCCTCCTCCGACGGTGACACCGCATCACAGCGTTCGATTACGCTGTCTTCCGCCCCGCCTTCCCCACGCTCCGCTGCGCCCGCCCTTGCGGACCTCGCCGAGGTGCAGCCCCCGCCTACAACTATCACGCCCGTCACGCTTGTCCGCCAGAACCTCTCATTCAGCAAACGCAACACGATGGATACGGACGTCAGTTCCGACGTGGACCCGGACGACCGCAGCTTCTTCACGCGCCGCCTGGACGAGGGCGAGTCACCCATATCAAGTATCGCGCCGTCCGTGAGTGAGAACGAGAAGATTGGGCCTCTACGGACGCCCTCGTCAGCGGGTATCCTGTCGAGGAGCGATGCAGATAGTATCCTTTCTGCTGGCTCGGAGTCGACGTCATATTCGAGGAAGGCGCGCCCGGAGTCATTGATCGTTCAGCCTTCGAAGGGTCCGTTGGTACTCGGGATTGCGCTCGTAGACTTCGACCATCTGGTGAGTGTCGTGCGACGTGTCTTTGTTTCCCCCTGAATAGCCTATCAGGTTGGGCCGAAGATCGAGTTTTCACGGGGAAGCATATTCAATGACGAGGAGATCGTGAAGATTATGCCATTTCTCGCTTTGCCCGATGGGGCACATATGGTGCGTTATGCTTATAAATTTCTGGCTCAGACAGTGACATTGCTCGTAGTCGACTGAGGATTATTCGTACTTTCACCTTGTTCCCTCGTCACCAAATCCGAAGACGATATTCGGTATTTCGTGAGCATGATTGCTACCCTCTGTCCGGATTTTTGTACTAACGATGCGTAGCTGTAATCGACAGATTCAGACGTCGGAGTTACTCGTGAAGGACGCGGACGTGACACGATCGACGGTGCAGAAGGCGGTAGTGGTGTTAGCGTCAGAACCTGTGTTCGGTCTCATTCGGTGCGTGCGATCCATCCTATCTCCTCCTGTCGGCGTTAAACTATTTACAGAGACCGTCTTGGTGTAATAACGCGCGCACTCTTTGCACAGCGTGATTTCTCGGAAACAAGTATCCTCGATGCGTTCTACACGTCGCTGGAGCACTCCCTCCGCACTCAGCTTACGGAGAGTGGGCTGTACATGGGTACGTATCTTTGCCTGTTGCTATCACCTTCCATGGTGCTGATGTCGATGCAGGAACTAGCTTGTGAGTAACTTAGCCCCTCGATCTATGTTCGTTGTGTTGATAGATGCAGACGAGAGTTAGTCCACACCTTTCGACAACGGACGTTGGTCCTTTTGAAAGCGCTGATGCTCCAAAAGAAGGTTTGTTTTGTCGATCTCCGCCTAGGCTGCGGGCTGGTGTCTGATGGTCACACAGATCATGTTTTTCGGCCATCCAGTGGAAAAGTTGTGCACGCACCAATATTCGCTCGTCACACTTGTTCCTGGTAGGCGTAATCAATATTGTGTGTCTCGCGACGCGTGCTGAAGTGCGCCGTCTTTAGGTCTGCTGCAAAATCTTGTAGATTGCGGCTCCCCGCCGCTCGCGACCCGTGCACAGACTCTTTCTCGTCCTACATCTCTGCGCACGTCGGACCCAAAAAGTATGATGGCATATGTTGGGCTGCCGCTCGACCTCTTCGGCAAAGTGCGTTATCCGACAGTGATGTGCCGTTTGGCAAGGCGTGAAGCTGACAGCTCCTTTGATACTTTGCAGGACGCCTTCTTCCAGCCGTATCTTCCTCTGCAACAGCTCGACATGCTAAGGGACACGGAGAGCTGGTTGTGCGGGAGCACGAACTCGATCGTCGCGCAACAGAAGGCGGTGGATATCCTCGTGAACGTGAGCACCTCTGTACCTGGGACCGGTCCCAGGGAAGATACTCGGGTGTGGCGGGGGTGCTGATGTTGCTGCTGATTGTTAGATAGAAAACGGAACGATGGAGTTTCATGATCCGAAATTGGAGCGCTCTGCTGGACTCACTCCTGCTGACAGGAAGTGGATGGACGATATCGTGCGGGATGTTAACGAGACTTATGATGAGGACCCGTCAAGACCATTGGGCATGCAGTGTGTATTATTCTACCTGCATTGCGCTGTTGATTACTGAGGGCCCCCCAGTTTCAAGGGCAGCGATGATTATCTGCGGCAGAAGGCAGGTATTGATCCACAGATCGTGGGCTCAGGTTCTGATAGGATCATATTTTCCACAGTTTGACGAGTACATCAACGGTGCACTTGCCTCGGTCAAGTATTCTGCGTTCTTGGCGAAGGGGAGGAGTGCTGGCGTCATAATCAGCGATGGCTCAGGTACGACAGATTTCAAACGTCTTGAGCATGGGCTAATACAAGTGTATGTAGTAGACCCGAACTCAGTACAGGACTTCAATGCACTATGGATACAGGAGTTCAAGAAGACCAACGCGTACGAGGTGTGGGAGCGTGTCACGGATCCCCTCTTGTTTGATATCGTTGAAGCACGGTGTGTAACGCCTACACTACATGTTCATTTCACCATTCTCAGTGGCCCCCTCAGGCATCCATGTAGCGACAAGCCGTCCGTTGTAGCCGACCTTGGCCTTCGTCTCTCTGAAGGTATCCAGGAGCTGAAGATCGAGCAGCAACTAGCACCCACGCGTGAAGCCATTTCACGCACGTTTACAGCTGCGGTGGAGGGGGTTCGCGGTCGCTGGCTCCCGCGCAACCCGAGCTCCAGCACGAGCGTCAGTGCTGCTACCGCCTCATCTCCATCTGCCACATCCACGAATACTTCAACTAGCACATCTAGCAGTATCGTCGAGGTGAGCAAGACGGATGCGCAACCCGACAGTACGCCGGGTTCTCGGCGAGGTTCGGTTGATCGTCGCGCCTCAGAGACTCTCCCAAACGGTCTGCGCCCGCTGAGCATGACAGCCAATCGTACGCCCCCACCTCCTCCCCCGCCAGAGCCTAGCCGGTTCAGCGGCTGGGTTGGGTCGTTGTTCTCGCCGCGCTCGTCGCGGATGTCGACGGCCTCGGCGCAGTCGACGCCTGCGGCTATGCGCAGGGGAAGCAATTCAACACTGGCAGAATCGCGGAATGCGTCCCGCGGTCCGTCGCCGTTACCTGCGATGCTGGCGAGCAGCAGTGCAGAGAGCGCCGCATCGCATAAGGAGGAAGTGGTGGACGAGCACATCGAGCCCAAGAATTTAGACGAGGTTTATGGTGCGGGTAGAACGCACAAGGCAACTTCCCAGCCTGTAGATGCAGTCGGGGAGGCGCATGGTGGCGGGGAAACCCACCCTGTTGTGGGCGACCACCATGACGAGGGTGATGATGACGCGCCAGCAGGCACTGGCGTAGCGCTATGAGTCTTTCAGCGATAATTGGAGATTTGTGGACGCCTCACATCGCACTTCGTCGTATTATTATCTTGTTCAGTCGTTTCTCATCACTGCATGCGCTCTAGTCATGAACAGCACAGCCCGTCTCTCGGATGTATCCCTTATAATATTCGTCGATCCTTAAATCAATGCTACTGCGTGCAGCGTATAATTTCAAGTTCGAGCTGTTCGCAGAACATCCTTATCTTGAATTCTTAATGTACATGACACATCGGTGCAGTTCCACAGTGAGAAGCTCCCTTCTCAATCCTCCACAGTACTAGCTAGTGTCTCTAGGTGCTATCGCTGCTAGTCCAATTTACCTCCAACCATGACATTCTTCAAAAATTTTGTAGTATGGGTCAACCCTTCATCTCGAGGCAAGTCCTTGAAGCTGGCAAAAACTTAGTGCAATGAACCCTTCTCCTGCATGACGCTCTCGTTCTCTGCAGCAGGATAGGAGACTAAAAGTTGCATCACGGGCAAAGAGGAGTTGTCCAGAGCCCTTCTCATTTCTGGGAGAAGCTGTGGTCGGGACTCGCTGGAATAATGTTCCCCATGCTGTGTAAAGAACGTGTCGACAACTTTATCGAGCACACTGGCAATAGCCTCACACTGGGGGCAAAAGTGGATGTTCTGCCTTGGAACAGTGTCTGAACATCCAAGGAACAGATTACGTTTTTGGACATGTCACATGTTCTGAACATGGTAAGGAACATCTAATATGTCTCGCACAATGTTCCATTGGAGAGCATGCTGGAGACATGTTGCATGTACCATTCTGGAACATATAATATGTCTCACACAATGTCTCATTGGAGAATGTCCTGCAGACTTGCTGCATGTTTCATTCTGGAACATTTATCATTTTGCTACTATATTCTGGGCTTGTCTCTTGGTGCAATATGCTCTGTATAATAAGGATTTCCCATGGCCAAACACATTACATTTCTGGCCGCCGTTAATCTTCAGAACATTGTGAGAAGATGTTAAGTGCTACTCCAAACATACAAGATGTCCTGGGCACCAAGAACATTTGCAGTACATGTAAAATTTTAGTATGATTTTAGTATGTATCATACATGTACTGCAGAGGTTTTTGGTACCCAGGACATCTTGTATGTTTGGAGTAGGAGCACTTAACATCTTCTCACAATGTTCTGAAGATTAACGGCGGCCAGAAATGTAATGTGTTTGGCCATGGGAAATCCTTATTATACAGAGCATATTGCACCAAGAGACAAGCCCAGAATATAGTAGCAAAATGATAAATGTTCCAGAATGAAACATGCAGCAAGTCTGCAGGACATTCTCCAATGAGACATTGTGTGAGACATATTATATGTTCCAGAATGGTACATGCAACATGTCTCCAGCGTGCTCTCCAATGGAACATTGTGCGAGACATATTAGATGTTCCTTACCATGTTCAGAACATGTGACATGTCCAAAAACGTAATCTGTTCCTTGGATGTTCAGACACTGTTCCAAGGCAGAACATCCACTTTTGCCTCCAGTGTCACCTTGTTCACATACAGCTTAGATGGGCTTGCGGACTTCAGCGTCTGTTTGGTTTGCCTGGAGTCGAGAGAGAGACATTTCGTTTGGACAAGAACCCAAATAAGTTGGTCACCGCATTTGACGAGGAACATGATATCGGGGCCCATATATCTATCCGGGAAGCAAAATATACCCTGCATGCCGTCAAGCCACCTTATGACGTCCTCCGGTGCGTGTGCTTCGAAACTTAGTACCGGAGTTGCGCCTTGAAGGGCAGTGAGGATTTTGCCTTCAACAGTCCAGCTTGTGATAGAAACCAGATGGGCCGGATGTGATTATCAGCCAGGGTTGTCCGTGACCATTATACACGGTAAAGGCATCGCTCAACGACCTGATTCCATCAAGAACATGCAAGAGTGCGGCCATTGTCACGGTCTCCATAGCAAGACCATGCGCAGATGCGCTATCAAGGCTCGGTATGCATTCCGCGATATTCGTCATAGATCTTGAAGGATGGTTCTCGAAGTATTGAAGCGCAGCCGCTACCATGAAAGGTTCATCTATCTGTTGAGGTAGACTGGATTTTGTAGAGATTGAGGCCGGCAGTTCCCGGCGTTACACGAGCGACACCGAGATTGACAGCTTGAGCACACTTCTCGCGGATGATGTACGGCTTGCTTCGAAGCACCCAACCCATCACGGATAGGAAAATTTCGTTTTCGGCACCGTGATACCGGACTTGTGATAGCTTCTTGAAGTTTATTGGGGCAAAGGTCATTGGGATCATTGGGATCATGTGAATGATTGGTTCCTCCGAAGAGTACATTGCTCCATCAGTGGCCTCAAAACTGCCGGTCATTTCGTGAATGAGAATATCCAACATTCGATAAGCAGATTTGTCTCCCATTTGTCTTAGCAGCATGGTATACACGACAGTGAAGCAATGTCTAATGAGTATGTCGGAGATGAGCACATGTGACTGGCGCAACTATTACTGACTTTTTTAATTTTTTTAATTTTAAATCCCATTTATTGTCCTCGAGGGCGAAGCCCTATGGTAGACAATAACTACTGTATCTAGCTTGTATCTCGAGCGGATGCGGGAGATGAATAAAACAAATGCCTGCACGAGTGCAGGACTTTTAGATAGTGGTGTAACTGTGGGGGATAATGTGAGTGAAAGGGGAATTGCTGTAAAGGTGTAAAGGTGTAGGTAAGGAGCAGCCCCATGCGCATGCATTCTGTACTCTGGTGAGTGAATGCTAGAGACTGAGATCTAAACCTGCTGCCCTTCTGGATAGTAGAAGCCTACTCCCGGGTGTGTCCTCTTGCCGCAGTCAGGGATCCGGACGGTGGTCCCCCACCGGCTGTCAAAACTCCCCCGATCTCTCAGGTGGTGATACACTGCTAAGGTGTCCATGTTGTACAGTAAGAAAGATAAGAATCAAGGCCTGGGTGCGACAGAAGAGGGGAGAGGGTTGGTGGTGCCTGTAGTGCAACCGAACTGGTCTGTGAATAGAGGGGAAGCATCAGTGGACGATAAAGTGCAGCAGGAGGGACTTCTCTCATCAGGAAAACCTCAACTTTACTTACAACAGCTTAATCGTCTTGATCAAGTAATCAAGAACCTCAAGTACAATAAGCTGATCTCTGTACTTGACTGGCTTGATTGCCGCTTGACCAGCTTACGACCAAAGAAGAGCCAGGTAATAAGCTGAGAAGATCGCAGAAGTTGACTGACTTGATTTTACTTGACCGACTTAATCTCGCTTGGCCAGCTTGAGAAAGCAACATCACAAGCACACTAAGTCAATGAAGTCAACTAGTATTCAATGGCTATATCAAGTAACTTAAGCAAATCGGCATGTAAGGAGAGTCAGATAAGAAGCTGGGCAGCCGGCAGAAGTCAGAACAGCGACAAAAGCAAGTAAGGGAGATCCCAAAAACAAGTAGGTATCATGTAGCTAGGCATAGCAAGCTACAAAGAATGTACTAGGTGATAGCAAGACAGAAGGACAGGCATGGTAAGCTAAAAAGAGTGAAGCGAGAGTAAGACTGGTGCGGAATTAAGAACATGTATAAAAAAGCAAGATTACTATAAAACGAGTTTAATGAGTGAATGCGACTGTATAAACGCAAAGACTAAGGACTGGCAAGCGAGCAAGCAAGCAATGATGATTGTACCAAAGAAGATGCAATAACTGACTTGCAGTTAAGACGACGATCAGATGGTGCTCAATGACAAAACAAAGCGATCCAATGACTAAACTTCAAGTCACTGAGGCTGTGAGGTAGCGATGTGCATATAAACTGAAACAGACTGTTGCAAATGATGTCAGTTCAACAGACAAATGACAAAGAAAAGACGTGCCTTCAATTAAGAATCATAGTCATCCTCAGAATCAGCATCGACAAGGTTCGCATGCTCGTCATTAGAATCCTCCTCGTCTGATACTTCAATGACGTCCTGCATGTTTGATTTGTAGATCTTCTTTGCTTCAGTGACAATCCTGTCAACTCTGTGATCCAATAGATTTACAGCAGAGCTAACATATTGCCAGCTTTTCTTGCCAAAGCTTGCATCCGAGAACACATATTTGTTCTTGTCTTCCTTTCTGCTTTGAGGGTTAATGAACTTGACCGTTACTACCTTCCCCTCTTGCATCAGTAATACTCCTGTCCTTCACAAAGTGAACGCTCGCTCAAGCTATCAATAATTAAGGTTAGATAGACACTACCATAAAACAGCAGATTACACGCACCGCAGCTGCAGCCAACCCAATTGCACCATAAGGCTTAGCACATCCTCCCATCTCGATAGTGTACAGAGCAGGAACATTGATCGCTCCTTCAGTTGACTTGTAATAGTAGGCAAGTGTTCGTAAGACCAGGGGCAAACGAAAGAGACCTCTGAAAGTCTTGTTTTAAATGAGTAAGTATTCAGTAAATACCAGCTGACAATATGACGATCACACACCGATTCATCTGGACCATCAACATCCTTCCACACAAATCGCTGTTTATGGAGAATCATCTTTGCAAAGCTCACACGTTGTCCAGTCATCTCAAAATCTTCATCAGAGCCGAACAAATCTCTGACGACTGTGAGTGCAGTAGAACCAAAGCCATTACGCCATTCACAGAGCCTCTGATTGGCCTAAATTGGTGAAGAGGGCAGCAGTGTTTGAGCGTACAGTGAGATGTACAATCACAGAGACTTACAAGTTTACAGATGAAATCTTCATGAATAACCTTGTGCATGATCTTTGGTTTAGTAAAAACTGCATCCCAAATGCATTGCAACACTTCGACAGCCTTCTCATCGCTGATCAACCAGAGATCCAGTGTAGTACCAATATAATGCTCCAAGGTCGGAATGAACACCTGCCACCAGAGCTTCAAAGTGCCAGGCAGTAAATTGGCATTGGTCGCACTAGTTGACTTTGGCTTCTTGGACTTGACAAGTGCACCATCGTCCTTCTCATTGTTGACCTCGATCTCCGTGTCTTCAATTTTAACCATACTCTACAAAAGTTGCTCAGTATCGTCTCAATATTGTACAGGCTGCTTACATTACTGGTCAAGCGTATTCCTCCCTTTACAGGACTGGAAAGGGCTGCAATTCGTTCAAGTTCGTTGTCGTCATCACTGGAGATCCCACCGCCAACTTCGATTTCAATGAAGTTAATCTTGTCTGATTTTGATTCTAACTTTTTGACAGTCTGCGACACCTTGGTGAAATTGGACATCTGAGTCTTGGCTGTTTTGGATGAGGCAGCAAGGGACTGTGAAGTGCCAGAAGTGGATGATGGACGAGCCTTAGAAGGAAGATTCCAAGTGGGTACATTTGTTGCCCAGTTCTTGATCGTTCCAGAGAGGTTGCCGGCATCCTTCTTATCCCTGCAGGTATAGTAGAAGAGGGTGGTTTCATCGAGTGTGAGTAATGGCTGCATGAAGGGACAATTTGAGTACCACTTACCTTTGTGCAGGCACTTTGGCTTCCTTATAGCTACCAGCCTTCCCAGCACATGCTCAGGCGTCTTCTCTCTTGACTGTACCCTCATCCTCAGATGACTCAACAACAACAGGCTCTTTCATTCACTTGTTAGTCTCCTTCGCATTCTGTTTGTGAGCGGCATCTATGGCTTTTCTGGTGGACTGCTTCTTCGGCTTCTTCTTCGGGCGCTCATTCTCCATCTCGATATCTGTAAGTTCAGAGCCTTCAGCATCGGATGCATCTCCTATCGCTTCTTGTTCAGCTTGTTCAATCTGCTGAAGACGGTTGTCTGCATCATGGTGACCATCCTCCATTACATCAAGGGAAGCATAGGTGCATCAGAGAGATTGAGGGTCTGAAGCCCGAGGACGTTTCACAGGCTGCTGAGATGACTGTGTGATACATCCAGTCTCAATTTTGGCTGTGTCATTGGCCAATCTGTCCTCCAGATCAGCAATCTTCTTCAACTTCTTGACCTTGGCTAGCTGCGTCTCCTCCTTGGCCTTTTCTTCTGCCCTTTTGGCCTCTTTTACCTCTGCCTGGGTGCGTCTTTTTACCCTTAGATCAAGTTGACCAGGATGTTTATCGACATTTGTCGCACGAATAACAGGACAAGACATAGTAGGCATTGAGGAGTGACCTGGAAAAGGGTGACAGCAGAAATATGGTTGGTTTTAACGGTTGTTGCCAGGGTGCTTAGCATCTAACGGCAGTGAATTTTGACCATTCAGGAGGGTGCCCATCTCGATATATTACAGGCAATATTACTTGAATTAAATGTATTTTCTGACTGTCCTTCGGCACAGTCTAAGTCCATGTCACATATCGCAGAGAGCAGCAGACAGGAAGAAGTTCGGTTGGTGTCTCAACAACTTTTCCCTCACCATTATGGTTGGGTTGGGTCATGTCATAGTCACAAACCACATCCACGGTAGAGATAAGTGCCCACACGCATTCTCAAACAGCCAGTGACCAGTGACCAGTGGAGTTTAGGACTCAAACCACTGCAAATCCACTTTGCTAGGTGAGTCGTGCTCTGAGTGTGTGTGCTAACTGGTCTACTATGATGATCCTCAGTATGGCATCTTTGGGTGCATCACCTGTCTTGTATAATATACCACAGAATTATTTGACGAGAATGGGCTGAAGACCTTCTCGACACTTTCTGCGAGACATAGGCATGTCTGTGCCCATTTCATAGGGCAAAAGAGCAGACTTGTTTGTGACGAAGTTAGGGAGAACTTGTGTGAGATGATGCGGTTCTGCAGACAAATGTCCCCTAGGTACCAATAGTATCACACAGTTTGGTACATAGTAGGTTGTACCTATTCCCATCGTTATATCCAGATCATATCTCTAATACATTCAGCAGAGATGATTAATGCCACAACCATTGCACTCTACCTATGGCTTTTGGAAAGCCATCGCTGCTGAGTCGGAGAGCCGCTGAAAGCTAATGAATCATGCCTGATGCCTTTGGAATCGATAAGCACAATTCTTCTACCCTACATGTCACATTTCCAACATATGTGGTGCGAAGAAAGCAGGTGCGTGTTGTTCAAGTTCAGAGTGAGACTAAGTAGTGTTGAATGGACTTGCCATCTCTCGCACCACTGCAAAGCTTGAGCCATTGTCACCTCTAAGCAATCAATACTTTTTCCTATACGATATGAATGCACAATGAAGACAACTGTGTGGTTGGATGACAAGGTCCATTGATGACGGATAATGCAAGGATGACGAAGATGTGATGCGTTCTAAGCTGCAAGATCACGGACGAAGTGGAAGAAGTCTACAGAAGAGTCGTTGATGCCATACTTATAGATCTGCGCATAATCGAACACGATGGTCAGTTTGACTGATGCAACAAGTGGCACAAGGAAGGAACACACATGAAATGTGATGCCATCCAGCTCGAGAACAACGCACATTGGTATGGTTTACTACGGTTTGAAAAGCCTGTTCAGCACGGTATCGAGCCCAACTTGGTCGACGAGCATCTTGGGAATCGCTTGGCTCATGATGCCCTGTCAGCACGCAGGATCTTCGTACAGGTCCGAACCCTCCAACTCGGTCTGCAGGTCATTGAGCATGATTGACAGCTCGTCTGAGATGAACGTGCATGCCTTCACACCCTGTGCATGCACGTGCTCCCGCCAGAGGCACTGGAACTCTGCCACAGCATTCTCAGTGACCCTCGCTTGAAATGGCTTCCTGTTCTTGAAGATCATTAGGTCGACGTATTCTTGTGTTGAGAGCATGAGCCCAGCGAGTACCTCCAGCGATGAGCTCGTGACACCACCTGAAGGGGCAACATGAGGGCTTTGATGGTGTGCATATAATGTGCTTGATCCTACTTTGTTGGTACTAGAGTCCTTGAACAGTACAACTTTCTGCTTCTCAAGATAAAGACGCGCTTGCTGTGTCAGGAACAGATTCGCACCCTTGATGATGTACTTGAAGTGCGGCTTGCCCTCCGAGTCCACCAGAGCGGCAACATTCAATATATTGACAGCCTCGGGTCTAGAGTATCCGCATAAGCATGCAAAAACCCACGTAACTAAGTTGAAATACTGACCGTCCACTGCAAGGCACAAACAAGCCGGCCTTGAACCGCAAATGCGCGCCATTCCTGAAATCAGTACCGTCCAGAATGACTTCCCCAGCTGCGCCATCCGTCAGTACGCACTCGCGCGAATTTACCGGTCAATACCAACTCACATGGCAGTTTGAGGTCCTGGTCCTCCACGTGCACCAAATATCTGTCCTTGCTGAGCTTGGACTTGTCGAAGTGGGTGACAGGGACGTGCAGCTTCGCCAGTCAGATGAGCTTCTCACGGTCGATACCGGTGGGGTCAGCAAGGATGCCACTACCGTCAATGACAGCGATGGTCTTGTCGGAGCTGAGAAGGATCTCATCTACACGAATGCATGAGTAATTCACGAAATCATACGGAGTCACAACGGGGCATATACTCACTTGAGCCAAGATCACCATCTGCCGCAACACATAAGACCCGATCAGCAATCACGATCAAATGACACGAGCCTCAAACTAATGCACCAGGTCCGCCAGTCTGCACTTTCGTGATATCCTTCTCCCTAAGCCCAAGCTGCTTGTAGATCTCGAGCACATACTGCTGAATTGAGAGTGACATCATACCGAACTGGTCATGTGGGATGCCGCCGAGCGTCTCTGTGCTCTTGCCCATCGTGAATGACTTCCACCAGGTCTCCGCACCGCGGGCGCGTGTGTGCACTTCCAGAGAGCTTGCATCAGGATAGAGTACAGGAATAGAGAGTTCAGGGATACTCACGAGCTGCCCAATCCATCATGTCCGCAGTACCCTCTATCATCGCCATAGTGAGTATGAAATGGTCCGAAGGAGGCGACGGGCATGCACCATCCGGACCGAAGAACAGCAGCTCCGGCTTGCCATACAGATTGATCAGACGTTCCTTGATCCCAGGGCTTTGTCCAGGGATCAGCAGGTCGATGACAGCGTGCATCCAAGGATTAGTCTCAGCAACATTAACAACCGCTAGAGTGCCAACTTACGTCCACGTATTTCTCGAAGCACAATCTTGGGCTTGAACCCAATCTGCGAAGCAGGACAAGCGGCTGTCAGTGCCTGAACGGCAAGTGTGAAATGGAAGAAAGGAAGATGAAATGTACAAAGGTAGGATTGTGCCCTTAGCACCGCCTTCTGGGATGTCCTTGTTCTTTAGGGACTGCGTCGATGCTAGGTCGTAGTTCTCATTGAACCTGCCAAACACCGCATCAGAATCAGTGGACCCTGCAGAGCATATGATGCATACAGCATTCTCTGGTTAATAGAGTAGTTCCTATCACAGACATCGGTAAGACAGACGAAGTGAAAGCAGGTATGCGAGACACTCACTCACTATTCCTCGACATGACAATCCTGATACCTCCCCACGCGACGTCCCTGAACCTGATGTGGAAGCCATGGAATTCACCGCCTACACCCATATCATGCGACCAATCAAAAACACTCCCAGCTGCACAGATCAAAGTCCTCACCAATGATGAAGAACATGCCAAACGGTTTCTTCGGGTACTCCACCTCAGGCAGGAAGTCTGGCGTGAGGTGGAACGACAGTGCGACCTTAGTCGGCTGGTAAAAGTTGGTCTTAAGGACGTGCCTATCCAGTCACCCGTGTCAGCCTAGCATAGCACACGTTGTACATATGGGAGTTGAACACACTTGTTAAAGATCAAGAAGCTCTCAAGGACCTGCAGCTCATGCTTGTTGTGCACAGTTTTCCTGATCTTGTCATAGAGGTCCTCATCGGACAGTGGGACTTGGGTCTGGAGATGCTGGTATGACAGCATAGGCCTGCCACAGCATTCACATCAGACATAAGGTGCGGCATACACTAGCTGGGAATGCACATCAACTACGATGCCTCGTCCGCCACGGGGTAGTGCACCATCGAAGTTAACATACAGTAAGTTAATCTGCCCGCACGACCATAATGAATTGCAGCAGCACATGAACTAGCACAACATGACGTACGAGGTCAGCATGTGCATGGATGACCTGCGCGATGCTTTCTCGCATGAAGGTCTCCTCCCTGAAGCGGTGTTTGATGTTGTTCAGCACTTCCGCATGTGACGGGTTCGACTCGTCGAGAATATTCTTCAATGCGAGGTACGCCGGCCCAAGATGGTTGCAGAAGTGCTGCGCGAACACCCAACCGCAGTCTGTGTCCCAGACGCGATGCGACTCAGATATAATGATGTCACCTAAGAGTGAGACACAAAAGTGATGTACAAGCATAAGTCGCCTCCTGCACGGCATGCCCGCTGTTCTGGCGGGCTCTGCAGAGAAGAAGGGGTTGTCGGGCAGGCAATATAACAGCGAGGCCTCCTTCATCACTTGGAATATGGAATGCTCGATTGGGGGAGCATTCAGCACGCTCGGGAGAGGGTTAAGATACAAGGATATAATCGTGATGCCATTCGAGAATTGCTCTGCGTGAATCATGAACTGTGAGTGCGCAAAGACGGAACATGCTTGAGCTACATACCGACATATTTGCGCGTGGAATAGAGGGCATAGAAGTGGTACAGATTTGAGAGGGCACTGAAGAACTTGCTCGTGCTGCCCATCTTATACCCGATGACGAGCCTGCGCTCACAGCTGCCCTCCACCTCGATGACCTCGATGACAGGCCCGTAACGCATCTCCACATTCCACATCACATTCTGGTAGATTTCCAGCGTGTTCTCGCTGGCCTTCTCGAGGAACACTGGGTCAGAGATGGTGCAGATGTCCATTTTACTGCAACACCAGCCATATTTAGTTCGACTAGAGTCTGATTCATACGAGAGAGAGCTACGCACCCATCTGTATACATCAAAGAAGGTGGACTGGTGGGGAAGTTGCACTTGGTAATGAAGTAGCAGCACAGCTGTTGCGATGCGGTAGCAGATACAAGGCCCTGCAAGCGATACGTCTCGAGCCTGTATGCCTTACTCGGGGTGGAGTTGTCGAGATACAATGCGTCGATCCTATTCTCACACGATGTGCCAGGGCTCTCGGTCACAGTCTTACTGGGTGAGCTAGTGTAGATGGATGTCACGCCATTATCGTTCTCGTCGATCTTCTCGAGGGAGTCGATCTCTTGTTCAGCACCAGCACCATACTCACCAGGTTGGGGTCCAGGGAGCCAGTGTGGTACAACTCCCTATGCTTTGCAATATAGCTGTCCTCAATGACCAGCGGCGTGGGTGCGGCCGTCAGTTCAGGCTCAGACTTGGGCTCGAGCACAGTCATCAGCTCTGTGTGCACAATGAGTGTGTTAGGAGATGGGGAGCAAGGAGGGTGAGGCGAGAGAGGACAAGTCGCCACACGCCACAACTTCCCAAAGTGGCTGCCTCAAGGGAATTTTTCTGGCGGTTCCAGAAAAATTCCCTTGAGAGCATTACTCATGTCTTTGCTCGGCCTCTCTGAGGCTGACCTGCTGTTTCTCGTCGACTTCATCCGCTCTCGGGCTAACCTCCCTCCACAAATTACCTCTATTCTATCTAAGCTTAACCCAGCTGCCTCTCTGGAGCTTCCAGTCATCCAGTGGCATATCTGTCTCCTTTGCTGATGCCAATGCTGACCCCCACTCATGCTAGACCTCATCTTCAAGGCTCAGTTGAGTACATTCCCCCTTTCTTGGGTTGTCTCTTCCTAACACATTTTGTACTATCAAGATATGCACTTCTCTGAGATTACCTTCGATCCTCGAAGACCTCGCTGCAGCTGGCCACTCTGAGGACAATGCTACCTTTGAGTACCTCCACCTCCAGCATACGCATGGACCCCCTCCAGGTTCTCTGGGTTCTTCACTCACCCCATCTCCTGGAAGTCTGTATGAAAATCAGAATGCCAATGCCGACTGGCCTGTTGAGGACGAGAATGAGGTTGAGGATGAGGGCGAGGAGAATATGGAGGACAAGAGTGAGGAGAATATGGAGGACGAGGGTGAGGAGAATATGGAGGAGGAGACATCGGATGAGGAGCCTCTCATAGACTTGGTGCATCATCTTGGTGGAGGCAACTGTGTTCGAGGGGGAAAGAAAGCAGGCAAGGCACATGGAATGGCGTTGATAGAGAACGATCCTGCAGAGGAGGATCAACGCATGGAGATTTTTGAGGATGCGAATGTCGAGCAGGGTGATAGTCCATTCAACGAGAGTGACTGGACAGGTCTCCCGGCAGGAACACCAGCACGGTGGACTGTTGCTGACATTCCTGCTGTTCTGGAGGTGGGCCTGGCAAGGCTGCTACCCACTATGTTGCATTGCTTGCTGAGGGCACATCAAGCAATGTTGAAGGCCCAGAGGTTGCTATGTAAGTGTCAATTTGGTGCATACATTGTGATTGAGTTGACGGCAGCTTGTAGTTGGGTTGGTGCCATGAAGGATCTTGTCGAAGGTCATATGTGGGAGCATCTAGATAGCGCCTTCGACACTAATGCATTGAGGGCACTCGTCTACCACGTACATCGAGCTGAACATGTGCTGTTGGGCACAGAAGTTGTGGCAATGTTTGCGAAGGTCCAATTGGCCATAAAGATAGAAATGTGAGCATTTCGTCTTCAATTCACCACCATAGTACTTAAAACTATTCATAGCACCCTTCAGAGAGACAATGCTGGCCTGAAGAAGGGGAAGAAGAGGGAAGGGGAAAAAGAGGGAAGGGGAAGAAGAGGAAGAAGCTTTCAGACCTTTATAAAAAGCACATCACCGCAATGGAGAATGCCCCGCAAGAGAAAATGTTCCGCAGGTGGGTAGCAATTGGTCAGAGATTTGCAGCTCTTGCTGCAGCAGGTGAGTCCATTTAGTATCTCTCTGCTACACATCTCAAGGTGCTTTCTTTTCTCAGGTTCTGTATATCTCCTTATCATCATTGCTGCTCGTGGTCATTACAAAACGATCGGGTTGCTGCAACAGCCCACCATCTGGGTGATGTGTAATACGTTACGGTGGCCGAATCCAGGTAACCAATTCAGTAAGTGTGATGAAATGCACTGAAGCTGAACATCAACCAGATACGCTTATTGGACAGCACATTCTGAGTCAACTTATCCCTCTCATTGACTATGTCTGCCAAGCTATTCCTCTGAGTATAGACACCATCTTTCCACCGTCCTGGCTTCAGGAAGTTGGACTAACACAGCACATTAACTGTCAAGATTTTGATCTAACGGTCACTTTCTTTGACACATTTACATATAAGTAAGCCTTGTCTTTTGTATCTACCATGGTCGATTCTAAGACATGATCTCACATTAGATGTTTTCGATCTGTTGATTGTCATCACCCTTCATGGGCACCTTGTCTGATCTCTGAAGATATCATGGAGATGGATGAAGGCCCTACGTCCATGTATCTGATGACTAGAAATCTCCTGTTTGCGGCATCTAGCACAGCTTCAACACGTCTACCTTCTCCGATAATTGATGCAAAAGGTGAACTAACTGGTGATGCAGTGGATCTGCAGGATACTAGGCTTGATAGAGATCCCTTTCCTGATGCTCCATCATTCCGCTCTGAGCAGTTCTACACTCCAGATGCAAGTTCTCCACAGTATCTGGTCCTTGATACCAATTTTGACCTGGATACTCCAATGAACAAGGCTTGTCCTTATCCCAAGAAGAAGAAGGAGACTAGCAAGTGGATTAGGTGGTCTGACCAGCAGCGCAAGTATGCGGAGAATGCCTATAATGCGACAACTCTTGCAGACTTTGAAACAAAGGTATGTTCGTTATATCTCTCCATATATATCTATTAATCTTCTCTTGCACAGGTCAAGCACCATTACTCTTCTGATGGTGTGAAGGTCACGAACTCCTATATTCGTCTAGACTGCTCAGCCTTTGCGGGGTACGTTGCTTACTATTATCTAAATTACTGTTTCTAAATATCTTGCAGGAAAGAAATTCAACTTAATTGCAAAGATGGAGAGCTGCTTGCCTTTGTTGCAGCAGATATGTCACAAGCGATGAGAGAAGGACTGGAGCGAGGTCTTCGTTCAATCTTATTCAGTGGTGGGCTATCGGAGTATCAGCTGCAAGATGTGGACACTGCTGCCAGTCCTGGTCAGCACAAGTTTCCTTGCATTCATTTCTCCCGCTATGCACGTAATATTGTTCGGGTGCGTTATCTTGCATCTCTACTTCATACAACATACTGAATTATCTTTAGGGTGATGATGCTCCTGACGATGTCCATCCACTATTTCTCTACAAGGCCAAGGTTGTTTGTGGGTATATGAATCATCACCAGATGATACCTTATGTTTGGAAGGAGTTTTTTGATCATGAGCAGGAGTACGATGCTTTGTACAATGTCTTTGAAGAATTCTTTCAATGGATTGCTGATAAGGTGAGTTTTCTGAGTTTGCTATTATAAAAGTAATTGCCTTATCGGAAGTGCAGCTCCGTCAATGTCTTCCTGACATTTACGATGCTATCGAGATATCTGCGGATGCCCTTCCTGCACGTGAGGCCTCACCGTGCCATCCCTTCACTAGCCTGGTTCTTAACATTAACGTTATTATGCACGCACATCAAGATGTCAAAGATCTCAAGGTGTGCTTGATGCTTGTTCTTGGACGACATGATGGTGGTGATTTATGCTTTGTTGAACCCGGTATTGTTCTTCCTCTGCAAAGCGGTGACTCAGTTGTTTTTTATTCTCTTAAGCTTACTCACTTTAACCTGCACTATCGCGGTGAGAGAGCCTCTCTTGTGTTACATTCAGACAGAGACAGTGAAGATTGGGATAAAGATCAGAAGGGTTGGCAGCATAGCACGTTTATGAATTCTTAGTAGCTTGCATATGTTCTTAGATTTGGCAGACGAATTATGACTATTTTCCTGGTCTGGTACTGTAAGTTATGCTGCCGCGTCTCGTCTTATCTTTGCAAAGTCCCACTTCAGTCTGTGCATAATATTGCACTCGATGCCTGTCCATCTAACTCCTCGACCCCAACACATTCCGAGTTTCCTTCACTACCCTTGCAAGGTTTCTGGCTGCAATCGATGGTTTAAGAACAAGGATGGACTTACGAAACACACTCGGTCCACTCATGCTCACACTCCTCCTGCACAGAGGCAAACAAACACTATTTATCAGGCACAATATGCAACGTCTTCTCATGGCAATGCTCATGATGATCAGGAAGCTGAAACTGATTCAGAAGACGAGTCTAGTGATACACAGTCTGAAGATGACAATTCTGCATCTGCACGCTCAAGTTCTTCGAATCGTGCACCATCATAGTCTCCAGTATATTCAGATGGTGCTAATGCCTTGTCCGTTTCTGAATCGGATATTGACCCGGAGGATGGAAGTGACTTCGATGGTGAATTCAATGCCAAGGACTACACTAGAGTGGATCCAGATCCAATTGGTGTGACAAGAGAATATCATCCCTACATTAATAGTAAGTTCGTCTGCTTGCATGCAAATTTCACTAAGTCCTCCTATGTCTGACAGGAAGGCCATGTGATGAAAATGGGATCTATCTTCCAAATGGTACACCTCCCCCACCTCCCCCTGCTCCAGAACCAGATGATTGGTTCCCTTACCCCGATCGAGTAGCCTTTGAAATGGCTGAATTCCTTTACAAATGAGATCAAATGTCAGCAGATAAGATCGACACACTTCTTCAGTTGTGGGCCGCCAGTCTAGTACAACATCAGGACCATCCACTGTTTGCAGATCACGAAGAGCTATACAGTACAATAGATTCAACATTACTTGGTGAGGTCAGGTGAGAATCATTCAATTTGCAGTATGAAGGCGAGCTTCCCGAGAGAAATGTTCCCTCATGGATGACGGCGAAGTACGAGGTCCATTTTCAAAATCCACGAGAAGTATTTCGCAACCAAATGGCAAATGTTGATTTTGATGGTGAGGTTGACTATGGACCACTACGGGAGTTTGAGAATGGCAAACGTCACCTGAAAGACTTTATGTCTGGAGATTGGGCCTGGAGGCAAGCAGTGAGCTTATTCTGTTTGTTTTTATCTTTGTAACTAATGTCAGTCAATCTTAGGACCTCATTGCACAGGATCCAAGTACGCATGGTGCAGCCTTTATTCCTGTCATTCTTGGCAGTGACAAAACTACTGTCTCTGTTGCTACTGGACAAAATGAGTATTATCCACTGTATGGATCCATTGGAGGTGTACACAATAATGTACGTCATGCACATCGCAATGCTGTAGCACTGTTGGGCTTTCTTGCCATTCCGAAGAGTGAGTTACGATCTAAGTGTCGATTCTAATGGTGGCACATGAGCTGATCACTTGAATGGTAATAGCTGATAAGGAGTTCTCCGAGGATGCAACGTTTCACAAGTTTTGCTGACAGTTGTTTTATAGTTCATTGTCAAGGATCTTACAGCCATTGAAGCCTGGAATGACAACGCCAGAGGTTACACTATGTGCAGATGGCCACTATCGGCGGGTCGTGTATGGTCTCGGTCCCTATATCGCAGACTATCCAGAACAAGCTCTGCTTGCATGTGTCATCTCTGGCTGGTGTCCAAAGTTAGCCATTCCATTACTTACTTTTCACTTCACTGACAGTTTTTCTAGGTGCACCGCTCCAAGAAATGATCTTGACGGTCCCGGCTATGGGTTGCGTTGCCATGAACATACTGAACTGCTAGTACGAGAACTAGAACTTGGTGTGTTATGGGATGAATATGGTCTCGTTGGAGATATAGTGGTGAGTCTAGCCTTAGATTCAATGCGCTGTCATTTCAATTTTACCACTTTCATAGCTGACTTTCTTTCACCATTACAGCCATTTACAAATGATTTTCCTCGAGCCGACATTCATAAACTCCTCTCTCTGGATCTTCTTCATCAGATCATTAAGGGAACATTTAAGGATCACCTTGTTAGCTGGGTGGAGGACTACATCCATCTAACCTATGACAAGAAGGAAGTGAAGAGAATTATGGCAGATATTGATCAACGGTGAGTTTTTATGAAGTCTAACTGTTTCATCATATAAAGCTTGCCTCCCATTATAGCATTGCAGCTGTACCTGCATTCTCTGGTCTACGGCAATTCCCTGAGGGCTGTGGATTCAAGCAATGGACAGGAGATGATTCAAAAGCATTAATGAAGGTTCGTTCTTGCTAGTACTAAATAAATGGTTTCACCAAATGTATATATATATGTACTAGGTTTATCTTCCTGCAATCATCGACTACGTTCCTCAGGACATGGTACGTGCCATCCGTGCCTTTCTTGAGTTCTGTTATCTCGCAAGGTGCAACATCCACACAGAGCGGACACTTGAAGCACTTCAGGATGCTCTTGATCGCTTTCACCATTATCGAAAAATCTTTGAGACTTCTGGTGTTCGACCTGATGGCATTTCACTCCCTCGGCAGCATTCTCTTTGCCATTATAAATTCTCAATTTGGGAATTTGGCGCTCCGAATGGTTTGTGCTCGTCAATCACTGAATCAAAGCATATCAAAGCTGTCAAGGAGCCTTGGCGATGATCAAGCAGATACAAGGCTCTTGGGCAAATGTTGCGGACAAACCAGAGAATCGACAAGCTTGCAGCTGCTCGCATTGACTTCACAAATCGTGGGATGCTGAATGGCTCGTGTCTTTCAGAGGTATTACAGAAGCTAGGTAAGCCTATTTATGTCTCTGTCATCAGTTTATTGAGTTATCAACAGTTGCTGTAGATGACAGTCTCAGCGAGAAAGAAGATGTTGAAGCAAATGCCGATCATCTCACAATAAAGCCATCAAATTGTGATGAGCAAAATGATGATGGCGCTGTTTCTGGACCAACAATTCTTGCATACGTTGACTTGGCTGCCACTATTCGTGAGCAGCGATTAACTTCATTCTGCCATATAGTTCTGCTGACCAATTTATAACAGAGCGGCAACATGCCAGAAGCTTTGCTGAACTTGCTAAGGAGATCAATCAACTGAAACTTCCTGAGCTCATTCGATGGTTTCTTTATGATCAGTTGAATCCAGATAACCCCCGACCTGCATCCGACATTGATATCAATGAATGTCCCACACTCAAGGGAAAGATCTCTATGCACTACTCTGCCACTGCGACATATTATGCTCCTAGTGATCCATGTGGTGTCGGCGGGATGCATTGTGAGCATATTCGAGCAAACCCAGTATGGCGTGGACTTGCTCCACATTTTGATTGTGCCCTCATCAACTGTGACTCGACTCAGGATGGCATGCTGGGAATCGAGGTTGTTCGCATCCATTTATTCTTCTCTTTCAAGCACGAAGGTCACCGATATTCCTGTGCCCTTGTCCATTGGTTCCAACGAATCGACGACCAGCCAAATGAAGATGTCAGCATGTGGGTTGTTCAGCCAGAAATGGATGTGCAACACATACCTTTTATGTCCGTAATCCATCTCGACTCTATAATATGTGCCACACACTTGATCCCTGTGTATGGCGATGCACGTATATCACGAGATATCACAGATGAGAACTCCCTGGATGCATTTCAGGCTTTCTATGTCAACAAGTTTGCTGACCACCATGCATTCGAAATCCTGTCATGATTTGATTCAACATGTGTAGAGAAGGAAGCATATTGGAAGGCCCGCTCTCCTTCAAGTGCGTCATCCCATTCATTTGAGATTTTAATTTGAAGCCTGAGTCACATCAGTCTTATGCGGTGAGCACTAATCTCTTATCTCATCACACAAACAAGTCATTAACAGTGTTATAGATCTCCTCCAGGGCTTCAGCAACCTCATCAATGGGAATGTACTTCCACTACCATACTATAAATACGAATGCAGCATCATGTGCATACAGGCTTATTTCAGTCACACTAGCGTAGCAGAAAACTTTTGCCAGGCATTGAATGGCTCTCAGCTTCCCTTCGTAGGAAAGGGCAAGCTCAATCCAATGACAATACACTTTGGTTCACTTAGTGTCCTTGTTCTGCGCAACTCCTTTAATGACTTATGTTACTTACCAAGTATATACATTAGTTGACTTATCGAACTTGACATGCGTGCTCAACTGCCTTATCTAGTGGCTTAACATCATAATTACTATTTTTACTTACTAATACAGACTAAGTAAAGCCAAGAAAGGTCTCAAAATATAATTTAACACTTGATTTCCTTATCGGACTTGACATGCGTGCTCAACTGCCTTATCTGGTGGCTTAATGTCATAATTACTATTTCTACTTACTAATATAGACTAAGTAGAGCCAAGAAAGGTCTCAAAATGTAATTTAATGCTTGTTTCCCTTATCGGAGTTGACCCCCTTAGATAAGATGCTTAAGCTGATCAAAGTAAATTTAAGGTTTTCCTGATGCTGTCAGGTGTGTGGGGCTTGTGTGTGGCTTCTCTTGTCAAAGTGGTCTAAATGGCCATATGTGGCGGTGAACCTGCCAGTGGCGTGGATGTAACAAAAAAGGAGATGGGTGGTGTGTGAGCTCGAGAGGAGTTTGGACAGCAATGTGGCTATGCAGCTGAGCTCCTGAGTAAGGACATGGCGGTGTGGGTGGTAGGCTGGGCAGCTGAGGAGGAAGTGCTGTACTGATTCTACATGAGACTTGCAAGCTGGGCAGAGTTTCATTGAGGAGCACTTGATGCAGTGCAGGTGTGCATTGAGCGGTGCATGCCTGCTATGACCAAGTAAGTACAGAGAGGCCATCGGTCCACCAATTTCTAGATTAGCAGTCAAGGCATTCACAATCCCTGTATGAAGCTGTGTAAGAAGGCTGACGTGGCAGTGTGGGAGGTTGGCGACGAGTTTTTTGAACTTTGTGGAGGGGAGGGAGGGGTCTATACGTGCGAAGGCATGTCCACGCTCAGAGTTCATCTATTGTGTCGCTGCTCTGTCTTTCAGGTGCTTCAGGTGGCATTCTCGCAGCTTGGAGGCGCTGAGGGGGAATCACGTAGGCTCTTGGAAAGCATGGCATCGAGGGTGGCCTCTCCATGGGCCACTTTCTTGGCTTCTTTGTCGGCTTGTTCATTACCCTCAATGTCCTATTACTGACTTACCTTCCACGAAGCCAGCGTCAAGCACACTTCAGTATCTGCTTTTGAGTATCAGTCAATGAACTGCAGCCCGGCCAGACTCTTTGGGCAATATACTGTCCCTGCATTTCCTTATTGTCAAATGATCCCGTATTGCTAAAAACCTCAGGGTAGAATACCAGCTTTCCTACAGCGGACCTAATTGACTCTCTGATAAGATTGAATGACAGTCCTGTTCCAGAAACAATAAGGCTGAGCTGCAGAAACTGCAGCCAAGTGCCATAAATCTCATGCAGCATGCTATATTCACCACGTTTGCTCATGCATCAGGAAAACTCAACTTTCTCTTATGGACTTATTTAGACTTTTGGGTCTGACAACCCTTATTTAAGGCTATAAGTGTTCAAATAAGTCGAATTTCAGACACTCAGGGAATATGCCTTAGGTCCTTTTTGTCCTTATGTCCTTAAATAAGGACTATAAGTCCATTTAAGTTATTTAAGTGTTCTTTTAAGGAAAAGTGGGGTTTTTCTGATGTGTACAAGTAGAAAGCTGTCATTTCTCTCTCAGATGCAATCTGAGCTTCATCGAAGGTGAGAAAAAGGTTAGCTGTGTGAACATGCTTGTGCAGAGTAACTGAATACCAGAGTGTCCTTATGTTGTTTTTCAATGCAAAAGTATCATTCATGGCTGAAATTACCTGCAATAATAGGGGGAGTCAAAGTTGAAGATTCTGCACGATTCCGAGTGCAGATTCTGATGATGGTTTTGGGTCTCAGAATTGATGCAAAATCAGAATTGTACCTGAATTGTGTCGAATTATTGAATCACCTCTGCAGGCGATCCAACGTGCCAGCATCGCCGCTCGCCAATTCTGTTAACCAACTCTTATGTAATGTTTGTTACTTCAACATACAAATCATATATAGCATTGTAACAGATTCTATTAAGTATTTAAAAAATGTTTTCGTGATCTCAACCCCCTCTAAGTCAACACACAACTCCTGTGCTTTCCTGCCCCTCTGTAACGAGTCGGTTCTGATGACTGTTACTCATTATGAACTGCTTACTACTTATCTAAGCAAGTTGCTTTATATCCTTTACACTCACCATCTAGCTGTATCTACACTCAGTCTTAGCTACTTTTGGCTATATATTGAGTCCACTGCAGCCCTGGTGAGTCTAAGCATCTAGGCTGCTTACATCCTCTGTGGGCATTCAGCAGAGCTTGGGCAGTTTCAGCTCGGTGCCATCATGGTGTGCATCGAGGCATGATACTTTGAGACTTACTAGTGCAGAACATAGCTTATAATTAAGAATATGACACTCTGTATTGAAGACACATAGCTCGACTTTCTAACTTGAGTATGAAGAATTGCTGTAAAATCAGCATCACTTGAAAGTGGGGTGGTCAAAGTTGATGATGATTCTGACCCAATTACAACTCGAGAATTGTCAGAGAATCTGGTAGCAGAATTGCCCACTCTGACCTTCCCTAATGAGTTAAAGATATCCTCCTGGCAGCAAACCTGGGAAGGCATAAGTTGAAGATAAACCCATCGACATCACAGTTTAGTTTTATCCTGCTGCAGCTTTGAGCATGATAAGAATAGATCTAAAATAAAAAGGCACTTGAATAAGATGAGGAGAAACAACTGTTCAGCAATGTCATAATTCTTCTTCAGTTCCTCATTTGCAATTTTCTCAGCTGCTGCAACTCTACTGGAAGCCATCATTGGTCACATCCAGGTATACATCAAGCCTACATATCGCCGTAATCGTGACAACATCCTCAAGGAGATACGAGAACATTCAGTTTCTCTGCTGCCAGTGTTGAAGTATATTCTCAGAGAACGACAATTCTCTGTAATTTGCTGCCTTGGTAAGTATGTGATGCATCCCATTACTCCAGATAAATTAATGTATTAGCGGAGGACAGGAAATTTTCGTATTGAACCAACTCCAGTATTCTCTTATACTAGTGTCACTCCTGAAGTACCAAGTGAGTGACATGATATATACTCTGATACATGACACTGATCAAATTCAACAACTGTTCAAGGAACCCCTGAAAGATGAGCACGAAACTCACCGGGCTCGCCAATGTCAATAGTTGAGATGAATGACATCTTAAACACGTTTTAACAGTGTATATTACCTACCATAAGGTCATTCATCAATGCTGAGAACTTGGAGCTCATACCCTTGCCCATTTCTGCAGATTATACACTGTTCTTTGATGGTTTGAGATCCATGGTCAAACAAAATACTGCAGTTCGGGACAGGGTTGATAAATTGTTTACTTTTTCAGGTTATCCACAGTGCAGCTCTGTCTCTTTATGTGTGCCATTATGGCCTTATTCTTAGTTAACTATTCTCACATCAGGCTCTTATTCAATACTTCTAGTGCTGGCAAGACTCAACTTCTAATTGAAGGTCTCTGCTGCTATTGGGGATTATACATTGTCTCGTGCTACAGCACATCACCTTTTGAGTTCAACGACACCAAGCTAGCATGGAATCTTCTCAAGACATCTCCAGATTTTACACCTGAGGTGCCTCTTAAGTCATCTCGAACCAGATTAGTTAGGTTAGTTAGTAAGGTTATCAGTTTGAGATGACTTGAGAGACACACCTCAGATGTAAAATATGGAGATGTCTTGAGAAGATTCCATGCTAGCTTGGTGTCATTAGACCCAAAAGGTGATGTGCCGTAGCACGAGACAATGTATAATCTCCAATAGCAGCAGAGACCTTCAATTAGAAGTTGAGTCTTGTCAGCACCAGAAGTATTGAATAAGAGCCTGATATGAGAATAATTAACTAAGAATAAGGCCATGATGGCACACATAGAGAGACAGAGCTGCACTGTGGATAACCTGAAAAAGTAAACAATTTATCAACTCTGTCCCGAACTGCAGTATCTTGTTTGACTATGGATCTCAAACCATCAAAGAACAGTGTACAATCTGCAGAAATGGGCAAGGGTATGAGCTCCAAGTTCTCAGCATTGATGAATGACCTTATGGTAGGTAATATACACTGTTAAAACATGTTTAAGATGTCATTCATCTCAACTATTAACATTGGCGAGCCCAGTGAGTTTCACGCTCATCTCTCAGGGGTTCCTTGAACAGTTGTTAAATTTGATCAGTGTCATGTACATCAGGAAAACCCCACTTTTCCTTAAAAGGGCACTTAAATAACTTAAATGGACTTATGGTCCTTATTTAAGGACATAAGGACAAAAAGGACCTAAGGCATATTCTCTGAGTGTCTGAAATTCGACTTATTTGAACACTTATAGCCTTAAATAAGGGTTGTCAGACCCAAAAAGTCTAAATAAGTCCATAAGAGAAAGTTGGGTTTTCCTGATATATCGGAGTATATATCATGTCACTCACTTGGTACTTCAGGAGTGGCACTAGTATAAGAGAATACCGGAGTTGGTTCAATACGGAAATTTCCTGTCCTCCGCTAATATGTTAATTTACCTGGAGTAATGGGATGCACTGCGTACTTACCAAGGCAGCAAATTACAGAGAATTGTCATTCTCTGAGAACATACTTCAATGCTGGCAGCAGAGAAACTCAATGTTCTCATATCTCCTTGAGGATGTTGTCATAATTACGGCGATATGCAGGCTTGATGTATACCTCGATGTGACCAAAGATGACTTCCAGTAGAGTTGCAGCAGTTGAGACGTGTAAGAGCTGCAGTGTAAGAGCTGTGAACCATTTCCATAACCGCAGCATCCTAAACCTCATGCTGTTTCACTGTGAAGGGATCATCCACGATAGTCAACCCTGCCAATGACTCCTCAATGCCAGACTGAATAGACGAAGCTTGATCTCCTGATGACATGTCATCCAAGCTCCCAACCTCAGCATTATTATTATGCAGGCTCTTGTTGAGAGCACCCGACGACGATTCTACGTTAGAAAGGCTCAGTCCAGATTCCGTGTCCAGGATCGTTTCTGCGAATATCTGCGCGTCGTCTCCTGATGCCATGCCTTCTGCTGGTCTGTCGTCCAAATTGTTGCTTGTACCACGCGTTCTCTTTAGGGATGATGCTGCGAGCGGTGGAGAGGGCGCGGAGCGCTTCATTGTAAGATAGCGCGGGAAAGTTGAGTCGAGAAAATGACCCTTGGACCGCGAGCGTCGCGCAATAAGCATGTGATTGCCATGCGCTAGGCGCCCATTCGTGTCGTATATCCAATATTTGTGCTCGCTCTGCGTTCCTACGTTCACTGGGTACGCTCGAGGTCTCTGTGTCCATCAATCATTTTCAAATCTTTTGAAGATGAAGACCCTCCTCTCGACAACATAGACACAAACATTCCCTCCGCGTTTCATCCGTGGATGGACATTACTTTGGCCACGGACAAACGTTTTCACGTAGAACCCAACGATATTTTGTTTTCTTGCGGCCAGAGCATCGTGCTAAGGACTGCCAAGTTGTTGGTGGTAAGTTCTCAACATACTGTACTCGAAAGAGAGCGCGTGTGCGGCAGGCATGTCCGTCGACTTAAAGATGCTGCGCCCACGAGTTTATTTGAAGACTTCAAGCATGCCTAGCGTGTGTTGGTGCTGGAGCATCTAATCCACGGAACAGCAGGTATGTATAGCTGCGCTCTCACTGACTTGACATTCCGGCAATGCTATATAACCTCCAGGCGTAATGTAAACCTCGGTAGACCAACGTCCCACTATTCATCCTCCCATCATGTCAGTCCCTACCGACTCAGTCGCTTTCTCCGAGAATCGCCGCCTGCTAGGAAAGCTCCTTGCCTACTACAGTGCCACCAGCATTGAAGAGCTCAACGCACAGGACGATCCTGAATTCTGGAGCCGGATGCTCTGGAGTATGTGGAAGTGGAATTACAAATTATGGGGCATGTATGCACAGTGCTTCGACATGACAGATCCTACCTTTCCGGTGGTTCAGCAGTGGGACGGAGAGAGGCGTTTCTTTTCCGACGGGAAGACTGGCGAAGTGATGCACGAAAAAACGTACGTGACGGTGCTGCAAGTGTCGAAGCATGCCGCTGATACAATACTGACAGCTATCGCAAGGCTGGGAGGGATGAGCCTGAACATATTATATACTCTCTTCCGAGGACTGAAAATCTCACCCGAGAAGGTCTCGCCTGCTTCCCCGAAGGAGCAATGGCCGCCAATGTCCGCGTCGCGGCCTATGCAACGACAGGTGAGTGTCTCCAGTACTGTTGGACAGGCTCTGGATTTCTGATTCCACATATTCCAGGCCATGGCACGGCCGTGCTGAAGCAGGTGTACTGGGGCACCCCGCTTTTCGGCGAGACTTCTTTCCAGCCAGACGACAAGATCCGGCTGCAAGTTAGTGTCGTGTTCAGCACACCTTCCATACCGGGCGAGAAAGGCCAGCTGAAGCAGGTCATGCTGTTCCGTGATGACGTGACTGCGAGACCGTGGTTCTCCCAGTCACAGTATTGGCAGGGGCACTTTGATGCCGCATTCGGTTCTTCGCCATCAATTAAGAAGATGGACATTCAGCAGGCCTCCAGCGTGATCTTCCATGGGTCCTCGAAACGCGCTCGTGGCTTCAAGATCACGCCTGACATGACCAATTATGCGAGGGTCACACTCGGTGACGGGGAAATTTTCGATATAGAGGCACTGGCCGAGGGCGGATCGGACGCGCAATTCTATGCTTTACATGACCAGGAGGGCTCGTCTGCGCTTCTGAACATTGTGCAATCCCCGGAGATGGGAAAGGCGTTGGCTGCGAAGTGGAGAGTAATATGGAAGTTGGGAGATCGGTTGATGGTGGGGGTGTGTGCGTACGATGGGGAGACGTACAAACAGCAACCTGCAGTGTATGAATTTGCGTGTGAGTGATTTTCTTATTACACGCACTTCTGCAGTCGTCGTCTTTATTTGCCGGGCCGCCTTAATGGTGCACCAATCCGCGCTAAAGGACTTTTCTCAAAGAAGGTGACACATGGCAGACGAAACTGAGTACTTACGCAAAGAACATGGGGCATCTCGATTCGCCTGAGAAAACACTGCAGGCCAGTTGGAAGCTCTAGACTTCTCTCAGGTGGCGCGGACGTCCCGCGCGACGCGACGCGTCTGGCATCATGCGCTGAGGGCGGGATATTTGTGCCTATTTGCAGTAGGTTACCTCTACCCCTAACTTGCTCAGAATGGTGTCCTCAACTGCTTGTGAAGCTACTGTTCATCATGCCACCACTTTATTCGTTGGAGGAGCTCACAGCTCTGGCTGATATGAATATTTCCGATACGGAGGAAGAAGGTATGGTTATCTCTACCGTTCAAAGGATGGAGACGTCATTCATACAGACGACCCCATAGCACTCAAGGAGCTAGGCAACGACGCCTTTCGTGTGAGAGATTTCCGAGGGGCCATTAAGGTATCGCTTCAGTTATGCAATATGACAATACGCTGAAAAGCGAGGCAGTTGTATACTTTGGCGCTGCAGAATTTGCCTGACTCGCCGGCCAACTTAGAAGCACGGCGGATACTCCTAGCAAATCGGGGGCAGACGTATCATCTGTTTGGGGATCTCTATACTGCGCTCAGGGATATTGACATGGCGCTGTCCCCTCGTTATACAAGGCCAGATTCACCTCGGATATTAACGACCAAATGCCGCTTCCGCCGGGCAAAGCTCCTTTTCACGTTCGCGCGGTACGATGAAGCCAAGGTAGATTTTGACACATTTGTGAATCTCATGGATGCCTTGGACATCTCTCTGGACGATGCTGAGACGGACCTGGGCAAATCCATCGACACTGGAGTGAGTGCGCCGAAAAGCGGTCAGCGGTATAAGAACGAGCAGCTCATGCGTGCAATCGACGTTTGTGGCCGTTTCAACCGACGTTCGTGCGGCAGGGCTAACCGTTTCTGTCTTCCTGACAGGCTCGTGGACTCGTTCTCAAACCGTTCAATCGCCTCAACTTTCCCCGTGGATCGACGGATCTCCTCTTCGGTCCGCCGGTCAGCGACGAGGATCCAATTCTTACCTTTTATACACGTCGGGGGACGGAATTCCCCTCAGACATGACACAGGCTTCCATAGCATATCCTCTCTCGATTACTGCACCGTATTTCAAGGCGCGCCCTGATCAGGGAGACGAGCCGTACTTAATGCACCCGGAAGATCCATATCCCGACGATGTACAGCTGTCGTGGTTCATGGACAACCTGTTCAAGAGCGCCATGGTCATGTTTCCGTCCCATCTCTTCTCGGATGCGGAGCACCGCCGCTGCGTTTATGGGGCACTCGACCACGACGACCCACGACACAGCGTCGTTATGGTGCACACGGCGCGTGGCCGCATGCTCATAGTCCCGCGTACCGCAACCCTTAAGCAGATCATCGAGGGAAGCAGATGGCCACGCGACGATCCGCTACCGTTTGAGGATAGGCGCCAGCAGCCGCGGCGAAGGGACGACCCGATAGATGGCATTGAACTTGGTCGGGGCGGCTCCATTGAGCTGTATGTCATTCCCAATGAAAAGTTGTCACACCAGTGAGTCGCTGCTCGTCGTCTATACATCGTGAGATGCATGCATCTGTTGACCCCTGCGCAAGTGTTGAATATCACGAGAAATGTTTCAAGTTCGTGAAAGTCGAGTGAGGCTTTGGCGTCACCAAAGGGAGCACACCATAATTTGCATTACCATTCCTGCTGTACGACTCTGTAGCCAGATTCAGCACGTCTCCTCACGCGATCCTTGTCCTGGGAATTTCCCACTTTCCAGCTCTCCAGAGGCATATATTCGCTGACCAGTATTGATTGAGTAGGATGCGATGGGCTCGATCAGAGAGGTAGTGTTTGCCTTTATTTGTAGGAAGTTCACCGTGACGCTGTCATTGGCGCCAACTGACCCTGCATGACCTCTAAAACCTAGTCCATCATGTCGACAACGTTATCAACGGAAGAACTCGCAGCTTTGGCTGAGATGAATATTTCTGACACGGAAGAAGAAGGTATGGTTATTTCTGCCATCCGAACGATGGAAACATTATGTACGCAGACGACCCGACGGCCCTGAAAAGGCTCGGGAACGATGCCTTCCATACGAAAGATTTTTTAAAGGCGATCAGGGTGAGGATATGGGCCTATCATCAATATTCATCTATATTGAAAGGAGCTGCAGTTGTATACTTTAGCGCTGCAGAATTTGCCTGAGTCGGATGCTCCTGCTGTCGTATAAGCTCGGCGAACTCTCCTGGCAAACCGGGGGCAGGCGTATCATTCTCTCGGGGACATCTACACTGCGCTCAGGGATATTAACATGGCGTTGTCCCCTCGTTACACCAAGCCTGATTCGCCTACAACACTGACGGTTAAGTGCCACTTCCGCCGGGCGAAGCTTCTCTTCTTGTTTGCGCGATACGACAGGAGCGCGTCGAACGTACTCCAATTGGAAACTGCTGAGACGGAGCTAGGGAAAGGAGATCAACAAGGGCGTTACTGCACCGAAGAGTGGAAAGCAGTACCAGAAGGAGCAGCTCATCCGCGCAGTAGACGTTGGTCGTGCCTTTTGGCTCGTCTGAGCGCTAGAACTGAGTGTTTCTCCTCACTCGCAGGCTCGCGGACTCATCATCAGGCTCGATGATCGCCTCAATTTTCCCTATCCGCCAGAGGAGCTCTTGCAGGGCCGCTCAGCCGACATGTTGGATCCAGTTCTTACCTTGGTCAGGCGTCGGGGAACGCAAGCCCCGTCTGACATGAGGCTGGCCCCCATAGCGTACCACGTCTTGATTGTTGCACCATATTTTAAGGCGCATCCCTCTCAGGGGAACAAGCCATACTCAATTCGCGCCTCCGATCTCGTGTACGACGATGCGCCTATCTCGTCGTTCATAAGCAACCTCTTCAGTAGCATCATGCTCAATTTCCCGTCGAACCTTGTCTCGGACGCAGAATATCGCCAATACATGCACACGGCCCTCGCTCACGACGACCCGCGTGACAGCGTCATCATGGCGCTGAGCTCACGCGGCCGCATGCCCATCGTGCCGCGCTCTGCTACCCTTAAGCAGATCATTGCGGGGACTAGATGGCCCCGTGATGGCCCGCTGCCCTTCGAAGACAAGCGCCAGCGTCCGCGTCGGAGGGACGACCCTGTCGACGGCATCGAACTTAGCTGGGGAGGCTTCATTAACTTGTATGTCATCCCTAAGGAGAAGTTGGCGTACCAGTGAGTTGACGCGCACCGTCTGTGTATTGTGGTGTGCTGACCCTTGCGCAAGTGTTCAATTCATAGAGTCGGGCCACAAGCTTGTAGGTTTACAGTGAGATCCATTGGTCGATCGAAGAAATGAATCATCGATGCTTCAAACACAGTTGTAGACATTCTGCGTCGATGTTTGTTCCTCGGGATATCCATGTCTGACAATACTTTTATTCAAGGGGAATTGATGGTGTTGGTCTTGTATCATATTTCGCCGTATACCATGAGTATCTCGGGACGGATTGTATGAATGGAATCGACGGATTATGCGTTACAGTTGGTATCGTGATGAACAGGACAGAGAGCGCACTGAACGAGAAAGCACGATGATCTAGACCGCGAAATGAGAGTGGCGCAGAGCGAGGGTCGACGGCGAGCAACATCAGGCACTATAAAATTGCCAGTCGAATACATACACAATCAGCGCGAAGACCGAGATAGACCACGTACATATAGAGCCACCCTTTTTGTCTCCCGATCTCCTGCCCTTTTTAACCGTAGCTTCAGCCTTGTCGGTATTGACGATTCAGGTGCCAGGACATGTTCATATTTTGCGTGAAGTCATAGTCGGTGATCAAGTTATAGCTAGCCCGTTCTGGTGGTGGGCAGAAGCAGGCTTCGATGCATCGTGTGCGGATACACGCAGCGCCCCGGAACCCATCTCCAAAAGTTCGTCTTGCATCCTCTGACTGCATAACACGAAATACATGGACCACATCTCCTGGTATCTTGACAACATATCCCGTTCAACGTCGAAGATATTGCAACGCTCCGCGATGTAACTGTGGAGGTGGATCCAAGTTAGAGGAGAAGATGTCAAATAAGCAGTAAATCGGTTCAACAGAGGTATCAAGCGAACGAGCGCAACTCACGTCTGTTGGAGCAAGACTGATGTTACGGAGTGGGCTCATAGATACAGCTTCTTGTTAGCGGAAGACAGTCGTTCCCTTTAGTTATGGAGTATGTAGTCCTCATCCTGGTCCGCAGGAAAGGCGTAGGAAAGGCGTTAGGACTGCTAGTTCGGGGATCGTAAGTCTTCGAGCTAGCGCTAAGCGGGCATAATTCTCGGGACGGCAGTCGAACAATTCGTTGTGATGCGTTGCTAGGATGAACTTGAAGAAAGAAAGAGGTGCACCGCGTGAAATCCGAGGTTTCTAAGAGCCAGAATCTTATGAAATCCTGCGCACCTCAGATTTTGAGCCCCATAGAACCTTGAGGTACCGTGGACCGTCACGTTACGAATTCGAAGGTGCCACTCTGCTTGGGCAGAACTTTACTGGCGGGCCCAATAATCTAGTCTGCTTTCTGACGCGGGGGGTTAATCGAGAGGTCGGACAATTTAGACGGAGCCTGAAATTTACTAAGGATTCGATACACCGGCAGTTCAAATCAATAAGCCTGCGGTTACAACCCGTTCCATTGCCGACGGGCGCTTACGACCTCTGCCAGTGGGCCCGCTCAGCGCTCAGCGGCCGCTCACCTTTGGAACTTCATTAATGCACCTGCTGGCTCGTCGACTCATGCATTCATCTTTGTACTGCGGGAAACAGACATTGCGGCAGCATAATCTGACCATGTTCTGAAGTTTGGTATAACTTGAATGCTGCTGCCGAGGAGTGGGAGGTCAGCAGATGATATTCATCAGCTTCGACACCTCAGTTCTTCTCGTTTGACTGCCGTAACATTAATTACAATGCAACCTACACAAGATTATAAGGTTCATCCACCTTGGCATACATGCCCTGTCAATCATATGGCTTTACCCTTGCAGTAGTGCATGAGGATGAATGTACCCCACTGATTGATTCTTATTTCTATGTACAGTATCACAGTATTCCCAATAAATATAGCTGGTCAAAATTTTTCTGAGGCAAACCAGAATGTATGGCACACACATACCACAACTAAGCATGTTTTCCATTCCGTGAGACGCAGTGCGACGCGTCTGTAGGAGGGACGCGTTTTTTCGTTTGTCATTGCACGTGATATGCCGATCGGCAGTGACCGACCTCTTAGAAAGACCCCCATTAAGGAAAGCAGACGTCAGATACGGATATCCTGAGGTACGAAGGTTGAAGCAGAGTAGCTACACTGCCTTTGGGAGACTACAATAATCTTCCTTGCGCCCTTGGAGTGCGACAGGACCCTGGATAATCCCCCCAAAGGTCGTCGCCAAAACCCCCCCAATTTACAAAAATCTGTCCGGCCCATTTTTGGCCGGTTTAGGGAGTTTTTTGTCCGGAAATAGCGACATCCTCGCTCTGGGGATGTCCATTTTAGGCAATTTGTGGCTATTTTTAGCCTTTTTCGGCTTTTTCCGGCGATTTTCCGGCGATTTTTGCCCCAGAACAGTTCCATGTCCGGATAGTACGACGGCTACATGGTCCTTAGGGGGTCCATTTGTCCGGACATGACGACGGCGTGAGGTCGATTTTCGCAAAAATCTGTCCGGATTTGGCGACGACCTTTGTGGGGATTATCCAGGGTCCTAGTGCGACATACCTCATTCGTGCCCACGCATGGTCTTCTAATTGAAGCATCCAGCTGACCTGACCGTGCATTCACTCAAACGCGTTGCCGTGCCCATGCTCCGCGATCGACAGTGACCAACGTTTCGTTATCAGATTTCTTGGAGCAGAGAACCATCCGCTCAGGCGATGCATACAGCCCCAACAGGCAGCTGTGCACACAGCATGCCGCCAGCCAAGTTCGCATAATTATACCAAGCCCGTTCTATGACATTCCAGGCGATCGCGAATGATCACTCCGCCGAGCTGATTTCATAGATATCACGATCGAGGAAGTGAACTGTTGCCACGCAGCAGCCTCACCTTGACCGCAGCGGTCACCGCTTCTGGTTGATCGCCAAGTACTGGAGGGTTGATATAAGACCTCACCCCACCAATTTCTTCTCGTCAACGAACCACCACCTCGTCGACAACACTACCACCGCGAGCTCATACCCGAAACAGAATGACGCAACAGTGGGAGCCAGGTACCTACTACGGCCCCGGTTCCGTCGTCGTCTACCAAGGCCGGTGTATATGTCTTCTCTCTGCGCCCACTCCCGTCTCACCGATAACACAGGAGCGAGGTACAAGATTATCCAGCCGCACACTTCTGAGGTACGTGCTACCTCCAAGTCAGCTCCAAGCTTCCCACCCGCTGGTTTCGCTGATCTCGCACTAGTCCGGCTGGGAGCCCCCCGCGACTCCCGCACTCTGGGGCCGCGAGCCTGACGGTGCCGGATATCAGGACCAGCCGCCTCCGGCGCAGAGCCAGGGCCAGGTCGGGGGCGGAGGATACAACCCCAGCTACGTCCAACCTGGCCCCCAGCAGCCTCAGCAGCCCCAGGGTAACTATCCGCCTGAGAAGCAGTGGGATCAGCACCAGGAGCAGAAAGTCGACATCCCCCACGAGGAACGCAAGAAGAGCTGGCAAGACCTCTCTCCGGAGCGCAAGAAGCAGCTTGAGGTGCGTCCCCGTCTGCTCTGTCCCGATCTGCCTAGCGAGACTGAATGCTACCTAGCTCGGAGGCGGCCTCGTCGCCGGCCTTGCCGCGATTGGTGCTGGGTACTACGCTTACCACGAACACCAGAAGGGCGACGAGGAGGTATGCAGCGCATTTTCGTTGTTTCTCCTTGTGTTAACCTCGTCCATCAGAAAAAAGCGAACGTGTGGGCACTGCAGAACTGGCTCCAAGAGGCGAATGCACGCACGTTGGATTTCAGGCAACGGGGCCCGCGCGGTCCTGCCACTTGGGTCTTGACCGAGGGCGTTAACATCCCACCGAACGCCATTCCCGGAGGCGAGCAGAACGGGCAGACGCTATTCATCTGTCGTGGCTTCCAAGAGGTGAGCGATGGCCGCTGCATTCTAGGCCGAGTCCCTATTGACAACTCATTTCCAGGGCGGACTTCGTATGTATAGTTGAATGGATGCAGTATTCCGTTGTTAATCTCTATGCAGAAATTGGCAAGGTGTCCGCCAACCCCGAACAAGGTGCAGTGATCGGCTATGCGCACAAGGAAATTCGCGTACGTGCTCGGCCTATTTATCTCTGCCTTTCTCTCCTTCCTGACCTTACCTTGCATCTCAGCTCCCAAAATACGAGATCCTTGTGGGTGAGCAGCGCGCGCTACGCTGGGTCGACTTCCGTGGGCGTTTGCACCCTGAACAGCTCAACGCCCGACCCGTCGAGGGTGGACGCGAGGCGAACGGCACACCACTCTTCATCGCGAAGGCGCACTACCACAACGCAGTCGTGCCCGGAAAAGCGAGCGAGAAGCTCAAGGGTGCGTTTTCCCGGTCTCAAGCCGTGGATGTCGTGATGCTGATTGGATCGCTTGAATCGACAGGTGCTTTTATCCCGTTCGCGAATTCCGAGGTGACGGTCGAGGTGCGTTTCTGATCCCCTGTGAGTACTGGGTGCGCGTGCTGATGTTTTGTATCCAGGAGTACCGTGTCTTGTGCTATGCCTAGGTACCAAGATGCTAGCAAAGTCCACCGGACTAGATTTGAGGATGTGGATGTCTCCGATCACGATGTACAGTAAACAGCTTGCGAACTGGAATACTCATTCTGCCCACCCACCCACTTCGACCTTCTCTTTTATTCCAAGGATGTTCCGGATTGCGAATAGCTCTTAACCATCGACATTCGCAACAAAGAAGCGAACCATACTTCTTCCATATTCACGCTTACAAGCAGATAACTACGGGGCTTCCACACTCACCTTTGTAAAAACCAAATGACTCGGCGGTTCCGCATCCACGGTCTGGGTTAAGCACAGAGCGAAGACGCTCTCTAGATCGCGTCGAAATCGCACCCAGGGTTACGCATCCGTGCACTCACCCACTTACCCCATTCCGGGGACATGGGCTCCGGCGTGCGCTCATCCCCATTGCCGACGGTACACCACCAGGACAGAACGGCACACTGTAGGTCAAATCCGTCTGTAGACGCCTCCGTGATACCCAGCGAGATGTATCGCAACGAGGGGAACGTGCGCGTGAGAGGTTGAGACAGTTCGTGAAGAAATGCGGCATTGCCCGCGGAAAACCACCTGCTCTTGGTAAGGATGAAACGGTGCTGTATGTAGATGATGTCAGGGGACGCAAATTCTGGTCCTAAGGGAAGCGATCTGTGAGTGAGAGCACGATGTGCCGCAGGAGACTGGCTGTTCACCACCAAGCACTGGCCAACTCCAGGTCGATCGTGAATCCTATACGCAATGCTAGTTTCAAGCACTTAGTTTTACTCATCAGGTTACCACGCAGGGCCCTCCAAAATGACGCGTGCTACTTGATAGAATAGATAAGGAGAGCATGACTGGCACTATTTCCTTCCGAGACACCGAGCACAGCGCAGAAGTGCTGTTTGTCACAAAATTGTAAATGGCCTTGTAAGGCCTTGTAGCTGAAGGCGCCTTACAGGGCCATATAGAGAACTAGCCCGGCACTTAAGTCTGCAATGCACTGTAATGTTACATCAGGGAAAACCTCCCGCGCAAATTGGTCAGAATTATATATTAATTGTCAGGAATAGTCGAGATTCTCCGCGTTCCAGCGATTATCAACATTGTTGAGAATTACATGAAATAGACGGCCCCTGCCGATTTCACCCCTTAATTCTCAACATTTCTCAACATTAGACACATTTGTTACAGGGTTTTCTCTTCAATTCTTGCTATTATACATGTTGTGGCAATGAATCAGGCCTCATTTACTCAACAATACAGTAGGAAAACGAGCTTGTTATTAGACGGTATGAAGTACAATTCTCAAAGAGATATGTAAGTCATCATCAGGTCACTTGCATACTGCCCTGGATAGCCCTGCATGAGTACTTAACAGGAAGCACAACAATGGGGGCGGATGTTATGCACCAAAAAGATCGAAGAGAGGGGTTAGAAAACATGTTACATGAGTTCGTGTGACGCACCGGGTGTAGGAAACAAGTGCTTGACATGGATGGAGGAGGTAACATCGAAGGCGACGGGCTCGGCCCAACGTGATCAGGCCCTGCACCCGCATGCCGAGAGACGCAGACACACATGCAGTGTACTCATTACCTGGAGCATTTGAGCGTGTGATGGTGCGTAGTGTTGCCGAAGTTCAGTTCAGAACCAAGGTTCGAACCCTGAACCTCTGAACTGAACCTAGGTTCAGTTCTGGTTCTGGTTCTGGTTCAGCCTCTGCTAGGTAGGTTCAGTTCAAGCATGAACTGGTTCGAACCTGATAGGCTAAAACCCATTGGAAAGACCAAATATATGGGCATCCTTATGACTTCGAGAGTTGTCAGTGCAACTAAAGACTGCAAAATGGTATAGAATATACATGTGCTGACTATAGTCTCTTATATTCTGTTGAAATTGCACAGACATACCCTGTATAGCATCCTCTTATATAATACTCACTCTTGGTCAAACATGAGATTACCATTCTACACAGTTCACTGCAGCATTTTGATGGTGGGTAATGCACCAATAATACTAAGAAGCATGTAGAGTAAAGGTGGGAGGCCCCCATTGTCCTTAAAATTGCTAGATTGAAAAATCTCAGGTTCAGAGGTTCGAACTGGTTCTGAACCTATGGTTCAGACTTGGTTCTGGTTCAGCAGGTTCACTGTAGGTTCAGGTTCAGGTTCGGAGAAAATGGCTTCTGAACCGAACTGAACTGAACTTCGGCAACACTAATGGTGCGGAGTAAAGGAAACTTACTAGTACTGCGGGGCTTGGTTGACATTTCCACGCTGCTGCGGATCACCCTGAGTGTGTTCAATATGCCTCAATACGATCTACAAAATATTGAACAGAAGGTGAATTTGGTATGCACGGAAGGAAAGGGGATCGTACAATGGCGGGACACTCCCAATGGCATGTTGATTACTTTGAGGCGGGGATCATCAGTACAGTGAACAAGGGAGAAAAATTGCCAGCATACTATCCCGTATCCTAAGAGGCCGTGAGGGTTTCGCAGTCACGTTCGCAAAGACAACGTCGTTAGAGGTGCCCCCTCCAATCGCACCAGTGGGCACATGCGGTACGAGCCCAAACCTCTCAACATAAAAGCTCAGCAAAAATCACAGCCGTGGACCTCCTGAGCCAGCCGCCCCTTCTCCGCGCATCATCTGTGCTGGCAGAAACGATAGAGGGGATGAGCCCGCTGGAATTGCCGTACTTGTTCAGCAGTGCACGATCTGACGGACCAGGAGGGGAGCGAGGGGGCGGCTGTGCGTAGTCATAGTCAATGGCCTCGAAGTCATATGTGCCTGTGTGGACTCTTCGCAGATGACGGCTCGGGGTCGTTGTATGCAAGAGGGTGGTAACCGCTGCGGGGGTTTATGTGGTGTGGGTCGACTCCAGCGTCCGACTGAATTTGATGTGTTGAGGGGGGCCGGAGTCGGAGCATCCATAGAAGCCCCATATTTTCATTTTACTAGGATCCGAGTTAGTCTTTTAGCGAGGCACATAGAGCGTAACGACGCACCTCGAGTGTTACCCTTATGCTGCTACACAAGACTATGCCTAGCATTGCATGCCAATATCAGCTTCGTTAAATGCATCCGTGAGGAGTAACAGAGAAAGCACGTACCATAGAATAAGTGTTGCGGGTCCCACAACAAAGCCGTGAATATGAAGAAGAGAAAAGACGGCAGTGAATTAGTGCTTGCTCCTGTTTGGTCCAATCAACGTCATCACGTGCCGTTGGACTTTAGCAATTCCTGAGCGACGACGCATGCCTCACCCTTGCAAATTGTATTGTCACCGGTCACCTCTACCCATATCCTGCACTTTGTACATATCTCCCTTCTTGATATCTTGCAGCTCGTATCCCCCACCTCGCCCGGCATGCCCCCGCCTTACCTGCATCGCTAACTGCGTCTGTCCGGCCTCCATATCTCGCCTTACATCTCGCCCTTGCATCCTGCCTCCTCCACCTCTCCCACCTCGCGTCTTCGTACACCTTGCATCTGCTGTATCGCATTTTTGCCCGCCTCGTGTTCTTACCCATCTCACTCAGTTGGATGCATCGGCAACATCTAATACACCATTCGGATCGCTTCGAACTGGCTGCACTGCATTTATGGCCATCTTTGCTGAGTGTCGAGCCGGTGAACCCTGCTGTTTCTGCTTTTGCTGTGTGATCATGGTAAGCAGTAGTTCAGCTGACAATTCCCTTTGAGAGTGTTCTAGAAGAACTGTTTTCCAAGAGCCCCCCAGTAGAGTTTCTGATTACCATACAATTTACATGTAATTATGAGGTTTTCAAATCAGATCATCATTGAAGTCAAGAAATCGAGCGACTTTCCTCAGTGCGCAATGCACTCCAAATTTTCTCGTTCTCGTGAATTATCCACATTTATCATACATTTCTTCACAATTGTGCTGGGAGGTTTTTCTTGATGTCATTGAAGTTGAGAAATTGAGCGACTTTCCTCACAATGCACTCCAAATTTTCTCATTCTCGTGAATTATCCACAATTATCATACAATTCTTCACAATTGTGCTGGGAGGTTTTTCCTGATGTACTTTGCCCTGCGCACAGCCAACCAAGAGTACCCCACCGGAGAAAGCCGAGACCACAACCTAGGGAGGGAGGGGTACCCTCGAGGACCTTACTTGGGTTTGTGCACATGCATATTTATGGCTGTAGATAGTCCCAGATGTCCAAAATGATACTTCCGTGGCTCCACTAACTTAGATGTCATGTTCTATAAAGGCCACAGTATCCTCTGGCCTCATCTATGAGCTGCAACCACAAAGCAGTGCCTGACAGGCCACAATTTCATCATTGAGCTCATCCCAAAGACCAAATCTCCAGTGCACTATGTTTATTGAAAATATGTACGTGCCTATGAGAGGGGCGGTGACATTTTTTGTGAAAGACACTATGGTGCATCATTATTGAGTGCTTAACATACCAAAAACGGATAAGACCTTCCGCTTTTGGAAGGAAGGAGGGAGGGAGGGGTACCCTGGGGACCCTTATTTTGGTTTTGGGAGTCATGGTAGTGAACTGACTTCCTGCCACCCTCTTGCAGCCAACTGCCCAGAAGAACACTACATCTATGGCCTGAGTGCCAACTGCCTCCCAACAGCCTTATCGCACCTAATGTGCACATCTGATCAGTCAAGTAATATTGATTAGATGACTAGTCAAGACTTACATTAGACCGCCCCAGTAACATTGGAAGAGAACGACGCGGAGGAGGGCGGCGCAGAGGAGGGCGGCGCAGAGGAGGGCAGCACGGAGGAGGGTGGCGCGGAGGAGGGCAGCGCGGAGGAGGGCGATGCACCTCCGGTGTTAATACCAAGGGCCGCACGAATGATCTCCATGGCCCGCTGCACCTTCAATGCGATAGCCTCAGTCTGACTTATGTCAGCGCTAAGGGCCCGAATCTGGTCCTGTAAGTCACTGAGGGAGGGTGCTGAGGCCACAGAAGTGCTCTCTGCAAACAGTGTTAATGTAGATTCAAGTCAAAAATGTGCTATCATCGCTTACGACCACGATTAGCCATGAGGACTGGTTTGGGTGGGGGATGGTGGTGGTATGCTCCAAACGTGAGAAGGGGCAACACTGGGAGACACCACAATATATACAAAGTATACCACAGGGCACCGCACCGCCGGTGGCAGGCATGTGATCCCTCGCACGACGAAGCAACCTTTATGACGTCCTGGGACATGGTGACCTAAAACAATTGGATATTGCTGAGGCTTGTGGAGATGTTGAATGGGCACGACAGAGTTCGCACTGGTGACTGGCAGAGGCGTCCTGCAGGCGTTTTTGAGCAAGAATTTTTATGCACATGTACAGGGGTGCTATAGCATATAAATGAGCATTTTGGAGAGGCCACAGGAGGCCCGGAATTTGAGTAGATGTGAAGTTACCAGCCAAATTACCTAAAGATACTCATCTATCCTATGGTGTGCGCCACTTAGACACTGCTACTTTTGAACAAGCAAAACCCAGCACCTAAAAATTACCCGATTTCTTATCCATTTAGCAGAAATGTTCCTTTTGATGAGAGGAGTTGATTGGCTAGAGCGATTGTCAAAATACTCAAAATTGACGGAGATATTATTTTTGTCAAAAATGAAATTGGCCAAACCGGTGCTTAAGTACCATATGTGGAAGTGAAACCCAAATCGGGAAGGTTATTCCCATCCCTTATGTTTCCAAGACCTTGTACACACACTTCAAACATGTTTCCTGGGAGATCGGAGTTCAAAGGAAGGTAGCCGCTATGCTTGCAAAGCTTTACCACACCTCCCGAGGAGCATAAAGACCCCATTTTAGGGTTGGGGATTTTCACCAGCCAGATTGGCCACTGTCCAAAAGTAGCGGCGTCTAATTGGCGCGCACCATAGGCGAGGTCAGGACTGTGACCTGATAAGGCTAAATCACGCGATTTTGTGACTCGATAAGTAAGCCCCAGCACAGGAAGCATTACCACTTTTATCCATTGGAAATAACCTGGCAAAAAGCATGGAAATTAATAATATATTTTCAGAGGAAAAACCTCGAGAAAAAAGTGAGAAAAGAACAAAACATTCTCACGGTTTTTCACTTGGAAATAAGTTGCCTACCATATCAGGCAACTGGACATGCCAGGACATGCCAAAACCCGGACAAAATTACCATATTTGGCGACCAACTTATTTCCAGTGGAAAAACCAAGAGGGGGGCGAGATTTGAACTCTCGACACCGTCCTCACAAAAATTCGAGGACCCCGTAAACTGGGGTAGGGGGGGCCACCTTCCGCATTAAGACGTGCCGATCTCCGGCACAGGCACAATGATTCCCATATTCTGCGACTGCAAACATACGTTCATCGACAATGACATTAACAGTAGTTACTTCCGAGTAGTATATAATACATATCCATAAGATTACTTGTGTTTCTTCGCTGCACCCATTCGCACGTTGCCATCCGGTTGATACTGTCATTTCGTCGACGAGGAAGGACACTTTGACAGGAATTTTCTCTGGAGGTATACCGAGTCGCTCCTCCTCATCGTGCGAAATTGTCATAGAGGATGGAGAGCACGCAAAACGACACAGCACAAGAACGCGAGCGGCAAAGTCTGCGTTAAACAAATCGCGTTTAGTCACGTGCATCTGACGTATGCACATAGTTTCTTCTGAAGCACACACTGCGCGGAAATGTCCGGTTTGAGTGCACAGAAATGACTGTGTACATTACAGAACATAGATTTAAATTTAGAGTCAATTAACGTGAAGAACTTGAGGAGAGAGGTGGAAAATGGTGAGCACTGGGAGGAAAACGCGCGGGTGGCTGAAATTGGACCCCGTACACCAGTTTCCTATCCCCCTTGCAAACAGCTGGGTATCCCCGATTCAAATCTCGCCCCCCTCTTGGGAAAAACTGCGGAAATGCTTTGTTCTTTTACACATTTTTTCCTCATGTTTTTCCTGCAGTATAACTTTATTGATTTCCACACATTTTTCCAAGTTATTTCCTTGGGAAAAAGGGGGTTATGCGTCCTGTGCAGCAAGGAAGCGCGCATCACCGGAACTTTATTCCGCATTACGGGCCGCAGCCATTTTGAGCACATCGTCCCAGGGGCGGCCAGCGGCACTGGCCTCGTACCGCGAGCTATCAGCTTGTATCATTATAAGTAAGACCTAATGTTATCAGCACTACGGCCCGACTCCATTACCTTCTGCGACATCAGTCGCCGGTGGGCTGCCCTACATAATCATCGTTGATCTTCTCGCACGCCGTCAATACTAACCTTGACTCTGTTGTAGCAGTACGAACCCCGAGGTGAGCCTATTCTCGCGTAATCGTCGCTAAATATTTTCATCCTGCGCGAGTCGCAGGTGAGCTTGCTCGTCATGTATCACATTCTCCGTCCAATAATTACGTCCTCGCGGAGACAAGACGCCATGACATCTGAGCCTCCTAGCACTGGCCCTGATACGCCAGCCTCCACGGAATGGCCACTGCCGGAGGGTTCGTCCCTCTCACTCTGGCTGCAGTGCGTTCGAGCAAACCCGCTCCTCGACTACCGTTCCGTCGAAACGCTCCCGACCGAGGCCGATGTTGTCATCATCGGTTCGGGGATCAGTGGCGCGCTGGTGGCGTTCGAGCTCCTCAAGAGCGCCAATCCGCCGAGTAGCATTATGATGCTCGAGGCGCGTGAGCTGTGTTCCGGCGCCACGGGAAGGAACGCGGGGCATTGCAAGCCCGACCAGTGGCGTGGCTTCCGCAAGTACAAGTCTGTGTTCGGTGAGCAGCAGGCCCTTAAGATTCTCGCGAACGAGCAGGAGACTTGGGAGCGCCTCGTTGCATTCATCCGCGAGGAAAAGGTTGACTGCGATCTGTGGGTCGGGGACACCCTCGACGTGGCTGTTACAACTGAGGTCGCTGAGGACATGGCCAGCGTCTGGGAGTCGTATAAGGCTGCTGGAGGGAAAGTCGACCACGTGAAATATGTCGCAGACAAGGAAGAGGCGGTCAAAGTATGTTGAGTTCTCGTAGTGGGGGCGCCAACCTACCTTAACTGCACCTTGCAGATATCGCGCCTGAAGTCAGCTGTCTCACTTTGGGCATGGAACGCATCGACACTATATCCTTGGAAACTGGTTGCGTATGTGATCCAGAAGACCCTCGATCTGGGCTTGCATCTCCAGACGTGGACGCCTGCCACTTCGGTGACGGCATCGAGGAAGTCAGGGCAATGGGAGGTCAAGACAGAGCGTGGCACGATCACGACGCCGATGGTCGTACACGCAACCAACGCATATGCATCCGCGCTGCTACCCGAGTTTAAAGGCATCATCAGGCCCACCCCACACATGTACGTCTTACCTACTTTCACATTGAATCACTGAGATCGCTGACGATCGCCCATGGCAGGTGCGACAAAGTAGTTCCCCCGCGTTCCTTCTCCGGCTCGCATGCGCTGCAGAATTCGTACGGCGTCCTTTGCTCTGGCGGCTCACTATATTCGATCAACCCGCGCACGACGTCCGACGGGATTGTGCTCTTCGGTGGCAGTAACCCGAACCAGGGCGAGCTGTTCAAGTACGTCGATGAGGATCCCGAGCGCCGCAGCACGGACGACTCCCTCTCGAACTTCGCACCCGTCACACAGGCTGTGATCGAGCTGACCCAGAAGGACTTCATCGGCTGGTGAGCCTTTTGCTTGTTATTTGCGCGTGGTCGAAGAGACGTCCGATGCAGGGGAACGAAGACTGCGCCTGGCCAAGGGTATGAGTACAGCTGGAGCGGTATCATTGGCAGAGTGTGTCTGTTTTTTTTCTACGTCCCACCTCCTGTGTATAGTACTGACTTTACGTCTTGGGCAGAGTGCTGACGGCGTACCGTACGTTGGTGCAGTTCCCGGAAAGCCCGGGCAGTGGATAATCGGCGGACACAACGGCCACGGAATGGTGCGGTTTCTCTGATTTACGACGTGAATACGTCGCTGAGTGCAGCTTTGTATAGGCGCGCATATTCACAGCGGCCCCGGGCCTTGTGAAGCTCATACAGGGTGGCATCTGGAGTGACACTGGGCTGCCCGAGTGCTTCGAGGTCACGGCAGAGCGCCTCGCTCGGCTCCACGCGCAGTCGAACTTCAACATCCCATTCGTATAGAGGCCATAGAGGTTGTGCTGGCGATGGAGAAACATATGCTAGAAGTTACCCTGGAATGTATGCGGTACTTATGGGCCTGCGCATCGGTGTCTTCCTTTTTCCATACAGGCCTGGTTGTCGATTACTGATAACGCCCAGTGCACTGAAAACGGTTTGACTTGATTCCTTTACCAGTAGTCTCGCCAGGCGCCATTTATCCTTGCTCTGATAGTCTACACCTCTATCTTCGCAGTGTGGCAAAGGAAAATAGTCTACAGGCGCGACCACGTAGCATCAAGACCTGCTGTGCGAGCGCTTTGATCCACTTCGGCTCTTCCTTAAGGTTCCTTCAGCACAGCGGTGAGTATCGTTATCCATGTTACCCACCCGGACATTAAACATTATTCTGTTGTCAACCCAACGCGAAATAGACGATCGATAGGCATTTGCTGCATAATGAATATGTTATCCACCTTGGCGGCCCTGAAGTTGTCCGCTACGACTCAAATGGCACAACCGATAACAATCCAACATGCGCTTTCTTTCATGCGTTTCCGCGACTCAGCGCAGTTTACAGTAATGAGCTCCTCAAATATATCCGTTCTGATGGAGCGTCAAGCTGGCTGGAGCATTTCGAGATTCCGGGATATTACGGAACGGGCGCCTCTGTTACACATCATCTAAGATATGTATTCCAGCAGATGCCCCCAGATCGTCTCCTTGAAATACCTCTCCACACTGATGGCCATCAGTATTTTGACCATATCCTTGGACGGTTTCACTTCGAAGGACTATGGTTTAGCATCAATGCTCGCACAATTGCGACGCCGACCGCGTGAGTTGATCATCTGTCGAAAATGCTCGTGGACATGTTCTGTTCATCGTGATACATTTCAATCAGCATCATGGAGGCACCCTTGCTCATGGATAGGTTCTACGAACTGCCCGAACCTGTAGCTTGGTAGCGGGTTATTGGAAGAGAGCACGAACGTACGCTAGAGTCGATATAAGATGAAATGGCAGAGCGGGTGAATCGGCAGATGCATTCCCCTAACTGCGACTTTGCTACGCTCTAGAACATCGGCAGTGGGCATGTAACAATCCACGGAAGAGAATCGTTCACTGTCGCTGTGTTCTCATGTAGTGCATATGTTGCGTTCTGTCTGATCCCTCGGTCTGGTCGAAACAAGGGACATCAATGTTATTCTGCCTCTTCGTCGATTACCCACGGAGCCATTTGTGTATTTCGGAAGACCGCGCTGATTTCTTTGTAGCCCTTGCAGCGCAGTGGATATCGCTGCCCAATTCAGGGCCAAACTCTGCAGGCTTGACGGCCTTGGTTTGACCAAGAAGACGCCGAGCCATTGATGATCAGCTTTTTCTAATGTAGCGTACCAGGTGAGACTGAATGATGATGAAAATAGCAGATACAAGACATACGTTTTCCCGATAATCAGTCCACTGTGAGTGGTCATGTCGTTGATCCGTAATTTGTAGGTTAACCTCCGCCGTCGAGGGCGTCCTCTCGCCAGAGACAGGTGTGCGCGATACTAGACCTTACTTCGGAAGATACTTACTGCATGTCTTAGATCTTCGCATGGCCATCAATGTTAATCACTGTCAGGAAGCTGCGAAACACATGTCCTTATCTGTTTAGGAACGAGACAGCAGCGTCATCATGATTGAGGCTCAGTGGATTAACATTATTCTGGACAGAATGCGAGGAAAACCATACAAGTGGTGAGCGCGAAGGACTCACTGATAACAAGGAACGACTGTTTTCCTTGTCTAGAGGCTGATCCATGAGCCTATCCCAGGTCTTCGATCGCAACGTGAAAATACTTACTTCGACAACCTCTATTGAAGATTGTTTGAGAGGCGACATGCCAGATGTACGTACCTTATACATGTGATGGCATCAAGATCCACCTGATCCACCAATCATACCCGGGCCCCCCTTTCGCATAATTTTGCTGCTTCTCAGCGGTAGTCTGAGAATCCAGAGGACCGGCGGACTTATCGTCGTGTCCATTTGTTGAGCACTGCGTACACAGTTCTGCGGGTGGTCTATAACGACTTATCCTGCACACAGTCTGAGGAGCAAAGGGCGATATGGTGGAAGACGACGTGTTTGGAGAGATACTATCTCTCCAAATACATCAGATATGTAGCGTCGTCCAGCCGAGAGAAACACCGACCACGACGTCGACCACCGGCCACGGCCGGCCATCTGTCAATCGACTTCCCGTCTAAACATGGACACCATCCATAAACCACCCTGCTCGTCGACGTTCGCTCCCCTTCACATCTCCCGCTCCAATGCGTGCATCGCCTTTGATTGCGGCGGCAGCCGCCCTCGCGAGTTCTGCCAACGCCTTCCCAGGCTCCAAGTGTCACGACGAGCACGGTCTATTTCAGTACGGCCATGCGGACTGTAAGGTTACTCCGAAGGTGATCATCATCAGCATGGTACGTCGCGTCGACCCTCTACCAAAAAAAGCTCAGTTGTGAATGAAACCACAGTTCGGACCCGAGGCGGACATCTGGTACTCAAACAACGAGGTGTATGACGTCCTGGCGCGCAACATAAGCGTACCCGGCTTATCCCCGCTTTACCCAGATGTGCACTGCACCGCGAACGCCGAGGTGTGCCAGTTGACCACTGGCGAGTCAGGTGCGTTGGTATTCCCTACCCGGCTTCCCGTTCGTTCACGAGGACTCGCTTCTCATAGAGATCAACGCCGCCGTGACAATCTCGAGTCTCGTCGCAAGCCCGCTGTTCCACCTTACCAAGACCTACTTCATGATTGCCGGCATCGCAGGTATCAATCCGCATCAAGGAACGATCGCCTCTGTCACCTTCGCCCGTTACGCAGTTCAGGTCGCGCTCCAGTACGAGTTCGACGCGCGCGAGATGCCTGCCAACTTCTCCACGGGCTACGTCGGTTTTGGGACCACGATGCCAAACCAGTATCCGACAACCCTCTACGGCACGGAGGTCTTCGAGGTTAACACTGCGCTGCGCGATCTCGCTGTCGGCTTCGCGCGCCAAGCCACGCTGAACGACTCAGCGCAGGCGGTCGCATACCGTGCAACGTATGCGGAGGCGTACACTGCTGCCGGTACTGGGCCGTCTGTGCTCACATGCGACGTGACCACGTCAGACGTATATTTCTCCGGGAACCTGCTGGGCGAAGCGTTCGCGAACTGGACATCAGTGCTCACGAACGGGACGGGCGTGTACTGCATGACGGCGCAGGAGGACAATGCGACGCTCGCGGCGCTCCTCCGCGGCGCGCTGAGCAGCTTTGTCGACTTCGCGCGCATCATCGTTATGCGCACCGCGAGCGACTTCGACAGGGAAGCGCCCGGATATCCCGCCACGTACAACCTTTTCTGGGCGGACGCGGGCGCGTTTGAGCCGTCGTTGCAGAATATCTACCTTGCCGGCGTGGAGGTCGTGAATGGGATCATTGGTGGGTGGGAGGAGACATTTGAGGCGGGCATACGGCCGCAGAATTATATTGGAGATGTGTTTGGCACACTGGGTGGTGTTCCAGATTTCGGCCCTGGGAGCTAGGGGTTTGTGTAGCCAGTGCATTGTGGGTAAAAGCGTGATTGTGCTGACTATGCCACGCATTGAAGAAACGTAGAGTCGGCGCACAGTTAACAACAGGAAGATGTCCGTCGAGGGATCCCGAGCGTTGATATTTGTAGGACGTGCTGATAAGGCTTCATCGACATCCCCAGGATCGTTGTGAGAACGCGCTCGTGACATATTCACGTGCGCTGCATCACGCAGAATATGTCACATCCGCTGGCAGTATGCTCCGAGTCAGCTCCATCCATTTCAGCTAATATCAGAGAAGAGTTTATGGTCCACTTATAAGGCTAGGCTTCTCGAAGGCTACTCTAGTTCTTAATTGCGAGTAACGTTGATATCGCTTGTTCTTTGCTGTTGACTACCGCCTCGATAATATTACGAACCGCTCAAGAGTAAGTACTCTGCCATGGACTCGAAACCTCGCTCAGAGATCCCCCTTGTCATCGCCCTCCTCACCTCCGCGGCTTCCCCCGACGTCCAGAAGGATGCTGTCCTCAGCTTCTTTGCCTCCGACGCCGGGTTCAAACATCCCCTTTGCGCTATCGACCCCGCCCCCGATTCCAGGCAGGCCATCCTGGCAGTCTACAGGTGCACATTAATGTTCCCCTCTCATCTGCCTTGCTCCCTTCATGCATGGTAGGTGGTACGGTGTCCTGAGCTCGAACGTAGATGTCGAGATCTCCACCATCGGTACGCCTTGCTTTTTTGTCCTCGATGATACGTGACTCACATATGCACGAGATTAGTATTCGACGAGCAGAAGCTCCTCCTATTTCTCGATGTCACACAGCATTTTCACGTCCGCGGCAGCCCGTTCGCTCCGCACGTGGGTCGGTAAAGTAGTCCACACACTTTCCCACTCGTATTCTCACTTGCGTGCCCGGAAATACCGCCAGACTCACGATAAAGCTCCGCCTGCGGGAGGAGCTTGACGGAAAGTACTGCATCGCCTTCCAGGAAAACTTCTTCCACCCCGACGTGCGTGTCCACTCACTGTTACACGCCTAGTCCGAAAATGATAGAGATGTAGGAAGCCACCGCCCTCGTGTTCCCCCTCCTCGCGCCCGTAATTTACGTCTTTCTCGGGCTCGCGGCCCTCTTCTACGTGATCGCCTCGAGCACTGCTGGCTTGTTGGGAATTTGGAGCCCTGTGAGCAAGACGCGCCGACGTGGAGGGAAGATGTATCTCGAAGGACAGCTACAGACCGAGATGTGAGTGCCCATGATTGTATGTGCATCGAATTATGAGCTATGAGGCGAGGAGAATATGATGCATTGGGCTTTCACTTCTGGTACTCATGGCATGGCAGTTATGTTGTGCATCTGGCCAAGTAGTCAGATCAGTGGCTTGGGAGAACGGGGCTGGATGATAGCGGTGGACAACAATCCAAAAGAGAGCGGTGAGCCATCATGCATCCGCTGTTGAGAGCGCGATGCTACACAACCACGCGCCTCGCTTTACGTTCTGTCACAACAGCAAGTGTCCACTACGTTGCAAGTTGCACGCTCAACTAAGTATTCTTACAGTCTCCTGACGTCGACACCTTGACGAAGTGTGTGCTGTTACTGGTAGAGGAAAGTGGTGAAGGTCTGTCAAGCTCCTTGCTTTTCAAATCTAGTGTCGATAGGTGCTTTGCAGGTGTCCTCGGGACCGAACGCGATGCTCTATATTTTGTCCCTCCATGTGCATTCACGGCCGGCGCAAGGTGAGTTGCAGTTGGAATCTACTGCGAAGATATGACGTCCTAAATGTCACAGCCATCAGATTCCCTTCTCTAGACATCATGGCCATTCCACAAGTTGCGATATTCAACTCACAACTGTGAATCCCCCGATGAGGAATGGCCTCTACCACATCACTTGAAGGACTTATGCTGACCGACGGCGTTATCTTGCTACGTCTCCGCGAAGTCCCACTGTTAGCTTCCAGGTCCCAAATCTAATTAACCATCGAGCATCACGAAGAGGTCGTGGAAGCAAATGTGCCGCTTGAACTTATCCTTCCACCCATTCACAAACTTCACACTCGCGAGGTAGATATTCTGCACAGCTGACTGGAACCTGCCCGAGTCCAGAACAGAGTGTACGCAGCGATCGGAGTCTCTGGTACTGGGCATGACGAAGGCTGAATCAACCCATTTATTCATAGCACCTGGGGGGAGCGCTGCGTGCGTCGCACTGCCGGTGGATGGCGTACATTGCTGTAATTTTGAGTCAAGTCTGTCTGTCACTTTCTTTGCTCGTGCTAATGGCTGACCACCAGATATTCGCAGGAATTATAAGGCTTCATCCCCGCACGAGCCTACATATATATGATCGCCGCCCGTACGCGCTTGACTCAGCTTTAGCACAGAACACCCACAGTCCGAACGCGTTAAGTACTGATTCGAATCGGTGGCTCTCGTAGGTTCGTAGGCGCTTGAATGTTAGTCGCGTACACCGACTCAAGCGCGGCGGATGCCGGCGAAGCTTCGCGGAGTCTATTCTGCGGGCGCTCAGACGCGCCTCGCGAGGCCGCCAGCCACTGCGCCACAACATCTTCCCTTACAGCGGCGACCATCCAGAGCATACTGCTGCTGCTCATCTGTTGTTGATATTTCACAAGAAGGAGCCGACTGTCTCTGCACGACCGCTCTTAGCGATTCTAACCCTTTAAGCTTTCGACTTTCGTCCAGCTGGGCCCCCAGTTTCTTCTGTGGCGAAACTCTGGCTTTGTGGTTTTGGTAAGCATTTGAGGTGGGCCAGCTGCAGATATGTTCACGTGTTTTACTGACGCGTCATTCAAATAGCGATTGTCATGTTTGAGCCCCGACAGGTTCAACATCACAGCCTCCAGCTCTCTTTCCCCAACCACCATCTGCCACACACCGTATCCTCATACATCTTCTTGACATTATCATTCTCAATCCTCCATCTCATCTTTCAATATGTATACCTCTACCGCTCGTCGTTGCCTTCGGTCTAACCGTGTTCAACGCCCGGAAGGCCGTTGTGGACCTTTCGTTGCTCCACAGTGGGCTGCTGCTCGTTTGGGTCGGAGAGTCTTCCCTTCGAAGGAGCACTACGTTCACCAGGTTCTCTCCGACTTCGATGGCTCAGGTCGTCATCACCCCAGACGTCGCGGGCTTGGCGCGGTTTCTGTCTCTCGCCACACCGCTATGGGAGAAGTTAGTATGCTTACCAGTGGATTTGGCCACGAGCCTGTGAGTCTCGGGAAGCGTCGCTATGTTCCCGACGTCTTTCCCGAGCTCAACGCTGTTGTGAATCCGACCTTCAAAAGGTTCACTGAGGAGCACCGCCAGCGTCATGCATCGGAGACGAACATCTTCTCCATCCACGACGCACCGAGCATAAACCTTGAGGTATGTTCGTCTCACATCCCTCTCTAGCTTCCACTCATTACCTTCTATAGCCGGCCACTCGTATCTGTGTGAAGGAGAGGCGTGCTAGGCGGAACTTGTGTCAGCTCAATAACTCTACGCCGGTACGCATCACAAGAATCAAGTGCGATGATCACGTTGAGTCTCTGGATACCCACACCGTTACCTACGGCCATCCACGCAAAACGTACTTACACAGCCACCTGAAGCCGTACAACAGCAATAGATCACACCTTTACTCACGGATAAAGGCTCTATCCGTTACTTCTGAGAAGCCGGCGGCTGAATATATGCCGTCGCCTACCAGAGAGGAATTTGTGGCCGCTGACGAGGACGACTTTGTAAGTAGTGCCACCGCTTGTTGAGTAGATCTGTTGCTAACTGTTGTGTCAGTACGGGCTCACTCAGCAGGAGGAGGCATTCATCGACAACGTGTGCGACCGGCTCGATGCTCGTCGCCGGGCGGCCGCAATGGAGGTCGAAGCTGTCTCGTATCCTTTCTCGGCTCCTGCTCCGATGCACGCGGAAGTCTTACTTGAGGACACCGAGGTCTTGGATTACCGTCACAACATGTCACCAGTGGCCGATAGTGCTTCCGGAAACACGCTTATCGATGGAAACGATGACTCCGAGACACGGCTTGAACCTGCTCTGCATGGGATATTCCACAAAGCATCCGACGAATTCCGTGACTCTGCGCCGTGGTTGAATTTTGAATGGAATGCACCACAAGCTCCGATTTCCCCATTCTCTACCAACGCTATCTCCTATGAAGATTACGTGAATGACGGCGTGCAACCATCTGCACTTCTCCCGAGCATGATCGAGGACTTTTACTATGACGCACCTCTTTCAGTTCCCCTGATGTTTGGCCAGGAAACATTTGCGCACACTCCTTCTCCGCACGGTCATACGTTCGGCGTCTTAGTGGATCCTCAGACCTTGGCCTTGCTGGAAGGCTGTGAAGACAACGCACTCTACGCCGCCCCGCAGCTTCCACTGGACATGTTCGATGATAACGCCGGTTCCATCATGGATAGCGGTGACACTGCTTCTCATATTCCGAGCATAGACGTACCACGGCTCTCCCTCCTCCCCACAGTCGACGATGCCAAGGCTATGTTTGAGGCCGTGAATCCTCCCGATAGCTCAGTGGCTACTCCTGCGGAAGTTGACGCCTTCCTGGCCACGGTTCCGGTCCCTAGCCAGGAAATCCCTTCCACAGAACCGGCGGCCCACGCAGTTGAGAGGGAAGATGGCGAGCCCGACACTGAAGCAGACGATGAGCACAATGAGCGCGACGTCCACCAGGCTCGGATGTTCCCCGTTGTTATAGAGGCAGAGGCCGTCATCAAGGGTGAAACGCAGAACACCGATGTTGAGGTGGACGAGGAGTTTGTGGTTGACGATAGCCCTGCCAACGGTCAGGCACCCAAACAAGGTGTGGATGACACAAAGTCGAATGATCCTGAGCCGCACACACTCCAAGCGCTCGGGACTGTAACAACTTCCTCGGACCTGGAGAAGGATGACGTTGATATAGCCGCCGCCTTCGACTTACTCCGCCTGGATGCACCATCGTTATTGCCTTCCATCCCCGTCCTCAATGTTGTGCCCACTCTCACTTCCGCCGAGATCATTCGTGGCGTACCGAGTGTAGAGGTGTTGGAGACAGGCCGGTCTAGGGAGTCCTCCGGTCCAGCAAGAACAAAGCATAGCTCTCACCGCGTGAACCCCCTTTCCCGCAGAGAAGTCGGACTTACGGAGTGGAGAGACACAACCGACCAGGGCCACACCTCGCTGACGAGTCGCAGAGAACTCCAGAAGCGCATAAAGGCCAATGAAAAAAAGGCCAAAGAAAAAGAGGCCAAAGAAAGGAAGGTTAGAGAAAAAGAGGCCAAAGAAAGGGAGGCCAAAGAACAGGACGCAGAAGAAACGAAGAATGAAGATACAGAGAACAAGACAGGAATTAAGTGGACATTCAACCCTTTGTACGTCTTTTCCTCCCTTGTCATTTTGCAATCGCTAATATTCTTCTGTTCTGCAGTGGTAGAACCTTGAAGGACATGCTCAAGGTTTCGCCGCCAGAGCCCGACAGCGCTAATGACCTTGTTAACTCCTTGATCAGAGTCAGACTCGCCTCCCCCGGGGATATGGGTGACCCAGCCTCGGCATCCAGCGGAATCTCTACACCTTCGTCGGGTTGAAATATACTTACTGCTGGTGACATACCCGCATTCTTCATAATCCATCACTGCTCCAGGCACGCCGGCATGTCTATCCTCATGTCGAAGCGACGACATACGGGAATTTTTCGCGTTAATCTGCCGGGCGTTTCGAGCTTCAGCGATCTCCAAAATGCTGGATCTACGCCAGCTAACCTGCGACACACTTCGGCCGTATCCTAATATATCAGCGATACATGTTGCCTTTTAGATCGTCAAGATCCTTGGGTTTGCCTGAACTGGTAGGGTTCTTCCTTCGCTGTGGTTTACGGATCATCGGGATCTTAGAACATATTCCGTTTCGTGCTCGTCACGAACCCGAATGTGTTGATGACAAGACTTTATCATATTCCTAGAAAGTCACCACCACTATTCCCCAGCTCTTCACTGTCAGCATTGTAGGGGCACTCCGATCCATCATTGGGACCTATGGATCGTCGGGGTCATACCCATCCCCAGCCCGTCACAAACAACAGTTCATCGATGACGAGATCAATCACAATAGAGTCACTACTTACGACTGTTTCCCAACCTATTGGTTGTCAGCATTTGGTGCCTTCATATCAGGCACTTCTGGGACGATATACCATGCACCGGCCTATACCATTATACCACCTACCGGCCTATACCACACCGTCCCACAGACCCCACCGGCCTGCACCAAGCACGGTCATAAAAAACTCACCGTCTTATACCTTGCACCAAGCACGGCCATATACCACGCACTGCTTCATACCCTCCTAGACACTGCATACCACACGTCTCCACCGTACCTACAGCATTGATCTGTAAATTTGGTCTGCATCTCAAATAGACTCAGAGGTTCCCGCGTTACCCATGCGGCGTTCTGAATTGGAGTATCCACAGTTCAACAAATGACCATAGCTCGCTCTTACAGACATAGGCATCCAGGGGCGAGCTCGCCTGTGTAAATACTCGCGGCCATAAGCATTGGTCTGAGACGCCTCGTCACCTTGCGGTCAGTCCGCACCCGCCATGGCACCGGGCAGGCGAGGCAAGAATGAAGGAACAGACGCCGGATGGTTTGAATACAGCAGGTACCTGGTATAGTCAGACTTTCATTGCAGAACTCAGACACGGATATCCGAGGCACGAAGGTTGAAGCAGAGTGGCTACAACTGCCTTTGGGAGACTACACTGGAGTACTTGTGCCGGGTCGCAGTCGCTCCTTCAGCTGGAGGCATGCTCGTTGAACGCCGAGCGCTCGCTGAATGCTCGGCGGCCCGCCCCCGCCGGGGAAAAGCTGGGACTACTGTAAGTATGCCACGCGAGATGGCAGCGTTAGCGACGTCGGACAAAGCAAGCGGACCAAGAAGAAAGCGGACAATGCAAGCTGAAGCGCTGATCCCTTTGAGCCTCCTGGCATTAAGGTGCGTTAACGTCTTCGATATGACCTGGGGGTGTCTGTGCAGATCGGAGGGGCTGCAGATGCTGACTCCATCGGGGCCATTCCACCTTGACCGGAAGATCTATTTCTCGATGTCCGATTTTTACCCAGGCACTGTAAGTATTTGCCTGTGTGACTTGCGTGTCGCGGAGTATTGACATGGTAGTGACGGTGGAACCCTGCTTGGAGTGCGTCCACCATGTGTATAGTTTCAGTGTTTCTTCATTGTCAATAGATCACCGATTTTCCCAACAGATTAACTGGATTGTTGTCATTCATGCTCTCAGATGAGATGACAACTGGGTCCGTTGGCACTTCGTCGGATTCCGAGAAGCGCCACTAGGCTGCACGGAGCTATTTATGGAATATCACAGAAGAAGTTCAAGGAGGCATTTACTGAGGTGAGTAGCGTAAAGTTGTCCTTTGTCCAGCTATCCTATTAATGGCCTTCAGCGTAACATGGTTGTTGCGCGAAATCCTTGATTTGCGCGGTGCTCACCTAAAATTTGTAGTACCTGGTGCAACTTAATAGGCTCTTCCGGATATGTGCGAGAAAGAACGTGGAGCAAGTTCAAAACCTGTTCCCAATTCTACGCCTTCTGTCGCGCCATTCGCATTTTCAACAGCTACTCCACCACAAGGGGGCACGTCCTTCCGAGCACCGCATCCCGGTCATCCAATAGCGGCGCAGTGATTCCTACTGGTTCGAGCGGCGCCGTTGGCGACACCGCGAAGTCAATTGGATGGACAATAGCGCGGCGGCAACTGATTGGGACAAGTGGAGGTGGGGAGTCATCCCTTGGCTGTTTCTCGCATGTCATCCACGTACCTCGGACACTATAATCCGACTACGCAATTGTACGATAGATCTGAGCAGGTGGGTATTACTTCGTGTGCCGGTATCAAATGAGACTTCACGCTACAGGCATTATCGATATTTAACGCTACATATATGCCGAGCCAAAACTGTTATAAGTACAACTCCGGGTTTCGCCGTTTATCCTCCTGCAAATGGTCCCATAGTCTACGCAGAGGCAGTTCTGTTCCATAAGAAAATGGTTTCACAAATTCCCAGACTGCTTGCGCAACCTCCTCCGTTGATGCATCCGCATCAACGGTGATCCACGTCCCTTCTGCTTCCTTGACCTCCGCGCCGATGCGATCGAACACTGCGCACACCTGCGCCTGCACGTCCTCCGTTTCGTAGCGTTCCTTCCCGTACCCGCCGCGCGCCGCTGCGGCTGCAGGGGAGACATTGAGGAAGAGTGTGGCGTCTGGGGCAGGAAGATATACGTCTGAAGCACGGCACCACTCGTATGAGAGCCCCTCGCGCGCCTTCGCCGCAGAAAACGCGATTCCAGAGAAGGCAAAACGGTCACATATGACGGTCGTGCCCGCGCACAGTGCATTTTCAATGGAAGATCTATAGGGAGGAAAGTGGGGTCAGCAGTAGGCGTCTTCGATACAGATTGTCGAGGACAAACACACGCAAGCTCCCAGCGATTCGCGGAGAAGAGTAAGTGGATTGCGTAGTCATCGAGCTCGGCCTGCGAGCGAAGATATGCGTCGATCATTTTCCCGATGGGAGTCGAACGGTCTGCAGTAAAGAAGACATGCAGATTCACTGCTGATGCATGATGATAACACTGACCAGGAAATTTTATGAGCTTAGTGTCAACACCTGTGCGTTGTAACCGCTCGGCAAGTAAAACAGTCTGTGTGCTCTTGCCTGACCTGTCGAGGCCCTCTATCGCGATGAATGTGTCGCGTCTCTGGCGTTCCGACATGGTGCATCAGACTGAATCGCAGGCTTCTGTAAATTCTGCGTCCTGGTGGTAAAGTGAAGCACTGAACAGCTGTTAATTTGAATAATTTGAATAATATTATTATCATGCGCGTTCGTCACGGTGGCACAGCTGCACTGATAAGATAAGATCACTCAGTTACGTTTACGTAAAGCAAGTGCCAAATTTTCGGCTTCAGCTTCAAGTTGTTTTCTACTGCCAACGTCACGGCTGAGTCCACTTTCACCTCCGAATTGTTGAAAGGACATACTCATAGCAATGACAGTGGAGGATATTCATGACCCACTCACGATAAACCTCAAGAAGCAGACAGCTCGTTTACGCGAACGAATTTTATTTGACCAACCTTCCAGCCCCACGGAGCTGTTGCACATATTATCTCGTCTGCTTTATACTCCTGAATATACCACCACTGTAGCAGACATATTCCGACCGCTGCTACTTGATTTGTGCGCAAGGTGGCTCCTCGACGATGGCAACTCCGAAGACAAGTTTGAAGCGTTGTGTCTATTGTTGGAGGCACACCCGGAGCTGTATCCGTGAGTACGTACTTCAATTCTGTAGCTATTCACTGATTCGTTGTGCGCAGAGTATTTTCCGTATTTCTTCGTCGAAATAGTCTTGTAGATGGACCCTTGGTATTCGTCGCTCAGTCAGAGGATGTCGCGTCGCTCGACGCGCATATGCTGCATCGTATACTCCTTGGATATTACCGCATCCTACGAGCAAATAGAGACCTTCCACGAAGCCTCTTATGGTCACTATCTCCCCTTTCTAAACTTATCTGGACGCCCCACCCGGACACAGGTGTTCGGTTTCTTGCAATTCAGTGCTACGCCGTGCAGTCCGGCATGATGGAGGGTGAGCGTGTCAAGTTGGAACAGGAGGTCATTGGCAGTGTCTCCGAAGTGGACTGTCCTATCGGATATGGGAAGAGCATCGACGGTTCACCGAGAGCAATAGATGGTTGGCTGTTGCCCGTGTACGAGACCAAAAGGGTGGCAGACGCAAGGAATGCCCACCTACAGCAGCAAGATTATTTTTCACTAAATGAAAACGACTCACAAGTGCCTATTCATCCCGCCGAGTTGAGGTGAGTCATATCTACTCTGACGTTATCTTAGTGCTGAAGTTTCCTCAAGTCCTCTCACCGTAAATGTCCACGGAATCCTCATGCTCCGTTCATCTGCTCCTACCACTCAGCAAATGACACTAATTGAAACACCGACAGCCTCACAAGCATTGCGTAGGCTGGCCGTGCACCATTCTCTCCGCGTTCCGACTTTGCTTACTTCTGCTCCTTCTGCGGGAAAATCACTCCTCTTGTCACACATCGCTGCGCTGCTCCGCCCTGAAGTCCTTAATCCCATTGTGGTGATTCAGCTTGCTGATACGTCTCTTGATGCGCGCTCGCTGCTGGGTTCCTACGTCTCTTCTCCAACTCGCCCCGGCACTTTCGAATGGAAAGAAGGCGTACTGGTGCGTGTGATGCGCCAAGGCAAGTGGGTCGTCTTTGAAGATATTGATCGCGCATCGCTGGAAGTCCTCGGCTTAATCAAACCCCTGGTCGAGTCGCTCGGGCTGGACAAATGGATTGGCGGGCGTGCTGTCCTGAACGTCCCTAACAGAGGGCCAGTGGAAGCGGAAGACGGATTTGCGATTTATGCCACGCGATCTGTTGCGCCTTCCAGGGATGGTTCCTTTCCCAACCCTACCTTCTACGGTGCCCACAAGTACCATGAGATGGTCGTTCCGTCGCCGACTCTAGGCGATTTACGGATGATTGTTAACTCGAAGTTCCAGAGGCTATCGGGTGCCGTTGCGAGGCTCCTGATTGCCTTGTGGGAGGCTGTCGTTGCCCTAGGTAAGGCTACCCCGACTCGCAGCATCGGTTTGCGCGAACTGCTGAAGCTATGTATCCGAGTTGACAAACTCATTCCGCCATCACACCAATCCATGGATGTCGATGTGGATTCTGGCCAAACTCTCACGCTGTCGGATATCTTCCCGAACCCCACCTTTCGGGAAGACATGTACCTCGAGGCGCGCGACGTGTTTTTTGGCTCAGGCGCTACCACTGCATCTGCACGCGCTCATCTGGATGCTGTTGCTGCCGTTGCTGCGGAACATCTTGGGCTATCGCCGGAGAGACGAGACTGGATATTGCAAAGCCGCACCCCCGAGTTTGAAGTGGAGAAGGACGTCAATGGCAAGACTATCGCAGTGCGCATCGGACGGACGCGCCTGCGTGCATACAAGGCCTCTAGCGAGATCACACCCGCTATCGCTCGGCCGTTTGCGATGCATAGGCCTGCGATAATGCTGCTCTCACGCATTTCTACGGCTGTGTCCCTCAACGAGCCGGTTCTTCTTACGGGTGAGACAGGAACGGGGAAAACGAGTACGGTTTCCCGTCTTGCCTCTCTCCTTCGCCAGCCGCTTGTCTCTTTGAACCTCTCGAACCAGACTGAATCGTCTGATCTCCTGGGTGGGTTCAAACCCGTCGATGCGCGTGTGCCTGGATCAGAGCTACAGGCACGATTCCTAGAGCTCTTTGGCGGCACATTCAGCAAGAAGAAGAATGCGAAGTTCGAGGAGTCCGTCAGGAAAGCTGTTCAAGAGAGCAAATGGAAGAGAGCCGTAGGACTTTGGACGGAGGCGGTCAAGTTGGCGAAGGCCAAGATACAAACGAGAATAGCGGAAGAGGAAAGGTATGTTCATCTTTGCGATCGTCCCTCGTACATTTGACTCACGACCTTTAGTGCGGAACACAGCAGAGCAGCAGGGGAGGCACCACGCAAACGACGGAAAGTTAATGAGTCAAATCTCAGCACTTCGGAAGCTCAGTGGAGTAGTTTCGAACGCGACGTTCAGGCCTTCGAGGTACAACATGTGCAGAGCAAGAGCAAATTCGCATTTTCCTTCGTTGAAGGACCGTTGGTTAAGGCATTACGTTCTGGCCACTGGTACGCTCCGTTCGAATTGCCGTGGTCTTGGAGGTGCTGATGTATAGTCCTCAAAAATTTCAGGATCTTGCTCGACGAAATAAATCTTGCAAGCGCTGAGACGCTTGAGTGCATCTCGAGCCTTCTACATGGTCCAACTGCATCCGTAACGTTGACAGAGCAGGGCTCCTTAGAGCCTGTCCTTCGACATCCCGATTTTCGCTTGTTTGCATGTATGAACCCGGCGACGGATGTTGGCAAGAAGGATCTTCCTCCGAACATACGATCAGCATTCACTGAGATCGATGTCTCACCTCCTGATGCCGATAAGGAGACCTTGCTCAGTATAATTACGCAGTACATCGGATCGTGCACGGTGGGCGATAAAGGCGCGATCATGGACATCGCAGAGTTCTACACTGCTGTCAAACAGTTAGCGGAAGATCGTCAGATTGCGGACGGCACCAATCACAGGCCACACTACAGCATGCGCACTCTGGCTCGTGCTCTCACCTTCACTGCCGATATGGCCAGCATGTATTCCTTGAGACGGGCGCTGTGGGAGGGGTGCCTGATGACATTTACGATGGTCTTGGATACTCCGAGCGCTGCTGCTGTTACTATTCTAGCGCGAAAGCATGTTCTCGCCGGTGTGCGCAACGCGGGTTCGCTCTTGTCCCAAGAGCCTCCTGCACCGAAGCCTGGGGATGCGTTCATCAAATTCGGTCCTTTCTGGCTAGAGCGTGGTCCGCTCCTGCAGGATCCAGTCGATGACTACATAATGACACCTTCGGTGGAAGTGAAGGTTATAAATCTAGCTCGAGTCATCGCAGCGAAGCGGTTCCCATTATTAATAGAAGGGCCAACATCTAGTGGAAAGACCAGCTCCATCGAGTATCTTGCCAAACGGACCGGCCATCGTTTTGTTCGCATCAACAATCACGAGCATACCGATATTCAAGAATACCTAGGAACGTATGTTTCGGATGCAGTAACGGGGAAGTTAGTGTTCAAGGATGGGTTGCTGGTGCGTGCCCTGCGCAATGGCGACTGGATAGTGTTGGACGAACTCAATCTTGCTCCGACGGATGTTCTCGAGGCCCTCAATCGCCTGCTTGACGACAATCGCGAACTTGTGATACCGGAAACGCACGAGGTAGTAAGGCCACATCCGCATTTCATGCTATTCGCTACGCAGAACCCTCCTGGACTATATGCAGGACGGAAAGTACTATCTCGTGCATTTCGAAACAGATTCCTCGAGATTCACTTCGAAGATGTGCCACAGGCCGAGTTGGAGACTATTCTCTGTCAGCGTTGTCGCATCGCCCCGTCATACGGACAGCGAATTGTGGCTGTCTTTCGCGAGCTGCAGAAGAGACGCCAGTCAAGTCGGGTTTTCGAGAGTAAACACGGCTTTGCCACGCTTCGAGATTTGTTTCGATGGGCTGGAAGAGACGCGTTGGACTATGACGAGTTGGCAGCAAACGGTTATATGCTTCTCGCAGAACGCGCCCGTCGAGAAGACGACAAGGCAATTGTGAAGGAAGTCATTGAAACCATCATGAAAGTCCACATCGATGAGCGAAGTCTCTATGACTTCCACCAGCCACACCGTGACCTCCCAGTGTTCCTTGGATGTCCTCTTCCTCCGCCAGGTCAAGTGGTATGGACGTCGGCAATGCAGCGTCTTTTTGTCCTCGTTTCTCGGGCTTTGCGGTTCAATGAACCTGTTCTACTCGTTGGAGAGACCGGTTGCGGGAAGACATCTGTATGTCAGCTGTACGCCGAGACAGTCTCGCAGACACTACGGACCGTTAACTGCCACCAGAACACCGAAACTGCGGATCTGATTGGTGGATTGCGTCCGGTCCGCAACAGGGCGGCATTGGAAAGCGAGACGGTCCGTGAGACAGTATCGATACTCGAGCGATACGGGATTGCAAATGCGGAAACAAATATCCAGACACTGATTACCACCGTCGATCGGATTGTCAAGTCCAATGCTCACCATGCCGCAGAATTGAGCTCTTTGCAGGAAGTTCTTGCGAAGCTACAACGTCTGTTGGCGATGTTCCAATGGCGCGACGGCCCCCTTGTTGAATCGATGCGGAATGGCGACGTATTTCTCCTGGATGAAATCTCACTGGCGGATGATTCCGTTCTGGAACGTCTTAATAGTGTGCTTGAGCCTGAACGTACCATCGTTCTTGCGGAACGCGGCGGCGACACACTTGAGTTGCCTTGTACTAAGGCAGCGGATAACTTCAAACTTGTGGCTACCATGAATCCAGGTGGCGATTACGGCAAGAAGGAGCTGTCGCCGGCACTGCGGAACAGGTTCACGGAGATTTGGGTACCATCTGTCACGGATCGAAATGATCTCGAGTGTATTGTCGACAGCCTATGGCGACATGCGCCCTTGAGAGACTACACGGGACCCGTTTTGGACTTTGTGGAGTGGCTCTGCGCCCAGGCTAATGATCGCTCTATCCTCAGCCTGCGCGATGTTCTGGTACGTATCTATTGTTCACATTAGTATCGAATTTTATAACCTGTTTTACATCGCAGGCGTGGGTCAATTTCTCGAACGCCACGTATCATTCCTATGGACAAGAGTGTATGCCCCCTAACGAGCTCTTTGTAAGTGATTAATCGACGCCTCTAGCATGTGATTACTCATATGATCTATAGCACCACGCAGCGAACATGACGTTCCTCGATGGTCTGGGTTCCATGCCTCAGTTCAACTCATACTCACGGAACGCGTTAGAATTGCTCCGGAGGAGGGCGATAGAGAAAGTACAAGACTTGGCGCCGCTTACGGATTCTGCAGAGTATACACCTTCGTTCGATTCCGCGCTTCGTGTGCAGCTTGGATCCTTTTCCATCCCTCGAGGACCGAAGGATCCTACTCCTCAGCAATTCAGCCTCCAAGCTCCAACTACCCGCAGTAATGTTCTACGCGTAGTGAGAGCATGCCAATTACCGAAGCCTATCCTGTTGGAAGGAAGCCCCGGAGTTGGTAAAACAAGTCTAATCGCTGCTTTAGCAAACATCTGCGGATACAATCTGTGTAGGATTAACTTGTCAGATCAGACCGACCTTGTCGATCTGTTCGGCTCAGATCTTCCGGTTGAAGGCGCAGAAGCAGGGCAGTTTACTTGGAAGGATGCAGAATTCCTTCGAGCGTTGCAGCAGGGACATTGGGTACTACTCGACGAAATGAACTTAGCCCCGCAAGCTATCCTTGAAGGTCTAAACGCAGTGTTGGACCATCGAGGGACTGTCTACATTCCCGAGCTCGGGCGTTCATTCACTCGGCATCCCTCTTTCCGAATCTTTGCTGCGCAGAATCCATTACATGAAGGTGGTGGTCGTAAAGGCCTGCCTAAATCATTCCTGAACCGCTTCACGAAGGTCTATGTGCAAGAGCTTAATCCACAGGATTTACTACTAATTTGCCAGAAGTTGTTCCCGCACTGCCCTGTGGAACAACTGGAAGGATTAATTGCTTATACCTGCCGTCTCAACGAGGAGGTCGTTCTCAAGCGATCCTTTGCTAGAGAAGGTGCACCATGGGAGTTCAACTTGCGCGATGTGATTCGTTGGGGTACATTACTACGGCATTCAACCACGAGAAATTATGCGGCCCAGTATCTCCCTACCATTTTCCTACAGCGCTTCAGGTCTGATTCTGACAGGGAGCAAGCACGATCGCTTTTCGACAATATCTTCTCTGATACACCCAGGAAAGACGCAACGAGGTTATCCATTTCACCATCATTCCTCCAGGTGGGACAGTTCTTCGCATCTCGACAAGGTGTCTCTCGTGGTCGTCGCCCAGGTCGGATACTCCAAACGCATCTGACTGCCTTCGAGTCCGTGGGGATTTGCCTGGAGAATAGCTGGTTGACGATTCTTACCGGACTGCGCGACAGTGGTAAGACAGCCTTGGTGCGACTGGTAGCTAATATGTGTGGCAGGGACCTTCAAGAGATATCCATCAATAATGCATCCGACACGACCGACATTCTAGGCAGCTTCGAGGAGGTCGATAGCAATTACCGTGCAACTGCCATCGTGAACGATATTATCTCCCTGTTGGATCAAGTATCCAGCTCATCTAGTGGGTCCAAACTTCACGTGTTTGCTGACTACAGTGCTTTGAAGAGGGCGACACGAGATCGCCGGATGGTGCACGCCTTTCCAGAAGTAGCCAATCTCGCATGCTCCCTTCTAGACAGGCTTGAAGACTTACCTGAGCCGTGGTGTACTCAGCGACGAATACTTCGGGCGGACCTGAAGGCGATATCGCATGGCGGCTCCGGAAGGCTGGAATGGGTTGACGGCCCTCTCGTCCATGCTTTGAGAGACGGTCACTGGCTTTTGCTCGACGGAGCAAACCTGTGCAGTCCTTCGGTTCTAGATCGTCTGAATTCCCTCTGCGAGGCTAATGGTACTCTCACATTGAACGAGAGGGGTCAAGTGGACGGCCAAGTGCAAGTTATAAAACCCCATCCGAATTTCAGGTTGTTCATGTGCGTCGAGCCCCAGTACGGGGAATTATCCAGAGCCATGCGCAACCGAGGAATTGAAATCGCCCTTCTGAACACTTGGACCGAAGAGGACCGCATACGCATCATGGACCACCTACGCCTTCCTGTCGTGTTTTCTGTGTTCTACCCCGACGTCAAAAAATCTTCGATCCAGTATGAGCTATTACGGAGAGGAGCAATCACAGCTCCAGCGGCATCTGCTCAACTCCTTGATTCTAGATGGCCTGCCCGCGGACTCTCCAGTAATGACAGCGCTGTTTCCCTGTTAATCGATCTGGCTCCTTCGCTGCAACTATCTTCGTCCATGTCGGTACTGGATTGTCATGCTGCGGCGAATTTTATTAGCAGAAACCTGGTACCAGCTTATCTGCCCTATGTCTCACGCTTCCTCCATGCAAGCTTCGCTTCCATGAATCCTCTTCTTCAAACAATATTGCATAGCTTCTCTCAATCTCAATTACTCGGAAAGATTTTGAACCAGAGAGGAAGGTTGCATCGTTTAGGATTACCGTACGAATTTCTTGCTGTACAGGTTAGTGATACCATATTAGTCAATCGAAACTTCGTCATCACCCGTTTTCGCGATGAGTACTAAACATGAAATACGTTCAGCCGATACCCTTCGAAGCGAAGTCACTGCCTCGTGCACTATACAAGAGTGAGATGGCCAAGATCCCGTTTGATGCAATTCCCCGTGCATTACGTGTGGTCATTGCCCTGCACTTTGAGAAAGAACGTGCGAAGAAGAGGTCAGCCGAACAGAGCGCAGAAACCGGACGAGCATCGAGACGACCCATCGAGAATGTCGGAAGAACACGCGCAGCAGAAGAGGCCAGATTGTTGTTGCAAGCTGTTCGTATCGCGACTCAGGACGTACTCCAATCTTTCTATGACGAAAGCGAGCCAACTGTACAGGTGAGTCTGCGAATTGGTTGATGGATTGTACGCCAAGTCAGTAGTGCTAACTTTCCAATAGGCCGTCTTGGATCTCACTTTGAAATTGCTTTATTACTCTCGCCATTTAGCAACAGCTTTGCTGGATACATCATTCAATTATTCCGTTGTTCAAGTCGTTGTCCGGTGGTTCATCGATGCACTGACTCTCCATTATCATCACTTTGCACAGGTCGAGGCACAAGCGAATGCCCTAGCGGATGCGGTGGCACTTACCTCTGGTAGCGGTTTGACAGAGATATGGACTACGTTGACGAGCAACAGTATGAACGAAGGTCGTATGGCCAGAGTGTTTGATGCGGAAAAGTTGATGGACAAACTGTTGGATCCAACTTCGCTCGGTGTGATGACAAGTTGTCTTCAAAAATGCTGCTATGCTGATATGTTTTCCAGAGCGTCGGTCACAGATGCTTCAAGTTGCCGCAATCTGGTGTAATTCAGGCGTTGCATCCAATGCTGAACAACGCGATGCGATCCGGCTGGCAGAACGATTGGAGAAGGTGATTCTTGTTATCGTATTGGATGAACGCATGCTAAAGGACAGATAGTGGTTTTCGATATCCCCGGGCAGTGTAGTTGAACCCAACGGCGCCGAGGTCACTCAGGTTGGGTTGACGTTCCTCACGAGTGAACTTTCCGCGTTGCAACGTGTTCTATGTCGCGAACCTCTAAACGGCGATTTAGTTGAGGTGTGTACATTTTATCGTTTTCGAGTGCCTTGTTTGAACGCGATCCAGAAACGCCGCAAATCCTTGAACGAGTTGTTGGATCTCGGCCTCCAGAGCCTCAATACGCCTCTGTCGCACCTCCTACCGTATCAATATCTTCTCTGGGCAACGGACGATCGAACACGTATGTCTCACCGTATGACCCATGTGTGCGAAACAGTCCTGATCGATTCTTCCGCAGCTGAGGTGCATCTGTCATTTGTTGCTATGGCGCACAAACAATGGCTGCACGAGATTTGGAATATATCTTCAGATCTCAAGGTCTGTGATAATTATACTTCCTTCGATTGGCGTGTTGAAAGATCTTGCAGGTCGACGGACCATCTCACTTGTTCATCCCAATTGAGTTACATGGCACGCTTTGTGACTGGTAAGTAGATTTCTTTGCAATAAATGAATGCATCACCTTACAACTGATACAGTGACTCAAACCACAAGTCATTGCAATCGCTTGCGCCTTACGAGCGAGCACTATTACTACGGTTAAGGCTTTTCTCGACCGATCTCACCGACCCCTCGGCAACTCGAGCGAGCCAAGTGACGATGCTGCTCGTACAGACCATCACAATGGTATGTGGAGAACGTTTCAGTGAATGTATCGCTGATGCTGAGTCTTCGATAGATCTGTTACTGCTTTCCAGAAGCAGGTGGTGGAAATGAACAGCACGCTTCTTGTGCATTTCACCAGCCGATCTCAACTCTTCTTACGATACTGGATGAGAGCACGCATCTGGGATTCAAGAACGCATACAGAAAACATCTCCGTCCTGTCTTCCTTCGGATGTCTGGTTCCCATGACGCGCCGTCTATCTCATTATCCGATTTAGGTCGATGTTGGATTGCTCTGTCCGAATTCCTTGTGGAATTGTATGTGCCCAGTTCACCCATAGACCCTGCTGCCCTTCGACGCTGCCGGCATGACTTCTGGGAGGACCAGTTCGCAATGTTTTCTTTCGAGAAAGAAATGTATACGCAGTACGAGGCACGCGTAATCAAACAGCCGACAGGGGCAGCAGAGATATATCTGGATTCACTGTTGCTGGAAGCAGAGAAGAACCGCGTAGAAGATTTCTCGGAGGGCCATGTGGTTAGGCGCAACGTCACCCGTCTACACGCCTACTGGGCAGAGGTCTCTCAATTCTTGTCGCATGTGATCCCTCCTGCCAAGGTGGACGCAATTGTTCTGGCTTTGATGACTAGAAGTTCTCATGCTTTGGCCAGAGAACAAGTTGTTCAGGAATCTCTCACATCCTTCTCTCAACGTCTCACCACAGCGTATCCGGATTACACGGATGTCAGCGGACCATTACAACTTGCTCTCCTTTCAATGAAGCTTGGCTTGCGTCTAGTCTTAGACGATCTTACACATTCTGACGGCGACGTTGATGATGCCCACCACGTCAATGCCCTCGTTGCTTTCCCTTCAGTGCAGAGCGCAAAATTACTGCGCGAAAGTTCTGGAGTGTCTCACAACTCTGCGCTTGGTCCGCTGTTGGCGAATTTCGCAGGAGTCACTCTAGAAGTTTCATTGGGAGTCGATCTGCAGACTCACATGCAGGTCATAGAGACAATTTACGAACAGGCTTTTGGCCTGTGGCTCATCGATCGAGCTAGGAACGAAGATAAGGACCGCGAAGCTCAGTCTCTTTATCGCAAGCCTGGGAACAGTGCTGTCACAGAGGCCGAGATGGAAGAACAGGACTTCTTGGAGATATTCCCTGATTTTGAAAATGCCTTGGAGCAGGAGGTATCATCCGATCCATCGATTGAAGAGAAGAAAAGCCCACTCCTTGATGAAGCCCAAGTCACGAGCCTTTATCGTCTTCATGAACTGCTTCTTGACCTTTCGTTGTCTCACCGATCCGTAGCAGACGTTGCCTCGCATTTCATCCGAATTCGAAGGTCTCTAGTGGCTTCCATGCTTCATGTCGGGATAGCGTCCCTGCCGGAAAGTCTAGACCAGCGAAGTCGTCCATTCCAGATAGCCCTATTGCACGACCGGCTGTCGGAGCTGCGTACTAAATCTCATGCAAAGGAAAAGCCCTATGACTTTTATCTCGACAGTAACATTCCTGAAATTCAGAAAGCCTTCCGAGTGTTGGAAGCTTTGCGTACCCGACTCGATTTGCTCATTCAGGAATGGCCCGATCAGATGGTCCTGCGACATTTACAGACTCGTTGCGACAGCATCATGAGCCTGAGTCTCACTAATCCTGTTGCAAAGATCCTGACCGCATTGGAGCAGCTCCTGCTACATACCGAGGACTGGGAGAAGTACAGCAACCGGGATAACAGCCTAAAGGCACACCGGCAGATCTTAACGGAGCTCATCGTGGACTGGCGACGTCTAGAGTTGGCTTGTTGGCAGGACTTGTTGCGAACTCAAGCACTCTCTTTTTCAAATGGAGCGTTTGAGTGGTGGTTCCATCTGTATGAAGCTGTTGTTCAGGGCGTCATCACTGCAGCTCATGAAGAAGAAGAAGAAGCATCTGATCGATCGACCGATTATTTCGACAAGCTTGTTCCTCTATTAGACGACTATGTCACCCGCAGTCCGATTGGCCAATTCGAGGCCCGCTTGCAGCTACTCTCCACCTTCGAGGTGTACATTGATAATATTATCCCTACGAAGGCAATTCGGGCGTTAAAGGCTCTTCGACGCGTCCAATGCATCTTGCAATCCACTATCTCCTACTACAGTCAATATTCAGGCAACATTTCGACAGCTCTGAAAGTTCAACGAGACAAGTTGGAGAAAGACATGCGAAACGATATCAAACTTGCTAGTTGGAAAGACGTCAATGTCCACGCGTTGAAACAAAGTGCTCAGCGGACACATAGACAATTGTACAAGTGTATCCGAAAATTCCGTGATGTGCTTCGCCAGCCTGTCAGCGAATATATGCAACCGGCCTCTCAGGAACTCGGGGCGTCGCATTCGCCCTCTGTGAAGCATGGATTTTCTACTGTTTTGCAGAGACCAAGTGTTTCGATCCACGCCTTTCCCTCTGCTTCAGATCTCCCTCAGCATCTGGCGAACCTGGACAGAACATTCAGCAATTTCGAGATGTTGGTGACTGGTCGTGTCAACTCTCTCATCGGGTCATACTCTCCTATTGCTATGGACGGCCTCGCTACCGATATCATCACGGTCTCAAAGTCTCTAGCAAAGCTGTCGGTCCCAGCTAATCTGGCGCCGGCGCAACGCGAGAAACTGTCGAAGTCCTTCATGCTACGAAAACGGAAAGCCTGGAGCGACCTGCTAAAGGAGCTGAAACGTGTGGGTTTTGCATCAAACATGAGGCCGCGCGTTTTGGAACAACAAGCAAGTCTACGTTGGCTCAGAGAACAGCCGCAGATGACGTCGTACACACACCCACTATCATCGGCGGAGAAGGGAGAAGAATACTTGAACCGCCTGGTGAGCACATTCCCAGTTTTGAGGATGCTCCTTTCTAGCCATCACGAAGACGTATCAACTCGAGAATTGCAACGAGGAATATTGTTGCTCGAATCGGGTTTCGAGTTTGCATTGGGTAGTCGATCATGGTATGTTACGCATGACATAACCAGACTCGATCTTACATCAGTACAGCGTCAGCAATACGCTTCACGCGTATAAGGAACTCAAGAACGTGGTATCGCGCTGCCACATGTTGCTATCCTCCAAAGTGGTCTCGTCTGGTTCCGAAATGATGTCCCGTATCACGAACGTAAAGGATACAACGTGTAAATTGACTCATGCTCTAAATGAGACACTAGGTCATTTGCGGGACTACGAGATTCACCAGCCTGGTACAGTCATCCCTTCGGTGGTTCTTCAGGAGATCGAAGAATCGTCGAACACTTCCAGGGACTTTTCACGTGTGTTGGGCACAATCGTTCAGCATATGCGCTTAACAGAATGTCCGGTGCTACTAGAAGGTACGGATTCATCATGTGCTTCGGTCATTTCACATTCAATCGTCGCCCAATAGGTGAACGTGCTGTCTTATCTCAAGCGATGGATCATATCACTTCGACCATGGACATGCTTCACAGATGGTCTGAATGTGGACACCCCGTTGACTATTTCGTAGTGCCCGTCGTCGAATGGTTAGAAGGATGCCAACTTCTGCCCACTCCTGAGGCAACTCAACGACACACTACCGACAGCACTGGATCATTAATAACTACTCTTCTTGTCAACATTCAAGCAGTCTTGTCTCTTCCTCTGAATACCTCTCTTGAACCTCCATCAGATTGCAGGGAACATTTCATTCGAGAAGAGCACCGTGCTCTCATTCAGATCACCCGCTTACTTGGACTCGAAGACGTGTTGGAACAAACTACTACAATTTTTGGGGAACTCCTTGCATGCCCTCCAGATGAGCAACGGGAGAGAATATCCCGCATACTCCCATTCCTGGATCGCTATGTCGAACTGGCTGAAGTCCATCTATCCAACCACTGTGAATGGACTAAGGCCCTCCTCAAACTCGATTACGTTATTTGTTCAGTTATGCGAACGGTTGCCAAGGAAGGTTTCTGCAAACCTCCCGATACGGAAGAAGCTGGGCCAGGCGAGGAAGGAGCTGAGCGAGCCGGTGGAACAGGACTAGGAGAAGGTACCGGCGATGAAAATGTCAGCAAAGAGATTGCAGAGGAAAGTCAAGTCGAGGGCATGCAAGGAGAGGACGGAGATGCAGACAAAAAAGTAGAAAGAGCAGAGGAAGGAAACGCGGTGGAGATGAGTGAAGATTTTGACGGTCAAATGGAGGACGTCCCAGAAAATGAATCTGACCAGGAGCAGGAAGAGCAGGATGATGAGGAGGCTCCGGAAGAGCAGTTGGGCAGTTTGGACGCAACTGATCCGTCCGCCATCGATGAAAAGCTATGGGGAGACGAATCGGGTCCTCGAGATGCGCAGAATCGTTCCAAAGCTGACCAAGACCACTCGACCCGACAACAAAGTTCCGATGTCGTAGCCAAAGACGAACAAGAGAGCATCAAGCCTCCCGCACCACATTCTCCCAAGACAGGTGGTGAGCAACAAATGGAAGGAACAATGGAAGAGACTACAGAGGAAGATGCAGACCAGGAAGACAATGGCGATAATGGGGCACCCATGGATGACTATATTCAAGATGCGAATACTCTGGATTTACCTGAAGACATGAAGCTCGATTCTGCACAGGACGTGCCAGATGCCGACGATGATGATATTAGCATGGATGATGCAGTGGAGGATGCGGAAGATACGCGCGAAGATCTATCCAGTGGTTCTCCGGAAGGGGAAGATGAACCAATAGACGAAGCTGCCGTTCAAGCGCAGGTGGATGACAGTAGTCCTCCAGCAGATACTCGTGAGGATGAAGAAACTGCCGTCGCCCAGCCAGATCTCCATACAGATGCAGGGGACGGGTCAGACAAGGGAGACTCACATGGAGGAGCACGAAGCGAAGGAGCAGCACAGAATGAGACTTGCGATGCCACTAACGGTGGAGCTTCCTCGACTGAAACGTCGAAAGGTGAAATTGGCGCTTCCCCGTACGATGAGACAATAGAAAGCCAGCATACTGTCGAACAGCAGTAAGTGCAAAGCGTTCTTCGTCGTATTACTCAAACTAACCGTGCAGCGCTAGGACGTCCAAAGGCCCGGAGAGCAACGATTGTCCTACAGGGGTGGACGGTAACGCCGATTCCGCTGGCACAAGACAAGGACTCGTCCCCTCTTCTGTATCCGGGCCGCATTCATCATCCAATGCTCGACGTAGCCTTGGTGATGCAATGCGGGAGATCATTCAGCGCTTCGACGAAATCATTGACGCAGAGGACTCATACGATCAGAAGACGGACGAGATGGATGCGTCTAGTGCACCTCAGCTAGAGTATCTGCAGGCCGATGACGACAGTCGTCAGATGCAAGCATTAGGCCCTGCGCGTCAAGAAGAGGTCGCCAAATTGAGTGAACTCAAGTTCACCGATGCCAGTAATCAGACCGAGAACATTGTCTTACCCCCGGAGGGCGAACTTGACGTGCCGAGTGTCCATGAACAGCAGCGCCCACATCCAATGCCTCTGTCAGATCCCCGGCCCGTAGCGGGAGCGGGCGATGGTGTGGAGAGCGCACTTACTCGACATGAGATCCTCTCGCAGCTTTCTAGCGAACATGTCGGGGAAGACAAAGCTGCTGTGCCTAATCTGGAGGTGTCGACGGAACATCATGTACCGGACGATACTTCAGAAAATGTCGAGGTCCGTTTGCGAGCGTGGCAAGCGGAAGGTCAGCCTGATAGCAGCGCCCAGGACATCTGGCGGTGTTATGAGTCCTTGACTCACGATCTATCCTATGCGCTCTGTGAGCAGCTACGTCTTATCTTGGAACCAACCCTGGCGACCCGGCTGAAGGGTGACTATCGCACCGGGAAGCGGCTGAATATGAAGAAAATCATCCCCTACATCGCCAGCGAGTTCACCAAGGACAAGATTTGGTTGCGCCGTACCAGACCTAGCCAACGAGAATACCAAGTCCTCATCGCACTCGATGACTCCAAGTCCATGGCGGAATCACATTCCGTTCATTTGGCATATTCGACACTGGCGCTTGTTTCACGGGCGCTAGGACGTTTGGAAGTGGGCGATATCGCTATAGCCAAGTTCGGAGAGTCGGTGGATATTCTTCACAGCTTTGAAGGCGGACCATTCACAGACCAGGCCGGTGCAAAGATCATGACTGCGTTCCGTTTCGATCAGAAAGCAACTCAGGTCCTATTACTCGTCGAGAACAGCTTGCGGCTACTGCAGGACGCTAGAGAACGGCGGTCCATGATGTCCTCGTCTGCGTCTGACCTCTGGCAATTGGAGATTATCATCTCTGATGGTATTTGCCAAGACCACGAGCGTCTGCGTACCGTGCTGAGAAGAGCGGAGGAACAGCGTGTCATGATCGTCTTCATTATCCTCGACTCACTCCATACCAAGGTCTCTTCCACTGGGCAGGGAGGCAGCGGCAACTCCATCCTGTCCATGAACCAAGTGGCTTACAAGACGGTGAACGGGCGAATGGATTTGCACGTGGAACGGTACTTAGACACCTTCCCGTTTGAATACTACTTGGTGCTCAGGGATGTGGAAGCTTTGCCGGAGGTGTTGTCGGGGACATTGAAGCAGTTTTTCGAGAGGATTTCGGAAGAATGAAGTGTACGAACACGCATCTTGTATATGTACTGAATGTATAATGCCAAGAAATTGAATCAACGAAACCCTGAGAGCAAAGAACTTGGAATCAAGACCTCCGACTTAGAGCGACGGTTGGAAATATTTGACAGCGGAACGAGCCGCGCATGGCAAAAGAAAATAGCTCATAGAACCAGACCATGCGGGTCAAAGTGCTTCAGTATCGCTATGTCGAGAACGTAGGAGGGTGGCAGTGTGACACACGGATGGTCAAGACCAAACCGCTGTACTCCCACCCGTAGAGAAACGCTGATGCGTATCGTCCTCGAATGTTATACTCACCGCCTCAAGTTATTCAGAATCGTCCATAATTTAACCGATAGAAATAACAATAGATTCCGTGAGATCCATCAAGCACCTACTCGACGTTTTAAAGATCGAGACTGTAACTCTGCAGGAAGAACCTGCACAACCTAAGAAACAGAGTCAGCGAAATACCTCAGAATGTAGGACCAGCACACCTTGCGTATAGTTTCCTCTCCACCAACTTCCCACCCGCTGTCTGCCACGGGCAACATACAGCTATCCACCAGCCTCGTCGCGAGCTGGCCGATCCCATACTTCTCACCGCTGTATTTCCTCCAGTTGATGATATTATACAGTAGCTTACACTGTCTGGTGAGGAACCGCCGGCGAGCTGGGATCGCCTCCGGGTCGAAGCGAGACTTGCTCAGTGCGAGATAGGAAGGGAGGAAAGACTCCGTGGAAGCGACAGCAGCCTGCAGAACGATGTATACGGATTTCAACAGCAACTGAATGGCATCGTGAGGACGATTTTTTATACGGCAAGACGAATAAGAAGGGTATACTCACCTCGAACTTGAAATTGTCTTTCTCTACAGATGCTTCCACCTGCTCCGCCAAATCTGTTAACTTCCGAAGGTCCTTCGCCGAATATGGATCAAACCCGCCGGCTTCTATCAGCTTGCAGAGTCGAGGTATAACCGCGGTGGATATCATTGCAGAGACAAGGTCTCCATCAGGACCCATCGGACCGATATCAGCTTCCTGGTCCTCACCGGACTGCAGATGCGGATGTGAGTAATGGTATAGCGACTTGTACCATGTGAAGTCATCCAGGGTCCTAGAGTCCTATTCGCGTACGCAGCAAGAATCAGTGATAATAGTTGCAGACGGTTTGTAAATTGCATACCTCCAACGGACTCCATCCAAGCAACTCCAAACGAACCCAGAATTCCCAGGCACCGACCATCCCAAGCCCACCCCAAGCACTGGTATAACTGTCGCTGAATCGCTCACGCCACTCCCCGAACCACTTTCCCAGTCCCCGACTGGGATCTCGGAACTCCTCTGCTTTGACGTCAGACATAATGTCTTTGGTGTCTCGCAGCAATGCCGCGACGGCCGTCTTGTAGTCCGCAGCATCGGACGGCGGGAGCGACGAATCGGTCGAATATCCTTCCTCTTCATTCTGCTGCGCATGGCCGCTCGCACGCCTTAGCATTCGCCGCGACGCACGAGCGTTTCGTCGGTCGCGTCGAGTGACCGTGGGGTTAGCCTGTGGGATGACGCGGCCGAGCTCATCAAGTTCATCTTCCTTCGGTTGTGTCTGGGGCAGAGAGCCAAGAAATACAGAGAGATCGTCCTCGTCTTCCGCTCGCCGGCGCTGAGAGATCATCTCCGCACGTTCTTTCAATAGAGACGCCTGTTCGTCCTGAAGCTTCTCCAATTGTGGGTACTACGCCATGATGAGATTAAACAGATATCAGAATGCGATTGTACACTGACCTTTTCGTCAAGAAACGTCGCAACGCTCTCTACCCACTCTCTGAACGCAGCAAACCAGCTCCTCTTCTCCTCCGCCTTCGCGATCATCTCGCGCATCTCCTTCTCCCGCGCCTCCAGCTGCACCTGCTCCTCTCCGATCGCCGTCATTGACTGTGAGTTTTGCGCGTGGGAAGTTGTCAGCGCCGTCAGAGACTGTGTTAGACGTGCAACAGCGGCTCCCAATGTAGGTATTTCGGTGACAGGTGGTACTGTGACACGGGTCAGTCGCGGAGACCTTTCGCTGAGACACGATACGTACTTGGTGCAGGCTTGTAGATCGGCTTAGGAGCTTTCTCTGCAGTTTCTTCTGCTCGCAGTCCGCCTCGACGCAGCTGCTCCAGCTCCCATTGCATCGTTTCCTCGTCTTCCTCTTCCCTGGGGTCGACTGTGAGATGGCGACACTGAGTACGTAGTACACACGTACGCATCGACGATCATCTCGCTCATCTCTTCCCTCCGCTTCTTCGCCTCAACCTTGCGAGACTTCTTTCCGAGAGCGATCCTCTCTTGTGCACTCGTGAATTCGGAAAACTCTACAAGAGATGAGCGTCACGACGATTGGCGAAAGAAATTAAGGACCTACCATCGTCTGCATCGCCCAACTCGTCTTCTTCTCGTACCAGCCGGCTCTCTGGGTGAGGACCTTGGGAGTAATCGCTCCGCTTCGACACCGACAGCGAGATGTAGTCCTCGTTGCCACTCTTCTCCGCAGTGCGCAGCCGCTCACGCTTCTGCTTGGCAGCGAGGATAGACGACCCGGATAGAATTGCAGTCTCCGAGTCATCGCCTGGAGTAGCACATCAGAGTCAACATCGCATAGGCAAGGGAATATGCATGCCGTTGGGGCGTTACCAGTTATGTCAATTACCACGGACACTGAAGGCTGTTGCTGCAGAGTATCTACGTCCATGGAGACGTCCGCGTCATACATGGAAGTGTCTGCCGGGAGTGGCGGGCGGGAGGTGGGAGTGCTCGCTTTGAGCTCGGAGAGGTATGCGGCATCGTAGACTGGCGTTTTGTTGGAAGACGGAGTTGAGGGTGGTGTAAAAGGCGAGGGAAGGATGTTCCCCGGGGACGCAGAATGCTTGCCCAGAGTCAACTTCCGACTCAACTTCGACTTCTTCACCTGAAACACCTCACCATCCCCCTCCTGTCACTCTCCATCTGAGTAAGTATTCCAAGGATGCTATGCGATGGCTCACCTCTTCGTCGCCACCGAAGCTGAGCCGGGTTTTGGGCTTCGCGCGCAACTTGTTTTTTAGTTTCGTCGCAAGCATGCTAGGAGATTGTTCGGAGCCCGCTGCCCGGTCGCCCTCCTTCTCTTTTTCTCCGACTACTTCTGGAGTTGAGACGCGTCCTCGCTGGGCATGCTTCTTGCTAGAACGCTTAAACACAACCGGCGGCTCGGTCATCGCTGCCAGAGTAACTCTGTGGTACAGATCTGGCGACAGAAAAGCTTTATAGGAGCAGATCAGCTAAAACGCCAGGTAGCAAGGGTCGTAACAGTCGCAGCACCAGCAACAACGGGGACGACGAGCGTCGAGGACGAGCACAACGTTGAGCTCTACGGTGAGGAGGCACGTGATTAGAGAATGTCGATTTCGGGAAAGGAAAGATTCCCACGCCCCACCTTTCCCTTGTGACCGCGACGAGCCGTGATGTCGCGTCCTCGCCCACGCCCGCGACCACGCCCCGTCGTCCATGTCCCTGCCCCCGCACCTGCACCTACTGCCTCTTCGCCCGGCCCATCCACGATCACCTCGCCTCCACTGGAAGGTTCCCCGGTCGATGCTGTCGCCGACGAGGACGAACTGTTCTTCAGGAACCGCACGCGCACGGCGCAAACGTGGAGGAAGCTGGACAAGATCTCCCACGGTACAGGTGCATTCCTAAATCACTTGGTATGTGTTTGCTCATGAGATATGTTCAGAGAAGGAAGCGCATAAACGAATGAGCTCAGATGAGGAAGATGAGGAAGATGATATGCCACATAAACACCGCCGACGGACCACCAAGGACGAAGTCCCGAAGTGGACAAAGATGTCAAAGGACGCGATACTGTGAGTACGCAAGCTACCGAATTCTGTAATGCGTGTTTGACTCTACGTCACCACAGTCTGCTTTCTTCTGACGACGAGGACGACGAGGTCATCCTACGCCGCGTAGAGCAGGCCACTCCCAATGGAAAACGAGACGCTGCACAGGCACAAAAGCGCGTCAATAAGCGGCAGCGTAGTCGGTCTCAGTCTATTACACCTCCTCCTGCGGTGCCTTTGATTGCGATCCAAATTGCCAAGGAGAAAGTGCAGTATGTATCCTGTTCCTACTTCCACGCGAGTGCTACACTTTTTCAAAGACTTTGTGGTATCTACGGGTTTAGTGTGGTGGGCGTTGCGAATGTGCTTCATTGGGTATGGCTATACGTGTGTCCCAACTTATGCCACCTGCCACGCGAAGGCTGTATGGCATCGTCCTGATACATGGTCTTTCTTTGAACTTAGCTAACGTCTTCTTACTAGACAACTTATCGGCGTGGCTCCACGAGCCCCCTCTCCAATCTCCGTTGAAGATGATTCCACCGACACAATTGCCCTGGACCCAGAGTTGGCCTCACTTGCGCGCCAAATGCAAGCCCGGTCGCAATCTGCGATGGATGATGACATCCTTGCAGAGGGAGGCCCGGAAACTGTCGCGATCAAGGTGCACTGGAAGCCACACCCGCTAAACCCGACAGCCAAGGCGGGCTTATGGGGGTTCAAAATGAGGCGGGTGCGTTCACGTCGAGTCTGTTCAGGCCTCGATTGGTGCTGACTGGTGGATGTCTATTCAGCAAGACCCGTTTCGCGAGGTTTTCGATGAGACAGCAGATGCCGCAGAGATCATCTCGGACCACCTGGTGATGACCTACAATGGCACGCGCGTCTTCCCTTCTGCGACCCCGCACAGCATAGGCGTGTGGGCTGAGGCTGAACTCGGTAAGCATCTGCCGACGACGAGCTCCAATCACGCTGACGATCCTTGCAGATGCGTGCGACAAAATGACATACGAATACCTCCTCGCGAACCGCCGCGAACGCTCACCTTCTGCCTTACACGAGCGCTCGCCTTCGCATGCACGGTCACCTTCCCCGACGCTGGACGAATCCGAGGCCGATTCCGCAGCTGAGTCCGGGACAGAAGACGACAAGTTCCGGCTGACGGTGCGCTCCACAAAGGCGAAAGACATCGTACTCACCGTACGCCCCACAACGGCTTGCGGCGCGATCGTGAAGGCGTTCCTGAAGAAGGCGGGGCTCGCAGAGCAGTATGGCGCCGCGGGCACGCCGGCGAAGAAGGGGAAGCGTGGAAAGCCCGCGCCGCCTGCGGGTGCGTACTTGGTTGTGGATGGAGATAGGATGGACCCTGCGTCGGGAATTGGAGAAGCCGATTTGGACGACGGAGATTTGGTCGAGGTCGCAGGCCTATGAGACCTTAAGCTTCAAGATGCTAGGGACGGTCATGGACGCTGGGTGTTGAGTTGAAGATGGAATGGGATGTTGAGGATGTTTAGTGTTACTTACCGCTACAGTTTTGGTGAAGGGTTTTTCAAACTGCTCCTGATTCTCTACCATACAATCAGAACAGGTACCCTGTTCATAATTCCACGACTGTCGGGCACAAGCACGATGTAAAGTGCTGAATGTCTGATGCAGATGGACGACTACCTTTGGCTGTATAAGAAGTTCGTCGTTATAACAGTCGACTTTCCAGAAAATTTCCGTGCGCCTGTGTTTCGTCTTTCATTCCGATTTATACAGCATCTTTATCTTCAAGTGTTTGCAGGCCCAGGCTTGTTATTTAGGTGAGTTTCTGCATTCTCGAGCTCAACTCGAGCTCGACACTGCCTGTAGCGACTAATCATACCGCAGCAGCACTATGTAGGCTGTGCGCAACCTTGTGTGACACGATTCGAAGCTTCCACTCACCGGAGACAGTGTGCAATATCGCATCTGCGGACATTGTGGGAAAATTCTGCCTTACATTGTACATGTATGTACAACTGTCTGACATTCTACCACATACAATGTTAGATGGGATATTTGCACAATATTAGATGTCCAGATAAGTAGCTCACCGTCTCCGGTGACCGGTGACTGTTACGCTTCGCTCGTATCAGTCACGAGGCGTGCATTCGTGGACGTGACAGTATATTCTATCTGTGGTGAAGACGACCTTCTCGAGCATAGAAGACTCGGGGGGAGAAAGCCTAGAAATCTCAACTTGTTGCAGATTCGCGATTCGCGTGGCCATCACTGGCAGGAAATTTGTCAATGGTACCGCCATGGGGTCAAGTTGTTCTCCTGAAACAAACCAACGCACAGGTAAGAATCTGATTGGTGTCCATCAAATCCTGACGTGTATAACGACAGGATCTCCTGCTTACAGTTGGTTGGCTCACTAATAGCACAGCCGCACCTTGATGTATCATGATCAGCCAATATTCTAAGGAAACGATGGTAAATATACCGCAGTCATTCAATCAGGTCCACCATTAACCGTAATATAGCACACGAAGTACCGCTGCATCGTGTTTGCATATTGCAGCTGTACCCCGTTTCACCGCCTAATCTTCCGAGTTGTGTATATCGTCGGATTCGCAATCTTGAGGCCGCTCACGCAGATCCTCGGCATGCCAATGTCCCGCATATGATTGCTTTCCCATCTATATTCTGTTGAGTAAGTGATTCCTGGATGCACGCATCATCCCAGGCGCAGCACATCTACCGGGGTTTCGGACGCATGCCCGCCATATAAATGCCAGCACTGTCCAGCGGGCGACGCCATCAGGCTTTTCCCTGTTCACTCGCGCTGGTCGCTTTCTCTTTTCGTTGTCCGTTTTCCAGCTTCCCCTTGACGACCCTCCAAAATGTTCTGCAAGGCAACTATAATTACTGTGATGCTCGCTCTCCTCGTGTCCGCGGGCCCGGTAGTTAAGGAACGCGGTGTACACATCCCCCTTCAGAAGCGTGGGTCGCTGAAGAAGATGGACGGCACGTTCGACTACGAGAGACACGCCCGTCAGCTCGTCAAGATCCAGAAGTACGTGACCTGTAAACGTTGCTAGACCTTCCCAATGCTCACTCATTTCTGCAGCAAGCACCGCCAGAATCTGGTCAACCTTCAGAATAACACTGGGGCCCTACCCGCAGGCGCATTCATTCCACAAGCCCTGCATCATCATGCGACGCAGGGGGAGAACTCACGGCGGCGATACAAGCGCCAGGCTCTGCCTCTCACGGACCAGCAAGACGGCCTCGAATGGACGGGCACTATCACTATTGGCACCCCTCCTATTAGCTTTGTCGTTGATTTCGACACCGGGTCATCCGACCTCTGGGTTGCGTCCTCAGAGTGCAACCAGTGCGGCAAGCACAACACTTACGACCCAGCATCTTCTTCCACCAGCTCATCGAAGGACGGGAACTTCTCTATAAGCTATGGTGACGGATCTAGCGATTCTGGCCCTGAATATACCGACACTGGTGAGGCCCCTCTGCAATGAAGATCTCATCGTAGAGCGATTTGCTTACGGTTTTCCCAGTCACCCTTTCCGGTGTTACCGTGACTGGTCAGGCCTTGTCTGCAGTGACGTCCGAGTCAAGCGAGTTCCAGACGGATCCCGCCGACGGCCTCATGGGCTTTGCCTTCCCGTCCATTTCTCAGCTGCAAGCGGTATGCCTTCTCTGTCGCACCATCTCATATTGCGGCCTGACCGATGCGCGCATAGAATCCCTTCCCCTTCGCTGCCTTGAGTGAGAGCGCAATCCCGCAGGGCGTTTTCTCTTTTAAGCTCACCTCAGACGGCGCGGAGCTGTACATGGGCGGTGCGGACTCGTCGCTCTACACTGGTGACATCGAGTACCACTCTCTATCCGCGGACAACGGGTTTTGGCAGATTGGTGGTGCGAGCGTGCTCGTGAACGGGCAGACGACGGTCTCGGGCCTCGACACGATCATCGACTCGGGCACTACACTCGCGTACGGACCCACCGCCACCGTGTCACAGCTGTTCCAGGCTATCCCGGGCTCGCGGGAGGACAAGGACGGCACGTATACGTTCCCGTGCGACGCGCAGCTCACGGTCGCGTTCAGCTGGGGCGGCAACACGTGGGCCGTCGACCCGAACCTGTGAGTACATTTGTCGTGCAATGTGCAGAATGGATAGCGCTGACATATGTGCATAGCTTCAACCAAGGCGCAACGAAGCAAGGTTCTCATCAGTGCGTGGCCGCGATCGGTGCGAGCGACGATCTCGGCTTCGGTGAGAATGTCTGGCTTCTGGGTGACACGTGAGTACTCGTCCCATCCCTCTCCCATCTCACACCAACGTGGTGAACAGCTTCATGTCGAACGTGTACACCGCCTTCTCAATGGACGACAACGCGGTGGGCTTCGCCGCCTTAGCGTGAACGCCGCTAGGCAGTCAAAATGTTGTACTTGCAGTTCTGGGATGAACACTCTTGTAGTTTGGGTCGAAGCTGGAGTCGCTCTCTTCTTTATGACAATTCACGGTAAACCGATGACGAATTATGGATTTTGACTTTCGCACACGCGCTGCACTCGCAATGCATACAACTACAGTACGCGACGATCGAGCCAATAAGGGGTATTATCTCAGATAGTGCGACACACCTGAGTGAATGAATACTGGGTATACTAAAGCGCACTGGCAGATGAAATCACAGATTAGGTGCATGGTTTCTTTGGCAAAGTAGTAGGGCTTGGTACCCTGTGATCGCCAAGGTAGTTTGTGTTGGGTATTGACGGTCAGCACGACGCCTGGTAGTGGGGACGAGAGCGCGTAAGAGTTCACGGTCATCACGATTGAAGAAACCGAGTCATCCGTGTGCGAAGTGATCCCCGCAGGGGGAAGTGTCGCTGCAAGATCGTTGCCGTTCGTCCTCCGGAGGGAGTAAGATACGGAGTTGGTATGTCGAATATGATGCCCTTTTAACATCTTGAGCACGGATTTTCACGCAGGAAGGGGAGAAGGGAAAAGCCCGACTAGAATTTGCGTATCAGAATCTCGGCCGGCGGTATGATCCTGCTGATCGGATGGGACGCGCGATGGGCGTCGTTGACGATACGGCAATTTGATCACGCATCCTCGCCAGAGAAGACCGACAAGCCGAGCTATGCCTTTAGAGACAATCCAACGGATCGAGGAGAACGACCAGTAGACGACTAGAACGCCCGTATATGCGCAACCATGTTCCCGAATGTAGCAGCGCACGGAAGTAAAGTATCAATACTGCAGCTTTGGATGGGTGAGTCCTCATCCTCGTCGTCGGAGTCGCTGCCGAATATTTCTCGCTCCAAATCTGTTGTGGTCGGAGGCGAATCGTCCTGCTCTGGTGCTTGTCCGTCCTCGACGCCACCTTCTCTGTCCTCAGCTTGCAGAGCGCTGTGGTCGTCTACATCGTCGTCTGCGTCGCCGTTTGATCCAGTGTAGTCATAATTGGATGGAAGATGCTTGTCATCGTGAATCACGTCGACAGCGAGTAGGACTGGAAGCGGAGGTGAGTCGTCATCTTCATCCTCGGAGTCAGATCCAAAGACCTCGCGCTCCAAAACCTCTCTTGCAGTTAACGCACGTCCCTTTTCGTGCTGTGGTACGTCATCTTCATCATCCTCAGCTTGCTCAATGTTGAGCTCAGTCATATTATCGAGGCCCACAGAGCCAGTGTTGTCGAAGTCTGATGAAAGCTGCTCGTCATTGTCACCTATATCGATGGCGGGTAGGACTAGCGCCCGGGAAGGAGAACGAGAAGGCTTCGGAGGTGTAGGAGGACGCGGAATTGGTAGGTCGTCGTTGACGACGACGGACTCCGCGTCGTAGTTCTCCACGGTGGGTAGTCCCAGCGTCATGAACAGGTTGGATAGGTCTTCCATATTAGAAACCACTGGGGCGGAGATCTGCACAGGAGAAGGCGAGTTCGGTATTGCCACAGCCTTGTCCTCTTCATTCATGTTGGACTCCTTGTCCATCGTGTAACAGCCATCAGCAGTGTCGAAATTATTGCAGGATCCCGAAGTCGGGGCAAAGCCTAGAGTCGCGAACGCGTTTGCCTTGATCGAAGTCGACTTCAAAGCCGGATGTGTAGCCTGAGGTGGGCGACGGCAAGGATCACCTGCCCATGCCTCCTCCTCTACAGCGAATGAGCCGTTCAGTATCTTGTCCCTGTAGATCGACGTCGGAATCCGGTCAGCTGCAATACTCTGAGACAAACGGCGAGGATCAGCCACTCGTCCCTCCTTCTCGGCAACGCCACCAGATCCGACAATAATAAAATCGTCCCGCATTTCATCGTCTTTGTGCGTGATATTGGACGTGCAGGTCGACTTCGAAACCCGGGCGGCTGTAGTAACTTGAGGCGGACGACGGCGAGGGTCAACTACACGATCCACTCTGTTTGTTACACGAGCAGATCCAAGGGCGAAGCTATCTTGCATCTCTTCGTCATCGCATTTGACCGTCGCCTCCGCGAAAGGAACAGGTGCGATGTTGAGGCTCTCCACACAGATATCCGTAGGCGACACGCCCTCGAAATCCATCACTGGAATGTCGTTGACCAGTGTCTTGTCTGGGTCATCAATATCCATGCCGATTGAAGCAGTACGAGCGTGGATTAATAGGTCTAAGGTCGAGGGTACACAAGGTGCCTCTGTCTACGAAGAAGTAAGTAATCGTTCATTAAAGGCACGGAGAGACTCACGAAGTCACGATCGTGAATAGCCGAAGAGTCGGGTGAGTATGAGTAGTGAGCCAACGTCAGGCTGTGGTGGCGGATTAGAGGTAGCTAGACCAGACGAGATTAATGAGCTGTGGATAGCGAGGAAGGGAAAATGTACCCCTCGAGCCACGGTTTGAGTAGCGATGGCAGGACCCAGAGCAACGAAGTGACAATTAAGCCGAAGACACTACAACAAAATTAGCTCAGCTGTCGTGAAACATTGTAGAAGATCAACAGACGTCGGAGATATGCTTGGGCATCCACTGCTCGAGGTTGAACGTCCCCTCCACCGACGAGAGGCGGGCGCGCTCAAAATCGGTGCACCTTCTGAATGTCCTATGAACATCTTCAAGGACGGGCGGCTGGGGAACGACGTGCAAGAGGCAACCAATGTCGACTAATGTGTGGCGGTTGTCGTCGATGCCAACTACAGCGAACTCGCCCATCGCTAAGTGACGGGCGACAGAAACTGAGTCCAGTACCCTACGACTCCTCGCGTCAGCTGTTCGGGCAGCAACGCAAGCTGGATGATGACGACCTCCAGCGTCATAGTCCTTCAGGACTGCTTTGGTGTAATCGTGATGCGAAGGGAAGATGCGACGACCAAGACGACGAGCAGCCCATTCCTCAGCGAGATATGGGCCCTTAGTACCCTTGAACGAGTGGATACGAGTAATTCTCGGCAGGGTCATTGAAGAGATGACGGTAGGGCACCTACGTCCTGAGAAGTGATAGAGTGAGTGGCCAGAGGTCGGCTCAGGTGAAGCCGTATGTTGAACGTGTGTGTTGAACTTTGAGGATGTGGCGTTTGCAACGATCGCGTGGCATGGCGCACGTGAAATGATTCGGAACGCAACCCGGCACGAAAGAGACATGCGCACGCCATGGCCAAATGCTCAACCTTCGAGCTGCAGGATCGAGAGGAATTCAATGTCTGCCAAATTCGTGCATGCCGAAGGTGAAGGCGACGAGAAAGCCGCCGACAGGTGCGAGAGTAATGACGGGATCCGGTAAGGCGCTGCCCGTCTCAGTATCGATGAAGGAAACACATATTGGACGGTTCTGTTGAGCACGTCTGTTGTCAAAGGTAGCAAGCACGTATTGCAGAGTAAAAAGGACACCGAGGCCAGCGCCGGAGGTGAATCTCAACAATCTGAGTCCGACGAGAACTAAGGGTACGTCAATAGCGAAGGAATAGACAATCCAAATGATGGCTGGCGCGGAGAAATAAAGGCCATTACCGTCGAGGAGAAACCTTCCTCAATAATAATTCCCGAGTTGGAGTCAATGACGGAGGTGGTACCGTTTTCATATATGACCGTCATTTTGACAGAGGCTGCCCAAAAGTCTCCACAGAATAAAGAGCCACCGGTGACAGGGAAGCGTCACCGACGACTGTGAGAACAGCCACGCCAGAATATGGAGGAGGTAGGCTGGGGTCGCCATCTAGGATGGCCGCGAGCAGAGGGGCTGGCGCAACGCAAGTGACAAACAGCTTGAAATTCCAGAAGTCGTGAAGTTTTGGCTAAGCAGCTTGCTAAGCAGCGAAGAAAAAGGAAAGGGCGAGCTGACGTAGCTCCGAGCCAGTGAAGGAGAGTACAGATTACCGGGGTTTTTGGGCGAACAACTGCAAGCCCCACTTCAGGATGACATACGTATCAGAATTCTCGGAACAGAAAAGAGTGCGAAGTCTGAGACGATTTCGGAGCCTGTCTAGTCCCCCGAGGGCGGATGATAGACAGACACCTCAGGATATCGTGTCTGACATGTACGCGTATCTTCTACCCACGTGACCGGGTGACGCGACTCAAACGCGTGCATGCAGCATATTGCGTCTCGGGCCCTACCGTCTATGCACTGTACTAGCCATGAAACGAGCACGGTAAGTCCATGAGGATCCGAGGTGTACCTGTGACTCGAAATGCATCACACTCAGTGATTCTGCACAGGAAAGTTCTGCTTTGCTATAGTCTCCTCGGCGGTCCAAAGTGCTCGCCTGAAGAGATTGCATGAGCTACGTACGGATCTTCCTGCAGGCAGTGTACTTCTCGGGTTGACTAGCAGACCAGTTACTGGTACAATTGGGTGTAAACGGTCTTGAGTTTCAAGCTCGCTCTTCGCTAGAAGGCATCGCACAAAGCCCTGAAGAAGCAACAGAGCATGTACTCATATTGCATACATCTGATACGGTCTCGCCTACAGCGGATTGCAGCGCTAGAGCCTTTATGAAGCTAGGGATTGGCAATGCAGAAGACACCACTGACATCTCACGCAAGCTGGCCAACTATGACGCCCCGTCCGTGCATGCAGTAGGTGTTGATTTGACAGCAACATCCCGAGTTGACCCTCTAGGCTTTAGCTCCCGAGCGAAATTCATGGAAGAGGCTCAAATTCTTGAGGATGAAATTAAGCTGCTGAAGCATCACATAAGAGGAGCGAAATTAGGTTCCTGCTTTTCCCCCCCTTCCCCTCAGTATCAACAAGGGATTATCTCCGAACAGATATCTTAGTGAACCATCGCTCGAGGCTGTTCTCTTAACGAAAGACCATGCATCAGCCGTTAACTGACGGTTACTCTCTGGATCCAGCTTGACGAATCGATCGAAAAGTTGAAGCTGGCAAACCGACTGTTGGGCAGGTTCTATCTGACACGTAGGAAGTCATTGCTTCTATGCTTGATGATCGCCGCTCACATCGAGCGCTACATCAGCGCTAGATCCGACAGATATAGAAGGAAATTTTTCAGAGCACAGGACAAATCTAGCCTCGCTTGTGCGATGCTTTCGGCCGGTTGTCCCAATCAACCAACGAAGTACGAGAACAGGGCGTAATTGCTGTGCAAGCTGCGTCATATTGGACGGAGCTGGGTATGATGTGCAAGTAGCTGGAAGCGTCCATTGGCTACAGTCCTGCACGAATCTTGGAGACGATTGTACGCCAGGCTGAACTTCGCAACTCAGAGGATTTGGAGGGCCGCCTCGACGTGAACATCGCATTCGAGATCGATCGGGCGTAGAACGTAGACCAAGCAGCTTCACTTGCTTCGCGCGAGGGAGTGCTACACCATGTATGTTGGTCTCTATCATACGACAAAATCACGGCTGAAACTCTAATGAATTGTCGTTGCTAGATACAAGATAGCTTCGTCCACCATCTCCTTCCTCCTCTGCGTAATCTACATGACGAGCCCTTGGCGAACAGCACGTTTGCCAGAAAAGCGGACGCATTCATCCATGCCTTCATCGAAGAGCTCGAGGATGCTGCAGACGACGTCGCCGCTGCCCCGGGCATCATCTTCCACTGCATTAGATGACTCAAAGTAAATCCGCTGAACCCAGCAATATATGATTATGCTGACCAATTTGCCGATAGAAACGCCCGCACCAGACAATGGCTTACTCGTCCTCTGGACCGTGCAGACCTCGCGACGGGATTGCACGCCGTTTCCGAGCGTCTGCAGGGCGCTGATCTCGCGGAAGATGAATGGATCGTTAGCCTGCTATCTGAGTTGTGAGTCACCTTCGAAGTCCTACTTCTAAACTATCCTTAAACAGAAGAATCGGTCCCGCGTCCCGACTGACCACCCATATCTACGCCAACTTACCCGTCAATACCTCTCCTCCCTTCGCTACCGCGCAAGAGCAGCGCATCTTAGAGGCAGAGACGAAGAACAAAGCCGATATTTGAGCGAGGCGGTGGTCAGACTGCAAAAGGCTTGAACAGAAAAGTGTAGGAGATGAAAGTAATGAAGACATCTTAATTATAGTGAAGTTTAAGTACAGGGTACAGTACAACAAATCCGGTCAAATACGGGATGTTGTCCGAGATGAGAGCGAGTAGATAGAACCACAGATCCGGACAGTAGATCATTCAACAGAAATCGAGACAGCAAGCGTTAGGGCGGATGACAAAATAATACGCATGAGAGATGTGTACTTCGCGACAGAGAGATACATGCAAGATAGTCAGAGTGTTTGAGAGCCTTTTCCTTGACGAAAGATGTTAACACCCAAGGGTAAATGTGGAGAAGCCACACGCTCTTGCCAAGCGTGGCACCGCAAAGAGTTAGACGGGCAAGTTTAATATGAAGAATAATGATGCCGTTGATATCATCTCAGACCAGGTTATGAGTCTATGACAACGTTGTGGTTGCAAGAATCAACCAACTTTACGCGGTGTTTCGCCGGTCCGGGCTACGTCCCAAGGGACGATCTGAACGTGCTGTATCGAGCACACAGCACACCGCGTGAGCTTGAATCGGGCAGAGGAGAGAAGGACTAACCTAAATCACCTCCGTCAATACTCCACCTTCTAACCATGCCTCCAACGACCCACTCACTGCTTCCTTCGCCATGCTCATGCCCGCCCTCACATATATCGTGTTCACTCTGATGCTCCTCATCTCGGCGATCATTCAACTCATGTCCGCCCTCGTAGCCGCTATTTCCATTCTCGTCTCCGCCAGGGCTTTGCATTGGGTCACCAGGACCTTCAAGATGCAATTCCGAGGGTGGCGAGACGACCGCTCTCGGAGGAGTAGTCTCGTCTTGTACGTTATTCGTCTGATTCAATGATAACACAGTAGTTCAATATACAGCAAATACGATTAAAGATGAGGACTCACATCATAGTTGGTCGATCCGTGGGTGACGTCTGAGGGAGTTACAGCAGAACTTGATCCGTTGCCAGTTCTACCCTTAGGGTCGAGTGTGGAATATATCACGTATGGTGCGTCGATATGCCCCGATGCTGATACGACAGATGTGACGTCTTGGCGTGAGGGATGTACGAAGTCGTTATTGACCGCGATGGCCCCGCCACCGTTTGTGCCCCAACCCTCGCCCTGACCTCCGCCGTTTCCATCCTCCCTTCCACGTGCTCCATTGTATTTCCCATACTTGTCCCTACGTCCACGTCTAGGTCCACGTCCACTTCCATTTCCGCGATAATGCCGGCTCCCGTCCCGACCTTCTCCCTCTGAGGGAGAGTGATCATGAGCAACCCATCTTGATGCAAAGCGACCGACTTCCCGATCGACGGCCGGCATAAAACCATGAATACTATTTGGAAGACACGATTTCGAGGATGAAGAGGCTAATACCTCTTGGTCGGTGTGACCTTCTAAGTGAGCAATTTCCGCCCAATTGCAATCGCCACCGGAATTGCTTGGTTTCTGAAAGGTGGGTGGCGCCGCTGGTGGAGACGCTGATGTCGATGCTCCTGGACCAACGTGAGCGTCTGTGTGAGGATCTGACGTCGGTGTGCGATCGCCACCTGGACCGCGAGGCCTCTTGTGTGGATGCATCGGATCAGGAGAACCAGAAGGTTGCGCTAAAGCTGCTGAGGCAGGTGCACTTGGACCAGCCTGAGCCTTTGGTCGAACAGCTTGTCGCCGCCGTTGATAACTTCCTCCAGAGCCACGGTATTTCCTTGCACCAGCGCGCACCTTCAACGGAGTTGATTCCGATACGCCATTGCGGACACAGTTCCCAGGTGCCCAACGGGAGGCTGCGAGACCTTCAGAGGGCAGTTCTAAGGATATAATTTGAGTCGATTCGGGTATAGTTTGAGTCAATTCGGGTATAATTTGAGTCAATTCGGGTACAATTCGAGTCGATTCGGGTATAATTTGAGTCGATTCGGGTATAATTTGAGTCGATTCGGGTATAATGGGAGTCAATCCGGGTATATCTCCGAGACCGAAATTCCGAGCGGTGGTGTCCCTACCAATCGCAGAGGATAAGTAGTTGCCACCAAGAGGGCCTGACTCTCCAAGGACTTGATTCGAGTGGGTGTGGGTACCGACCGCTTTGGTGATAATCGGTGCGGTAGTGCACCCAGCCGTCGCAGAGGACAAGCTATCATTATCGATGGGAGCTGTCTCGCGAAGCACTTGACTCGGGAGGATGACGGGATTCAGGTTTTCAGTGACCAGTGGTGCAGTGGTGTCTCCAGCCGTCAGAGAACATGCGCTACCAAGAATAAGAGTTGCCTCTTCTATGACTCGACTCCGGTGGATGTTGGTGTTGACCACTTCGGCTATGATCGGTGCAGTAGTTTCGCCAATCATCACAGAGGATGAGATGTCACTAGTGACAGGAGTTGTCTCGTGTAAGTGACTCGGGTGGAAGTTGGTATTAACCACTTCAGTGGCTATCGGTGCAGTAGTCTTCCCAGCTGTCATAGAGGGCAGCATTAATCTGTCCCCGATGGGAATGAAAATTCTTCGAAGTACTTTCTTTCGAAAGTTGTCCGTGTTAGTGGCTATCGGTGCAGCAGTATGCCCAGTTGATATAGCACACAAGCTTTCACTAAGGAGAGTAAGAATGTCTGCATTGCGACGCCCAGGCGGTAAGTTCCTGTTAATGGCCCGAAGAAGTTTGTTAGAGATGTCCTCCATACTGCCGGGATAAAGGAAACGGTCTGATTCGTCATCATCACAAGCCGTCTGGGTGCATTTGTCCACATGCTCAGAGACGGAATGAATACCTTCAAGATTGGTGGGGGATGTGGATATGACTTGACTCTCAGGGAGGACATGATTGGTTACTCCATTCACGGGCTCATCCAATTCAGTAGCAGTGCAAAGCGGGAGGTCATGGGGTCTGACAACAATGCAATCAGTATGGTAGACATCGAGTGGTGATATGACCACTGACGGATCGCCAGCAGTAACTGGGGCCTCAAGTTCAAGGCGATGACCGCGGAATCCGAATAATTCGGAGCCAAAGCTGCTAGGCATGGATGAGACGGACAAATTGGTGAAATCATAAGACACAACCTTGAGGTGCAGTAAATCCACCTACAGTCAGAGACAATTTCCGGTGAAGAACGTCGCACACGTACAATTGGGAAAGAGTTGTTTTCAGTATGTGGCGCACGGTCCGTCTTGAAGATAGAAAGCTTCTCTAACTGTACAATCATGAAAAGGGCAGCCGCAACTAATAGAGATGCAACAAGAATTGTGGCGCCAATTGCTGCCCAGGGGAAGCGACAATAGATATCGAATATGGTGACATGAAGGTCGCCAGTACGAAGCGGCACTTGGAGGGGAGCCTTGGAAGTAGAAATGGGAGAGTAGAGAGCGACTAAGTCAGTCACGGGCCTCACAATAAGATCAGTGGTTATAGATAGATGTTCCGTTCTTCCATGCATCGGCGACGATGGAAGGGAGTGTGGCGATATAAGCGTAGATAGAGGCGTAATGCTGCTGTGCAAAGTAAACTTCAGAGATGAAATGACAAAATTTTCTGAATACATACATCAAACCAGTGGCGAGCTTGATGGAGGACAAGAGGGGACCGTATAGCTGCTCTCTCATGTTTGTTCGCAGGGTTGCGAACAGAGTGGTGCTGAAAGAGCCATACAGGGCTAATGTAGCGGCAAGTAAGAGCGGAATGACAAGCATCGTTCATTCGACAATGTGTGGGATAAAGAGAAAACATGTTGTGGCGCTGCTTCGCCGCTTATGTACCTACCCTCTTTGGACAATAGTGTTGCGTAAGAAACTCAAAGCATGTTATTAACGTTAGGTTTATAACATGTTAGGTTCCGGAGGTATTTGACACCATGTTTTTAACGTTTAAAACATGTGGCCACGTGACCTATTTTCGCGTACTATAAACTGTAGATTTCCTCATTTTTGCACCTGTTTACAATGTTTACAATACGATATCCGCCTTCGCCCCAGTGGGCTTAGGACATGTCTACGACAGGCCTCGACGAACCAAGTATGTATGGAGCAGCGGATCTACAATGGCATGAGCGGGACGTTGGCTGGACTAGCACTCTGCTACCTGGAGTACAGGATCACCAGTGATAAGACCATGTAGGTGGATGGGGGTTACACCGGAAGAAAGGAGGGGAAAGCATCAACCAAGGACCCTCTGTACCAACCCCTTACATAATCCAACCCGGTTGCCCAGCGGGAACATGAGCGAGCATGAAGTCCGCTGTGAACGGCAGTCGTCCATCCTAGGACAAACGATGATGGTTCATGAATGCGACAGACCGAGTGGTAGAGGAAGTGACGATGAGCTGGTTGGCGTGCTGCGGGGATGGATGTGCGATTGGACTGGTGGATGATGGTGAGGGTGTGTCTGGCTGTGTTTGCCCAACGTCGGGAATGCCAACTCCGTACGCTGGATGCCCATCATGGGGCGGGTATAGAGGGTTAGATGAGCTATCGGCGACGATAAAATCCCACATTCATCGAGGCCGGGACGACAACATGGTGGTTGTTGTTCTGGAGGCTGCAGAAGAGATCGGAGGGCCCGAACGTATGATATTCCTACTCTACTACTCGATGACCCCATATCCTACCAGTGGAACTGTCAGCCTACTTCCGAAGACCTGTTACCTGTTCTCTTGGGCCCCGCTCGACCAAAAGGACATGAAATCTGAAGCTTGAAGGAGAACTGTTAGTGGCTGTCAAGTTGTAGTAGAGCATCTGACCTCGATGAGGGCTTGTGAGCAACCCCCGCATGCCGTGGCCCAGTACGCTATGGGGGAATCCGACGCGACGTGACCATTGGCGCCGAACTTATTGACATAGGCATTTTGGCCTTATGTTTTTAACATGTTTTTAACGTGTTAAAAACACGTTAAAAACATACATGTTTTAAACATGACAGTTTTACACGCAACACTATTGGACAACAAAGAAAAGAGTGTCGTAGATACGCATCGTGTCGTACCACGTGATCGTCGTGTAAGTACAACAATCCGGCAGCTTCGGACTCGGAGGGTTCAAACCTATAGCTAACAGGAATCTGTTTGTTAGCTCTGGGAAGATCCTACCTCCCGGGTGTGTCTTTTGCAATGGTCACCAGCCACTCCAAGTGTTTATGTGAGCCAGTACCCATTTGCGCTATCATACGTACGAGAGCACTGAATAGTGGTGTATAGGATTAGCGCAGTACGTATACGTACCCCGAGTCAACGATGTCGAGACGTCGAAGAACAACATGTTTGCTCTACTAATGTTGTCTTCCACTTTAGACTATGTGGTCGAATGTCTGGTCGCAGCTGTCATTACCTGGTCGTCAGCCCTGTCACGTTATCGTTTTGTGCCCCAGCCCACAAGAGCTTCACTCAACACTCCCAGCCTTGTTCGACCTTGTGAAGAGACTGGTGATGAAGTCGCGAGTCAACACCACCACCATCCTAGTTGCGTTGGTCTGCGTGGAGAGGTGGGGCCGTAACGTCGTTGTGGATTGTGCCCGCTTAAACTGCAGAGGCACCTTTTTGGTGGCCCTTATCGTAGCCAGAAAGGTATGAGGAATTATTTTTGCTCTGTGTATGTTTTATACCAGCTCCTCCTTGTAGAATGTGGACAAACGGCAAATACCGCTGAGGCGCTTGGCGGCCTGGCCGGGCCAGCCGACCTGTTGGCCCATTACGACAACGTGATGTACCGATACACTACCTCCACAGCGTGCCGTCTTCCCGAGCCGTTCTCTTGTCTTCCGTGCGTCTCAAACGTGCACAGCTCACTTTTAATTGGCTCTAATGCCTTCATTCACCATGCTCCCATCCCTCGCCCTGCCCCTGCTCCTGTGTTCGCCGCCCACCCTGCTCTCGACCCTACCCCGTCACTCCCTGCCCAGAATAAATGCTCCTGGCCTGCACTTCCCGTGCCGAGGGAGCGGCTCGATTGGTCAATCCACACCAAGGCGACCGCATCTTCTGACTGGCCCTCTGACTACCCTCACACCCGCCGCAAACACCGCCGGAGACCACGCCTCTATATCCTACCAATTATCTGTGAGGACGAGAACTTGCCTTCTGTCCCACGCTCTATACAGGAACGACACATCACTGGTGTGGGTGTAGGCAATAGAGCCCGGACGTCTGTTTGAACCGTGGATTCGAAGACAACGCTCTGAGCCATTCTATTCTTACACCGAGCTTCGCAATGACGGTGTCAGAGTGGTGAGCACGCCCATTACACATAGTGTGGCCAACGACGGCCATGTATGACTCGGATGCCGTAGCCATCGGTGTAGTCTCTGCGCTGTAAATTTCAATTTTGCATGGTACCGGTAGCTTGCCTATCATTTAATTCGTCTCACACGCAATATAATGTGTTTTCTTTACTTTGACAGTGTGACGAAGTGTTTTACGCCTTCGTCTCGGAGTTCTACAACTGAGAGTGTTTCACGTCCGCTCGTTTACCATAAAAAGCGGTGAAAGGATACTAAAAAAATCTACCGACTACATTATACATAGAGATGTACAGATGTACATAACGCCGGGGAGGAGTTCAAGTTAGGAAGAGTACTAGTCGTACAGAAGCCAGGGCCCAAGACTCTGCTGTGTCAACTTATCGAGATCAAGGCGGCAAAAACTTGGAGCTAATCTGGGAGCGAACGAAGACATCCGTATTAATAGCTACCGATGCTGGGATACAATGATGTGACCAGTGCGTCTCGCGCGAGGGAATGACCACAGACAGCGCAATGTGAATGTCGGCACTCACAGCAACAGAAGGTTGATGAACTTTTTTTTCTTTTTAATTAGCTATAGCTGATGGACATTGGCCAGCTGTATTACCACGAAGCTCGCATGCATCGGCGCTTATTATTCGGTGTCTACGGGCGCTTTTCCAACTTGGTCTTCACTCGGAATTCAAAGGCATACGAATTCACTACGAGACAATACCTGGTTCAACTCTTGTGAGTACGTCATGCTCTCTATGTTAGTCCCTCTGATGTTTCTCACCGCGCACTTATGGCTTCTGAGCTTGTATGTGTATACTGTACGTTTTAAATTTCTGTCAGACCCGGGCCTCAATCTGCTTGTTACTCAGCTAAACGGACCGTCGTCGGCGACATTGTTGAGAACTGGTTGATAAGGTAATAATACCAGGGGGATTAAGATCACAGCTGTGCTCTATTCCCGCCATTACTGGCTATTGCCAGTTCCCATCGATGAGCCTTCGGAAACGCGCCATTCATCAAGCTTGGTCTACGGCCGGCTGGTGCTGAATGAGTACCTTATGCGAAACCTCACTATGGAGTGAGCAGTCGATCCCTTTCCACCTACATAGGGCTCGCCGCTATCGCTGCCATGTAGCACAACCACCACTCTCCCGCTCTATTCTCCGCTCTCCCATTCTCGATTCTAGCTCATATTTTCACGCTCCTGTTCAGCATGGGTTCTATCTCCGACCTACCGGCGTTCGCCCACGACGCGCCTGCCAAGTTCACTGTACCGCCGGCGCCGGCGTGGACGTACGCGCAGAAGGTTGACGCCACCCCCGAAGGCTGTGAATGGGTTGCCGGTGAGAAGTCCGGTTTTCATGGCGTCGATCCCGCGACGACGGATCGCACGTGAGTCTTTTCCGTTCGTGAATTGTCCTGTGCTGCTCATGGTACAGCTGCGGCGAATAGGAAATTGGTTAGTGCGCTGGTTGGCTGGCATGAATTGGAATGATGCACTAAGGCTAGCGGGTTACGGCAGTACGCGCTCATGACCAGCGGGATTGTCCCTCGCCCGATCGCGTTTGTGTCCAGCATATCCGAGGACGGCGTAGAGAATCTCGCTCCGTTCAGGTAATTAATGATCTGTGTATGTACCTTCGCACTAACTCTCAACGTGCTCTGCAGCTGGTTTAACATGGTAAGCTCTGCTGCGCATCTTCTCGCCAGCGACCTGGAATTTCGGACATGCTTCAGGTTGCGCCCGATCCGCCCCTCATCTCCTTTGCGGTAAGGCACGAGCCACGTGCAGACGGGTTGAAAGACACGCTGCGAAACGTGCTGAAGACGAAGGAGTTTACGGTGAATATCATCAGTCACGCGTTTGTCGAAAACGCAAACGCCACAGCGGTAGACGCACCTGCAGAGATCAGCGAGTGGCCGCTGAGCGGACTGACGAAGGAGCCGAGTGTGCGTGTAACGCTATCCAAATATTGATTGTCGTAGTCTGAGTGCTGCTCGATACGCAGCTTAAGGTGAAAGCCGCGCGTGTGAAGGAGAGTGCATTTAGCATGGAGTGCGAGGTGCGTCCCGTCTACCGATCTCAAGCGGAAGCAGAGCAACTGATCGCTGGTGCGGCACCCACAGCTGTTCCAGTCGCACGACATCGTGCACCCTGAGTCGGGCGAGACGACGTCGACGCTGGTGCTCGGGCTCGTGAAGTACATCCACGTGCGCAAGGATGTACTGAACGAACGCGGGCTTGTCGACCCGGTGAAGCTGAACGCCGTAGCGCGTTTGGGGGACATCACATATGCGCGCCAGGGCGACCTGTTCCGCATCCCGCGCCCAACGTGGGCGGCGAATGGCGAGGTGATCAGTGGGTTGCAGTGAGGCTGTGTCTTCGCATGTGGGTTAGAGATAGAACTGTGGTGCAAGCTAGGAGAGGTATCATTTTTCGATAGAGACTCTTACGTGCCCCCGCTATAGATCGTTTACCCAAGGCGGCAACAGGTGGTGTCTTCTATTTCGCGTGATTTGCGTCTAAGTTCCATCAGAGGAGATACTGGTCGGTATGAAATCGGGCACAACGAAGACAATATCAACGTATATACCGATGGGACTTCTCAATATTAGAAACCAAGGAACACGACCAGGCAAAATTTTGACGGCACTGAGACTGTATTCTGTTGATATCAACTGGAAGATTTATGCAGCACACATCTTGCAGACGTGACGAGGATGTCATTCATCAACTATGCAGCTACATGCAGCCTCCAATAAATTCCCAGATGACATCAAGCAGTATTGTAATGTAGAATTGTATCATACGATCGGATCGTCCGAGAAATCGAAGCGGTGACCTATGGGTCCAGGCGCTAGCCGAAGCACGCCGTGTGGACGACATAAGGAACACACTCGACCTATGAAGCATGTCAGCCAAATGATACAAGATAACAGTGTGAATGGGAACCCTCACCCTCGATTTCTGAGTGGACGCTAGAGACCAACACCCAGTGACGGGCGCGTCATTCCAAGCTGGCGGGAGAGGATGGTGGCGCATATTGCTGCCGTGGATCCTCAACGCTCTGTCGTCTCGTGGAACGGAGTAGTAGGGAGGGATGTGCTTGATGGGAGTCGGGGAGATCTAGAGCTGCAAGTGTGCAGAGTGAAACGAAACCGGGTATCCAGCGTCGGAATACGGGGCACTTGAACGGAGGCTGGACGAAACTTGATCCGGAGGCAAACTGAAAAGGGCGAAGGGGAGGATTAAAGTAGGCGCAGTATAGCCGCCTGGTTGGAGGGAGAAGGGGGCAAAGGTGGAAGCGGGACACCGGGGAGGTGCACCTATATGTAAGGGAGAAGGGGATAAAACGCGGAACGGAACACCGGGGAGGTGCACCTATTATACTGTCATAGAAAGGCAGATGCGGCACGAAGGGCGAGGGAGTATTAAAGTAGGCGGCGTATACCCACCTGATGTAAGGGAGAAGGGAATAAAAACGCGGAACGGGACACCGGGAAGGTGCACCTATTATACTGTCAGGGTATCCAAAAAACGGAAAAGGGACACCGGACAGGTGCACCTATTATAGTATACATCGTACGCGAACGCGGGGCGAGGGGATAGTGATGGACGCGGGAGTCGAGGCATGTGCAGGTGCCGAAGATTGAGGAGACCAGAAGGTAGTTCTCCAAGGACCAAGTGGTGGGCGCAGGTTTCTGCAATGATGAATCCCAAGGATGTGATGGCGTTGGACGTCATGAGGACGAGAACGAGGAGGCGACCACGGGGAGCACACAGAACCTCGATAGTTCGAGCAATTACGGGGTTGAGGATTGACGACGAGATTGATTATAGCGAGACTGTGAAGAACGAGCTAACATCAGGACAGAAGCAATGAATCGAACCATGAAAGAAAATGCACTTCATAGTCCAACCGTTGTTTTATAATACTATCCATGAGCGACAGCGAGGCAGGCCAGCCCAAGGATACTGATGACCATGAGAGGAGCGGCGTGATGACTTATCGACGGGGTACAATGAGGAACCGCGGATGCATGCGCCTAGTGATCGAGCGTAATGGGAAAGGCATCCAGTCATTATGGAGGCCCGGAACGACTAGGGTTCTCGAAGATATGTCGATGTTATTTTCTACGTGCCGCTCGTCCGCTCCAGTGGGTTGCCGCCGTGGGGACGGATGAGGATGGAAGACGAAGGGGATGGTGCTCGCATACACAGAGAGGGACAAGCGTACGGTAGTACGAAGAAGATGTGCGATGCATACTGGAATGCGAGGGGGCAGGAAGAGTACGACACCGGCCTCTACCATCTACCCACGGCGAATGTCGACGACCATCTTGTCAGGTGCGCCGTCGCCTGGAGATGTGGAGGAAGGAAGACAGAGAGGCGGGGAGAGTTGGCGGTCTGCCGCAGCTATTTATGCGAAACGGATCGCGAGGCTGGCACTGTTGGTTGGAGGCTGTCGTCGACGGTCGCACTGAGCACGCAGTGGGGCACTTCGAGTTCAGGCTGATCCTGACTCGGACCAGTCAATTGCCAGTCAACATGAAGATAATTAATGTGCATGTGGTGCTGAGTCTTCGATGGACGATCGATTGGCACCTGTCAATCTGAAGCCGCAAGGACAGAAGAGGGAGCAAGAGACCAATCTCATGCATCCACTTCTATATTCGCGGCTGCTATACAGTGCCAGTGGCTCCCCGGTGGACATGGACTGCATATCGAGATAAATTAGTAGCGAATCGATCCAAGAGGATTTACGACTCCAACTTGAACGCAACGAGGGAAAGACGTCGTCGAGACAGACGATTGGGAGAGATCCACACAGAATCCGAGTATACAGGAGTGTGCAGCACAGAGATATGTGCGTAGTAAACTGTGTACCGATGAAGCACATATTTCCATGGAGAATCTTGTGAAGAATGCAGTAAACGACCCTTGGTGAATCGACGGAGGCCATGAAAGTGGAGCGCACGTGCGACCCGGCGCCCGAGATCCGTGCTAACCTCTGATCGGACTCGGAGAGTCTGCTACACTGCTCTAACTGGATGCCTTCCCGTAGCCGTTTAGAAACGTTCTAATCTAAATTTCGTCTCTAAATCAGGCCGGCACGTCGGCAAATTGATCTCCGCATACCGTGAGAGCAAAGTGAGCTCTTTCTAAACCTTATATCTGGAAGGGGGGGTCTCCCCCCCCTTCCAGATATAAGGTTTAGAAAGAGCTCACTTTGCTCTCACGGTATGCGGAGATCAATTTGCCGACGTGCCGGCCTGATTTAGAGACGAAATTTAGATTAGAACGTTTCTAAACGGCTACGGGAAGGCATCCACTAACCATCCTGAATCGAATATACGTATGCACGTCTTTGTGATAGACCCGATGCGAAAGGCTCATCCAAGTATGTAGCATAGATCCATGACCATCAGCCAGACGCTCACACCGGAGAACGTTCCTCTGGGAATTGGACCACCCACCCGCGAGGAGTTACTCGTTCACTACCCCGCCAAATTCACCTGGAAGCAACTGAAGACCTTCGTTAACTCGGGGTAAGTTCGTGAGTGATTCCTGATCGTCTGTCTTCTGCAATCTAACCATTGTAAAGCGATCTTGGGCTCCTGAAGCGGGACAAGAAGCTGCAGATCAGATACGATGCATGGGCCAAACGGATCCGGGCACAGTATGACTCCACGGGTACGTTCTTTATATTTTTCGCTTGGATATATGTTCGTGGAACTTCAGCACAGTGAACTACCTTCTCTGCAAGCGCTTGCGATGGGGAGAACCGGATAGCCAGTCGAGCCTTCCTTCTCGACTGGACCAAGATCGTTCTGCTCCTAGTGGATTACACGTCTCTGACAGGATTCCCGCGGAGCTTCCTTCCATTCCTGCCGACTCTCCCGAATATTTTATCGCAGATACTCCCCCGGAGCTGATCAGTGTTATCATGAACGATTGGCCGTATTCAGGTGAGCCAGCCGGTGCTGGCCTAGCGTATTCTGTGCTCACATCTGTACAGTCCCTCCGGAAATCGAACACACTCTCATCTGGACGCGTCTCCCTATATTTCCGCCGTCGCTTCCACCCTCGGTCGCACCTCGGCTGCTGCAGGACGGGATGTGGGGTTTCACAGGCAACACAGAACCCCCTCCTTCGCCAAGCACACTACCAGAGTGCCTGCCTGCGCTCGCAGATTGGAACGTCAGTTTGGACAAGCTCGTGCGCTCCCCGCCTGGAACGGAGGAAGAGGAAGCACTCGTGCGCGAGGCTGGGAGTGAAATTGCTGAATTTGTGAGGCGGCGGTGGAAGGAGGACGAGTGGGAGACGGCGTGGTTTGTAAACCCTCCTGTAAGCTCTGGAATATATGATACCGAGCGTGTACTGATATCACTTGTTTTGGATGCAGAGATTGCAGAGTGTTCCAGGTTTGGCGCACATCCACGTTTTTGCCAGATATAAGTCGCTCGAAGAGAAAGTAAAAGCATGATCCATTGTAAGAGAATAGAGAGTTTCTTCATGTGCTCATAGAGGATGATTGACAGGGCCAACTGTTATTAGAAAGATCTCGGACTGCGTCGTGAGCTAGACACACCATTACGATACTTACATGAGACAAAGCAGGTTCCAATAAATAAGAGCAGTATTGAGCGGCTTAGCGGAGGGTAGATGCCGGAGCATAGTTTGACGGAAATATATTTCTGCAACGAGGAATGATAATCGAGTGGCAAACTTGTGGTGGAAAGCTGTGGGTTGCGAGAGTTCTTTTTCTATGCTTTATATACTTTGTCGAATTAGGATAGATATCCACGGCCATAGGACCTCGAAAGCACCGCATCCCGTCTGATCTGCGAAGTTAACCGAGGTGCCGCCCAGTTAGTACCACGGTGGGGGACCACGCGGGAATCCTGGGTGCTGTGGTTTTATTTTGGGGACCTCAAGCTCAAGTTTAAGATTCTCTCTATTTAAGACGAACTCCTTCCTATGGACATGGTATTCTTGTGTCATATCGTGAAGGTAGCATCACCGGGAGGGTAATATCGAAGGCGTGCACAACACAAGAAACACAACCAAAGTTCATCTTAGTACACCATGCTAGAGACCCATTAAACTGACCAGATTGGATATTGAACTGCATCAACTTGAAGCAGTCTGTGTGGACCATCACGTCTCACGTGTGACAAGTAGGGCGGTGTGCGGTGGGCTCGGAGCGTCGGTGATGGACATGGAAAGATTTGGAAGCACTCTGATGATAAATTACAGGGTGGCAGATGTGAATGAATTCAAGATGACCTGCTAGCTGTGTCCATTGCCGACGCCAAGGCGAGGGTGAGTATACACGTGTAGAGTCGGACGCGTTTGTATTGTCACGGATCACGTGTTCTGCGCGTTGCGCGTTGAACTTGCTCGGGCGGTTGGCCGGCAGGGGTAATACGCGTTCGTCGTCGACCACGACGAGCAACTGGTTATCATGCCCGCACGCACAGTCTCTGATTTAGAAGTTCTTCCACAAGCTATAGCCAGAATATTTGACCAAGCACAGTCTACCGCAGCAAACCACCAGAAGAACTTCGTCGCGCTCTACAAACTCCAGACCGATGCCGCGACACACACAGAGCCCGTGCAGAACGGCAGGAGCATCAAGCTCGTTGGTGAGCGTGAATTTGAGGACGTCATGCTTGACATGCTGGCGCGTGTGCTGCCGATGAAGAAGGGCGTGACGGTGGCCGACAGGATCATGAAGTTCGTTGGAGGGTATGTCAGATTTATTAACGAGAAGGGTGAGTAGATAAATACCACGCAGGCAAATTGCTCACTTGCGGTTTAGCTGTTGAAGAACGCAAGAGGAAGGAGATGGACGAGGACGAGGACACCACCGCGTCCAGGTTCGTCACCCGCGTGCTCAAGTTCCTCCTGAAGGGATGTGTTGCGAAAGATAAAGTTGTACGTTTCCGAGTCGTACAGTGCATCGCGGACATGATTCTGCACCTTGGAGAAATAGAGTATGTCCTTCTGATCTCCTCCGTGTGGCAATCTTACAACGTGCGGTACAGTGAAGACCTCTACCTTTCTATGCGCACCAGCCTCCTAGAGCGCATACGGGATAAGGAGCCTCCAATACGAGCACAGACGGTGCTCGCGCTCTCTAAACTCGCCCCGTCCGAGAACATCGCCGAGTTGGAGGAGGACGAAACTAGCATCCAGGAATTGCTTCTCGACACACTGACATATGACACCTCGGCGTACGTGATACAGTGCTGTCGTTCCCTCTATTTTTCCTCTCAAGTCTTTTTTGTCTGTTACAGTGACGTCCGGCGCGCCGCCCTGGTGAACCTGCAGCTGAACGAGGAGACGCTCCCACACATCCTCGCGCGCACACGCGACGTCGACACAACCCTGCGGCGGCTCGTCTACTCCACTGTGCTCGAGCAGCAATGTCTGCCCGACACCGATGCAGGCATTGGCATCGCACACCCCCGCGCTCTCTCCATCGCACAGCGCGAGTTGATCGTCCGCAATGGGCTGGGGGACCGCGAAGAGACCGTCAAGGCCGCGGCAGCGAAGCTTGTCGGTACGTGGGTCGATGTCGTCCGCGAGAGCGCGGCCAAAAGCGAGGCCGGCGAAGACGACGGGATCCAAGCGGACCTCGTAGCGTTCTTGAAACTGTTCGATCTCATGGAAGGCATGCAGATTGCCGAGGACGCAATCTCACGTGTATTCGAAGCCAGAGTCGATATTTTTGACAACGTACAGTTTAGCGGTGAGTGCTGCATGGGAACGTAGTTCTGAAGGGTCCTTATGCGTTTGTTGGCAGACAATTACTGGACCTCTCTAACGCCAGAGAAGGCATTCCTAGCGCGCGTGTTTGTCGACCACTGCATTGTCACGAAGGATGACAACAGGCTGGAGTCTGTGCTTCCAGTCGTGACCGCGTTGGCCTTCCGAATCCAATCAGCATACAACGAGCTGCTGGAATACATCCAAGAAGAGGAGGAAGAGCAGCTCCTGCGCGCAGGCATGGACGACGATGACGACGCGCATGAGAAAAGAGAGGAGCAGCGGATGGACCGGGAGTTTGTCATTGCCGAAATGCTCAAGACCGCTGTGAACCTCGATTATGCAGATGAGATCGGGCGGAGGAAGATGTTCCAGCTCGTCCGTAAGTACCTTATGTACACTTCTCTGATGCTGAGCTTAAATCGTGCTCCGCAGGCGACATGATCTCCCAGGACGCGTTACCGGAAGGTCTGGTTGCACGGTGTCTCGACGTATTGAGGACCCTCTCACCGAATGAGCGCGATCTCATTCGCGTAGTGGTAGAAGTAGTTCATGAACTTAGAGATCCCACAGACCCGGATGACGAGCCTGTGAGTGGGCACCACCTCCATTTCAGCTTATGTCTGACGTCCCATGGTACCTAGAGAGAGATCAACGATGGTGAAACCGACTTCGGTGCTACTCCTGCGACCGTCAAGACTGTCCGCGCGCTGCCCAAGCCCAACGCGGAGATGTCACCGGAGGAGAGGGCAAGAGCGGACATCGTCGACCTGCGATGTCTGTCTCTGTGCATCGGCATGTTAGAGCGGGTGAACGGAGTATGTGTTTCCCGCTCTCTCCTTAGTCGGCTGGACTGAAGCACCCGACAGACTTTCGAAGAGAACTCGACGTTAGAGGGAATACTCGGAGAACTGATCGTCCCTGCCGTCAAACGTAAAGAGTTGATTATGAGAGAGAAGGGCCTCGTCAGCCTTGGCCTGTGTTGTCTGATTGCACGAGTGCGTCAAGAATGGTCATCGCTGGTCATCATATGCTGACCGTCCGTTCTCGGAGCAGCGCATGGCGTTGAACTCGTTCCAGCTCTTCCTCGGTCAAGTCCAATCCGCGCCACCAGTGCTCAAGATTCATGTTCTTCAGATCGTATTTGACATTCTCATGGTGCACGAGAGCGACTTCCTCGCGCCCGGCAGCGCCAACGTGCGTCTTCTGTGCTGTAACTCTCCTGTGCGTGATGGATAGCTGACGCGCTCCCAGGCAGAGCGCATCGTCGATTTCCTCCTGTATCAGCTCGAAAATGAGGAGTCAGACAAGGTGCAGGCCTTGCTTTGCATGGGCATTTCAAAGCTCATGCTTTCTGGCATGATCGCGGATGACCGAGTCTGTATTCTCATCTAACGATATTTGCACCCCGGTGTTGATACAGTGTATAGATGCTCAGGAGTCTTATGCTGATCTATATCTCGCCCGAGACCTTGCCGAACCAAGAGCTTCGCCAGTGCTTGTCGTACTTCTTTCCCGTCTACTCATATTCGTCCCCTACGAATCAACGTCGCATGCAGAAGGTGGGACTCTCCAGAAATTGAAGCCACAAGGAGAATACTGAATGCTCCTTTGTCGTCGACTAGATCTTTATCCCTCTGTACGAGCAGCTGGTCAACGTATACAGAGACTGGGACGGTGACGAGGAGATGGTCAGCCCGGCACAAGTGGGGCTTATGTTTGTGGACTGGACAGACCCACAGAAGGCCGCGTGCGTGTCATTGTTCCGTACAATATCGCCGCGCTGACGCACTTGATGCAGCGCTGTCGCTAAGGGTGTACAAGGTATCTCTGCGGACGAAGCTATTCATGTCGATTTTGCAAGCGATATCGTGAGGGCGTTATTCAATAAGGAGCTTGAGAGTGCGCGCTTTCCCTTATTATGCGTTGGTGATGTCCTGTCTTAATATTTGTCGGGGACAGAGGACGATATGAAAGGTCTGTGTCAAATGCTGGGCAAGCTCCACATACCCGAGGCTGTGGACGACGACAAGATTCGCACTCTGAAGTTGCTCACGCACAACCTGCGCTCGGTACGAGACCCCGTTTATCCATGGTCCGCTTCCGCTAATCCTTCTTCTGACCCGTCAAACAGCGCCGTCCACTCCGCGATACGACCTCCCACAACGCCTTCATAAAGTTCGACAACACGATCTCGAAGAAGTTCGAGAAGCAGCTGGAGGACTTTAGCGAGGACGACTATCGCCAGCTGGAGTACCTCAAGGAGCTCTTCGAATTTCTGGATGAGATGAAGGCCGAGGATGGTGACGAGGACGAGGACGTGAAGATCCCGCAGAAGACTGCCAGAAAACGGTAGGCTGCCCTATATTCCCTGCCCTAATTTCCACATACTTCTTGACTTACTAACGTTGTCGTTCTTGGGCGCAGACGATCTGAGAGCATCGCGACAGGTTCAGCTGCCAGTGGCCTCGCGTCCGACGCAGATGACGTCCCACCTTCTCATGCCCGCAAAGCCAGTAGTAAGGGTAAATTGAAGTGAATACACACTTCTCTTCACATGGTTGCTTGGATGCAAAGCTGACTCGCTGCCATTTGACAGGAGACGCCGCCTCTCCCTTTCCGATGACGAGTCTGATGAACAGACGGAAGCTACGCCACCTGCGCGCGTCATGCCGAGGCGTTCTGTGTACGTCACGTCATGGTGGAAAATTAGTGTTGTACTGATGAAATGTTCGTGCAGAGCGGAGAAAACCAGGAAGGCAGTGGCAGTCACCCTCACACCGAAGAAGGAAATGGACAGCGATTTTGAAGACGTGACACCTATGCCTTCTCGGCAGCCGAAAAAGCGGACAAGTACAGCGGCAAGAAAGAGGTGCGTCCCTTCGTCCGTGTGGGTTCTTCCTAATGCTGACATGACCGTGGTGTATCCAGTGCTCCACGTGACCCGTCGCCCCCCATTTCTATACACGACACGACGGAAGACGAGGCTCCGAAGAGACGGAAGAGCGCACCTGCCAGGAAAAGGTGAGAGCACTTCCTGACTGGTTGCTGATAACTAACAATCCTTGAAACACAGTGTTCCCCGCCCCGCGTCGCCACCGATATCGATACACGATAGCAGCGACCCAGAAGGAGATGATGCACCTTCTGCGCATGCCTCTTTCGCCACGAACTCGAGTGATGAAGAGGAAGAGGAGGAAGTGGCGGATATCTTATGATGGGGTATTTATGCGTGTTAGGCATTTATCTTATTTGAACGTCGCTGTTGATCTGTAACGGGCTGTATACGAGTTTATCTACTTTGTTTCGGTTACGAGCAACCATAATACCAGGTGAAATACCAGGTGCAGGGGTGCATTGATCCTGAGTGAGCATGGAAGGCTGCCGTCGTCGAACCAAGGTCGTGCATATTACAGCCGTTTGCAATCTTCTAACATCCATCTTAGTCGCGAGCGCGTTGTTTGCCCTTGTGTACGCGTGTGGGCGCCTATCGCGATCGAACTATATCACCTGCTCCACACGTAAAAACGCGATACGCCCTCGCGTCGCGCAGTGTACCGCGAAAGATAGGTCGCGAGTGCGTCCGACTCCGGAGACGGCGAGCTTGCAGTATTTATGCTATCCCACGGACGCCGTATCTGAAAAATGTGCAAACAAATTGAGCCTGGACTAACGTTGTCACGACTCAAAGAGTCAGAAGTCGAACTGCAAAGACGCGGTTGTTCATCACGACCGTGGAGGCAACCCACGCCCGAGAACGAACCAGCCGCAGTACTTCTGCCGTAACCATGGCGGACTGACGATTTTTTCCACTCCCTCCGAGGTGGGGCAAGAATCCGGGGTTCACGGAAATCCAGTCCAACGCATTTGTTGTGGTTCTAAAGAGGGGGGGGGGGCTGGCCGTCCGTCGCCCGTCTAGCTGAGTCCCCCGGAGCTACAAGACTGGTGTGCACGCCGCCGGGGTTCAGTCCGGCTGGCCGTCCAGTGACACGGCGGCTGTTCAGAACACTGATCCTGAAGACGGGCGCCGCAACAAAACGTTCGCAGTTAGCGTACGGGGAGATGGTAACCGTGTCCCCGGGAAACCCGATGACACCGAGGGGTTTGGGAGGGGCTGCCATGAGAGAACTACGTCAGCCCAAACGGTTTGGCAGAGGGTGGCTCAGAGACTTACAAAATTTTAATTTGAACAGCGCGACTTGCGCTCGCGTAAAACAGTGCATTTCATAATCTTGCAATTCGAGTGGTTGAGAATGCTGGTGGCGGTCCGCGCAGGTGAGTTGCAGCATGGACACCACGCGAATGCGTGCGATATGAGAGAAGTCATCTACCAAGTCAAGGTCTCTAAATTCAGCGGACAACAGCAGAGCGAGCCAATTCTGAAGCATATCCTTTGCGTGGACGTGAATATTGAATATTGACCGGTGATTGGGCATCGCAGACGCAGCAATAAGATCCAATCCATACGTAAAGGCGCACAAGCTCAAGCTTCAAGGTTGACCAGTCATTCTCTCGAGCGGGGCGCGAAGTCGGGTTGGCCGATAGACTTTACGCAGCCGCACGCGCATGCTTGCCAGAGGCCCGAGCTAAATAGAGACGGTAGGCGAGGCCAGGAACGGTGCCGGTGCGATGCGGCAGGCTACTGAGTCTGCGGTCTGTGTGTGCGTGTGTGTGAGGAGCACACAGTCAGCATGACAAACATTTGTCGTAAACCGTTGGAGCGGGAAGTCTGCTCGAGATAAACACAGATAGGCTGGCGGACGCCGGGGAGGGGTGGGATGCTCATTTCCGCGTCGAAGACGCGACGCACCAGGATTAGCAAACTAGTGATAGACGGGCCGTGGACGGGCCTAAGACAGGGATGATGGAGATGCGAGGTACCCCAGTGCTGCAGCAGCGTCAGATTTGCGTAAAGGCGCATCAGGCTGACAAGGGTGATTAGGAAAGCCATTATTATGCTGCCAGGTTCTGTGTCATGGTTGACGCGAGGACATGGGGGCTGCTGGAGGAGGAGAGGGTGTTTATGGCAAGCAGCGGATGGAGAGAAGAGTGAGTGCGGCTTGCATTCCGCGGCCGGGGGATGTGTGCGATACGGTATCGATCCTGTGTGATGCATCTGCCGGGCCATCCTGGTGGCGGTCTGAGGCTGCCCCGTGCTTATGATCCCGTCGCCTCCCTCACTCATAGGGATCATTTTGTAGTCTGCCTACGGGAGACTACCCCGTGCTGCCCTGCAGCCTCAAGTACGTTTGGCATGAGAGCCTCCCGGACTCTCCCGCTCTCGGACGGTTTCCCCAGACCTTCCAATTCACGGATGTCTTCGCAGGGACGTATGGATGGTTCTACGAGTTTGGAGGAGGAGGTATGTATATATACTGAGCTCCGTGCAGAGCTGCAGAGTGAATTCTTCCTTGCGCAACTTGAATTAATTTCATTTAATTATTAATAATTTAATTTCTGGCGACCACTATTCTGCCATTTCGCCGACCGGTCTCATCCGGAATTCGGCCAAGCTTGACACGTCTCTGCACTCTACGACGACGATGGCCTCTCGTCTCGGACGTCGATTATTGTCCCTGGTCGTACGGCCGCCTATCCGCGCTAGCCGCGGTAGTACCGGCGCGTCGAGAAGACTCATGAGCACGGCCCAGCACAGCGAGCCAGGAAGTGACAAGCCTTGGATAGTCAGTGTCTTCTTTGGAGAAGGTACCCGTCCTCCCTGCTAATTGTCTTCGATCGAATTAGATTGGTTCTGCTTTATTTTTCGGTCCACTTGTATGTTTTATTTTTTCGTCGGCACCGTAGGGCACGAGCTCACTAGTGATCTTCACCCAGGCACTCTGGCTGCTGATCCCTACGGTTAAAAAGGCGGACGATTCGTCACACGGGCACAACCCGTCGCACGGACATGTCCCGTCCAAGACACTGGTCCCTGTGAAGGATGACGAGGGCACTGAGGTCGCTGCTGCGGAAGTACAGACGACCATGCAGGATGCCTTTGTGAGTTTTGTGTCTGACGACTCATAGCAGTATGTGGGCAGTCACTCGTAGTCTTTCCTACTTTCGCGGAATCACATTTGACCTCGTCTAGCCTCTGAAGGGTGTATCCCTGCCATTCAATGAGGTTTCTATGTGATGTATCTCCCTAATGCCGCAACTGCAAGATGGCCGCGCTATGCAGAATTCACGCGGGTGTTGATCCAGTTGTAAAGGCCTTCGATTAGCAGTGTCACTGCACGGAAAATTGAAACGACGGGGAGTAGGCACGGTGCGAGGTTTTAGATGTGTCTGCAGTCTCCATCATCGTCGAGCATTCTCTTCTATCGTCCGTTGCGTCCAGTGCAGTAATCCATGAGAAGTCTGCTTTGGCCAACGAACACCAGGCTGAGTAAACTGCCTTTTAACCACATGGCGAAGAAGGAATCTCGGCCAAGGGTGCTCTCTGCTCTTCCGACAATCGCTTTTCTTTCTGCTTGTTGCAACGTGGGGAGCTTCTGGATACTTTGGCTGACGCACGACTCGACAGAACACTGATTCTCCGAAGGACGCAGAGGTTGCTGAGGAGCAGGCAGTACGTCGTTGTGTTTTCGCCAGGATCGCTCTATGTTGTACTCATAACGTCCACCAGACTACCGAGCAAGTCGGCCCTGTCGCCGACAGCGAAGGTGAGCAAGTCTCAGATGGCGAGATAAACTCATCCACACGTCAGGCAATCGTACGTTTTATGGTACACTACTGTTTCTGCCGAGTCGCTCACTCTTTTGCAGGACCAGGATTCTCCCAAAGACGTCCAGCGCACGGAAGCGGAATACGCTCAGGCGCAAACCTCCGAGACTGTTCACGAGCAAAAGGGCTCAGAGGAATCATCTAAAGATGCTCCCCAGGACGACACTCAGAAGGAGGCTGCGGCCGAGTCCAAGGAGTGAGCTGTTCCGTAAAATATATCAATTATATACAACACGGAGAAAACCATTTAGTAAACTTCTATCTGGACGCGAGAAACAAAGGCGCAAACATAGTGTAGCTACGGTCCTGCTGACCTATAGCGCGCATTAAATAAGTCATAAGTGCAGCCGCCTGACTGGCTCGAATTGCGCACAGCAAGCACTACATTACTGCGCAGACGTTGGCTTTCTATCCGATTTCACGACTTTGTATATCTGTACGTAGAGTATACGTAGAGTAGTCAACCGACATTCGCGTTCAGCTTGTGCACGGATTCGAAAAGTTGAGCAGTCGGTCGATACTGTCTGCATTCGAGGCCAGCCTTGGCAATGAAAGGCGCCCCCTCTTTCCCTCTCCCGATAAGTCGGCCAAGCTTCCGCAGACTGGATCTGCAACACGCTCGTTTCTCCAACGATGTCTGGCAGTCCACGCTCCTCGACGAGCGCGGAATCCCTCAGTTCTGGTCGACGTTCCCCCATTGGCGGCTTCGACTCGTCCGCGGCGCTCATCCTCGAGCCAGACGTCGAGGACACTACCGAAAGCCACCCGTTCGACTTCACCAGCGACGATGAGACCGACGACGATCTCACGGAACAGACAGACCGCTTGTTGTCTTCCTCGGTGCCCCCGCTGTCCTCTCTCACCGTCTTCCTGTACCTCCTTTCACCGTTCCTGAAGCTCGGAGCGTTCCTCGTGCCCGATGCAGGCCTCCCGTTGAGATATGGCATCCCTGTCCTGCTGTTCTTCGCCGGCCTGTCCGCCTTGACTCGTCAGATTTGGTACATGCTTGCCCGATACGTTCGCCGTGCGGACCTGGAGGAGATCGTACTGCAGACGTTTGCTCGCGATAGGCGGAAGGAGGGTACACGTTGGCTATTGCGCCAGCTTGTACGATTCGGTGTAGGACTTCTGCGAGTCTTGATAGCTGCACTGTACTTGAGAGGTGCGTTGGCTCCTTACCCGCCCACGACGTATGACTAAATGTAACGCCCTCAGCTGCGGTGGATGTCCTCTTACCTCTTGTACCTGCGACCTTGGTCATCCCGCCCAGGGTTTTACTGACCATCATCCTGGCGGCCGTGATTTGTCCTATATGCTTTGCACCATCTCTGGGAGCTACTAGCGTTCTGTACGCTTCGTGGATATCTGTAACCGCTTATGCTGCGTGGTTTGCGTGTACGGCGTATGCACATGCAAAGGGGATGCTCGTGGTTAACCCGGGTTCAGCGTCATTGGGAATACTCTGGGAAGGATCGTGTACGTCCTTTAATACTATGACGACATTGTCCACAGCTGACAACGTAGCAGCAATTATTGCCTTTGCGTTCTCCACATCTTCAACCATTCCGTTGTATGCTGCCCTGAAGGGCACAATCCAAGCTGCACAAGATCGGCCGAGACGGTCGCAGTCCTTCAAGCTTCTATCCGTGCTGTCCATAGGGTTAGCTGCACTCTGTATTTTTCCACTCGTATTTTTCCAATCTCCTGCCAATTCTCCGGTAAGTGCTATGTGTAGCGGTGTCATTGCGCAGCACCTCACATCCTCGCAGACGCTTCCCACGGCGACACTCAAGATTCTTACTGCGCTTTCTAACGCCGTAGCGCTTGCACTATCCTTACCGGCCGTATTGATTTCCTCCCCACCTCTCCCTATTCCATTCTCAATTCGCCACGCGACAAATTTCCCTCTTTCTAGGTCGTTGTTGTATGCCATTATTCTTTGTTTATCTCTGCTCCCACGTTCCCTGTCGGGTGTCCTAAGTGACTTTTTGCTTGTGCTGGCGTTCCTGAGCACATACATGTTACCTGGTACGGTTTCACTGTTTTTACGTTGTATAACATTTTCTTACCGGCCGCACAGCATTCATCCACATCACATTGCACAATTTTCGGGAACCCCTCTCAATCATCATCCCCCCGAGTACGCCAGTGACGGCGGCTTCCCCCTTCACCCCCGAACCGAGCTCTGCCATGAGTGACTCGCGACACGACGAGCTGCTGCAGCGCAAGGAACGCACCTTACAGCGGCGTAGGCTGGGCAAGCGCATCATCTGGGACCTCGGAGTCTGGCTGTTACTGGTTCCCGTTAGCGGCGGAGGCCTTGTATGGGCTGCTGGCAGAATTGTTGGGAAGTTCTAGTCCCCCGCATACGCAATCGTGGGACCGTTGAATTATATGCTTCTTATTTTGTGTGCGTTTCCTTTGTACATTGGGCTTCTGCGGGAAGATTTTGGAAAATGTATCAGTAGTACCACATTTGTACGCCCGTCTCTCATGTCGCTTTGTAGTCCAGTGCAGCTGCGTACGTACTTGACAATTGCCACCGACATTTTTTTGCGTGCATATAGCTATCGTTGATTTGACGTGGCAGTACCGGCCGCCCGCAACAAGCATTTTCAACTTGAACTTGTCCCGCTCATCTGCATCAGGCCTCAGATCTCAGACTCTACAACGGCACGTCTCTATTTCCTTTCCTTTGGCGACCGCCTCACACCTCAGGAATCCCTTGGTCTCATTTTGAGTCATCGGGGTGTAAGTTTCTCAAGCTTTTCCAACAGGACCTGAAGTCTCGGTGCGGATACATACATATCCAGATCTCTGGATACTGTCAACATCTCATCTCCTTTCTGTATCGCCTGCATAGACGTGGAAAACGATCCTGCATCCTCCTCTTCGTGCACCTACTAACAAACCCCTGGACAAATTCAAGATGAGTCTCAACACAACCGCCACCAAGTCATGGAGTGCCCCAAAATCACCTAAAGGAAGAATCCATCCAACGGACGTTCAGCTCGTCGCGCTCAGCAACATCTACAAACCGTCGGGCTATGCATCGAATAAGCGAACTCTCTCACAAGGTGTTGAAGAGACCGGACTGTATGTTCTAATTTAGCTCGTCTCTCTGGCGTCTGAACTGTGGGTTTCGGGTGTCTGAATAGACCAGAGAAATGGATCCGAAAATGGTTGGAACAAAAACGCCGGTATTCAAAAGTCAAGAGCACGCGTGCAGACGAGGAGATATCCACTTCTGCTAAACTGTCAACTCAAACAAGTTGTGCTGCTGATTCAAATCAAGATTCCGCTGTTCACGTTGAGTCAGACCACCACCACGGAACGTACTCTTCCGTCATACGTCGAGGACACTTCCATTCTTTGGCACTAGATGGTCTCCCCCACGCTTCGTCCTCTAAGGCGTATGTGACGGGACCTGGTTCTTCCTTCATGGTACCCTTTAACGCCTCTTTCCGGAACACTGTGGCTCCTGCTGAGCTCTCCACTGCATTGTCTCTGCCCTTCCAAAACGAATTGCAGTTGCGCTCTTTGATCCAGTCTCCTTCTCTGGGTTATATTCCTGTTGCTTTCCCTATGACGTTTGTACCGATGGATATTCAAGGAAGAGAGAGCTCCAGAGCGGCTCCAGATCATTCCGTGTTTCCCAGCTCTGTCTCGCAGCCTCTGGTCCCGATTATACCAGCATTCCCACTCTATCCCACCCAGGCGCCTGCTACGGACTCTCACAGCTCCAACATGGCCTACCTTTCCCAGCTGCTCTTTGAAGCTTCTGACCCTGTCCCTCTCGAGGCTGCCCGTCCCTCTGAGCTCTCGGGCTATCTCACTGCGCTCGGCCAGCGGCCGGCATCTGTCATGTCTTTCGACCCGTCCATGTTCTCTCACTCTACCAACGTCCTGGCGAATGAAAGCGTGAATTTCATGTATCATCCGCCGCCGGTTTCATTCAAGACGCGGTACTCGGACCTCGCCGCGCTGACGAAGAGGATACGAGCGGCGTTCGCTGAGAGTGTCCACCTAGCCGAGCGTGGCATGGATGGAAATGCGCAGAGCCCGGTCGTCACGCAGGCGCATATGTGGGCTTCGGGCAAGTAGCTGGCTCAGTTGGCTCTCCTTGACGTCGCTAGATACCGTTAATTTTCAGGATCGCAAGATATGGTTAGAATGTCGTGCTCGCACAGTCTCACCGAAACGGCCTGCCACGCTGGTCCGTACACGCAAATTCAATCCCCCTTGCTTGATAACAACGCGCTCCGAGACGAGGATACGGACGATGAAGAAGAGCTGCTGACTCCCTCTGGCGATGTCTCGCTCTTCTTCGACAGCGTATTGGACACCAGTGGCAGCCAGGCAATATTCGAGAAAACTGTGGAGTCGATTGGCCCAGTCAATGTGGCGGAAGAAGCATGACTGGCTAGAGGTAGGTCGTCGCGGCAATTCACCTATTCATAACTGAATGGTTGCTGCGTCAAGGTTTGAGGCTTTCTGTATCAATGCGGATCCGTTAGCTTATTTATGAGCCACGCGTGTTGCCTTTCCCTTATCATCATAAGACCGACCACAATGTTATTGCACTGTTCTACGTCGTGTATTATTGGCCTATTTGTGCGATGTCTACGGTGACAGAATACACGCGTGACCGACGCGTGACGAGACGCGCCTGTGGCTCAAACTTTCTCACGGCAAGTTGAACTCGGGAAGCGAAGGCACGCTGTTCTTGTTCCCGCTCCTAGTGCATGTCGTCTCAGTGATAGCCGTCGTTGAGGTCCTCTCCGGCTTTGTCTCCCCCTCCCCTCCAACGTCCTGTAATTATACTCTGCTCGCCATGGTCGCTCCTCAACCACCTCAAGAAGCTACTGACATTTTCTCTATCTCTGATCAAGTACTGGCTGATAGGCTACGGTTCATCGAAGAAGTAATGGACCATTTGGCTGTGAAACTTAGTCGGCGAGACTTATCTTTATAATTCAGATTGGTTTTGGAAATTGGGGCAGCGTTTGGTTATGTCGCCCCAAGCCAGACCCTGCGTCGCCGTCGCACAGCCCACACGCCATGCGCGACACCAAGATCGCCGTGAAGCTCGTACACCGCTCCAAGACATCCACCACTGCTGCTCGCGTCAGATCATTGTATGGCTTACTTTTCAAAGTTAAGTTCCAAGAATTGACGATATTCGCAGATGGAATGAAATGAAAGTTGTTCGAACGTTCAAGCACGAACCTCATCCTTCGATTATCCCTTTCTATTCTTTCATCATCACCCCATCATATGCTTTGATTACCATGTAAGTTTCTGTCAGTCGGACACGTCTGGTTCTGGCTTTCTTGCCGCGTATATTTTGGGTCTTTATTGTGATATGGCAATGTTGCTAAATTACTTCGCAGGGCGTTCCACCCACGCCTCATTCCGGTCGAGGTTCCGGAATCGCATGCGAAAGACTGGTTCCATTCTTTGCTTTCAGGTATTCAGTTCATCCACAAGCGCGGTGTAGTTCACAATGATATCAAGTACGTGCCAAGCATACGCTCCATTTTGTTCACTGATGTGATTTTCATAAACAGGCCTGCCAATATTCTCCTTTCACAGGACAATGTACCTGTTCTCATTGATTTTGGCTTTGCAGAACGATACGACGTTGATACGTCCAATGCATTCCACAGCAATCTTTCGTACGGAACTCCGGAGGTGCTTCGAGGTATTGTTAATGTAAGAACTGGCTGACAACATAATCAATTCACAGTATCTTTCACCTGAACGTGCTCGAGGTCTTCCTCACGACACGCGCAAGTCGGATATCTGGTCACTCGGAATCACATTCTTCGAGGTCCTGATAGGACGTACGCCGTTTGAATATTCAGAAGGTGAGCAGTTTTCTACCAAGGAGGATCTGGAGGAGTATTGGAACCGTACAGTAAGCATTTCGATGTCTTTGGGACATATTTGATGTTTACATAAAACGTCTGCAGCTGAGCGGCAAATGGGTTGGCAACTGGAAGATGTCCAAGGGCATGGAGAACCTACTTCTCAGGATGATCCTCCCCAACGCCGATCTTCGGTGCACGGCGTCAGAAGCTATGACTGATAACTACTGGTCGCAGAGTGAGATTCTCATCCCGAACTCTCGTGAGTATTCGCGTCCAGAAAATATGAATGTACGTAACACATGAATAGGGAAAGCAACAACCTCGCACGCGCCTGCACTCTCCCTTGGACTGGAGAAGGACGTGTCTAAGCTTTTTGACATTCCACCCTGGTCTCCACGAGCGCAGAAGGAGAAGCCCAAGACGGAGAGGGAGAAAGCTAGGAAGGTGGAGGTCAAGGAGAATGTGACACGTTCGTCCGGCACAGGTCCTAGGGCTATGCACCGGAAGGCCGATCGTCCAGCAAGCGCGTTGCAACCCTTGCATCATTCACGTTCGCAGTCCCAACCAAGGGTGCAGGTCTTTGAAGGTATGTACCAAATGGCTTGACCAGTGAATGATATTCACATTGGGACGAGCAGCGCGCGGCGTCAGCCAGACGAGGAAGAATGCCGCTATGCCGTCTCTACTAGCCACCCTTTCTCCCGTGAAACACTCTCCCCCTGCTGTGCGAAGGATTGTCTCGAACTCGGCGGCGGCAAAGGAGAACGCTCCGCAGACGTCTCAGGTCAAAACCGCGAGGATGACACGCAAACCACTGGGCCCACGCAGCCCCACTCCTCCAAGCTCCCCGGCGTCGCAGCATACGCCAAGTATTCATTTCAAGGACAGGGAGAATTTGGGCGTCCCTGCGCTCGAGAAGGACAAGGGTTCGCGCAGAAGCCGCGTGTTCAGGGATCTCACGGGCATCAACCGGAACGTAGAACCCAACAAGACTGAGAAGAGGGAGAACAAAAGCTCCGTGCGGGATCGCATGAGGGAGTGGGAGAGGGAGCGCGAGCGCCTCAGGGAGATGGAGATGCTGGAGGAGAGACTGAAGGAGGCAGAGGAGGAGCGCGAGAGGGAACGTGAGATGGAACGTGAGAGAGAACGCGGGAGAGCGCTGGAAGAAGAGAAGGATCGTGTCCGTCAGCAGGAAGATCGCGAGCGCGAGCTAAAGCGTCAGCGCGAACTCGCAGAGGAGCGCGAGCTTGCGCGGGAGCGTGAGGACTTGGCGCGAGTGCTGCAACTGGAGAAGGAGCTCGAAGATCCCAAGGTCAGACTTGGAAAGTCGAGGTCTCTAAGTCCTCCTGACAGCGCGTTGGTTACTCCACCGCTGAGCCCAGTCATCGAAGGTGAGATATATTCAAATGCTTAGGACTTCAGCTGACAATCTCGGAGTCGTAGATCCTTCAGAATGCAGCTGGCTCCCTAACGAAGTGTACTCTCGCTCTGGCAACGAATCTGGTATCAGCCTTCTGAAGCAGAGTCTGAAGTTGTCTTTTGGGATGTTTGGTGGGGTTCATACTCGCGCGTTACGCTGTAACGCTTCTTCTCAATCGGTTTGAATTTCAGACAAGACACTCAAGCTGTACAGGTCGTCGACGCAGGCTCTGGGAAGGTCCACTCCCATGTTGATGCTCCTTGATGAAACTTCACATCGCGAGCCTAGTGGCAGCTTGAGTCCACGAGCATTCGTAGGCGATGAGTTATCGAGGTCAAGTGAGTGTCTCAAATCAAGTGGAACATTACACGATTTCGAGCTGATAAACGCGCCATGTAGCAAATTCTTCACTGCCGAATGACGAGATGGAAGCTTCGACCGAAGTTGATCGCATGACTCTTTGGATACGCAGCGTCGAGAGTGTGTAATATTTTTTATTGCTCTACCAATTTCGAACTAAGCCATACTTCAGAGGTAGTCGAGGATGCCCGGCAAACCTTCTCAGCGTCCACCAGCAGCGACGTGCCACCTCCGGCACTACCTCTCAGCCCTGTGTCCCGACGGGCATCCTTGACTCGCACTAACCGGTCTTCACGAGTACCTCGCAAGATCCTGGCGGCGAACCATATCTTTGTTGACGAATACGACTCGTCACAGATGGATCAGAGTATGACATCTGTTGGCGGGACTACCGGGTACTTCACAGCCAATGCTTCTCGAGCCAACGCGAGCAGTGTCATTGACCACACTCTGCCCACTATTCCTTCGGAGGAGCTCAGCCGCGTCTCTGGAACCCCGGCGGTGCCGCAAACGCCTTCGCGGAGAAGGCGAGCTACTGTTGCGTCCATTTCACCAGAGCCCACTAGCAAGAAGAAGATCAGCCTGGAGATCAGTGTGAGTTCTTCGCCTTCGAAACTCAAGGAGAAGTCCAGGTCGCAGAATGACCTCAACCATATCGGGCCAATCACTCCTGTGGCGAAGTTGGAGTTCGAGCTTGGACGGGAGAAATGTAAGTGCACTGCATCAGAGTATTGTCATGCGCGCGCTGACCGTGACATGCAGTAGTTTCGCCCCCACTTCGTCCTCAGAGACTATCCGAAGTGGTGGATAAGAACATCTTTATCGCCTCTTCCCCTGCTTCCCCTGTGCCAACGGATCAATCGGGTAACCAGCGCGACAAGTCGTTGGACGAATTGACGTCGTCGCCTTTCCATGTCGACCCTTATCCTCCCAGGCCTCAGGCGCCTGCGAACATCCTTGACACCCCCGCTCGGAAACACATTGAAGGCGTATACGATCGGTACGTTCTTTGCATATAAAATTCGTAATTTAACTGATGTCGGGGGACAGATTCCTGATGTCCACAGCCGGAGTGAAACGCATGGGCCGCGGATACCAGTCTGATAACGTAGGGCCTGTGCTGAATGTGCCCCCTCAGAATGCGACAGCATACAAGCGCAACCAGAAACTCTTTCATTCTTCGCGGCGTCCTATGCCTCCTCCCATTTCCAGTGACGACATGCAAGCATGCTCTGTCGACGAATTCGGCGTCGTCATTCCACCTATAGGCAAACGACCCCCTCCTCATGACACCAACAAGACTACCGTTACAATTGTCCGTAAGGCTTTCAAGGCCATCGTCTCAGGGAAGACCGTGTCCACAAGATTCTCCAAGGCTCTCTGATAGTGCACCTGCCTTCCTTCACCTATCCGGTCCATCTAGTAGATCCGGTATCATTCGTTCACTCCGCTACACGCCTTTTCGTTGACACTAACGCACACATCATCTTTAACTCTGGACTTCGGTATATTTTGTCCCATATTGCATATATCCCTGCATTCTTGCATCTCATTCGCATTTCGCACGTCGTAGGCATTGTTGCTCGGTCGCTCTCGTGTTCTCGTCATATTTAGTGTTCATGTTTTGCACGATCGGTTACGCATCTTTACGAATCTTGATGTAGAATTTATTGCTAACGCTTTGATCATGCTCATGTACGCTGAGTCGGGATGAAGCTATTGGGTCTGTGACCCTTACCAATAAACATACCTTAATTCTCCAGAGCCTCCTGAGTTATATCGATCATTGACCTGGGCAAGTTGCAACTGAGAGTGCAATTAGTATTGACAGCCAACCCGGTGGACGGCAAACAACTCTCTGTCCCCGCCATCCTAAAGTGAAGCCGAAAACATGGATTTCATATGGTATATACGACGAACCAGTCGCCTCCACTTCTACTTGTACAAGCGATCCCGAGTAGCGCTGCTCTCGTGCAGCGGATAACCGTGCAGGTATAATAACCCATACCTCATGACTCCAGGATGCCCATCTCCTTCCACTTTTCCAAGAGCGCGCCGACGCCCACCGGGGAGTTTGACTGGCCCTTCACGTCCTTGATGTCCAACAGCTCGTACTCCTTGCCAAAAGCGAGGAAATGAGCAAATAGTGAGTTGAAATGCGGCTCGCTGCGGAGATGGAGGATCTGCGGATAGTGCGCGTGGTAGAGATGTGCGAAAACACGCAGCAGTTGGCGATAGATGTGCTTCACAGTGGAGGGAAAGTTCTGGGAGAATTCGCGACCTGAATAAAAGATTAGACGCAGTCGGAATGGACATAATTCAGTCACGTACCAGACTTGGTAGGGAAGACGGTCTCGTCGTCAAGCGAATTCTGCACCCACGTCATTACATAGTCGATGTATGTGGGGGCAGGGAGTTGAACGCTCTTGCGATCCTGGTTGACCCATGTGTAGCTGAGCCTGATTGACCCGATAGCCACATCTTCAGAGAGATTACAGGAATAGTAACTTACGTGGGCCCGGCAGCCATCGTCGGACATGATTGTTGGGTACAGCACTCAGCAAGCACCCCGTAGAACTGGTTGAGATTTTGATAAAAATCAAAGACTGAAAAGGAACACACAAAGCATGAGATACAGTCCCTCCAGGAATGCGCGGGTAGCCACGACACGCACTGTTAACCGCAACCCACTCCATGACGTCCGCATATTTTGGCAACATGACTATATGCTTAAAGTTTCCCTTAACGAGAGCCGCGTCTACAAAAGGGCTGGAAAGATAAAGCGGTCTAGGAACTGATGTATGTGTTACTACAGCGCCAGGCAGATTCTCGTTTGAGGGAAAACTGGACGACGTGGGTGTCGTCGAACGTCTGGGAGGGCGTGGAGCACGCGTCATTGATCGTCTGGGCAGACAAGTCAGAATATTTGTTGCACAGTGAAGCGATGCACATACCCTATCGAGTTGAAGAACGACATCACGATCTACGTTTGATGCGAGAAAGATATTCGAGGATGGAGTTTCAAAAGAAGTTCAGAAAAATCGTATAGAACAGGTAAGTAAGTCACATTCAGCAGGTGCAGGTCGATGAATGAGGGTGACAGTCGTTCAAACGTTCACCGCGGCCGTCGCTCGACGTTCAGATGTTGGCAGAGTAACGTGACCGAAGCTGGGAGATATACCAAGTGCGATTTCCTTTTCGGGAGGTATATTTGTCCCTATTTGAATCCGAGGCCTTTAGACAAGAACGCCAAATAACCTCCGCCACACTCCACTCCGCCGCCGCCACCACCGTGTTCGGTGTCATCTCCTTCCATATATCCTTCCCCTTCCACGTCTGGCGTCATCCAGACATGATGAAGACTCGCAGAAAAAGCAAGGCTGCCGCTGCCGCAGCGGCAGCGGCTGCTTCTACACGCGAAAACTCTCCTGCTCCAGCTGAGGCTACAACCTCCCAACCCACCTCCATCACCGTCGTTATTCCAGACGACTTGGACACTGACGTTCTGGCGAATCTTTTGCCAGACATTTCACTTACTTCGCCATCACCAGACTCAATAGTCGCTCTCTACAGATGGATCGTGACTCAGTTGTCTGAGAACCAGTCTGTCCAACGCGAGCTCGAAGAGACGCGTGCAGAATTTGAACGTAAAGAAATTGAACTTGACCAGGCACTCCAAGACCGAGAAAGTACTACAGCGGAGCTTGAGGCCACACTCGAAGGAGTGCAGAAGGAGTTGGCTCAAGTCAAACAGGAGAAAGAAGAGCTAGGTTAGTGCCTGTCGCAGATTTGACGAACACAATGTGAACCTCTTCCACAGCTACCTCGAAAGTCACACTGCAGACTCAGATCAGCGCAATTTCGACTACGCAAACAGCTTCCTCAACGGAAGTTGAGACGCTGAAGCACCGTGTTGAAGACGTAGAACGCGAAAAGCGCGACCTTGTTGGCGTTGTGAGCAGACTCGAAGATGGGAGTGCGCAGCGCGAAGGTATGTGACGGCGTTGCTCCTCTTGACCATAATTTTCATTCTCCCTTGCAGAGGAGATTCGGACACTGCGCGGCAACCTCAAACAGGCTCGTCAGGAACATCAAGCGCTTGAGAGCCAAGTCAGAGAGCTTCGTTCGTCGGAGACGTCGACGAAGGTACATGTACTGTTACGTCACTACCGGAATCATAACTCACATTCACAAAGTTCATGTTGGATTCGGCCACCCAGCAGCTGGCACTTGCCAAGGAGGAAGCGGCACGGATGTCACAGGACCTAGTGACCAAGTCCGACGAGTTCACCAAGTACCGCCGGGCGAAACACGCAGAGATCTCTCAGCTGCAGGCCGCGCACGACGCCCTCGCGCAGACACACGCTGCCACGGAGAGCACGCTCAAGGCGTTGCAGTCTGCGCAGATGTCGCAGTCGCACCAGCTGACACAGGCGTTGGAACGTGTGCAGGATCTGACTGGGCAATTGGCGGAGCAGGAAGCGACGTATTCGAGCGAGGCAGCCGGGCTGCGGCGACTGGTGGAGATGATGGAGGCACGGGAGGTGCAAGCCAAGGCGATCGTGGATGGAATCGAGAAGGAGTGGGCTGATGTCGGTGATCGCGCGGAGCAACGCGAAGCGGCACTGAGGGACGAGATCGAGAACCAGAAGCAACGGGCGGAGGACGCGGAGAAGCGGATGGAAGAACTGCAGGGCGTCCTTGACAAGATGGATCGGGGCGAATTCCCCATCCCGACTGTATTTGGTGTCAGTGCGCCGAGTACTCCTGCGCGTGGGCCGTCGACCCTCTCGGCAAACGGCACATCTGATTTACTCGTGCAAGGCATGATGGGTCTGAGCCCCACTGTGGCAATGGCGAGTAGGTCGCAGAAGGGTGGCAAGACGTTCACAGAAGTCTATTCTGAGTTCGTGAAGTTGCAGGAGGAGTACGCGAGGAAGTCAGCGGAGTGCGACCACATGGACCGGACGATGTCCGCCGTCCTGGCCCAGATTGAAGAGAGGGTAAGACAATTTGCTATGTCACGAAAGCCTTTTAATGTCTTGGTGTATTTTTAGGCTCCCATTCTTACGCAGCAACGGGCGGAGTACGAACGACTGCAGTCTGAAGCAAGTCAACTTGCCGCTCAACTATCTCAGACCCTGTCTGAACGGGATGTTTACGCTGCATCAGCAGAGGAGAACGGACAGAAGTTCGACAGCAGCACTCGCGAGAATAAGCTCTTATCGGTGCAGCTGGGCGATCTTGGTCGACAAGTACGCGCCCTGACGAAGGAGCTTGGCCGTACGCAGGACCCATCCATTCCACCGGATCATGAACTGGATCAGGACGACAGTCTACAGCCCGTGCATGATGTTCACACGGTTATCACGAACAACCTGGTGCTTTTCCGCTCCATCCCTGAGCTGCAGGAGCAGAATCAACGGCTGCTCAAAATTGTCCGCGAGCTGAGTGCGAAGATGGAGTCGGAAGAGAAGGAGTATCGCACAGCGCTGGATCAGGAGGGGGCGGATGCCGTGGTTGAATCCTATGAAGCGATCAAGCGGCTGACGGAGCAACTGGATGCCCATAAGAAGAACAGCGATCTGACTATACAGGCATACATGAAGGAGCGGGACACATTACGCAGCATGCTGGAGAGGGAACGCGCCTCGGGTCGCCCTGCCCACGGTGTTAATGGGGAGGACCTTAGTAGTCCTACTGAAAGTTCGGTCTCACAATCCGAGCTTGAGAGACTACTGGCAGAAACCCAAAGTCAGTTCGAGGCCTACCGAACTGAAATGGGTGACGACTCCACCCGGCTGCGGGAAGAAGCCGACACTGCGCGAAAAGAAGCCTCTTTGCAAGGTACATCGCTCGCTAAAGCTAATGCGAAGATAGAATACTTAAATGGTGAGTGTTGCCGCTTGATAAGACTGCTAATGTTCACTTTTTTACTCTCAGAGCGTCATCGTATGTTGCAGGAACAGACGACAGTTCAAAGCCGTGAGTTGGATAATCTTACCAAACGCAACCAGCAGCTGTATGATCAATACACCCGTATCGACATCGAGTGCAACCGTGTCTCTGAGGACTTGCTCACCACGAACGCTGCCGTCGAGCAACTGCGGAATGAGCGTGCTAACTTGCTCGCTGAGAAGAAGATCTGGGAGGTGCGTCATCACAGTTATATGCTGCGTCTTATGTCTCATCTCCCAGTAGAGCGTGAAAGGTCGCCTTGCGGACGATAATAAGGCACTGGCTATGGAGCGTTCGCATCTCTCCGACTTGGTTGCCAATGTTCAGAAGATGCACAACGATCTTGAGCGATCCGGCGAGAATGACAGGCGGCGTCTGGAGAACCAGATCAAGATGTTGGAGAACCAGACGTACGAACCCTTACTTCCAAATAATTTTGTTTGATCCTTACGGTCTTCCAGTCAGGACTTGCGGACTCACCTGCAACAGGAGCGCGGTTCCGTGAGACACCTGACCCTTCAGAAAGACATCGAATTGAAGGAGATGCAAACTCGTATTGACAAGATGGTCAGTGGTTGTCGGCATCTATTCGTATCAATTAACTCAAATATTGTGTGGCACCTTCGTAGACAGATGACTTTGCAAAGACTCGTGAATCTCTGGTCAGCGCGGAGACAAGCAGAAAACATCTTGAGGAGCGCGTGGAGCAATTGACAAGACAGCTCCAGGGCAACGAGGAGAAGCTTGCTGTTTACGAGAGAAGATCCAGTGGTGTCAACAGCGTCGCTCAGCGTACTGATGAAGACCTGACACGCGGACAGGCTCTAGAGCAAGAGGTTGCTGAACTTCGGTGAGTAACTGCGTAGACTCTTACTTCCACTATTTACGCTTGGACAGGTCTGCACTGAAAGTTGCAGAGGTTGACTTGGTCGCTGCTAAAAGTCACGTTCAGCAGTTCCAGGAGATCAGCCAGGCGAACGAAACTGCTCTTGCCACCATGAATGCTACTCATGACGAATACAAAGCTTCAACCGAGGCTGAACTTGCCAGACAGAAGGTGCGATATACACACATGCACTATCCTTGGTACCCTGATGGATTTTTACCAGGCTGCGTACGACGCCCTTCAAGAGCGGCTCCAGGCCATACAGCAGGACTTCGTACAGACGACAGAGAAGTACGGCGAAGTACATCGTACGCTTGATACCGAACGAGTCGCATGGGCAAACGACAAGAAGACGTTGGAGGATACTATTGTTGATATCACCACGTCCGAGAAGAACTCAGAGAGCGATCGTGCATCACGGGAGACTGAGATCCGCCAACAAGAACAGCGAGCCAAGGTAATGTCGTTGAAAGGGAAGACTAACAGTAACGCTGACCGGTCATGTAGGCAGCCGAGGAGCGTTATGCTCACGAGCTTATGGCTCACGCTGAGGCTATCAAGTTAGTTGAGGATCTCAAGCGGCAACTAAGCCAGGCAACATCTGTGTCCAGGGACCATCGCACTGCTCGTGAAACAGCAGAGGCCAAGCTTGCCGCATCTGAAGCTAGCTGGAAGCAACAGAAGGATGCCCTCGACAAGGAGGTCTCAGACCTCCAGACGAGGTAAGTACTACCCGTTGTTTTCCTGAATGTCAGCACAACGCGTGATCTGATCCTCGATTATTAGATGCAAGGACCTGGCTAATCAGAACAACCTCCTGCATCAGCATCTGGAATCCGTCAGTTCGCAGGCGGCTCGCATTCGCCAGGCTGTAGATGCATCGTCATCCCTCGTCTCTGGAGAAGACTCCGCCGACCAAGATACCAAGCTTTCTGAACTCCGCTCTGTTGTGACATACTTGCGCAGAGAGAAGGAAATCGTCGATCTTCAACTTGAACTCAGCAAGCAGGAGACTACGCGTCTAAAGACTCAGATAGAACATTTGAATCAGAGTCTGGAAAAAACCCGCAATGAGCTTTCCGAGGTAATGTGACATGCCTCCCAAAAACAATATGCTCCTAATAATAGTGCCCTCGGCAGGAACGGGAACGTGCTGTTGAAGCCGCCGCGTCTGATGCCCAACATGCCGAATTGGTTGACAGGATCAATCAACTTGCTATTGTACGGGAAAGCAATGCCACTCTGCGTGCAGATTGCGAAAAGTACACTAGACGTTGCGTGGAGTTGGACGCCAAGTTGAAGCAAATCTCTGTGGAGTTGGATCCTGCGAAGGAGTCGTTGCGTGTTGCTCAGGCAGAACTCGAGGCGAAGAACGAGCAAATCAAGCATCTAGAAGAGGAGAGCCGGAAGTGGAGAGAGCGTAATACTCAGCTGCTCACTAAAGTGCGCCCCACCTCATGTGTCCAATTACTGATTGTCCTGACAAGTGGGGGACAGTACGATCGTATAGACCCTGCAGAAGTGCAATCTCTCAAGGATGAGATTGATCAGCTTACCACTCAAAAAGCTCAGCTGGAGAGTGCTGCTGCAGAGCGAACGCGGGAAGCTGACGATCTGCATGCGAAGGCAAGACTTTTACACTCCGTTGTAAATATTTCTGACAGACCATGATTCATAGGTTGCACAACTGGAAAGCGGTAACTTCAAGCTGAAGGACATCGGAAAGCAGAACAATGAAAGATTCAAGACGCAAATGGGCAGATTGAAGGCCGAGGTCGAGACCCTGTCGAAGGAGCTGGCACCGCTCCGGGATAGTTTAGCAACTCTCTCGAGCGAAAGGGACGAGCTCAAGACCAAGATCCAAAGTGGAGTATCTGAGCCTTCCAAAGAGCTGGAGCTTTCTCAGCAATTGGAGGCATTGCGTACCGAAAAAACTGCGTTGGAGAAGGCTCTTGTTGACGAGAGATCGGCTCGTGCCAACGTCACCTCAGTTCATGTAAGTCACGAGTTTGTTGCCACTAGACAGGATTAACGTCGCTTCTAGGCCATCGTTCAGCGGGAAAAGGATCAACTACTTGCTGAGAAGGAGTCGTGGTCGACCACGGCTGCGATTTCAGCTAGTGGCTCCCAGACGGAACAGTGGCCGTCAGAGAAGGCTGAACTTATCAAGGCTCGTGATGACGCTTCGGCTCAGGCTGAAGTGCGTAGAGGTCGTATATTCCATCATGTCGCTCTCAACTCATCTCGTATGTACAGGCTGCTGTCAGGCAAGCCCAGAAGGCCGACGAAGATCACAAGCGCGCCCTCTCTGTCAACGTGGGTATTTCACAGAGCTTGACCTCGTCGTGTAGCTTATCATCGTCTCTTCCAGGATAACCTTAAAGCGATGATAGACAGCTTGCAGAGGTCACGAGCCTCAGAGCATGAGCGCGCCATTGCGCAACAGCAAGCTGCCGTCAAAACGGCGGTGGAGGAGCTGAAACGTGAAATGGTGCCTTCAACTTCTGCGGAGGAGACTGCTAGTCGTCATGTACTGGAGCTGGAGGAGCTACGGGATCGTTTGACGAAGCAGCATCAGGAGGAACTCAAGGCCGCCATTGAGAAAGCCGCTGCGGCTGCACGGCAAGAGGCTCTTGCACAAAATGCACACGCTACCTCAGGGAATCAGAATCAGGTCATCCGGGGTGCGATAGCTGCTCATGAGGCGAAGATGAGGGAACACCTTGAAGAGGAAATTGCTGCAGCCGTGGAGCGTGGACGCATGGAGCAGGCGGCGAAAGTCAAGCTAAAAGACTCGCAGCTGATCAAGACTCAAACCAGGATGAAAGAATTAGAGTTCAAAATCAAGGAGTGGCAGGATGCCGGTATGATTCCGCTCCCTGATGCTGCACCAGCACCGGCTGCACCTCCAGCTGCAACGCCAGCTCCTGCCGCAGCAAGCACGTCTGCTCATCCGCCTCCCGCAGCTGCGAGCACGTCTACTCATCCACCTCCTAAACCTGCAACAGGTCCGACCGCTCCAACTGCCGCTTCTACGAACCGGACGCTTCCTCGCAGACCGTCTATGCCGCATCCTGCCGATGGCCCCAGCCGCGGTCGAGGTCGCGGTATCCCTCGAGCCTCCGCCGGCCTGAACATTCGTGGCGCAGGGCGTGGTGGACCGCCAGTATCGCCAACATCCCCTATGGATGGTGTTTCGATTATCGGCGCGAGCAAGCGTGCAAGGGAGGACGGCGAAGCGTCGTCGGATGACTCGCTGGTGAAGAGATTGAAACCCGACGCCAAGCCTGTGCAGTTACGTCGGGATCGTGTACCACCACCATCTTGACGCTTCGTTAATCTTTGGCTTTCTGTGATATCTAGTGCATCTTGTTCTGCCGTTTGTATTGTTAGAGCGCATTACTGTAAATTAAATTATAGACCTGTACTTCATTGTCGGTAGCAAGAAACACGCACGGCTGGACCAGCCGCGATAATGAACATCCCCACCGTAGGAACGCCGTCATGTCACATGAAAAGATTTTCACGGATACGAGAATAGTACAAAGATAAAGTCTGATGAATCATACAGCCGTGCTCTGCTGGCCAAGATTATAGCGGTGGAGCTCGCCTGCGGAGGCGGCCCAGAGGCATGTCCCGCGCTCGCTTTCCGTGACCTGCATGGCGACAACAGGTAAGTCGAACGTTCGCCGGAAGGGCTGTAGCTCGGGAGGAAGTGCCTGTTCGTCAGACGCTGCAGTAGATGAGTATGATGTGGAACACGGGAGGACAGGTGGGAGGGCAGGCTGCCCAGTGCGCAATGACCATGCGCGCATGCGGCAGTCCTGCCCCCCCGCGAAGACGAAGTCTTGGGTCGAATCGACCACGAGGCCCTGTGACAAACGTCAGAACGTTGGATCGCGTGAACACGAGAGGTAAGAGGCACACCAGCTTGGCCGTATAGGAGTTGACATGCCCCGCAAAGCACATCAACGGTGTCGAGCCGCGCGGAAAACGCAGATCGTGGGTCTCCAGCTATGACAAAGTATGTCAGGACATTAGCGCTTCATGAAGGATTAAATACTCACGTCACCGCGGATCGTGCTAACGAGCAGTTCCCACTCCCGCACGACGCTGAGGTGCGTGATCGAACTCCTCGTGCTCGTGAAGCGACTGTTGAACATCGCCTGCCTCTCGAACGTCTCGCGCGTGTCGAAGCGATGGATTCCACCGTTACGCGCACCAATGTACACGAGGTGCTGAGTCGAGGTCAGATCTTCGACGAATGGAGGACACAATCATACTGACAGGTTGCTGATGTACTGACAGGACATCGCTGCCGATGTCGAGGGACTGCATGCCGCGGCCCGTCGTGATGTCTGGTATCAGGATGCCCTTCTTCGCGGTTCCAAGGGCCAGGCTGCACTCGTGCAGGTCCGCCGTCCAGACGTCATGGCAAACTTTCTGGGGCAATCCAAGAACAGTCCACGTTCTGCTGCAAGTCAAAATCACCGGATAAACACATACAAGAGACGTACGTACTCTACCGGATGAGACTCTTGGATGACAATTTTACAGGGTTGTCCAAAGGAAATCGCACTAGTGCCAGTAAACAGTCAGACGGACTCTTCTGATCTGCGATGTAAACGCAACGCACACACAGCGCTCGCCCGATCTGCAGATTGCGGAAATCTGTGCTTGAACGCTAAGCTTATGCGTCCAGGCGGAGTGAGCACGTAGACGTACTGAAGAGGCCATACTCAGCTCCCGCCGGCGGATAGTGTTGTAAGTATGACCCGATAGTGAGTACAGCCAACCTTGGGTGTCTCCCGCGAGGACAGAGAAAGGGCCACCATTGTATGATGTGTCGTCCTTGATCGGATGTCAGCTTGTGGGAAATATGGACGTATAAAAAGCAAGTATTGTTTACATAGACTTGGAACGCTGTTACAGCATTGTTCGCTGCGTCGGTAATGAAGTGACTGGTGCCTTGCGAGGTCGTTGCGATATGAAACGCAAGAACGTCGCTGCAGAACAGATCAAACGCCATACAAAATGTCACTTGAAAGGACAACCTACTGCACAGTACGTCTTCTGCGAGAACCGGCGAGTGAACCCCGCATTCTCTCTGTTGCCGCCCACACGGTGCCCTTGCCCATCGCACGTCCAGACATTAACCTACCATCTTTCTGCGTGTTCTCACGTTTAGACAGTAGAGGGCGCTTAGGGCGGATGACAGGAGGTGCTTGTGGTTTGGACGACAAAGGGAAGTAGCGTTTCTTCTCCTCATCATAATACAGGCCGGGCAGTTCGCGGGGCATGCTGGAATGCTGAACCCAGACAAGAAGCGCGTGAATACGCGCCCCTTTATACTGGGAGCAACCGTACAGGGTGAAGGTTTGACTATCCACGTCCTGTAATAAATACCATATTAATTAATGTGTCAATGCACTATAGCCTCATAACGCGAGAGGGCGCATGACGTGCCGGTAGCCCTGCACTGGACGCCCTGTGATGTGTCCGTAAACCTATCTTATAGGGCGTCCGTTGTCATTGGGCGCTGTATAAAATGAGCCTGAGGACATTTCTGACTTGTGCGCCTTTTCTGGCAGGACTTCTCGTAACACGAGCTGGAAAAACAAGATCTAGAAGCAGATGACCCGTGGGGTCTGGTGCGGGTGCCGTACCTTTGTGAAGAGTGCCTTGCTACAGACTTGCAATCAGCCTGCCTTTGTGGGTGGCTGTGATGGGGGGATGAGGTTTGTTGATACCTCAATGTTCTTCCAAATGCTCGAAGATGCTGGGGGTCGGCACTGGATATAAGACTTTTCCGTGACATAAATACTAGTAAGAGCGAGAAGGCTGGCCCAAGCTTGATGACTGGAGATTCTAGCTGCGTTCAGCTGCCCTGGCTGGCGGGGTCGCTCTCGTGCGTCGAGGAGTGGTTAGAACTTAGTTATGCGCGGACCTTGAAAGGGTGCCATCTCCGCCTCGGACTCGGCGCAGGTTGACCCCTATCCTATTGCATGCTTCACTTCCTACCGTCTCGCAGAATACATGATGCTATATTCCGAGTCTTCCGAAGAGGATTTTTATATCGATGGATCGTTTCTTAACAGATGATACGACGTACTCCATGAATTAAAACCCAAGGAACTAGTTGTTGTTCTTGGTGACACTGCTAACCGCAGGGGAGTCAAGGTGTGTCTCGGACGCTCATTGTACAGATGCTTTCTAACAGTGACATGATTAGAGCGAGAACATGTCTCCACTCCTTTACCTTCATGATTGGGAGTGTTGTGCTAAGGAGTTTAAATTGCCAGAAAATGTTCTCTTGCCGGAATGGATGTATCGCTTCTTGTATACTACCTCCCCTCATCCTTCCAGTGAACAATGATCGAGGACTCTTAGCGCTGCATAGATGTATATCAAGAAAGATACAATCACGGGTGCGGAGCGGTAGCCAGCAAGCTCCTAGATCCTGTATGTACTTCTTGCCTTCTCGCCATATCCTGTTTTCATGAAGACCTTAGTACCTTACTTCTGTCTGTGCACTGTTTCACGGGCGGGACGAGTGGGAGACGGCATGGTTTGTGAGCCGTCCTGTGAGTTGTGAGATGTGAGAACTCCTAACTGTTGCAAGAAAGATCTCAGACTGGAGTGAAGAAGTTGTGACCTAGACATACTATACGGTACTTACATGAGACAAAGCAGGCTCCAATAAATAAGACCACACATTGAGCAGCTCAATAGAGAGTAGATGTTGGAAATATATTTCTGCGACGATGAGGAATAAAAATCGAGTGGCAGACTTGTGGTAGTGGTGGAAAGGTGGGGGCCCGTGGGGCGGCAATTTTGACAGCTCTCTTTCTACCATTTGTACGCTTTGCTCAATGAAGGTGGACATCCATGGCCATAGGACCTCGAAAGCGCCTCATCCCGTCCGATCTGCGAAGTTAAGCGAGGTGCCGCCCAGTTAGTAGTACCACGGTGCCAGTGGGGAACCACGCGGGAGGGTGCTGTGGTTTTTCAGTTTTTATCTTACCCCGCGTTTAGCTTCTCCCTATTCACAACAAATGTCTTCGTACGGACAAGGTAATATATATCACGATGCTGAAGGCAGCATCACCTGGAATTAATACCCAATGTGTACACCGTATAGTAAATGATATTTATGCCTCTTAGTAGTCATCTATCTTATTTGAACCTTCGCTTTTGATCTGTACTACAACAACAACAACAACAACAACAACAACAACAACCATGTTGTCGTCCCGGCCTCGATGAATGTGGAATTTTATCGTCGCCGATAGCTCATCCAACCCTCTATACCCGCCCCATGATGGGCATCCAGCGTACGGAGTTGGCGTTCCCGACATTGGGCAAACGCAGCCAGACACACCCTCACCATCATCCACCAGTCCAATCGCACATCCATCCCCGCAGCACGCCAACCAGCTCATCGTCACTTCCTCTACCACTCGGTCTGTCGCATTCATGAACCATCATCGTTTGTCCTAGGATGGACGACTGCCGGCAACCGGGTTGGATTATGTAAGGGGTTGGTACAGAGGGTGGGTCCTTGGTTGATGCTTTCCCCTCCTTTCAAGGAGTCCTTTCTTCCGGCGTAACCCCCATCCACCTACATGGTCTTATCACCGGTGATCCTGTACTCCAGGTAGCGGAGTGCTAGTCCGGCCAACGTCCCGCTCATGCCATTGTAGATCCGCTGCTCCATACATACTTGGTTCGTCGAGGCCTGTCGTAGACATGTCCTAAGCCCACTGGAGCGAAGGCGGATATAGTATTGTAAACATTGTAAACAAGCTATATACATATTCATCTACTTTAATTTAATTACGAGTAACTGTGACGCCGGATGGAGCAAGCTAACCAGCGGTTGCACCAAGGTCGTGCAAGTGTCTATTGAATGGGTAAGCTCCTAGAGATAGCTGCGTAGATTGAATTTCCCCGGTCTGCTAGACCTGCATAGATCTGCATCAATGATCAGTTTCTATCAATCCATACGGACAGTACACTCACGACTTTTGCTCCGCAATAAAACCATCCACCCAATCGCACACCCTCATCTCTTCCATCTCCTCCCGCATGCCCTGGTCCCAAACCGTAACAGGGTCGCGCAGCACGCCGCTCGTCAGCTCGATGAACTTCTCCCTCGTACGCTCGGGTGTATCCTCACGATTCGGATGCCCAACGGGGCGCTCAACAAGCACCTCGTCGAGCACTGTCCCGTCGTCCATCGTCACCAGGAGCGCGCTCGCAGCCTTTTTCGCGCTCATATCATGATAATCCCTCGTCATCTGCGGGTCCTCCACCATCGTCATCTTCGCACGGAGCGCCTCGACGCGCGGATCGCCCGTCCATGGGGACGCGTCCGCATAGTCGCCCGCCGCGGGCCACCCGCCCTTGAGGAGCGTGACCGCAACCATATACCGCATGCAATGGTCGCGGTCCGCGGCATTGTGCAGCGGCCCTGTCTTGTCGATGATCGTCATCGCCGCCGCCTGCGTGCGGATGCGGATATCGCGCACGCGCTCGAGGCGCCCGCGCAGCTGCGTGGAGAGCGACAGTGCAGCTTCGACCGCAGCGATCCCGTGGCCCTCCGCCACGGCAAGCTTGATGAAGAAGTGCTCGATGACGAGCGTGTGGAAGGGCACGGGAAGCTCGAACACGCGCCCGCCGAAGCTCGTCGCATAGAACCCCCAGGTGGGCGCCGTGAGCACGGTTGGGAAGCCTGGTTGGCCGGACTTGGTCATGAGGACGAGGTGTACGGCGCGCATGCACGCGTCCCCTGCCGCCCAACCTTTGCGCGGGCTGAAGGGCGGTAGTGAGGTCAGTGCAGGTAACTGGAGGATTGTGGATAGGCGTACCTGGTGTTGGGACCCTGCCTGTAGATCCGGAGCGGTTGTCCGTCAGCGAAGGCCTGGCTGATTGCGTCATTGGCCTGTGCACGCGTGAGGCCCATGAGCTTGGAGACCACCGCTGTCGCGGCGATCTTGACCAGAACAACGTGGTCAATTCCGACTTTGTTGAACGCGTTTTTGATCTGCACAGTCCATCATAAAGACAGGACTTAAAGTACTGATACAGCATACCTGAAAAACACCTTGAATCTCATAGGCTTTGATAATAGCCTCAAGGACGTCCTTCATCTTGATACTGTCGTCACCAGACTTACTGAACCAGTATGCGACCGGGAGAATGGCACCGATATTGTCGGACGGATGGCCCCACTCCGCACCGGGAAACGCGTCGCTGTGGTCGAGATAGCGGATGAGGGAACCGAGGTCGAACGCCGCCTTGAGTGGGTCAAGCACGTAAGGCGTCGCGGGGAGTGGGAAGCCATTAGGTACGACAGTCCCCTTGACGGTAGGCCCTATAAAGCTGCTGCAGACAGGGACGCTCTCAATGGCGCAGGCAAGAGAGTCGAGCAGCGCGACGTGAGCGCGCATCCATGCATTTGTGGAGGATATTTGATAATTGAAGACGTAGTCAGAAATGGACTGAATAACAGCGTCAAATGGGGGACGAGTGTTGTCGGTTGATGCCATTGGGATGAGGGGATAATTTAAGAGTGTGCAGCCTCTTTTGTTGCACGGCAAATTTTTGTAGGGAGATGGAGCCCACTTTGCAGTCAAACGATGGCACCTTTATAAGGGAGCTTCGGCGTCAGGGCTGGTCGCTTTGGTTGACTTGTGAAAGTGGAAGCAGGCGCGGGTGAAATCATATGAAACAGTCACCTGCCTTTATTTACAAGTCTGCGCTCTCAGAAACCACACTTCCATGTATTCCAAGCACGGTATGTCTGAGGGTGTTCTAAACGGAAGTAGACCGGTCAAATATGAGCCATCCAGGCGGAACGTTGGTCGGCGCATATGATGCTTGGCACGTTAGAACCATATCACTCGCCTGCTTAAATCGAATCACGATACAGGACTGGAATGTGACAATGATCCGCGGGAAATCTGGGATATCACGGGCAAGATATCACAGGCCCGATAAAACTACAGAGGACTCAAAGGAGGAGGCCTGTCTCTCGTTGGCCACGCCACCGAGCGCGTCTACAGCATGACGTAAGCACAGATCGTCACGTCGATCGATAAAACTCCAATCTAGATCTGCAACGACGACAGTGGATGTGCATGCCAGCTGCACTCCCGCGCAAATGCGTGTAAAATTCCACTCGCACATGCGCCATACTAAGCGCTACAAAGGAGTAAAATACCTGTACAAGCCTAGCTGTATCACAGGGGTGTCCCTAAGGTGCAGGGGCAAAACTTCTGGCCCAAACTCAGCTCAGCTCACTGCAGCTCACTGATCGCCGCGCCATCTACCGCCCACGTCCCGCGTGGGACGCGGAAAGGGTCGGACTGGCGCGAGTATGTGATGTCACCCAGACGTCCTACCGCATTCAGCTTCACCGGGTCCACCAGTCCGCGCTCGTTCAGCACGTCCTTCCGCACGTGGATATACTTCACCAGCCCGAGGACCAGTGTCGTCGTCGCCTTGCCTGTCTCGGGATGCACGATCTCGTGGGACTGGAACAGCTGCAGATCCTGCGTCGGCGAACATCAACCGTCTCGAGGAGTACTATTGGTCCGTACCTCGCACTCCATGCTGAACGCGCTCTCCTTAACGCGCGCCGCCTTTATCTTGATCTGTGGCACGCAGAAATAGCAGAGTAAAAGTTAGACTCCGACAGCACTCAAATGGCACTATACGCACGCTCGGCTCTTTCGTCAGCCCGCTTAGCGGCCATTCGCTGACCTCCGTGGGCGCGTCCACCGCCGTGGCGTTCGCACCCGCGACAAACGCGTGGCTGATAATATTCACCGTGAACTCTTTCGTGCTCATTACATTCCGCAGCGTGTCCTTGAAGCCGCGGGCGCCCGGCAGGTGCAACACCGCGAAAGACACGACGGGTGGATCGAATGTGACCTACAGCGCGCTCAGAGTTCAAAGTCGTATGGGGAAATACTCCGTCAGTGCTCACCATATTGAACCAGCTGGTAGAACGCGTTGATGACGGCCGCATCAGTGCGAGAGTAGGTGTATAGATGGGGAACGCGACTTTACCTGAACGGCGCGAGGTTCTCCGTACCCGTCTCGGATATGGAGGAGACAAACGCTATCGGACGGGGGATGATTCCGCTAATCATGAGAGCATACTGCCACCCCCAGTCAGTGCGAGCTCCCTCCCCAGCTTACATTAACCGGACGGACACTCACCAATCTCCTGCACCCGCCGACGCACGCATGACGCCATGAGGAACCGCAAGGAACTGAACGGGCGACCAACTCACGAGGGGTCCGCAGTCGCGGCGTCGACGACCTGGAAACCGGCCTTCTCGCCCGCAAGCCACTCGCGCCCTTCGAGCGTCGCGTCTACCTTCTGCCCAAACGTCCACCCCGGTACGGGCGGCGTGGTGAACTTGGCTCGCGCGTCGTGGGTAAATGGGGGGAGGTCATCGATGGAGCCCATGTTCGAGCGGGAGTGTGGGGATGAGCTAGAAAGGCGAGCTAGTGAGGTAGGGTAGCTTAGTGTTACGGCTGCGTAGCGATAGCAGGCGGGCCTTAAGTAGCGGGTGCGCATGTGGTTGAATCCTCGGGTCCAGCGCTCACTCAGCATCCTGGTCGTTTACCCAGGCTGATGGGTACCGCGATGCCACGACGCGGACAACGGTGAGAAAGCGGTGAGAACAGATCGGATACCACACCCTGCACACATCTTTGATCCGAGCCTGCTCCTGCGTACGATGTATGAGCTTATCGGAGTGTTTGTCCAAAAGTCGCAGACGAGGGGCACGAGATTTGTTACCAGCAGAGATGAGAGCGCATCGTAACGCGAGGTAAGGCATACTACACTTGGTGACACAGGATTACTGTAGTGTATGCACGACCGCTGGAATGTGCCCGATGCGGTGCATGAACACAGTGCGGCATACTGTGCAGCCGGTGAGAGGAGGTATCGTGGAGTGCAGGGGTCGACTCATCACGATCTAGTGTTTGAAACTCGAAGCTGCAATTGAAGTATAGCGTCTACTAAAGCTGTATTGGTGTACGCCGGGTTTAGGAGATCGGCTCGGAAATCATGCAAGTAAAATTTGGAGTGTTATTACACTAGCCATTCAGTACACTGCAACTCTACAGGCGCCTCAGTTGGCAATGCGGAGAGATAGGTAGTGTTCGTTTCGTGATAATACACAAACAACCAGCAAGAACGTGGCGCGCCTCCGAGCTCAGGCTCAGCAACACGGGAAGACAGAGAGAACTTCCAGTCCAGCGAATATACAGATTAGTTTCCTCGGGACACTTTGTCCAGTACTGCGGGAAAGGAGTGCAGTCAGCGTTGCGCCATGGCAGATGTCAGGAAGGTGGGTGAGGTTAGGGGAATACGTACCGCTTTCGTACGCTACCTCGCTGTAATCCGTGCCCTGGATCTCGTGCGCGACGCCGACGAGGGAACGTCGGAGACCGTCCTTCGACGACGCGAACATCATCTTCGCCTTGATCTTTGCATCATCTGGGGACCTGCACGCACAATTCGTCAACACAACACATCTGACGTCGAACAAGAAGCGACGGGCACGCACCAGGAGAAAAAGGTGATCTTGTTCCGTATCCCGCCCTCCTTCTCGTATTCGAAGTCGTAGATAGCCCAGCGGCACTCGCCCTCGGGGAGGTCCGCGAGGAAGTCCTCGTAGCTCTTGGATGGAGACGTCTTCTCCACGACGACCTCCGTGTGTTCGTCGTTGATCTTGAAAATGATGTACTTGCTCTTTTTGCCAAGCTTGAGCTCCTGGAACGCTTCAAGACATTCCGAGTTCACGCCGATTCCGGAGGCCTGTCGAGAGCACACGATCAGCATCGCCGCAACGTAGCTGCGCGAAAAAAGTAGACGCACCATGGCTGCAAGCGTACGTAGATGATTGTGAGGTGGAGGTAGATATAGAGATTGGACGGAGAGCTGGTGGTGAAGCTTTGAAGAGGCTATCTAATAGCAGATAAATCGCGATGGTGGCTGTGACAACGGCGATTGCCACTCTGATTGGACGAGGCCCAGTGGCTGCGGGCGTACTTACTCGCGCAGGCGCAGCTCCTCTGCGATCTGTTTCTCAATCTATTTGCCTGTTCAAACGTATCCGAGTCCATAAAATACACAAGAATTTCATGATCTGCTCGGGCACTTCACTCAAAAACGTGGTCCAGCCACGCCTCGTAATCATACTCAGGCTGCCCCGCACCGTTCTGCGCACTGACAGACGGCATGACCTCGCGCAGATACTCAATCGCGCTCGTCGGCAGTTGCGCGATCCGCAGGTCGAGCTCTGTCACGAACGGCTGCATGGGCGTCAGTGTCACTAGGCCGAAAGAGGTAAAGAGGTTTAAATTGACCTTCTCCGCAGCGATGCCCCGGAAGGCGTCGCGCAGCTGCTCCGGCGACGTCTGATCCTCCGTGATATCGACCTGGAGTCAGGAGTAAGCGCTGTGAACTCACGAAGGACCAAGCGGCGCATACCAAGAGATTGATGAACGCCTCGAACGTCACTGCGCCGTAGTCTTGCATGAGGTGGTCGTAGATAATGTCCATATCCTCGTCCTGCGGATGCGGCGGGTACCTCAATGAAGAGTCGCAAGTAAGGATGAACAAGCACATACCGAGTAGACGATCCCCAGACTGGCGAGTGCGCTGACTATCTCCGTTTGGTTGAGCGTATTCGATTCGTCGCGGGCAAAGTACCGGAATGTGCTCTCGAACTGTTCGAGCTGCGCCGGAGTCAAGTTCGTCATGTTACGCGAGACTATCTGCTCCGCCATAGCCTTGGTCAGTACACTGCATACAGCAGATGTCCGCACAATGCGCAGAAGCAGAAGCAGAATGGCACCTGATTATCGATAAACGCGATCTTTTTCGACACGCTCTGTGCGAGGAGCTCGAGCTCGAACTGTAAGTCCTGGCACGTAAAGACGGTATAGTCGTTCTCATCCACATTTGCCGCTCGGCACTCGTCTTCGGCTGCCGCCACCTCAGCGAGCGCGACCGACAGCGCGGGCATCCTAGTGTTTAGCTCGTGTACCAGCTCTTGCTGCGCCTGCCGATGACATGTGAGCTGTAGTATACGCCAAAGCAGATGATGCGCACCTCAAGGGGCGCTTCGACTGATGTCAATTCAGAGGAAAACGCATGCAGGCGTCGCTCAAAGTTGTTCGCGAGGTCGGCGTATTTGACACGCAACGATTCCTTAATTCTATCAGTCCCATATTGAGCAACCGGTTCAAAGACCTCAAAAGTCGTCAGACTTACTGTCGTATCTGCGCATTAATTGCGCGAGACCGCTTCGCCTCCGACGCCAGTAGCATGTTCCACTCCGTGTCCAAATCCTATCACACATCAATCACAACAAGCATGAGCACCCGCCACACATGCACCTCACGCAGGGTGAGGGAGCGCCGGACCTACCGCGATGGCAAGACCGGGCGGGGGAACGTACTCCCTTAGCCTGTACGTGCGCAGCTTCGTCTGCACATTCCCGAAGAGCGTCGCGACGTCCTGCTTCTCGGTAACCCACGCGCGCTTCGTGCGCTGTTTGTAGGTGCTGAAGTTCATCGAGTGCTCCTTCGCGTCCGCGTACGTGCCTATGAACTGGATCACAGACCATTGGATTTGAATGTTGGACATCGCTGCTAGTAGCTGCGGAGCATGGAGTCAGAAATCGAGGAAATGGCACGATAAGATGGATGCGGACAGCTCGAACACGCCGCTCGTAGTCGTTCTTGCTGACCCATACTGATTGCATTAGCTCTGCGAACTTCTCTACTCGACGCGATTCATTCACGGCTTGATCTAGCAAAGGTTCACGTTAGAGACGGGCATGTAGCCTGATGGCGAGCCTTACCCATGGAAGAGAAGGCATGGAAGAAGCTAGCAATGTAGGTCATGACGCTACGCTCGTCTGGATGATTAGTATCGCACAAATCGGCTACTTCTAGAAGTTGCTGGAGACGTCTTAACCCTGTGAAGTTGGTGTAGGGGACAGCAGAATCAACATACGGGAATGCCTAGATGATCGGTGGCTACTTGGAAAGCGAGGCGGGTATTTCCATGTCGGTCATTCTAGTAAGAGGGCTATAAGAGATTAGCAAGATCGTAGGACCTCGTAAGACTACCTTGTCCAACTTGTCGTAATCAATGAGATCGGGCCGATGGCAATGAATCAGAGCGCATCTGTAGGAGTAAATGAGACTACAATTACCATGTTGTCACAATTCCACTGACAATGCCAGACCATCGGACCAGCTGAGGGAGAAATCTTGCACGTTGACTTCCTTGTACGGGGCAGTCTTGCGCTGACACCAGAGCAGGAGACCCTCTTTTGCCGAGAGGCCTTCTTCGCTTTCACATACGCATTACTCAGCGTGTAGCCTATAAAATATGAGGTGGCTACAGACAGACCTGATCTCTGCGATGGTAAAGCGGAGGATGAGAGTCCAAATCATGCCAAGGATGAGCTTTAGGTTGCCATCGATGATATCTGGTCGAGAGTCAGTTCGCCAGGGAACACGGAGAGTAGCTGATACCACCTTCTGGGCCGATGTTGGTGAGCTTTACGCCTCGCGACGTGATGAACTCCAATGCTTTATTCACATTCTCAGCCTTCTGAACGCGCATTCTCGGAGCCTTATTGTATCTTCCGAGAGAGGTATCGCCTGCATGCTATTTGAGATGCTGTGCCGCATATTCTGCGCCTACTTACCCATGATTTCCTGCCCGGCGTTGGTAATTGGTTGTGTTCAGATAAAAATAACGAACGAGATTCACCATGAGTTGAATCAGTCGCACACCATCCGATAGATCCTTGACAAGGGATGTCATTGGTGGATGTCCATTGGACTCTAGTTTAGTGTTGAGCCTAAGATGTGTATGAGCCTGGGCTGCGCCGAGCACTCCAAGGACAGGTATGACACGCGCCATCTGCAGAACGTTCGTTCCTGGACACCGCGTGAACGCGCCTCAAGAGACTCCATCATATGCTACACTGTGCAGTCTGAAGCAGAGAGAAAAAGCTAGCAGAGGGTGAGGCTTAAGTGAGTAGCGAGTGCACCGCTGAGAGCCGGTTGAAGGGGAGCAACTTTCCAACTCCGAAAATGCACATTTCTCATTGAGAAATGTCACTGTCACTGTCGACAGGCGTCTGCTCATCACTTCGGAGTCCTCTTGAATATTTGGTTTCCATCCTACTATTATTTCACCAGTATAATTGGCGAGTATGGGGCGCATGAGAAATTCAACCAATGCGCGGCGCAAAGAATTGACGATGAGTTGTCCCTCACGAACGCGTCTTGTCACGTCACGCTAAAAAAAGCATTGTAACAATTGCCAGCACGTGGGAAAGCCTGCATTTGTAACCTCAGACCCGAGACGCGTCCCAAGTAAGTAAGTACCTTGCACTCTCTCCTCAACACGACCGTCTCCCCCTTCCTCCTCAACACGACCTACAACAACAATGACGACCCAATTCGACCGTATTTATCATGACCTATCTCCTGAGGTTGGCAGTAAGTCTCATCGTGTCCGCGGACGGTGCTTTGTCTCACAGTCTTGCAGAATTCCGTGTTGCAGCAAGCGGAATGGCATGGAAGGGCGAGGAAAGTGAGGCCATGGTTGCGGTAACATCCACAGACATCAAGTGGGCGCAATGGCTGCGTGTAGCCCGCAACTACCAGCTTCGCGTCGGCTTGAAGGACAGGTCGCGGGAGACGTTCGATGGCTTCTCGCGCGAGGTGCGCCATGAGATTCGCGACCTATTGACTCATTTTCACGCTACGTTTCGCACAGGACCATGATAAGCTTGCTCAACTCCTCAGGCAGCACTTCAGTATCACTCTCGAGACGAAGGAAGTTTCCCTGAAAGGGTGGAACTGGGGCATGACTGACTTCCAAGGTAAGTGCGGTGTCTCTAGTGTGCACAAATATGCTCAAGGTGCTGGATCAAACAGGGCAGGACCTCGCCTTCCTCGTCTCCAACAAAACCTCGTTTGAGCTGCCGCTCACGCAAGTCGCCAACTCGAACATCGCTGGTAAGACAGAGGTCTCCCTCGAGTTCGCTACGCCCTCGAACAAAAAGGCCGCCCGGAACGCGCCCGACGAGATGGTCGAGATCCGGTTCTACGTACCAGGCACCCACACGCGCAGCGCGCGGGGCTCCGACGCGGGCTCGCAGAAATCCGATGAAGAAGACGAGGAGGAGGAGATCAGCGCTGCCCAGGCATTCCACGACTCCGTCAAGGATAAGGCGGAGATTGGCCAGGTCGCGGGCGATATCATCCTCAGCTTCGAGGAGGTGCTCGTCCTCACGCCCCGCGGTCGCTACGACGTTGACATGTTCCCCGAGTTCTTGCGGCTACGGGGCAAGACGTACGACTACAAGATCATGTACTCGAGCATCTCGAGGTTGTTTTTGCTACCCAAGGATGACCTGCATGTGCTGTTCATCGTAAGTAAACTACATTGCTGCCGCTTGGCGAGTTATTTATGGCATTGCAGCTTGGGCTCAGCATACCAATCAGACAAGGACAGACCCGCTACCAGTACCTTGTGATGCAGTTCAGCCGTGAAGAGGAAATTACTGCAGAGCTCAACATGACAGAGTCAGTTCTCGGCCTTTTCTGTGCTCCTTGCTAAGGGATCTCACGTTCCTGCTCCCCACAGCGAGGAAGTCGCCAAATACGACCGCCTGAAGAAAAATTATGAAGATCCAACGTTCGAAGTCGTCTCGGGCGTCTTCCGGGCGCTCTCCGGCAAGAAGATCATTGGCACGGGCAGCTTCCAGAGGTACGTGGCACCCGTCCAGCGCAGCGCGCCCAGCCACTGACACCGTCGCGCAGCCACGACGGGCACGCCGGAGTGAAGGCGAACCTGAAAGCGGTGCAGGGCGACCTGTACATGCTCGAAAAATACATCTTCTTCGTGTCGAAGCAGCCTACGCTGCTGGAGCTCTCGGAGCTGCACCAGGTCGTATTCTCCCGGCTCGGCGCGGGGATGGGCGCGACGGCCGCGCGCACGTTCGACCTGAAGATCGTGACGCGGAACGGGCCCGAGTACACGTTCACGTCGATCAGCAAGGAGGAGCACGACGGACTCGACGCGTACCTCAAGGAGAAGAAGGTCCGCGTCAAGAACGAGATGATGGAGGGCGAGCTCATCATGGGCGCCGGCGACGACGAGGACGAGGAGATGCAGAGCGTTGCGAGCAGCGGCGAGGAGGTGCCCAAGCCCCGGCTGGGCGGCGACGACGAGGACAGCGAAGAGGGTACGTGTTGCTTCTCCTCCATAGTGATAGTCTCGTTTCTCACTTGCCTTCCGCAGATGAGGACTTCCAGGCGTCAGATTCGGACTCGGGCTCCCCAACCGAGAGCGACTCCTCTGACGGCGGCGGCAAGACCGCTTCCGACGCGAGCGGCGACCGCGAGTTCACCAAAGCCGCGAAGGGAAAGGGCAAGGCTTCCAGGAAGAAGGCGGCCGCGAAGAAAGCAAATGGGAAGGCGCGAGAGAGTGGGCCTGAGGACGAGGAGAAGCCAAAGAAAGCAGCGCCGAAGCCCAAGCCCAAACCGAAGAAGGGGAGCGGGGACGAGGCGGAGGAGAAGCCGAAGAAGGCGGCGGCGCCCCGACCTAAGCCAAAGCCGAAGAAGGGCAGCGACGACGATGCGATGGACGTCGACGAGGAGAAGCCACGGCCAAAACCTAAGCCGAAAGCAAAAGACAGCGCAGAAGAGGGTCCAGCGAAGAAGAAGATTAAGAAGTCGTCAGACTGACTGCGTTCTGCGTGTTCGATTTTTCCCCGCCGGACTATCTACATAGCCGTCCCTCACACTCTCCGCTGTTCCTCTGTTGTATAAAATTCACTGCTAATATTGTTCACATCTACATCTCTCATACATATGTACAGACCGCGCTACAGATAGACTGAGATACAACGTCAACGAACGTGCGAGATAGGCAGTGTAGGCAATAATAGGCTGTGCAAGTGCACACGAACAACACAAGAACGACAAGTTTAAATCTAGGTATATACGCGAGAGAGGTATAGCTAGCGCCAAATAGCCGCGGCTATGGCTTGCGTCTACCCAGGAGCGACCCTGGCTCGAAATCGATAGAGGAACTGCTATAATCAAGTTTTTGCGGGACGTTGACGAGGGGTTGTGCGGGGCGCTGGCCGGGACGCGTCGCCACCCGGGACAGCCCAGCGGAAGACAGCACGTTGCGTTCTTGGTACAAGACATATGACTGACAGAGCTCGTCAGCGACATAAAGCAGGGTGAAAATTGAAGAGGGACACACCCGGGCGACGAGGATCTTCTCGACCCACTTCCTGCCCTCGCTCTCGCCGCAGGAGAAGATGTGCACGTAGTCCGCGGTGTTCTCGAAGAACGACAGGCTGTCCGTGGACTTGATCGCAAACACGTACTGCTTCGGCGCCTTGTGCGGCCGCGCGAAGATGTACGCGTCAAAGTTGTTCAGCGAGCAGAGGAACGTCTGGTCCTTGCCCTGCCAAAGACTAGTCAGACGAATGCACGCCCAGCGCAACATGGGGACACGGCTTACGGTGTCGCGCTTGGAGAGCCAGAGGCTGTGTTCACGGAGCTCCAGCCATCGCTTCTGCCACTTGCCACGCTTGTACTCGTGCTGCACGTAACCGCTGCACACCGGCGAGCTAGAGGGGACAGCCTGCGGCATAGGCAACGCATGTAAGCGAACTCGCCCTGGGTGCTGACACGACAGAGACAGTACACACCGATCGACTGAGCATATTCGCCCACACCGTCCTCTTGATGACCAAAAAATTGACAGTCCTGTCGGTATTCCAAGAACCACACACGTCCGAGAGCAGCTCAAAATTCCGCACAGGCCGCTCTGCACCAGCACAAGCATCATCAGCTCACCGGTTAACAACGCCAAAGAAAAAGGAAAAAAACCCACCCATGCCAAAATCCTGCGACACCTCCCACACCATCCACCCACTCCCACTCCCGCCCTGCTCCAGCCCGCCCTGCGCGTCCACCACCTGCATCACGTCCCCCGCCGTCGTCGCCGCCCCAATCTCCACCAAGCAAAACCGCTGCATGTTCCCCACAAATATCCGCTGCTGCCACACCGCAGGCGCCTTCGCCTGGTACGGCGGCGGCTGCGAGTAGCTCCCCGCCGCAGCGTGGCCCGGCACGAACCCCGCGGGAAGCGGCGGGGCCGGCTGCTGCTGCTGTGCGTCCGCAGATGACGGCTTGCGCGCACGCGAGCGGTCGCGCTCGCCCGGGTGGCGGTCGGGGCTCGCCCTGCGCGACGGCGCGCGCAGCGAGCGCGCCCTGTCGACGCCGGCCCCGCTCGGTTCGTCGAGCCGCGGGCTGGAGGGCGGGAGCGTCGGCACGGCGGGCATCGGCTCCTGCGGGACGGGCACGCGGGTGCGCGCGACGCTCCTGCTGCGGCCGACGGAGCCAGAGGCGGAACCCGAGCCAGAGTTGGCGTACGCGCGTGCGTCCGCGGCGGGCGTCGCGGAGCGGTGGAAGGAGCGGGAGGGGCGGAGGCTATTGCTGCGCCCGCGGGCGTCTTCGCCCGAGGACTCTGTCGCGACGCGCGAGGGCTGGCGCTGCAGCAGCGCGAGGTCCGCGTTCTGGCCGTAGCTCTGGCTGGAGGAGATGCTCGTGTCCGGCGGGAAGTCCGGGGGCGCGAGCGCCTTGGGGTGGAGGTCGACGGAGGGCCGCTTGCGGGTGAGCGCGGCGGGGAGGACGGAGCGCGCCTGGAGGCCCATGAGCTTCTTCGTGAGCTCGCCGACGGCGATGGGCGAGGAGGCGTTCCCCGGGAGCGTCTTCGTCCGGGGTCTGTTGGCAGAGCGCGCGGGGTAAGCTGGCGGCGGCGGTACCGGCGCTGGCACCGGCACCGGCGCAGGTGCAGGTGCGGGTGCGGGTGCGGGGGCAGATTTGAAGCTCGGGCTCGGGGGCATGGGCGGCGGCGGCTGGGGCGCCTCGCGCACATGCCGCGCCGGGCGCACCTGGCGCCGCTGGTCGATCTCGTCGCGCACCTGCCGGCGGATGGTGCGCTGCGCCTTGAGTGCAGAGGGGATCTGCTGCGCGAGCGGCACGTCGTCCTCGTGGGAGGGGGGCGCGGGGCGGTGGCGCGACGGCGTCGCCGAGCGCGAGGGACGGCGCGAGAGGTCGTCCCCGCCAAAGTCGAGCGCGGTGACGAAGTCGTCCGAGCTCTCATCTCCGTCCCCATCTCCCTCATCCTCCTCCTCCTCGTCATCTTCCGTCTCGCTCGGCGTAGACAGCGACGGCGTCGCACGCGGATTGCGCCCGTCGTCGCCATCGCGTCCATCGCGTCCGCCCGCGCCGCCAAAGCCGTTCCCGCCAGTATGGCCATTGCCGTTACCGTAGCCGTTACCGTAGCCATTGCCATAATACCCATTCGACCGTCCATTCCCGTAGCTCCCAGAGCTGCCCCCATAGTATCTACCTCCCCCATTCGTCTCTCCGCGCCGCGCGCCGCCCTCGCCCCCATCCACCGGCTCCCCGCTCTCAGATCCCTCCGCGGGACCCTCGACCGACCTGATCGAGTACCGCGAGCCCGTAGAGGACGAGGACGAGCGCCGGCTAAAGCGCGTCATCTTCGCCCTCGCGTCGTCCTCCCAGAACTCCGCCGCCGCAGCGCGCGCGGGGAACGGCGGCCACGCGTACCCAAAGTCCGCCCCGAGCGCGTCGCCGTAGTCGCAGTCGGACGACGCGGCGGAGCTGCTGCTGCGCGAGTGGCTGCCCAGTGCCGGGCGCGCGAGCGCGCGGACCGTGTCCGCCGAGGTGCCCGGCTCCGCGACGAGCTTCGCGAGGCGCGTCGGGTCGAGCGCGGGGGAGGGCGTCCTGGCGAGCGCGGAGAGCGCGTGGGCGTAGCTGTAGTCGAGCGAGGCGAAGAGGTCTTCTTCGAGCACGCGCGTGTAGCGCGGGGGCGGCGGGGACGGGAGGTCGCCGTCGATCGTCAGGAAGTCGTTGGTCGAGCTGGGGGATGGGGGGCACAGCGAGGGGGGCGGGGCGACAGTGCCAGAGGGTGGGGAAACGGTACGGGAGGGCGGGGAGATAGTGCCAGAATGCGGGAAAACAGCATCAGAGACAGTACCAGAGAGTGCGTACGCCGCATCAGAGGGCGGGGAGACAGTACCAGAGAGCGCGTAGACCGCATCTCTGGACGGGGAGACAGAGGACGAGGAGACACTACCAGAGGGGAGGAACACCACATCTCTACAAGGGGAAACAGCGCCCGATGGACCGGGCTGGGACCGGACAGTAGCAAAAGGCACGTCCGCCGCCACCGACTCACAAGACCGTGTACTCGCGACGCTGCTCGTCTCAGCCGCGTCCCCCTCAGGCCCAACCTCCAGCTGCACATCGACCATCATCCGCGAATCCCGAATGACACTCAGCTCCGTCGGCCGCCGCATATGCCGCCGCCGCTTCGTCTCCAGCACGGGCGCAGGCTCAGGCTCCGCCCACGGCTCCGCGGGGAGCTGCGCGCCGACGCGTCCGCGGGGGACCTACGTCCGCTCAATCAACACCTGAGCACACGACCATGCGCGCGTACGTACCTTGGGGACCACGACGTGGGACTGCGCGAGCGTGTTGAGGGACGGGAGGGACGGGCGCGGGCGGAACGCGGGGCGGGTGTGCGCCGACTGCGCTTGGCCGGAGGACTTGGGGCGGACGAGCTCGGCCGGGCGGGGGAGGACCGGCGACGCGAGCGGCGAGCGCAGGGGCGACACCGGCGCGGCGTCCGAGAAATCGAGCGGGGGGAGCCGCGGGCTGCGCTCCGACGGCGCGGGCGACAGGTTCGCGAACGGGTCCGAGTCCAGCAGGTCGGGCGGCGGCGAGTGGCGGCGTGTCGTCCCGAGTTCGAGCAGCGGGAGGTCGGGGAGGGACGACACTGAGCCGAAGCGCGACGACGACGAGGAGGGGGAGGGGGACGCGGGTGAGAGCGTCGCCGCTGAGCTCGCGCGGGAGCGTGTGCGCGTGCGCGCGTGTGTGCGAGGGGACGGGGACGCGGGCCTCGCGGGGGAGTCTGGCGCGCTCGCGAGCTGCACCACCGTCGCGAAGAGCGACTGCACCGAGCGCCGTTTCTTCACCATCCTGCAGCGTGCACTAGTTCTGCGGGGGATCCGCTGCCTTTTACGCCGAGCACGCTCGGGGAATGGACGACGCGCTAGGGGCGAGCAGTAGCAGCAGCGATAGCGCTCCTGGGAAAGAGATGGCAATGCGTCAGATCTGCCTTCCCCGTCCGTTCCATCTCTGTGCCTCAAGAATGAAAATCCTAGGACGTCATGTGACGTCCCTCCCCCATCTGCCATCCGGAAGCAGAATTCCACCACCCCGAAACGCGCGATCTTTCTGCCTGGACCCGCGCGCATACGAGGGCAGAGAATGACTCATGAACGGGTCGCATCACGACGTCGTGCCCGCAACAGTCGGCGTCTCAACGAACTTCCCCAGTGAGAATGGGCCCGACTGGGGAACATACTCGCACCCGGTGGGTCGCTGCAGCATCGAAGGCGGGTCAGATGGGCCGACGCCTGCGAACGCCGGCACTCAACGCGCGAGAAGCTCGCAGAGACGTAATGGGGAAAAACGACGAGAAGGAGGTACGGACAAGTGGAGAGGACGGTACCTCGCCCTCGCTCGTCCTCTGTCTAGCAGCGGGGCAGTTCGCGTGGCAGAACGGTGGCAGACGCACTGTCCATGGGGCACACCACCCCCAGCTTCCTCGGCGAGGATAGCAATCAACGCGACCCTCGCAGGATATTCCCCACGGCCATGATGACATGACGCAAGCGGGGACGTAAAGGAGGAAAGTCAGCACTCACGCGCGAAGGACCATACGGGGAGCCCGCTGACAGAGACGGCGCGCTGCTGAAAGCACGCTTCTGGCCGGGACTTGCGACTGAGAGCGTTTTGAGGACGGATTGGCCGGAGAGAGAAGCGGAGAGGCCGAGGAGGAGAATATGGAGATGGAATGGGGAGGAGCACTCGAGATCTAGAACGGACGACTGCAGTCCGCGGTCGAAATCTGCGTCCGCGCGCAGAGACGCTGCTGCTGCTGCGGCTGCCAGAGCCATGCAAGCGAGGCGGATGCGGGTGATTGAAGGGGATATCGAGGGGATCAGAGGACCTGGCACCGTGGTCGTCGCCTGCCAACGCGGACGCTGGCAGTGCGCTCCTTATATAGCAGGCACCAGTCTCACACACCCACCCTTCTCTGCCACGGTCAGAGCTGCGGTGCTACTACAGCGACCGCGCTGCTCTGTCATCGTCTCCCGCGCGGCCAGCGGCGGTGTGCTCGCTGTCGCGCCCAGCGTCGCTCGCTGTCGGGGCCCCGGCCAACCAATGGGAGCGCGGCAGATGACGTCGACACGACCCCAAAATGCATATCCAAGAGCCGCCTCCGTGCTCTCCTCCAGCAGCCCAACCTCCGATCGTCTCCCTCTCCCTTTTCTGCCAGCTCAGGCGCGTCCGCTCGCCGGTTCTCGCCCGTGTCCATCCTTCCCTCCATCTGCACCTCTCACGCGCGCACACCCGCGAAGCTCACAACGCGCGGAGCGCCGGGGAACCGTTCCGCATACACGGACGCTACGTTTTCTGCATACAGGCCCGCAGGGTCCACAGATATGTTTCGACCTTGATAACGCGCGATGCATGCTGACTTGGCAGCAATTCACCTTACTCGTCCTCCGCGCCCCGCGTCCTCGTCTCACCTCGCCCACTCAAACGCGCAGTGCACGCGATCGCATGCCACGCAACATCGAAGACGCACACGCCCTCCGCCCGGCCGGACTGCAGATCACCAACGTGACGCATCATTCGCGCGCTCAACACACTAAAGAGACCGGATGGGTGACGGCAGGTGATGCAGAACGTGAGTGAACAAATATATATTGTGCACCAACTACTGCAGAGCCAGGATACTACGGCACGCCCATACCTCTCCCCGCGGCGCGGCTGCCCCGTCCCACACCGCAAAGCCACCCACGCGATCGTCCGTCAACGTCATCATCGTGGGTACTACACCCCGCCTTCAGTGTTGCGCCTCAGCGGACGCGAGCACGTCTCTCGACGTCCGCTCACTGTCGAGCACCGTCCAACGTTCCAGCCGCGGCACCAGCTCGTGGCACCCAGTCGAAGGGTCGAGCATGCAGACTCCAGAAGACCGCGAGTCAGCACCCGCACCGGCGATCTCCAGCAGCCACAGGGCGTACTTCACCACAGACAACCTACGTCCCTGCGCTCCACGTGTCCCCCGTCGTCCAGCTCCAACCCAAGCAATTTCCACTCAGAATGGGGTGTCCGCATTTTCTTTGCGCCTTCCGCTCCCCTTTAAACTACCCGCTTCGTACAAGCCCGCATATGTCTATCCGACGAAAGAAGCAGGCTGGTCGCGCCAGGCGTAGGTAGATAGGTCTTTGTTATCCCTACTTCCTCACTCCGGCTTAGGCTGCAGCGCTCGTACGAACTTGTACCAGTCATGGCAAACGAAACGTCGCAGATCGACTTCAATGCTGCATATGATATCCTCCCTGAACACCCCGGCTTCGGCTGCAGCGCACTTCCGTACGCTCATGAAGTTGCAGTACCAGTCATATCGGCCGACACGTCGCAGGTCCACTATCGCATATGATATCCTCCATGAACTTTGCCATCGTCCTTTGAGACTCAGAGTCATCGTCCCAAAGGCCCAGCGCGTGGACTGGTGCCAGGCGAGGGCGGAGATCTTCCGGCGAGCGGAAGGGTTCGGGATCAGCCGCTCCCTTGCGCATAGAACAAGCTCATGCGAGGGAGTTTACGGATGAAAGACGTGGAGGATATCGCAGGCGAAGTCGGCGATCTGCATGAAGTGCCTGCCGCGTGGTCCTGCGCAGTTTCCTCGGGATAGGGTGCGCGTTCTCGTGGTTGTTGTGACGTGATCGAAAGTGGCGGGTGAGTAACTTCGTACTATTGTAATGTGTGGTTTTTTGATTTTATTACTATAGCGTGCTGTGGACGACGCATCTAGTCCTCCACCTCTTGGCCGTGAGTTTTCCTTGCTCGTCAGTTAGACGGGGGCTAATACTTGGCGTCAGCGCACATCCTACGAACCGAGACCGTCGCTGCACTGTATGAAGCGCTCAACCGCTATCACTTCATTCGGGCATATTCCTTCTTTATTATGAGAGCGGTTGACTCCAAAGGTACTCAGGTTCGGGGTACGCTGGCCAGCGGCAAGACCACTCTGGCTGCACTGCTGTTCGGTCACATTCGTGCTGAGGAGCCGAACACGGTCGTGTGCTGGATTGGCTCGTGGCCGGAGTCTATCCGCTACGAGTATAACCGCTACCGAGGGTGGCTGCTGCAACGCAGGGGCTTCGTCGAAGATGGTGTTGTGATCATTGGCGAAGTGCAGAACACGTACTGGTACTCCGGGTTCTGGAACTCGATTCTGAAAGAAATCGGGCCAAGCTCTTGGATGCGCGTGATCCTGTTTGCGAGTTATGGTGACCCTCGATATCCGGACGCTCGGACGAACGTGCTCGCATCCCCCCCGGTTCGAAGAGTCACTTTGCAGCGCGCGAAGGTCGCCTTCAGCCGGTGGGGGCTCTTCCTCACACCCGGGGAGTACGAGGATTTTGCGAACACGCTCTGTGCACGTTCCCGCGTTGACGAGGATTTCATCAAAGCTGTGTTCGATGTCACCGCCGGCCACGTCGGGGCTCTCGCCGATATGTTTACCACTGCCCGTGCTTCACGTGTACGTATCCACATCTTGTTCAGGGAAGTTACCGAGCTAAAAATGCGTAGCAGTCGTACCGCGATCTCGGATCCTCTGGACGACTCTTCACGACGTCTATCGCTGGAGAATTTCAGCGCACGAGAGCTTCTCGTCTCGCAGAAACATCGCTCCAACAAGGTTGACCAATCTACCACGACCTGAAGAGCTGCAGGATGTGACGACCGCCCGCGTATTTCGCACTGTCCTGACGACGGGAGTTAACACCGAAGCGCGCTCCCATGGAAGAAGATCAGGATGCTCTCTGATGGTGCACTTCAGACGCGGCTGGCTGCACGCCGATGCCCCACTGATCGGTCATGCATTGGGTACACTAGAAGAAGTGTCCCGGTGCATGGACTCGATCATGCACAGTGTTGCTAAGAATGCGCTCCTCTGCCTCGAAGCAAACTTGTGCAATCTTCTCGTACGGTTGGAGCCCATGTGGACCTAACACAGCTAGACTGCCTTCGCCGGCAAGTGTAGCTATTCGAGATATTAATGTACTTTCGTTAGCACTTTACCGAACTACGCTCCAGCCGTATAAATATAATGATGTAGGGAGATTGAACAAGCCTGCCTAGCTCAATCGGATAGAGCGTCAGACTTTTAAAGCGCGGGGGTCGAACCCGCCAAAATTCCCATCTGAAGGCTGCGGGTTCGACCCCCGCGGTGGGCTAGTGATTTATTTTGTCTCTTGGAACTATCTCACTCATCATTTTTTGCTGTTGTCAACCTAGCTGTTTGCCAGTTTTGCAGCTCAACATTTTTTTTGGCTTCAAATTTATTTGTCTGCAAGGGCCCTATGATAGACATTGTACTAACATAGCTAACTAGTGAGGGAGCTGGTGAGGGGGTTGAAGTGAACATGATGCTTATGCATAGCTTGGGCTGGAGAGGCTGGAAGGGGGAGAGAAGTCACTAGTAGTGTGTGTAGTATAATAGGTATTGAAAAGGAGGGTGTGAAGTTGTACATGACCAGACCTTTGCGGCACTGTAATTATTTTCTTTTTATCCAGAGTCATTTCTTATTGTTATGACTCAGACTCCTATTATCACATTTTCTATTGTTATTTCTATTGAAGGCACTTTTCTATTATTTAGATTTTCTCACCTTCTTTAGTATATAAACCCTGGCAGTCCACTTGGACTTGCAGAGGAATTCTGTTGTGTTAGGGCTGGTGGTTTCCCAATCAGGAAACATATATTAGTCAGCACATAGGTATGTCGGAGAACATACTGGAATCTCCTAGAATTACTGTGTAGTATAAATATATGGCCCCAACCGCATGAGCTCCTCATGCGCTTGTGACCCATGGCCTAACAGCTGAGTGAGTAGTAGTGATCAACCTCACAATATGTTGTCCTAAAAGTATAGGACATTCTTCTCACCCCAGTAGTCACTAGTCGGTATATACTCAAGTTCATACTTATCTGAATACAGTGTTATTCAGGTATAGCATCCTAGGCATCAAGCAAGTCATAACTCAGTCATCTGTCAGTCGGTCATCTGTTTACTTGGCCACTTATTACTCGGTCATACTCTCTGTCTTAATACAAGACAGTCTTTCCGTCTTACTCACACACACACTCTTACACTTGATTACTACCAGGTAACCAAGCAATTACTACATTGAATACACTAAGGAATATTTCCCAACTTTGTTCAAGTCCAGTGACCTCAGGAGGATTTTGTTTTGAGTTGTGTTTTATCCAAGACACCATTCTCATCTGTCAATGCACTTCACAAGTTTTGGCCACTGACACTGGGAAAGCATCAACCCTTGACCTCCCTTGTGTGGGTCTGTCACCTTGTACATGCCAGTTATCGCCTGCATGCACTCAGTCTGGAAGAACCTGTGTCAGTATGGCATGGACGGTGAGTGTGCGTGCACACATCAAGAAGCATATCATGAGGGGATGTGTGGTTAGAGCTAGAGCAGGAGGCACGAGTGATGGCTGTGCATCTGCAACACTGTGCAGCTGTGATTTGCCCGCAAATTCACACACTGAAACCCGTGATTTACCCCCAAACTGTTTGCCTGGGATTTGTAGGGCTTAAGTGTGCACAAGCATAGGAGATGGGTGCTCCTGCTCGAGCTCACATATGTCAGGACTGTGTTTGCTGTGGTCATAGATGTACTATCTAAACATGCTTAGAATTAATGCTAGTACATGTATTCCAATAGCTGCATACCCTCAACAGTCAATTACTTTCCTAAAAAGAGCCCCACCACAGTTCCCATTGCTGTAAACCATGTACATATGGGCATGCATCTGGATATGCATTTTATAAGCATTTGCCACCAGTGCCTAAGCAGTGCCAAAGTCTCAACATTAATCCTGGGCTAATGTCAAAGACTGTGACTGCCCTTACAATGCCGTGGATGCAACCTCTTTACAGCCTAGAAACTACTGTACTCCAATGACCTTAGGTTCACAGGGTGTGACCTGTGACATGCCAACTTGCATTTTTTAACGGCCGCCATACCTGGTGCTCTTCAGGCTCATCGCTGTGGGGCGGGGTGTCGCGTCCTCGTCACGTGCTCCCAATTTTGTCCAGAGATGGTCTGGGAGAATTAGCACACACTCGGCCTGAGACTCGGCGGGCGACGCGTGGGCTGTACACGCGACGGCTACATCGAAACGACCACGCGGAAGGTTGCTCGCGTGTTGTACGCTGGGCTCACGATGCGGGGAGACGGTACGCGATGAGAGGTGTACACGGGAAGAGACGTGACGTAGCAGGAGCAGCGGCTCTAGCATACATGTCACATACTCGCGACTCTGTCCAGAAAGTTTAGGAGAATGCACACACGCCTTGCACAGTATGCTAGACTGCGACACAGTAGGTGTCGCTCCATGAGAAACATTGCGAGGCCCGCGCTTCAAGGGCGCTCTCGAGAATGGGTGCAGGGATCAAATTGCTCCGCGAGAAACAGTGAGCCCCATCGTGTGCAGGCATCGCTCCGATAGTGCAGCTCGCTGTCGCTCACAGTGAGATGAGGTGGGAGATCGTGACACTCGAGATGGTGAGGCAGGAGATGGTCACAGTGAGGTGAGGCGGGAGATTGTAAGGCTCGAGATGGTGAGGGGTCGCATCGCGAAAAACAGTGACGGCGCCCCCGCGCCTGGATCCCACATAGTGAGCTCGCCGTTGCTCACAGTGAGGTGAGGCTCGAACAGGCACCTCCGCCATGCCAAGGGGGGGGGACCAATCGGTCGACCAATTGGTCGGCTTCACTCCAGGAAACAAATCGGAACCCTAACCCTGAGTGCCAGGACCAATTTGGTCCTCGCGATCATGTGCGCTAAACTTAGGATGAAGAATCGGAACACAGCAAAAAAATACAGCCCATGCAGTGCGGATCTTCACCGGTGGAACAGCATACTTAGGTCATTAAATTTTGGTAGAGTAGACATGTAGTAAAGAGGAAAAAACTGCCACAACTTAAAGCGGTAGAATCAAAGAAACTAGGATCCCCGCGTGGACTCAGATAGCATGCAGCTCACTGTCGTGGTCGCTCGGGTCACTGCTGCTGCTGCTGCCGCCGCCGCCACTATCACTGCTGCCACTGTTGCTGCCACCGCTGCCACTGCTGTCACCGCCACCGTCGCCACCACCACCACTGCCGCTCAGTGAGCCCTCTCTGAGGCAATCAACACGCAGGTACCTGATGCTGTCCCGTTCGACCACCAGCTCCTTGCGATTCGGCTTCAGCACTAAGGCCCTGTAGAGCTCGAACAGAGCAGCAGGGCCATCCTTTTCATCGAAGATCTTCAAGCGCTTCTTGAGCAGCGTCGCGAAGGCGGCATATTCCATTGAAAGTGCCCCACCTGACTCACGCTTGAGCACGAGTTCGTCATACATCTTCCGGAGTGTCTCCAGGAAGATGTCCGGATTGAAGGTGGTGCCGCCCGTGAAGATACCCAATGGTTGGGGCCAGCTCGGTAAGTCTTCTTCAATAGTTTGGATCTGGCCCCCCACAGCCATCAGCTGGATCTTCGAGGGCCTCTGCTTGACGCCATCCGAGCAGTATGACCTCTTGTGATTGATCTCTGAACCTTCCAGGCCTGGATACATAATGACTTTGCAGCAGCTGCAGGTATTTGTCTTGCATTGAGTGGTAGTCTAGGAGCAGAGGAAGCATAGCAGTCAGTCGACGGCCTGACGTGGGCATCAAAGCTTGCGAGTACATGCCTTTTTAGTCTTGCCATTCTCGTCCCTCAATATCATGGGCACCGCATTACAGTGCCGCTTCCAGAAGCTTTCATTGTTGGTGTGCTTTGCTGGCGGTGCGACAACAAAATGTCAGTACAAATATGAGTGCAGGTCACTCACACGCACAGGTAAATTTCCCTGAAGCAAGATGCACCAAAAGCTTGGGCTCGATCTCGCCGAGCTTCTCCATGAGTGCACGTGGTGTCTTCCTGATGGTAGACTTTGCCTTCGACCGGTTGAGTGCTTCAAGCCGGAGATTGTAGTCATTTGCAGCGGTAACCCATTTCCGAGGAGTCATGTCATAGGATACCCACCGCTGCTCACTTCGTAGATCCATAAACAAGTAGAACTCATCGTCAGTTGAGATTGTGAGAGACAGGGCATAAACACCAGTGGAAATGGAGAAAAGACATTGAGAGGCCGTGAGCCCTGAGATATTGAGCAGAGGAAGGGCAAATTCTAATCGGGTGCAGGGCGCAGCAGCCGTTGTCTCGCCAGGATTTTGCTGGAAGCTGCTCCAGCAGTCGTGCGACGTGTTGAACTGAAAAAGTCGACAATACCTGCTGAGACGCCATTGGTACTAGTACTAGTGCCACTGCCAGAGGGGGAGGCCATTTTGCCCGATTCAACCTGAGGATTGTGCACCGCCTGACAAGAGGTTGGTTATGCATCATGTCAAAGTCATTCATTAGTGGAGTTAAACCTCAGGACTCACCAATGATGCGGACTTCCACCCCTTTACACTTAACTTCACTCGCTTGCTGCCAGCACTGATGTACTCCAAAGCATGTGCATCCTGTAGACTTCGCCCAGAGTATGACTGTGCCCACTTGTCCTCATTGGGCCCATCGACGACAACCTTCCGCTTACCGGCTTGAGAAGAGCTGCCCACCGTGGGCACAGGAGCGTTTTTCGGCACAGATGGTGAGCCTTCTTCACTCTAATCATAGATGAAAGGTCAGCGAATAATTGAGTACCGGTGTGGCTAACGTACCTCAACATTGAAGGTCAGCCATTTTGCTTTTTGCTTTCTCGCACTCTGTACGTGCAGCTCGGAGTCGACGTCGATGACATCAGATGGCGGTGTACAAGAGATTGGCGTGGCAAGCACCACTGCTGTGGATGTGGAGGGGTCTGACATGCTAGCCAGACTGTACGTTGTTGCACCACATACACACGCTACATCCGATTGCTTGAGATCGGACGTATCAGACCAGGTAGAGAGTTGCGACTTCGAGCCAGTAGCAGTAGCAGTGAGGTGAGTCTTCGAGCCACTAGCTAGAGCCTGCCGAAGAAGTTCGGGGTTAACATCGATCTGTTGAAGCATCTCCTCGACATTGAGCTCGGCTTGTGCCGACAAGTCATACAATTCCTCTTCGGGTTCGTTCTTGAGCTCGAGAAGGTTGTGGTAGTTGGCAGCACTTTTGGTGTTCACTAGACCAAATGTCTCGCCACTGGCAACAATTTGGAGCTCCGGGATCCTTCGAAGATTTGAAGCTGTACCTGAGGCCTGCTTGTTTTCGGTGAGCAGGGAGTTCCAAAATGTTGCTATACTGTTCACAAGGTGGATATGATGAGAGCCGAGAGTCGCACGCAGGAATGGACTTGAAGAGGCACTTTTGAACGATACCCGTATGTTGCGATGCAAGACAAAGTCATGGCACAATTCCGAGAAAACAACAATCCCACTGGCTTGAGAGCGCTGCAAGCCATTTCACCCCTTGTGTGATCCCTCGATGTGACTACCATCTGCCCGGATGTCTTGGCGAGGGCGTGTGAGGCATCCCTTTCGCACATGACTGAGCTGATCTAGGTGAACCTGAGTGCAACCGGTGAGTAAGTACATACTGAAGATTTCATTTGGATCATACCTTTGTTGCTGCAGCAGTCCATACTCCACCATGATCTGCCCACTTCTGGTATGCCGCCTCCAGCCTTCGCTCCTGCTCACTCTGATTCCAGTAAACGGCCGTATTGTGCTTGTCCGCAGTCATCTTCAAAATCGCGTCCACAATATCACGCGCGACAGCAGTTCAAAGCGAGTTCTTAGCGCCGTCAACCACACAGATGAGATATCTGTGAGTCAAAAGGTCAGTTGGAGTACAGCCCTGCAGCACTGAGGACAGACATGCCTCATCAGACAATGCCATACGTCCAAGCCAACATGTATGTTAGGGAATGGTTTGACGATTGCACTGCGTGACTGACAACAGTTGTCAACGATGGCCATATCGGGATCGGACACTTCAAGGATTCCGAGCCAGCGTTTGAGTCCCATAAGTAGCTCCTCCATCTCTCCTGCAGTCTGAGTCTGACAGAAGCACTACAAAAACATAGGTTAGAGACTGATCTTTCCACTCGAAAAGGCGGTGTGTACCCATGATATGATTTCATTATTCTCATTGATGACACTCAGGACACCGCCCTTCATCATCTTCAAGTGGTTCCTCTTGCCGTCGACAACAGATGCCTTCCCTGCTACACGAAAGGTGTGGTCCATCGAGATGCACACCGCTGAAAGTCTATTAGTCTGGTCTTCCCAAGCAATGAAGTGTTTGACCGGAACGCACCAGCCAAAGTCTGTAAGTAGTCTTCTGACTCCTTTTGGCGTGTTGTCTCACTGAATTTGGCATATATATCGGTCACCAAATCATCTGTAATTGAAATTCGGGCTGGATTTGAGAAACGACAGAGTGGAGGTGGAGTGACCATGCTCTTCGGCTGGTTGCGACGTTGCTTGTAAGCTTGGAGGTACATCATGTGTTGCCGATGATACTCCAGTAAGTGGAGTTCTTTACCGTCATCAGTCAGCAGGCAGAGAGAAGAGCAGGACTTTTCTGAACTCACGTTTGATGTTCTCGGCGAGACCCGCTGCTGTCATTGATGGACGCAATTCGACAATCAAATCAAATAGGTCTCGTGTGACTGCACACCTCCAGAGACAGTATGGAATTGTCACTACAATTAAGCAGTGAGTCTCCTCTCTTTTCGAGATAAGCCGGTGTGTCAATACTGACATGGAATCTCCCAGTGCTCATGTCTCCCCCAGAACAGGTGACTCGTCGTCGAAAAACAGTACATGCCTTCATCATCACCACTTTCACTAACGCGTTGCTTGCATTTTGTGCAGCGCAGCTGGAATCCCAGTGCCATCTCCTCTTGAGAGACACCATGAACCTCACGATGACCTGTTGCTGTCCATCCTGACCATTCAGTGTCATCCGCATCACATTGAGGGCATCGCGCTAATTCGGGATAATAGAAGGGGTGAACAACATTGACAGGCTTGAGGTAAGCAACTTCCGGAATGATGTTTGGTGTAGGATCGCGCTTCTGAAGGTGCAGATAGGATGACGGTATGAACCGAGGCCCGAGAAGTGGTATTTCTCCACGTAGAGAAGGTGCCGTGTCCTTCTTTGAATTCCCGTGCAATTTCGTCTCATCATAGACAAAATTAATGTACTCGACAATGTGAGCTTCCCATTCGAGTTGCTCTGCGTACTGTGACTGAGTTGAACGTGCTCGCTTCCATGCTTTCCAGTGGTTTTCAACCAACCGAGAGGGCTGAGAAGTGTGTTTAAGTCTTCGCTAAAAATAGTAAGCATACTGCAGTTTTCCATGACTTCTCAAAGTTCTTCTTCTTCGCATAGGGCCTCAGCTGTGCTAGGACACTCTCGGGTTCAAACACAGACATGGAGGATGGAGGTGAGGGGCAAAAATTGACGATGGGAATATTTAGGGGCACGGCGATCACTGCCAGGTCTTGTCCTTAGCATATAGCTGACGTAGGACTTCATGGACTGACCTGAAACATGTTTATTTCGCTAAAAAGTATAGTACAATTCAAAAACAAGTAATACAGTATTTGATACCATAGCAACAAAATATGTTAGTGTGCGATCACTGAATGCCACCGCTGATGGCAGGCTTCGACACCTCCTCAACCGGCCATTTTTTTTGTGAAATGGTGTTGCTCCTACAACTGAAATATGACCATTAGACTCAGTCTGTGTCGAAAGGGAAGTCACATACCCATTAGATGTCAACAAGATAGATAAGTTCAGCAAGCAGTGCTCGCTTTCCTTTGCCAAGCTCCGCACAGTGGATCCAGAACAACACTCGCACCGGGCGACCATGAAGGTCTGCCGTTTCAACTTCCATAAGCTTTCCGGCAACATCGTACATGGGGATGGCCACGCTAGAAGCCTGTGAGAAGATTTGTGGGTTCTTTTAACATGCAAAAAAACTCGGTCACTTACACGATTCCATTGGACCTTCAGCTTAATGGTATCTGTCTCGGAGTCCACACGGATCATTGTTGAGACGTCCACTGGTCCAGGGACTGCAGCAGCAACCGCTTTGATGGCATCCGGGATCCTGCGCCACTGAATATGCGAAATAAAATCGGGTCGGCATTCGATCCAGCACGATGCAACTGATCGAGATTGCACAGAGCCGGAGATGTCGCCCAATGTGAAATTATTTTCCCCGGCTGCAATCTGTCCGATGACTTCGAAAATGACTTGAGTTTCGTTCAAAGTGAGCTTCTCCGAGATTTTGTGCGAGGAAGTCAGGGGGACGCAGCAGACTGACCGATTGTATGTGAGGGTGTCAAAGAATACTTTGGCGAGCTCCGGGCTGCCAGAGGCTCCCTCCAAGGAGCAAAAGGCTTGCTGGTAGGTGCCGTGAAGATGCGGGGACATGGCTGTTGTATCCGCTGTATGTACGTGCAGATGGAGGAACGAGAGAACATTCAAGTTGGTGCTTACTCGAGCGGGCAGTGGATTAGCTAACAGGGGCTGCCAAGAACACTTACTTCTTCTACTCACAATCTGGTATTGGCTCAGAATCTGTGTCGGAAATGACACTAATGAAAAGATCAGGTCAACATATCAGGATTTTCTTAAGAGGCAAGCGAACAAGCGAGCGACGACGTGAATGCTTAAAGCTCATGGATCCAGATAAGGAAGTTGAGGTAGTTGGTGGGTATCTTCTTTGAACGCATTTGACGCAGCACACACAATGTAAATAATTACACATTAACTAAAACAGGGGGTGCACATAATAGTAGGAGTAGAATAGAGAATAAAATCTTCGAGAGAGTCGGCCATACAGGATCACCGAGAATACTACTGGCAGCGGCAGGAGAAAATCCTTGGTGCCTCTTCTGGCAGGTCGGAAGAAAACCCTGGGCGCTTTTCCGGCCCGCCTGCGGGGAAAATCCTTGGAATGACCAATTTTCCCTCGAACAGTGACGGTGGCCACGTGACTGGTCACGGATGTCAATCGCGAATCTACCGAAGAGTTTGCCAGTTTTGCTGCTCAACGTTGCGACATGGTGAAGAGGACATTTCTTGCCGAGGATGAGCGGAGGCCGGGGTGCACACATGTTCTGCTAATGACCACAGGCAGCGTGGCATCCATCAAAGCCCCCCTGATAGTGTCTGAGTTGTTGTCCGTCGGTGCTAACTACTCTTGCATGCATTGTCTGGATGCTGACCTTGGCTGATTCCTTACGTTGATGGTCGATACTCGTCCCGCAGTATAGGGCAGTGAAAGTCGAGGTCGTATCGACCAAGCCTTCCCTTGCATTCTTCGACGTCGGCGCCGTGGAGAGAGCAGGCGCTCGAGTGTGGCGAGACGAAGATGAATGGACAGAAGATGTGCGTATAGTTACCATGTTTTATTGCCTCTGTGACATTTGCCGCAGGGAGCGTTTCGCATCGGCGACCCCATTCTGCACATTGAGTTGCGGAGGTGGGCCGACATCGTCATTATTGCGCCTTGCTCAGCAAATACACTCGCAAAGATTGCGAGTGGTATATGCGATAATCTAGCGGTACGGCTTTTCTGTATCTCCTCGTCTGGCAAGAAAATCGACCCTGCTGCCCGTTTAGACTTCACTGCTGCGCGCTCTGGCACCTACCACATCGACATACGTTTTTCCCGCCATGAACACCCTGATGTATGAACATCCTCTTACAAGCGAGCACATTCGCGTCGTACGTGAGGTCATTGGATACAACGTAGTCGGTCCAATCGGGAAGACCCTCGCCTGCGGTGACATTGGTGAGTTCTATGGTATGGACTCCCGAAATCTTGCTCACCATGCGCAGGCTTAGGAGCCATGACCGAGTGGAAAGATGTCGTCCAAGTCGTAGTCGACAAGTTCGGTCTCGTGAGGAAGAATACAGCATAATGCTCCGTATTATATTCAATGTAACGCGAAGGGAGGTGTATCTCTTGAACATCATGTCTTTCACGCCTTGACGGGAACCTTGCACACGATCCACCTACCCTCTATACCTTCTTTACGTCTCACTTCCCCTTCCTTGCACTTGCCATTCAACCAGTCGTCCACCAGCTGCGCGATGGATATACTATGATCGATACGTTGCGGTAAAACAGACCGCAGAGTGAGTGAGCGGGCCAGCCACTCGCTGGTCGTCAGAGGTACCTCGGCGGTGCGTCCGGGAAGAGGGCAGGTTAGTTCGCGGTAAGCGCCGCGCAAGATACGCCATGCTGTTTCGCGCGCTTTGGCGCGTACAGCATCGACGAGTGTACATAGTGCCTCAAGGTGAAGGCTCTTGGCCCGGTTATCCGCGTCTGCAGTCGAGCCGTCCTTGCCAGCATGGCCGGACGACGTGACTTTATCAGGCGCGGCAAAACTTGCGAATGCGTCCCGCTGTGTTAACCTCTCCAACCGCGCGTAATTACGCCTGCGGAGAGTGCGAGTCAAGTCGTCCATCCATCGATATGCGTCTGAATCACGGGGTAGAAAAGTACGTGGTAGTGAGTGCAACAGCTCGTGGTACCGGCTCTGCGACGGATAGCCCGAGATGAGGTTGTGCAAGAGCGCGAGGATGGTTGTTGGGAACGCAGGATGGCCCGAATCTGCAAATGGTGGAGGTGAAGGAAAGACACGCAGATAGAGTTCTGGGAGGAGATGTGAAAGAGTTGATGTGGTTTGCCCTGGGCTGTGGAACAAGATAGAGAGGTGGACGGAAGTCTCATAGACTACAGAAATGAGCAGTCAGTAAAAAGTCACGCATATAGCGGAAGAATATCTCGAGTTTGTGTACCTTTCAAAGCAAATTCGTCACTGCGATTGGACGATAGAACTCCTTCTCTTAGCTTGCCTGAGAATTCCTCAGATCCAGACCACTGATGTAAGATTGAACTCGTCCACTCACGGAACAAAATGAGCAAGTTCTGCTCAACGTCTTGTCGCCCTTTTTCTGCGTCTGGAGCACCACGACGCCGCCAATACTCTTCCAACTTGGACGACGAAGATCAGCCTCCAGAGTGGAAATTAATACGGCGCCCACACCTTTCCTTGAATGTATTCACGGTATTCTTCTTGGACCGTGAAGTCTGTCAGCCTGTTGGAGTATGCTGAATGGTTTCACATAATTTTATGCAGGACATCGATGGGGCTTACGCATCACCATCCTTGTCCAATCCGCTGCTTCGGCTGATGGATGGTAGGAGGTCCATATGCCTTTTCCCGGGCTGGAAAGCCCTGTGCTGCGGAGGCCTTCCACACCGTTTCGAAAGTGACATTTTTTGGCTGATGATGGAGCTCCAAATGATATTTGTCTTCAAGTTCTATGCAGATCCAACTGCGATCTTCCTCGGTCAGTCTAAGAGAACTCTACGGGAGAACTTACTATGATTCGCTTACAGTAAGTATATCAACGGACCCCAAGTGTGTATCCTCACCGGGCCTGCAGAATTCTGATAAAGCAGTCTCGCCAATTTGGGGGGACGCAAGACGGTGGTAAATTGCACCTTGTGGAATATTTAGTAGATTTGCCGTGTACGGAACCTCTAGTGAGTCGTCGCCCTAGATCTCGTACCGATCTCAGGTTGGCGCGCGTTGCATTTGGGAGATTCAGCTCTACCATAACTCTAAGATACAGATGGGTACCTTCACCGATAAGTGCCGCTACGCTATGGTATACAATGAAGAGGCCACTACGCCCATTGGAAAGACGATCACCGAATTTCGACCTTGCCCATCAAATCTGCTAGTTCATCCGCCGCATCCTTAGCGGCAGCCTTCGGTGCGGGTACAGGAGGAGTAGGATTCGTTTCTGCCTCCTCTTCTTCCTTGGCTTTGGATTCCTCCTCTTTTTCTTCCTCTTCCTCTTCCTCCTCTTCCTCCTCCTCCTCCTCCTCCTCATCTTCAACGATAAGCCTTCCTCCCCTCTTCTTCAACGATCCGTGCAACGCCTCGATGCCTTCGTCATCTTCTTCAATCTCGTTCCACTGCACCTCAAGCGTCTTCAGCACCGGCAGGTGCATATCGACGCCCTGCGCAAGGAGGGCGAACGACTGCGTCTCCAAGTTATTGTTCTGCAGCTGCAGTACCTCGAGCTTGGGGTTCGATCCAGCCGCAAGTGCCTCTACAATTGGGGACACAGCACCCTCCTCTGCAAGCACACAGTCGGACAGGTTCAGATGCCTCAGCGCGGGCCACGACCGCAGAGACGCGGCCATTGCCGACGAGCCGGCGTCGCCGAACGTGTTATCCTGCAAGTCCAAATGGGCGAGTCGCGGACAGCCTGAGAGCCCATGTACGAGCGCGACTGAACCCGACATACGGATACCGTTCTGCGGCATGCGCACCTCCTCCAGTCGACCATGTGCAGCAAGCGCCTTGGCCCACACGGGTGCGGAACCGTCCTCTAGACGATTTCGCCCGCACATGACGATGCGGAGGTTAGAGGGCTCGCCCTTCGAGGCACTGAGCTCAGCGGAGCGCAGCAGAGCTTCGGCCACAGTTGCGCCACCTGCAGGTCCCAAGCCGTTGTTGTTCAGCTTCAGGACTTGGAAAGAGCGGTTCTGCGAGAGGAAGGGAACCATTGGGTCTACGGATCGTCCGCCGAAAGCATTATCACTGAGGTCGATCTCTATAAGGGTAGTCTTGGGTATGAGTGCATCGCAAATAGCGGAAAGTGCTTGTGGGATCTCGCTGATCAGACGTCCGGTGAAGATGTCTGCGAAATCAGCAATCTAGAAGAGCTCGGAGCGTTATAAAGACATAGTTATTCGAGGGAGCTATCACCCACCCTGAGAGCGGTCGTCTTTGTGAGAAACTCTGCAAGTGCTTGCGCCGCCTCCACTCCGACGGTGTTTCCTCCGAGGTGGATCTCCTCGATCGTTGTTGGGACGTCCTTGAGGTATGGCTCGATATCGGCTCTCGTGTTGAGCTTCAATCCTTTTCCTTGCAGAGAGAAAACGCGTGCCATGATCGGAAGATAGTTCGTGGTCAAGAAATCTGATGAGGTTCGCTTTAATTACCATATCGAGATAACTGAACGCGTCTGATCACGTGCAACATGCGTCGCGACCATGTGCTTCATCATCACGACTTCGCATACTGCAGAGCAGAGCCAACTGAAAACTAGGACAAACTGTATCTATGCAGATGGTAGGTATATATCCAAGAACATGGATAAACAGGCCAATACGGCATGCATTAGATATATTTGCGTGAGATTTTGTCAGAGGAATTTATCTCCTCGGAGGGCTTATGCTTTGCAAGGACGTGTATATGTGCCAAACCCGGAACACTCTGCCATCTCTGTTTTAAAACCAAGGAAATTCAATTTTGGCACCGCATCACGTATGTTCCCACATACCGAGGGATTCACGAACCATGCCGTCTCCCACTCAGCTTCCTTCCACTTCCGTCGCACAAACTCCGAGATTTCATCTATCGTCTCACGCAGAAGAGCTTCTTCTTTTTCCGTCCTCGGAGGAGGATGCACAATGTTGTCTGGAGTGAAGTTCCAATCTGCAAGCGCAGGCAGACACTCTGGGAGCGTGCTCGGTGAGGGCGGGGGCTCGGTGTTGCCCGTGAAGCCCCATAATCCGTATTCTAGTAGGTGAGACGCAATGGAGGGCGGGATCGATGGACGAAGGAGGGGAAGACGCGTCCAGATGAGAATGTGCTCGACCTCCGGAGGTACTGTTCAAATATTAGTAGAGCATGCCCGTGGAAAGACGAGACGTAGCTTACCGGAGTACGGCCAATCGTTCATAATGATACTGATCAGCTCCGGGGGAGTATCCGCGGTGAAATGATGGGGCGCGTCGGCGGAAATGGGCGGAAGCTCGGTGGAGGTCTCGTTACAATCGCTGTCCAGTCCATCGAGTACAGAATGATCTTCGTCTAGCAGAGAGCAAAGGCGCGACTGCCTATCAGGTTCTCCCCACCGCAAACGCTTGGTGAGAAGATAGTTCACTGCGCACATCCACAGTCAACAATAAACTTGTAAACGCAGAGAAGGGAAATACCCGTGGACCCATACTGCGCTTGAATACCTTTCATATATTCTGAGAATCTAAGATGCAGTTTCTTGTCGCGCTGGAGCAGCCGTAGATCACTTGGCAGAGGTGAGAATGGGATTGGAAGGGTGACTAGGAATAACTTATGGGCCTACCCCGAATTGACGAACGTCTTTAACTGCTTCCAGGTAAATTTCGCAGGGTAATAGATGAGTAATTCCTCCCGGGTGGGTGGTCCGGTCCCCAGAGGAATATCTCCCGGTGTGAGGACCATGCTGAGGTCGTGGATCTATAGTCTTCTGCGCGACCTCAAATCAATGGGCTTACGATTACTTACTAGAGCTTAAATTTTTCTCGGGTAAGCAGACTACAAAATAATCCCTTACTGAGTGGGGGAGGACAGGGTGGACGGGTTGCTATTTAACGATGTGCACGTACGTCCCGGGCCCGGGAGCCGACCGCAATTTCGACGGAAGTTGCCGAATTCAAAGACTAGAATCTGACACATTTCTGGGTCCCTCCATTCAGAGAAATTTTCAGGTATAATGAAACATCAATGCGGTACCATTCAAGTTGTTCTGAGGATGTTTCTTAGTTGGAAGGTCCACTGTTGCACGAGGGCCATCTGCCAGTGCCACAGCTGTGTTCTCCATTGAATAGGACGAGTGAAGACGCGTTGCCACCGGTAATTTGCGAAACCGTACTTCGAGCTGAGATCTCGGGCTCGATTTTATCATACTCGCCAGAACGTCGGCCATGTAGGTTTCTACCGCACCTTCTTTCTGGAGTAAAGCTATCCCCGGAACTTTTTGACACCTTCAAGGTCCCAAGCTCCAAGGCTGGACGCAATTGAGGAGGTTTGTACAGATGTAATGCTGCGTTTAAATCATTGACGTTCTCACTACTGGCTTATACGCATGTTCCTGCGGAAGCTATAGTGCCATGGACCACGATCGAACAATCTGTCCCGTCGTGGCTTGCTGATGATATACAGATGAACGTCGCCGAAGCGGGGAAAGTTTGAAGTGTATGCCGCTGCTTCTGTCGCCACAGCTCAAAGATTCGACGATGCCATTTCTTTGGCACAGTCCGTCTATTTGGCTCACGGCATCTTAGACACAAGCTGGTGCGGATCCATCCTAGACCGTACCGTGTTCGAAACCGTGGTCTACCACATATTTATGTGGCCACGTCCCCGGGATCAGGCTAATTTTAGCAGGATAATAGTCCACGAGGCCGTTGAAGGCCACACAAAAACACAAACACTGTCAAGCCAACCTGACGACGATAGCGCAGAAGTTATTTTAGAGTTTACCTTGAGTTCGAGTGTAACGCATGCACCGGATCCAAGTTGCGAAGCACGTCCTTGAGTACAATTGTAGTTGCGAACCGCAGAAGAGCTTAACGTTGTGTTCTACGTAGGTTCCATGTAGCTGTTGCGCTTGAATTATCTGAGAATCTGTGCCAGTCAGTTTACAGATATTGTTTTCGGCTCAACTGAACATTCACTTCACTCAGTGTCGTATGCGTTTTGTTCTGAAATTTCCGACTTTCTACGTCTCACTTTTGATAACCTACTCCTCTCTTCTCCCTCCCAGTTACTCCATTTGCTGAATTTCGTCCACGCATCTGATTCATCTCGCTGTCATCTATCAACTGTCGGCCACCTCGCTCTTGATCCTCCCTTGTTACTCCTTTCGCTATCCAATTCGTACATGGACTAATCCTTGCGTCGTTCAACTTGAAGTCCGAAATCTCACAGGATACATATCTTTATTCTAACAAATTTCAATAGTTGCTGTTGGATTCGATACGGTTCCAACACGAGCTACCGTATGTCGAGGCAGGTCCTCCATTCTGGCAGTAAGCAGTCACACTGAACTGACCGTTGCTAACATTGTTCAGGTATATGTCTATGCTCTATACGAGCAACCTCCGCGGCAACATTCCCAGGTCTAAGAAGCTGCAGCATACCCAGTGGCTACCAGTTTCGTCGAATATAGGAGAAACTGAGCAGAAACACCCGACCCTGGTAGATCATTCCCGGGAAGTGTAAGTCCTCTAGTTAATCCTGAATTAGAGCTATTATTTAGTCTGAATTAGCCATTCTTTCGCTCATGCGGATATTCGAACGTGTCCTTTCAATACAGCGAAGCATTAAGTCCATAACGAGAAAACTTTGACTTTGCAATGACCAGTGTCGGCGATATCACGGCTCCGACTCAAGATATACCACCACATATCGGGTGCTGTAACAGATGCTGAGGCTCTTGGCATAGTGCACTCCTCGCCACAGCGTCTGTCCTAGCTGACAAGCGAGCTGTCCAGAACCGCCGCTCATGGAAGCACACATGAATTTTGGGGATTTACAGATTCTTGTCTCTCCGCTCAACTGCCGATTAAAACTAATCTGTGATTGGCTCGAGGATTCTCGCTCAGCTTCGGAGGGAAGGGTGTTCTTGCAAGTCCTGTGCTTTTTGTGCACTCCGAAGGATGGCTTGTGCGCTTGATAGAAGACCACGGACGAAGCACAGACGTACAAGTTCGGAGATGCGAAATGTCCGAGCACGGAATGGGACATGGTGCCAATCATGAGATACTGTCCTGCAGCTTAGTGACCAACGACACCGTCTCATAGCCAAGTGGCAAACCCGAAAGTTGCCTCTTATGGCTGCCTCTGTCAACCACATTTCGCTCTTACTTCGCCCTGAACGATGAATAAGTGTGCTGGCCCCAGGCCCTTCGGCAGATACTTCGGCTTCCATCCTGGGCCAGCGTCTGACGTATGTTGTACGGAATCTTGATACTGCTACCATGAATAACTGACCTTCTTGCATTCTTCAAGCGTTACTTTGTGTCTGTTCCCCGGCACGGTGTTGTTCCAGCTTTCTACGTAGTCACGGTGCCTTGCAAGATATCTCATGTACGCACGATCGTAGGTGCTCGCATTACCAGCGGACATTCTTTCGCGAACTCCCAACAGCAAGTATGCATGATTTCATACAAGCCTCAAGCTTTCCCTGCGTCGTGGGCAGCAAGAGATAATTCAAAGGGTTCACTCAGTTTACTCGGTTTCTGGGCGATCGTTCCATCCCAAGTCAAAATAACTATTGCGAACATTCATACCCAAACTCTATTAAACCAGGATGGTACATGGATGGCGCTTCAATAACTGCAGGCTTGCTTGACTCTCCTCTCCATATGTGGTGAGATTCACCATGAGCCAGTTCACACTCTCAGAAGGTCGTTTATTTGGTGCATTCTACGAAACTTTGCTCTATGGTAAGTCTTCGTCTCAGATTCTGATCTCATCGTCTTGGCCAACGTTGTTGTGTGTAGGCATCAATATAGTCCTACTGTTGACGCTGCTCTGTCTGTTCGCCCAACAGAAGAAACCAAGCAAAACCCAACGGGTGTGTACCAGTCTGGTTTTTGTCATCTTTCTGCTCTGTACAATACATTTGGTAAGGATCCACAAATTCGCTCTAAGCACCCCGTGGAAGTGTACTCAACGGAAATATCACTAGGTCTCAGTCCTGCGCAGTATCGATGTTGCCTTCTTCCGGAGGAAGTCTGCCGATCAATACTTCAACAACCGCAGGAAAATCACGAATGTGCTTCAGAATGCTGCGTATGGTGTTGCGTTGATTCTCTCAGACGGTTTGATGGTAGGCTATAACACATCATATTCGTCAAGAGTATGTCATCAACGAGTGCAGATTCATCGACTCTATGTCATCTTTCATCGGAGTTGGGCAGTCATCATCGCTCCTGGGATATCTTTGATTGCCACGATAGGTCCGTCCAAGTATACGCCTTACTGCTGTGATACTCTAGACAAGTAACTCCCGTTCCCCCCACCAGTATCATGGATCGGATTGATATACTCCTACCGAACGTCACCAACAGGCTCGACCCTCTATAGCCCTCTCCTTGCGAAGTTCGCCCCAACTGCCTTCATCCTCAGCTTCTTCACGAACGTCATTATCACGGTCATGATCTCTGTGCGACTCATGCTGGCGATACGTTCGATAAGACACCTTGTACCGGAGACGGAGAGCTTCAATCGACGCTTCCTGGCCTACACGGTCGAGTCCGGACTGCTGTATCCTATGTCTGTCTTCGTGACGGGTGTGCTGTACTTCATGAGAGATGAGGCGCTCGAGATTCTCTCGGGAGCAAACATGCAACGTACGTTCCATGCAATCCGTTTCTCGGTGCCCTATAATGAAGCTTTCACAGTGCTTTGCATGGTCCCGATCATGCTTTCCTTGCAGATGCGCCTGAACCTCAGCATCTACGACGCCGCCAAGGGATTGCGGAGGAGCTCCCATGATTCAATTACTGCCGTCGACGGCCCGCTACAGTTCCGGCCGATGTCAGACGTCGGGCTTGCCTCATTCGGTTCAACGTCGCAAGTGCTGGAAGGAGAGGCGGAGCTCACGCTTGCTTTCCCTCTGCGTGGTGTGGGATCAGCGAAGGATCAGGAAGCGAAGCAGCTATCGCCAGAATGGTGTCCTGCCCTACCGTTGGGAGAAGGAGATATCACCGAGGCTGTGGGAGATCATGCAGGTCGGATGTCGATGTTAGAGGCATGAATCAAATCTGGTGAGGATGCCACCGATGTAGGATATGCTCTGCGATACGGGGAGGATCTTATCTTTGCTTCTGGCTGTGTATACATTAGTCTCGTAGCCTCGTGGACGTAAAGATGTACAATACCTTGTGCGGTTTGTGTACATCCCGTGCTATGATCATTTCTATTTCCATGACTGTAGCCAGGCGGCCATGCGCGCCGACCGAGTAGCGTCTAACTCAACTCGGCACACACATGAGACTGTGGATACCAAGAGCGCCCTAATGATCGCAGGTCTCTCGTTACCGAGCCTTGTATACAGCAAGATAGACTGTCCCAAATAGACTATTAGTAGGCCATCGCTCGGACACTAGACCAAGACGACTCTGTACTGGCTACCTTGCAATTGACCTGTCCTTGGTCGAAAAGTTAAAGCCGCCCCTAGGCCGTGATCGCTGCCATAGCAGCCAAATAGAAAGAAAATCAAAGGGTAAAGTTTTGCGGGGACTAGTAGAGGATGGCAAATCCTGTGAAAATATATATGGATTCTGCCCGTCGATTCAGAGTGCAAAATTCTCCTGACCTTTCGTTCGCTCATAGGCTCGTTAACCAGCCTCTATTAGACAGGAAGGAGGAGTCGTTCCTTTGTATAGAGTTCGCTCATGCCTCCGAAGGATCAGTCCTAGCCCGAATATGATCGCAATTTAATTGCTCGACGTTATCTGACTGTCTCTCATCCGCTTCCATCTGGACATGTGCAAATCAATAGATGGTATGTGAGGAAGGACTGAAGCATGTGAAAATTATCCGGAAACAAATTGAATGTTCGTGTCGTCGTTTATCAGGCTCCCGGTCGAAGCGGTGGCTTCAGCTAGTTTCTTCAAGTTCACTTGTGTGCATGGTTATTGGCTCTTCTCCACATCGTGATTGCCTATCCTTAGCGGTTTCGACGACACGGAGGCTTCAGGATGTAAATACTGAGAGATACGCAAAAAAAGGAACAGAAACTCGGCACAAAATCAACGAAGCTTCAATGCCACGATGCGCAGAACTGCCTGATTGGGACCTTCCGGGCGCGTTTGGACACTGGATGCTCGTGAAAGCACCGTGACCCCGGGATCAGGCAACTTGATTGAAACCACGGACCACTTTCTTCCCTGATATTGATATATATACTTTGGTGAATCACGTCCGTGCCACTCTGTCCGCTCAGCACATAGTACCCGTAGCACCTTCTTCAAGGCCAACCCCGCTTAAATGGCTTGCGTGGAATGTGTGTCTGGCTCTTTACACTCCGGAACACCAATCGGGCAAGAGATTTCGCTCGAAGGCATATCTGCGTACGCGGTTGGAGATGAATCCTCCAAACGCATCATCGTGTTCGGTACAGACATTTTTGGCTGGAAATTCAACAATACAAGGCTGCTCGCGGACGAGTATGCATCCCGCGGCTTCCGCGTCCTCATCCCAGATTTATTCGATGGTTCGTTTTGTTTCACAAGCCTGCGTCATTCCCAGATTCACGAATCTCCCACAGGCTACGAGCTTCCACAGTGGACGCTCGCTTCCAACGACCCCGTAAACGAAACACCAACTCTTTTCCAGAGATTGATTTTGCGTCCATTTGCCCTTTTCGTTCTTGTCCCTTTCGTCCTGCGCCACAGTCACTCCGACCAGTCCTCAAAGATCAATAAAGTCGTAAACCACCTACGCCAGACGTATTCGGAAGCTAAGATTGGCTTTATCGGCTTTTGCTGGGGGGGCCGGTATGCAATCACAATGAACGCCTCATTCGATGCGTCAGTCGCTGCACACCCCTCTCTCGTCAAATTTCCCGCGGACCTCGAAGGGATCTCCAAGCCGATCAGCTTTGCGCTCTCGGAGACGGACCACAATTATAACAAGGAGCGCGGAGACGAAACGAAGTCTATTCTGGAGAAGAAGGGTTTCACTGACTTTGAGGTTGTCGTCTATGAGGGAGTCAACCATGGGTGGACAGTACGGGGTAACATGAGCGACCCACATAAGAAGGATGCGAGAGACAGGGCGAAGGAACAGGCGCTGGCTTGGTTCGAGAAGTACCTCTCCATTACGCCGGTGTAGCAAGATTGAAACTTCTCTCTCCATCTAATTCCCCTCGTCAACATAAATCCCGTGGTGCGCGCACATTGTATCTTGACTCAAATCATTTGCTCATCTATGGAATCAGAACGTATGAATCCTAAATGCTGCAGAACGGGCGGGTTAAGTGCGCAAACACCGTCGATTTCATTCGCGATCTGCTGATAGATATTTGTCGTACCGTGGTAATGCAAGGACTCTTCATACTAATCGTTCGCTGTTTTTCCGTGTCTCCTGATCGGTCATTGTGCTGCATACATTTCGAGTTAAGTAACTGTTTAATGACGGATAATCCTTTGTAATATAGTTCAAGGGCAAGTAGATGACGGAAACATGACTGCTTTAGGACCGGTGTACGCTTCTACAAATTACTTCCGTTAAGCTACATCACAGTACCTCCCCTACTGTCCATTACATTCTTCTTTTTGGTTCCTGCCTTAGCGCTCCATCAACGCTCCAGCAGGCCTGCACAGCCACTTCTTGGCCGTGAGGTAGTAAGTCGCACAGTCTCTTTGAAACTCCTTCTCGTGCTGATCGGAGCGCGCTGGGACTACTAGACACAGCGGATGATTTGAACGTCCTCCATGCTCTCATGTTTTGACAGTTCCTTGATATTCTGTCAACCATCGACGGTCCATCGTCGAATGGATCTTTAGAGACTTCGAGAGTAGGATATATCTTATGAAATTGGATTTGCTGGGACATCGCCATTGTCGGTGAAAACTTGCCAGTACTGACCCGGACTTTGCACACTACTCAACGACTAGTTATGCCGTTTAATGCCCTCGTAAGTTGAGCTAGCCATATCTAGGAATTGGGAATGTCAACGCACTTGTTCATGTTGTCTATTCTGCCGCTGACAGCTCAAATTTGTTCCTTTGACTGTATGCCAATATTCACCGGACGAGAAGCCGAATCCATTCATCAGAACAGTCGATTGACATTCTAGTACATGCATACACCAGCCTCATACCCCAGGCAACGCGACGACTCATACAATCATACAAGGCGATATTAGTGGGCGAAAACGAGCTGGGCATCGTCTACAACTGTGCCATGAGCTGATCCATTGTGATGCTCAATGGACGCTCAATCGGAAGCCCGAGCGCTACGGAATCTCAGTGAATACATGCTGAACCAGCGCAGCGTAATATACGCACCTCTGTCCCAAACGTACTGCGCCATGAATCCCATGCCGCGGCTACAAGCCATGACAAGGAGAATGAAATCGACGTCGAGGCCCTGAGCGTACATGAGGCACCCGCTCAACGAATCCACGTTCGGCGCGTGGCTCTTCATGCGCGGTATATGCTTCCGCAACACGTCCGGCACAATCGCAGTCGTGAGGCGGATGAGCCTCAGCATGGCAGCCCCCTCATTGTCCTCCTGAGGCGGGCGACAATTGAGGAAGTGTACAATGGGCTCCAAACGGGGATCGGCAGTGCGCAGCAATGCATGGCCATAACCCGGCACCACACAACCGTTTGCAATCGTCTTGGTGACATACTCCTCGATAGCTTCATCGGAGGGCTCGGTCCCCAATGCAGAGAGCATCCCTTGATTATAGCGCAGGGCCTGAATAATAGCTCCTGCATGCAAAATCCCTGTTCCGGAAATCAGGCCGGAGGCAAGCGTGAGGTAGGGATCGCTCCATGCGGAGCCGCTCAGGCCTGTAAAGAGCACAATCAAAACAAGGCCGGGAAGATGCGGGGAACGCAGGAAGTAAAAGGTGCACGTACGCATTGTGTGTGCAGAAACGTTCGCACCGTGGTCCATGTGCAGTCCCCAGTATAGTCTAATCAGCTCGGTGAAGTCGGCGTCACCGACTCGGCCAATCAATCTGGTAAAATTCTCTGCTAAGTCAACCCGAGGGTCCAACAGCGCATCGGGATGCTTCCCCTCTCTATACTTGTTGATGTAGATGCGCGCGGCAATCATGGGCACTCGGGCAGTGCTGTCGAGCGCGTCCTCGAGAGCGTACCGCCAAAGCTGCATCTTTGGCACACCTTGCGCGAGCGCCGCGGTGAATTTAGACGAGGGAGCGAGGACGGACAGACACATAATCATTTGTGCGATGCTCGAGATATCGGAGGAGATACGGTCGCAGAATTCCTCAACCTCTGCAGGAAGTGTGGACCGGCGCAGAAGGTCTGCGGAAAATGCTTCCAGCTCCGCGCGTGTCGGCACTGACGCGGTATAGAGATACCACAGCATCGCCTCTGGGGAAACTTGGCTCGATCCGTTCCACGATGGGAGAAGGCCCTGCAGTTCGCTGAGGGTGCGACCGTGATAAGTGATCCCATCCTTGTCGGTGCCAGAGACCTCCCAGAGTATGCAGGGTAGCCCACGCATTCCACCCATGACGTTCGAAACAGTCATACTGTGAACGGGTGCATCAGCATACGCAGAGGTGAGCTGGGATGCAAGCTTCAGACGAGAGGGAAGTCTGGCTGCTACAGCATCGAAAAGCGTCCGCTGAAGACATATTAAACGCTGAATCAAGAAAATGATGATGGTGCTCACCGTATGTGCCGTAGATTGACAGGACTGAAAGCTATCCATCCCGAAAGCGAGACTGAGATGAGTTTGGCTTGCAAAAGCTCTTGGTGGGTTATCTGAACGCTCGGGAGCCACTTATATAGCACCAATCTTGGTCGAACAGATATCACAGCGAATAGACCGAATCCATTCCATCTGACAAATCTGAAGAAGATGCTGGTTTTCCCGAACATCACTGCTCCGTGCATCCGACCGAATCTCCTGGAACTTCAAGCAAACTTCAAGCCAAGAAACCCAACTCGACCGCATGGTTCGAATCACAGATATCCAAAATCCAACAGAATTTATCCGCAGGTATAGACAAACACATATGGTCAGCATGACATTGAGGTCCGAAATCGCACCACTCACAGCATATAAGATCAAAGCCGGGTAGAGCGGGCGAAGCGAGACTTCATCGCCATGCATTCGAAGGCAGGACCCCGGCATATGCTCCAATATGTCTCGAGCTGGCTCTGCAGTTTTTTCATGAGCGGAGCGGAAAATGCGCAGAGTGTGACAACTTGAAGTGAATGGCCATCCGATGTTTCAAGTTCATTGCGTGAGATCGTGTTCGAGCACGAGGATAAGGAGAAGACAATGAAAGCATTTTCAAACGCCTGCAAAGACTCATCGCAAAGCCAAAGCTGAGTCTATTCGAGAATGAAAAGTGCATCTACATATGTCGCACGTCAGAGTGCTGCTACGCCACAACCCCGACGGCCGCGGCTACATGTCTAGGACACGTTCACCGTCCAATCTGTCTAATACCGCATGTAGGAGAATGGGCTTGTCATTCTATATCAGTCCTGAGGGTGAGACGCAACCTACTCACCTCGAATGCTGAACACTACAAGAGTAGTAGACTTGCTGGTTCAACCTGAACGCGCGAGCGGAAAACATACCGACTCCGACTCAGCGACAGCCACGTATCGAGGGACAGCGGACGCGAGGCATAAATTTGAGGATCCCGGTCATGGCGACGCGTAATGCTTGTTAAAGATATGGGCATTCACTTACTTGGATCCGAGGGCGCTTGGAGGTTGTCCCCGGCCGTCCAAAAACGTCCGCACTACCGGATCGGACATGCTGGCGACGGTCCAACTATGTCCACACAGTGGATCGGGTGGCTAGTGCCAGGATTTGGCCTGTTCTACCCGCACTTAGTCTCGGACGTTGGCCGGATTTGGGGCTCACTTCTACCCGCATCCGGATCGGACATGTTGCAGCGTATGCCGGGGTCCTTCAAAGGCTCGAGTGGACGGGCTCTAGCGCCTTGGACTTTGCGGGATTAACGCGACGTATTAGAGCATAGAACAATAAGTCTCCTGGAGGTCCCGCTCGCCTCGATGTACCGGTAAGGGAATGAAGGAGTGTGTGGAGAGCACGCGAATAGATGCGGAATATCAAGGTGTCCCCTGGCTTGGCATTCGAGTTGAAGGTGATGAACATCGGAATCGAAGTAGACCTTCGGCACTTATCTGCTCCTAGGACACAAAAAGGCGATTGCGAGCATCCGTCACATACACCTCTGTGAGCGATCCGCTGCTACCTTCTGTTTACCTCGAATATACTTATGTCGCAAAAACACTGTTTTAGCGCTCCGAAGGTCTGACGCGCACTGGCAGTACAGAGGCGACGCCATGGAGCGCATGGCCTTTGTACCGCAGGTGTTACGCCGAAGTTGTAACCAATTCGAAACACAGACCGCCGTCAATATCGTAAACCTCACCGAGCATCGCGGTGGGGAAAAGCAGTATCGATGCTGCTACACATCTCTGTGCAGCCGAATTAGTAACCTGGTTGTACACTTGTTCGCTTCCCCTCGAGTCACAGTGAATGGATGTGCGCTGCTTTGCTGGTGTTCTCGGACAAGAAGTGCTGGAAGTGGCTGGGAAGTAGTGCAGTATTTATTGGAGCCACCTTGGTGAGTCGCTAAACGTAACTGTATGGTCTGAAATGTCAAACACAGAGCACAGAAGAACCAACTTCGATGGGAACCCAAGCATCGATCAAGTGGAACACGCACGATCCAGAACGTACAATAACTAACAGTATCGCGACAAATTCGGGAAGGACGGACGCACCGAAACGGACTACAAACGCACACTATCTTACATCGGCTAGAAAAATTCCAGGGGCAATTGACAACTGCTTCCAAGAAGTGTAAACTCGCTAGCAGAACACGCCTACCAGCTCTGGTAGTAAGGACTGCCGCACATGCGGCAGTACATCCCACTGGGATGTTAGCAGGGCCTACGACTCTGCAGGTCATATCTGACCTCAATGCGGCACAAACCGCACGACGAGCTCATAACAAGTTCGCACTACCAGCACTCAGCACAACGCAGATCATTGCCTCGGCCCACTTTCATCCTGTGAATGGGAAGGTCGCGACGTGGCGCCACGGCATCCCCTCCTGGTACTCCCAGAGTTGGAAGCCGAGCGCGCGCCCGCGCGGCAACCTCTTCACCTGTGCACGTGCGGCGAACGACTGCGAGACGCGGTCGTGTGCGGCGCGCGCTGCGGCGGCCGAGACACGACCATGCACGGTGAAGTGGGGCTGATAGCCGTTACGCTCTGAGGGGTGCACGATACCCATGCCCGCCCACCTAAAAAAGGACAAATCGCAGATGAGCATGATCCCGTTCTGATCAATTGTATACGGAGAATATCACACCTAATATTCAGAGCACTTCGCATGCTCTCCAGCGGAGAGGACATCACCGGCAGAACGACGCATTTGCCCCACAGCTGGGGTTTGCGCGCAAGCTGGAGCGTAAAGCGCTTCTCCTTGCGCCCCATCTCAGCGAGATCAGCATGCACCTCAGCCACGAGAGCAGGCGGAACCGTCAGGCGAGTGAATATCCCAATGTGTGCAGGGTTGAACAGAAGATCGGGTGGGTAGTGTTTAGTGCGCAATCCGTTGATATAGTGGTAATCCTCATCGGATTCCAGGAGCAGAGTAAGTGTAAAATTCAAAGCAGGAGCTGTCTGGGTAAGGTCAGGAGCAGCCCCAGTAACACTGAATGCAATCTGGTTGTTGTTGACCATCATGATAGGGTCGAAGGACTACGACGAAATAGACACCGGGCGTGGAACACGTCAGTCACTTTACCCTATGTCGCGTCACACGTCACGCTGCACTTCGAATCCGTCGTCATATCGTTTCATCCTGACGAACGTCGTGAATTCGGTTTATTATTGTAATAGCTCGTCCTACGTGACACAGAGTACATACACACATGCACATTTTCAGCCCTCGAACGTGAAGCTCGCGCCGACCTGTAGGAGAGGGTTAGTCACACAGAAGGATGATCTGGATGAGTAGGAACGCGTACCTTGTGGGCGGGGCCAACGGGTGTCACGTCGTTCAGTCGTTGTGTGTCGAGAGCAAGACCGAAGGACGCGCGCACACCGGGGCGGAGAGCCTGAGTGTAGCCTGAAATTACACGTCAGTATAAAACGGAAAGGAGGAAAGGAAGTACACCAACCGAGAGCAAGAATACCCGAGTTGTTAATCTTTGCCTTGAAGAATGCTGCAGAGTCAAGGTATCTTTAATAAGACGACGCGTCAATTGTCTCCACGTTGGGATATAGAACGAACTTTATACGCACGCCTTAGCACCCACCTCGAGGCTTACACCCTGGGTAGTCGCCTTGGTGTCGTAGATGGCTTTGGCACCAGCCTCGACGTCGGGGCTGACTCGGTGATAGTAGCTCGCAGCGAAGGTGCTCAGGTTACCGAGGCCGTGGACAGTCACAGCGTACTCAGGCGCGCTGAAACCAATCGCGGTCGCGTAGCGCGTCACCTTGCCCTCCGTCACGTTGTACGACGCCTCAGCACCGACGAGGAAGCCATCTCGGCCAAGGACGGTGTCCGCAGTGAAAATGGGGCCCTAAGGTCGCCCGAAACATCGAATGATGAATAAGCAAGTAACTTGGAACGCGACATTTTGCGAACCTTGAAGAGGTCAAGGAATGCACGGCAGTGGAGACCCGGCTGCTTATAGGTGGTAGTGAGGAGCGCGGTCTTGGAGCCGCTGTCCGGGGTGAGTGCGGTGTTCAAGTCGACCTTAAGACCCTTGGCAATCTGGTTCTCAAGCTCAACCTGGGTGCGGAGCGTGTTGGAAGTCGTCCACGCCTGGGTGAAGACAAGACCATGGGGCTTGTCGGTGTACTTCGCCTCGATGTCTCCGGCAATGAGAGAGGTCTTGGTGTCACGGGTGCCGTTGACCTTGAAGGCGACGTTGGAGGGCGTCGTAGTCTTGACCTCAAGCTGGGTTCCGTTGATTGGGAAGTCTTTGCTGAGAAGGTCGTTGGACGACTTTCCGAGGTCCTGGACGTGTCAAACAACGCGGTGTGAGCTGCACTGCGTCGAGAACGTGTGAGTCGGTAAGGAGTACCTTCCAGGATGGGGGCACAGGCTGAGGAAGAGACGAGGACGACATGGTGGATAGAGGTGACGTTGAACACTGGCAGGCGCAAAAATCATGCCGCGCTTTATGCCTCCGGACACTCCCGAACGGTGCACGTTCGCGCGTCGCTCCTCCTCGGCAACACTCCCTCCTCTCTTCCGTGTCTTTCCCTGGTCATACGATCCCGAATAAAACGAGCTCATCGTTCTTGATGATCGCAGGGTCTCCTAAAACCGTCGATGAACCAGCCGCGTCTGGTCGGACTTCGTCGGACACCCTCGGCAGCGTTGACTGGTTTGCGAGGATGATTGCGTCGTCGACCCTGCTACTGAGCTGTACAGTGAACACAATGAATCATTACTTGTTTCGCGCTTATATAAATTCCGCCCGTCAAGTTGCAACGTTAACTTAGGTCTGGCAAAACAATTCCTTCTTGATGACATAAGCCCGCTGCTATCATGATGAGTTTGCTGCCCTCGCTTGCGAGATCGTTATCTTCACTGTACTCCAGAGCACCTGCAATGGCGACAAGGGGCATGCATAAATCGGATTTAAGACACAGGGTCAGAAAATCCGGTTAAGCACCCTTGAGACCCCCCTCCCCCGTGGGAATTTCCCACGGTCCATATATAGAAGGTCTCTGTATGTTTTCATGTGGAGAGTAGAGACAAAGGTTTTTTGATGCATATACTATCGATACAGCTCTGTAACTACACACTGATCAATACCTTGTTCTCCTTTTCTTGTGCACATGAGATTTCTGATATTTTGCATGGCATTCATCCGTGCAAAACCATGGGCCTTTCGGTGGCTCCAGGAGGTCAACACATTCAAAGTGGTACTGACAGCAGGATAACGCGGACGTGAGATGCAATGACGAAAAATAATGATAAGTCAACACACCCATTGCTTACAGCCAGATGTACTGCCTCTCCTGATTCAGGACCTTGACACCAGCAGAACGTCTCCTCATGGGATTCCGAGTTTACTGGCTCCGTCGAGTGCTGGGTTGCTATGTCAATGTCCAAATCCTCTTCGCTCTCAGGTAGAAGCTTAGGATCAATAGGAATATCCAACCGGTAGGTTGAGCCCGCAACGCTAGATCAGGACCATCCAGCTGATAGGTAGATGGCTTGCCCGTGGGACTCGAGGGTAACAGCTAAAGATTTGAGATGTTGGTGTTAGAGTAATGAAAACAATTAAAGCTTAAAGGACTGTGCTCACCACAACTTATATTCGTGAGACTGCTGGCCCCTTCCGACTTAGGATATTTTATGCAGGTTTTAAATATATATATATAATTTCCGGTTAAGGGCCTCGGAGGCCCCCCCCCTCCCGCTTTGTATGTAACGCGCTGACTGCGGAAGGGCTATGAGGAGAACAATTTTATTCTAGAGTAAATAAAATTGTCCGAGATAGAGAAAGCCGAAATGAGTATGCACCACGCAATGTTGCATACGAATTTCGACGTGTGGGGGGAAGGTTCTGCGGGGCTTCGTGAGGGAGCGGAACTCGGAGGCGCGAATTCCCAAAAGGGGAATGCCAACGAGATCGGCCCGCGGAACCTTCAGAGCCTGGCACGTAGATCTCGCGGCCAGACCATGGCGGGTCAGCCGGGGAGACGAGACCATACCACACCAGAGCGCGGCTCACTACGTCGAGTCCCCGGGGACCCGACCCACACAACTGAGCAAGAGATGGGTTCCAATGATGACAGAAAATCATAATTGAGACGGATGACACCATAGTTAGGGTAACGGGAGTACAGGGGTCAGCATGTGAGAAGAAGGGGGAGGAATGATTATTAGGTAGCATCACATGAAGTAAGACGATGACGACGAGAGAATGTGTCCATAGAGGGACCGAGATGAAGAGCACGAGAGGAATTTGCTGCAGTAGAAATAAAAAGAGGAAGAATTGCTTCAATCTTACGCCAGTACTCGAGAAACGCTTGGGATTTCCATCGACCCTGCGTAGCGACTATGTCCGGGCCGGGTTAACCCCTTGCAGAAGCAGCTCTGTCGCGCCCCCAATGCGGAACGCGTGGCCCGGCATGTCTGGGAAACCGGCCGCGACCCAAACCGCGTTGCAGCGTTGCATGAACCATGGCTTGGTCATGGGGGACCAGCCACCGGCCGCAGTTTCGAACGCGAAGAGGGGAGCCGATGCGATGATGTCGACGTTACATGAGAGGTGGTGACGAAGTGTGGTGAGTGGACATGTGGGATGAGCACGCGCGATGATGGAGATGTCAGCGCCATCCTGCATGGTCGTCTTCGTCCACGGTATGTGGAAGGTGGTGTAGTCGACACCGTTAGTGAGGCGGCTGAACGTGATGGGGAGAACGGAGCGGGAGACATGTTTGAGCTGGTCGAAGAGATTCGTACTCGGGATGACGAGTTCACCCAGGCTGTGGAGGACAGTGTGAGTGTGAGTGTGGGATGAGGTACGGGAGATGTCTGAGGGAGAGGAGTTGGAGGTGTGCACGTACTGGCAGCAGCACCAAAAGGCGATGCTAGCTAATGCCCAGACGGCCACGTCAAAGGCGTTGGAGAGGTCGAGCCCATCCTTGAGAACGATGAGGGCCTCGATGGTTACGGGGGGTCATTTTGCGCGTTTCGAATCGGGAGGAACGAGCTTCGTGACACCTCGTTGAACGTGGCGTAGCATATCGCGTCCGTGCCATGCTGCACCGTTGACTGTGTGCCAGTAGTGGAGACCGGCGAGCCAGTTAGAGAGAGTTTTATCCGAGATCGTGCCCGCAGCGGAGGCTGCAAACGCTGCCAGGAGTGACTCTGATGCCGGCATGCACTGCGACTCGGGGATTGCGTGCTGGTCACAGTACTGTGTGAAACGTAAGAGTCCTGCCCCGTAGTTGCTGCGTGTCGATTCGTCCAGTGAGCATAGCATCACTTGGAAAAGTCGGAGAATTGCGATTGAGGGGAGAAGATGCTCCAGTGCTTGTTGGAAGGATTGGGAGTGTGGAGTGGTCCATAAGAGGACGCGGTCGCTGGCGAGTATGGGAGGGCGGTGAGATGAGGGGACGATGCGGTTCTGGGGAGCCAGACGGCGAGGGACGCGAGTACGTCCTCCCGGCGGCGGGTGAGTGGCAGCATGCTGGACATTGTTGTTGATCTGTGCGAGAAAAGCCGCGGCCTCTGCGTCGATGTCGACGTCGCGTAGTAGGCGGGCAATGGGGGATGATTCATGCATGAGCAAAGAGGGGAGCGATGGGAGCAGGGAGGTCGAGAGATAGAGGTAGACGGAGGGAATCAGCGGGATAGATCCCACGCGACACGGGGTCAGCGAGATTGTCCTTTGTGTTGACATAGATAAGGGAAGCCGATAAGCCTGTAACGCGAAATACCTCTTCGGAGCGGCGAATACAAAGATTGGTTTCCGCGTTGTTGGAGCGACCTTTCTCGAAGGCTCCGATGATGCCGTCATTGTCACTCCGGATAAGAATATTGGCATCTCGAATGCCCATCGCGCATGCGATGAGTATGGCGATTTCCGCTGCGATGCCTTCGAGCCATCCGATGTCTCGTCCAGGTATCTTCCAACCCTCGAGTGAGCGCCAGGCGGCCCAGTGACCATTCCAGATGATGCCAATGCCGGTGCTCGTGGATGCATCCACCCATATGCCGTAGTCTCGCGTGGGTCCACGTCCAGTGAGTGAGCGAGGTGCGGATGGGATAGAGAGGGTGGAGAGCCACCACTTAAGATCGGAGATGACGGACGAGCGCATGTAGCGGGGAGTGAAGTCGTTGTTGAAGGTGCGAAGCCATGCATATAAGTTACTCATGTACGAACGACCGTGCGAGTGCACGAACGTGACGTGGGAGAGTTTGCAAATGAGAGATTGTGCTTCTTTCTTCGATACCTGTGAGTTCTCGTAGGTCTGGAGAAAGAGAAGTAGGTGAGCATGATATTTGAGCCGTTTGCGCTCAGAGAGAGAAACGGTGCGCAAAGTGATATCCCAATGAAAGCCAACATAATCGAAGGAGTCGGCAAACTCCTGTCCCTTCGTCAGGTGCCATGGGATACGTAGGGGTGCGATTAATTCCTTCGCGTGAGTGAGGTCATAATGGTAATGAAAGTTGCCATCTGCAAACGGTCCGGTCTCGCATGGAAAACGGAAGAGGGCAAAGTCATCCACCCATTTAACAACGGGGGATACTGCAAGAGACTCCCAGATGTCAACGGTGGCATCTGCAACCTCGCCTTGTAGACCCGAGGCGGAGGCGAGGCCAAAGGGCACGTTGTGATCCATGTAGAAAAAACCACGGAAGTAGACTACGAGGAAGCGTTTGTGATCCGGTTTGACCGGGATGGTGCGATATGCACCCGCGATGTCTAGCGTGGCCACCTGCGTGCCAGGTGGCGCCGCTGAGATCTGAGAGATGTTGTTGTGAAACGGTAAGCATGTGCCAGAAGGAGATTGGCACGCGAGAGCAAAGAGAGGTAAGTTAGCAAGCCAGACGGTGGATTGCGGTCCCCTGTGAGAACGGTGTGTACTTCGAGCCAGGAGTTGGTGAGTGTCTGTAGGGGTGTAGGCCCCCGTGGACAGCCCATCATTTCCGGCGAAGTGCTTCCACCATCTCACGGAGAATGGGAAGGATGGCACTGTGTTGTGCGATCGAAGTGGGCATATTGGCCGAGAGAAGATGAGAGAACAAAGGTGGGCACATCGGCCGAGAAAGAGTGAGAGAGCAACGAGTAACGCGTGAGTGTGAGCGTGTAAGAAGGAGTATGCACGAGAGATTGCACGTTTGGCATTGTGTGCTTGGGAGAGCGCTCGTGGGAGAGAAGGCACAGGATCATGCTCATGGTGGAGTGTGCATTCATGATGGAATGCACAAGATCGTATGTATGAGAGAACGCGTACGAGGAGGGGTGCAGTCATTGCAAAGAGATGAAAGAGAATGGAGAAAGAGAGGGAGTGCCATAGAGGACGTACGATTTTCGCTACGTCAGTGGCTTTGCCCCATCGTGTAGGGTAATCCTTGGCGTCGATCTCATCATTGACGGATTGGCCCAGTGTACCCTTATACGAGAGATGGCGACATATGCGAAACTTGTCTGGTTCGCCGCAAGCCCCCACTTTGGTTGCAACTTGGAGAGGAGACGATCGAAACGGTCCAATCTTCGTTTCGAGCTGTGCGCGCGTGAAGGGACCGGTGAATCGGCCGAGAGCAAGTTCTTCCGAGATGTATTCGCGGATGACCTCCGTGTGATCGTTCGCGCTCGGCAGGTTGTCGGGAGTGAAAGACTCAAGGATTGGTGCGAGATCGCCAAGTAGGAATCTGTGTGTGATTTTGAAGCAGAGTTCAGGATATCGTGCGAGGAGGCCGGCGTTGTCGAGATAGCGCTGAAAGTCGGGTGCAGAGTAAGGAGTGAGAATAAGTGAGAAGTCAGAATCGTTGTCGAACGGAGAGGGTTCCGGTTGCAAGTCATTGAAGTATACGTGAGGCTCGTCGGGAGCAGAGAGATTTGGAGGGGGATACCACTCCTCGAAGTCATCAAGAGGACATAGCCGCGCGCCAAGAAGGAGGGTCGCGTCGCCCTCGTTAGGTGCATTTTCTTGCGCAGGCTCCGTGTTCAGAGGAGCCACAGAAGGAGCAGACGTGTTGTTCGGGATGATGCTGCTTGCAGATGCACTTGGCGGAATTGAGCTGGAAGGTGATGCAGAGAGGGGCCGAGTTAGAGCGGAGCACAAGTTTGTTGTTGAGATATCTCGAGAGCGTGTCGATTCCTTGCGCCGTTGTCGTTTCCGTGCATTGAGAGAATTTGTGGCCGGGCCGGCGGCAACAGAGGCAGAGGGGAGTGGACCCGGAATCGGCTCCCTTGCCCTCTCGAAAGGAAGGTTTGTCGGTGGAAGTGTTTCACGGATTACGACAGGTGTCACGGTCGTACGGATCGTATGCTCGGCCACTCCTATTGGCGTTCCTGTCAGGCGCTGAGTATTGCGAACGCGATGCTTGTTTGTCAGCAAGAATCTGAGATCGCAGGTCCTCGAGTTTGACCGCTTCGAAGCACCGCTGATACGCGTCCTCGTTGTGTGCCTCGGGTGCGATGGAGTAGCGAGTTCGCTGTTCGATGTCGAAGGTCAAAATAGCGTGGAAGTCGCGCTTGAAATCATCTTGTTTCGACAGAAACTGATAATGTTCCTCCCATCGCTGAGCTACGGCTGTATCGGAGTGAGTACGGAGGAAAGGTATGCATCGGTTCCATGCTTCATGCCAGTCGGCCACGTCCATTTCAGACTCTGTCTGGAATTGGGTTAGATCGATCAGATGGCACTTCGTACCGCTGGCGTTGTAGACAATGTTCTGCTTGATGGAGGTTGAGTTGTTATGTAACTTGTTCGTGGAGGCAGTGGTAAATAGGGATAAGGGAATGTGTACTCGGTTTTGGCCGAGATTGAGAATGAAAGGATGGATGCCGAAACTCTGTGCGTGAGAAGTAGAAGAAGAGGGGCGCTCGCGTTCGATGGAAAAAAGTAATTTCGGGACTGAGTCGGGAAGAGAATTATCTGCTGTAGGTAAGGATGTATTAATGAGGGTCTGTAATTTCTTTTGCGAGCCGGGGGAGAATTGGGAGAAGGCCGAAAGAAGTCCTACTACATTATGAGCTGCGGGAATGGTAGTGGAAGGTACGGAGGAGGTAGGAGTAGAAGGACGGGAGATAATATGAAAAAGGGGTTCATCAGCGGGAACGTTGGCCTCCTGCGCGTCTCTACGCTGCTGCAAGAGGAGATTGCGAGCGGTTCTCGCCAAATTCTCGGCCTTCTTCTCCGCGGTGGTCAGGGGCGACGACCCTGGGAGATTGGTGCCGCCGGAGCCCGATCCGGGCTGGATCGTGGATGTGTCTTTATTGGCCGCGCCTGTGGGAGCGATGGAGCCGGTCATGATGAAAGATCAAGGGGATCGGAGGTGTAGAAAAAAGCGAGACCGGGATGGGGCGGCGGCGTGTAGAGAGAGAGGAGGTGACGAGACGTGTGCGCTCTTCCTTCCTACTTAGGGGAAGTGCGCACGGACCTCTAGGACGAAACACGTGTCGCCCGCCTTCCGGTGAACGTCGCGCTTACAAAGCCGGCGCTTAACCGTCGTCGTACTCGCAGGCTCGCAGACGTCGGTGGAGCGTCCACCTACCCTGTGTCTCGGAATCTGCCGGTGCATGCCCCTTGAATGGCGAAGTACATATCTCCCGACGTAAGCTCCACCTCGTCGGTGCAGATGACGCTGCTGACCAGCAGTAGGAGCTCGCCACGATCATGAAGAGCGACAAGGTCCCGATGAAGGACTTTTGCGTTGTGGATGTGCGTGATGACGATTGGCAAGGCGGAAACATCAAGGGATCGCACAATTCTCCCTCTCATGGATTCCTGACGAGACTCGATGACCTCGTTGCACAGACGAAAGATATCCCGATGGTGATCTTCCATTGCACGCTCTCCCAAGTCCGGTACGCCCCCCCTTCTCAGCTGTATTGCAACCGGTGCTGACCTTCGCCTTCGCGTGCAGGGGACCTAAAGCTGCGAGCGTATGTGTGCCTTGCCATGTTGTCTGACCATATGCGCTTCTCACAGATGTCGTTCGCCGACCAGATCTATGCAGAAACACGTGATCTTCTTGAAGCTGAGGGGGAGGACAAAGCCCACGACGTGCGGATCCTGCAGGGTGGTTTCCAGGATTTTCAAGCAAAATACAAGGACGATCCTGAGCTTGTGGAGAACTGGAAACACGACGTATGGGGCGAGCTGCATATGTGATCGTGCTGCCCTTGCATATTTTCATATAGAGGGGCCATGCTCATTATGTATAGTGTAGCAATAGAGCACTTAGGATACGTTGGGTTTTAATGTACAAATGCGCGCGCGAACGCTGCACATGCTCCCACTACGTCGGATGCGACAACGAGCCCTACGACGAAGATTTGGGGCCCTCGGGTGATGATGTCGAATCTTCCTGTGCTTTCGCAAAACGTTTTGGAAGTTGCTCAACTACCTGCTGGATCCGTCTGCGCTCTTCTTCCAGCGACCTTCGGCAGATGGTCCTACAAAATCCGTACATGAACGACCTCGATCTCACCATGTGCAAAGCAACGCACCAAGTACCGAGAGAGATGAGCGCGAACGTTCCGACGGCCCAGTTGCACGCGACAAAAGGTCCTGCAAGTCACCAAAATTGAAAACTTCCATCTCTCTTAACAAACGAAAATGAGAACGTACCGGCACTCATTCCGCGGATGACCCCAATGCCCGTCCCGCTCGCGATACCACTCAGCAGGCTGCTCCGTGCGCAGGGAATCTCTCCGATTTTCTGCAAGTCATCCCAAAACGATATGCGCTTGCTTGGGCGCGCATGAGATAGATCCATGTTCGGGGAGGCGCGGGCGTACCTTCACAGCCTCCTTCACATCAGACCAGTAGCTGCCGGTTGTTTCGGGTTGGAAGACAACATGTTGCGGCGGCGGCGAGGATGATGAGGAAGAAGGTGCTCGCGGTGTGGAAGGTGTCTCCATGCTATACTGTGTCGGCTGTCGCAGTTGCCTGCACAATGGGCGCTTATATAGGCGCTTCATTTTCGCCCGGGCCTCAGCCACACCATTCGCTCAGCCAAGCTCAGCTCCCAAAGAAGGCCCGCTAGGTTGATTTGCAAGGCTGAAAATACGACTATACGTTGAGGCAGTTTCAAACGACTCTGCTCACCACCGATGTTTGTCTAATGTTCATACGGAACAAATTAGGCCATCATAGATGTCGATCCCTGCGCCAACTCGAACCCTTCCAGAAATATGCGATTACATCCCAGTGGACCATCTGTGGGATGTACCTGCCCTTACAGCCTGCAGTCCCTGTAGCCTGTGGCTTCCGACGACTCGCCACCACCTCTTCAATACTGTCTTACTCAGGAACGATCTAAATGACTCGACGTGTGTGTGCTTGCAGGGGTCTCCTTACCTCGCACAATATGTTCGCACCCTGAAGTTCTCGCAGGCACCAGGATCCACTTTACTGTTCGAATTGCCCGAGGTCTTGTTGCAGCTCAAACATGGCGTTTCAGGATTTTCCCTTGCTGATGATGTTGGACAACACCGTAGAGCGCCTGCACAAACACTTCCCAAAGGTCAAAACACTTTATTTTGCTTGCTGTTCGTTCAAATCAGGTAGTGCTGTGCACGTTTCCCGCGTTTTCCGGGATCAATTCTGTACAAACGAATTTACTGGACGACGTTCATGAGCTCTTTCACGTCGATGTTTCTTGGGATGTTATCCCGCCACCAAGACCAGGTGCACAAGAGAATCGAATTTACTTGTATAATATCACGCTTGAAGTCGATGTACTACCTCTTATGACTTTACTGTCGAGCGGCCCTTTCGATCTGACCCTGAGAGGCTCGATCTGGTGTGCAGGTACCGGCCATGGATATCCGCCGTCCTGCTCGTCGATATTTCTAGCTCATCCTTGAAGCATCTATGCTTGACTTTTCTCGACGGGTGGGACCCCACCGGAGGTTTGGTTAGCCTCTCCAAGCGCTCTCGACTGGTCTCACTGCAGCTGAATGAAGTCAACCCGATCTGGTACTCGCAGTGGGCGCATGATGCTCTCTATTCCTTGCTAGCTATTGAAGGAGCTTGCCTCGAGCAATTCCAGATCGGGTTCGCGCGATGCAGACAGTACGATCTCTGGTTTTTCCAACATGGTTCCGGCAATTCGACGGGGTTATAGCTCACCTGCCGCGCTACCGCCCCGGCATTGCGGTTACGTTCGTCGTACAGCTCTACCGGGACTCGGGTGAGGTGTTCAACTTCGATTTCGCCGCTCGCATGCGGACAGTTGTGGATGGCATTGTTGCACAACTGCAGCTTTTTTGGCTGAAAAGTTGAAGATCCATTGTCGCCTGGTCGGTCCTGCCACTGGGTCGTCTATTATGTTGGTGGTGTTTATCGAATTTATGAGGCTGCTCCCTTGAAGGTTCGGTTGTTTGAATCGTAGTCCTTCTGTGCCCTCTTCTATACTCGTCAAATATTCATTCATCATTACGATTTTTGATGTCTGGCATTTAGCTTATAAACCCGCTAGTCATGCATTAAATAAGACAGTACACTGCGAGCGCAAGGAGAAGAAGGGGCGAACATCACTCAGCAGGCGCACTTTCTCATGTATAGCATGGGATGATGATGAGGGGAGTGAGCTCGCCTCCAACGTTGTCGCCCTCCGCATCGCATCCGCTTGAAGTGGAGCGACATGTCGAACGTACACACCTGCCAAATATATAGCATGCCTTTCGTATTGCGTCCAAAAATGGGAACCTTCTCGACTCGGCGGTGATGGCATCGGCAGCTCAGTTGCGGCGCGACCATATGACCGCAACTTCTCGAGACACACAGCTTGAACGAGAACATTACCAGCCCCACAGCCATGTTAGTTCTGTCGTGAGACTACAGCTTATGATTATTGTCTCCCGTTTATCTTTCCGATGGCACTACTAGTACTGCCAACTTGTCGAATCTGATCACAGCGGCAATGTGTAACTTGTGGAGCCTCAGTGAGCACGTTGTCTTGACTTTCGATGACACACGCGGATGCGAGTCTGAAAGCTTCTCCCAACAGACATATCGCATCTATTTGATGAACGTTCCTCGGCATCGCCGAAGGACTAACGTTTACCGCCAGAGTCTTTATCTTTGTTTATACCGCAAGGACCATTCGACACTTAACTGGCGCATCGTCGAGTCCGATCGGTCCTAGCATATGGCCTCACGGCCTCACCGGAGGCCTCACCGCTCATACACATGGTGGTCTATGGGCCGGAACCGGTAAATGGCGGGATACTTCTGGCTTGCATCCTAATGGAGACGGATACCATCGAGCGCTAGAACTGCAATCTCACATGGAAGCGTGTTGTCAGTGACCATGTCCACGATAGAAGCTCACCGTCGCTAACCATTTCACAGGCTTGCACAGAACTCGAGTGCACTTCGCGCAGCGGACGTCGCAAAGCGATCGGCGTCAGTGACCATCTGCAAGGACTGCTTCGATGCAACGTGGTAGTGGAGACCACCCCGCTGCGATCGTTGTTGTCCACATGTTTACTTCAGCGACCACATCAATCTGACCCTCATGACATAGCATCTTATGCGAGATGAGCATGCGGTCTCCAAGTTTTTGAGTAGTATAAAAGCCAGGTCACTTTGGCCAGTAACCTCATCCAGTCGTCGAGATCTGTCTCAAAAAACATCTTCACAGTCCTCTGCTTGTTCTCTAGCTTCAGCTACCAAGTACCATGTTCTGCAAGGCAACTCTGCTCACCGTAGCGCTCGCTCTCATCGCGTCTGCGAGTCCAATTGCCCGCGACTCTCAGTCTGGCATACACGTCCCCCTCCATAAGCGCGGTAGTCTAAAGAAATCCGACGGCTCCTTCGACTACGCGAAGGCGGCCATCCAGTTTGCTAAAGTCCAGAAGTATGTATCTCTCGTGATCACGCTGTACGGGTACTCATGTACGTATGTCATGTGCAGCAAGCATCGCCAGAACTTGATCAACCTCCAGCGCAACAAAGGTTTTCTTTCTGACAGTCTCTATATCCCAAAGCCTGTCACGCTCTCCAAGCGCCAGGCTTTGCCGTTGACCGACGAACAGAATGGTCTTGAGTGGATGGGTACCGTCTCCATCGGCACGCCTGCGACCGACTTCGCGATCGACTTCGACACTGGCTCTGCTGACCTCTGGATCCCCTCCTCCTCATGCAGTGGATGCGGCTCGCACAGCACATACAATCCATCCTCGTCGTCAACCAGCAAGAGTGAGAGTGGCACCTTCCAGATTAGTTATGGAGACGGGTCTACCGCTTCTGGCCCCGAGTACACAGACACTGGTCAGTAGTGAGCTTCCCCGGTTAGAGGCCGATCGATACTGACCTCGTGGCCATCCAGTATCTCTGTCCGGTGTTACTGTCACTGGCCAAGCCCTTTCGGCTGTGACGAGCGAGTCTGGTGAATTCCAGTCGGACCCTGCTGATGGCCTAATGGGATTGGCCTTCCAGTCGATTTCTCAGCTTCAATCTGTGCGCCATATCTTTCCATCGATGCTCTCCTCTCTCCCTCTAATATATGGCGCAGAGCCCCTTCCCCTTCACTGCCTCCAGTGAAGGCGTGATCTCCCAGGGCGTCTTCGCTTTCAAGCTCACGTCCAGCGGCGCCGAGTTGTACATGGGCGGCACCGACTCCTCGCTCTATAGCGGTGACATTGAGTATCACGACCTTTCGTCATCGGACGGATTCTGGCAGATTGGCGGCGCGTCCGCGATTGTGAATGGTCAGACGGCAACTTCCGGCTTTGACACCGTCATCGACTCTGGCACCACGCTCGCGTACGGCCCAACCTCCGGCGTTTCCCAGCTCTACGCCGCTATCCCCGGCTCCCAGCAGGGCAGTGATGGAACGTACACCTTCCCCTGCGACAGTAGTGCCACCGTCGGCTTCAGCTGGGGTGGCCAGACCTGGCAGATTGACCCGAGCCTGTAAGTTTTCCTGCCCTGAGGTGAGCCCAACTTACTATCTCGTACACAGCTTCAACCAGGGTACCTCGTCGAGCGACTCTAGCCAGTGCGTTGGTGCCATTGGTGCCAGCGATAACCTCGGCCTGGGCTCTAACACATGGCTCCTCGGCGACATGTAAGTAGTGCTCACTTGAACAAATGTCTGGCACTTCCTGATCTTCCGCTTTCCCCTTCCAGTTTCATGTCCAATGTGTACACTGCTTTCTCCATAGATCAGAACGCCGTCGGCTTCGCTGCTCTGGCATGATTGCGCAATTGCATAATGAGCTGTCTTTCGACCCTGTATCTTGCTCGAGCTGTCTTGTGATTGCGGTCTGTATACCAATGCGATGTATTGTGTAGTTTCTTGAATGACCAACGATACAGCTTGTGACGTTCGCACTTTGGTTGATGGAGTGATATCGACTTGCAGCCGCAACGCTGTTGTATTCCAATTCGAGGACATGCGAGGGATCCAGTCTGTACAGTGATCACGATTCACAGGTGTGAAGACGCGAATACAACATCAGTATAAACAACAGGGTATAACCAACAGGGTAAAGGTATATGGATCCGGCTACTGTCTGACAGGTTCATCTGTAGAGAATATGTACAGTAGATGACGCGCCAGGTCTGACTTAACAAAGCGAGGTGAGAGCGAAAGCTTGACGGTATATGAGAGGAGATGCGGAGCCTCAGTTTGAATTCTCGGACGTCTCTTCGTCCGCTGAGAGGCGAGACATGGTATATAATGCAACTCCGATGGTGGAGCTGCCGACTTCGCACTCTGTCGAGGGGTATGTGGTCGAAGGCCAATCTGGCCGTTCGACTATGAGGATTGCAGAACCGGCAGAACCACAGATACGATGTAATCCCGACTATGGGCAGCTGAACGACAATTTCAGGGATAGAATCCATGATGAGGCGACACCACCTGGACAGCACCAGGAAGTAGACCGCATGCACTGCAATGCCCATGCCTAGTGCTTCGTCGAGCGAGCGGTGTCAGGCGACAATGAATTCCAAGGATATGAGAGGAGGTCGGAGGACTCTAGGGCAGCTTCTTGGGTAGCCGGACTACACTGGCTTCATCCGCGCCATCATCGCAGATAATTCGTCGGTTGCGCCCTTGCCCACAGACGGGGTTGACACTTTCGCCGCGGGTCTAGACATGTAGGCCGCTGGGAGCACTGGTCCCCCCCTGTAGAAGCGGCGTGAACTCTCGATATAACAGACAATAGGTATGAAAGTTCACATACCGACGATAGTAGTTGAGAACGAATCCTCCGGTAACGTCCTTGGGCGCCGCCTGTCCTTGCTCCTTCTCGTCTGGTTCATCATATATGTTATTCTCCTCTTCGTCGCAATCTTCTTCTTCAGTTGTAGAGTCATAATCGTCTTCGTCGCTGCATTCATCCCCGTCCTGTTCACCTTCATCATGGATCGCTTCGTCGTCGGCGACATTGCCGTCTCCGTCTTCGCTGCACTGCTGAGGCTTCTCCGTAGCCTGATCTTCCTTCAAAACCACCTCACACTCCTCTTCGGTGAAGTCAGGGAGATCATCACTCTCTTCCCTCTGAGCCGACAGGAGTTCAGTCGCTTTGTCCATGATCTCATGATCGCTGTTCGTACCGGATTCCTGGCTCGATCCCGCAACCACAGCTTCAACTTCGGTGGGATTTACCGTGCCGTTAGACTGAGTCTCCGTAGCCGCAACTTCCTGTGCAGCAACCATTTGCTTTCCCAGGCTGTCGAGGAAGCTATGAGCCTCTTTCCGCAGGTCCCTTTCGAGCGGCACCTGCGTTGGGTCTGTCTCGCCGATAGCAGTGGGAACTTCAGTACTGTCGACTCCAGGAACATCCTTCTCGGCAACGTCAGTCCTGTCGGGCGTAGGAACATCCGTTTTGGTAGCGTTGAGGCTGTCGGGCGCAGGGACATCCGTTTCGGCAGCATTGATGCTGTCGGGAGAGGGAACATCCTCCTCGGCTACCTCGGTAAGCTGATCCTCCAACTTCACGGCGAAGTCGTCGGAATCGTAGTCTTCCAAATCGTCGAGCTTCTGACCTTTGTTGTTACCGCCAACAGTACGCCGGCCATGTCTACGCGTTCTGGGAGGCTGCGGTCTATTGCGTGTAACAGACGTAGAGAGAGGAGTGATGCTATGCACGACGGCCGGGTGCACCTCAGATGCCTGCTCGGCCATTTCTTCGTCGTTGTCGTACCCAGCAGAGTAAGGATCCGCGCTCAAGGGAATGTCCTCACTGTGTAACAGCGCACAATAACCCGAGTCGTCGACATCCATAACATCCGTCGTGGCGGAGCTCCTTGTCGTCGTCGTCATATCGATATCGTACGTCCAATTCTCTATATCCATTGCATCGTATGCATGATAATCCATCGGGTCGTCCTGATCGTAATTCACACAGCGCGAGCTTGTGACGTCCAGGGCTGTTGGAGATGGTCCGTAGAAATTCGTCGGGAATGCACTGGGCGGACTATGGTAGAACATCGAAGGCGCAGGTGCAGAGATGGTAGACAAGGCAGGATCGGTGAATAGCACCGGAGCGGCGGGTATAGCGAACACAGTAAACAGGGAAGGCTCCGTCGATAGGGCGAGAGGCTGTTGCTGTTGCAGATATGCCATCTCTGGGTAGAGATATCCATTGTACTGAACCGGCCACTGATGTGAGCGTGAGTAAAGACGTCCGAGGGATATAAGCAAAGGTAGACTTACTGTGTTGTATCCAATGGGAGTCTGCATAGTGAAAAAGTCCTTCGTTTGTCCTAGAGCAGCTGACGATCCGTACGTGGCATCTTGCACGAAACCCGCTCCATACTGGCCCTCCTCCTGGACGAACGAATCTGACATATCGATATCGAGCTCGGAATCGCATTCTGGAAGAGACTTCGGGCCGTCCCTGCTCAAGTCACAAATTGCGTCAGGATACGGGGCTGTGGGCTCTTCTTGACATAGGTGGGCCTGAGACAGTTGGTCCACAACTTGTCCATGGACGATGTCGTGAGCCGGTGCGATGAATCCCGAAGGCTGAGGGACACTCCTAGGGAAGACTAGTGATGTCTCGGAAGACGAAGGCGTCACTGCGTAGGACAAGCTGGGAGTGGCCTCGCCACTCCGAGAAGGCTCGTTACAAGAAGTGTCGGCGGGTGGTTCCCATGAAACAACGGGAGTGACCTGAAAGTCGGACTCGGTGGTCAACGTGGGTAACTCGTAGCTGGCATGTGGTTGGGGAGCCACCGCGATTTGGGAGGTTGTTGCGGGAAGGATCTGGTGGGCGAGAATCCGTCAACACGGTAGACAGGTAGTCGAACAACAAAGAGTACATACTGTCTCAAACTCCGAGGTGTGGCCTTCTCGTGGATTGACGGCTGTGTCTCCCTTGGTGAGACACAGGAGGACGTAGGCCTAGAAGAAGTTGTCAATGGGGTAGGTAAGCGGATGACAGAGAAAACTACGAACCTCCTCCATGTCAAGGGGCTCGTTGCACATTGCCTCATAGGCGGCTACGAAGTCAGTGGCCTTTTTTTTGTCGGCAGCCACAATAGAGGCCGCTGCGGGAGCACAAGGGAGGTCTGTGGCGTCCGGAAAGACAAGCTTTTCCAGGCGCGTCTGAGTCGACAGCAGTGTAGAGACAAAAGACCGTCGCTTCTTTATGTCGTATGGTCGAAAAATTTCTGTACGATCGTCGTCCAGGTTGTGTGGCGCAGACTGGGGTTCGACGGGCTCATCGAGCTTTGCATCGAGGATGGTATCCATTGCATGTATAAGAAAGCGAGGAACGCCTCGCAGTTCGGAGAAGGCGCGCTTTACGCGTCGCTTGATCATTGTTCTGAAAGAGGTGTTGGTGGTTGGGGAGAAAGGGAATGTGGCGCTGCGAAAGTTGAGGCCGCTTTGGAAGCGCCCGTTCCTGCTTAGGTTATGTAGATTCAGTCAGTAGCGTGTCCGAAAAATAACAGATAATCTTGTTGGCCGTGGCTCTGGATAGCCTAGAATCGCTGATATCCTACAGTGGATTTCACCTTGGTGGCGTTGTCATCAGCCATTTAAAGAACAATGGCAAGTGGCTATGCGCCATTAGGGACATTGTGGTCCTCCGCTACAACAAAAATCCTAGATAAGCTATCCTTTATTGCCCGCCTTTTGTAATCGGAGAATTAGAATGCTGTAGATCAGCTTTACATCGGTAGGCTGGGGGTGCCTTCTACGCCTATGAAGGCGAACAGCTGCTTACCCTGTGGGGTGCCATCTAACTCGTCAGAGTAGCCAGAACGCATTATACGCAATCCACACAAGCAAAGTGACATAGCTCTTTGAATCAATCCGCCGAAGCATGAGACCAGTCAACGGCATTTAGGCACGACACAGAAGGGTCTCGGGAGAACACAAGAAGATGTACAGCAAAGAAGCCACATTCGTATATTGCGTTTATGCCAGACTAGAGGCCCTGGTATTTTTCACTACCATGCTGGAGTTCCGCAGGATGAAGTCAGTTGCGCGACACTGCCGACTGTCACTGACACTGAGGAATTGCCCGTCCGAGTCCCCACTGTCACTTGCCTAGTTACCGACGCGTCGCTCACGTGACTGTCATTTCGCAAAAAATTCTTGAGACGCCCGGGCACGGACAAGTCGCATCTGTTGTCTGTATCTCGTGCAGGGCAGCGCCATACGCTATAGAATATACATTGTACAGCTACGTAGTGGCTGCAAGTGGAATAGCTGGAACGTCCTAATACTTAAAAGGTGCAAAGTGCGCAGGCACTGGTATCAGTGGCAGCCTACGCGGGGCAGATAAAACTTGAATGGATCATACAAAGAATACAGTACTTAGAGTAGACCACATGGAGACATAAAGCGGTAGCACAATAGTATATTGCAAGCAATCTACATTACCCCGGATCATACAACGTACGTATTAACCAAGAAAAGCCCGAAACGCTATACATATCCTCTCCTGTTCATGATGGGTTGCGTGGCGAAGCATAAAAGCAGGGAAGCATCTTTTTCCTGAATATCAAACGATTTCGTCTACGCCTATTATCGGCCCTTCCGGCTCATCCTCCGCGGCGGCTTCACGAACAGCCGCAGCCTTGTACCTTCGAGAAGAGTGCGAGGGTACAGTCAACAAGTCAAGACCATGGGAGAAAGATGCTTACGTTCTACTGAGAATGCTATCCGACCCAGTGTATATTAACATGTCGTAGATGAATACGCCCACTGCAGGAAGGAAAGCAACCAATCAGGGCGACGATCTCAACAGAATGGCCTCTTTACGTACCAAGCGCGCCTACGATAGGGCCGATGATGGGACACCAGAGCCAATACTGACTGAAAAAGTGGAATGTCAACCGTCGCCGCATCATTACCTTGCAAAAGTGATACGTACTGCCTGAATGTGAAGACTGCAGGAAAAAGTATTCACGATCAGTGAATACCTCGACATTGAGTAAATGTAACATTACTGACCTTCCTTGCCATAGCCAACCATCGCAGTCAACAATCTAGGCCCGAAGTCGCGGGCAGGATTAATAGCGTAACCTGGCATTCGCCACGGTCTGTCAGAAGATCGAGTAGAAAAAGTATGGCAGCATACCTGTCTGCATGCCGAGCGCAATACCAATTCCGAGCACTGCGATGAACAATACGAGGGGCAGCAATCCCGCCGGAGGGGGTCCATTTTTAGGGTCGGTGGCAGAGCAAACGACGAATAAGAGACACACTGTGCCGACGAACTGAAAATAAATAGGTCAAACACCGGCAGCAGATAAAAATGCTGGATTGGTGACCGACCTCATCAAACCACGCAGAGACGGGGGTCATGTATGGCGCCTACGCCACACACAAAGCATGTTAGTAGCGATTTCCGCTACAAAATTTCGAGAAAACACCAACAGCGTAGGTCGAGAACAGGGAAGCAGTCCCTGGAACTGTCCGAATCGACCGACCACCCTCGTAGAGGTCAATAGCGTGGATATAATTTGCGTACACAATCCCGGCACCGCACAGCGCCCCCATAAGTTGCGCAAAAATGTACACGGGAACTTTGCGCCACGGGAAGCCCCGGAACGTTGCAAGGGCTATCGTTACAGCGGGATTGATGTGTCCACCAGATATTCCGGCGGAAAACCACACGCCGAGGGCAGTACCTGTGGGATCAGCGATAAGCCAATCGTCTACGCAGACTGCTGGTCGCGATACGGCTTACCGACCGCCCATCCCGTAGCAAGAGCCAGGTAATCCTGTGAATCAGACAAGGCGTCAGTTTTTACCGTCAAAATCCGATATCGGCCTCACTGAGACTTACTCCTTTGGGCGACGCCGCGACCTTCGTGTTACTGGAAAGTACAACTTGACAGTCTACCCCGGTACCGAAAATGATCAGGATCATCGTGCCAAAGAACTCTGCAGCGGGCTGTCTGAGGAGTTCTCTGGAGATTCGTCAGACAACAACACATTCGCTTGGAAACCGAGAAATCGCACCTAATCCTTAACCACTTGTAACGGTGTTTGGTAAAGAAAGCGGAATCATTGACGGAGGAAGCAGTACCATCTACGGAGTCTGATTTTTCCAAGTGTTGAGTGGACTGCATCTTGGAAGAGAAAGAGGTAGGAAACTCCTGCTCCTTGAGAGAGGGCGACATGTAAAGGGACGAAGATGGAGGGACAAGTAACCTCCGTCAATAAAATACAGAGTCGGGGAGAACTTTCAGTCGGTACACAGCACTACCTGCCTAGACCCGGAGAAGACGAGGATGTGCGACCGACACGAGTCCGACATCCATCTGCCCTCTATCCGCACTTATAAGCGTGTCGAGCAGCAGAATCTGGATGAAAACAGTGGCGCTCGAGTCTGCCCCATGACTTGGGCAATGGTGTCATGATGCAGCGTTCCGACTGCCAATTTGCACAGAGCAGATGGCGAGAATAGATCTTGCGGGGATTCGAGAAGTGGGAGGCACCCGAACCCCGCTCCACGTGATCGCTCCAGCAGCCGCGGTGTTGAACGTTGATCGCCTCTGCCTCACTCACGTCTACCAACCTTTCCTGAGACATCAGAACCATTCTATCTTCTGCATTAACGACTCCTAAGTTCGCAACGCAGGTAACACTAGGTAACGCCACTCGCGGTCCCGCAAACTGAAAACGACCGGTCATCTTTCGTATTAGGTATATCGCTAAGTCCACCATCCCGCATGTATTTGACCTCGTTAACCTCGGATCCCGGCCAGGGCTTAAATTTTGAGCTCGTCTCTATACCACGCGTCTCCATCGCCGGCAGATTCGCCACCGGCATTGCGAGATGGGGATTTGAGCTTACGGCGGTGGTGTTTTACTTGTCATAGGACGCGAATCGAAGACCACGGGGTTCTTTCGCAGGGCGTAAGACCTGCGACCGCAGCGAACCTAGCCGCATGCGTGCGGCATGCTGACGCAATCCGAGAGTCTCTGTGCCCTCCCTGCGACGGTGACCACATATTTCTCCCCGAAGGAAAGAACCCATTTACGGCGTCGAGCAGGTATTTTTTTCTCTCAAATTCTCCGGCGAGTACTGTGTCCCGTTCGTATGGCATGGAACTGGTAAGTGGCTGGCAGATGAAATGCCAAACAGTCGGTTGTGATAGTCTCGGTACGTCCGGCCCTGGGCGTTCATTTGGATTGATAGCACGGAGGCTGGGCTGGAATAGAGGCATGAACCATCCGGCAACATCTCCACATTCGTTCCTTGATTTTAATCGATCGTTGTGTCCATCGTAATGGAACGGCGTCAGCCGGCGTAAGGGCCGGTAGGACCGGTGCGTCGTCTTATCGGTTCAAAGAAGCTTCACTTCCACAGGCTGCTCCGTTTCGTCCACCGTATGTTCTTCTTCCGGGGCCGTCCGTAACGATCTTATTCCAGGTAGAGTCGATAGACATGCATCGAATAGTTTTCAACATCCGCAACTTGCATGCGAATGCGAGAATACAATTATCCGGTACGCGCAATTTTTGTGCGTGTGCTTGCGCTGATGACCCATTTAGTTCTGTCAAACCTATCTCCCCAGGATATTTAGGAGGCCCACGCTCTCGAGCACGAGAGCAGCTTGGTGCCTTGATCTGTTTCTCTTGGCAGTTGTTCCCTTCGTCGCCAGCCGCCGCGCATCCCACCCGAGAACTAGTCGCCCTCCGACTCGGAAGCTACTTTCCCCCCAATCAGTTCTGTTCACTCCTTAGATATCGTTTGCCGACGTTGCCTTCTGAGAGAGAATTGAACCTTTTCATGTGTCCTCTATGGCAATGGCTACTGCGTGTCTGCAGCGTGCACGAGTACTACACCGCACACAGCCTTTGGAACTTCGGCATACATCGGCCAGTGATACGCAAGTCAGGTGAGACAACAAGCGCGTACAGCTGAATCACTGGCATTTCAGTACATAGTTCCAGTCGATGGGATCAAACCTCCGCCGACAGCCGTTAGCTCCTATTACTCTTAGGACTGCGGTATCCTCCAAACGCAGACTTTGAGCTGCGAGCCAGAGGGGAAAGGGGGATGGGCTAGGATCACCTCTGTCGCTCACAAGTTCCATACACACCAGTCAGGTGGACGATCCAGCCTATCCCTTTCAAATTCTATCTGTCGACTGCTCGGAGGGTTTCACAATGAGAACATTGGCAATATGCTTGAACACGATGTCTGACCATTGCCTAGAAATTAATCCTCGGCCCTCAGTATTGTCGCCAAGTACCGTAGCAGGCAGGGCCTCTGTACCCTTCACAAACGCACCGGGGAAGCTATCGGATGGACGGCCGCGGCGTTCAGGGTCTCGTTTTCGAGGAGGTAGGCGTTATGCGCGGGTCCATCCAAGGTCTATCCCGATCGCACACCGCGGCAAAGGACGGTGAGGTCCCCTGTGGGGATATCATGATCGTCCGGCCAGGCTCAACAGAATTGTCTTGACGATATCCTCAATTTCCTATTGATGTCTTCAGATGAGGGCCGTGTGACGCGAGAGCTTCCACAGCCCCAAACCAGTGAGGTACGATAACTAACCCAGGTACCTGGGGAGCGCGGTGGCCTGCACTCACCCTCCCCTCACAGCCCCCATGCATGCATTCATGTCTTCCTACTGCTGACGGCCCTCACGCTCGTCCAGCACAATGCTACTCCGGCGGGAACTCATGTGGTGGAGGTGCAGCTTGTGTGCAGCGGATTCTTTCTCTACGGAACCAACCGCTCGCCGAAGCGTCGTCCATGCCTTCACCCAGGGCCTTTTCTTTGCGTCGATGTACGTGTACAGAGCGTTCGTTATTGACACCAGCAGGGATTCGGGAGCTAGCTCTTTGTGCACCAATTATTCTATCCGTCTACTCAGAAACAATTTATTGCATTAGCTAAAAGTATACGGGCTCTGGAAGGAGTGCTTGGTGAGACTTATGGGCTAAGCCGTGATCCGGATACACAGGATCAAAAAAAAATTGCGTATCAACTACGGTACGTGTAAGCTGACATGAATTGGCCAGGGTCTCCCCAGACATTCCAGAAGTTAGAACTGTTCAGAGTGAGAGCACTGAATCGCATTCACAGCAAACATCAATCACTTAGCTCGGAGGTGAGTCCTTGAATGTCGACGGCGACCCAGATCATGTCGTCTGCATGTCCCTGCACCGGAGGACATTGCTGTTAAGCATCAACCGCAAATAGAAAACGTTGCTTACATTCGACGTCAGCGGCCCAACTCTGGGCTCCTCAACATTGACTTCAGCATGTCGAAGAAATGCACTTTGAGCGACCAGCCAACGAGGGCCTTGGCGCGGAATGGAAAAAGCGTGGTGATGCACCGGCGTGGATAAGAGGGCCAACAACATGATCGTAGGATGCTCATGTCCTCGTAGCTCTGCCCGAAGAACTGCTGCTCCGAGTCCGCGTTCCACACCTTCTGCATGATCACTTCATACGCACTCTCGCGCTGCGGGCGACACGTTCTTCCGCGGGCACGGGAGCCAGCCGCGAGACGGATCTCTGGCGGGCATGCTAGTAACCGCGGGGCATGAGGAGGAGAGAGGACAAGGGGACGTACCGCGATCTCTGACCACCCTACAGGGTAGCGGTCACGCAGATTATCCATTCGAGGAAAATGCAGACACATATCCTGCGGGAAGGCATCCACTGTGGTCTATGGGCACCAGAGAAATCACGCACCAGACAAGTAGACACAAGCCAAATTATAAGGGCCAGTGCCGCACAACGAGTGCGGACCGGTTTCGAACAGTTGTGTCCCAACTTGGCAGCCGCTGTCTTCCCTCACAGATTACTATCCTAGTTTGTGTCTGCAGCATTTTCACACTCCAGCCGCCCTACTATGCAGGTATCCTATGTCGTTCCGACCAGTGAAGATAACGTCATTGGCGCTAGGCACGGGCGTTATTAACGTCTCCGCGCTTCTGCTGTGGTCGGCGCGTTGCAAGCCTAAGTGTGTTCTCTCACCGGAGATGACTGGCGGTGTCGCGACCATGCCCCAGCGATGCTGTGGAATTGCCTCAGATGCATGGGAGACGTATGCGAGGTAATTGGCTATTGAAAAATTGAAGGATTGAAGGCAAATATAACTGAAGTCTGCCGCTGGCAGTCCACCCATGAAAGTCGCCGACTACACCGCGATTCATGGCTCTGAAGCTTTAGCGTATGTTTTGTTGAAAGTGGGCAAGATGGCGCCCATATCGGAGATTGCCGGCGGAGTTTCCCGTAGTAGATTTTGTACGGTCGTGCATTAGGAGAGGATTTTATCATCACTGCTGCACTGTCTGTTGCCGCTTGTGCAATAGGTTTTGATTTAGTATAGCATGTGTTTCGTATTGGAGCCTAACACTGTGTTCTCAGTGGCAAAATAAGCTCTTTCATTGTATTGCACAGCACCACTTAGTACTCAGTTTCTGTTTTCTGTGTTATCCTAAGTACTACAAACTCGACCAGCCCCTTTAATCCATTCACCCATCCCACTCCCTCCAACTCAAAGGTTTTTGAAGTACATCTATAAGTGAATGACTTGTGAGGTTCACATTTTTCATGGTCAAATTGGGAGCTTACACAGAGTTAGGAATTTGTAATATCATCTAGCTTCAGATGAGAATCTCCCCTGCATTGTGAGTGGACAATAACACATCAGCAATGATACAAGCTTCCCATATGTATCTCAATTGTTCTTCCATGTCTGCATTGATCATCCAGAGTCAGAAATCTTTAGGAAGATAGTGACATTGATAAAATATCTGCACCAATATGTGTATCTTGAATTTTGTCAACAATTTGAAGGACCATATGTCGGAAAACCTTTTTGTGCCTAGTAAGGCAGTTGTGATAGATTTTGACCTCTCTTGCAATAGAAATGAAAAAATTAAAGCAATTTGAGTAATTTTAATATTATTTTTGTCCCCTACAAGGCAGTTATAAGTCCCAAATAAGAAGTTGTCAGGCAAGGTTCATTGCAAGACACATTAATTTTTTTGACATAGCTCAGATACAGCCAGTGATCTGTTCAGCAATGTGTGATTGCCTCAAGATTTTGGCAACAATTCCACTAGCAATTATCTCTTAACTGACACACAGACAATGTTCCCTCAATATGATGCCAACTGGCAGCATCAGGAAAACCCAACTTTCTCTTATGGACTTATTTAGACTTTTGGGTCTGAGAACCCTTATTTAAGGCCATAAGTGTTCAAATAAGTCGAATTTCAGACTCAGGGAATATGCCTTAGGCCCTTTTTGTCCTTATGTCCTTAAATAAGGACCATAAGTCCATTTAAGTTATTTAAGTGTCCTTTTAAGAAAAAGTGGGGTTTTCCTGATGAGTATGTATCCCTGCCATTGTTTACAAACTGAACAGTTCAGCTCATCCAAATTTGTAACAGAAGCAGTACATGCTTCACCAACACATCATTGATGCTCTGTGGTAGTGAAATAAGCTAAAAGTGTATACTTCTGAGACTCTCCACTACTTGGATGAACTGGATATGACATCATACATGAGGGAATAATCTACATGGACTGGATGTTCTGTTCTTGGTTCCGTTCACTAGAACTGCAAAGCAGGGCATGTAGAGGGTTGGAGCAAGATTTGTTTCCTGAACAACTACTGGATGCCTTCTCGTAGCCGTTTAGAAACGTTCTAAACTAAAATTTGTCTCTAAATCAGGCCGGCACATCGGCAAATTGATCTCCGCATACCGTGAGAGCAAAGTGAGCTCTTTCTAAACCTTATATCTGGAAGGGGGGGTCGACCCCCCCTTTCAGATTCTAAACGTCTCTTTAAACAATAATTTCAATCTCCGCCCACTCGCAATGCCCATCTTTGCCTATATTTGGTGCTGCATATTGCTTACATCATGCTGCCGCTCGTCCTCCGACCCTCTAGAACTTGGTTTGATCATCATCATGTTGCGACGCTACGGTTTCACAAATCCTGCTGTTCCGACACAGTGGGGTGTTTTGCAGTCCGCTTTGTGATTTAGAAGTGCTCCAAATCCTACGGGAAGGCATCCACTGTCATGAAGGGTTAGAGGTCATGTAGGTACAGTCTGCATGAACCTAGACTGCTCAACACAGAATAACATGAACCGCCCACTATATAGACTGCAGAATTAATCTCCTGGAAAAATGGAGCAAAGTCATGATCTGCATTGAGACCCGGAGCTTTGGGATGGAGCGGGCCAGTATGTACTCTCGCGTTCATAGTAGCATGGGACTAGAAGCATGAATGGTATAAAACTTGGAATGTCAGCATCTGGAAACTGCACAAGGCTATGAGGCCTACATAGGACTATGTAGTAGGGACCTGGCTAGCCGAGTGCTAGCCGAGCCTACATAGTCCTACATAGGCAGCTGTAGACCTCCGAGCAAAGTACCAGTTGCAGATAAGGTTCCCGTGCCCTTCCGAGTCTAGACATCTAGGTTCGTACTCCAACCACAGAGATGCAGAATAAAATCAGCGAGGATATAGCGGCGGAATGGGGAATTGAGAACACACAAACCGCCGTGAAACGCTAGTGATAGTCGAAAGACTGAGGTCAGAAATTGGTGTAACTGGTTGACCACTGTAACTTGAAAAGCTACTGTAGTAGCTGACAAATCAAATCACGTGCGTCATGGCGGTGTTGAGCCTGTGAGTACCCAGACACAGTTTACACTTTCACCACCATGTCTATGTTCGATAAATTCAAGAGGGGTGCCCAGAGGGCTGGTGCACAAGCCTCTACCTTTATTAACGCAGGCTCAACCACTATTGCGAGCGGCTCGCGCGACTTCGTTCAGGGATTCAGTTTGCCAGGAGAAGCAGACAAGGCGGCAAAGATCCTAGCGAGTTTCCTGGGTGAGTGGGTGTTTGCGAAATATTGCTGGTTCGGATGTGCTCAAATCAAGTAGCGGATCCGGAGAATCCGGAATCTGCACTGAACTCCATTCCAAAGGTGGTGCTTCAAAGAGCCCGAGGTGCGTCCATCGCTTTGGTTACTATGGGCTCGAAATATAAATGTACACCTGTAGGTCTTGCTGTGTTCTCCATTATCAAAGCTGGATTTGTGTTCTCCGGGAAGGCAGGCTCCGGGTTAGTTATTGCACGTCTGCCCGACGGCTCTTGGTCTGCACCTTCCTGTATCGCCACTGGCGGCGTCGGCTGGGGGCTGCAGATCGGTGCGGACCTCACCGAGTTCGTCATCGTGCTGAACAGCGACGACGCCGTGCGTGCGTTCTCGATGGGAGGAAACCTCACCATTGGCGGCAATATCAGCGCTGCGGCAGGCCCTATCGGCACTGGCGGCTCCATCCAGGCTAGCTTGGCACACCCCGCGCCCATGTTCTCGTACTCCAAATCGAAGGGCGAGTGTTCACGCTTCCATACTGCTGGCCTTTTGTCTGATCTCTCTCTAGGTCTCTTTGCTGGTCTCTCGTTGGAAGGGACTGCCCTCATCGAGCGCAAGGACGCTAATCGTGATTTCTACGGCTCTCCAGTTCCCGCGCGAGATATTTTGAGCGGTCATGTCCCCCCTCCGGAAGTTGCGTCAAAGCTATATGAGGTGATTGAAGCCGCCGAGGGCGTCGACGAGGCCGGCTTGCCAGAAACTGCATATGTTCCCACTGCGAGCGGCGACCACATGGAGGTGCGAGGAGGCGGCACGGTATTCGACGCGGAGCAGTGAAGAATGGCCACTGTGGAAACATTGGGGGTTGTAACTTAATGCCGGGGTGTACGAGCTAATGTTTTTCGAGTACGTTTCATGAGCTTCAGCCACGAAATTCGCCGTTGGATGTATTTACATTGTAATAGCATTCGGAGTGTCTTTTTTCATCGTTCTCAGGCGGCGGCTCCGATCGCGAGCTTCATGGCGAAGAAACAGAAACGTGATGATGGTGAAAACGCGAAAATCGTCTGACTTATTCCACGAACATATTATGAACACACGGCCCAGTCTATTCTACGCCAATTCCCGCCCGAATCCAATCCTGTCTAAAAGTACTTATCCCAGAAACCCTTCGTGCCATTTGTGTGCGCCGCATGCTCCTCAATGCCGACAAGCTTCATCATGAGGTTGTATATATTCACGTTCTCGAACGCGTCCATCACGAACGTGTCATCTGCGGTTGAGTGCCAACCTTTGTTGGGCCGCGACAGGAAACGCGGGAGGATATGTCCCTTTGTGCGCGACTGTTCGACCGCCTTCACCACAGCCGAGAAAGGCCCATGTGCAACGAACATTGCCTGCATCGACGGTTCACTATTGTCATAGCCATGATTCTAGACAGTCGCCGTCAGCCGAGGCTTTCAGCGGAGAGAAGAAGACACGTACACCCTTGCTCATGCCCGTCCCGTTCTCGATCCGGTTTGTAAGCACATAGCCCATTCGCGGCACGACATATATAGGGGAAATACGGTAATTATGCGCGAAGTGGTAGCGCTCTGGCATCGTGTTGTGAGTGTACACGGCGAATTTGCCCCCGCTAGCCTTTGCAGCGGCCAGCAAGATATTGAGGTACTTCTCATCATCGGCCTCGGGACGGAAGCGGAGGCCCATCGATGGCCAGCCTGCGGTGGAAGCGTCAACGTTGCATCAGGCTATGTCTGAAATTTACTCACCGTCTTCGTGTTCGATCATTGAAAAACCTTCGCCAAGAATGTCATCGATATAAATGTGCTCGGGATTACTGGTGTCTGTCATGCCGTGGTCGCTGACGAACACGATGTCGACTATGTCAGTCAAGTTGCGCGCTTCGAGGACGGAGTGTAAATCTTTTGCGAAGACATCCACGTTATGGAGGACTTTCTGTCGTAAAGGAAGCATTAACAATTCCCGGTTAAACATTCATAGCATTCAGAACAACTGACGTTGACAAGCTCCGAGGCGGGTCCGGCCAGATGACCAGCTTGGTCTAAGGAAGGTTCATATGCTGCATTCAGGGTTAGTCCTTGACTCAGGTTTGTTAGAGGTGTTGGCACATACGTACCCATGATCAACTGAGGCCGTTCATCGAGAGGCAAGTCAATCCACGCCACGATCTGGTCGAGCTTCTCTTGAAGTGGAACCTTGTCCTGTAAAATGAGTCTGGTCAACCTGCAAAATCCCGACGATATTCGAGAGATAACGTACCTTCCAAGGTACAAAATATGTGGGAGAAGCCCCAGTCATGGTTGTTGGTGGTCCTGGCCTGCCGGGAAAGTAACACGCGTCCATGAACAGCTGCGACACGACAAAATTATTTCCACTGACCACATCAGGTTTGCAGTGATAATGCCCGCTTGCTCGGCCGTCTCCCACATCTAGACAAAATCATTGTGAGCTTCAGACGAGCACAAAGATATCACAATATACATACAGGTTGACCCAACCACCATGACGAGTCCCAGGCCGAATCAATACTGCTGTACAGGAACTCCTTCTCGGTCTCGGGATCCCAGAAATTCTGACATTCCAAAGCACATCAGTCTCACACCTGAAAAGGGGGCAGAGCGTAAATACTGACGTTCCCGACGATACCGTGAGATTCGGCATACAGACCCGTCCTGAGAGGGCTTTAGCCGATGAGATCAGCGGCACGCAGGAATACTATCTTACATCAATGCCCAATGGTTTCTGTTAACGATAAGAAATGTCAGACCACGAACCAATGTTACAAAGAGCAACAGGTGTAAAGTTTATGGAGCGCATCGACGCGCCAACCCATATATATCACAGCATCGTCACGCAAAGTTAGCAGGCAGCCACTGCGCGATGGGATTGTACATGCAGGCCATAGGAACACAAGACCATACACATACTGGTGTGATTATTGCCAGAAACAAAGTCCACTCACGGAAAGGTCAAGGTCTGGGATGGATGTCAGTTAGTAGACAATGCTGAAAGTAACATGAGTATTAGCTCACGGGAAATATTGGCTTCATAGACTTCGCACGAAGGCCTTTCTTTGCGATGTCTAAGAGATGTGGTGTCAAGCCGCGGTCGAGGTAATCCGCCCTGAGGGTTACGTAATCAGTAAATAGTAGCAAGATGTCGTCGCATGACTTGCCGTAGGCCGTCAATTGAGACAATGAGAGCAGTCTTCCTGAAATCGTGAGTGCCGTTGCTGCGGAGTCGCCTGGAATTAAAATCAGCAGACGGGCGCGGAGACGGATACACTAAACCAGCGAGCGTTGGAAGAAAGACGATAGCAAAGATCAAAGATACGAGAAGCGACGTTGTAACCAGAACAATTCTGCGATACCGAGCCCAGTAAGAGACAGGTGGCACGTTATCCTCGTCTCCGAGTCCGTCGTCATCATCAAAGGGCCTATCGCCGTCGGACAATAGCCTCTTCCGTTCCTCATCTACGTTCGCCCCGAGTTCCTCCAGAGTCAGTGAACGGCGAACTGGATGGGCAGGAGACATGAGATCCGTCGAAACAGATCCTCTCATGAAGCCAAGTGACGAATAAGGAGCAAGCCAAGTGGGTCACTACTATAGCCGCCACTGGCAGTGCAGCTTACATAAGCTTAAAGACGTCCTGACATGGCAGGTGACGTAGTTCAACGATCCGGGCGACCACAGCATCTCCCAAAACTCCCTTGATTCATATTTACGACTTTACTATACTGTGTCTTGTACGATCTCACCATAATGCAGGCTAAATTGTCAAGAGACTATTCATCGACATCTAGGGTAGTACCGACTGAAATTCAAAGCCTTGAAATCACCGAGGTCCTTTCAAGTATGCAAAAACACAAAGTCTTATACTAGGGCTCCCCATCAAATCCCGGAGAGGATGCGTATAATTAAGGAGTTTATACTAATGTGGAAAGTATGAGTTCATGGGCGCCTATTCTTTCCTTTTAGGGAACACCATCTCATTTGGCGCTTGTTTGATTGCGACGAACTGTGCGCTAACAGCATTTGTCCCGTGCGGCTGTACACGTTGGGTCTCATAATTTCGAGTCAGGCCGCTAGTTCTTCATTGAATTTTCTGTGAATTTCCTCGTCGTTGTACTGGTGTAGTGCAGCAGCTACTATGAGGCCAGTCTCAGTACCAATTCTTCTTTCTCTTGTCGCTCTACCGGCCGAGCTCGTCGGTGCTATTCGTCTGGATCTGCATGGCTCGCCAGCCCGTAGTTTCCACAGCAAAAGAGGGTCGATTACTGGGTCATCAACTGTAGGCGACGCATCGAACTTCCAATACACCGTCGACATCACGCTCGGAGGGGCGCAGTTCACGGCGCAAATGGATACGGGAAGGTGTGTACAGTAGTTTGTACTAGACTATTCGGCGGTGTTGAATGAAGCAACAGTTCGGATCTGTGGGTTGCTGGCTCGGTTCCTAATGCACAGGATACGGGAAAGACTGTGCAGGTGACATATGCAGGAGACACCGTGGATGGTAAGTCTTTGACCGCCACCATCGTGCTGTGATTTATTCGCCCTAGGTCCCGTTCAGTTAGCGAATCTCGAGTTTCTTGGATATTCGGTGCCCAATCAAGCGTACAGTTAGTTCAGCGTTTTACCTGACATCTGAAGGGACGTACTTACTTTTGCCAGTTAATCAGCCTACGTCAGGGTCCTTCCCCCAGGGTACTGGTCGTATTGGGCTTGGGCCAACTTCTGGATCTCAGGTACTCTCAGGTGTTGGCAATTCCTCTGGAGACCCAGCCCTCGAGCGCATCTTCCAGCAAAACACCTCCACCTCCAACTATCTCAGTTTTGTCCTGGGGCGTGTAGGAAATCCTGGTGAGGATGTGACGGGCCAGTTGACCATCGGAGAAACGCTGCCAGAGTATTCCAACGTCACCTCACAACCAAAGTTAGACGTCTCGATATTGTCAAGCGACAATTCACCCAATCAGCACTGGCAAACACTGCTTGATGCCAACGGTATTATCGGACCTACAGGTCGATCTGTTAATGTCGAGACAGCGGTGTCTGGCACATCTAACAAGAACCAGCTGACAGTAGTCTTTGATACCGGCTATTCACTCCCCCAGGTTCCAGCGTACGTGTCTGCTTGATGCCGTGTTCCCATATACTTAATCCTTCTACAGCGCCGTAGCAGAAGCTTTCTATAGCAGTGTCCCGAACTCGAAGCTGGTCAATGAGCCGCAATATGGAACGATATGGCAGATGCCTTGCGACTACGAGGTTAATGTAACATTCAAATTCGGCGGTTTGGGTTATCCTGTGAACCCAGTGGACACTGTTATGGATCTTAATGCTACCGATTCTAGTGGAAACAAGATTTGCTATGGAGCTGTTCGTTCTTTTCATTGTACTTTGACGTTATTGCTGAAAACCTATTGGCCAGTTCCAACCAATAAGCTCAAGTGCCCAATCGTCGACATACGACATGATATTTGGCACAGCTTTCTGTGAGCGTCTCCCCTTTGTATGTCTACTTCCTCGCGTGACCTTATCTATCTCTCAGTGCGCAATGTATACGTCCTCGTCAACTTCGGTGACTACGTGGATGGCGATACGAGCAATCGTGCCGCGCCATACCTCCAGCTGATTTCCACCTCCAACGACACTGCGCAAATCCACCAGGATTTCGTCTCCTTGCGTGGTGCCGCAGCCTGGACACCAACCTACAACGGCACTCAGAGCAGCAGCAGCAATAGCAACACCTCGTCCGTCACGTCGTGGGTTAAATCCCACCTCGGCCTTGTCATCGGTCTCAGTGCAGGTGTTGGCTTAATCCTGCTCGGTATCATCCTCGCTTGTTGCACGAGGGGGCGGAGACGCCGCGGTAGTGCGCCCATGGGCTTCATGTCCGGAGGCCAGAGATACCAGCCGTTGCATGACCCTGCGCCGCCACAGGCGTACGACCTGCACCTCATGAACCAGGGCGGCGCACACGGCTATGGCAACCCCTGGGATTCTCACTATTGATCGTGAGTGGTCCCCTCACCCTGCTGTCGGTGAATGCAGTGTTAGTTTGCTATGGTACTATATATTTGTCTGCTGTGGTGGATGTCTAGGACCTTGCTCTCCTCTAGTATATGCTATAGCCCCGCCCATATCTACGACTGTTCGTCAAAATGTAATATTACTCAATCGTGCTATGATGGACATTTGTTTAGATGTTGTTCGTTGGTCGTTCCACATAGGAGTTTTTTCTGCATTCCCTCCGGAGACTTCTCATGAGACACCGCTGCTTTCATGGCAGCCTCTCTCCCTCCGGAGACTTGAGCTTGAGGCACGTTCGCGTAGTCAGTAGGTGTCAATGATAGTGTGTCAATCCGCCGGAGTCTGAATCTGTGACTTGTACGCAACGCGTCCGTTGTGGCGAGAAATTGCAAGAGACCCTCGTTGCGTAACGCGTTCGTATTTTACGCGTGCTCAAAGTCATCCGGGGCATAAAGTTTCCCAAAGTTTTGGTTTCAGCTCTATCATAGGTGCGAAACACGTCGGATCCTGTGGCGCTTCATCATAGGTAGTCTCAGATAGCATTCAAGTAATCCAGCGCCCCGTATAGCAGTAGTCTCCCATAGGCAGCCCGTAAATAGTGACCTTGTTGAGCGGGGGATGACGATCGCAGGTCTGCGCGCCCGACTAGCCGTACGTAGCACACCATTTCACTTGTGATGTATTGGAGTTTGCGATTGCCGTTCAGATGCCGGAAAAGCCGAACGGATGCCGTCGGGCATCTCCAGATTGTGATCATACCTGTCAGCGGCGTTGCGTCTCCGTGAACCAACTATAGCCACACTGTATCATTCTCAGGCTCCCCATATCTACCACAATACAATCCACACCATAGGATCTTGAGCTAAAGCGGAAGCTACCAGCATGAATATGATGAGGAGACCTGTTTTTCCGGATCCCGTGGTGTAATAGCCAGGATCGACGCCGTCCAATGCCTGGCACACGCCATCCAACTGGTAGTCATGGGGCTCATAGGGAGGACCTGACGCGGCCAGTATCTCCTTGCATAGCGTGCGACCCGCGATATAATTAAATTTAGATGCGGAAATCAAAAGTGTCAGCAGAAGGGCACCTGAAAGTTTTTTTAGATGAAATTAACAGGTAGGCTACGCTGGTCGCGTCGACGCGTCTCAGTGTACCAGATTTGTGCGACGCGTTTCGCAGATCAACCTTTTGGTTAGGTCCGAATTGGTGTGCTACGGTTCGACCCCTGCAACTCATAGCAGACTAGTATAGCAGTGCGGTCAGGAAGAAATGAAGACGCATACACACGGTTGACATTTCTTGCAACATGGTTGTTCGGGCTCCTCGAAGACCATAGCTGGTGAGCTCATTCGACAATCAACCGCATTGATGGACGACATTTTTTGTCAGTACTAGTGGGGCTACGAATTTGTTGAGAATCAAGCTATGTGAGCCTTGGGAGGCATATGATACCCAGAAATAAATTAACGCTTCTGAGCAGGGTGATCAACCGAGACGGTAAGTTCACGCGGGATGCATTCGGTCGAAGCCAGCAGTTCGGACGGGACAACACTCTTGTTCCGCTACACTAAACTGGAACTCCGCAGGCTGTGCGCCAACGCGCAATAACCATGATGGTAGAGTAAGGCGCCCGATATCATCTAATAACGCATTTCTTCGACGAGCGCGGTAGTGTTTGCTGATGTGTTGAGAAGCGCAACTGTCTGTCACCCTACTTCTCTACTTCCTCTGAGCAAACTTAGACTGCGATGAAGGGCATCTTCATGCTTCTACTTTCCCCTCTCATTTCTGTGCCGGCTCAGATCGTGGGTGCGCTGCACGGCTCTCCGCGCGAACTTGGAACAAGAGAGACGACTGTCGGCTCATCGAATGTAACGAATGTATCCAACCAAGATTACTATATCAACGTCACTCTTGGAGGGATACCGTTTGAGGTGCTAATAGATACAGGAAGGTACGTGTTTTAGTGCTGTGGATGTCTCGTGCTGGTCCTCACTGAGGTAATAGTTCAGATTTGTCGGTGTCGGGATCCGTACCAAATGCTCATGATACGGGGAAGATAGGCGACGTCTCGTACGTAGTGGGAGGTGCCAAGGGTGAGTTCTTGCATTACCGTGAAGCTCGTTCGTCTACCGATACTGCATTCAGGTCCTGTGCAAACTACAGAACTGGAATTACTTGGATATTTGGTGCCTGACCAAGCTTTCAGTGAGTCGCCAACGACGTGCAGTCGTTGTATCGCTCACGTTCGTTTTAGTCAATCAACTTGCATCTAACATGTCTCTTATGGGGAGTGGTGTCATTGGTCTCGGACCGCCTTCCGGGTCTGTGGTGCTGTCGACCCTAGGCAGCTCAACTGGGAAGCCAGCCCTGGAGCAGATCTTCGAGCAAAACAAGACCACACCCAACTACCTTACGGTCCTGTTAGGGCGTACCGACGACCAAGGCGGAGATTCGATGGGATACCTGACCATCGGCGAGACGCTTCCGCAGTATTCAAACATTACTTCACAGCCCAAACTGGCTATAACAACTGTACCAAGCAGCGACAATGGAAATCAATACTGGCAGACGCTGCTCGATGCCGATGGTGTCATCGGTCCTACTGGAGAATCTGTGAAGATCCAGAGCGCAGTGTCGAGCACCTCTAACAAAGAGCAGTTAACAGTTGTCTTTATTACTGGCTACAGTTTGCCCCAGGTTCCGGCGTATGTTTCCAGATTATAGTTTCAATTACAATTCCGCTTACTCCAGCTTTGTAGTGCTATTGCGGAGGCGTTCTACGGCAGTGTTCCCGGTGCATCGCTTATCACAGATCCGACAGTCAACGGGAAGATATGGCGCGTTCCTTGTGAATATGAGGTCAACGTTACATTCAAATTCGCCGGTCTCAGCTATCGTGTCAACCCGCTGGATACTGTGGTCACCGCCAACGCGATCGATGATAATGGCGAGAAAATCTGCTATGGCGCGGTGTGTCGTTTCAGTTCAAGTTACCTGTGTGCTATAAGGAGCTAAATTGTGGCCTCAAGTTTCAACCCAGTTGTGCACAAACCCAGGAGTATGACATCATTTTTGGCATCGCATTTTGTAAGTCGTTATCTTGCATATTCAAATCTTATAAAGGATACCGATACGTACGGCAGTGCGGAATGTCTACATGCTGATCAACTTCGGTGACTATGTGGACGGTTCAACCACCAATCGCGCAGCACCGTACATCCAGCTACTCTCCACGTCCAGCGACACTGCGCAGATGCACGACGATTACGTTTCACTTCGTGGTGCGCTGTTCTGGAGACCTACACCTCTACCACCGAATTATTCGTCAGGGACTCCTTGGGTGCAGCGCCACCTCCTACTTATCATCTCTCTGAGCGTAGTCATCAGCCTGACCCTAATTGGTACCACTGTCGTGTGCTTAGCGAAGAGACGGGGATCTAAAACAATGGGCGCTCCCATGCGTTCCATGTTAATCGACCAGAAGTACCAAACCCTGGACAAATATGTCCCGGAACAGGAGGACATTCTACCCCTCTTGGACCCGGAGAGTATGCCCCAGGCGTGGGACTCTCCCCGTTAATCTCTGTAGTACACCCATGTCATTCCAATATTCATTTTTGCTTTACTCAACGGCGATGTTGTTCCAGTACTTGTACTACATTCCGGACGTTAGCTCTGTGGTGGAATATACATCTTGCTCGTTGATGTAGCACAGACATCTGTCATGAGTGCAGTAATATAACTGGTGAGACACGGCGTAGCTACAAAAACGAGACATGTCGTGGATTTCATAAGATCTATACGTACAATACATTGCAATCGGCAAACAGAATAGAAGAGACGTTTCCGAGAGAAGCGGCTGCGGTTGCGGCGACCTCGTCTTGAAAGCGGGCGATCGGCGGTTGCCAGAGGCGCTGTCGTAGAAATGTCCGTCAGCAAGTGACAAGGATTATTCGCATGAGGGTGAGGTGAAGAGAACGTTCTTTACCCATGCAACATATCATCAAGAAAAAATTCGAAAAATGGACGTTGCGACATATCACTCGGATTCGGAGCGGACGGGCAGGAATGACACTCAGTGACGCTTATACCAAGAAACCAGCTGGGCTGGATGATGGGGTATGACGGTAAGATCGCACCGGCCACCGCAACGTCCTGTCTCACACCCCGCGATATGCTTGATGCTAGGCCAGTGGTTTCAAAGCTAGGTCATCATTGTATAACGAGGAGACACATCCGCGTATTAATATCGATTCCTCAAGTTTGAAAAGAAGGTGGATGGTGACCGAGAGGTAAGGGAGGCGTGAAAGAAAAGTGGTCGCCCAGAGTGTTACCTGAGTATGTCATCCTGGATGCTAAAATGGTCAGATAACTTCTTGCAGTCAAGAGAAATCGACATTTACTGAACCGACAATTCTCGACGAATGTAGCGGACCGGTCGGATGGTTTGAAAAGTCCATCCCGTAGTCAACCAAGACAAGATCACAGTGGCAGGTTGACCCAGAGATGTCAAGCAAAAATTATAAACGGCCTCTAGATGACAGGAATGGATAGACAATATACATATCCTCACCGCTGTGCTGATGCAATGAACTGGACGGACAGCTGGGCAGGCTTGAACGACATAATCTTCGCACGTGAGCATTCCTTCTAACTGAGGATCGCAAAAGGGACGGTGAGCGTTTCGGTGAATATTCTATGATTGTGTTCAGCACTAGTATTTCAGAACTTACGCGTTGACTCGGTATATTCGACAGATGGGCATTGCAGAGCCTTTGTGGCGGCATTGTTGACGTGTTATTTGGGCACGGTTCCTTTTATGGATAGTGTTCAAGTTTGCGCCACGAAGCTACAGGAACTTCGTTAATATACAAAGTGCGGCAGTGACCAGTGTTACATCTCACATCGTTGCCCCAGAGCACAGTTTGCGCCTCGCCCAGCGAATCGAGATAACACACATGTACAACGGACTATGTCCGACATACAGTACTACTACACGACTCACTGAAATACAATTGCAGACAGATGGAGGACAAGTCCCAGCGCTCATAGGGCGGCGAAGATTGGATGGCAGGCGAGGAGTTCAGTAAATTTTGTAGGCAGAGCGAACGTACGTGGAGCATGTAACATACATGGTCGACGGATGTGTGATCAAACACGAAAGCAACGAAGGAACTAAAGAAAAAGAAAACAAACAGGGACGCGGAAAGGGCTGGAGCTTATTGAGATCTGGAAGCAGCTCATAAACATCACGGTATCGATTCTATCAGTAAATGCATCATACCTCAGGCGAGCATTCCCCTACGGACGTGCTGCATCGGTCACATCGCCCTCCTCTATCTGTTGGAGGACGTCCTCCAGGCGCCTCGCCCTGTCCGCATCTAATACCTCTTCCCAAACTGGATCATGGCTCATATAGCTCACAGGCCTGTCCCTGTCCGCACGAACCTCCCGAGTCTCCTGCCCCTGTGGTGACATCATGACCTGGCTCACGAGCCTGTTCCCGTCCGTATGAACCTCCCGAGTCTCCTGCACCTGCGGGGACTCCACGACCTGGCTCATCCTCTGCGTAGCAGCCGACCCAGCGGTCCTCGACCCAGAGAGTATCAACGTGCTGTCGTTGTCGTTCCCATACGCGGGTGGGGGCGGCACCGCGATGGCGCTGTCCTCGACGTCGCCCGTGCGCGCTCCGGTCTGGGCGAGCGCGGAGGCGTATGTAGGTAGAGACACGCGGTTCCAAGGTATAAATGCTACGCCGAAACGGCCCTGGGCATGGCGGCGAACGATCGCGGTTGGGAGGACCTCGCCGGGGTGTACATGGCAGTAGCGTTCCGCGCGCAGACGGAAAATCGTGCGCTCGGAGAAGATGAACTGCAGGAGAACGGCGAAGATGAAGGCGACGTCTACGAAGACGGATGCGGAGGAGGAGTTGAACGCTGCGGGAGCGCCCTTGTTGTCGTTGAACTTCTCCGCGGGGGTGGAGGAGGCGCCAGAGTCCATGTGCCGGACGATGAGCACCCAGGCGACGATCGTGCCCGCGATGAGCGCGAGCTGCAGCACAAACTTCGCGAGCGTCGTTGAACGCAGCCCGCCGAACGTGGGGACGTTCTTGGGCGCAAGGAATGAAATGAAGCTATGCTTGCCTGTAGAGACCGCGGCAGACTCCGAACTAGAAGGTGATGGCGGGCGTTCGTTCAAATTGGAAGTGGACGAAGCACTGGAGGGAGTCCTCGCAGGGCTGCCAGCGTACGGTCTGTCTGCCGGGTGCCTCTCAGGCAATGTGGGCAAAGACTGGAGTGCATCTCTGCTCGTCGAGGCTTGCTGCGAGGGGCCATGGACATCCTCCTGGTACCCAATTTCGCCCCTCTTGGGCGGTAGCGGGCCTGCCTGCGAACTGGAGCTCATGGTCGTAGGTGATCCTGCCTGGGGTGCGGCCAGCGTGAAGGAACGTAAAGAAGCGAAGCCCGAAAACGAAAAGACAGACGGCTAAGCTTGCTTGCGCCTGGCAAGGCCGACTCACAGAGTAACTGGGAAGCAGAATGGAAGGGAAAGGTGGGCCTGGACAGGTGGGCGGTCGGTGGGCATAATATAGCACTCGTAGCGACGGTATCGCTCCCAGGGTAGCTACGCCACCACGCGAGAACACCGTCAGTTCTAGCGCCTGCTCCCATTGGAGGACCTGAAGGCCTGACTAGTAGCGTTATTGGCTGGCACTTGTCCCACGAACATGATTCGTCCGCAGTAGCGCAGTCGAGAAGTCCGTCTACATACTTATACCACAGTCTTTAGCCTCGGAAAACACGCTGGAAACATGTGTGCTTGCATTTGAACGACAAAATGAACGGAAACTTCTCATCTGAGGCATTCGGGCGTGCCAGTGAATATTGGTGGACGGAAGCCGTCAGGCGCAAATGCACCAGGTCAAGAAAGCTGAATAACAGCAGCTCCAATCAAAGCTCCGAATTGACCCTACTCTCTTCCCTGCGTATGATGGGACCAAGGTCGATCACCGTGTAGAACGAGAAGTTCTTCATCTCCGGTGGTTTGTTCGCATGCGACCGCGACGGTGTCGCCATCTCGTTGTCCTCAGAAGGGTCGGGTTCATCAGACCTGTACGTGTACGACACCAGCATGTTGAACTGTTCGACAGACTGAAATCAGCACAGCCTCAGATAAACAGATACGGCGACGTACCTTGACATTGCCCTTTGCTTCCTTGGTGAGAATGACTTCGCCAGATACGACGGTCACGTTCGCCCTCTTCTCCAGCACACCAACCGTACGCGTCTTCCCCCGACCATCCTTCTGCGCTCTCCGTCCCTCAACGTCCGGCTCGTCACCATCCAGCCCAAACATGTCTTCTTCATCGTCCTCATACTCCCACGCCTCCGCAAATGCAGCGATGGGGAACGCCATCGTCGGCAGATTGACTTGGAACGCACGCCGCGCGCCCGCTTCAGCTTCAGCAGGATGCGGCTGTGCCTTCTTCAGCCGCACTTGGATCGGGTCGTACAGCGGATTCGTGAACGCAAGATGGAACGCGTACGTCTTGCCTGCAAGCAGCCCGCCGGACCCAGCCGAGTCATCTACAACCGCGGATGTCGACTTGGTCAACGCAGAGCGCTTCAACATCTCCGCCGCGGCCTGCGCGTGCGGCAGCGAGACATTGATAGCCGGGAGGTAGTTCGCCGCGACGAGCTTAATCTTGTACCGCACCGACTGCGCTTTCTGCTCCGGCTTGATGAGGATGTGGCGGCAGCTCGGGCAGCGCTTCGAGTTCTTCGACTGCAGCGGGATGCGCAGCGGCTTGAGATCGCTGGGGCGGGCGATCGTGTGAGCACGCACGGCGGCGACGGGGAGCGACTCACCTAGTGTGCAGGGACGACACCCAGCTGTTCGCCCAGCGCTGCTCGAGCGTCGCGACCTCCGCGACCGTTTCGAGGTGGCGCATGAAGTCGATGTCGGCCTCGCCGCCGCCGTTACCGAGCCCGCCCGCGGCGCCGACCTCGACGCGGCTCTTGTAGTCGGGAATGTCGTGCTTGTTCGCGCCCTTCTCGCGGCCGGCGCGGCTGCGCGAAAGGGGGCTGTACTTGCCCACGCCAGGGACGTCGCGCGCGAGGGCGGACGAGGCTGCGGCTGTGATAGGATTTGTATGGTGATGTGAGTGTGAGGACGTGCTTGGCAAGGTGGAGGAGGAGGAGGATGCACGTAGGAAGGGCTCAAAGTGTTCCTTGAGGCGCTCGAATTCGAGCGATTCGGGCGCGGAGTCTTCGAACTTTTGTAGTTGTGCTGCGACGTGCGTGCGGTGAGGCTTCGTGGGCATTCGGAGATAGCGTACGCACCAGCAAGACCGGTCGGTTTCTCAAACGTGATGTTCACTTCTGCAGAGTCCCATCGGCAGTGATTACAGTAGAGGAAGAAAGGTGGCTCGCCGAGCGTGCTGCCGGCGACGGGAGACATCCGGCTGTCGCCATCTTCTGGTGGGTCGGACGGGACGACCGTGAGCGTGTTACGGCAATTCGGACAAAGAAAGCAGTTCCGAGCACATCTACCTTCCGCTCAGTCACCCAGGCCCGCACTGGAACACGTCCAGCTAGAGGTACTCACCTGTTCTTCTCCGCGCGTACGCTCGCGCTCGGCACCTCGAAGAGACAGTTCGGACAATAGTACCCGCTGACTTCCACCAGGACACATCGGTTGCACCGGACAGCGTCGCATTCCTCGCAGAAGAAGAGATTGTGCAGCGGGTGGAAGCTGTGAGAGGACGAAGCGAGATGCGGGGGTGGCGGATGGGGTGAGTCCGCCAGACACGGGCAATAGTATTCAACGCTGGGCGCCATGGTGCACGTCAGAAACAGTCAAGAGATACGTAGCACTTCACATATAATGATTCCGGCAGTCCGAGTCGCGTGTGGAGAGTGTGTAAGACACGCAGGAGGTGTTAGTTGGACTGCTGGGTAAACCGACCCGATCCGGGTGGCATTCGGCGCATTTGGGAGGTTTTACACCTTGCCCAATCTGGAAGGTTTGACCTTGACCTCCAGTTTAGCTGCAACATAGACCGTCCCTCCCACCTCTCATAGGACTGATTTTGTAGTCTGCCTTTGGGAGACTAACTGCAAGAGTGCCGGTAGGCGTTAGGATCGTAAGAAACTCTTTATCGTCGTGTATGCTAATGTAGCAGTCTTGCGGATTCTGTAGTCTCAGACAGATGCTTACTTCCAATTCCCGAGGTGCCGTACGAACTCGATCGGCGGTACCTCAATCCAAGGGCACCTAACCTGATTGTTTGCAAGTGGGATCCGGGTCAGGTTAGGTGCTCTTTTCCAGCGTTCAAGCAGACCAAAATCATCAGCCACGCTAGTGCTGTGCAGTATGAATACTTTCTAGTGTCTGCAAAGACATAGGTTGATGCGTACCGTGCGCTATGTTGCCGCAGGAACAATGCTCCCAGGTCTGCGTCGAGTGTTCCATAGACAACGTCGAGTTGGAAGGTGCAGAAAATTCACGTACGAACTTGCACATCTAACGACGTCCATGCCCACGAGCTCATTCAAGTGAGCCCGCTCTCGTTCAGGTTCTTCACATTAGCACTGTGACGATGACATGGGAGGCATCGCTTATCCGTTCATCCCGGAACTTTTAAGTCACCCGACTGGTCTGAAGTCGACCCTCTAGTTCCTGTACGTGATATGGTCCTCTATTATAGATCTTCTGTTTCGTTCTGATTAATTTTTGCTCTGCATTCCTGTTCTGATCCTCCGGCAATTATTTTTTCTCGGTTTCATACATGTTCAGATCGACATATCTGCTACACTCCCGAAATTTATTCTCCATATATTTTGCACTTCCCCGAATACAGATCTACTGGCAGTACTTCTAGCTAGTCCTCCTGACTTCGGCGATGCCAATCTACCGTTCTTAATCTCTTTGTATCAACCTTGCAGCTGCGACATGCTTGTTACTCGCGGCGACGGACTTATCTCTGGTTTTAGTTTCTTTGTGGTGATGATGCAATGACTTCCCGCTCGCTGACTTCTCATGCGTGATTTTTCATGTTTTCTAGCGGGTCAGTCGAGAACATTCTTCATATTTTTCTGAAACCTGGCCGGTCAGTTATGTTTCTTCAGAGCTTTATCTTTCGTACTAATAATGTTATCCTGTGGATTAGACCTTTGTCGACAGAATTTATTTGTTAGTTTACTCCAGCACTTGCAGGGTCTGTGTCAATGCTATGGCAGTGATATTGGCATGGCTAGCCAACTGTTTATTCCGACGAGACCGTCAGGCCCCCTCAGAAGTCTCTGGTATGTGAAACCATTCTTGAGCTTTGCAGACGGATGCCGTGACTATGTCTCCTCACTAGTATGGTCCATAATTGCCACCACCCAATCTCTGCTTAGTCTGCTGTGCCATGGTGTAGCTACGAGCCCCCTCATGCTCTTGACCGGCCAACGCCTTCCCTGAAGATATTCCGTTAGATACGCCGGATTTGTCGCGAAGAGCCCGGGAGTCATTCATGGGTCTTTCATCGGACTTCTTGATGATTCATCCCCCCAATCTTTGGCTGAATCTTACTCTGTTAGCATAGACTTGCAAGCTGTTTTCATTCATTCTGGTGACGGTTCTCCAAGGCACTCGACCGGTCTACTGTTTCCTTGAACACTTTGGTGCCTGGTGAGTACGATCGTCTGGAGGTTCGCTGTCGGGCCTCTTGTCCACCTCGGCTGTGATGATGCACTATGTGGCGACTTTCGGCTCGGCCTCTGTTGTCACCACGTTCACTCCTACGACACGACGTTGGATCGATCTCATACGTCAACGAGATGGCTTTCGAAGCTCAGGGCCTTCCGGTATTAATCGCAATACAGAGTATGGACCGAGAGAAAAGGCAGTGTCATTTCCCCTCGCCTAGCTTGTTGCTGACCGCTAGCATCGTTGAGCGTTGTTCTGATGTGTCCATTTTGAAGACGAAGGTACGTCTTATGGTCATTCTGAGGAGTTCCATGAACTGACGAGGTGACACTCAAGCCGAGAATGACCTCCTGTTTCTCACCCCGAGTATTTCCTGTCTCATCCACTTACTGCAGAGCGCTATTACCTTCACGCGGCGCCACATCTCGCAGGCGCCAATGGAACACGCTGAAGTCAGCCCTTTAAATTTTAAATCTTGCGCTTCTCCTCATGCCGCTTGTCCTTAGTTGTCTCCTTTGATACGAATGCCATCCTTGTTGTATCTTCCCCGCAATGCAGTCATAAATCTTCTTTCCTATCTGCTGGTTTCATTTTGGTATCTGGTAGGATATTGGGCCAAGTTCGAAGTGAAGAGTAGTTTCTGTCTTGTGTATGTAACGCCAATACAATGTTCCCGTATGAAACCTGGGTTCGACGTTCCGCGTAGTCTGGACTGCGCTGATCTTCGTTTGAATGTCTTGGTGCCTTTCCCGTTGATATGAACACAAAAGTCTCAGGCTACAACCCGCTCGATGTACGCGACACGATCTCAGTGGTGCACTGCAAGGGCCTGCTTAGGCGATTTCATTCCGTGGTTGGCTTGTGCGCGGTTCGATTCTGTAGCATTATTGGAGAACGCCGTCCGCACTGAAGCTTGAAGCTTTGAAGGAGTAAATGCAGCCATGTTCATGCCAACAGTTGATCGGACCAGGTCACGGTATTTTAGCAGGAGGGTTCAGGTTAGATCTGACGCCCCGATCAGTAGAAAATCAAAACGTTCAGCGGGTTCTCACTACTTACTAGCAACGAATGTGCACCTATATAGGCGTGACGGACAATTCGATGCCGTCTCTCCTTCGGTCTTCCCTATGATGGAGATTATGTCCTTGTGTGAGGGCGGGTTTGAAGGTAGTAACGGCCCGCACGTGTCCCTCGCCCGGCGGAGGGCTCGTTATGCTGTCCGCCATTCCAATCATACCCTTCGCACTGAGCTTATGGCTTAGATGGACCGATGGCGGTAAAACTGGGATCGAACGCGCGGAACATTCATATGGCGGGTGACAGATCGCTTCGGAAGCATATGGGCTGACCGGCTGACGGTCGTAATGCTCGCACGACGCAGCCTCCACATGGGCCAGCATAAAAGCTATCCGCCCAGGGTTCTTCGCCACCAGTGTACGCTCATTTCTCCCCTTCTCGACAATGCGTCTCACGCTTGTTTCCGTGCTTGGGCTCATCGCTCGCACCGTCTCTCAGTCGGTCAGCTCGTACATCAGCACCGAGTCGCCCATCGCGAAGGCCGGAGTGCTCGCCAACATCGGCCCAGATGGCTCGCTGTCATCTGGCGCGTATGTGCGTGTTGATTTCACGAGCAAATACCCACTGCTGACAGCGTACGGACAGCCCGGCATCGTCATCGCGAGTCCGAGCACGGAAAACCCAGACTACCTCTACACCTGGACCCGCGACTCCTCGCTGACATTCCAAGTGCTCATTGACCAGTTCATTTCCGGCGAGGACACGACGCTGAGGAGCCTTATTGACGACTTCGTTGAGGCCGAGGCGACGCTGCAGCAGGTCACGAATCCTAGTGGAACGGTCAGCTCTGGCGGTCTTGGTGAGCCGAAGTTCTACATCAATGAGACAGCATTTGAGGGATCGTGGGGTCGCCCTCAGAGGGGTACGTTCTTGTATGCTCCAGAACGCATACATGCTGAGGCGTCGCAGATGGCCCTGCGCTTCGCTCGACGGCCATGATAACTTACGCCAACTGGCACATCGCAAATGGAAACACGACGTACGTGAACAACACGCTCTGGCCGATCATCCAGCTCGATCTGAATTATGTCGCTGGCAATTGGAACTTTTCAACGTATGTATTTGATTGCAGCTGAGTATGAGCTTCCGTCTAACTTCTGAATCTCAGCTTCGACCTGTGGGAAGAGATTGACTCGTCTTCATTCTTCACCACGGCAGTGCAGCACCGCGCTCTGCGTCAGGGAGCCACTTTAGCAAACACGATCGGACAGACGTCCGTCATAAGCAACTACGACACGCAAGCGGGGGACCTGCTTTGCTTCTTGCAGGTGCGTTGTAGCGAGGTTGTATACATGCGCCGCTGACCGACGTGCAGTCGTATTGGAACCCGACCGGCCGACACATGACTGCCAACACTGGGGGAGGCAGGTCTGGGATCGACTCGAACACCGTGTTGACGTCGGTCCACACATTCGACCCGAGTGCAGGGTGTGACGCGATAACGTTCCAGCCGTGCTCCGATAAGGCGCTGGCTAATCTGAAGGTGTATGTGGATTCGTTCCGATCCATCTACTCCATCAACAGCGGTATCGCCTCAGACGCGGCGGTTGCCACGGGACGATATCCTGAGGATGTCTACCAGGGTGGAAACGTGCGTGCTATCGCATGCATTGCTCATGTAGCCTGGTTTGACTGACACTCTTATATAGCCGTGGTACCTTTGCACGTTCGCGGTCGCGGAGCAATTATACGACGCGCTCACCGTGTGGGCATCACAGGGCTCGCTGGAGGTGACGAGCACGTCTCTTGCATTCTTCCAGCAGTTCGACTCGGGCGTCGCTACGGGCAACTACTCTTCTAGCTCGTCCACCTACACCACGCTCACGAGCGCAATCAGAACTTTTGCCGATGGATTCATCGAGATCAATGCTCAGTATACACCGTCTGGAGGCGCCTTGTCGGAGCAGTACAACAAGAACAACGGTACTGCTCTCAGCGCAATCGACCTGACGTGGAGCTACGCGTCTGCGCTGAGCGCATTCGCTGCTGAGGCTGGGACAACGTACGGCAGCTGGGGCGCGGCAGGTCTGCAGGTGCCGTCGACGTGCGCAAGCGGTGTGGCTGTAACGTTCACTGTCACATACGACACGTATTATGGACGTACGTTCAGCACCTTTCCTTCCCGTACGGTATGATTCTGATATGGTGCCACAGAAAATGTCTACATTGTTGGCTCCGTGGCTGCTCTTGGCAACTGGTCGCCCAGCAGTGCTCCCCTCATGTCTTCCGCAAACTATCCCACCTGGAGCAGTATGTTCCGACATTTTTTGCGTGTGCCTGCTTTCGCTCAACCCACATCACTTTTTCTCTCAGTCACCGTGTACCTTCCACCAAGTACTGCGATCCAATACAAGTACATTGCCATGGACGGAAGCGACATCACATGGGAGGGCGACCCGAACAATTCTCTCACAACGCCTGCGAGTGGAAGTACTACGCAAAATGATAGCTGGCATTAACTGAGATCTCTTTAGACTTGTGATCCGGTATACCCTAATACTGGTACAATCTTTGATTCCGCACAACTTGTATTTACATAGCATCAAATGTCTTACACTGCACTAACGTGACCGCATTCTCTGACCAGTTGAGTATGAATGTCAGTTATCATGAATGGAGAATCTCTCCATGAATGCCAAGTTGTGTGGATGGCAGGTGAATTATCGTTCATTCAAAGGTCTTGTGTCCGAACAAACATTGTACAATGCATGATCACTCATCGACTTCCCAAATACTGACACTGAACTTGAAGACCCTTCCTGCATCTGAAACGGAAGTCACACTGTACAGACTCGACCAGGTGTATGCGAAAGCGATCACCCTGCAATTCCCGGGTCGACCATCGTGCCCTAATCAGCCTCATCGAAATAGAAGACCCATCCGTCATTCATCGGCCCAGGGACCTCAACAACCCCACAGCTCGTAATCGCGATACGCTCAATGTCGATGTTCTCTGTAAACTGAAGGCGGGTCTGCACGTAGCCAAACGACACTGCATCACGGTGCTCCACGGGGCCTTCGTCGTATTCAAACGCTGGTATAGGACTCTCACCCTCACGTCTGGCTTGATCGCGCTCGTACAGCTCCACGAGATGCCCCTGCCATTCGGGTGGGCAGGCCGTAGGCCATAGGTACTCGGCGTCGATCTCCGGCTCATCCCACGCGGTGGGTACAGTCACGTACTTGCGGGAGACAACTCGCACTTGCGCCGATACGTTCCTCGAGACGATGTGGGTGGAGAGGGCGTCACGTTGCTCCTCATCCAACCGAAACAGTAACTCGAGGAGAGGCTGCGAGAAGTCAAAGATGTGCAGACGCGGCGGAGGTCCCTTCTGGTCCTCATCGTCCGATGAATAGTCACACGGAAGAGGATCTGCAGCTGCAAGGAGACGGTTCCCTGTATAAGCAAGAAGGGTTCGTGACGCGTATACCGCAAACGTGCGAATGTGGGAGAGGTGGTAGGTGAATACGTCAATCAAACCCTTCGGGTCGTCCGTCGTAGGCTCAGACTGCAACTCCAAGGAACCAGTGCCTACAGATTGTCACCCAGTGCAACTGACGGACCTCAAGCTGACCGGTCAGTGGGTCACAGTGGAAGACACTCAGACGCGTCATGCCTCGTGGCAGTGAACTACGAGATTGCTCGCCTCAGACGAGGCTTTATGTGCCAGATTGCAGGTGATAGACTGGAACTCTCCAGGGTGATTTCCTTGTGAGAATGTCTTGGGTGTTCCAGAGCCATCAATCGAAAAACTTCCAGCAGTGCGCTGTTCATACCGAAAGCTGCTGATAGGAAGCCCGCCAGTGCAATCGTATGCGCATCTAGAAAAACAAAGGCAGTAGCAGAAGGCTGAGATAACTCAACAACGAGAAGCTGGTTGTACTCTTTGGATTTGCTTGCCTGCATCGGAGTACCGGGATCCTGCGGTATATTCATCCGCACGGCATGATCCTGTGTTGTATCCCAGACCAATATCTGATCTCCGACAAGGTCTATGGGGAAGTCGGTCCACCTCCTATCCGCGATGTCGACTCGGTAAGCTCTTTCCGGCTGGCCAGCAGGGCAGTATTACTCCCGGGTTACGGGATTTCCTGAGCAGATGCAAACAGCGAGCATCGTTCCATAAGGCACCAACCGACCATAAGCGGAGACCACGGGTTCCGACAACTGGGATAAAACAGATCCATCCTCGGAGTGGACCCGTAATGTGATATTCGGCACGTTAGGGAGACATATGAGATATGCAGCACATTCCAGGACAGTAACTACTTAACTTTCTGTCGAACTCTACTGTAAGGTGGCGAAGCCATTTCTATTCGGCAAGAGAGTAAACCGATGCGCCTTAAACTGCAAATTCGCGATGTTGCGATGCACAATGTCTTCCTCACTTTCATCGCCCTCGCGCACGTCCTCTATATATATAGTTGACATGGTACGCAGGTCGGGCAGTCACAAGGCAAGGGAATGTGCGATCCTGTCATCAAGAACGTCCGTCGAGTCTTGTCTTCTAGTTCGACCTCTCCATGGTCCGGCTTGCTCTAATTCTGGATCGTTGGTAGGCCACAGAATGCGTCGAGCTCTGCGGGGAATGCAATCTAGCTAAGTCATGATAAGTGAGCGTTAGTAATGTTCCTATTCCTTCGGCGATAGGTCACGCGCTCAATACAATGAGCAGGAGAAAACCCTCTGGCGTGGTGGGTGCTCTGCCAGACACCGCCACATGTCAGAGATGCGATTTATATGTACGAAAGAAGGGATAATTTCGCATGCCGAGCAACACCGAGTCCGAGATCACGGAAGAAGTCCCAGACCCGTCCGCATTTGGCAGGCGTTGATGAACAGCTCAGCGCTCTCAATACATCCTGGATCTGTCTATCCACGTGGTGTGCCTGCCTCATAGTGCGCTCTAAGCTGCTCTAAGCCAGCAATGGCTCGACCATCTATGTTCCGCACATGTACTAGGCGTTTTGCATTGTCAATGGACCAGGATGAGCGTTTCACGCACCTCAAATATTTCCCCGGATTTCACATCGTCACATTTATAAAGTCAGACACATTGCAGTGGGGTATCGCGCCAGGTTTTCACAAGTAACTACGGTACGTTTTCCCCCTTCCAATGCCCACTGGCAGTGTGAACCTGAACCTTGCAGCCGAGTACCAGATTAGGGCCATGGAGCCTTCGCCGCCTGCGTTGCCCATCGAGATTTTTGACAACGTCCTGGACCATCTCTGGGATGACCCGCACGTCCTCGCGGCCTGCAGTCTGGCTTCCCGTATGTTGCTCTCGACAAGTCGCTTTCATCTGTTCAATACCATCTCCCTCGACGATCCTGCAATGCATGACCTCTTCTATAGGCTGCTCAAGGCGTCTCCTGCTGTCTCGTCATACGTGCGTCACCTCTCGGTGGACCAGCGTGCAGTACGGAGGAAGGGTAGTCCAAGGAGGGCAGACTTGGAGTTAATTCTCCCCAAGCCCCCGTCAGCGCTGGATAGGGTTCACCATCTAACCCTGAAGAACTTCAGCGCTCTCGAACTGTCGATGCAATCCAAGCTAGACATTCAGGCGTCTTTTCCCGGAGTCAGGACATTGTCCTTCATGGACTGCAAATTCGATGCCCCACTCTTCGTCGATGTTCTCCACGCGTTTCCCAAGCTCTCCGAGCTCCATCTACACCTGGTGCAGGTAGGCGATAGACGAACCCTCTTCAACTTCTCCGACCCCGATGTCTGCGTGTGGCTAGACAATATCCCCTTCACCACCATGATTCCATCCTCAGAGACGTTGATCCAAATAGACGCCCTTTCGACATCACTCACTTCCCCTATTGTCGGTAACCTGTTATCGAAGAGCCCATTCAAACTTTCTCCTCGGCGGCTCGAGATCACATGTTTCCCCAGCCAGACACGTTGCGTACGTGCGCTGCTTCATACCTCAGGTCTTTCCCTCGAACACGCCACTTTCTCAGCCTCGAGCAGGAATTTCTTGGCGAAGGATACGATGCCAAGCGATTTCCTCGACTTCTCATGCAACAAGGAATTGGTTTCCTTACACATGAATGGTGTTTTGATCGACACATGGTTTACTCCGCAGTCGCAGTGGGCACACAGCGCCCTGTCTAGTATCGGTGCCTCTCACGAGAGTCTTCGTGAGATCCAGATTGATTGTATGTTACTGGATTGCGCCCAGCTACCTCTTCTTCGGTGGAACCGGTTCGATGACCAGTTTGCTCGACTGGCCCGCGAGCATCCGGGAGTCAAATTTACGTTGCGTATACGGAGCTCTTACGCGTACCATGAGCAGGGTGTCAAGTTCCATGTGTGGGCACGCCAGGTAGTGGATGCGGTTGGAGACTCTTTTCCGATACTTTTGGCCGAGAAATCTTGTCTGCTAGTGGCGTGCTATCAAGCTCGTTCTCCTGCTGAGGAAGTTGTGGGCTCTTTCCCCCAAATTCTCTGATTGATAGGTGGCCTGTCATGAATGTATTCGGTTTTCTTATGTGAGTCGTTCTTGGTTATTCTGTCAGTGCTATTGTCGAATCTGATTTGTTTGCTAGCATGTACCACCTCCACATACCGTCATAATAATGGAACCCCCCTTGATATTTACTAAACTAGCTCTCCCCACACTGCTAGTGCTCATTTCTTGCAGACTCTGCCTTCAAGATCCGACATTTCTCACAATATGGTGAGGAAACATACATGTATGCAAATATAATTTGTTATTGCGGCGCAGCGACAGTTACCCAGATGAAGTTATCAACAACTCAAGTCGAATAAGTGATTTACATCTTTACAATGAGCGACGCAGTTCGATGGTCATACAGCCGAGGCGGGGTCGTAATAGATCCTCCGCGTCCACCGGCGCCGTCTTGTCAACCTCTGCGCGCGCCATTCTTCCACAGGCGTGGGATGCGGGTCCTGCCACGAGTCATTCGTATACACCCACCCGTCTGCTCCGATCAACAAAATCAGCCGCGGCGCCACAGACCATGAATGCCGAACAGCGCCACTCACTACCATCCGACCCAGTCTCGATCCACGAGCCCTCGACATCCGGCCGCCAGTCCTCCGTCTCGACAAAGAACCACCCGTCCGACAGCGAAAACGTCAGGTTGCTGCTACAGCGGAGCCCGCATCAGCTCAGCCCCCCCAAAAAAACAAAAAACAAAAAGAGGAAAAAAGGAAGAACCTGACCTGACGTCCCCGCTCCCGTCGTCCGCGACCCCGCTCCACCCGTCGCGCCCGCGCGTCCATGCGCGGCGCTCCGCGGGCCGCAAGTTCGCCTTACCCCACCCCGCGTTCGCGCCTGCGCCCCCGTCCTCCGCCGCGCCCGCACCCGTGCTGGAGCTCGAGGCGGGACGCCAGCGCTCGTTCTCCCACAGCTCGACCTCGCGCATCTCTGCGCGCCAGTGGCGATCCTGCAGCCGGTCGTCATCTGCCGCGCGAACGGCGCGCGCGTCCAGGCGCACTAGGGCGCCGCGGAACCCGGGGAGGAGGGTGCGTGTGAGGGGGTGCGTGACGAGGAAGGGTGCGATGCCGAGGGTGAGGCATGTCGGGCGCAGGGGGAGGAACGCCACGAGTGGGAGGACGAGGAGAATCGAGATGACCGTGAGGGAGAGGAGGATCGGTGTGTAGGGCGTGCCGTGCGTGAGATGTGGAACAGCGGGAAGGAGGAAGTCGTAGACGTCGGAGCTATGTGTGTTTGCTGTGAGTATTTGCTCGACCATGGCAGGAGAATTGCAAGAGAAAGCCAGTAAGTCATTGAAGCCCGCCGGGGGGGTTCATGGTGAAAACAGGGACAGTCGTCAAATTAAATAAGGGAAACTTTGCGTTTCCCCCAACCCAGTCGACGCACGTAGATTGCCGCAGAAACAGATACCGTCGCAGCTTGGAAGAGCTTATGACCTTACCAATCTCTATGCGTTAGACAAGCATAACAAGCCTACACCTTACATATCCTACAGGAATGAATGCTGAAGACGGGTTAACACTCACTAAGCACCCATGAAGTTCTGGATAGCTTGCATATTCGCGAGCCAGGCGACACTACCTTCACCGCTTTGAGGTGGCATCGAAGAAGCGATGCCATTAGCAACATCATCGTCCAGATCATCACAGGTCGATGGATTACGAAGGGATGGATGAGTGGCGAGCAACACGCTTAGCAGGGCTACATGGGGGAGCAGAAGTATCATGCGAGGAAAACAGCCTAAGCATCGACGAGTCAACGAGGGCAAAATCACTTTTGCTCGACGGACGGAATACATACACAGGAATGCGTAGGCAGCCATCCATACTAGCGTATACTTCCACCCCTTCTTCCACATGAGGATCTCCTCAAAGCGGTCTTGCAGCCAGAAAACCGGCCCAGCCTTTGCGACGAAGCGCTTGAAGTTGACGGTTGTAATGGGAATAGACAGCGGATCGCGGGTGGTTATGAGGCGGCTTGCATTCCCGGTATTGCGGGGGGTCGCTGGTACATTTGCGGGGAGCTGTAGAGCAGACGAAAGGAGCATCTGCGGCATGTTGAAGACAGAGGGGGAGCCTGGCTGGGAGGTCGGAGGAGAGGATAAGCTGACGGTAGCACGTTCTGGATGAGGGAGAGACGTCACGATCTTGGTAGCAGGGCGGATATCATGATTGGGAACATTGGAGTGCAGCCGGGTCGCGTAGGATGGTATTTCGACATACTCCAGAGTTGCCATCACGCCTTGCAAGAGGACAGACTTCAAGTCACCAGTGCCCGGGCCAAGGAGAAGGTGGAAATTCAGCGCGAAGCTCAAACTACCCAGCTAATACCTGAGGGGAATCTCCAGAATTTTCAGACACGGTCACAGTCCTTGAAGGTGTACGCTCGCGCTAGACGCCGGTCATCACGTTGTGTGACACGATGTCACCACACGCGTCAGTGACAAGCGCGCGACAGTTCAAGTTGGCCGCCACCTGCGTATCGTCCAGTGGTCGGCTCCGTAAGTATCTTTTGCCTTACTACAGTAGATGAATTACTAACGTTTCGCTAGCAGTTGTTGTAGTGACTGCTTGAATAGCAGTATCTCTTGATTACCCAACCACCGAATATTCGATCCCTAGAGAGCAACTAGAGAATGTGAGTTATCGTGTGTTCAAACACTTACCGACCGGGCCTACTTGCTCGTGCTGTACAACTGGACATATATTCTGGCCTCAGAACTAAGTTTCTACCACCCTCTCCAATATGGCGCAGCTAAACTATCCGTGTTCCCTCTCGTCGCCATCCCGTCGAAGGTTATGGTACCTCCCTTTGTTCATCCCAGAATTCAGTTTTTTTTACCGTTCAGCTATTGTTTTGAAAGTTGCCCCGATAACTCACGACCTTCGCCCTGAACAGCCTGTCACGAATCACTCGTATAAATCGATTGCCAACTTTCTTATGGATTATTACCTGAGATAATTTCATCCCTGTCTTCTGCATACAGGCCTGCTCATCTCGAGGTCACCATGGGCAGCAAAAACCTATCCGAAAATTCTACTACCGAAGGTACCCTCGTCTCCACGCTCAACTCGCTCCTGGTGAAGATCCTCATCCCCATCACGCTCGAGACCCCACAGGACCTTACCCCCTCCCTTCTCCTCGCCATCCTCGAGTCCATCAACGGCCTCCGCCTCCCCATACCTGCCGCTGTCCGCGCCTCCCGCGATTTTCCCGCCAAAGTCGAGGCGATGAAAGTCTTTCTCGGCGTCCTCGAGAACGACATCCTCCGCATGGACGTCGGCCTCAGCGACGTTGACCCCCGCAAGCTCGCTGCGGGCGACTGGGACGAGGTCGTCTATGTAGGTGAGCTGCTCTGCTGGCTTGGCAAACTCACGGGGCTCCTCCCGCACGCACCAGAGGACTTGCAAGCGAATCCTACACCTTTCCGCAGGCACAGCCCGCGCGCGCCCTCGCCTTCCACGCACTCGACGGTGACGAACAGCATCCACTCGAACTTGTCCATGACGCGCTCAGCCCCCGCGGAGTCGGACACGACGGTCATGTCGGTCACATCCGATGCCCCAGTGTCCATGTCTCTCCCCGAACTCGACCTGTTCGGGTTCTCCACCGTACACACTCTGCCAGACCCGCGCCCGCCCAGCCCGCCGTCGCGTCCCCGCCCGCGATGCATCCATGAAGTGGAAGACCGCTCGTTCCTTCGCGACCTCGGTCTGCCAGGAGACGCCTCCTTCACCTCGGACCTCGACGACTCGCAGACATCCTACTGCAACTGCTCCTTAGACACCCACGCACCAGCGCCACCCCGCACCGTGCGGCACACCGGCTACATCGCCCCCGTCGACGACGCCAGCGAGATCCAGTCCTTCGAGGCCAGCCGGCGGAAACAGCGCTCCCACTCGCCCCGCGGGCCCACTCCGCCCCGTCCCGCGCTGACCCCGACCCCACGGCACCCCTCAGTGGGGCGCGGGGCAGGCTTCGTGCTCACGCGGCACACCTCCCCCGCACAGCACACCCTCGCGCTCCTTACCGAGCGCGCCCGGCTCCTCGCGGAGCTCGCCGCGATGCGTGCCAGCGCAGGTGCGAGTGCGAGCACGAGTACGCGGTGATTTTCCAATCCCTCTCCGTGTTCGACCGGCGAGATACAGAGATGGAGTATCCCCGGCCCCGCGAGGCGGGTAGCCCTGCAGATGCGGAGAGGTGATGTGTTCTGTTCTGTCAAATTCGCCTCGGGTTGCCGCTATGTCGAGGCGCGTTCGCGCCCCTCCTCGCCCCCGCTGCGGGGCACGCGCGGCGCGCCAGGATCCCCCGAGCGTGTGGTGGGAGCGCAGCCCGTCGTCCGGGAACATGCTCCCCAAGGTTCGACCTTTGACTTCACCGCCCCGTCCAGCCTCGTCCAGCCCTTTCGCGCTCGCGCTTGCGCCACGCTTCTTGCTTCGGACAATACAGCGGAAATGGATCGCACCTTTGCGTTTGTCGACGGTCCGGGGAGCGCATGCGCAGGGCGTGATATGTATATCCGCGTCGTTGCCGTCACCGCTACTGTCCAGGTCCGTGCGTTGTCGTCCCCCTGTTCTGTAATGGGTCTCCATTACGTCCATTCTGAATTTCTGATCGCTCGTAGGTGTGTTATTGTTGTAGATACGTCGCTCTAGGCGATATCAATGCAAATGGAGGAGGTGTTCGTACGGGCCTTCTGTTCCGCGCCGCTGAGGCGTGAAGAGGACAATGTTCGACCGGGTCTGCCGCCGCCTGCCCCCACCGCCAACATGCGCATTGCAGAACGCAGATGTGGCTGTGTCGCAAAGCCGGGATGGCGATCGTCGTTTGGTTCGTACCTCTGCGTCTTTTCGTGACGTTTGACCGACACATTCCCCTCAGAGGAACATGTTCCCCGACTCTCAGCGACCGGGAGGCCGGAAGGCTGCAGGAATCACTGTCATATGCGTACCACGACCTGCCTTGAACCGGCAAAACTCACTACCGCACCGCGAAGCGGAGGCTGCAAGATACTCTAGGTGCATTATAACGCCTACAGGCTCGGGGCTCGTGCGTACACACCGAATCTGCCATCGAACCCAGGTCAGCGAGAGCGACCCAGTCACGCGAGCAGCCAACTTCCAGGACCTCAAGGGACGGGGGGATAAATACAAGTTTACTTCTAAGTATTAGCGCATTCTATCTAACCGCAGCGCGTACGAACAGTCTATAAAACTGGGGCACAATAACAAATCATCGAGGGGCGGTCGTCGAAAATACAATGTGCGACGGCAGGCAGGTAGGTAGGTAGGGGTAGGCAACGAATTAGTTTACGTGCGCATATATGCATGCCGTTCGGTCTATTCGTCTATATCAAATCCGAGTCCATGTCTGGCTGGCTGAAGAGCGGGGGGCATTCTATAGTGAGATAGCGAGATGAGATGAGATGGGATAGGATGCTGACAAGTACGGGTATCTCACGACTTACGGCGCACTAGAACAGTGAACTAGGACAAACAGAGAGAGAGAGAGAAAAAAGGCCCGATGCCACCAAACCACGGTGGTGATGCTCGGCCTACGCCCGACGAGGCTCCACTACGGCGACGCCTCCACAGCAGTAACCGAAGGCCTGCGATACCCGCTGGCCGCAGCGAGCTCGCTAAACCCAGGCAACTCGACCTTCCCCCGCTCGAGGTTCGTCTTCTCCACAGACGCCTCCGCAACACCCTCCGACGCCGCACGCCGCGTCGGCGACGACGGCGACGAGCGGAGCTTGATCGGCGGAAGTGTAATCGGCGGCGAGCACGAGCGCGACCCGGGCACAGATGCCGCAGAGGCGAAATCCGGTGGCGGCGCCATGTCGTGCGCGTAGTGCGCCGGCGGCGGCGGGGGATTCTTGCCCGCCCCGCCGCGCGGGTGGATCGGCGTCATCCCGAACGCGACGCGCACCGAGTGCGCGAGGTGGTGATGGTGCGCCGGGCCCGGGTTCGGCTCGCGCACGGGGTGCGCCAGGCGTGCCTGCGGCGACGGCGCGCGCGAGCTCGACGCGCTCCCGACCGCGAGCGGGTGCGTGTGGCTGCGCGGGCTGCTGCCGCTGCTGCTCGGCCCGCTCGACAGCTGCGGCGTCGGCAGCGGGGGCAGCGTGCGCTCGCCCGCGTACGGCACCTGGAAGCCGGAGCCCGTGCTCGCGGAGTGCGCGAGCGCGTGGTGGTCGCCGCCGAAGGGCGCGTACGCCACGAGGTCGCCCGCGCTGCCGCGCTTCGCCATGCGCCCGCTGATGCCGCCCGACGGCGGGCTCCCGGCGATGCTCGTCCTGCGCTCGCGCATGCGCGCCTCGTACATGCTGAAGTCCTCGAGGGGGTCGAGGCCGGGCGGCGGCAGCCGGAAGGGCGAGGGTGCGCGCGAGGGCGCGCCCGAGTGGATATTGAGCGTGCGCAGCCCGCCGAGGAAGGGGCTCGTAGACGGTGTGAACGAGAACTCGGCGGCGGGCGGCTTCACGTAGGGCGTCTGCACCGCCGTGGCGAGGCCGTTCAGCGGGGAGTGTGCCGCCTGCAGAGAGTCGGAATCGGAACTGATGGGAGACGGCGAGTCTTCGTGAGTGACGTGGGCGTGGCGATGTGGGGCAGGGGGCGCATGTGCGGGATGGTGGTACGGGTGGCTCCACGAACCGTGAGGGTGGGGATGCGCTTGACTATGGCGCAGGTGGGGGTATGCTGCATCGACGACATGCCCAGGCACGTGCGTGTGCTGCTCCCGCCGTGTTGACGAGGCACTCATACGCCGTTCACGGTGTCCGCTGCGCATCTCGATGGGCTGGTCATCGTCGTAGACCCGCTCCCGCTCCCTCGAGGTCCCGAAGTAACCTCCGTCATCGCCATGCGATGTGGGGTAGAATGGCGTCGTTATCGGAGTCGTCGATGCGCTCTTGGACAGTCTCCCGTGGAGCGATAACATTTCCGCATGTCGCGCCTCGTACTCGGCCCGCCTGAGGGCCTCTGTGTGACGAAGCTCGTACTCGGCTCTCCGAAGGGCTTCCGTCCGCTCTAGCGCATAAAGCTCTTCCACGGCGACACTGGACAGAGTCGTGAAGGCGTTCGGGTTCGCCGATAATGGGAAGGAATGGTCGGCGGAGCGTATGCGTCTCATGGCGTACATTGGCTGCTCCACAGCTTGCATGTCGGATGGGTACAGCGCTGTGGGCCTCCCATACGATTCATCCTAGACGTGCAAGGTATCAGCGATGATCACGGACAGAAGCCGGAGGCGATGCGCAACCCAGGCCCCTCACGCCGAGCGCAATCGCCGTCACGAGGACCACCACTCACCTCGTCATCGCTGTTCGCTCGACTCCTCGCCTTCTTCTGCACTCTAAAGTTCGAATCTCGCGCTCTCTCCAGTTCGACGTCGCTCCTCCCACTCGCCCGGGGGACCTCCACTTCCATGCTATCCTCGACGTCATGCTCGACCTTCGCCTTCGCCTTGGTCCTGGTCCCGCTCCCGCTCGGTGCGGAGGAGTTGTTATCGTGGTTGTGGTTGTTGTGTATGCGCGAGTGGCGCGTGAGCTCGTCGGAGCGTGAGAAGCGCTTCTCGCAGCCGCGGAACGTGCACTCGAACGGTTTCTCGCCAGTGTGTGTCCGAATATGACGGGTCTGGTAAGACGTACGTGAGACGGTGCTGCACGCACAAACGGGCACTGCACGACATACCTGATGCTCGAGGCGGCTGAAGGCACGGCCGCAGAGCGGGTACGGGCACTTGTACGGCCTCGCGACCACCTTCTCATGCGGTGGGGGCGGCGGGGACTGTGCGGCGACGTCCATGGGTGCAGTAGAGCTGGGATGCATGAGGCGGAGAAGCAGAGGGGGAGGCAGCGGGGAAACAGGGGTATTAGTATCAGATATCAGAGGGGCGGGAATCACAGGCACTAGTACTCACGAAAGAAGCAACTGAGTCGACGCGAATGACCTCAGTGTGCGATCGGGCCCAGGCAGACGGACGACGTGTGTGGGCACGGTCGCGGGAGCAGCTGGCCTGCGGTGTGCACGGCAGTGAGAGCGGATGTCCGATGCGGTAGAAGCTCGCTGCGGCTGGCGTTCGCGATGGAGAATTCAGAGAAGACGGCGAAGCAGACGCGGCTTGTTCTTGGGGAGCCGTGGATTATCCGGTGGGGCTCGCGATGTCAGATGAAGCGACGACGGCGTGCACGGCGTGTCTGCGTGGGTGGGAGTGCGGCGAGTGGGTGTGCAGCGGGTGGTGGTGGTGGTGGTGGAAGGAGAGAGGACGGAAGGTTGCGGAGATCGCGAGAGAAAAAGCTGTTCCCCGCAGAGCGATGAACCCCGCGCCTGGAGATGATGGGGCGTTCCTTGAACGTTTCAATGCGTGGCAGATGAGAGAGAGATGGGCGCCGTGCGCTGCGGGCGCGGTCGACTCGTCTGGTCTGACCTGGAGAGTGCTCAGAACGCTCGATTGCTGTCTATCGCCTTCTGCGGTTGCTCCAGAGCCACGCAGAGAGATAAAATAATGGATCATTTGTTTCGCCATTTCGTACCATGCTCGACGTCTCCGACGCTTTTCGGTCCGTCACTCACGTAAGCCCGTGCCTTCCGTTCCGCTCCTCGTCCCGATCTCCGGATCCTCTCGAAACAATGCTTGAAAAGTCCTTCATCTTGGAAAAAAAATATATACCTCGCCAGAAAAAAAACATTCCACATGCTTCTTGCTCGCTGACCACACGGCCGCCTCCCCCCAATTTCAAGTGTTCTGGACATGGACTCCTGCCGTTATCGCATTCTTATTTCACTGTGACATCAGTCGGGGGACTTTAGCGTGTTACGTCCGAGCGCCCGCGGGTGTGGGCCACGTTGCTCTCAAACGTTGGAAATGACATCGAGGTATCCAGGGGCCATCCACTGATAAGATAAGATTGATCGTCTTCCCAGATTTATCTGACAAGACCATTCCAGCGTCGGCTCAGACGCGTTACAAATTTTGAGGCGTCTTGTGTACGCACCCCAAGCCGGATCTTCTCAGTATGTACTTGCCAGCTCAGAAGTACTATAGGTACGTGCGATGGAAACGTGTCGAGGGATGCTACTCGGAGATGAAAGGACCACACACCCTACACCGGACGAGATCGTCCTCCACCGCTTCCACCGCCTCCCCATTCCGAACCCTTGCCACCAGTCAATTTTTGTAATCCCCGTGTGGGGACCCTGCGATATTCGCAAATTGGCGATGAAACAGGTGTGCGAACGCTCTCCACGTCCTGGCCAGCGTTCCGGAAACTCACGCGCACGAGTGACGGCGCAGGCTTTGGACACGCCATTTCTTCGCGCGTCTCGCCACAGAATAATACAGTACCCCAAGGTGAGCGCGGCGGAAGAAGAGGTGACGACACGCGTTCTATCGCGAATGTGATCAGCGGTGGCCCGCCCAGGCTCTCGAGATAACACCTTGCGCAACCTTTTGCGCAAAGCCAGACTCTCTATCTCGCGTGCGCATCTCGTCATGACGTCCCCCGACGCACGGAGTCGTCCCACTCCTGCAGCTAGCTGCACCCTCCTCTCTCGCCAGTGCCGGCCCGCCATGACGACCAGTGCGTGTATCCAAGGCATCCCGAGGTCGAGTCCGTGGTGCGCGACAGCGTCCAGGTCGCGTTATTTCCTACGCTCCGTGCCTGGCTGCAGCCGTATGACCACAGGAGGTCGTCCCACCGCGTCCATATCCTGATTCCTCTGCCACTCTGCGCCACCGGAGGGAGGTGGATTTGGCAATCGCGTTCTCCCCGGAACCCCCGCAGGGCAGCGATCCCCGATGTTACTCCGCGAAGATCCTCCTTGGGAGGTCCCCTCGGGTGAACTCGGAAGGTCCTGCTTATCAGATGATCTTATCGAGCGAACAGTATACACGTGGTACGCGCCACGAAGGGTATGCAGGCCATATCATGGCGATCATCCTCGCAGAAGCATGAAGAGCAGCAGCAGCACAGCGAGAGACGTTGCACTGGCAAGTATCCACGACACCACCGACGGGATCTCCGGCGCGTCCCCGCATGTGGTGCGACCGAGATCCGTATGCGTGCGGCGTGCTTGCGGCAACTTCACGTTCTGCGCCATCTGCCATCAGCCCCGCCGTACAGTATCTCTCGGATCCACATACTGGGGCACGCTCGCAGGTCCTGGTCGGCGAACGGGTGACATACGTGCATATCTTTCTCTCGCTGAATGGACACCTCGCCGTCGTCCGCTGGTCGTCCTCGTTCTGGCAACTTCGTCGCGAACGTCATGGTGTGTCCCGGCGTGATATGCACGCTGCACTGGCGGCTCGCAGCGGGAGCCCGACGAGGAGCTGGAAGACGCGTCTGCCGCCATCGGCGCGCTCGTCTCCACGTAGCCGACCTTCTCGCCTTCCTCCCCTCTTCCCCGCTCGGTTCCCCACTCGCTTCTCCGTTTCTCTCGCGAAACAGGGACATCCTCCTGCTCGACGCGATGCGCAGGTTCGACCTGAAGGCCTGACCGCCGGCGAGTCCATACTCCAGAACAAAAAAGAACAATGCCGTGCGAAGATTCCTGGTCTGCGCCGCATCCACGCCTGCGGGCAAGGGCAAAGTTTAAAAGCTACTTCCACCCGGCCGCCGGCGGTCGAACCTCGTCCCCGCGGTAACAACGGTGGGTGTCGCCGCGTCCGTGCGATCTGCGCTCCCATAGAATCTTTCTCTCGCGAATCTATTCTTGCACTTCATGCCCTCCACGGTGCGTGTTCTTTCCATGGGCGGTTGGCGCGCAGGGCGTGTGGGTAGTGTCCTTGTTCTGTTCTTGGCCGCATCGCTCGGCGCTCGGACGGTGTGACTTCGAGTCTCCCAGGGTTCCTGCGCACGTCGAAACCGTGGTTAGCCCGCACCATCCTCGGACGCCGTTCTAACAGCCTGGTGCGCGTCTGACGTCGTGTGTGTGTGCTCGCATTAATGAACGGACGGCCAAGGCGGATGATCTGGGGGGTGTGGGAGCATCTCGGGCTCGCCCGTCCCTCCGTGCGTCCCGGCGTACATATTGAGGTGCGGGTGGTGCACGTCCTGGGCTCGCCTTGTGTCCGCTTGTTTTTGAATGCTGGCTGGCGTTTGTATGGGGCGTGGTACGCGCGTGCTCGGTGTCTCACGTCAGACCTGGCCATATCGTATGCGCTTTCCGCGTTTCTCAGGCCCACTGGCAGCGGTGAGAACTCTGACAACCACCCATATCTGTCGGCCTATGACCTACAAACGCGCGCGCAGTCTTTGCAGAAGTGCCGCCATGTTCGGCGGTCTGTTTTCTATCTTTTGTGGTGCTCACCGCAGGGGTACATGTTGTGCGCCGGCCGAGTATACTGTCGATGGGTCGACTGGAGGCTTCCGTGAGGAAGTAGCGCTGCTTGTAAGTTTTTGTTATGCTGTAAGAAACTACTCTAATGCGTAATGCAATGTGGACTTCGGCGCTAACGGCAGCGTACGGGATTCGCTGTCAGTCGTTCTCTCCCCTTTGAGCAAGCACGGACAGTCAAAAGCGGCGATGCGACACTCGAGTGCTCTGGCAGTCATTGCTAGACTGTGTGTCGCTGTTGCCGACGTTGCACAGACGGTGTGCTGTCCGGTGCGCCCAGCTGCGCCTGTGGATGTGTGCGCTCCCGGTGGCCTAACTCTCTAATGTGCCTTTCAATTGCAAAGAAGGCCGTTGATGACCTGTACTACAATGATTCTAACTATCTTACTCGTCGCTTGTGGTGCTGGCTCCGGTTGTAGGCGCCAATTGAATCCGACCCATGCTCCATGCTCCAGCCTGACGCGGTCACGTGATCTCCCTCAAACAGACGGAGCCGCGGGAGAAGGTGTCCTTCTGGCCCTCCAAGGGATGGACATGGCACCATGTGCGAGTCAGCTCCACACGGATACGCGCTACTTTGCTACAGACACTCACTCCAACACTCCGTGCTCTCCCAGTTGACAGCGGGCCTCGACGAGCGAGAATGCCCCGGGAGGCGGACACCATCTTTGAGGAGGGGTTCCTCGTGCAGCCCCCCGGCATCGACCCCGAGACGGGCGAGCGGTGGAAGCCGCGCTGGGTCGCGAAGCGCGACTGCGGCTCCGACGCGCTCTCGTGGTGGGAAGCTAACAAGGCGGGCCTGCGCGAGTTCGAAGTCGCGAGGCCAGGTATGTTTGGTCGTTTGACCGCCGCGTCTCAGTGTGCCGACGTTCGTTGCCGTCTAGAAGTTAAGAAAAAAGAGGAGGAATATGATTACCTGGGCGAGGCGATCATTCCTATCGCCGCATTTGCGGCGGGTTCACCCTGGCTCGCTGCCAAGCCCGAGGTGAAGGAGGTGGTGGATGTCTCTGGCACGCGTCCGGAGTCTATGCTCGACATCGACTCTTTCGCAGTCGCCGACCCTGGTCCAGTTAGATCGCGATCACCACGACCGTTCGGTTTGTCCTACTTCCAAGTATGGGCACTCCTCTTGCTGACGGCTGACGGCTAACCGCAGTGCTCGACGAAGGCTGGCTGCTCTCGGACGGCATCTGCTCCGCCAGAGGGATGTACGTACGGATTGGCAACTCTTGGGCAGACCGGAGCACGCCTGGGTTCTGGCGCGGCAGGCTCGAAGGCGCGCGTGGCGCGGTTCTAGCTGTGTACAGGAGCCACGCTACCACGCGCGTCAGTATGCTGAGCCCGCGCGAGCCCTCCGAGACGTTTCTCGTCATCCCCCTGAAGTACCTCTGGCCCGTGTCGCCAGATGAGGCGGGCCAGAGGATCATGGTCATGAGTGAGGGCGGGCGGCTGGGCAGGCATGGAGCAAGATTTGTGAGGCCTGGATCGTCACCCAAGACGGCGACGATAGACCTGCCGAGGTTGAGGAGCGAAATTTGGTGCGGATGCTCAAGTTTGACCAGGATGACAATCTGGTGTTTACGGGTATGTGATGTGAGGTGTCCGCGGTTGGGGTCCGTGCGTCTCATTTCGTTGCTCTGCGTGAAATTTGCCCCTGCGTTTTCGTGCGTGTCCGTGAGTTTTCTCCGTGGCTGTTTTTCGGATACTGTCGGTGGTGACCCCAATTTGTGCGGTGGAGTCTTTTGTCCATCAAGAGTGCTTCTAAGCCTTTCCACCACTATTGCTTTGTCACATGTGAGATACTATGCAGCATGAGACTGCTTGACATGTTCCTCATTCAATCTGGTCTGTGCGAAGAGTCTCCAGTCCAGCTATAGTATACTAGTAGTGTACTAAGACCTTTGTTCGATGTATGGTAAATACATTTAATATTTACTGCCGGCTGAATAGCTGCATATTTATGTGTCTAGGAAAAACGAGCAGTAGTTAGGTAAACGTATCGAGAAGTTAGACAGAGAAAAATAGGAAAACCACAGCACCCAGGATTCCCGCGTGGTCCCCCACCGTGGTACTAACTGGGCGGCACTCCGGTTAACTGCGCAGATCAGACGGGATGCGGTGCTTTCGAAGTCCTATGGCCGTGGATATACTGATCGTATGTAATATTCTTATGAAGGGTTGATGGAAAACTTTGCAATCTAGTCTCGGCGTGTGGAGTAAGTGGGGTTAGGTCATGAACGTCCTAGGGTTAGGGCGCCACAGGAACCGTGCGCGCACGGTACCGAAGATTGCCCGCCGAGTGAATTCACCACCGCTATCTGTGCTCCTTTATTACTTTTCACATAATTCATCTCTGCGGAAAGATTTCGTCGAATCTCACTACATGAAATGTGGTCGTGAAATAATTTGGGATATCAGAACTGAGTGAACTAGGATATGCAACGGCGTCCTGACGACCACGGCGCGGAAGCAGATTGGCGTAAATGAAGTCGGTTGCCGGGAATGGCAACGCATACTGCTATCTGTCCGAGACTTCCACCACCGCTGGACTCTGTCCTTCGCAATCCTTACACTCTTTTTATTCCATTCCACTCGTTTATGATCGTATGTGGTCTGTCCTTCCTATCGTTCTCCTCTACCTCCTCTGTCGTTCTGTAGATGCCCTACATTTTCCTGTACGCGTCCGGACGGTCGCCGAGCGCTCTGGCAGCTTAATTTCTCGGGCTAATAACGACACTATCTTGCCCGTGTCGAACACACAAAACTCAGAGTACATCGTCAATATCACCATTGGGGGCAGAGAAGTTCCCGTTCTTTTAGATACCGGAAGGTGCGTGGTTGGCTTGTTGTCGCGTGTCCTGAATTGACACTGGAGCAGTTCCGACTTGTGGGTCGCAGGCAGCGTTCCTAGCACCACTGACCTCGGAATTTCTGCGACTTTGTCCTATGCAGTTGGAAACGCTGGTGGTACGTGCCATGCATCGTGCCGCCGTGTTTGCTGAATCGTCGCCAGGCGACATAAACACTGCTACTCTCCAATTCGGAAATTTCACCGTGGATGACCAGGCATACCGTGCGTGTGCGCTCCCATGTTCGATTTTCTCAAGCTGAATCTCGACCCACAGTGCTGGTGGCGAACACCTCATCTTTTTCCGTCAACATTGAGGCGGAAGGCTTTGAAGGTCTCATTGGCTTGGGTCCCAACTCAGGCTCTGTCATCCGTTCCAGGGTCGGCAACTCTCGCGGCGACAATTTCCTCAACCGCATCTTCTCGCAAAATGTCTCGTCCTCCAACTATCTCACCATTACGCTCGGCCGCGAGGGCGTGTCGTCCAGCCCCTCGCACGGTCTGCTAACCATCTCAGAAATCGCGCCCGGATACGAGGACACTGCCAATATGCAGAAACTGACGGTCGAGAAGACGCACAAGCTCACGGACCAGGACCAGCACTGGCAGATCTACACCGACGTGAACGGTGTGATTGGGCCCGACGGCCAGCCGATGGAAGTGAAGTCGATCGTGCCTAAAGCGCCTAAGGGGCAGCTCGTGGTCGTCTTCGACTCCGGATATACGTTCCCGCAGGTGCCGCGTGCGATGTCGGACATGATCTATGGCAGAGTGCAGGGCGCCGAGTACAACGAGAACGCGGGCGTGTGGACTATCCCGTGCGAACAGATGCTGAACATCAGTTTCAAGTTTGGCGGGCAGGATTACCCTGTGCACCCACTAGACACGTCGAGCAGCGACTTTGACATGGTTAACTCGCTCGGACAACCCGTCTGTGTTGGCACGGTAGGTATCACACGTCCTGCTCGCGTTCGTGCGCTGACGTCCCCTAGTTCCAACCTATCACGTCTGCTTTCAGTCTGCTAGGAGAGTACGACATCATTCTCGGGATGGGATTTAGTGGGTGTCTGAACGATCGCTACTTCACCTCTTTCTGAACGATGGCATAGTGCGCAATGTGTACGCGCTCTTTGACTACGGAAACTTCGTCGAAAACACGTCGCAGGACCTCGGAAACCCGTTCATTCAGCTCCTTTCCACCACAAACCTGTCGCAGGCTCACCAAGACTTTGTGACAGCGCGCATGAATGGCGTCGATGCCACAAGTAGCTCGTCTCAGTGGCTAGTGTCGTCCTCCCAGATGCAGCATTCACCCGAATCCAAGGAGGAGAAGAAAAAAGCGTACGCTTATGTTTCTCCACTTCGCGTTTCGATATTAATGCTGCGGCCGTAGTTATGAGGAGATGATCCTCAGTCGGTGGCCCGAAATATTCGTCGGCTGCCTCATATTCGTCCTGATCGTCGCCGGACTCATAACTTGGCGCTGCTGCATCCGATGCAAGCGCAAGCGCGCCAAGAAGCAGGCCGAGGGCCTTTTCCCGAGCGGTAAGATCCAGTCGTACAAGCAGCTCGACGACCCCTCGACCGCGACACTGTCATCGGGTGACCTCGAGATGAAACAATACCAACAGGATCTGCACGGTCCATATCGTCCAGACCTTGAAAACCCGTTCCAGGCAGACCCCGTTGCGTACCACCAAGATGACCGGAGCTCGTACGCGTCCAGCAATTTTCGGCCGTGAAAGCGGCGCCTTGAGAGGATACAACACATCAACACCCCCTCTTGGTGGAAGGGAGATGGATACTGTCCGACTACGTCGATGTTAACATTGTAGCTGATCCGCGCACGCAGTCGATCGCTATGCTTTGGCCCCTTGTGTATAAAAGTTGTTCTTGCTTTGACTTTCAGTTCCGTTGATTTTACTGCCATACTGCGGCCCATTCAAGTGGCCTGGTGTCCTTTGTGAATATTGCGGTGCGCCTGCACGTTAATCGTACGTTGACGTTTCGGAGTTTGGTTCAGAATTCGATTCAGATCGATGACAATGCAAGAAATATGTACAAGAAGAACAAGAGGTCCTGAAGTCCAGGCGATTGAAGCGAATTAAAGAGTAAGACGAACTGGACGACGTGAACTTGCAGTATGCGCCACGCAGGAGCGGGCGGCCAGCACTAGCCACGCGGAACTATGTAGACGACAACACTTCATTCCTCTTCATTCTGATGATTAGAAAAGCAATACTCCTGCTTCCAGGTTGTCTCTTCGCCACTAGGACCAGGACAGACTGCCCAGGACTAGGACCGCTCCCAATTTTGTAATCCACGAAGGTCAATCCTACTTGACTCCCTGTACCCATAGTGTCTAGCATGATTCTGACAGCGATGGGCATCAGGGCACTGATCCAGTTGCTCATGCACCAAGTAGATGCGTCCTGCGAGGGGTCAAAGCTTGTCAATGTGAACCTTCTGGCCTCCGAAGATATCCACGAACGGAGCGAGCTCGGGAGGAATGCTAGTAATATCATCCATGCGCAAGCCGTCCTTGCCAACAGAGCCCATATTAATCAGATGCATGGTGGTGAGCTTGCGACATATACACAGCAGTTGTATGAGATCATATGGTCTAAATAAGCATGAATGCAGACAGAGAGCCTTGAGCGAAGTAGAGAAGAAAGTTCTTCTGCGTGTTCCGCAACGTCATCATGTATGCGTGCCGATGTTCGATATTGAGAGCTGTAACAAAATCCGAGGCAGTGCGCGATGCATCCAACCCTCTGTTACGTGGATGACAAGAGGCGAGAGATCACAGACATTAACGACAAATATCCGAGGACTCCTTCAGAGGCCTTCCAACGACTCTGGGGCAAGTTTGGGTGACGCAGACTGCACAAGAAGGTACACAGTCCCCTGAAATTCTGTTCGATGCGTATACCGATGAGTACTAAATGTCTAAACCACGAATCTGTACAATTGGTGACGCTTACTTCGACGTGCGAGCGATGTAACAGAACTTCACGACTTTGTCCTCTTGTATACAGCCGTAGCTGATCTGTGTCGATCTGAGTTAGCGGGAGTAGAGAGCGTAGATCTGACGAACTCAGATTGGCCTCTCACGTTGAATGTTGATCCGTGTCTCGCAACGCAAAGTGCTTCACTGTAAGGCAGCTTGCAAATGAGTCTATTACAGTTACATGCAACAGGCACATAAAACCCAATAAGATATACGAACACCGCGAGCGTGTCAGCTCTCGTCCTCGCTCCGTGCCGCGTCCTCGTTGTGCTGTGCGCGCGGCACCCTGACCTTGCGCCGGCCCTCGACCGCGTCGACAACGCGCCGGAGCAGGAGCCCTTGCATCTCTAGCGCCGCCCGCAACTCCGCAACCTGCGCGCTCAGCTCCGCCGCGCCCATGCCCACGCCGGCCGGGGGCAGCCGGAGGCTCGTCTCGTTCGAGTGGCGCCACAAGCCGCTCGCGGCCTCCGCGCGGATGTCTTGGATTGAGCGCGTGCGGGGAAGCTCGGGCGACGAGAGCTGGTCGAGCCTAGCGTCGAAGACCTCCGTCCGGGCGGTCTGCGGCGTAACGTCAGCCTGTATGCGGAAGAAAAAGGGCGGAGATGGGATGCACCTGGTTCTGATGCATCGCCTCCCAGACCATGCTGAATTCGCGGCCGAGGACGAAGGTAGGGAGCGCGATGAGGAGGAGGCCGAAGATGAGGAGCGGGATGGTGATGAGGCGCCCGAGGAAGGAGCGCGGGGTGATCTCGCCGAATCCGACGGTTGTGATGGCTGGGTGGCACGGTGGGACGTGAGTGTACTGTGAGACATGTGACCGTCGCGACTTACTTTCTAACACGAACCTAGGCGCCGGGTGTTCATTGAGGTCCCTTATGGATAAGAGGAAGTGATTACGCACCATGCTGCTGCCGGTATGGACTGTGGACGCGTCAGATATCACGGCATTTTTGAACGGGTTTTCCTGGGACGTACCGAGAATTGACTTGGGTCGCCGTCCGAGTTAACGAACATGCCCATGTTCTCATCCCACGTACCTCTTTCAACGAAATACCTGCGACCGAGCACATCAGAAAGCACAGATATGCCAATAGCAGACCATACATACAGTAGTGTGCTGAAGACGACGAGGACCATTAATACGAAGAAGAGCAGCGCGAGCAGGGCGTGCTGCGATCTTCGGAACGATAGATACATGACTTCTATAGTTCTGACGAGCCCGTTAGCGCTAGTTGTGATGAGGACATGCGAGCGGAGAGCACTTGCAAGAGTATAGTGTTATTATAGCGGAACGGCCTGAAGACGCGCAGCAGGCGGAATGTACGCAGGATGGTGAACCTGAAGAACGTTGACTAGAACTAGTGAGATTCTCAGCGGCAGGCACCGAAGAATGCTGCAGGATGTACCGTGTCTTGGCCCATTGCTACCTCGATGTAATATGGAAGTATACCAAGCAGGTCGATGATCCCGAAGAACGCTGAGACGGGAGATACATGTCTGTTCCAACGATAAACGAGAATGGTGACGTACATCCGAACCACTTCAGAAACTTCCTCCAGGAGCCAGAGTGCGCCAGACATCGCGCGACGTACTCCACCGTGAAGAGCGCCACCAGCGCCGTCTCGAGGCCGAACCACACGCTCGGATTGATAGAATGGAACGACGGGATGGTTTCGAGCACAGTGACCACAGCCGATATAACAATCAGCGAGGTGGTGACGATGAGCACGAGGAACGCCGCCTGCGAGCTCGTCGGCTGCTCGAGCAGCATGTAGATACTGCGCTTCCACGCGGACTGGTGCTGTTGGTCCAAGTCGTTCATGTCATCGAACGACTCCGGGAACACCTCCCGGTCAGGCGACTCCGTCGCGCCCTCGTTGACCCGGACATATCGCGCACCAGAGGGGGGGGTGCTGAGGTGTGGTGAGCTGACTCGAGGTGTGCCGATGCGCGTGAGCGGGATGGACTGAGACATTCAGGAGCAGATGCACTGTCCGCCACGAGAGGTGCAGTGTTCTAGAGACGCGGTTCGAGATACGGAGCAGAGGGTCTTGGACGGTGGGTGCTAGCTATTTCGTGCGGGCATGCGAGTGAGCTGGTAGAGTAAATGTACTACTGCGGTATCTGTCGGCGGGGATGACCGTGCTGACGGACGGCGCCTATGTAACCGGACCCAGTGTCCTTTGTCATCGACCATCATCATACCGTCGGCCGTCGTCGCTCACGGCGAGCACCGTTGCAAGATGTCTTGGAAGGATTGGCAGGATCGTTTGCGCGAAATGGACCTTCTTCGCTCACTGAGTGATCTCGAAGCAGATCATTCGAGATTGGCTGTACGATGGTACCTTTCCGGGTGGGAAAGCGGTGGGTCCTCGAAACTCTCTAATGTATGCTCGCCCAGCGTCGTGGCGTTCTCGCCCACCCGTAGTTTCCATTCTGTGCTGCAGAATAACGGTTGGCGGGATGTTTTGTGCCTCTGCTTCTCTGGTGATGTTGAAGTCTGCGATCGCGGTCGAACTCACTGACCCTTCAGTGCCAGTGCAAGGGGGTGAAATATGGGTTCTCGTCCAGTATTTCCCCACCCTGCCCTGGCACTGACCTTGCCATGGTCAGCCAGATCTACGCGTCGGTAAAATACAGAACATCGCCTGCGGAAGGGTGAGCAGAAGCACTGCCGTATGGGACGCTATCATACTGCCGAATGCCACTTGGGATGAAGAAGGAGTATTGACAACAAACTTCCCAATACTGCCTGTCCACCCCCAGTGAGATTTATGTTAACAGGTGTCGTGAAGGTCCTCGTCTTCGTACGGTATAGTTCAGCCACAGCAGCACGTTTTGTGACCACAGCCACTCGTTTTAAATGAATGCCTCCGCCACTCGATATATCTTGCACTTGGATCTCATTTCATCTTTGTTCAACACGCCACGCTCTCAACCCCCCACCGTCCTTTATCCGTCTATCGCTTTCAAACGTAATCGGCAGAACAAAGCGATCGCGTTTGCGTTTAATAAGCGTCTTCCTCTCTGCTTAGACCCACCACATCGCTGTTTTGGTTGCTCCTCGACCTCTCCCCATCCCAACTTCGCGATCGTCCTCAATGAGATTCAGGCGGCAGCTATCGACGCCGCCCATTGGATCCATGCAGTGTTCCACCTGCGACAGTCTCCTGGTTCCTATGACGGAATACTGGTGTGTTGAGTGTGCGTTCCACGACCCACACAACTCGGCCACTCGTCGCGTCGAACACCAATTGCGCACCTACAGAGACCTCAAGCCTCTTCCCAAGGTACCCCCGCCGGGAGAGGACGCGCTGCCCAGCCCGCCGCCCGAAAGGAAGGCACCCCGGCAGATTTACGCGGACCCAGGGAGCGCTGCGTACGCGTACCCGCCTCGAATGGCGGAGCAGGGCATGTCGCCCCGTTATGTTCCTCTGCGGCCATACCCGTATCCCAGCACGCCGCGTAGTGGAGGATACCTGGATTACCACCCTCTCCACTACGTGCCCCTCCATCCGTACCAGGAAGTGGATGCGCCCATGCGGCCACCTTGGGGGTTGGTGAGCCCGCCCATCTATGCGGTCCCTGGTGGCACCCCTGCTGCGTTTTATGCGTCTCCTCGCTCTGCAGCGTATGCGTCTCCTCGTTCTGCAGGTTATCTGTCGCCGCCACGCTCTGATCCACATTCGTCGCCACGGTCTGCTGCCTACGCGTCTCCGCGTTCGGCTGCATACCTATCGCCTCGTTCGGCTGCGTACCTATCACCTCGTTCGGCCACACACACGTCGCCTCGTTCAACATCGCACCCGTCACCCCGTTCTGCAGCTCACGCGTCACCCCGTTCCCCTGAGGTGGACGCGGCGCCTTCTTCCGCTCGCTCCACTCGACGTCCGCGACCCGCGCAGTCGCATAGTTACGCAAGCAGAAGATACTTCCAGGTTGTGCCCATGGACGCCGACGAAGAAGAGGAGGAGGAACCCGAACGACTGCCCCAGGAGGTGCGCCCGCAAGTCTACGCGGCCGCTGGAGCCACCGACGCGTGCGCGCCCTATGTCTGGCCAGAGGTGGACATGGTTCCCGTCTCTCCTCATTCTCGGCCTCCGGAGTCAGAGTGCACGCCTTTCCCACCATATTCGTGGTGCTGCGGGCGGTTCCTTGAGGTACCACCGGTTGAGCCTGTGGACTACGTCTTTCCAGCACGCTACCCGGAGATCCATGCTCCTTCGGACGACGTTCGACAGCCGCGCTCTGCTCCGCCCGATGCACAAGGGCGGAGGGCGTCGCGTTCATCCCTGGGAGCCAAGCTGAGCAAGCAGGTCGAGAAGACGACCCAGAATTTCTTCGCCCGTACTGCTGAGGCTCCTACGCCAGGGGCGATCCCCAGCAAGGCACACGTCAGGAAGGCCCCGCCTCCGCCCTTGCAACTCCGGGCGAGTAGGCACGACGTCCCGCGAGATATTCCGTCCGGATGGGATGCGCAAAGTTTTGATGAATGGAGTGCCGAGCCTGCTACTCCGATAAGGACATCTGCGCTGCGCGCACCTCCCATGGCACATCTTCGTTCTTGAGCGGAGCACTTGAGCTCTGTTGTGATAGATGGGTTAGACATACATTTTCCTACGTACATGTAGCGTGTGTTCTGTCGCTCGTTGTAACCAATGTATCAACTACGTCCCCTCCTTAGATTATTTATTTATTGTGCACTTGTGGCACATCTATTGTTATCGGGTCGTACTCTCCCTCTGCTGAAGCACCGCCGCAACTGCATTCCACGGTCGGATCCTCGTCGGATCGTCCGGCTCGTGCAGTCAAGTGATGAGGAGGCCTGGTGTTGTCTCTGGTATGTGTTATCGTCCTGCTTCACCAACGTTCCCGCTCTCGTATCGCATCGTATCGAGTCGCACTCTTCGAGCCGGCGATAACAGCCACACACAAGTTCACCGAGCACCACCATGCCCGTCTCGGACGCCATCCTCACCCAGATCCTCACCCAGCTCCAGTCCCTGCAGGTCTCCCAGCAGGCCCTGCAGGCGAAGGTGCGTCTCCTGCCCGTGCGCCACGACGTTGCCTGATGTCCGTCGTGTAGCTGGACTCCCTGACGAACCCGGTGGTCAGCCCGTTGTCGTCTCCTAAGCAGAGCGGCACGCCGATCCCTGGCCACCACGAAGCCTCGTCGCCCAGCAGCGTGCCGCTGACGATCTCACAGACCGGCAGTGGCGTGCAGACGCCGTCTGCGCTGTTCACGAACGGGCCTGTGTCGTCGGACAAGATCATCAACGAGAAGGACAGGGAGAAGCTGCTCTACCCTAGCAGGGTGTTGCTCAGCAGTGAGTGTCTCGTTCAGACCGATATGTGTGCATCAGACTTTCCCGGGAGGAGTCGTTAGCTTCTGCTAAGATCATGCTATTCAATGCCCAGCCAACGCGCTGAATATCTGACTTCAGGTCGGGAGATTCGGTTTGTTGCGTAAGAGGGCCCACTCAGATGGAGGAGCCTGTTCACCGAAGTGCGTGCTAGATGTCGTTTCCACGACGTTTGCTCAGGGCATCCATTCAGACCGTTGAAGGTCTCATTATGCTACGAGGATGAATGATGAACCTGGACAATGTGCTGGAATTAATTCCTCAAGGATGCCTTCAATTGGACTTTGCTAATTTCATAGAAGGCATCCTCAATGAATGGTGTCGTTGAGTATAAATCGGGCAACGAGAGAAGGTGGCGATGTACCCCGCACCGAAGGACGTTCTGCAGCGTTTTCAGAAAATCACGATGTTTCTTACTTCGGACAGGACTCACTGACATCCGTTTCGTTCCAGCGTATCCCGACCAGCACGGCATAAAGCCGTACCCGCTCACCTGGGGTGCAGGGGACCCCTCCGTGCGCGGCCCCGTCATCTGCTCCCGCCTGCCGACATCTATCAAGCAGCGCAACGCCATCGGCGCGCACTCGGGCTCATACTCGATCTACCGCGCGCTCGCCATCGCGATGGGCACGCTCTCGCCGACGCACAAGCCGGACTACTCCAAGACGGAGCCCGCGGTGCCCATCCCGCCCCAGCCGGCGTGGTCCGACCCGACCAAGATCGTCTCCTTCGACCCGTGGGGGCACCTCGTCCCGCAGGTGTTCAAGCACGAGATCAAGGAGCTCGGCCTCGACGTCCGCCCGAGCATCGCTGTCACGCGCGCGCATATGAAGATGAGCGAGATCGACGAGACGGCGCGCAAGGGCGACCTCGCGGTCGATGGGAAGATCCTCATCAAGAGCCGCCCGCTCCTCAACGCGGACGGCTCGGAGAGCACTGCGGAGCCCGGTGTTGAGATTGTTATCAGCAAGGCTGCAGTGGAGCCTGTGTGGTATCTGCCCGGCGTGGCGGAACGCTTTGGCATGTAAGCGGTGCTCTTTTAATGATAATAATATACCTTCTTTGCTGATGCTCTGCGATAGTTCAGAAAGCCTGCTTCGTCGGGCGCTGTTTGAGGACACGGGAGGAATGTACCCCGAACTCATCACCCGTCCTGACATCAAGGTGTTCCTACCGCCGATCGGGAACTTGACAGCCTACATCTGTATGCATTCGGGTACTGCACAGGCTGTAGATACTGACATTTTGTTATTAGTTGGCAACCCAGCCTATCTTTCCGACGAGTCCAAGGAACTGACACTCCGTGTGCACGATGAATGTAAATGAGAGTCCCTCTACGTTCAGATCATGTCTGATAATTTCTCGCACAGGTAACGGTTCTGACGTATTTGGTTCTGACATCTGTACCTGCAAGCCATACTTGACCTACGCGATCGAAGAGTGCATCCGTGGCGCTCAACGCGGGGGCGTCGGGCTCGTCGTTTACTTCCGCAAGGAAGGCCGCGCGCTCGGCGAAGTGACGAAGTGCGCTACCTCCGTTCACTTTCGCGTCCTTCCTTCGCTAATCCGCTTACAGGTACTTGGTCTACAACTTGCGCAAGCGCGGCGGAGACTCCGCGGACAAGTACTTCAAGGCGACCGAGCTCGTCGCGGGCGTGAAGGACATGCGCTTCCAGGCGCTCATGCCGGACGTCCTGCACTGGCTCGGGATCAAGAAGATTGACAGGATGGTGTCCATGAGCGACATGTGGGTCCCCCTACGACGGGACAAGGATTCGTGCTGACCTCCATTCTTCAACAGGAAATACAACGCTATCGTACAGTCTGGGATACCCATCCTCCATCGTTACGACATACCCGGTATGTCGTTGATGCCAACAAGCGCTTTCTGACAGTGACGCTGACGCATTCCGTTGCAGCATACCTGGTCCCGCCGGACTCCCGGGTAGAGATAGACGCGAAGATCGCCGCTGGGTACTTCACGAGCGGGAAGCAGATCACAGAGGCGGACTTGGTCAAGACTGTAGGGAGGACGTGGGAGGAGACGGAGCACTGATTGCACCAATGTTCAGGATCTGCGAACGGATTGCTCTGCGCACCACGAAATTCTGGAGGATTCGCTCGTCATCTGATACGATACTTGGGAGGTGTGATGATACAGTATTGTTGTAGTACTATGTAGATTACACCGACATAATGTGCTCGTGCTTTGTCCAATGCAAACAGCAAGGGATGTAGTTATCAAGATAAAGCGTGGACTACAACTAAGGAAAGTCTAATAGTCCCTCACCATGGCATTTCCTCAGGTAGATCGTCCCAGTCATCGTCGTAGTCTACATCGACAGTAATCTCATCGCGCACATGCAGATTCTTAATCGCCAGCTCGGCGGCGGCGAACTTGACCTGCTGTTGCGACACTCTGCTGCGCCACAGCTCCGTGACTGACGCCACCACCTCCCCGCCTACCTTGATCGTGCACGTAATTTCCAACTTCGTCTTCGTCATCTCGTACTCCACCTCCTGCTGCGGATCCTGCCTGTCCGCCCACTCCTGCAGGCGCGACACAGGATGCAGGACGTCGACGTTGCCCTCCACGATACGCTCAAGGGCATCCATGATCCCGAGCGTCCGCATCACCTTCGTGACCGCCTCCAGACTGCCCTCGGAGTCAAGATACACAGCACCGAGCAGACTCTCTATCATGTCGCTCAGGAACTTGGGCGCCTGCAGGCTCGTCAGTGCCGCCCACGGGTATATGCTGTCGTGCTTCAGCGCATGCGCGATGACGGGCCCGCTCTTCTCGAAGCGTGCAAAGGTGACGCTCTGATCCTCGAGCACGCGGTGGCTCGAATGCATGAGGAAGCGGTACAGATAGATCTGCTGCCGATCGGCCTCGAGGGCGACGTCGCCCTCGTGCGTCCACGTCGGCATCGCGCCCTCGAACTCTAGTGAGGTGTTCATGCAGATGAACGCGAGGAAGTGGGCGTTCACGACCGCCTCCTTGCGTAGATGCATGTGCCCCGGGCTGTAATTCTTGCCCGGCGCGTCGTAGATGTAGTTCGTCACGACCATGTCAAGCGCGGCGTCGCCCAGGAACTCCAGGCGCTCGTAGGACATCGACGCGAGCTCGCCATGGTAGCTCCCATGCGTCAGTGCTTGGATGAGGAACGTCTTGCGGGTGAATTGGTAGTTCAGCATCCGCTCGACGATGCCAAGCTGTGATGGAGGGTCAATATGTTCCTCCGTCTGAGCCAGGATGTCCTGGATGCGGACAGGGATGGTCTTCCAGTTTAGATCCAGGTCAAACAGCCTGGCACAGTCGATAGCGGCGTCGAAACCGCCAGATTTATAAGATGCACCGATGAGGGACTCAACTACGTCTGCCAACAGTTTAGTTGAAAGTTCCTGTGTGCGCTCCTTCTTGTTGGAATCCTTCGGCATTGATGGGCTAGTTGGAGTACGAGGAACATAAGAGTCATTGGAGTACCGCGGTTTCCACGTCTTAGGCGCAAACCGGTCTCGGATGATCCACTTGTACAAGCCCTTTGAAATAGCCGCCTGCGCCAGACTCTGGTTGGAGATGACGTGATCTTTGCGTCTTGAGAGATAACCTTGATGCCAAAGAGGATGGTCCGCAAAAACCTGCATACTTGCAATGAACTTCAAGACGGTGTCGCCTAACGTCTCTAGACGCTGATAGTTCGTCGCTTCCTGAGAGACAGGTGCTGTAGTGGCTTCAACGAGAAGATCCAGAGGGACACGGGCTACGGCAGACCCAAATAACAGTTCCGATCGCATGGAAAGAACAGTCAGCGCGTTGCTCAACCAGCGAAGTACAGACGGCAGCAGCATTGCATACTGAACATCTGGGCCGGAGACCAGCTCTACTGTAACATGCTTTGGATGCAGGAGGACAGGCCGATCTTGCCCAAGACCCTCCGTCTCTGAAAAGAGCGGCAGGAGGAAGTTCACGCGTCGGGGGAATGGCTGAGCCATAATCAATGGTGTATAGGTAGGATCCACATCTAGGAAGCCTTCGTAGCGCTTGAGCAATTCTGCTTCCTGTTCTTCCGTGAGATCATTATAGGTCCACTCGATGAAACGCAAGAGCTTGTTGAACTTCTCGCCAGACCGTATCAAAGTGAGGTCATTCGGCCTAGAGAACCGCTTGCCTAGGGTGTCAGCATTTGCGCGTTCAGCAGATTCGAAAATACATAGTTCTGACACAGCGGACATGCGATCCTGCATCCACTTCCGCCGCTCGTTCCAGCATTTTTCCTGCTCCGACAACACGATTGGAAGAAAGAGGTATGTGAAGGAGGTATCTTCTGGGTCCATGCGTTGGCTGCACAATATAGCAAAGATCTGGCGAGTATATCGGCGAGCGCGCTCGACAAAGGCGGCATTTATGGGGAATCCTTTCTGGTACTTAACGGATATGCGCAGAGGCTCCTTGCCTGGTACAAAGAGGAATGGGAACTCGTGATCATGAAGGAAGGGCATCGGCTTGTGGGTGAGCATATAAAGCTCGGGCAAGCCGTCGATGGTCAGCCTGCTGCAAAACCATGCATCATCGTCCTTTGCCGGAGATAGCCATGGATCCATCTGTATGGCGACCTTCTCGGTGCTTGCTCGTTTCTCTACTTCCTCTAGGAGTTTCTTGACTTCTTCGCCTTTGTCTTCTTCTATCGCGCTTGTGAGAGGCAGAAGATTGTCATTGAGAAGGCCAGCTTTGTGGAGCTCCACATATGCGTTGAACGCCACATGCCTCAGGGCGGATCGTTTGCTCCGATAGACGCGCACGGAGGAGAACGTGCGGAGACTGATCACAGATTAGCTCTCTTCATCGAGATAGATACACAATCTGAGCGCACCTCGCGGGAACAGACCGCGGTAGAGTAACCGTTGCACCCCACGGTCCTTCGTAGGGGGGCAGCTGAGTCTGATTGAGATGCCATCCTTCCGGGAAGTCAGGAGGATCGAGATCAAATACAGCATCGTGACCACCGTAGCCAGCATTGGGGAGGACAGCACAGAAGTGGTTCAAATGACTAGTAGCCGAATGTAGAGTGAGAATAGCACTATGCACTCCGATGTATTGGTCACTTCAGTTACACTGCGTAATGCTTTTGAACGACTCACCCTGTGGACTCGACCCAGTACGCGACATCGTCTGTTTCATCGTCGTCGTCGTCGTCATTGGGTTGTGCTTGCAGAGCTGCGCGTTCTTCGAGATACAACGCCTGCATGCGCAATTCTGTTTGTTCCCATTGCTGCACGAGGGGTCGGTGCCCGCCATCATTCTCGAACATCATGATGAAGCTGCTTCGTCGTCGTCGGGCTCTGCCCCTGCTCTGTGCCCATGCTACAACATTAGGCGGTGGATCGAAGCGTATCACGCTGCCGCAGGCCTGAATGTCGATCCCCTCCTCTGCGACGGAAGTTGACACGATTAGGTTCTTATCCCCAATCTTGAAGTCGCGTAGCGTCTCCGATTGCGAGTTCTTGAGCATATGTCGGGTGATGTCGAGAAACGCGTGACGTCTGGAGCTCGTTGAACTACCCAGGAGGCAACCTATCTGGAACTTCTCCGAGATCTCGGGGAGTCGAGACAGTATCTCAGCCAAGGCAAGGACCGAATCGCGGCGCGTGACGAAAATAAGGCCGCTGTACGACTCGTCGAAAGATTGGAAGTTCGCCTCTTCCGCCAGCAGGCATTGCACCAGGGAGAGCACCTTGGGCGAACAGGCGGCACGGATATCATCTGGCTGCGATGAGACGATCTCCAGCTGCACCTGAACCAGAGCACTGAGGAGGTAAGCCTTCTCCTTCTCTTGCCATGCGGACATGTAGTTATTGTGTGGATTCGCAGCCACCTTGGCCACCTCGACGACTTTGGCGACATACCAATCCGCAGCCCAAATTCCTAATTCCATGCAAATCTCTTCGGCAGCTCTCTCGAAGTCCCTGAGGCCTCTGTGCGTAAATGTGTCTTCCTTGCTCAGTGTCTTGGAAAGCTTCTGGTCCACGCTGTTGCGCTCAGGGCCTGGCTGTAGCTTTTCGAGTCGGGAATGGAGACTCTTCACGTAGGGGTCGTTCTCGATGTTCATTCGGCTGAGGACCGACTTTAAGGCATGAACATTGCGCGAAGGCAAATCACCCCAGCCATACGTAGGTGACGAATATAGCACGTGGTTGAAGACAGGCCTGTGAACGTGGTTGGCCAATTCGTCGCGATTGAGGCGAGAAGATCTAATAACGCAGTCCAAGTTCTGTTCGAGATCACTGTAATCGAGATTGAGTTTCTGACGTAGAGGGCAATACTGAGATCTCACGAGAATGCTTTGTCCACGTTTCCGCCATAGATTGGACTTGCTGTTAGACCCAAAATCTGGGGCCGTACTCTATTGACAGAGTCGTCATCACTTCCGCGTCGTGGAAGTTTGAAGTAGAACTGCTTCATGATCATGTTATATGGATGTTTGCGAACAGCATGATGGGCCTCGTCGAACACGAGTAGTCCAATATCTCTCCCGAGGTCAATGTAACCCTGTGGAGGTGTTTAGCAACGTCAGATGTAGTCGTGCAAATACGAGCAGAACTCTAACATGTGTTAACGCATCATATAAAGGCTGCGGGGTCGTTACCATGATGCGATGGGTGTCGAGGATATTTCGCCACAGCGCATAGTCCGTCCATTGATCGGGTTCCGCCTCGCCCGAAATGATGCCTACAGACACCGGAATGGCAGAGGCGATGACGTCGCGTTGCTGTTCGACCAAAGCGACTGTAGGAGCGAGGAACCAGGATAACTGCATAATGCGTTATTGCAGCACCAATAGACAGGTCAAAGACGTTATTACCTTCCTAGTCTCGCGTTCCGCTTCGAGCTTCATTCTCAACACGGCGATGTGCGTCTTGCCTGCGCCAGTATCGAGCGCTATCACGATGTTGTTGCGCAGGGACTCCTCCAGCATTTCTTGCTGATAACCACGGGTGTGGACAGTGGCGGTGGCCTCATCCTCGATGTTTTCGTTGTCGGCCATGGCAGATAGGAAACTTGGTTTGATGACAGTGCTGAGAGCGATGAAGGGGATCTAGAGTCAATACCCTAGATACTCCACATCGATGATTCAAGACGAGGAAAGAACGAGCAGGGAGACAGCAGATCGGAACGAGTAAGACCAATGATCTGCTGCTCCTTCCAGCGCACTCTCCCAACGCCACTGCCAACAACGACCCGACCATGGCCAACCTTCCCTGCTCAAGTGACGAAAAATGATCGACAAATCGCAACTCACCGGTTGGTATGAAAGCACTTACGGTGAACTGAGAGAAAAAGAATGCGGGTCGGAGGACTGCGCCACCTACTTATAAGTACACTCGGTATAGCCGCCCAAGTTGACGCTGTTAAACTGCGGAGGAATCGAATAGACGCCACAAAGACAGCAGTGAAGACAGTCTGGGTTCACGTTCACACGTTTGAGGGAAAGTCCAAGTCCAGTGCGTAGCGTCGAACTGCAGCGTTCGGTATACAACTACTACCGAAACGGCAGTACTAGCTGTGAGATCGTGGAGGAGCAAGAAGGGCAAATAGACGCTCGAGGCGCACCTTCCAAAGTTTTCCCTCGTGTGGCTGCAGCTATAGATATACATCCGGTACACGGGTCCACATCCTGACCAGCATATCTGAACTAACTGGACGGAAACCCTGGATATTATCTGGTGCTGCATAGAGGCGAACACCATCTTACCTGCTCTGAAGCAGTGATTGTACAAGGATCGAATATTATTGAATCTTCTGCCCCACTATGCGCAAGCAACTCGATCCTCGTCTTCCTATTCTCATTAATAACAATGTGAAGAAAAATCATCGTTCTTTCGTCGTGCTTGTCGGGGACAAAGGCAGGGATCAGGTATGTCTTTTGACGCTATAGAAGGCGAGTGGAACACTTAGCCTTTCAGGTCGTCAATCTGCACTTCTTGCTATCACAAGCCCGAGTGTCTGCTCGGCCATCGGTGCTATGGTGCTACAAGAAAGAACTTGGGTTCACGAGGTAAGTGATCATGTCCAAAGCTGCCCCATTCCTACCCTAATCCTGTACCGTAGCCACAGGAAAAAGCGGGAGGCCAAGATCAGGAGAGAGGTTAAGCGCGGGACCCGGGAGGCCAACGATCAGGACCCCTTCGAAATTTTCATCACAGTTACCGACATTCGTTATACGTATGTTTCTCGCTTTTCTGGTATCTTTTAGCCCACCTCAGCTGACATATGCCCAGATATTACAAGGAATCGCATAAGATTCTTGGTCAGACGTTCGGCATGTGCGTATTACAGGACTTTGAAGCGATCACACCCAATCTCCTGGCGCGCACGATTGAGACAGTCGAGGGCGGTGGGCTCGTTGTGCTACTGCTCAAGACGATGAGCTCACTACGGCAGCTGTACACCATGACAATGGCGAGGAACTCAGATTTCCCAAATTTCTACTCGCCTAATTTTTTATTCTGCTAGGACGTACATGCTCGCTACAGAACATCTGCACATGACACAGTCGTCGCCCGTTTCAATGAACGATTTATCCTCTCCCTCGGCTCATGTGACGACTGTCTTGTCTTGGATGATGAATTGAGCGTCCTCCCGATCTCCCGAGGGAAGGACATCGTTCCCCTAGAAGAAGCGCGAGGGAAGAGCAAGGCAGAGTCTGAGCTCAAGGACTTGAAAGACAGCCTTGCAGACACGAAACCGGTTGGAGAGCTTGTCAAGCTGGCGAAGACTTTGGATCAGGCCCAGGCGATCCTCACTTTTGTGGACGCCATCGCAGAGAAGACACTATCGTCCACGGTGACGCTGACCGCTGCTCGGGGGCGAGGTAAGTCGGCGGCTCTGGGCTTGGCAATTGCTGCAGCGCTCGCGCACGGCTATTCGAACATCTTCGTGACCAGTCCCAGTCCCGAAAACTTGAAGACCTTGTTCGAGTTCGTCTTCAAGGGTATGGACGTGCTCGGGTACGAGGAGCATCTCGATTACGATATTGCACAGAGCACGAATCCTGATTTCAACAAAGCTATCGTGCGCGTCAACATCTTCCGGCAACATCGACAGACCATTCAGGTTCGTCCTTGCCTCCGCCTCTCCCGCACGAGGAGCTGACGGATTAACGCAGTACATCCAACCTCAAGATGCGCACGTTCTAGGTCAGGCAGAGCTTGTTATCATTGATGAAGCTGCTGCGATCCCGCTGCCTCTTGTGCGCAATCTCATCGGACCATACCTTGTCTTCATGGCCTCTACTATTAATGGGTACGAAGGCACCGGCCGATCACTCTCGCTCAAGCTCATCCAGCAGCTCCGTGAGAGCACCCGCCCCTCGCTTACCAAAGACACCGCCGCGGGCGAAGACGATGCAGCGGCAAGCTCGAGCTCCAAGAAGCCAATCGTCAAGGCACCGCCGAAAGCGCGTACACTGCGCGAGATCAAGCTCGAGACGCCGATTCGATATGCGGCCGGGGACACCGTCGAGAAGTGGCTCAACAGCCTTCTCTGCCTCGACGCGACGGTCGTGCCGCGCTCGAGCGCGCACAGCTGCCCGCACCCCGCACAGTGCGAGCTGTTCTACGTCTCGCGAGACACGTTGTTCAGCTATCACCCCGCGTCTGAGGTGTTCCTGCAGCGCATGATGGCGCTGTATGTCGCGAGTCACTACAAGAACCAGCCGAATGACCTACAACTACTCTCGGACGCGCCCGCGCACCACCTGTTTGTACTTCTCCCGCCCATCAAGGACGACGAAAGTACTCTCCCAGAGCCGCTTGTCGTACTCCAGGTGGCGCTCGAGGGGAACATCAGCAAGCAGGCAATTATGGATGGCTTGAACCGAGGTTTTCGTGCAGGCGGCGACATGATTCCCTGGCTAATCTCGCAGCAGTTCCAGGAGAACAAATTCGCACTGCTTTCTGGCGCACGCGTGGTGCGCATTGCGACACATCCGGACTATGCGAACGTGGGTTCATCTTCCTGACGGTAATCCTCTGATGTGTCCGCTGACTGTGGAGGCGACAGATGGGGTATGGGGCGCGTGCGCTGCAGGCTTTGAATTCCTTCTACAGTGGAGAATACTTCAACTTGGACGAGGTGTCAAAGCCGGAGCCCGCTTATCCTGATCCTGCCACTATTGACGAGGTACGTGGCCGCGCGTTGTATCAGCAAGGATGCGTCGTGACAGTCTCGTGTCGCCGCAGTCGACATCGCTGCTCACAGATAAGCCGACGATCCGCGCAGCCACGGCGATGCCACCACTGCTGCAGCGGCTCACGGAGCGTAAGCCGGAGACGCTCGATTACCTCGGTGTGTCGTACGGACTGACACCGCAGCTTCTGAGGTACGGCATCGCCGGCACGTTCACAGCATGTCCTTCCGTGCTGATCCCGTTGTAGGTTCTGGAAGAGGGCAGGTTATATTCCCTTGTACATCCGGCAGACGACGAGTGACCTGACGGGTGAGCACACGTGCGTGATGGTCCGGGGCTTGAACTCGTCTGTAGAGAGTGAGCTGGAGTGGATGGGGGAGTTTGCAAAAGACTTCCGCCGGCGCTTCCTGTCACTGCTGTCCTTCAAGTTCCGGGAGTTCGGCAGTGTCACGGCGTTGAGTATCCTCGAGGCTGCAAAAAACGGTCTGAAAAAACTGGACGCCGACCCGGCGAGAGGTAGGTCCACGTTCCCCTTAGATATATCGTGCAATGTTTACATGTTTCTGCTAGAGCTGGCCTCGTCCGAGATGTCATTTTTATTGTCCCCCTTCGATCTAAAACGTCTAGAGTCGTACGCCAACAACATGTTGGACTATCATGTCATCATGGACCTGCTGCCCACGGTTGCTTCGTTATATTTTGAGAAACGGGTGGGCGAAGGGGTGCATCTCAGCGCTGTGCAGAGCTCGATTCTTCTCGCGCTCGGTCTCCAGCGAAAAACGATAGAGGAAGTCGAGGTCAGTATTATTCACCCGCCGGGCCATGTCTCTTCCTCACGGGATTCCCTGTCGCAGACTGAGCTGCAGCTCCCGGTTTCGCAAGCGCTCGCGCTGTTCGTCAAGGTCATCAAGAAGATCACGAAGCGCCTGCTCGACATCCAGAAAACGGCGATCAGCGCCGATATTCCCGAGGAGCCACCAGCGGTATCGCGCATCGCTGTGGATGGCACACAGACGAGCTGGAAGCCCGTGGAGACGAGCCTCGAGGACGAGCTCGCGGAGGCGGGCGACGAGGCGACGCGCGCTCTCCGCGAGAAGCAGCGGGAGATGATCGACTCACTGGACCTGAGCAAGTGAGTGTTCACTGTCGTCCTCATCTCCCTTCTGCTCTGCGTGGCTGCTCAGGGTATTTGGCACTCTCATGGCTCATAGGGCGTCCCTTTCGTGACAGGTACGCGATTGACGACGCGTCGGCGAACTGGAGTATGGCGGAGGCGCAGGTGGCCAAGCTTACAGGCGGTGCGGCGGGCAAGTCGACCGTCGTGAGCGTGAAGAGCACTGTTGCAGCGGGACAGAAGCGGAAGGTGGAGGACGTTCCAGAGAAGGGCGGGAAAAGCGGGGAGAAAGACAGGAAGGGGTCGCGGCGGAGTATCAAGAGGGCGAAGCGGTAGGTTGTGGGTACTTTCCCCTGTCGTTCTATCCTACTGGTTATCCGTTTTTGAGTTGCATAGTCTGTTGTATCTTGTGCTGCATAATAGAACATACTACCTGTGTTCGATTTTATTCGTCCCGACCCCAGTTGCATACTGGAATTCCTCTGTCCGCAGGGCTCTAGTTAGTGCAAGAACACAGTTTTGCGAACAAGATTTTTCAGCATTGTCATTATTGGGGATATTAATGAGTGGAATCCAACTCATGCTCAGCATATTCTTCCTCCTAGTGGCTTCATCTTGGATGCTTGCACCCTGCAGGTGTGAGGCTTGTGCACGTGCAGAGCAGTTACGATCGTTGTCGCGGTTGAAGTCGACCCGTCAGGGGCGTAGCGAGAACGAGGATCGCTGAAGATGCGCGCACGTAGGGTATCTATCATCTGCTGGTTTGTGTCTCTGCAAGGCTGGAGCAGTATTGGATGGTGTACTAGAGGGATGGCTCTTCGGTCGACCTAACTTCTTTGAAGACTGGAGAGGAAAAGTGAATCAGTCGTACCAACTTCTAGATTGAGTGTTCTCCGATGATACCGAAAAGCAACAGATGCATAGTCAGATTCCAAAGGTCGGAACACTTCTGTGTCATTTGCTATATTGAACAGGTCTTCAGCCTGAATTTATGCCTCATGTGCCGGCAAGCCTCAAAGGGACTAACCTTTTTAACGCAATTGCTCCGGTGTGGTCAACTCACTGGATACCTGATTATATAGAGTGGCGTTGTCCTAAATTGGGCCAGGAGAAAGCTGTAGGTCACTCTGATTAGGATTACGGTCTGGCAGTACCAACTAATAGAAGCATACATTAGGTTTGTCCCATCTAATGTTTCTTAACGAGAGAAATGACCCAAGACATCTGTGATCACACTCGTGAACATAGAAGATGTGCTAGTCAACTATACTTGGCACTTGCGGTTCTCACCTTCGTGGGTTCATGCTGGTGTTATAACAACCTACGCACGACTACCTTCCTAGTCTGCTATGAGGCAACGGAACGATTCTTGATTTCGTTGCCTCATAGCATGCCAGCAAGGGACGCGTTTCGAAGCATATCATAAGATACACGCTTGATTTCTATTGAGAATACCATTCAACCTGATTAGGGATCTGAACAGAACTGACTGAATGATGTCTCACCTGCGATAGAGGTATCATGACGTCCTGCTGCTTTTCCTCTCGTCGGACGAAGTTGGGATGTAAGAATGAAATCACAAAGCGATCGAGCCTCTGGTGTACCTTGCCTGGTCGAAGGCGAAGTGCATGGCTCAGATCTCACGGAGGCGAGGAAAGGCCTCTCCGTACAAAAATTCTGTAAAGAGTTGTTGCTTATATGCTTACATATGGAAACGTACCGTATGTTTGTCCGTGACATTCATCGGTGAATCGCAGTGAAGAATGTTCTCCAGGGTCAAACAGTTGCATGTGGAGGATAAGTGAGCCTGCAGATTGCGCATACACGGAGATGTAACGGTGCCTGTATGAAGATCGTACCTCCGAGCTCATGTCAACATCCAGTCGTTTCTGCACCCTTGTTTCTGTCATTGTGTGCATGCTCGACTGCATGATCTGTGGCAGCCGTGTTCGGGAAAGATTTGAAAGTTTGTACTTCCAACTCGAACGTTGAGTGCTGGACATTAAGAGAGACGATAACATCAATCGATTATCGATGGATTCGATCGGCCAATTCGAACCGCGGTGGCCGAGGACTATCGTGTTCTCGATGCACGGTAGGTGGCCCACCTGAAGTGGGTATTGCCAGAGAATCTGGTGAATCCGCCGCCGTGGTACATACTGTTTCTCTTACATATGGTGCCCCATCTTGTGGTGCCGCGCGGTCCAGTCGGGTGCATCCTGTGAGAGCGGAGGAGTATCTATAGCAAACAACAGGTTGGAGAGAGGGAAGATTGATAGACCAGATGGGATGTGATTTTGAGGAAAGGCTGAGATCTGTGACGAGATAATCCGCTGTTTTCAGTTGACCATGAGAAGCAGGCTGACGTAGGGCCCTAGTGTCATTGATGCGGCGAAGTAGTCTGCAACGTGAGGCTCTTTCATAAGGCAAACAGGGTAAGGGAATAATACGTTGGGTCGATGGGAGATGCAGTTAGATAAAATATCATGATCAACTACCTGACAGCGAAGCAATATTGCTACATTCACAGAAAATTTTGAGGATCTCCGGATCTTGGGCTTTTGACACTCCTGTCGTCGAAGAGATCCTGCACACCTCCAAGACTGTGCGCATCTACCATGCATACTGCTGAGGGAAGGTATTGAAGCACCGATGGCACTTGAATCATATTCTGGCTTCGCCTTTAATGCTGTAGATGGAAAGAATATTTTGATAAGGTCATCTTGAATTCATTGGCATTTCTGAAGGTCTTGCAAACAACTTTAGTTTCGTTAACGGAGGAAAGCCCTAACAGATTTTCAGGACACGTTACAAGTTATTACTGCGTGTAGGGCACATACGCTGCCCTATCTTTGGAATGTGACTCACCGTCCTTGTGCATTAGTCTGCAATAGAAAACACCAGTGTTACAATCATAGGAGACATTAGTGCATACCTGAGGGTCCCCATCGCCATTGACTTAGGGATATTTGCTATCGGAAAACCGTATGAAGGTCACCGTGATAGCAATCGGTAGGCAAAGAACCTCCAGCAAGGGAATACTGATAGCGTACGCGCGTACCTATGAAATGGACAGAAGGAGACATCAGCATCGTAAACACCTGAAACCGTCCAGGGATATGTGACCCGGGTCAATTGCAGGATTTGAGCGACTCACGCATCGTGAGCGCACCGGGCCAAATTGGTCCATTTGTTGAGAACAGAATTGAGAATCGATGCAAGTTGAAGAATTGGATTTGTGGCCCATCTGGAAATTCAGGCCTCAGGCCTCAGGCTCCACGTAGAACGGAAACTGTTGCAGTGTGATAGCGCGACGTGCAGCATTTGTGCGATCACAAGATATTCGAGTTAGTTAGAAGTGACAGCGTGAATTTGGTCCAAACGCGAGCGACACTCAGGCTCAACTACCATGTGTGCCATATTACAGCGACACAACAAAGGCACAACAGCGGAAAGAAACCCATCAGGACATTCATTGCTATCAATACATGCTGAAAACCATCGCCGTGCACTCCCGGTATCTACAGGGGAGGTTCATAAACCGCCGCACATCAGTCGCGGCGCTATACGACATCCACACTGCCTTCCTTCTTCTCGTCGTCGATCTGCACGCTCGTGGGGCGCGAGCGGTACTCGGTGATGGAGCCGCTGTCTCCGCCCGCTGGGGGCACCTCCGTGCCCACCTCCATCTCCTTGTCCTCCCCGGCACCCTCCTCGAACGCCGCCTTGTACTTCTCAAAGTGCGAGCCGTGGTTCCTGCGGGCCTGTCAGTATCAGACGGTCCGTCTTCGAAAATGTAGAAAAAATACGCACTCGGGCCCGATGATCGTCCAGAAGACGACGAAAGCCGCGACGGTGCCGACGAGGATGCCCTGCACGGTCGCGATATTCGAGTTCGCTGTGACGTTCGTTCGTCAGTATGCGTCTATAATCCGTTCTGGAACACGGTACTCACTGGACTCAATCTGCGCTGAGGCGGAGGAAACCATCTGATTCACATTGTCAGATCTCGGTGAGATATGCTCTGAAAGCTTGGGGGATGAAGGGTCCACTCACATTGCCGATCTGGTACGCCACGCCCGGGAAAGTTGCGCGGAAGGCTGGTGGCGACAACTCTGACAGCTGGATGGGGACCTGGAGGGATGCACGACGTCAGCGCCTCCTTCAAAGTGTGCACACTGAGACGGAGGATGAAGGTACTGACCACGCCCCATGCGCCCTGCACGCCGACTTGGAGAAAGAACGCGCCGGCGGAGAGCGCCCCGAATGTTTTTGGGAGGATCCAGAGCGGGATGAATGCTACAGGTCAGATTCAGTCAGAGCCTGTCACTCGATCGTGCGCAAGGAATGGTTGTACCTCCAATGAGCACCGTGAAGAAGCTGGAGTGAAAGAGGTGAGGAGCGAGATGGAAGAGGTGAGTGCGTGGCTACTGACATGATGGTCAGCCTACGGCCGATGTATTGACTCATCCAACCGGCGATTACACCTCCGCTGGTAAGAAATTCAGATTAGGCTGACATGGACGAGGGGAAAGACACCCTTACGCAACAGCGCCCTATTAGATGGCCAGTCAGATAACACGAACATTGCATTTTTACGTTCGACACTCACGCAGTTTCCGATAATGGTAGCTATAGTAGCATCGTGCTGGCTGAAGTGTTTTACAGTCGTGAGGTACGTGGGGTATAAATCCTGGTGAAAACATCAGCACAAACGCCGTCAGAGTTAGAGTTGCACCATACTTGAGAACCATGAGAGAGGAAGTTGAATCCTGCAGACAAGCGATCGCATCAGTATTCAATACTTTAGCACACAGATCGAAACAAGAGGGACTCACCGGTCATCATTATAATGGCATAACAACACAACACCCAGTGGCGCTTGAGCATCTGTCCCGTGGACTTGATGAAGACCTTTGTCTTGTTCTTTGTGGTGTGTCCTTGGGCGAGCTCGTCGGCCTTGGCGCGCAAGAAGTACTCGCTCTCGGGGAGAAGCATGCGAAGAAATGCAGTAAACACCGATATGCCCGCGCCCGTCCAGAACAAGCTACGCCAACCCGCGTTCACCTCGGGAACGAGCTTGAGGTTCACGACAGCCGCAAGAAGGTAGCCAACCGCATACCCCTCCTGGAGGAAGCCGCTTGCGAGCCCACGCACCTCCACTGGCAGATTTTCGAGTGCGGTGGAGACGGAAAGCCCCCAGATGCCGCCCATAGCGACACCAAAGAGGGAGCGCACTGCGAGGAATTGGCGGAAGGTCTGGACGAAGCCCGAGCCGAGCTCGAAGGCTGCCGCGATGAGCAGGTTCACGACCAGGGGCCATTTGCGTCCGAAACGGTCAGACAGGATACCAAAGATGACCTGCAGTACTCTGCGTTAGCTTATGACTGCAAGAACTGCTTGAGTACACTCACAGCGCCCACAGAACGGAATAGCAGGGTGAGCGTAATGGACGTCGTCTAAAGATCGAAACACGATTAGCTTCCGGCACGCGCGCGATCTCAGCCACCAGACTTACAATGCGATGAGGAGTCCTGTCAAACTGTTTCGCGAGATTGCTCACGCTGAGGGATACACTGAAGAAGTCGAACGCATCGCAGGTCCATGCGAGCCATCTGCGGGGTGGGAATCAGAGTCTGCGGGGACGACGCGGGGGTGGGGTAATCAAATTGGCGCACCCAACTACGAATTGGGCCCATTGCATCCACGTGAGGCTTCGGAGAGCGGCGATGAGCGTGCCGCGGTCGACGGACCTCTCACGACGCGGGACGAGACCAACGGCGCGGCTGCGCAGGAATGCCCACAGCTTGTCCATGACGGGGGAGAAGAAGGGTAGAGACAGCAAACGCTGGAGTGCGCGCTATATATGTGCCCGTATGACTCTGTAGCCATCTTTCCCTGTCCGGTACCACGATCCGGGCTTTACTGATAGCGTGCCTGAGCGGAAACACCTTTCCTTTCGAATCTCTCTCCACCAGGCGTAAACGTTCCACCCCCCGCTTCAAGATGGAGCGCTGAGCGCCGGTAAAGCGCGTGTGGATCGACGCGCCAGAGCTCACCTCTCGGCCACGAATATTCTCGAGCCCTGGCTGGATGGTCGAGTAGCAGTAGTACAGGCTGCCAGCTGCACTGATCAAGAGTCTACCGTACGTTGATAACTTCTCCTGCTTTCCCCTCAGATCAACTGCAGCACCCTCTCTGCCCGACCTCGTCCTTATCCTCCGCAAACCGCCGCATCAGCTCCTACTCTGGACGATATATACCTTCCAGACAACGACTACAGAGGACATCCGCAAGTTCCGGGACCGTCTGCTGATCAAAACATTGGCAAAAATTGCATTCGATCTCGCGGGATCTAGCAGATCTAGACGTTCAACGGTAAGTACCCGTACCCCGTATCCGCCCCGCCCCATACGACATGTCCTCCGAGTCCGATTGCATTCCCTGAGCAACCGGGCCATAACTTATGCACACCTCTAGCTGATGCATGCGCCATATTGTTGTTCCATCAGTCGTGTCTGCGGGATATATCTGTTATGCGTCCAGGTCGAAATTTTCTTAGGATGTTGAGAGCACGTGTACTGGGGCAAGATCCCGATCGCGGAGTGCTGCACCGTCTCCTCGTCTTGCGGAGACCTCGCACAAGTACTCGGAGCGCGTGAAACCGGTATGTATCAAAACCTTGAGGTTGTGCGCACATAGAAGATTAAGCTGCAGAACAATCCAATGGCTCATGGTATCCGAAGCGCGAGCTTGCGCAGATCACACTGAATTGGCAGGCACCTGCGCTCGTTACTGCACAGGCACCAGCCAGAAAATATCAATATTTTTAATTCCATTTCCCATGAAAAGCTCTTGGCCACCACATGAGCACAATGAAAGTTGGCTGTGTCCGCACACTGGGTACACATAGTTAAATATACCCCATATAAAAAGGGGCAGCGAAGGTGTGGCATGTGGTCCAAGAGCAGATTATCAACGTTATTGATAGCAATAATTATGACGTAGAAGACTGGGGCGAGAATTCTCGGAGTGCCTAAATGATGTTTTAGATTGTAATGCAGAATGTAAGAGGGCGTACCGTTTCGCGCCCCGCCCCACCCACTCTGATTGCGGCGGCCTGACCATCGCATATCGAATGCACACAACTGGGCACTGTCCGGTGTGGGCTTGTCCGTAGCGCATAGCCACACCTGCACGCGTCTCGCCACGTCTAGCGGTCTCACTCTGATCTGGTACCGAACGGGTTAGTGCGGGATCAGCGTCTGGATATAGGACGTGTGCCAGGTTCCGTGAGCACTACATACCTGGCCGGGTGCACGATCGGTAGGTAGCCCCGCCCCCGCGACCCGCAAAGAGAGTCGAGGCGGCTCCGGATCGGACGCTCGTGCCGCCGGGTCGGCCAGCTTTCGATGAGCTTGGCGGCGAACTAGGGGAAAGCTCTTTGAGGAACTGGTAGACATAGGGAGGGTCTGGGCAGTCATAGGTCGGAGCCAGGGGCGGCGGACTCGGGCTTGGGACCTGTCATTCACCTCCAATACCACTCTTGAAAGGTCGGTGAACTCCCCTAGGCTTGGGCTGATCGACGCCATTTAGCAACCTAGTGATACTATACTCGAGTCATCGGACTCACCTCCTAGTATTCTTTTGTAAGGTCCCTTGGGTCAGTATACAATATACTCCCACGAGAGTCGTTATTCAATCGACAGACTGCAAAAGAATCCAGGGGCACGTTTCAGGCAGTATTCGGCCAAATGACCAATCTTTCAAACATGAACAGCTGTCGGAGATGGGAAGAACACTCGATTTCCTTCTGTTAAAAAGACAGCGCGACTGCGACGACATGGTGCTACACCATGGTCTTCCGAACCCTCTGCGATAGGATCGAGGGCCTTCTCCCACACGACAATGGGTTTGCTGCAAGAGACTGTGATTTACTGTAGGCAGAGTAGAGCTGTCGAGATATACGCTCTTTGATGAGAGGTCCGTCGAGAGAAATAGTGACCGCAGTTGCTACACGAAACGTCACGTCGCCACTAGTCACGCAGGGCGCGTCCCACAGTCACGAACCTCATTTTGGTTTGTTATTCGTGAAACCGCAAACATTTGAAACTGCTAGCACGCACCACCTATTTTAATAGGACCTGAAGAGAAATTAGCATTACACCGTTTGTGGTATTTTGGTAGCGGTTGTATACTACCAGCCTGAGTGTCGCGATTCGGGAGACCAGTTGAGAACAATTACACGCCGCGTGGTGCACGGTGTTGCGCCTTTATCGTGATGCAATTGCACCGCAGTACGTCAACGAAGCTTCCCGTCCGACGAAGCGTCGTCTCAGGCTGCACTCCCGTTTCAGTAGTGTACCCGCAGAGGCATGTGCGCGACCTCCCACGCAAATTCAATAAATGGCAATCATTTCTGTTCTAGAGATGTACACCTTAATCAAACATAATCGACAACACATATTAGCAGTCGTTCCTGGATTCATTCATGGCACCGCATCTTCCAGCGATCGTTTATCCATCAGGCTTTCGCGCTCGTCTGTGGATTCGTGTATTGGTCCCTTTAGTCCACAGCATCAAACCATGACCAAAGGAGAGCGCGTGTTCAAGTTCCACTTACTCCACGACACTTGGAACAAAATCCCAACCTTCTATCTCCTCCTTAGATGTAAGGTACGTCGGAACGGGCCTTTTGAGACGCTCCTCGGTTGACAAGGCGGCGAAATCGTGCGCCTTCGCCTTAGCAAAAGTATATAGGTCAGAGGGCTCGTTGAGAGGCTTGGCGATTTGGAACTCCTCCGACCACAGCATCTGCGAGTTGCAGAGCAGTAGTGAGCTGACAAGAACGATATGCGAAGAGCGAGAAACCTACGTAAATTGAGTCGTACACCCAGCTCCGTTTGTCCTGAACCAGCTTGTCTCGGTTTAAGAACTGGGCTTTAAGAAGTTGTCCCAGGATTCCCCACTCCATGTCTGTATCTCCTAGCTTCACCAAACACAGTAAATCTGGTCGATGTATCCACCTGAATGGGTCGATGAAGTCCTTCAGTACCTCGGGAGAGTCATCTCGAACTGGACGGGTTTTAAAATAATGTGTCTGCATGGTCTTCCGAGTCCGAGTCTGCTTGTCTGTGTGCATGATGTACAAGTCATAGTCACCTCTAGTATCTGAAGGCCCACAGAGTGCCATATAGATGCTGTATTCACGTGGAGCGGGATGAGCAGCCAGAGGATCCATCTTGAAGCCAGTATTGGGGGAAGACGAGGTGGTAGATGACATTCTGGCAAGGATGTAGAGATTGGACTAGCACAGGGAAGAAGGCGAAGGAGCACTAAGGCTTGGAGACCAAGAAGGGCTTACTTTATAGCGATTTCAGAACCCATGCACCGGGTCTCCGAGTCATGATGTTGTCCTATTATTGCATCATTGCTTTGTGCTTGCTTCTTCTGACCAGTTGCTGAATACGTCCAAAGCAACTGCCATGAGCCATCCATCATGCCACAGAAGATTCTCCTCGTGCTTCTCTCCTTCATCAAGTAAGCGGGAGACAGCCGTGATCCTGTCAGACAACACCGCAAAAACTTCATACTCAGCCCACCGTTGGAGCATTTTTGCCAGAAAGCTCCTCGTTGAGCGCCACTCGAGAAAAAAGTCCCTACCGAACATGCATGGTGGCCCTTGATCACCCACTGCGTTGTGATTCTCGAGGGAGCACTCACCTACGCAAAGAGCTTGCATGTCTCCTGAGAATGTCATTCTCCAAGTCCATGTCCGGCAAAAGGACAGGAACCGCCCCAGCTGCGAGTTTTTGGGCATGTCCTGTTCTTTCACTTGCGCACCCCGTCCCCGAATGTAATACCACTGGTATGTGGTCAGCAGGCACACACATTGCAAGACTCAAAACTGGCATGAGAAAGAAGTGAACAGTGTGGCAATGCACAGGATTATGCCAACCGAACACGCAGCGCACAGCTTCAAGCTACAGTCCGACGCGCGATATGATGTGCGTATCACATCCCTGCATTTTTGTCCACATTGGTGTTCTCAGAAGGAAGAATCTACACAGAACACAGACGGATTAAATTGCGGTCGCTGGAAAAATCTGAGGAGCACGATGATAGAATCATCGCTACAAACTTGGTCTCCTCTCATTCTGTATGGTCTTATGTTCACTTGTGTGGAGGCAACCGCTGTCATCGCCACCAGATTCATCCAATAAGCAGACCCAGAGAGGGTGCATCATTCAGAATTCGAATGAACGGCACTCACCTTCCGAGCGCCCATCAAAACGCTCGAATCCCTTCTGGAAATATACATTCATCTATCCTGAAATGGCAAATTGTTGAGAGTGGATTAGAACGCGTCTCGATGGAAGAACAATGCCTTTTCGTAAAAGCTTTTGCGCAGCTGCAAACGGGGGGTGCACGCAAACTCGGCTCCTATATTTTCCGAGCCTTATGCTTATGGAAACGCCGTATCCTCTTCGCCATTGTCTGGGTTAAAAGCAGAGAGACCGTTTTGTTGTAAGAAGGTCAATATGTTCACGTTGCGTTGGGGAAACCTGAACCGGCAACTTCCGCAACGCAACCGACTTCTCGACAAGCCTGCAAAAACTTGGATGTTGAGGCCTAAGACGGGTATAAGGGCCGGAATTATACTCATAGTCTCTGGAATGTTTCCTTGAAACACACCTCAAGCTGTACCAAGCTGTCTCATTCATCTTTCTCGTGATAGAAACACCACTCGCCGAGGAATTCCGTCGGGCGGCACTGCTTGAGGGGGATTCTGGATATCACAGCCTCTGAGCCTCTGGAAGAAGTGGCACCACATCATACTGCACTAGACGTACAAGTCTCTTAGTGGTTATCTCCAACGTCCAAACTTGAAGATTCGAAGTCTTGTCATGCTAATATCTTGTCCGACGACAAATGTCGCGATAGGAATGTGGTGGGTCCTATCCGAGGTCTGTTACACTAGCATCAGTGACCCTGCCATCGAGGAAGTCCGGCTACGTCATACCCATATGTGAATTTGGGAGTTTGCTCACCAATCGCTGTTCACTGCGTAGACAGAACGGGATCTGAGTCCTTACCAGAAAATGTCAGCAGTGCAAAAAGATCGGCACAGCTTGATCTTATACACACCGATCATTTCTGGTAGGCTTGCAGCGGTATGCATCCTCCTTCGAGTCTGGCACCACCACCAAGTTCGCAGTCGACTAGGAGACACGAGACGTCACGCTCACGCGATTGACACGCGTGACGGCGTTACCCCTATGGTCGCGGACCGACTGCCGGTCCGAATATATACACTCCGAGCGAGTCCTTGCACTTCCTCGATAACTCTCTGTACATGTCCTCTGTCTCTTCTTGGGCACTTCAAGAAGACATCTAGGCCCTGTATAAATACTGAAAAGGAGTTTACTTCGCTGCCACACCTGGACATTAGTAAAAAAACACTGGCATCAAGACATCCTCATGGCTCTACCACTCCCCACATCACAATCACTTCGCCTTCGTGCTCACGTCGCCTCCCTTGTAGGCACACTACGACTCACGCGACTACGTGTGTCTGTCGTTGAACTCAAAGCCCATCGCATTCCAACGTTGTGGTCGCTCTACAGGAGTTTACTGAGAGATTCTCCCACAGAGGATATACGGTGCGAATACCAACTGTCTATATCGATGTCGTTCACTCAAGCGACATGAAGTCAGATGCGAGATTAGAGCGGCTTTCCGCAAGAACAAGAGCTTGAGAAAGGCTGCGCATGTGAGGGATGCCCTGGCACAAGGACACAAGGTGCGTTATCGTATACTCTCTGTGTTAACGAGAGATATAATGTTTTTGAAGTGGGCCGAAACTTTCGCGAAAGCAAAGCATGGGGATGTGCGGCTCCAGGCGGTGCTTCAGAGGTACGGCCGAATATTAGCTGTCAGGAATGAAAAGGAAAATTGGGTCAGGATCGTCCGCCAAGAAGTCGTGAGTGTTACATATACGATTCTTCTGCATCTGTTCACTTTTTCATCAGGCGTGGAGGAATAAGATGAAGAACCGACCCATCATGACGGGTTCGTACCTTCGGCCAACATTTTATAACCCGCCACTACCACGACTGCACCCCCAACCTATTCATATCAGCGGTATGATCAACAGTCGGCGGAGAGCTCGCGAAAAACGTTCTCAGAAGATTTCCGAGTTGCTGGATTGGCAGAACGATATACAGAACGAGGTCAGATTCGAGCAGGACCTTTTAACCAAAGCCACAAAAGAAGGCGTGAGGTTCAAGCCAGTATACTATCAGAAGCCTCAGGAATGGGGTGCGCTCTGCGCTAGTGATCTGATGTTCTGTCCCAACTCACACTCCACTCGCGCATTTGCAGAATTGTATCTGAATAAACACTTAAGCACCTTGCATGACGCTTTTGAGCGTGACGATGCTCGTGCCGCCACACCATACCCACCAGAAATGCTGGAACGTATCAAGGAGGCACGACGCGAGAAAATACGGAACAAGACCCGCGAGCTTGAGCGCGAGCGGCGGGGCGTAGTGACGAAGAGAGCGATGGAGCGGCGGCGCCGTGGACCTCCAGCGCATGTGCTCGCGAACATGACGCCAGAGCAGAGACGCAAGGACGCTATCGCGCGAAGTCTCAGCCAGGTGGGATATATTGCGCAAGTAAAGAGGGAGCTAGGCATGAAGTTCAAGAACCCGGACGCGTGGAAGGTCGAGGTTGGATCTTCTAACGACCAGGAAAGACTGGATGAGGCGGAACGACAGATTGGTGCGGAGAACGAGCGTCGAAGGCAGCATTCTGAGTCGGAGTGGGACAGATAGGTATCGTAGACTTGGATCTGTACATGTTTTACCACCGTAAGAAGTCCGCGATCTAATTTTTGTCTTCGTGCCTGTTCATCGCTATCAATGTCCCACTTCCATGATTAATGTCATCTGTAGCCTTTGTGCCAATATTGATGCTCTAAAGACTACTCCTTGCAATAATGAGAAAATGAATAGGATTAGCTGACTAGAAGCGCCACAAAGGTAGGTGTCACGTGCGACACGTCACTGTACTCGTTTCGAGCGTCTGGGGCATCTCCAAGTCTCACAACGTCTCTCTCACTACCGGTCCTACACTTCACCGAGCTAGTTGAGTTGAGCCCACGGAAAGGAACGACGTGCAGGCAACATGCCAGCCAAGGGCCTTTTCAGCTCGCTAAAGGGCATCGATGCCTTTGGCAAGGTCAGTCTGCCATCACTTCTAGTGGTTCACGGAAACTTGACAATGCCTGCAGACCACGGAGGATGTGAAGGTCAAGACACGCACGGGCGCACTCTGTGAGTATGGGTTGATATTTTGTGCTAGTGCAGTTCTCACCCGAAGCAACAGTGACCCTTGTATCAGCTGCGATCATCCTATCCTTTACAATGATCGAGTTCTTTGACTACCGCAGGGTGATTGTCGATACATCCATCGTAGTGGATCGAAGTAGGGGCGAGCGATTAACAGTAAATATGAATGTCAGCTTTCCGAGGGTACCATGTTACCGTGAGTCCACACGGACGATGTCCCGCGCGTATACGTTGATGCCCCGCAGTGCTCAGCCTTGACGTAATGGATGTCAGCGGTGATCTGCAGACTGACATCTCGCACAATATTCTCAAGACGCGACTGACATCCGCGGGCGTACCCGTGCCGAACGCCCAGAGCAGCGAGCTCCGCAACGACATCGATAAGATGAACGAGCAGCGCGGCGCAGACTACTGCGGCTCGTGTTACGGCGGTACACCGCCCGAAAACGGATGCTGTAACTCGTGTGATGATGTGCGCAAGGCGTACACCGACCGAGGATGGAGCTTCAACCGTCCGGACTCAATTGAGCAGGTGCGTGGTGTCTTCTTACGGCTCGGATACTTGTGCACGTTATTTACTACGCATGGTATTAAGTGTGTAAACGAAGGCTGGTCGGACAAGCTGAAAGAGCAGGCGAGCGAGGGTTGCAACATCTCCGGGCGCGTCCGCGTGAATAAGGTCGTCGGGAACATCCACCTCTCGCCGGGGCGCTCGTTCCGCGCGTCGAACAACGACATCTACGACCTCGTGCCGTACCTCCGCGATGATGGGAACCGGCACGACTTCAGTCACACGATCCACAAGCTCGCGTTCGAGGGTGATGAGGAAAGCGATGTGTTCAAGGCGAAGCCCGGCCGGGAGATGAGGCGCCGGATGGGCATCACCGAGAATCCACTGGACGGAGCCATTGCAAGGGTATGTGCACTGCCTTTTGTGGTTTCACGTGCGCTGAGAATTATTTCTGTGTAGACGTCGAAGCAGGCATACGCATTCCAGTACTTCTTGAAGGTGGTGTCGACAAAATTCTACACGCTGGATGGGAAATCTGTGAGTGATCAAGTGTCGCCTTTACTTGCGCTTACGCAGAGCTTCTCGGCAGTTAAACACGAACCAGTACAGTTCCACTCAATTTGAACGGGACCTTTCTAAGGGACGACGAGAAGAAAACAATGACGGCGTCCATGTTTCACATTCGACTCCCGGAGTTCCCGGTAAGTGTGCTTCATTAAAGTTGCTTCCGTTACCGGACCGGACTGATGGTCGTCGAAAGGCGCATTCTTCAATTACGATGTGTCCCCCATCCTGATTGTGCACACCGAGACACGGCAATCCTTTGCACACTTCCTCACATCGTATGCTGATTTCGTTCTCGCATCCTTACTTCGGACTATTATGCTTACGGGTGTTTTGCTCTCAGGACATGCGCCATCGTAGGTGGTGTACTGACCGTTGCCGCGCTGATCGACAGCATGCTCTTTGCCGCAAGCAGATCGCTTAAGAGACATGCTGGCAGTGTCCCCTCAAGTCTTGCATACGCGAATGGCAAGCTCATGTAGAACAGTGGACCCACTTTTTGTATTCATACAATATCTTTGCTACGCATTTTATTGGGTTTGTGCTAAATTGTTACAAGGTGCCGACAAAGTGGTTCAATATCGTGAACTTCCTACTTCTTGCCGCAGACCGCGCATGACGCTCGATGTGTGTTTATTTATGGTGCACTTGTTGACACTGCGTCTGGGATCCACCGACGACCTCCGAGCCAAACCCCATGCAGCAGAGTCACGCGTGAGTGCTCGTCCAACAGCAACTCCTGCGCCATCCTTGTTCTTCAAACCCACCTCCTCCCACACCACACCGAATCTCGCGGTCTGTCGTCGGCGCCATACGGCCTCGCTCCAGGCCTCTCACTGCGAGCGTCGCAATGCGCGTACAAATTGATAAATACAACGACCCTCCGGTTCTGTGCAGCGTCCGCCAGCTCAATCAGTGTTTCCCTGTTGGTATTGGGCTACCGTGGACTCACTGGAGTTCGGGTCGCTCGCCTCCACCATTCAATACTGCCTCAAGACCTATCTGGCATGACTCATCCTGGAATTACCATGCGTGGTTTGCGCGCAGCGCACCTGCAGGAGACCACGAGGGAACAGCACCACGGAGCAATGCTGTAATACATATGTCGAAAGTTCGGGGTGTGCAATATAGTGATAAATAGGCTTAGGTCGGCACTCAATCACGTCTGGACGTGTAATATCTTAGCTCTGGGATAACATGCAACATCCCACAGTACTCACAGTCACGCGGGCCATTAAGCCCACAAAGTCAGCTTCCTGAGCTCCACTATACCCTGCTCAGTGGGCTTAGCGACAAACAGAGCGCCTAGACGGGTAGCTAAACACGCTGGGTCAACGTGTGCACACTTATAGCTTTGGAATAGTGGACTCAACCTGATTTGACGCCCGTCTCTGTGCACGGTGTTGTCGTTAGCCCCACAGCAGTGAGTGCGGACATCACCTGCCCGTAAGTCCCCCGGAAGAGCGCGCCGGAGTGATCTCCGTACGCAACGTCGAGTGACTGGATGGTGCTGCGGGAGAGCCGTCCAGACGGAATTTGGTCTATCGATTTGTAGACGTCTGCGGCAGGAGAGGAGTCCATGCCCGCCGCGACGACCGCCTTAGCTATTCTATGTTTCAGCCGAAGGAGACGACCGTCGGACAGCTTGTGCGGCTGGTGAGGCTTATGGGACGCGAACTGAATGTACAGGCCGTCCCCCTCCGGGTTCGCAAGCGTTTCGGTGGACGCTGCTGTCAACGTCGTGGACGACGGATAGGGGTGGAGCGAAGGAGAAGCCGACCGCAGGTCAGAGCGCGAGCCGGCGCGGAAGGCGACATCTGAGAATTCGACGAGGTAGGGAACGCCGTAGGAGTTGAATTTGAGCTGAGGAGGCATTCTGAGACTCAACAAGCAAAGGGACCAATACCAGATTGGAAGTGGAGAAAGACGAAGGTGAGACACAGTTTGCGAAACGACTTGATTGAGCTCGGTATTTGAGTCGTAGATGTGAGCGCTGTCCTCGCGGCGAACATGTTGCAAATGCGTTCTAGACTGAACAGCATAGTGAGACATCCACAGGACAGACAACTCCAGCTCGGCGGACCGATTGAAGACAACACATATACAGACATGACCAAGAGAGACCAGCCAGCAGGAAGATGACCGCGTCGGTAAGGCATGAGGTCAGGCGTAGGAATCCTTACAATTGCCACATTGCAATCCTATTCGCGCATCGAGCGTGCACCGCACATGTACAGAGGGCCCCAAAACGCACTAGATCATGTGTGTTGGTGCGTGTTGGAAGCACAGCCTCGTTATCGAGAAAGCCAGTGAACGGCGAGGACACCCATGTTGAAGCTTTTGCTACTAGCACGTTGTCAAAGTTAGATTGACCATAATATCGCCCTTCCCATTGAAAGGCAGTCAGGAAAACGTGTCATAAAGCCAGAAGTCGCGCACCAGAATTCCAGATCAGCGGAATATGTGTTCCACATTAGACGACGGTGCCCAAATGGCACTGGTGCGTCGTTAAGTGACGTTAGACATCGTGAGCCCGCATGGACGGCAAAGACGAGGTTCTCCATGAATGCATGACCACTCACAGCAGCTTACTAGTTGAAGCTATATCCCGACACAAGACGAATAGCTATTAAGCAACTGAAACTCAGCCCAAATCTGAAGCTTAAGTGCTCACAAGTCACAAGGAACATGATCGTCAGGATATGCTGCAGGATAAATTCTATGGCTAGGAGCCTGGGGGAGAAGTGAGAGAATTGAAGACGGACATGCAAACTTATTGTCTGACTCACGAACGAATTACGGAGAAGAGCAGGATCTCATGTCTTGACTGGGATTGAGCTATAGTAATCTATAATGATAATGATACAAGAGATGGTAGTGCAGAGACCGAGATGTCCAACGGTAGAACGAACATAGATGAGGTCGGGATCTACTCTCGTTGCCGAGATTCTCTGTATTGGACGTGAATTTTGAATCGTAACAGCAAGGAAAATGACGTAGGGATCGATGATATTGTATGAGTATGCTGACGAATCAAACACATATGTGACGAAGTCCCAACATAAGAAGTCACGGAACGTTCGACTGGGAAATGTCCATGGCAGCACCAATGGAGAAGTCACTACTCTGAGCGAAGACGTCATCGACATTGCTGCAGAAAAAGATGAGACTGGCTCTGTGAATGATACCTGACTTCATACTCACGAAACGTTCACCGCCTGCAGGTAGTATTCAACCCTGAAGTTCACCACGCATAACTTCAGTAAACGAAGGCTTCGGAGAAGCGTGGAAACATACCCAACATGGACAGAGGGAAGCAAGATCGTTAGGGTGCCCAGCGAAACATCCACGTTGTCGGCAATACTGAGCGCGTTACGGAAGAGACGAGTGTTGTCCAGCTCAAGCGAAAAACATACTGGATCTAAGGGGTCCATTGTCCAGGAAATCTGGACTTCAGAGGCGATATCCCAACCGGTCTGTGTCTAGAGGGTGAGAGCAGACAGCAGTGGGAGAAGGGAGCGACAGCGCTGAGGGTGATCAAACTCAGTCGCGGCCAACACACGGCGAGATAGTGCTCGTCCGTGGAGTCTTGGTGGTGTCAAACAAAATCATTACTGACAGTCGTGAAATGGAGATCGTGATCGTACTGTCTTCAGGTCCGTTGCTTTCTTCACTTGTGATGCCCTCGGCCCAACAACTCGCTCAACTTCCCCGCAGCCACCCCTGCTCTCAGCCCATCCCCACTTTCCGAATGCCCAACGCCCCCGCCCTTGCCCAAGACCAAGGAGAACCGTCGCCCCTGGCCCTCGCCCACCATGTTCGGGCGTGCTGTCACCGGACTGGTGTGCAGCGCCACGGCAGGTAGCGAAAAGCGCTTGTGACGTCGCGCGGTGTTCTCTCTGCGCGGGGTGGAAGGCACACTGACCCCCGCGTCGCTGAAAGATCCCACAAAACCGCTTTGGGAGTCATCCATCAGGTCCTCGTCCCTCTCATCGATGACGAGCTCCTCGTCCTCGGGGGGTCGGGAGTACGAGCGAGATGCGTTGAAGCTGTTTGAAGGGGAACCGCCGTGCCCATGTTCTTGGAAGTCCTCCAGGATCTGGATGTAGCTCCTCGGGCGCGAAGCGGGCTTCACTCTGATTGCAGGAACCGAAGGCCCGTCCGCCTGATCTGCCATGACTGCCTCATCGTCGATGCGGGACAGCACCCTCTTCGGACTTTCCAGGCTCATGGACATCAACGCGGAGCGGCTGTCAGACATCACGAGGGACGGCATCGACTGCAAACCGGACAGAGTAAGATGGGAGTGCGTCGCTCCGGTGGAAGCTGTCATTGTAGAGCGTGGTGAAGGTTCAAGCAACGGGAAGACAGTGTCATAGCAGGCGGCGCATGCGCGAGCGGCTTTGTGCGACTCGTTGTCGTTCGTCTCCAAAATGAAGAACGTCTAGCCAGGCATTAGTCAGAGATCTTGCACTGTAGAGAGAAGCTCACCTTGCCAGAGCAACCGCTGCAGACGCATCTGCCGCACAAACGGCAGTGATGCCGACGTCTTCGCCAACCGAAGGTCCGTCCACATCGCATACAGCTTTGCGTCTTCCCGTCCGGTATCCAGATTGCCGGTACGAAGTGCTCCACCTTCCCCCTCTTCGGCTTTGCCGCGTTCTCATCCGGAGAGTACGGTAACGCCTGTAGAATACGTCGAAGATGGTTTGTCGAGGATGAAGATGTCAAGGTCGAGTTCGAGTTCATCACATTGAGGGATATAAATAAGGAGGATTTGGCGTTCCTGATGGCTGCAGTCCATTCATCCCGCTCTTCTTCGCTCCCTTGGTGTGCGACGCATCAGCTACTTGGATGATTGTATCACCAATACGTACGGACCTGCATAGATAGCAAACGAGTGCTGAGGGCTCAGAACCTCGAACCTCCTCTCGTCACCCAACTCTCGCGGTGGGCTGACCACATCTAGGTCCACCAAGTCTACGTGACCCTTATACACCCACTTCTCTTCTGTGCCACTGCTAGCATGTCGCGTCTTCTTTTTAGGACTCCCGCTTATCATGAACTTTAGCAAGGATTCCTTGCGCTTGATTGCCTCCGCTGCCAGCGGCACATCAGCGTCACTCTTGCTTCGCGTGCGCACCATCTGGGGCCTGCGGCTCGGACCACTCTCCCACTTGTCCGAGGGAGAATCTCCGTCCGCACTGGAAAGCCAAATGAGGCAGTCGGAAAACAAAAGAAACTCACGCTCCTTGGGCGTGGAGCCTTCGAGTTGCAATAGTGGCGCACGTTTGAGGAATGAACGTCCGGGCGTGATCAGTCGGAAGGGAAGATTGGCAGCGTGTCGCTGAAGGGCGAGGAGGGAAAGTGTCTGCGCGTGTGTATGGATTGAGGAGTTTAGAGAGGACGTGACTGAATACGAGAAGGCGTGAGTGCGTAAGGACCGCAGTATCGTTATGCATGTGAACATGCTCACTCTTCGAAACCAGCTTGTGAACTGCGATGAGCGAAGCATGTTCCGGATCCTCCGTATCCGTGCAATCAATCAAATCCTTGAGGAGTAACACATACCGTGGGCACCTTTGCACGATAGTCAGCATCCAGTCTCTGAGCTTCAGCCTGCCACAGCGAGGATCGGCTTCTTGTTGAGCAATAAAATGAGCGAAGGGCTGATTAGTTGACAACAGCGTCGCATACGAGGATAGTGCATCCGGAAACGATGCGACGAAGGGTGTGTAGAGGGAGAGGTAAGGAAAGTGCGGGAGCAGAATTGGAGACAGAGGGGGCAGTAAGTCTTGTGGAGACGTTGATGTGGATGTGTCGAGGAAGGTCATCAGAGACGAGTAGAATGAGCGATGTAGATTCCATATGTCGATGAAATTGGAGAATACAGATGTGAGTTCGGCACGGTCAAGCAGCGGTTGCGGGGTATCCAACGATGAAATTATGGGCGTCAAGAAATGCTGAGGTGCGATTTTGTCATGCGCAGGACGAGGAGGGAGTTTATATCACATACCGAATATATAAGTTCCAGTCCCCCAACGTAAGACTTCTCCGTCTCGTAAAATTCGTTTATAACTTTCCTGCGCTTAGCCTCTCTCTGCTCGTCCACAGGTCGCAGAAGACTCTTACGGGCACCTCTTCGTGCTATGTCTATCGAAGAGGGACGATGCCTAGCTCCCCTCACAGGACTCCTGCTGACCGGCGGAGCTGCCGCAGGCATGGACGGACCTTCCTCAATCAATGACTCAAACGAAACGGTGCTGACCACAGATTGGCGATGCGCCAAATTTGGGGCCGATGGAAGGGAGATGCGGCGGAAAGGGAGGTGCTGGGGACGCTGGTAACGAATGTCGGAGGAACTCACGGGAAGGTGAGAGTCGGAAGAGGGAAAGTCGACCATTGCGGTCGCGCCAGAGTCTGTGTATGCAGTCAGAGCGAACACCCCGAACGCAGTCCATGCGCTGAAACAACGCAGAACTTACCTACTAACGGCATGGGAAGGTGGTCGACCAAGACGCGTTTGCGCCCGCCAGCCTCAGCCACTCCACCCGTTGTAACCAAATCAGGCAACTATCGTGGTTCAACTGTTGCGGCAACATGAAGGGATGAGACGCAAAGCACGCAGTTGTGGTATAGAGAACGTGCAGATGGTCAGAAAATTGAGACAGCATATTAATAGCCTTTGACATTAGATTGACCAGGTACATATACTAGTATGCTCGCGTACTACAAACATCAATATGCTACGCTTGAAAACCCGATGAGCTGCACAGCTATTGATGGAGCGGATTGGCAGTCGCGGCAGACCCACACCTTGGCCGTGATATAGTGAGGCCAAAGAGGTCGATTGCATCAGAGACTTTGCAAAGATCTGTTTCTGCACGAATTTGAAGTCGTTAACGTTCAGTGCCGACCCGGGGAAAGATAAGGCCCAGACTCGGAGAATTCCGCATCTAATCTACTGTAATCGCTACTCCTCGAGTCGTGACTCAACTGCATGCGACCTTGAAATTGACCAAGCCTGCCTCGTATTCTTACTGCTGCTAATTCAAATCAGTTTATTCAGTATGCCGGAAAATCGGAATGCGTCCTGTATGATCGAAGTCTGTGTTGACTCTGTTGAATCAGCGGTCGCGTTCGTCATATCTCATCCTTCGTGACCATCTCGTCCCTAGTTCTGAGGCTAACAGAGTGTGTCAAGAGCTATCCGAGGCAGTGCTGACCGCCTTGAGGTTTGTAGTAACCTCGGGCTTGGTGGAGGGACAAGTCCTAGTTTGGGTCTGTTCAAGGCCATTAAGGCAGCTGTCCCAGATGTTCCTATCATGGTACAGTCCGAGTCGTTCATCGGTTTACTCCGAACCTCATGAACAATCCAGACAATGGTCCGACCTAGAACAGGGGACTTTCTGTACTCACAAGCTGAATTTGATGTCATGGTGGAAGACATCCGCGTTTTCAAGGAGTTTGGTGCGGATGGCGTCGTGTTCGGTATTCTGACTCTAGATGGGAGGATAGATATTGAGCGTACCGCGCTGTGAGACATTTCACGGGAGAAAACTTGACGTACGCCTTATGCGGGCTTTCGTTGTGCTCGTAGACTTGTTGACGAAGCGTTTCCTATGCAAGGTGTGTACATTATCTTGTTCACCGAATTATGTTCCACTGCGCTCATGATTCTGGCGTTTCAGTGTGTTTCCACAGGGCATTTGACATGACAAGAGACCCTGTTGAAGGTCGATCCACCTGTACCAGTTCACTTGTTGACCGCTCATCTTGAACATCAGCCTTGTTTGACATATCCACCATACCCCATATCACTCGCATTCTGACCAGGTAACAAATACAGTGCCGCGCACATACGTTATCGCTGATATTCTCACCGAATCTTAGTGGCCATGGTCCAACGGCGCCTTCCGGCCTTTCAGTTCTGCAGACACTTCTGACCAAGGCTTCTGGCGACGGAGCTGGGATGCCGACAATTCTCGCTGGCTCTGGCATCAATGTGTCTACTGTCCGCTTGCTCCTTGATACCCTCCTTCCTTGTGGCTTAAGCGAAATTCATCTGAGCGCGGGCATGTGGATACCCAGCAAAATGAAACACAAGCCACTTGGAATGGGCATGGGAGTTGGGGAAGGCGAATGGGGTGTGTGGCGGACGAGCGAGGAGCGCGTGAGTGAAGTGAGGAGTGTTGTGGACGTGGCGTGGAACGACTACTTAGATCTGCACTATCGATGAAGAAGGGTTGCCGCATGTATGTGACATCATATCCATCTCCCTAGCTGTAGCAGCACGTACGTAGCTCTCGTCACAGAGACGAGTAGGTGAATTTTAACGTCTCACTTCGGCGTGCCAGATCATGGTGAATGCTACAACCTGCCACTCTACCATGTCACTAGATCTTATCAGCGTCTTCTAAACAATCCTAGCTCAGTAATGAACTTTTGGGAATCATAGATATTGACCGATGGGGTGCCTCCGATTGATCTTGGACGTCCATGTCTCACACCGTGTGTGGGAGTTTTTACCTCGTAAAGAACTGTGTAGAGTGGTTCGGCCCGCGTTGTACGCCTTGTAGTCTTGTAGAAAGTTGTACTGCGAGTTCATCGTAGATGGCTCATTGGTTTGCTGAGTACACCCTGAGACTCCAAGATATTTCCTTCCTCTGGATATTGTCTACTCTCTTTTAGGCACCTCCAACTCTCGTTGCACACCCAGAAAGACCGTGAAGCAAGATCGAGGCAGTGAGATGGTCGTTCTTGAACACCTTCCGAAACCGGATATCACTAGTGTTGTGCACTGATCGTAGATTACACGCCGTCCATCTGAGCGCATATAGTCACTGTACTCACTAATGAGACTCTTTCCGGTCCTTCTTCCATATCGACCGTAGCTGGCTGCATCTCTCTCGTACGTCAGAAAGGTCAAGAAGACCACTGAGAAAAGACAGGGACTGCCGAGGCCTGACTTCGTTCTTCAAGCTCGTCCTTTACTTCGCATAGGTTCCCTTTCGTGAAGGCTTGACACTCCACGTAGTGGTAACTGTACTGTTTTACTTCACCGTCTCCTCATGGCTGAACAAGATAAACTGTTTGTGCTTGTGAATCCCACTGCAGAGATTTTCACTGTCCTTCTCGCAAGCCGGCGCCTTATCATTCTCATTTTTCGACCGAAGATAATCCACATAGGAGGATGAAGTATCACGTTTTCTCGTAGTGATAAGACCAGCCATGGACGCAAGCAGTATATGCACCACCAGAATGACCCCCTGGGCGACGTGAAGGAGTCCAAGACCATTCATTGTGTAGAGGAATGAAGTATGCACGTGGGGATTGTAATCCGACCTGCCCCACGTATCAATGTCCCTCGGGTGGACACTGTAGTGGTCTACTTTCAAGGTGAGATGTCCGTATTCACCACGTCACTCAGACTATTCACTCACGTGTTCATAGGCGAGAACGGAATACCGTGCATCGTATAGCCGCTCTTGACCCGTGTTCTCGGAGCCGCAATGCGGTTGGGACTCCCCAAAACTCCCAATGTCGCCGTTGTGGATATTGGATCCAGACGTATCTACGTACTCCTCTCGGATACGCACAGGGTAATTGGCTGAACCATCACTCGCGGTTTCTGGCATGCGTTCGTCAGCGCTTTCCCGCCTTGGCGCCCTGTTCTATAGGGGAACTCACTGGATGCTACAATCATGTTGTACCTCGCATCTTTCCAGAGCGGTGCCGTTCATCACCCTAATGCCAAAGATGTGATCCTGGAGAACCCCTCGTCTTCGATCCCAGGGATGGTGACGGCGACCCATAGTAAGCGCTGGCTACCCCATCACCAACTACGCCTGCTTGCTTTACAAGTGAAAATGGGATGCCGCCGCCGCCGTGCGGACCGCGTGGCTCATACCCGCATATGCGGTTGTTGGGAAAGAGACTCTTGCTACTCAGTTTGAAGGATGGAGTCTATGTCGACGTCGATGGACACCAGGGAACTAGCTATGGCACAAGCTCTTCCGGTGGCGAAGATTGACCTGGGTAGTGGCTTAGGGCACCGTGGACGACTTAAAACGATATCTATCCATACCTTGATGGTCTGCGAACGATGGACTTACGACGATGTTTATTGACCTTGGGGCCACAGTCCTTCGTGTTTTCGAGGAATTTCTTGGCGACTCTGTAGTCTGAAAAGCAATGACAAGTTTCTGTTAACTTGGTGCGTTTCCCCCATGGTTTGTTTCGACTCACCCTGCGGTGGAGTTTTATTACTAGAGTACTTGAACTTCCCAGCTGCTAATCCGTCTCCGAAAAGTATGCCTCAACGTTGGATTCTGGTTCTAATTGCTTCCGTGATTTGTCCGGTATGTGCTCTGATTTGGGTGTGCAAGATGATGGGCACTGAAATTTAGGTTCACCCTAGATCCGAACGGACCCTGCGGGACTGCCATTGGATTGGTGGGAAATTCATGGGCTGAAAGGAAGGTCCGTGCTTCGATTGACCGCAACAATGCAATCCCAGGGATCAATTGGCGCCCACGCTTTAATTGGTAGTTCCCTTTGTCCCGGTATATCGCAGGCCAAACTCTGGTGGCTGCAGCTTGGCCGTGGTGCTGACATAAGACGTTGGTATAAAACACGCGAACCAAAGCGTTGCACAGCCCGACTCTCGTCTTACTCTCAACCACCATCTTCCAAGCGATTCAGAACTTCTCCTCCTCCTCCAACCACCATGGTGAACCCTGCTCTTATCAAGGAGGCTGCTCGGCGGGCCTCTCGCTATACAAAGACCTCCTCTAAACCATCTTCCTCTGTAAAACCGTCCTCGCCACCGTCTCCGGTCACCAACATCCATCCAGCGAGCAGAGTTGACCCCAAATTGCACAACCCCGACGTAGTGACGTTGCTCTCTGTCCCCCTCCGTTTTGACTTCATTGGTGCGTGACTCTGGCGACGAGTGTTGTCTCTTCTAAAATTCTCTTGCTTTCAGGCTACATCATCGATTTTGTGGCCATGGCGGTCTTCATCTCGAAAGTTGGCTTGTTACGGGCGCGTTCTGTCAACCCGTCCACAGCAGATATGTTGAAGACTCCGGCCTTCATTGACTTTGTCACGCGTCTGGTCGTGGCAACGCACACGGACGTCGCCACGGTCTTGGTGGCCCTGGTCTACGTCAAGAGGTGGTGCAACAGTCTGGTCGTTCAACATCTGAGCTGTGAACAGGTTTTTTTGGCTGCTATGTTTGTGGCCTCCAAGGTTCGTTCGGATGCCTTCGCGCACATGCTGTGTCTAACACCGCTTCCTCTTTCTAGTATGTGGATGAGCACTTATGTCCCCTCGAGCTCTGGTCGGACTGGTCGGGCAAGTCGGAGAAAGAGATCAAGCGGGTGGAGTGTCAGTTCCTTCAAGCGATCTCCTTCGACGTAGGCATTCGGGACGAGGACCTGCTTGCGCACTACGACCAGGTGATATATCGCTGCGTTACGCACAGCTTGTGCTCCAGCCGCCCACTTCCGGAGGCCAAGGCCGTCTCTCCTCCCCCTGCCTACCGTCCACAGCCCGTACTTCCTGCCCCAGAGAACCCTACCTGGGCTGCGCTCCCCGTGCCAACCAAGGAAATCAATTGGTCGTTCAATGGCAAATTAGCACCCACTGCCTGGCCCTCGTTCTCTCCCACATCCTCTCCCTCGTCCTGGTCCTCGGCATCGTCTTCTCTCTCGTTCCCTGTCTCGTCTTCGTCGTCGTCCTCTCCCTGGTCGTCAGCATCGTCCTCTTCGTACTCGGCGTCGTCGTCGCCGTCGACCGCGTCGTCATCTTCTGTGGCCACTCCCCACATGGACGAATCATTAGAACTACCGCCCATCCTGGGAAAGCTCAATCCCGAGCCACACTCCCAGACGCTGCCGGGAATCTGGGAAGCCATCCCGCGTGAGTACGCCTACAATCCCAAGCCACACTCCCAGACGCTACCGGGAATCTGGGAAGCCATCCCGCGCGAGTACGCCCATCTACCTGTGTAGAGGAGGCGGGTGGGGTGATGTGGCGCGATCGTCCGTCCGGACGATCGACTTTAGGACACGCCGCGGAGTCGTTCTAATCTCTCGTGGGGCTGCACGGCGACGGTGTCGTGCTTGGCAACTGAGGCCTGAGAGCTACTGGGAACGGCTGAGGGGACGTCGCGCTGGAGCGCCCGGAATTCAAGCGTGAAAGACAGTTGGCGCGACCGATGGTGGTCCTACTGATGTGGCGATGTCATAGTTATCTGTGTGGTATTTGTACCGTGCCTTGTGTGTCTCACTGTCCTGTTATAGTGTCTGTGGTTTGGCTAGTGTCTGATATTTGTTCGCGCACGTTGCGATGTGTTCTTGTTTTTCTTGATCTTGTAATACCTTTAGCGGTTGTTTTTTTCGCCCCTTAGTTGTAACAAAAGGCTTCTGTTGCTCGATACTCACCCTTCAAAGGGTTTTAAGATTATTGTACTTAACGACCGGAAGCAAGTGACGCCACAGCGACTGAGGCTGTAACCAACGTCAGCACTTTTATTGTCAGTTATGTAATGTTGAACGTTGGGCTCTGTGTAGTCGACTGCACTCTTACCTGCGTACTATGTCTGTACCACTAGGCTATTGCATTGAATTGCGTAAGCCTTTTCTCCTTTGAATCCCCGCACACATGCAGTCTCGTTGACGGTACAACTAAGTGACTTTAGATCTGCTCTGGTATCTTCATCTCTCAGTCCCTAAAATATACTTCGCCTAATCACGCATGTAAAGAATTCTCGTTCAACAACTTGAATTCACTCTGCACTGTCTCTTTTGTGACCTTCCCTGTCGCCTGGTCTCCGGGGACACCCTCCTGTTTGGGATCCACCTCCTCCCGAACCCCTTCCTTCAGACGAGGCGAGTCTTGCCCTCAGTTTTCGGCACCGTGGTGGCCGTCTGGCTGAGGTTCAAGGCCAGCTCTCCATTAGGCGCATCCCAAACAGTGCACGAATAACCGGAACGTACCTCAGGGTCTCTCAAGTACTCGTCATGTATATCATGGTCTGTCACCTGTAGCTTTTCTACTGTATAGTAGGCCTTCCTGATCGTGCTGCTCTCGTCTGTGACGACAGAGCGGGGTTTGGGATATTGGTCGAGAGGCTGACCAGCCTCCATTGTATGATAAAGGGTGAGACGGATTATTAGCGACGGTCCGTGTGCCCAAAGGAAGAAAGTAGGTTGTCAGGGCTACCTCGGTCGCTCATGTTGACTCGTTATATTTGCAGTATATTCGCGGAGACGGTGGCGTTTAGTACATCACTTATGAGATCGGCAGCCAACAAAACCTTCCTTATGAGGCGGCATGTGCGAGACATTTGAAATATCACCAAGGCTTGACGGTTTGTTGGCGGAACACATCGTATGAGTATTAAGCTGTATTTATTAGAAAGAGTCGTCCGCACCCAATTAAATGGTATGAAGGGCAAATATTAGAATAAATGGAAAAGAGACGGGCAAGTGCTATGATGTCGACGCTATCCGATCTACCCCTTGCCGTACCTTCCCAAACAAGTTCTTCACCCCATCTCTGATGCCCTCTGTCTGCACGCTGACGCCCTCAGAGCTTGTCCTATAGACACCAGAACCACTCGGTCCGCCCAAGCTGACGTTCACACCACCGAGGTTGAGGTTGAGAGACGGCATTGTGCTCGATGACCCCGGTGGCGGTTCGTACACAGAGGCAGGGAATGAGGCAGCTGCAGAGCGCACCATCTCCACAAAACTGGAAAGAGTCGGACTGTGAGCACTCATAGAGCACAACAAGAAGGCACATCTCACCTAGACGAATTGTGCACGCATGTGCCTCCGAGGAGCAGGCGCATACCATAAGCGCTGCTCTGTCCACCCACTGAAGCCGACTCCTGATTGAGCAGCGCAACGGTGCGAGCCTCTTCGTAGGTTGTCCCGCCTACCATGAATATTATCACATCCTGTGGTCTGTCAAGAAGTGCATCAGCCCCATAAAGCATCAAACTACCCAGCAAATACTCGCCGTTGCAAGCTAGCATTTGGGCCGGCTCCATCCAGGAATGGATGTGTTGTATCTCTGAGGCGACCCTTAGTGAGATTTTCAATTGTTTGCGCGAGCTGCGGCGTGTGCTGCATGTACACGTTTTCGACACCCTTGAGGCCCTTGAGCGCCGAACGACCCTTCGCTATCAACGATTCCGCAGAGAACAGATCGTCTTGACGCTGGTCGGAGCCTGCAATATTCAGAAAGACATAGACTAGCTGCGGAGTAAATCAACACATTGCCACAGAATATGCAGCAAGAAAGGGAGACGAACTCTTGCATTTTCTCGCTGGACACCGTTTTCCAACATGAGGTTGATCAACAACGCAACGTTATTGGCATGCGTTTTCTGGTACCGTAGCGCGTACAAGATTACGAGACGCAGCTTGTTCCACGGTTGAACAGCCGGGTTCGTGATCAGTGCTTGCACACTCTGCAGTGTCTTAAGGGTCAACGAACGTAAAGCATCAGTGTGCGCCCTGCGTACCCTGAAATCCGCCCCAGACCCCGTGGCGAGACCCTGCTCGACCTCACCGATATCCAGCAACTTATCGCGCTCAACGAGCCTGCTCAGCTCGCCGACGATCGCAACGTGCTTGCTGACATTACCGCCGAGCTTGCGGAACTCTGGATATTCCTCGATGAAGCGCTTCATGTCGGTAATCGAGTTGATCGACTCGGGGTTGTGCGCAAGCGAGTGCGACTGGTACGATTGCACGTACGCCTTCAGGGCTGTGCCCAGGTCGCCGAACGTCGCGAGGTGGTGCGCCTGGAAGAATGGATCTGTCGACGTTGTTAGTGTGACTTCCTGCAGACCAGGTCAGCTGCAGAGAGCGGCTAGAAGGTGAATGACGTGCCTTCAGCTCTGGTCGGATGTCGGGCACAAGGCTGAGATCGACGCGGCCGTTTTGGATACCGAGGAGCTCGTGTACGAGCGCCTGGTATGTCCATTGCGAGAGTAGTGGGGTGACAGGGTCGTTGCGCCGGTCCAGGATGAGTAGTAATGGCGGTACTTGCGTTAGCCTGAAATCAAACAGGGAGGCTTCCGATTGAATACGATGCTAGGATATCCATAGACGCTCAGTAAAGATCCCATTGATAGGTAAACCTCACCCACTTGGATCTCCACACCGAGCTTCTTCGCCATCGAGCTCGACTTCTCGTATCTGATCACCGGCTTCTTTTTCAAGCTCAGCAGTACGGCCGTCACACCCTGCACGGCGCGCTCGAGCGCTCGCGGGTCCCACGCGTTCGGCGAGGACCCATACAGCGGGTGCGCGGCTGTGGGCGTGTGGTTGAGCGAGAAGAGGCACGGTAGTATCGGCGCATAGTCTGCAAAGTATTCCTTGGGTATATATCAGGCGATACGCAGAACAGCGAGGGGGGCCACAATCACCTGCACCTCCCGCACGACCTCGTGCTCGTCCACGTCCGCAAGCCGCTCTATCGCGGTCTTGCTCAGGATGTTGCTGAAATCTGCCTGCGCGTCAGCGGGCTGTGTAAATGCCGGAGAGGAGTACTGACAGAGGTAGTAGTCGCCGTACTTGGGCTCGCGCAGCTCAGCTTCGAGGGCCTCCAGACTTTCCTCGCTTGCCTGGAGGAAACAGACGCATTTCATGTGCGGCATGCGGTCCCGCTTCGTGTTGTCGATCTTGTCAGTGAGGTAGACCTGGTGCGCAAGAAGTATAGACTGTGTGGAGGCGAGGGAGACAATGGGTGTCTGGAAGACAGTTTTGAGGTTGCAAGGTGCATCTAAGCATGGCTACATGGCTTACTTACTGTATGTGCATCCAGGAGTAATACCTTCATGGACGAAGGCTCGGAGACGAGCTTCGTGATATAGGTTTCGACCGCTTTGACGACATCCATGAGGGCTAGGTATAGCGGTCACCAAAGGCACAGAAACAGTGGCTGGATTGTGATGTGTAGCCCGGCACCCCCGACGACAAAACGACGTTTCCTGCACTTGAAACATCAAGGACCGGTCAGTGAAGACTAGATGGAATTGTGACATACCTCAGCGACCGAGATACCTTGCCCTCTCTATACGAAGGAACAACTGTCTTCCGTAGTACTAGAGGCTGGAAACGAGCCTATGCCCTCTCAAGGTATATATCGCTCCCAGAGATTCGCTGTTGTAATGGCCCGCTCTTGCTGAGACTGCAATGATTCCCGACAGCGCGAGGAACCTAGAACAATTAATAGACGTGGTCGACTGCGGTAAGGATCTGAGAGACTTGTCGATGGGCTGCCGGCGGCTGTAGACGAGCGCGCTCGAGTCCAAGCTCGGCCGCCACCCGCCATCATCCCTGCAGCTGCAGCTGTCCTGCTCTCGTCTCTGGCGGCGGGGGGCTCCACTTTCATGGCATCGGACCCGCCTGATGGAGAGTTTTTACCGTTCGTCTATTCGGAGCTCACGAACGCCCTGCGGGAGCAGGAGGCGTTTGGGATCAAGAACGCGGCGATCACCCACTTTTCGTCTTTCGAGGCTGTAGCTCACGTTGTCTTACTCGAAGGGAGGACGGTGGTCGTCTCGCTTACTTCACGAGGATACACCGTGAGTCTCGCGATGATGCGTTCACTTCTGTTGATGCTGATTTATTGCGCGTAGCTTGGCGTTGAGCCAGAGAGAGACGACCCCGACGCTGCAGAACCTTTTGGTACGACGTTTGAGAGCATAGAAGCATTGTTGCAATGCGTTAGTCCCATGTACCTTGCCGCAAGGCAGGCTGCGCTCTCGAGCAAATTGGGTCTGCTGTCTTAGGGAGATGGCATGATTTCGACTACGGTGCTACAAAGTGCGTGTTTCTGTGGTCTTAGAGCCTACTGAGTTGTGTCGGTGCCAGAGTCCCTTCATGGACATTGTTATGTCCACACCTCTGTAGTGAACGTGGGTCGGAGTTATGTGTTTCAAGGTTTAAGCAGATATTTCTCGGGCCGCAGCCCTCTTTCCTGAGGGGAATGAACTTCTTGACGCTCATCCCTAATTGATGTCCTGAAGTGAACATGGCATTATACATCTGAAGGTCGTTCTACCTCTACGTCTACAACCGCGGATATTTATCTATCACGGCATCAAGCTCCATCGGTCGTCGTTGAAGTCGCCTCTGCGGCTTGGCGTTTAGCTCCCAGATATCCGGTATCCCTCCTCCTCTCCAATGCCTGTTCGTACATTTCCCGCGTGAACACGTACCCATCCTTCGACCACACCTTCTGAATGGTGTCCCGGATCCACTTCCGCTCCTCCTCGTTCCGAATGCAGTTCGCCCACCATCTGTCCATGCTGCTGCGGATTCCGGCAGTGTCGAGCTGATTGTGCTCACTCTGCTCGTTCAGGACGTGCAGGAGGAATCCTCCGTTGAGATGTTCGAGGCCGAGCTCGGAGAGGCATTTCAAGATGCGAGAGATGCGCAGGTAGTTGTGCGATGATCCTGGTCCAATGCTCGTCACCATTGTTCGACGGAGCCGAGTCTCAGAAGATTGACAGCACGACCTCTGACCTCCGCGCACAAGAAGTCTGCTCGCACGGAGAAAGGATACTCCTTACAGGCTGAGGTGGAGTTCTCGAAACAGATACCACTGGGAAGTTGTCTAATCAATTCCCACAACAAGTCGACTTCTGCAGTGAAGCACAGAGGCGATGCTGTATCTCTGACACACCGAAATTTATTCTCACTCACTGACAAGGTTTCTGTAACGCTCGGCGTGGTTGCGCGCCGTAGAAATCGAGCATCAGCTCGTACGACCGGAAGACACGGTCAACTATTTCAGGATCTGCCCTCATGGATGCGATTTCGTGGGCTTGGAGGGGCTGTGACTCGTAGTTCATTCCGTACTCTTGGATAGAAAAGCTGACGTGAAATGGATAGCACTCGATGAGCGAATGAGACCATCAAGTGAATTCAAATACAATCTTCATCTCTCCACCATTGTAGCCATACCGCTGTCACCATGCAAATGCGTCTGCTAGCTGCAAGCACTACAATTCCGAAATGGTGCTGCCGACGCTTAGCGTGCGCATCCGGACGCGTCACAACGAGAAACTTCATCGTTTGGAGGGCCTACAGAGATTGGTGGAAGCGACAGTAGGACTTACAGCCATTGGATGAAACCATGTTTGTGTTCTAGTTTCGAGTAATCGCCGTGCCATCTAGCGGTAGCAATCGTTGGACCACAAATTCACAGTACAGTCTCGCGAGAATGCCTTATCGGTCATGTATCTCGTCAACGAAGAGGTTATCAGGGCGGCAGCGCAGCTTGTTGGAGCAGAAGCGCAAATTCGCGGACATGGAGGCGTCGTCGTCGTTCTCTGGGTAGCCCTCCAGGAATTCACGTACGTCGCGGGGTATAGACATTTTACCAGACTGAGCTGAGATGCTCGTAGAAAGAAGGCGTTGCGATACAAGACGAGAAACAGAGAGAAGGTAGGTGCCACGACCCTTCGGAAAGAACATGCACCCGCAAAGGCGGCCCGCAGAACTATTATAAACCTTGTTAGGTGCGGAGTTTCAATATTTGTAGTCTTCTAAGGTTTTTTGCTTACGTCTCTTTAACGCGTGTTTACACACGGGGAGGCTCCATCGCTTGGCGAACGCGGTCTGCAACCAGCATGCCGCCGTTGCCGTCTACCATCCTCACCGATGCATTGAACTCCCTATCGAAGGCAACCAATCTCGCGGTATGTCTGTACTACGTTTATTTGCTAAACACAGCTGGAACTGCGCTTTAGTTGGCTACTGCTGAAGAACAGGCGCGTGGGGAACTGGAACGCGCTGACGCCGAAGTGGCTGAAGCCCGTGAGGAACGGGACAACGCACTGAAGACGCTGCGCACACTCGAGCTTGGGGAGAAGGATTGGCAGCGACGCGCTGAGGGATGGAAAGCTGCGGTGAGGTAACTCCTCTTTCTCACAATTATAATATTCAATGTGCTGCTCAGGTAGACAAATCAGAACTTACGGTGAGCATCTGGGTCACACATGATTCTGGTAGCATAGTACATATACGCCGGCGCACAGATCAAACACCAAGCTGAAACGATTAAACATCTACGTGCAGAAGTGCAACAATGGAAGACGCAGCTTACGCGCCTCGAGGACGCATCACGCCAGGAGCTTCTCGACTGGAAGGAACAATATCTCCGCGCAGAAAAAGAGCGATGCAGATTATCTTCAAGAATCGATGAACTCGTTGCGGAACAACTTGCGGTATGTTGCGGTTTTTTAATTCCCATAGCGTCTCGGATTGATTCACCTCCAGTGGAATACCCAGGCCAACGCTACGCTCTGCCCAGTTACTCCCAAGACACACTCTATAGATCTCGCAGAGCCATATACAGCATCGACCACAACGAAACGATCGTCGACATCGTCAAATACTGCCACCGGTCCGTCCTCGACACGTAAGGGCACTACCCCTCGAATACCTCCAGACACTGCTCCGCGCAAGTCAAGGACGGCCGTTACACCATCCAAGCCACCTAATCACGATCCTATGTCCACACAGCCGTCCAAGCGTAACCCCCCTGCTGATAGCGCCTCCACTGCTTCGAAGGCAACTCCTCGGGCAATCACAAGGAACTCTGGAGTAGCGTTCGTCCCGAGGCAGCAAATTGTACGACGACACGTTCGTGCCGTCATAGAAGTTCCTGTGAAGGAGGAAGAGGACTCAGAGGAACAGGGGTTCGCATCCGACGGGTCATACGCTTCAGGATCAGCGTATGAGCCCGAGGAATCTACGACGCCGATTACCAGTAGGACGACGAGGCCACAGAGGAAGACCGTGAGGAAGGAAGTTACACGATCGTGGGGAGAGGACGAGGGTGAAGAAAGCGACTACGGCAGCAATCAGGTACGAGGGCATCTAAACCACCGTCCACGTAGGCGTATGCCCGAGGATGATGATATAGACGAGCTCGCGATGAGTGCTGAAGTCCGTCTCGTACAATTTCTAACTCGGATGCACAGCGCTGATCCGATTTGCAGGATGATGCTACTGGATGTTACGTAGCCCAGCCTGTTGTTAGTTCGACGACTAAAGCAAGAGGAAACCAGCGTAACACTGCGCCAGCTCAGCCATCTGCCAAGAAACGGAAGCTCGATAATGGCGTTGGAACCGCCGCGCGGAGTACCACAGCGAAAGTGTCACGGAAGAGATGATTGCCGGTGTTGTACGACCTATGTTTTCGATGTACGTTGCAGAGGTGTGTCTGATTTATTGATTAATTTCCTCCGCCATGTGTACTGTTCCGGTTCCTAACTTAAAAACGGTGCTTGAGGAAACCGTGACGTCACTTGCGCGTCCTCTGTGTACGCGTTATTTGTCTCCTTTGCCTCTTTGGAATATTCTGCCGTACTAGTCTCGATTCCAGACGTTGACCGCACGGAGGCTGCCGAAAACCAATATGTCGGAGATCGAAAAACCCGCAGCCTCCGTGCTGGCTGGGTTTTTCGTCCGACATATTGGTGTCCGGCAGCCTCCGAGGCGGAGCCGAGGAGCGGCACAGTACGATCGTCTGGCTTGCGAGACTAGTCACTACTGCCGTACTAGATCTCAATGTTCAACGTTCAACTCCCGTCGCTACAGCGACTCACTAAGGAACCAAAGTACTCTCATTCGTCTTCACCGTAACCACCGGTGGATCTGGAATTGATTTCTCATCGCCCTCCTTCGGTATTGTCACCGTGCGCGGCGTGAATGAACGCTTTCGAGCGGCTGACACTGGGCACCGCCGCCCTTGATCTCGCCCACTGATCATGGTTGGATAGAGAACACTGGTTGGAGTACAAAGACAATGTTAAAATTGAGAAGCGCGCCACTGAAGTTGATGCCTGCAAAATTGTCCAACATAGACCGAGCACTCGTCGCCTCTCAATGGATGCAATCAGTATAAACATGATCCCACAGAACCACAGAATAGGAACTACCAACGCAAAACAGAAGTAAAGCGAAAATTACAAAATAACGGTCTACTCACTCATCTCATCATCCCCCGGACCTTCGTGTCCTTCCCCATCAGTCCCCTCAACCTCATGTCCGTCTATTTGCACCGTCTCGCCACTCGCAGACTCCCACCTCACCCTCAAGCCCACCCTGAACACTACCATCTTGATGCCAACGAGCTTCAGCAATTGCGCCTGCTCAGACGTCAATACCTTGCCTTTCTCGCACACAGTATGCGCGGTCTCCAGCGTGGGCACGCCGCGGTTCATGCTCGTGCGTAATCCGAGCTTGCGCAACTGCGGCTCCTCATTGTGCGGAAAGGGTTCTGGTGGTGAGGAATGCTGTTGCATGATGGGTCCTGCCGGGAGTACGACAGTGCGTGATGCCTGGTTGCCTGACCGCGCGAAGTCGGGCTGTTGGAAGTCGGCAAACCAGCCGAGGACTTCATCGGGTAGAGAATTGGTAAAGAGAAGCCCCACTTGGCCTTTTATTTGCTGGGAATGCAATCATTGGTGAATTCGGAGCGGGTGGAGGGCAAGCAAGGCATACCTTCGCTAGTTTGTGTAATCCCACACGGTGCTCCTCCGCGGGTGTTGTCCCGAGTGCCTTGGCCATCACGGCCCCCCTCCCAAAGAATATCCGCGCGGAGCTGCCTTCTGATCAGTATGACTACACACAAGAAAGTGCACGATGGACTCACTCCTTCCATAATCTCCGCACGGTTTTTAGATGCGAGTTGCGCATGTTCCCGACCTCGAACAGCCAGCAGTATTGCCATTTATCGGCATTTTCTTGAACTTCTTTCAGCAGCGCGTTCTTCTGCTCCCTTGTCTTCTTCGCGACCTTGGTCAGCGATACTGTTTACGGTGGTAAGAGGTTAGCAATGAACCCGCCTTATCAAAGAGGTCTTACCGAGTTTCGACCTTTTTGACTTCGGCATTTCGTGTGACACTCAGAAGTAGGGGACAGGTATATTATAGCTCTCCGTAAAGGCACAAATTTTGGCGAAATATCAGGAGGTGCAAGCGTGCACGGATTTGCCTTGAGAGAATTAGCCGATCTTATCTCTCAAAAATTGCCGATCTAATCTAATCTAGACTTGCTCACTCCGGTCGATGTCCATCCACCGTGACCTCGTCCAACTTGATCTCTACTTCGTTCCGAACACTCACCGCACTACCATGGTCCTCGACAGCTCCTCATCGAACCTATCTGTTCTCGAAGCGTCCCTGCTCAACGCCACCGGTAATATACCTCTGCATAGCAGGTTTAGAGCGTTGTTCACGCTGAAGGCACTGAAGACTGATGAGGCAGTAAATATCATCTCAAAAGGTGTGCTTTCGATTTCGTTACACATCTTCTGAGAAATACAGTAGTACCTCCTGACATGTTTACTTCTCGGGCGTGATGCAGGGTTCTCGGACGACAGCACGTTGCTAAAGCACGAGCTCGCCTATTGCCTCGGACAGATGAAGAACATGTCTGCTCTTCCTATTCTTGAGACTGTGCTATCGGACGAGAAGGAAGACCCGATGGTCAGACATGAGGTTCGTAAGTGACCATCCTGCCCTCCTCTAGCGAACTGCCGCTCAGCCAATAAAAATCCACAAAGGCGGCTGAGGCGATGGGCGCGCTATCCTCGACTTCCTCAGTGAACATCCTGAAAAAATATATGTCGGACCCAAATCGCAGCGTCAGGGAGACCTGTGAGATCGCGCTAGCTAAAATTGAATGGGACAACTCTGAGGAAGGGCGAAAACATTGGGCAAGCGTCCGGCCCACTGAGGAACAGTAAGTCTCCCTCGCGTGACCCTCGCGTGTGCGAAGCTAATCCCGACATTGGAGGACATACACGTCGATAGACCCTGCCCCACCAAGTTCGCGTCTTCTGTCCGGCAAGGCCGCTCCAGAAAATACATCCGATTCGAATATTGCCTCTCTGCGAGCCACGCTGCTCGACAAAAATCGCTCTCTGTTCGAGAGATACCGCGCCATGTTCGCCCTGCGGAACATCGGCACTCCAGCCGCGGTCGACGCGCTCGCAGCGGGGTTCTCAGACGACAGCGCGCTCTTCAAGTGCGTCTAACGTCATGTCCTCTGAAGCCAGTGGCTGACCACTTGCAATCCGTATGACCCTCCTTACAGGCACGAGATCGCGTTCGTCTTTGGCCAGCTTCTCTCGGCGCATTCGGTGCCCTCCCTGCTCGCCGTGCTCGAGAATCCACACGAGTCCGAGATGGTGCGGCACGAGGCCGCGGAGGCACTCGGCGGGATCGCGACGCCCGAGGTCCTCCCGCACCTCAAGCAGTGGATGCGGCGCACGGACGCGCCGCGTGTCGTCCGCGAGAGCTGCGAGGTCGCGATTGATATGTGGGAGGTGAGTGCTTGTGTTATGCGGCGATTGTGTGTGATGCTGACGTGCCGATAGTATGAGAACTCTGGCGAGTTCCAGTATGCGAATGGGTTGGAGGGATCGGCCGTGGGCACTGTTGGGGCGTGAGCATTTGGTGCAGCAGTATTTAAGTGAGATTTGTATGATCTTAGACGAATGCTGATTGCTACCACCTGCATGGTGTAGATTCGCTGTAGCGGGGAAGCCTCCATTGAGCACTAGAGCACCTGAGATGGAGTAGATTTTATGCGACACTTTCAGAAACACAGCTTCGCCACCTACATCGTAAACCATACTCTACATGGTCGACATAATATTTCCTAAAGCCACATCCAAAGCAATACTAGGACTACATATAGAGCCGATATCAGACATGAATATCATACACCTGGAGGGGCACATCTACTCGTTGTCGAACACCAGCACCCTCACTTCGATCGACTCTCGAGTTGGCGCCTCCGGCGGGCTCGACTTATCCGTGAACGCAGTGTGGGGCGTCAGGCGGGCGCGATCCTCGAAGGAGTCATAGCACTTGATAAGCAGCACCTCGTCGGGGGTCTGGCCGGAGAGGTAGTGCCAGCGGTGGTTCGGGTTGTAGCGCACGCTGAAGGTGCTACCCTCGCGGTGCGGGTAGATAAGGCGGGTGGGGACGAGGTCGTTCAGGTCGAGCTTGCGCCAGTCCGAGACGGCGAGCGGCTTGTGCGCGACGGGGGCTCCGATCGGCCGCCAGACGTTGATGATGCGGACGCGGCCCTGCAGCAGGCGCTCCGCCTCGTCCCCGAGGTGGTAGTGCACGCGATTAATGCTCGCCTGAAACGTCTGGTCGATGTGGACACGTTCCTGTGTACGGGGTCAATGACGACTGGTATAAATCACAGAGAGCAGGTGACCTACCACTGGGCCACGAGCCAGACCATCCCGGTCGGGGTTATCCTGAGGCTTGCGCCTGGGGGAATATGTCAGTGTGCAGCACAGAGGATCGAACCAGGCAACTCACCTGATAGTGTGGTCAAAGATGAAGACACGCTTCCCGCCCGTGAACTTCTTCAACAAATCCTCCACCTCTGCATAGTACTTCGTCGTGATCGCCTCTTCGTCGACAAACTCCTTCTCCGCACTGGGGTAGTTGACGAACTGAAAGCCGGTGGTGTCGAGGGAGACGGTGTCCTCCTTGCCGCGCAGGTCGTGGATGACAGCGGGATGCGAGTCGTTGTCGAGGTTGTTTCGAGGCTTGCCCTCGGGCGGAGAGCTCACGTACTGGTAGGCAGGCTCATTGCCGATTGCTTTGTAGTAGTTGAGCGTGGTCGGGACGTCGTGGGGAGCGAGGACTGCAGCGGTAGCCATTGCGAGTACTAGTAGTGCTGGATTAGAGAAGGCTTAGAACTGTGGATATGCTCAATTGCAAGTCCCCGCAATCTTTCCTCCCTTTATACCACCATGGGGTAATACTCTCAGGGATTTCTAAGCAATCTCGGTCAGCCATCGCAGCGCGGTAACCCGGGGAAGATGACATAGACAGCGACGAGAAGAGATCGCACAGGTTGTCGTGATTTGGGAGGCCTCTGACGCCACTGTGTGTCAGTGAGATGGCGCGGAAGCTGCGGGTGAGTCGCGGAAGATTCGGCATGGCAGAAGTAGCAGCTATCCCTCGGCATCACGATCACATGAGATGAACAGTACACCTCAACACCCAGCAGAGACGATGCTTAAAAGGCAGCGGCCATATCCACTGAAGAGAGTTGGAACAGAACGGTTACGAAGAAGCTAGTAGCTTCAATATCCAGGTGAGGGTATGAATCTTGCCGCCGCACAGGTGACAGAACCGAGATCTTAGCATAGAAAACAGCTAGAATCAATTCAGACAAATTGCATCCATATTTCTTGGAAGTAATGAGCAAAAGCAAAGCAGGTGGCAATAGACAGTAGAGTCTCAATCGCGAGGGGAAGATTCGCGTTGGCTGCCGCCAATGCAGTCATAGTAATCTAGTCATGGGCGCTTGAGAGGCGGAGATAGACGCCCATGTTCTGCCACTTGATCTCGGTGTCAGATCTACTTGCAGGGGCTCATTCACTCTTCCACCACACATCGTAAAACAAAGCGCCGGATATTGTGAGTTTTCATCTCGTTGAATACTCTGTAAAATTTCCAACCAAGTCACCACAGAGAGGTTGCAATGGCGGACGCAGCTGGATGCCGCATCCTCGTGATCTCCTCAACTATGGAGCAAGGCCAGCAGTTCGTGCAACGTATGTTCTCTCACCAGATTTGGCTCTCAAACTACCTTCTCCGAACCATCATTCAGGCGTAAAGGGCCTATCCATTGCGAACGTGTCCGACCTGTCTTCCGCCGACCTCGCCAGTAATAGCATCCCGTGGACGATCGCAAACAAGTACTACACCGCCGACGTTCACTTTGAGACGCGTGTGTTTCAGGACTTTAGATCGCACCATGCTGTGGGCGTTCCTGCTGTGATATATGTCTGGGCACACGGCGAGGTATGTCATGTCTTTGTCCTGGCTGCCTGGCGTTCGTTCTGACGCGTCCGTTCAGCCGTACAGGGAACATGTCCCCGACATTGCCAAGAGTCTGGAATACTATGATCCCGAAGTTACACTTGCTGTGAGGTTTGATGGGAACACAGCAAAGGCGAACGCGGACGAAGACGACGGCCTCGACGAATTCCTGTCGTCGCACGGGTTCGAATTCATCGAAGGCGACCGCAGTGCCCGGAAGCCGACCCAGGATTCGGGACGAGTATTAGACGATGAAGACGAAGGTCAGGACGCCATCTTCTCCTCCACTGACCGTCTGCACGCAGCTTATCTTATCTACCGTGCGCCCAGGCATCCCCGGTCTCCCCCGCGTCGTCGACGCTCTGAGCACGATCATGTGGCCCTCGCTCGTGCAGTCCGACTCGACGCGCCAGCGTAGGAGCCGCGCGCGCGAGCTCCTCGACTGGGCACGCGACGAGGAAGAGGACGACGGCTTGCGCGCGCTCATCTCGGACGCTGGCGCGAGCGAGCATGCTCAGACGAGCTCGCCGCGCAACGAGCGCAAGAGCCGGATGCAGCGCGAGATGGAGGAGCTCGAACGGTGGCTCGACGAGGCGGACGAGGACCGCGCGACGGGCCATGCGGCCGCGTGGGGCGCGTCCGAACACGCAATGTGGTCTGACCGCCCGCTCGAGGTCGCGACGCCGACAATCGTCACGCCGACCGCGGAGGAGTACGGGTTCGACGATGACTTCACCGAGTTCGTGTCTGCACCGCCGCGGCAGCTGTCAGACGTCTATGACTCTCGGGGACTGGTTCCGATGGACACCGGCGCGTCATATCGCTCGCTAGCGTCGGGCTCTGACATCAGCAACGGACATTACGAGAGTATCGACCAGGACGACTACGAGAACGATCCAGACCTGCCCTCCCATGCAGAAATAGCAGAAACCTCACGTCGAATCTTTGGCTCCCCTGCCGTATCGTCCCTCCCGGGTACGTCGCCCAACCTGCGCCGAGGAGCGTCGACGGGGAGCTCTGCTGACGAAGACCATCCGTTCGAGCATGATGCTGACGACGATGAGTTCGAGATGTCCCCCTTCGACCTTTCGCGCGTACTGGGTGCCTTGCACAATATGAAGGAAGAGATAGCGGGGATGCAGAACGAGGACGAGCGAAGGCGCGCGGCTGCGCGCGTTGCGCTCGGGCTCGTGTACGGGCTACAGGCGGACCGAGATGACGAGCACGAACACTCGTGACGGTGAGCACGCTCCTGCATGGCTGTTCCGCGCTCTATATTGCTGTGATCACGAATTGCATGTATAGAATGATGGCGTTAGTCGCTCTTTCTCGTTCTCTTCGACCCCGAGTAAACTTTTCCTCAGGCTCGTGTTCCCTTTAACGCCGTGCCGACAGAAATTGGGCAAGACTACCTGCGGATGACGATTCTGGTGGACTCTCGCAGATGCCTTATCAGAACATGTCCGAGTCGTGCTGACACACTGCCCGAGCACTCAGTTGTCCGAACAAAGCAGGATGGCAGAATGTCAGCATCTCATGGTCTCAGTCTCTCATACGACAGATATGCAATCTACAGCCATTATACGCAAAAATTGGATCAGAGGAGGTAACAATATACACATGACGCGGGAAATACATTGATGGGCCCACTGCATCACAGCCAGGGCTTCTACATGACATCATCTCCCCGCCACTATGCGCTGTGATAACGCGTACAGACAATCAGCTAAATCAAGGCCAGAATGAAATGACTATCTGCACTCACCCTTGTGAGAGTCCTGTTTAGACATAGAGATCCTGCATACACTTGACATTCAGCGGTGGCGGAAGGTCCACCCTACCGACGGGCAGCCATTTAGTGATGAACACTAAGACAAGCATGTACCCCTTCATGAGAACACCATGGGCGACGAGGGCCCTAGCACCGCACTCAGCGCAGGATAAGTTACGATGCTTGAAAAACTTACAGAATACCAGGCTGCACCATAAGTAATAGCGTTAGACTCGGAGACACTTGCGTGGGAAGAAGACAGTGCTGATGCTTACTGAAGAGAGGAACCAGCGGAAGTTCGCCAGCATAAGGAGGTTCGTGATGAAGGTACTCACGAAGATACCTGCGGTAGCACGCAGTGCACGGTCAGTGATCATGACGCAAATGCGTAAGGAGGCAATCAACCTTTCGAGAATGCAAGACTCAAATACTGGGTGTTGCGAAGTTCCTCCCCAATCTTCTCCTGCAGTAACTGTGAGCTATGAGCCATCTCACGGTGTAATGGCACGTCTTACCGCGCACACAACCGTACAGCAGACAGCGAACAAAGACTCCGTATACAACATGCCATCGAACACACGCAAGATGATGTGGTCTGTCTTGTCTACCTTGTTTCCGAGAAGCATTGCATACAGGACAGTCATTGCTGCAGCCCAAGGTTCAGCATCACGACACGAGGACAATGAGTGTAATGAAGAGATGAGAAAATGGACTCACGCAGTTGAATAAGCAGTGACAGAGTGATAGCAAATTTTGACCTTGACTGCATATGGGGGAAGAGGGTCTGACTGCATGTGTGCATAATGACCGCTTGCAGGACTGTTGTCGCAATGAGCTGGAACAATTATACTATGATGTAAGGGACCAACGCGATTTGACAATAACAAACCTCAATATTATAGCCTATTGGACAGCGAAGCTCAGACGAGAAGACTGCGCGACTAGAAAATCATACTCACAAGTACTATAAGCTGGCGACAAAATTTTGAGTAATTTAATTCAAGACAAGATGAATCCCTACTTACTGTCTATCACGCTCATGCGATTCGGGACTGCTAACGGACCATTACGCACATATCCAGCCGATGGCTCATCGCCTTCAAGTGGCCACAGCGATTCGATCAGGGAAATGAGTTCAATATTGACATCTAGAGCGCAGGCGAGGAGGACAACACAGCACTGGAGGATAAATCAGATGCGCACAGCGCGTAGAAGATGGAGACATACACCTCCAACAACGGGCCAAGCAGCTCTTTTGACTCTATGACTCCCGGTAAGCCATTTCAAAATAATATTTGTCTCATGGTGACTAGAGTACGTACGATGCCAGTCGCGGTAGAAACACTTCGAATATGACTGCGACCAAAATTACGCTCATGACCATACTGACAACGCTACCTGTAACGAAAACTGCATTGCTATGGAACTCGAATCAGACGATGAACGTATTCTGATCTTGCCAGGGACGCACCAGGGAGCTATGGAATGGAAATGCAAGGTTGCTTCGCCGAGCTCCATCTCTGAAAGTTACTGGCGCGAGCGGAACAAAAGGCGAGGACGGGTGAACGACATGGAGTGAAGATGCTTAAAATGCAAGCTATCCGGACCCGAGTATGCAATGCAGCTCTCCCGCAAACTATTCTCCTCGATCTAGACTGGAAGGGCATGGAGGATCACTAACTGAACTAACCAGGATGCATCACTTCTCTGTGGAGCCCTTCGCTTCTCGTAGGACTGGTGATAACTGAGGGTCGTTATTCTTCCTGCTCTTCAGGTAGCATGGCGTGCGGGACAATGACCAGCTGAGCACCGTATATCCTGTGTCAATACCTTCCAAGCATATCGCCAACGCCACAAAGGACACGCTGCAGTGCAACTCACATGGTCAGCAAAGTCACATAGATAGGAAGCTTCCTTCGCCGGCAGAGGTAACGGTAGTACCTCGGAGACTGTTTCTGAGCGATAAGTAATCATGATGTCACATTGAATAATATACATCGCCCATCAATGTAGTCTTCTGCTGTCCAAACTATGGACGACGTGTTCGGCATAAATGGAAATCTCTTTGCTCATCGTCAGAGGCAACATGCCTCGACGATGGTTGGTTACTGCGTATCGTCGTCGATTCAGCGCAGAATGTGCCTAGAATGATAAGCGACGTACCATCTCAGGCAACTCCACTGGCACTTTTCCAGCGAGTGGTGCAGTCTGCTCGTGAGAATGGTAACAAGGGGCTGGGTGCTTCGAACTACTCTTACGGTCTCGAAGTCGAATTCTCAGCTCCACCAGCATCCTTATTGCTGAGGCTATGATCTTTGAGGCCGCCGAGAAGGTGACTAATGCTGGGGCTGTCAAAGGATGAAATGCAGCCACTCAAGAGAATTCATAAATTTCTACCGAGCTTCATTGCTGTCCAGAGGGACGATGAGTATATCTGGTCAGCAAGATACCTTCACATAATCAACATCCTGCTGCGTCCCGCAGGAATCAACGCCCGAGGTATCTGCGACTTACTCATGCGCTCAAAGTAAAGACCCAATTGGTATTGATAGATGATACCTTGCATAGGTTACCTGCTACAAGAGAAGAAACAGCATTACAAAGCGTAGATGAATGTGAGTGACCTGGTATACAATGCGGCACAACTGCGACGTCGTGAACGTTCACTGCTCAACCTCTTGTTCTTCGACACCTTCCCCCTCCTCTCCCGTCTCGTCTCGGATACCGCCTGACGAGAAATTCAAGATGCCTCCCAGGTCCAATAATTGCACGACGTCTTCCGCCTCCTTCACGCTCATGCTGCCGAGGACCTTGTTCACCTTGTCCAGCTCTTGCGACTTGAGTGCCTCTTGCATCGCCTCGCTGAAGCCTTGGAAGACGTCCCATCGCATCTGTAGCGCTTTACGCACATCCTCGATGTTGACATCTTCAAACCCAGGGCCTTCCAGCTGGAGGTGCTCGGGAGGAGGACCGTCGGGAATATTAAACGAGATAGATTGAGAAGGGTTTTCCGCCACGAGCTGGATTTGCTCTTCCCCTGCTACGGCCGCCTCTTCAGCTTTAGAGATGCGTACACGTTCAGCGAGATGAGCGTATGTTTGCGCCACGTCGTTTTCGAACACAGATGACGCGCGCGGGTCTGCCACAACCATCCTATTCATAGATTGAAATCAGTGTAGCGCAATGAGATAGCAATGAGTTACTTACTTGCGAAAGAAGAGAGTGACACCATCGGGGCCCAATTTCTCGCAATACTGGATTAACAAGCTCTGATGCACGCACTGCTGCGCATACACTGCCTTGCCGTCATTCTGCGCCTTGAATGCCGCGACCAGCAGAGCATCCGATGCACCAGCAACGTAGACATCCCGATGACTCCGTATGAAATCCCAGGATTGCTGATAGCCACGGAGAGGAAGGTGAGAGAACTGCTCCAGTGATGGGGTCAACTCCGGCAGCTCATCATCGGACGCAACGGAGGATGAGGATGACGCAGCCGGAACAGACGTCGTTGTAGTACCCTCCACGCCCTTCGGATTAAGCACCTCGTATTCGGTCGTCTTTTTCGGTTTTGAGGGCTCGATCGCACCTTTGATAGGTGACGGCTCAGGCTTTGGCGGTACGTACTGCAACAAACGAGATGTCGGGGAGATGCAACTCGGCAAAGCAACATCCACTTACGTGGGAGTCGAAACCGACGTGGATATCATCGCTTGTAATCTTCCTTTTGTTGTCCTCTTGTAGCTGCGCGAGCTCTTGCTTCTGTTTCCCCTGATGCTCTCCCATTTGCACGAAATGCTTCTCCAGGCCTTGTACCAGCAACTCTCCTAAGCGTGCGTCGTCCTTATCGATGCCAGCTTTCTTCACCTCCTCCCAGATCGTCAACATAAGGTTCAACAGCATCTCATCATATGTCTGTTGCTCTGGAGCATTCGTGGGCGGTCGTTCAGGCGAGGGCTCTGTCTTGAATCGTTCCACCAAGGCAGAGAAGTGGGCAGGACCTTTAGACGCAACCTCATCTGCAATGGTGCGCAGGCGAGGTTGAAGGACAGCATTGCAAGCGATGTCTGCTTCGAGCAGGGCGATGCGATGCTTGCGTTCCTCACGCTTCTCATGAATGTCGCGCTGTTTCCATCTCCACAAGCCAATGTAATCTCAATATACGCAGTGTGTGGACAACGGGTGCTTACCTGATTAGAGACCGCTTGTCAACATTCGGGTGGCCCTCAATATCTGAATCGTCAGAGAGCTGGTCAATCGAATAGTCAATCAACACCGATCTACGGTCTATGGGTCACTACTTACCTCAAGGGCGTCCCACTTCGAGTAGTTCAGAGGCATTTGTACGAGAGGACTTCTCGCGAGCAGGCTCACGTCCAGACGGAAATCCGAGGGTTCTCGAATCATCACGTTAGCCGAACCGAAAGCGATCCTCGAATCGGAAAGTTCCGATTTTCTGCGCCTTCGCTCCCGGGCCCGTATTTCATTAATGTCACGGTTTGCTGCTTTGTGTTAGTTACACAATCCATCCACCAACCCAACGGTGTATAACTCGCAAAGTGGTAGCACCAGTCTACAACTTTGGAGTGCTGCAATCTGTAATCTGAAGGCTCTGTATTCAAGGCACACTGCTGTGAAACTGATCTATTCATCATCGTATCTTCATGGTGTCAATCTGGTCTGCTAGGAGCACCAGCCTGATCTGGAGGGATGCGCCCGGTCATCTTACAGTCAGGCCGGTATTAAGAGATATTAAAAGCTGGCGCCTTTAGACTTATCGGAACTCCTTTGAGGTTTTTTCGTTCGATCGTATATTAACCGCAGCCGTCCTGATCAACTAGTACAAGATGGTTAGCTCGGAAATGACATTAGTACTTATTAACATGGCCCGGATTTCCCACCTCTCGAGCTCCCCCTCCAACTACGTGTTATACCAGTACCTCAAGCGTGGTACGTTGCAGATATTTCGCTGTACGAGTTCAAGCTTGCACAAACTGACGCAGAACTCCACCAGATCGTGGAGTTGATGCACTTGGTGAGTAACGTATTTACGACTTAGTAACACGCTTACGCCTGTCGCAACCGTTTCTATGCAGCATTTGAATTACCCCCTTCCCTGCTGGTGAACATTCATGCTCGCGCCGTATCCATTCGCACTTCGTGCATTCGAGGAATCTACCCGAATTTCCTCAAATCCCAAACCAGCCCACCCTTCGAATACGGCTGAGTATAAATCGCATACGTTTGACGCTCATGCGGGTTCTACCTCCCCGAATCCCGAGACCAAGCTTCACGTAGATAAGGAGCGGCCTTCGGGTGGAGGATCAAGAAAACACAAAGTGTTACGAATCAAGCGCCCGTCGAGTGCCCACCCCGGCCTGGACTTCAGCTCTTTGATTCGAAGGAACACAATGATTCAAACAGTCGGGGGTTCCCGAAGTACTGCGCGAGCGCAGTCTCCTCGTCGCCCCTCTACCTCGTCGGGGCTGCCAGAGCCTCGCTCTGCATCGGTTCCAGGACAGTCACGTGCAGGAAACATTCAACATCCAGCATCTTCCGCGGACCGGGGTCTCTCGTTCGCGGTGAGATTCCTTCCATGAGATTGTGCAGTTTCGTTTCACTGAGATGTGCTTCGGTCTAGTTTATCCCAGACGCTGCTGACCATTACAGGAAGAATCAAAATAGCGGTGGGGGGATTTTCCAAACAGAACTCGAGAGCACCGGAAGCTATGCCCGCTTTACTCAGACCGACAGCCCCGGTATTAACGAACGTAAAGGAAGAAAGCACGCCCACGATTCTCAGTTCACCTTGCGAAGGGGGAAGAAACACCATACATTTACCGCACAAGAGGTACCTTATCCTCGAAATTACGATCGAAAGGTGGTAGACCAGTGAGTCCGTGAAAGCGAGGGTTGGAAATTGCCTACTGACGAGTATGCAGTGACGTGTGGAGTACAATGTGGGTCCAGCAGCTATGTGGGAATATCGCCTGGCACGTCTTTCAGGATCCACCGAAGAAAGTGTTCGTCCATTTTCTGCGCATGAAGGGTCTTTGCGAAAGAGCTGAGACATACTTCTTGGTACAGATTAGACTTAGGATGTGGTAATAGCGATCACTTTATAATCCGGTCCATTCTATTCACAGTATCTGGCCGAATACAGGTACCGGCACGTGGATTGTTGGTGCTGCTAAGCTGTGGAAGGTGGTTGTTTGCCTCATGGTTGTATTCCGTGTACTGATTCGTTCATGTTGGCTTGAGTAGGAAACCCAGTTTGTCGGTTCGTGTTCATCCTCATAATATTCATGAGTACGTATTCAATAATGGCCACTACAGGCCTGGATATTGTACCTCTACACCCTAACCTAGAGCAGATTGGAGAAGCAGAATTAGCTTCGCGAATAACTTGGGTGCAGGCCAATTTGTATGTTTGAATTTGTGTCATACTTGACATCTATGGCCCGTCGCGCTCACCGTTCGTTAGCCTTAGTCAGTTACCCTTCCCAGATGCGGAGTTCGATTATGTGTAAGTAGCAACTTCTCTTTCCACCGATTTACACGTCCTTATGATGTTGCGCAGTCGGATAAAGCGGATCGCTCGCGGAGTCCCGGAGCACAAGGTAAGGGCCCTTTTTGTTTGCTTTTCTTGACTTATCTTACCTTGGTTCAGTGGGATGATTTATTTGAGGTACTTTCCCAAAAATCTGGCTTTATTCCAAGGTCTGAGTTAGTTCTCACAGGAAATTGCTCGGGTAATGAAACACGGCGGCGCATTTGAAGTAAGTCAGGATGCTCGATGTTTGATGAACGTGTGTTAATAGGCAATCCAACAGCTGTTTGAGGAAGACCTTCATTTCCCCGGGATTCTTCAGGAACCAACGTCTCACTCTGAATCCGGCCTCCAGCCGCTACCATCTACGTCTCTGTCCGTTCCGTTCGAGCGTCCACGAGCACCCACTCCTTCCTCGTCATTCCTTCCCGCAGGAAAGTCTCCGTCCCCTATAGGTATATTTGTGCACTGTTCTCGATTTGGCTCAATTCATCTGCTGACACCCTGCGAAGCAGAAATCCCGTCAGATGGTCATCCAACAGATGGCCATCCGTTAAATAATCATCCTCCAGACATGCATCCACCAGAAGGCAATCAGCCTGATGACCACTTGCTTAACAGCCAGATGAACATCACCTGGCGACCTCCTGTCAATCCTCACGATCATTCTCTGCTTGAGACTATCTACAACGAGATGCACGCAGCCAGATTCATCAATCTGCAACCGCTGGCCTTACTCAATAACTCTTTATCCTTGTATTTTAAAAGTAAGTGACTCCAGGCTCATCTCACTTTTAGTTACTGACATTGTACTCGGTCTATCAGATGTCCTGACAGGTCCCCCTCTGATGGCCATGTTCCCTCCCCTTCCAGACGGTCGGCATAAGTCACGCCATGCGGCAGATCGTCATCCCGGCGCACTCGCGAGGTCCGCGAGTAATTTGGAGACATGTCAAGAACATTCAACAGAAGTATCGCCAGAGGCCAGTCCAGAACAAGGACAAAGCAACAAGCGCGACTCCCCCGACACCGACACCGGCAACTCGTCGAACTGGCTGCACTTGCAGCAGTTGATTGAAGGTACCGAATACGTGCAGGTCGACCAAAGTCGGTTCTTCTCTTACAAGGCGCCGTCTCGCACGTCGCTGTCCACTTCCGCTTCCACTTCCACGTCTGAGTCCTCATTCACTACTACAACATCCTGGGAGCACTTGTCCTCTCTGTTCTCCTCCGCGTCGCCTCGCATATCCACCGACGACCCTCACCTCAAGTCCAGCCGGCTCCACCTTCAAAATCACGCGGTGCACTTCGACCTCCAGTCCCTCAACATGCACCTCTCACTGCAAGTGCATGAGGTGCTCGCGTGCGCCGAGGCTATGTGGGACTTCGTCGTGGATTTCCAGAATAGCCAGCGAGGCAAGGACAGACCCCCTCGGGACTTGCAGTCGCTCCCCAATTCGAACATAGGGTTGCATTTCCCGCGACAGCCCACGCTGTCCGTGCACAGGAACACCATTCTGGAACTGACCAGAGATGATTTCGACGAACTGCTGCAGCAGTTCGAGCTGTAAGTCCTTCAGCATCCCAGGAGTTGTCTCCCGCAGCTCACGAAGTTCTCAAAAACCCACAGAGACATGAGTGAGAACGTGAACTTCGACGCGATCATTCACGACCGGCTCAATTGGGACGTGGCCGCGTATGGACGCTCGCAGCGCCGTAAGGAGTTCGACGTCATGTGCGCGACGTGGGCACAGTACCAAGCCGAAGTACGCGGATTTCGCCGATCGTCCTCGACCGTCACCTCTCCGCCTGAGTCCAGCGACGCGCACGAACCCGGCGCACACCGACAAGGGGAGACTGGGGGAGACCCCGGCGTAGGTAGCCGTAATCCCTCGCTCAACGTAGATGACCAACCTCCGGCTGCGCATCACTCGTTCTCCCCCGAGTACATCCCGCCGTCCCTCCGCCTCAGCCGCACGATCCGCGTGTTCGTGGGGTGGAAGGCCTGACCTGGCGGTCTCCACAGCTTTAAGTTAACATCTCGTCCTACGCCAGTCCTGCCTGCCTGCTGCCACCCACGAACTGACTCATGATCTTCTGCACTATCGACTCCGAGGGCGGCCGTGGTGGGTCCTCGTGTCTTCCTCAAGGCCATCTTCTTTCCACGGATAATTCTGCGACGACGTTGTTGGCTACACTCTCACCTTTTACGGAATGTCGAGGCCAGTCTTGACGCAGGGCGGGTACATGGGTTCGAGTCACGTTTTGACGGTGAGATGAGCGCCGTCTGTTTTCTGACGGGCCCGGTCACGGCCTGTTAAGTTTCTGCAACGGTGCCAGGCCTGGAATACCTACCTCGTCGCACCGAAGGTCCGTCGTTCGTACTTCCATGGTTTAGAGGTGTTCGTGAGGCGTATCGATTTCACGAGCACCCGCATATATTACGCACATATCGTAGATGAGTGTCGGAGTACTGTCCTTATAATTGATGTGAGACTCGTCAGCTGTGCTTTCCTCAAACGACGGACGTACCTAGCTGCATATATTACGCACATACTGTAGATATGCCAGAGTACCCTCCTGCCCGTGATGATTCATGTGAGACATGTCAACTTTCCTCAGAGGACGGACTTACCTGTCTTCGCGGAGGCTTACGGTGCGGGCGTTGCTATCAATGACCCATCGTATGCAACACTTCCGACTTCCCCTCATCGCTCCCCATCTTGTTTCTTGCCTTCGCATTTAGAAGACGGCCTTATATGGCATGTAGATTACTGTTTATGATTTTTCTGAACTTTTTTTCATGTGTGTGGACCACACCTGCTTTCCGGAATTTCATGGCGTTGAGTTCAGATGTACAACACGAGTTCGAAGCCATCGGATAAGGGGAACGAGCTACAAAAAACACAGCACTTCTGGGCCCCGTGGTACACTGCGGGCCGGGTCATATTGAGACTGACCTGAAACACCCAACATAGCTGTCCAGAAATGGGTCGAGCCCTGCCTATTAAGGCGGACGCTCAGAGTCACGAAGGCGCAGACGCACAGGCGTCGAATCTAATTACATTACACAGTCAGTAGGACAGGGAGCAGCTGATAGAGTGGCGCAGCAGAATCACACGCGGGTCCAGCTATCGCCCCCTCGCATTGGCCGGTATCCACGAGCACCACTGCCAGCGTGATACAGTACGAACAGACGAGCAGATGGCGCAATCCCGAGCTCATCTCAAACGTAAGACGAAGGTACCGTAACCTCGCGCCCACTTCGCCTTAGGCGGGACATAATACAGTGCACTGAGCGCCAGCTGAGCGGCGAACTTTGACTCAGAGCGAGTAAGTAGCGTGAGCGTAAACCACAGGGGCAGTCACATCGACGATGAGGAGATGGCTCCGCGAGCGCTCGAACCTCTTGACGCAGTGCCTATCGCGCGGTGATCTGCGCCGCCCGCGGCGAAGTCGCCATAGTAAGCGCAGCGGAGAGGAAGGCTGAGGAATCAAAGAAGCAATATGAAATTGCTTAAACCTTGTTGAACCACAAGACCAATCGCATAACACAAAGGCGCGCACATTCACACACTAGGACCGCGGCACGCCCAACTCTCCGCCAACACTCCCCGTAGCATCATATTTCGATGCCGGGAAGATGGTACGAGGACCATTGCCCTCTCTGATCAGGCCTGGGGTGAGTGTCGTCAGATTTGTGGCGGACCACATCAGGACCCAGGAATATCCCCTTAGACATCGCCAAAAATCCCTGATTTTTCAATTTTTGTCCGGACTTTTTTTGTCATTTTCCGGGGTTTCTGTCCGGACGACGATTAAGGTCGGCTGCCTTCCTACATCAGCAAAAGTCAACTTTTGCTTACCGGTGTTATTCCCTTGATTAAGGAAAAATAAGGAGATCCCTTCTCTTATTCCTCCATTATTCACCCTTATTGGCTTTAATTGCCCAAATAAGAACAGAGACCTCCTTAATTAAGGAGATAAGGGAGCTAAATGGAGGTAACCAAAAGTTGACTTTTGCTGATGTATTTGGGAAGTTTGAGATATTTTCAGTGATTTTCGGCATTTTCCGGCTTATCTCCGTCCATTACCGGCCCCTACAGGGCCAAGCGCGTACGGCGTCTCCCTGCATCAGCAGAAGTCAACTTTTGCTTACCGGTGTTATACCCTTGATTAAGGAAAAATAAGGAGATCCTTTTTCTTATTCCTCCATTAGTCACCCTTATCGGCATTAATTGCCCAATTAAGAACGGAGACCTCCTTAATTAAGGAGATAAGGGAGCTAAATGGAGGTAATCAAAAGTTGACTTTTGCTGATGTGTCCGGATGGCTGCGATGGCCTTCTCGAAGCGGAAGGCCCAATTGTCCGGATGCGTTCGGTCGATTTTTTCCTGAGTGAATATTCCGGGGTCCTACCACATCTGGTTCCCGGACAAGTGCACGAATTTTTCCTGCCAGGTTTTAACCTTTGGTCTGCCTTCTTTTGGTTGAATTGACCGGGAGCTGCAGTTGAGGAGTATGAGGCTATCGGAGAGGCATTGATTATCGATGCGTCGCCGTAATAACTGGCATTTCTGTAGTGCAGTGACAACCCGGCGTTCCTAACTGGGACCCATGCCGGTAATATATCCCCCTACCTACCCCGCCGCGCAGAGCCGCGCCCACAACCCCGTGAGTCGCAGACTGGGAAGAGGCACGCACCAGCCCGATGCGCCGACTCGGATGCTGCGGTCAGATGGATGAGCCGTGCAGAAGTTTGTGCAGGCGCACCGGTGATGAATATTGGATTCGGCGGTGGGCTCGCGGGCCGTGGTCATGCGCGACGATTATCTCGGGAGATCCGCCGGGACGCGACGCGGCTGCAGAGATGCCCGGACGGCATGCGCAGTACATCTGACTGTGTGCAGATCCAGAGAAGATAGACGTTGTCCGCAGCCCGAGATGGCGAGCGGGTCGCCGAGATAGTAGGGAAGGGTGGGTTGGGTTGGGACTACTATGAGCGGTGCCGGTGAGGGCGAGGTACGTTATGGCAGCGGCACTTACTGCAGATATTATGGACGTTACGGAACGGCAGCAGACGCGCGTGCCGAGATGAACCGCGAAGGCGGCGCGGTTTCTGTCTTCGTAGCCTTCTTCACCCTCTTGTGCTTATGCTTATCAGCCGGGTCTTGCGCGAAGACACCGGGAGTCCGGAGTCCGAGGGCCATTGGCTGCGAAATGAAGGTCTTCCGTGAAGTGGATGTGCCGGAACCAACAACTCTAAAACTTGCGATAAGGTGTTGCCGAATGCGGTGTCCTCTGGGGGGAGTACTGTTGATGTCGGTGCTCAGATTCGAAGATGAGGTTCGTGTCAAAGGTATTACGCACCGAGAGCACCGTGAGCACCGTGTATCTCATTCATAGAAGTGTAAACAGCTAAGGGCAACACCTATGAAGGCCAAAGCACTCCGAGCGGTAGCAGTACCAGCCTGGTGCCGCACGCTTGTGCCATTACGTTCCCGGTCTAGCGAATCTTGGGCGTTGCTCGAGTGCCCTCGACGAAGCTCGTCGATGAAGAGCTGTCGACACCAGGTTTTAGAGCATTGAGGCGTAATGGTACGTGTAAGTTCAGGCCATCTATCCGGAGATTCGAATCATTATACCTGCAGCCAGCCGTCGGCTCGAAGGCGTGCTACGCGGCTTCGCTCACGCCTACACAATATAGCACAGCACAACGTCCATGCAACGTGAATTTGAATATGGAACCACGGGCACTGTAACTGAATACTGTCAGCAGACCGTCTTCGCTGTCAGCGAGACGGCGCGACAATATTGGATGCGCGCGTACACGGTGTGTTCTGCGCACCTCACATCGGCGGGATTAATGGCGTCCCCAGCGATAATTAAAGGCAGAGTGTTTGAATAATGATTTGAGATTCCGCCCACGTATGGTTCCTTGAATCAGTATGACATCATCTCGATCTCCAGGTCAATATTCTCGTGCGCACGCATCGTCCTGGCACGATTCGATCTCGTATTCCTCGCCTCACGGGATGTACCGAGATCCATGACGGTGACAGAAATCTCACTTCATACTCGTCACTTCCAGCTCAGTACTTACTTGCTGTATCGGTACACAGTCACGCAGAACTCCATGACCACTTGTTCGCGATCCGTCTCCTGCACGGTGACGAACTGGGCTTCGTTGGCTCAGGAATTCGAATAAATGCATATGGCACACTCACAGGATACCACGCAGCCTTTGGCGTTCAAATGCACAACGGCTCAGCGCTGTTCCCCAAACGCACACGCGGAGGGCCGACGCGACAACAAAGGATCAGTGAAATCAAGGAACAACGTCGAGAATAGCGATGCATAGACACTCACGCTCCGTTTTATGGCTTGTTCCGCTGAGCCCCTTGCACTGGATATTGAAATCATGGCAAAGGACGGGTGAAGCAAGAATGCGCTCCACCTCGGCTCTCACATTCATGTGAATGAAAATGAGAGCGGAGGTAGGCAACGGACATCGCATCCTTCGCTGCCTGCCCAACCTCTCATGCCAATCACGAGAGGCCGAAGGATGCGATGAACAATATTATAAGATGATCACAGGCGTTTATAAGTGCGCTCAAATGCGAGCGCGTCTCGTTCGGTCCGCGTGGACGTGAAGACGTCACCGATTTGATGCGCCATCACACGTACAAGTAAGCTCAGGCTTCAAAGAGCGCACATCAGGTGAGGAAGACGCAGGCTGCAGACAAGGTGGTGTGTCAAGCATTCGTCGAGCGTACTGGGCCCTATGTAGTGCTCATGGAGGCGGCGATAAGCCCGAGGAGAGCTGAGACGAATACACTGGACGCGGACCGACAAATAAATACGTTTTACCCGCTAGCGGGGCGGCGGATCGCCGGAAGGGGTGATTCGGGGGCCAATCCGGGAATGGCCCCGTTGGCGCCCGAGGGGGGACGATCGCGGATCGTGATTGGCGGGGGCCTGGCAACGTCAGGGGGTGCGCCCACGCGGCGCTCGGCAACAGTTCTGGGCCCTCCCCCCGGTCGCTCAGTGCGCCCCTGCGCACGGAGTGGCTGCTCGCTGTGGATCGAATGCAGAACGTGAGTGGGGGCACGCTGGGAGCACCCAAATATAGTCACCCAGCTGCCTTATCCGGGGCAGTGCCTGGTGCATAGCCGGTGGCTCGTGCGTGGGAACGCGCTGCTTCTGGTCTGCTTCGCTGCCAAATCGAGCGCCGGCGCGGCATTCGGGGCTGGAGCCGTCCGATATGGCTCCTGTGGCGTGGGAAGCCGTCGCTCCGGATGGTCTTGTTTGGCTCCTGGGTATATAGCCCACCGCTCGCACCCATTTGGCAATCCCATTTCCTCCTGCGTTCTCCTCCCATTTCCGGCACGACACGCCTTTTCGGGCACACGCGTCGCAGCATCTCCTCATCGCGCAGCTCGTCCTCCACCCACCCCTCCTCGTCGTTCTCCACAGCGACCGCGACCCTCACAGCGACCACCGCCGCCCCTTCTCCACGGCGAGCACACCAGTAGCCATGCCAGCAGACCCCACGTCCCCCACCCTTGGCAAGCGCCAACGCGGTGACAACCTCCCTTCTGCTCCCCATGATGATGGCTTCGTCGCCGATCCCGACGCCCAGGAGTCTGGCGGCGACGATGACGAAGACGAGGAGAAGCCCAAGTCCGACAAGAAGGCCGGTCGCCGCAAGATAAAGATTGAGTTCATTCAGGACAAGTCCCGCCGCCACATTACCTTCTCCAAACGCAAAGCTGGTATCATGAAGAAGGTGCGCATCACCCTCCTTTGTTCCCGCTGCTGACTAGGACTAACCGCCCTTCCCCTGAGCAGGCATACGAGCTCTCTACGCTCACCGGCACCCAGGTTCTCCTGCTCGTCGTCTCAGAGACCGGCCTCGTATACACTTTCACCACCGCCAAGCTTCAGCCTCTGGTCACTCAGCCCGAGGGCAAGAACCTTATCCAGGCTTGCCTCAACGCTCCTCACGGCACCCTGCCCTCCTCTCTCCCCGTCGGTACACCCATCGGTCGCAGTGCCATGTCCATGGGGCATCACGCCGCGCCAGGGTCCGCCAACGTCCCTGGCGGACTCTCTATCGCAGGCCAAGCCCCCGCCCCGGGCGCAGCAGAGGATACTGAGGAGGCTCCCGCAGAGGAGGACACGGAGCACCCGCCTGAGCGCAGGAGCAAGCGCCGTCGCGCATCCTCCTCTGCCGCGAACAATGCAAACAACGCGCCGAACGCGTCTCCGCGTACCGCGGGCTCCCCCACACTCCCCGTCGTACAGCCGCCTCAGGGTGCCCCTGGCGCGCAGCAGCAGCAGCCTCCTCCGTCGCCGCACCGCGCGATGCCCCCGCTTCCCGTCAACATTCCCCCCGCGCCTGCGCCTGGCCAGCCGAGCCCTGCGCCCGCCGGTCAGCCGTACCCCCAGTACGCGCACCCCGGCCCACAGGGCGATCCTGCGATGTACACGGGGCACCCGCAAGGGTATCCCGCACCCCCGTATGGCTTCCCGCCGCAGACTGGCCATGAGGGCGCGGCTCCGTGGGGTGCCCCTCCGCAGGTGCAGGGCGGCCATTATGGGCGACGGTGAACCTCTATCACGCGTGATGTTGGATCTGTTGCAATAGTGAAAAGTAGGATCGGTCATGCTTCTTTGCAATTTTCCCTTCCCGGCCTCTCTCCGTTCTTCTCCTCGCTCGGCTTCTTGGACCCCGCCCACTCATCGTACGGTCTAGGGTGGGACGAAATGAACCCAATGAAATGAATTTTAACGACTAGGCGGCGGTGGCGGTTGAATGTGTTGGCTGCAGTTGTAAGAGGTTGTCGGTGTGTGCTTGTATCACATCGCGTATGGAAGAGGCAGTCTACCAACACGCCGAGCCCTGGCCCGCCGTCGTGGTCGTCTTGCTCGCTACCTTTATCCTTTTGTCTTTTCTTCGTGTGCATACTTGTGTATCTTCCCCGGGCTCCGTTTATGTGAATTGGGTCAGTACTAGCAGTTCCCCCTCGCGTCCGGGTACATAGTGATACTAGTGGTAATGGTAGTGCCCGGGCGACGTGTGGCCTCGCGATGTATTGCGCCTCCAGGTTTGTCGTTTCGCAGTTCGTGTCACCCCCCCCCTCTCCGCTCCTCCTCTCTCTCTTCTATATGTATCGAATGTAACAGTCGCCCCAGCGTAGCGTGTAGCGTGTACGTGTATATACGTCCCAGTTATCTTGCATCTGAATTCTGAACTCCGAAGTTCGAACCGTAATTTTTGGCGGTGTGATGATGCGGCGGTGGGGCGAGCCGGGGTTGGATAAGCTGGACGTACATACACGGCGCGATGTAGGACTCCCAGAGATAAGCAGTCGTTCCGGCGGGTCCGCGGACGCAGACAGCTTCAGGTGTCTGATTCTGTCAAAGACAGGCTCAGACATCTGGAGCCGTCCGCGTCGTCGTTGCTGGCGGGTCTGCCGGTCGCACGATGAGTTGCAAGGGATTGAGGGTGGGAGTGGCAATAGGCTTCGCAGCTGCAGGGGAAAGTGAGAGAGGCGCGCACCGTGGAGGGCGGGCCTGGTGTGTGCACTGGTCCTGCCGGACGCGCGAGTAACCTGGAGCGGTACGATCGTTTTAGCGGGAACGTCGGAGAAATGAGGGTATACAACCTTGCAAGAGGCCCGGCGGGACTTAGGTGGGTATGAGAGGCGGCCGAGATATATGAGGAGGTGAACACGACTTTGAGGCCTACCGTATACATCTGGCAAATGAACGGAAGGCGCACCGACAGCTCACCCTGCTTGACGAATGTCGTCTAGAAAGGAGCAGTGCCGGCGCGAGGCAGGACGCGGACGGCGCCATGTGTTTTATTCGGCGAAAGACCGGATAGGACACATGGAGCCGTCCGTGTCGTCGTCGCTGGCGGGTCTGCTCGCTCTGAATCGCAGGCCTTGGGGTGGGAGCGGCGATAGGTCCGGCCGGGCGCATGAGCAACCTGAAGTGGTGCAGTCGTTCAGCGGGAACGTCGGAGAAATGAGGATATACGACGTGACAAGATGCCCAGCGAGACCAAGGTGGATATGAGGAAGATCAGCAACGAGACAATCACTCAAGTACCACCCACGGGCGATGGGTTGACTCGCCCTACCCGCACGTCTGGGTTATTAGTGAGTTGCGGCAGTGCAATATTATCACCAGGTGAAGACGGCTCTGAGGCCTACCGTATACACTCGGCGAATGAACGGAAGGCACACCAACAGACGATACACACTGTGTCGCCATCTGGGAATATCTCCCCAACACACCTCGGCACAAACAGCGTGCCACCCATGCCCCGATCCCAGCTGGGACCGGTGGGTGGGACCGTCCTGGGAGGGCACGGAATCCGCTTGCTCGGGCATTGGATTCTGCCAATCCAAGGCCCCGAATACACGGAAGGTGTGGCGTCGGTAGACGGTGCGATGCCCACCTCCAGTGTCACGACGATATGGAGCCCCTCGAAGAGCTGGAGAGCGTCCGGACCCTGTTACGCGAAGCGGAAAGATCACCGTGTAAGAGCGGGTTGGGTGGATGCTGGTAGTATCCGTGCGTCCGTACGCAGCGCAAGCCGCTGTCGATCATAGAGTACGATATAGTCCAACCGCCCTGCAGCCCGTGATGAACAGATGACAAAATCGGAGGAAGCGATCTGTTCTGAGAACGAGGGAATGGATGCATGGACGAACCCACTGAGCACCAACAAACTCGTGCCTGGCAAGTATATAGAAACAGAGACGCACGTACATATGTATCTATATCAAACGATGAAAGTTAGCATCAACACGCCTGCGCACAGCAAGCTATGAACACGCCACACGCACTTCCACAACGTCCAGCACTCACCGACCGCGTCCAGCTGAGGGGAAGGGGGGAACAGAAACTACACAACTCAGCGCGGACCGGATCGTCTTTTGTAGCGTTCCCCCGTTCCCGCACATGCCAGAACCACGAGGCGATCATGATGTGCGTCCAGCCGTGTTCTGCGACCATGCTACTTATGTACATGTTTGCCTTCCTACGCGTCACTGCGTGCGTCAGTGGGCGCCCCGGAGAAAGTCTCTGCCTTGCAGGGTTGGGGGACGTCGACGTCACCTGGGCTGCATAGTGCAGAATTATATCAGAGGGGAGCTAATTGCCTGAAAGACGTCAGAGGGACTTACGAATTCCTCGAGCAGCCGGACTATGCAAGATAAATATCCCACACATCGCTCGAGAAGGCCGGTGCGTAGGAGGCAAAGTGGACGCAGTCCGTACATGTGGCAGAAGCGGGCTCCCGTCGGACATTCCCAGGGTACTACGACAAGTGGACAGCACGGCGTATCAACGCAGTACCACCCAAAGGATAGGTCCTGCTAGTACTAGAACCCGAGCCACAGCCTCTCCGATGAGCATGCTGGCTTCATCGCGGAGTCGGCCGCCACTCGCGTTCACCGCTACCGAAATCATACGGTGTGTTTTCTGTCCGCGTGGGCGACGCGTCTGCGGCGGGAGTGTCATCGATATCATGATCGTCAGCGTATTCAACTGTTAACGCATCAGTGCCAGCCTCGGTCAAGACAAAACTGCAGGTGCTATTCCATCAGCAGTCCATCGCCTTCAGCCATGGGTACTCAGCCTGATTCGTGCTATGTTCCCCAGCATACACTGTCGGAGAAATCCGTACAAAGACGTCGAAACTTCTTCATTTGGGCGCCGTCGCTGCGACTGATAGGAGGTGAGAGACCGTCTACGGAATGTTGTCACCAACTTGACTCTGCATTTTGCAAAATCAGGTCTACATCTGGACGCTCACAGCCCTATTACTGTCGCCAGCTTGTATCGCTGGTTGACACTTCTCCTGAGCAAACCTCACGAGTTCAACCTATATCCCGTCGAAATATTACCCACCTACGCCATCTTCAGGTATCTAGCGCAACCTGTTGGAGATGCGTTACCTCGTGATTCTCAAGAATGCCTCAGGCCCGGCGATGTAGGTGTATTTGTACCAGGTATAAAATTCAATAGTATCCATTATAGCCAGTGCAACCTATTCTTTCGCCTACAGGAGAAGATCAGACGAGATTCCAGTATGACGTCCACTTCGCTGGAATGCAGATCACGTACGCAGAAGAGGAAGCTTCGTCAAGGGAAGCTTATAGGGTAACTTGGCTTAGAATGTCTTAATCCACCCCTTGCTAAATTGCGATATTTTAAGAATCATATGACAGAATCATTCATAGAGGAGGTGCAGACAAGGGATGGGCATCGATGTGTACTCACAGGTGCATCGTCGACGGATGTGCCTCTCGCAGTGTGTTGGATTGTCCTTCCATGCTCGATCAGACATGTATGTTCCTTCTGCTTCTGTCCCGTGTCCATCCACTGAGCGAATTGTCTGTGACATAGGTGCGATACTACCAAGGCCCAGAAATGACACCGGTCCTTGCTGACATGACATCATATTATGCAATATCTAATGCATGGACGTTACGTGCAGACCTTGCGGAATTGTTTAAGAGCAATCAGTGGGGTATTGATGTCGGGGTATGTCGTATCCTGTCAATATCTGCCTATTGACTGAATGGCACATGAGCTCAATAGGACAACTGTCGTGTTGTGTTTTTTGGTCTTTACGACAGCTACTCGGGTCTCTTGCCTCAAGTTCCCTCTAATCTACCTCTCAGTGGCCCCATTTGCGAACGCCTTACCGAACACTTTGCGCGGTGCCTGAGCTACAACATCCTCGGTGGCGACATTTTGGACAAGTATGACGGATTTGATGTGAGTGGTTACCTGGAAGACCTTGGATACTTCGACGGTGACGATCTTGACCCGGCTGATCCGGGATGGCAAACTGAGCTCGGGAAGGAGGTTTGGGAGCTGAGATTTAGGCTGAAGTGCGAGGAGCGACAGAATCGGTGTGCAAGATATTCATCGGAATAACTTGACGATCATCTGACTTTTCTGGCTGTATAGATCCTCCCAACGCAACACTGATGCTACAGACTCTGACAACCAGTGAGCAACCTGGGATAGATATGTCGTGAAATACTTGCGATTGGGCATGCCAGTGTATTCATGGATGTCAAAGTACGAAAGATCTTTACATGTTGATTTTAAGTTTACCTGGCAAAATCTGCGGAGCCATAGGTCTCCAACATTGGTTACATTGGCTCTCGGTAGCGCTCAGACCCTCTTCATTAGTTGCTGGTCAGACCTTCATATAGTAACTCGGTCAGCACGTATCCGCTGTTGTTCGCAGACACAGATAGTATCGGAAGAAGGCAAGAATCGGAAAGAAACACTCGGAACTGTTGAAACACAGGGGATTGGCTAGATAAACCTGGATGGCATTTTCTTGGCTCCTTTGCCTCATCTCCGACATACACTTCAAGTGTCGTCTCTTCTGCTGAGCATGCGTGTTCAACAGGATCCCGGAGTGTCTCCCACACGTCCACATGTCTTGCCAAATCGTCCGCGTCGAGCCCTTACAAATTGTACGCGTCTCTCGTGAGCGCTACAAAATTAGCTTCCACTCGTTGCGAGTTTGGCGGCGTAGGGATTCCATTGCACGACGTCCACTACATGTCGATTTCGATGATGGCGAACGCTAATAATTCCTACCTGTCGTACGCTCCTCTACATATACACGTTACGATGGCGTCGTGCGTGTGCGCACATGCAGTCCTGGACCTGCTACCTTATTCTAGCCGTTAGTTTTCACAGAATCAGGGTGCATAACAGGTTGGAACTTGCTACCTGTATATCCCATGATACGTAAGAAAAGTCAGAACTGTACTCTTCAAATAAAAATCACAGGTGACAGTGACGCTCTTCTAAGGGCATCCTCATGAGCAGTGCTATCCCCTCCCACCTAAATTTAGTATTGCCATCTAGGTCGTCCGGATTGAACTCACTGTCATATACCCCCCGTTCTTCGAAGAAGACATCTGGGTCGGCATTCTCGTAGACCTGGGAGATGTACCCATCGAGGAAATTCATTGGGAACACAAGTCAGTACTAGACAAAATCACATGCACAGACAGCTCACCAGAATGATATAGCACTCGAAGCATTAGTTCATCGTCCTGTGCTGCAGCATTCGGGGCTGCTCAGTCGATACGACATACGGTGGAATTTGCTTGGTGTCTCGGATGGTGTGTGCGATCCCTTTATCTATTGACAGGACTGTCACGGAATTCACTTCATAGCATCGAAGATACTCAACAAACAGCCAGGATCGGCAATCACAAGTACCAACGAATCGTTCATGATGGGAAAGTTGCACCGATGCAGCTGGTGGACGTCCGACGCATCCGCACTGTTTGTTACAGTACTTGTTTCGGACATTGATGCTATGGCAAATGTACGTACATAAGTACGGTGTGGTGGTTCAAGCATTCAATATCATCGCGATGGACGCAAGGACGGATCGACGGAGTTGACAGCACCATATGTATCTCTGTCAAAGGATGAAAGTCAGCTTCAACATATCGGCACCACAGCGCGATGCCCACACCACACGCACCCCAACCAACGTCCAGCACTCACCAACTGTCACCTGTGTACTGCAACCACGCTACTTATGTACATGTTTGCCTTCCTACGCGTCACTGCGTGCGTCAGTATGCGTCCCTGAGAAAGTTTCTGCCATGCAGGGTTGAGGGACGTCACCTGGGCTGCGCAGCGCAGAAGTATGTGGGAGACGAGTTAGGGGGGACTCGAGTGACTATACAAGACGGATTTCCCACTCACCGCTCGAGCAGACCGGTGGGCAAGTGGCAAAGTGGACGTACATACTCCATACATGCGGTAGAACGCAGAAGCGTGCTCCCGTCGGGCATTCCCAGGCATTCCCTTGGTAGTACGACAGGTGGACAGTGTACCAACGCAGAACTGACGGAGTAGTACCTCTTAAAAGACAGGTCCTGTAGTCAAACACGAGCCACAGCGTGTCCGACGAGCGTGCTGGGCTCAATATTACAGAGTTGTGACCGCCACTCGAGTCTCGCGCTGACCGTGACCGTACTTTCTGCCCACGTGCGCGACGCGTCTGTGGCGAGAGTCATGTGATGGACGCGTCGCGCAGAATATCTGTCCGGCTGTCTGCGCAGTGACAGATCGATTATGCGCGGCGAGAACTCGTGCCAGAGTTCAAACGTTCAAGGTAGTAGCAAACCTCTTTCGCAATTACCTACTTCTCAGCACATGCGCAGCGCAACCAAACAACCGCCCCGCTAACCTCTCCTCCCACTACCGAGTCAGTAGCCTACTAGTATGTACACAAACGTCAACGTCATTATATGCAAGCAAAATCCAAAGCGGTGATATCGTCGTAATTAGGGTCCGCCATCGCGATGCAAGATTAAAGGTGTAATGCAAGAAGCGTGATGCGGAAGGCGGGAACGCATAGAAGGCGTAAATATGCAAGGCGTAAATGTACAAGGCGTAAATGCCGTGATGCATCGTGTCCAGTCCATGAACCACAGTACAGTTCACAGTCCACAGCGAAAATCCGTGAGATGACCGATGACCTTCCTCCGCACACCAACTGGGTATCGCGGAGAGTCGTAGTCGCACCTCGTACCAGATCAGAGCACGACGAACGCGGTGAGCGCCGCGACGGCGAGCGACGTCACACCGCTCGCGCGCTGCCAGGACCACGCGCCGCTCGTGCTCGTGTGCGTCGCGCTCGGGGCCGCGCTCGTCGCACTGGTCGCTGCAGAGGTGCTTGCGGACGTCCGCGCAGAGCTCGTAGACGAACCTGACAATAGCGCGGAAATACCACTAGAGGGCGGCGGAGAAGCGATTCCGCTGGAGCCGCTGGATGGCGCTGAAGACGCAACGCTGCTCGGGGCAGGTGAGGAAACGGCAGATGTCGGGGCTGCGTCTGCGGCCGTCGCGGGGGTCGACTCGGCAGGTGAGGACACGGCGGTTGACGAGGGCGCGGAGGGTGATGCCGCCGGGGACGAGGATACGGGTGAGGACGAGGATGGCGCGGTGGAGCTTGCGGGAGCGGAACTGGAGGATGAAGAGCCGCCGACGATCGTGAAGGTCGGGCTGATGTTCCCCGAGTCACCCATAACTGGAAAGGTGTTAGACACGCATATGTCATTAAGAAAGTGGGAGAGACACACGGTCGAGGATGTAGTTTGTCCGGTATGGGACGTCTGGTACGACGATCTGGACGGAACCCGAAGTGATGTTGAAATTTTGAGCTAGAGGTGATTCTGTCGGATACAACTTAGATGAGACTGAGAGTACTTTCGACGTTCGAGTCGGGACGCACGGAAATCAAGGTTCTCGCTGTCGGCTGTGAGATAGCCCAAGACGACCTCTCCGTTAATGTTCGTAATATTCGCGACTGGAGGTAGGTTGGAGGTATCCCTGGACATGACGTGGTCAAAGGGCGCGATGCTCCGGAAGTTTCGCTACTCACCATGTAACAGTCTCCGTCGCGCCAACCGTCCACACTGTACCAGCAACAGGATACGTGATGGGCGGGGCGACGACGTCGCGCGGTGCCAGCGGTAGCGCGGTCGCAGCGACGAAGAGGAAAGATAGAGCGTAGATCGTCGAGGAAATCATGGTGTACAACGTTGCGATGAGCGTGTCGAACGTGGAGACGGGGCCTTATAAACTGGTGCTCGACGTCGGGGCCGTGGACTCGAGCTCGAGGGGGAAGAGAGTTGGCCTCGACGCAGCCCGCACTCGGTCTCGGGTTTTTGTACCGGCGGCTTGGCCCGCTCAGCTGCCCAGCGCGACCTGACCGGATGGGGAACTCGCTGGCCATGGCAGGATCATGATGTCCCCGTCCGCCTGTCGACCTGCTCACGAGGTGCACCTTCCCTCGAGCTAGTCAGAGACAAGTCCTCGAGCTGGGCAGCAGGCCAAGTACAACCTCTGTATAGAGACTCGTGAAGGTGCGGACGCTCTAATGGTCCGGGCGCAATGAATACAAAACCAAATCATGATGCGCTTCCAGATTACGCGTGGATTTTTCCCGTCCTTGGTCCTCTCTCCTTGTCGTACTCGCTTCCCATGGAAGTCTGTCCACGAGGACTTGGATACCTCCTCAAGCCTCAAGCTGTAAGCTTCATGCCCATGAGAAGTCCGAAAACCAAACTATGCAGCGCAGAGGCAGGGAGCCGCAGGGGGACTCAGGCGTCAATACAAATATTGCAAAGTCGAAGAGTCAAACTTTCAAATTTCAAGACCAATGCTTGTGTTTCTATGTCGAGGCCAGTCTTTCTATCTGCGTATAGGCTAGCAGTCGGCGCAAGTAAATCCAGATTGTCGATCCGTTGTCGTCGAACACTTGTATCGGTTGGCAGTGCATGCGTAGCTGGTCGACGACGGTCGGAATCCTGCCTGAGGATGGACTTCTGTATTCTTGGATCGGTGCAACGAATATCAGGATGCATATACCCGACATATATCTTGGCAGACCCAAATGTGCTCTCGACCGACTCTCGGGGCCGGAGTAAGGCCTACTCCATATCTCATCCGATGACGTAGACGTCGACATCAAACTCACACCAGCAGAGCTGCTCAGCTACTCCGTACCCGTGGCCTTCTGATGCACCGTACTTTGACTCTGCATATATAACTTGACTGCTGTGTTTTAACAAGTTCTCAGGGCCTAACCTGCAGCACGTTACAATACTCACCATGTCCACTCCTGCACCCGCCTTAGATCTCCACCCCCTGAACACTGTAGCGCTCTTCGGTGCCACAGGAATGCTCGGGAGCGTCATCTTCAAAGCTCTCCTCGACACCCATATTCCCGACTACCAGCCTACCGTGGTCGCCATCATGCGACCAGGGAAGAGTCTGGACGAATCTTTGAAAAGTCACCCAAGGCTCAGGGTGGTCACCCTAGACTACTCCAAGGGCGGCGATGAGCTCGTGGATGCCCTCCGCGGCGTGGACGCCGTCGTGGCCGTGCTGAACGGCCCGGGCGTCGCTGCGCAGTACCCCATCCTCGATGCCGCGATTAAAGCTGGTGAGTCGCACCGTCCTATTTACTGGCGGCACCCGACCTCTTCCGCGCAGGCGTCCGACGCTTTTACCCGTCCGAGTTCGGTTTCCACCAGGCGTACCGCGCCCCGGGCGATCCGGGGGCGCGTATCATGCCTGTGGGTTGTCCATCGACCACTTGTTCGCGGGGGCTAATGACGCACGTCGCACACAGCTGTGGGACGAGAAGGAGCGCTTTGCGCTGCATCTGAAGCTCCATCCCGCCGTCGAGTCCGGACAGATCACGTTCACGTTCATAGGGGTAGGCGATCTCTACGACCAGGTGTGTCCCATTCCTGTCGTACGCGCGCGGACATCCACCCCCGCCCGTGTTGCAGATACCTGAAACATTCTGGTGCCCCTGGGCACAGGACCAAGACACATACGAAGTTCCCGTCATCGGGGACGGTGCCGCTCTGGCGGACTGGTCCCATACGCGGGACGTCGCCCGCTACGTCGTGGCGACGCTCAGCCAGCCCGCGTGCTCCGCGAACGCGACGCTCAACTTCCCCAGCGAGGCCCTGTCGCAGGACGCGCTCGTCGCGCTGCTCCGCGCATACAGCCGCCGCGAAGTGCGCGTGCGCTACTTCTCGCACGACGAGGCGCACCGGTTCGCAGCGCACCCCGCGGAGGCGCCGCCGCAGATCGCGCAGAGCTCGAACATCCCGGTCGATTTTTATTTCGTGGTGAAGAGCATACAGGGCTCGGGCACGTTCCGCAGGTCGCGCTGGGAGTGTCATTGGGACTTGTTCCCCGAGGTGCGGCGAACGACGTTCGAGGATTACATGAAGGAGCGGTTTGGTAGCCTGTGAGATACGTACTCTCCTCATCTCCTCATCAGCACGCAGGGCTTATAGTCGAGGCGTCGGAGTTAGCCGAGGCGTTGAATACGCGCTCAACCGCGTAGATGGGTTTTTCGTCTACTCGCTGAAAACTTGCCTTCCGAATACACTCGAGCTCGGTTCAGTGCATTTCCCGCGACTTAAGGACCACCAAAGGCCGCAAAAGCCTTATAGCTAGGTAACAAGAACGTTGATGTCCGCATACGAGATACGAGGTACCTATAATCGGCGATTGCCTCCTCGGCACATCTGCGACGTCGCGCGACAAGTCACGGTGATGCTTAGCCAATTCGCGCTCTCGGTGAACGCGACAGCTAGTCTCAACTTCCCCAGCGAAACGTTCTCGCAGGACGCGCTCGTCGCGCTGCATACAGCCGCGGCAGATTGTGTGGGGCTCGAATATTCATGTAGATGTTTACCGTGAAGAACATACAGGGCTCGGGCGCATTTCGCAAGTCGCCCTAGCAGCGCCATTGTAATCTGATCACTAAAGTGCGAACAACGTTTGAGGAGGTGAGGTTCGGTGGCCTCTGCGATACTTGACCCGTACGAAAATGTTCGTCGGGATGCAAATGCCACTGGCGTCCAGAAAGACATGCAATACGTATACAACCAGGAATCTGAACTAGCTACATAGTACGGTGTGAGTCCGTGTGACACCCGCCAATTCAAGCAGACTAGCCTCTCGTCCAGAAAGATATGCAATTATTTAGTGCGACATGTCTGAACTACCGACGTCGACATCATGCGCTGCGTACTAGAGGCATGTTAGCTGCCGTCCGCGCATGCGCAAATATTCTTTCGAGACACCATCATCGATGTCGACCGTCGTTTCGCGCTTACCTCACCTCCAGCTGGATGCTTTATGTGAACAAGCTGGCGCCATCATCCAGCGATCCCAAAGTATTCGAAGTCTTCGCAGAGCCTCCCAACGACGTTTCTCGTCGGGATATTTGATTTGCCAGTCACCGCAATGCACACCTCGCCGTTTCGAGATTATTCCGTGGGTAGAGTGTCTGGCTGCTCCGAAGTTTCATTGACACCCGTTACTTGCAGATAGTGTCTGGCTTTTTTGCTCAGGATGACCCCAACGCGGATCCTTCAAGCATCCCAGCTGTGAGTGTAAATCTTCCTTCCTCTTATTGCGCCAATAAATGCATGCTATAGTTTCCGCCTCGTCTCGGTCTCCTAGATGATTCTCCAGACCACTGGGACAAGTTCAAAACTCGGGTTGCCGAATTGAATAGAACTGCTCCAGCCGGGACTACGTATAAGGTCTTATTTCTGGGCCGACATGGTCAAGGATTTCGTACGTTTACTTAGACGTTCGTCCTATGGGTAAGATTATATAACGAATCTTACGATAGACAACGTGGGGGAACAGAAGTACGGTACGAAGGTGCGCATCGCTCCTTCTCTGCTTGGGTGCGTGTTGAACAGTCTTCTCGATCGCAGGCATGGGACGAGTAAGCAGTTTCAAGGTTGTATCCTCTCACTATATGCCCATGGGTGTTATGGATATTACTTGCAGCTACTGGTCCAAGCTCAATGGTGACGGCGAGATCACTTGGGGTCCTGACCCCCTCCTCACCGAGCTCGGTAACGCTCAAGCTGAGGCTGCTCGCTCGGCGTGGACAGCTGAGATGGTTCACGGCATCCCAATGCCCGAGCGTTGTTATGCTAGTCCCTTGCACAGAGCGTTGAGCACCTGGGACTTCACATTCAACAAGTCAGTTATTCTCGGAAAGCAGAATGTCACGATCCTTGAAGTGATGATTTTTACCTTCTTGCTATACTTCTGTTCTTCGCTGACAGGTGTCGCCAGAATCTTCGCGAGGAGTTCGGGGAGCACACGTGCGACATGCGTAACCCACTGTCGAAGATCTACAAAAACTTCCCCCCTCCAGTCTACACCGCTGAGCCGGGATTTACGGAGGAAGACTTGATCTGGGGTCCAGAACGAGAAACCAAAGCGCAGGTCAAAGAGCGTGCAGGTTTGGTGTTGGACCGAATTTTCGAAAGAGATGAGGAAGTTTGTGAGTGTCTACTATATTTCGTCGTACGCAGGATACCGACTGGTGATCGTAGACATCTCAATAACAGCTCATGGAGGGATCATTAACGGACTGCTGGCATCGATGGGGCGTTCACCGTACGCTCTCACGACGGGAGGCAAGTGGTTTGATCGACTAAATTCTCACTCATGGCTCAGCTCGATATGCTTGCAGGAATTTTGCCTTTGGTGGTGAAAGCTGGTGTGAGATTCAACTAATGACCCTGCACGCCTCGGGAGCTGGATAGATGTAGTAGTTATGTTGCAAGTTGTTGATAACTATACAATCATTTTTATGAAGGATGAATTCGTCCAGAGAGGTGGTCCGTGCGTGAGGAACTGAGGATGTAAGATAAGCGCCCGTGTGCTTACACTCTTATGCACACTCTCCGTTATACTCAACCTTCGTCACCTATATTCTCCCTTTATCCTCTTGATTCATCGCTCAGGCGGTACTTCCCACAATGTCTGATCACTTTGCGTCAGAGCAATCCCAGAACACCCACCATCAGCCAGGATCGGCGCCAGGTTCATCTGTGACTGCTGAGGATCCCGCCGCGTCTCTTCGTGCAGCTGCTCTTCTGACCCTCAAGTCAAAGCGTCGAAAAGCATTATCTCTTCTGGTTGAACCGATGAGTAGTCTGCCGCCCCGCTCTCCTGCGGTTTCTTCCTCGATCCAGCTTGATTACGGTCAGGAAGAACCGTTATCTGGTGCGTCTTCTGTAGCTTCAGCGCCAACAGCATCTACTGCGTCGCACTCTACACCACCACCAGCATCGGACGCTATGGAAGTCGATGAAGGCCAAGCAAGAGAAGAAGGCGAGATCAGCGACTCTGAGACGGCTCCCCCCACTCCGGTCCCTCGGCCAGCGAGGCTTGCCGTCCCGGAACCACCACGGCCTCCTCCGCAAGAATTGGTCAAACAGCCGAGTCTTCCAAAGGCACCGCCACCACTGATCAATACAGAACCCGTAGTCCTGTTACCGCTCGATTCTGCGAGTAGCGTTGCGTCAGCTTCCGAGCCGCAGCTGCCCTCTCCGGCCCTTCCTTACGCAGTCGATGCCAATCATGTGCGACCAGGACTGTCAAGTTTGTATTCATTGTGGCTCTTTCACTGTAATCTGCTGATTTATTGTCGATATTATAGTGAACCAAGCCCAATATGACGCTGCGAAAGATATCGTATTAGATCTCCTTGGCTGGGGCGTCCCTCCGGAGTACCTAGTCAATTGTGGCCTCACCCGTGCAATTGTCTATTACGTCTTCGTCGAGTTGAACCTTCGACTTCCTTCAAACCTTGATACCACCGGAATCCTATCATACGAGCCGACGATGTTCCAGGAGCAGAATGCGCTCATCTCCGATGTTGCGCCCCGTACAGACCCTACGTCAATTTACTCGCAGCCGTCCATCGCTGCTCGCCCAGGACCCGATCATCCTAGCCTCCCGCCGAGACCGGCTGTCCCTCAAGGCGGTGTTAAAACTGACTCTGCAAGTTTATCCTCCAAAACGTATGGTCTGTCTGTAGCGGCACCTTCTTTTGTTCCTGGCCTTCCCTCTACACCCACGCCTTCAGCCCCTACCAATGCGAACTTACTCGATATGGAACAACAGAGACGCCAAGAGCTGTTGGCTCGTAAGGCGGTTCTGGACTCACGTAGACTCAAGCAACAGTCGTTAACCACTGTATTGACCCCTTCTACACCTACGATGGCCGAGCCGACGGACGTGGAGATGGCAGCAGAGGTTCCCAAATCAGTGGATGATTTTTTGAAGAGCATCGAGCCTGCGGGTGGCAGTTCGAGCGAGAAGGGAAAGGCAGTGCCCGTCAGAGCACATCCATTGAGTCGGACGAGCACGTTTGACGATATGGACATCGATGAGCCGATTCCTGGTTTGTCGGCAGTCAACGACGCGCTGTACGCCTCTCCGCCGTCGGCGTCGCCGAGCAGATCGATGTCGATGTCTGATAACGCGTCTCCAATTACCACGTACGTGCCTGCACCACCGTCGTCGACAGAAATCTCCTCGAGCACGTCGTCTTCCACCGTTGAAACCTCGGACAGTGGGCACCTTACGTTGAACGGCAGCGATACAGACATGGATGCGATACCTGGATTGGTGCTGGAGCGTTCGCGGTCGGGTTCGATGGGACGTGGTTCAGTGGGGCCAGCATCGCGCAGATCGGGGAAGCGGCCTGTCGCTGCCGACTTTGTCGACATGGAGCCTGGTCCTTCGCGTTCGCATTCGAGCAATGGGCATCGTTCAGGGCACTATCATTCTTCCATGAGACGGAAACACGGTTCCTTTGCCGGTATCAATGGGATGCGGCGCTGCGTCATCAATCTCAGCGATAGTGAAGACGAGATAGAGCATACCATCAATGGTGATGATCAGCAGTACGATGCAGGCGGGTCGTACGGAGGAGCGTCGGCTTCTAGTTCCCATCTACCTGGAATGCTGGGGTCGTCAAGAGTTATGTCTCCTAGCTCTACACCGTCGGGCTTCATGTCTCCGAGTGCACTGCTTGCGAAGGAAGCGGAGATCAGAAAGATGCGAGAGCTTATCTCACAAAGAGAGCAGACCAGACTGCGAAAGCTTGCCACTGTGAGCGCTACCTTCGCCGCCAGGTTGTTCGTGTTGTTGATATGCCCGTGTCTGTAGTTGTCCCGAAGATCAACACCGCCAACAGCCGCCGCTGTTAAGCGAGAGGAGGATGATTCGTTGTATGCCGAATCACTGGCGGGATCCAGCAGTCATTCTACTGAGGTGGGAACGCCCAACGTTGTGGCGAAGGAAGAACAGAACTCGACGCTCGTGCCTTCGCCGTCTGGTCAGTTAGAAACTGTTTGTTGCACTAACTGTTCTATCTTTCTAATTAGCAGCATCAGGCCCTCTACAGTTGTCAATACCATTACCAGAATCAGTATCGGCATCTGACAGCAGCGCTGCAACCCCAATCGGTCCTCCTCTCTGCGCTGCTTCGGCTTGATGTTACACTAGCTGACGTTGCCTCTAGATGTGATCATGAATTCCTTGGAGCATGCCACCACGGGTGACAAAGGCGAGTGCTGATGTTCGCGTGTCGCTATCTTCCTCACACCCTTGTTCTTTCTTTTTCCGTTGTTTGCTCATTGTCACACTATCTCATAATATGATTTTATGATGATACTGATGTAGTTTTGACCGCTGAAGCACGGCAAGAACAAGTGGCAAGGATCCGTTCTTTCTTCGTGCCGCCTCATGCGGTTGTGGAGAGTTTGGCTTAACATATACCTTTTGTTTTTTTTCCTTCTCACTCGTCTGCGTTTGCCTTTTTTTCCTGTACTTCTATTCTTTCGCTTCGTTTCCCTTTCGTTCTTTTCCATTATTTAGGTTAACGGAACACACTATGCAAGTTGGATTCCATCTCGAATCGAGGCTCAAGTCGACGTTGTCAGCTCTGATGCGGTGGCGTCGGCTCAGGTGCGTGACAGCCTTTCCTTCGTTTTTACGATGAATCCCAGAGATGCGTCGCTCCGTCGATATGTACTGACGGGGTTACCATCTACATCAGATAGACTCGCTTTCAAGTACTGATCAAGAGCTACAGCAAGATCAAGAGCAAACTTCTGGATTTACTGCTTACTCTTCGCCGTTAGACTGTTACCCTACCTTACGACCTTACTTACAACACCCGTCGGGCGCTGGTGGCTCTGCAAGCGTACATCAACGAACTAACAAGACATTAGCCCTCAATGTGGCATCATCTATTGATCTCGAGCCCCTGAAGATGGTCGCTGCGGGAAGAGTTTTGATGGACCCCACGAAACGGATATGTCGGTATGAAATTCCAGGAGGAGGAGAGTGCCGGGATCGTAACTGCGAGGATGTCCATCTATCGAGGTTATCTTCGGTGGAGCCTAACGGTACGCACCTTCACCACCGTTCAAGGTTGCTGACGTCTTCATTTCCTGCTCTCATTTGCATGCACCACTCCCGATGTTTTGTCCTACGTCTTCATCACAGACGAAGAGACTGCACAGTACCTGTATGCTGCAATGCCGACAGGCTCGCCGTACAGCGCCGAAGACCTCCTGAATACGCTTTCAGGCGTGCGACGGCACTCTGCAGGGGAAGCGTTCGACGATCGTGTTTCGGAGGCGCTAGCGTCGCTGGGCTTGCGATGATAAGCGCAACTTGACGACTCGTTCCGCTCCGACAAGCAACCACATACCGACGCTTCGGCCTGCCCTCCCGGGCGGGAGGGAATGAAGAGCAGAAAGAAATAATGATATGGATTCACATGGGGAAAATGATCGTGTCAAGAGCGCGAGGCGCCACCGGTTATGCCGGAATCTGCTGAAGAGATGGACTGATTCACTCTTACAGTTGATACAGATCGTCGCTCTCTAAGCAGAAGCCTCACTTGGAGGTGTACATGTCAGATGTTTTTCTCGGGATCACTTGCACTATTTGTTAGCTATTGCATTACATTTAGCGGTACTTGTTTGTTTGTCTCGTACGCAATTGTATCAGTTTCATCCTGGCGACAATTTTGCTGTGTCAGTGGAGTTGGCTCGAATGTGAACGTCGTCAAGATAGAAAGATGTCTGATGCTCGCGAATCAGTGAAAGCCGAATGGGCTACCAAAGACTGGGCGCAAACAGGCTTGCAGGTAGGTCAACGGAAACCCAAAGCGCGCTGCAAAAGCAATCCGACATCTCTACGTACAAAAGCGCCGATCTATTGTCGCACCGCGTTTTAAGTACACGGCCGACAGCCTAAGCTTCCACTGTAGAAGGGAAGTGATACAGTAGTGGACAACAATCTCGAAAACCCCAAAAGAACGTAAATGCTAATAAATATCGCCTGATGGGGATCACTGTTGTGACCGTTGCGGACCTATTTACGGGTTGTAATCCCAGTTCTCGAAGTGCCAGGACACGTCGAGGACACCCACAGAGAGGGCGGCTCCCAACGCCTCAAACAGAGACCGACTCATGTCTGCAAATAAATGTGAGTTTCCGCTTTCGAGAATATAAATCTGACAGTCGCCCACCAATATCGTTAGCGTTGCAACCCATGCATTTGTCACGAGTGCGACCGATCACGGTCACTCCGTTGGCGTTGTTGGTGATTGCCATGTACTGAATACTGATTTAGAGTATGCTTTCGCAAGGAATTTGATATGAAGACTAACCTGATTGCAGTTGCCGCCGCTGCCGTAGATATCATGAGAGATCGCTACGATGTGATCACTGTTCTGGTCTGTGTAGCCGCAAGCACCGAGGCCGACATCAAACCAGGTGCCCTGGAAAGAGACCTTAATACGAGTAGCACTAGCTTATGATGAGACTTACCCTGCCGGTGTGGGTGATACGCTTCACCAACGACGCTCCGTTGTCGGGAACAGGGGAAGAAAACGCAGCGGAGGCGAGGACACAGATGACAAAAATGAGGGTGGCCAACCGAGGCATTATGTGACAGTGATACTGACTTGAAGATCGGATTGTAATGTGTGGGAAGCAATGGCAATACAACAACACGAGCAGCAATGAGAAAACACAAGGAGGGAATGAGACTGGTAAAGAACACTGCAACTTTCCTTGTCTTTATACCACGAGAAACATGAGGCGCCCCGAGCTTCGCGCGATTCAACATATACACACGAAACATAAGGCGGCTGAGATGCGTCAACCTACATCAACAGAGCAGTGCGTTGCACGACCAACAAGGGAGCTTAGGAATAGCGGAAGGTATAGCGCCCCAGAAAATGAAGGCATACCACAATGTTTGAGGGAATACAGTGGACCATATTGAAGCCGTCCCGATCCCCGTGGATAGCGCAATGCGGGACGTTGCATGTATCACCGTGACCAAGTGGTAGTAAAACCGGGGTACTTGGGAAATCGGTCTACTATCACCAGGACCTGGCAGATGGATTTCAAAATCATAGGAGGCCTCGGCGACCAGGGTGAGCGATCAAGCGCGATCAAGCACGGTGAACAGCTGCAATGGAACGCCCTGGTTGTAACTTCTCTTTAAGTCTGTCATCAAAGAACTAATACTCTTTGCTCTTTGCGATGGTCGAGTCGAGAAATAAGTGATGTTCACTCCGATAGTTGTAGAGCTGTTGAATTTTAAGTCAGATCACGCCGACGGTCGAAAAAAAAACTTGCACACCTGGTATGATACTTGCGATGAACATTCGAGCGCCCATACATCGAGTTGAGTCACAGGCGGTCAGACACGGATATCCTGAGAACGAAGATTGAAGCAGATTGTCTACTATATTTGTGTTGAAGCTTTATTAATGGGAGAGTATCGCCAAGAGCATCTTCTACCGGACGCGAGAGTCTATCCAGCGGCAGTATGGAGGCTTTTTCCCTGAGTTCCCTCCAACTGATGTCACATGCCACTACATGATTGCGAACTTTTGGTAGTACCAAACAGATGTTGTTGTCTACCGGACTGGGTCTTCGAAACGCCGCAGCGCTAGTTGGAGTTTCCCAGGTGTAGGCTTGAAGACTAGAAGGGCCAATATCATTCTCGGACCAGCCTGAAAGGGAAGTCTTTAAGACCTTAGGGTAGACAGCGTAACCTACAAGGGACGAGACTACTGAGTCAAGAATCCTCCGAACCTTGCAGAGGAGAAGAGAACTCACGCTCGTGATTCATATAATACTTGCGCAGGTCTGCTGGCCGAGTTTTCAGAGTGACTCATTGCACCGCGTGAAATGCGAAATTTCTAAGACCCAGAATTTGGTTAGGATGCGGCGATTCTGGGATGATTCTGTCGTGATTCTGTCGTGATTTCCCCCTTACCGGAATGTCCCAGTAGTTTGCCAATAACAGAGTGATTTCCCGGTCATTTCTGGCCTTAGCTAAGAGTGCACGCGCTCATGCACGCTCACGTTATCACATACACACCACCATACAACGCGCACGCGTGCCACCGACACGCTCAGCTACGACGCACTGCCAAACACTATCCTGCCGGACTACTGCTTGAACACCGCTACATATTGGAGAAGCTCGAGATAAATGCCTTCATCTGTGCGATAGGTCTTCTTGGTCAGTCCATATGCTAATCATACTCTCGGTGGTACAGATTCCGTGGTGGCAAGCTGAAGAAGCCTGCTTTTGCTCACTTTGCAGCTGGAGCATACGTGGTTTCAAGATCCAGTCCAAGCAAACAATTGCTCAACACAAGAAGAGAGATACTCAGCAACAAGCCCAAGCCGCGGAATCACAACCTCTGGTGTCTCGCATAGGACTGCATACAGTTACCACTCAAGCCGATGTCGCGCTTTCGGAGGATCAGACTGGGGCACTTGATTCTACCACTGGCGAGATACAGGAGTCTACACACCTTCTAGATGATTCTGGTGTCACTTTTCCTAGTGCTGGAGACTTAGACAGTCCTGACTCTCCTGAAGGTTCTCACTGCGCAGATCAGTCATCTCCGGCGCAATCTGTGTTTGACGACGATGTCATACCTAACGATATACCTGATGAGCTTGGAGCTGCAGCCAATGATGGCAATCCCTCTCGGGAAGATGCAACGGTCAATGGAGCAGAATCTGATGTGCATGCCGCTGGAGGACAAGATGAAGATGCAAATGCCGCTGGAGGACAGGACGAAGATGCGCAAGAACATGCTCGCCTTCTGGAGGATGATAGTGGACTTGCACCTGCATTCCGTGAACAACCCCCAGTGCGACTTGCATATCTTGATGCAGTTCTAGGCAATGTCTTTGGTTCTTCTACGGTGGCAGCTTCGGAGCAAAGTCTAAATACTTACCTGGATGTCATAAAACTATGTGGCTGCCTGCCGACTTATCCAAAACCTGCACGAAGCCTCGTTACTGCTAAATGGCGACTGGGGCTCGATGTGGAGTCTTACTTCGAGAGGATTGCTATATGCACAGTATGTTACAAGCCCTACACCTCTGACGAGATCGCTACATTGGCTGCCCCCAACTGTACTACTCGCCGCTGCAAAGGAATTGCCTACAGGGTGAAGCGTGACCTCGATGGCAAAGAAAGATGAATGTCGGCAAAAATACAGCCATATGCGTCTCTTATTAAAGCGCTCTGCCGTTTCGCTCTGCGTCCCAATTTCGTGAAGAATCTTATCGACCCCACTACTCTGCGCCATCGTCCTATTCCTACTTATGAGCTCATGAGTGATATCCATGACGCTGAGCACTACGGTACTCTAGAAGTGGGCACGAAGCGCGTGGTAAACCAAAATGGCGAAGTGTCGGATGTTGAGGTTTCTGAAGGTACCAGGAGAAGGTTGTTGGAATGCGATGTGGGGCTGAGCTTCACTATCAATGTTGATTGGTGAGTCTTACATAATGCAGGAGTCTGTTGCGAGAGTACTTGTGCCTCTATAGGTTTGGCATTACCGACAACCGGCCTCATTCTGCCGGTGGAGTGTATCTCACGATTAACAACTTGCACCGCTCAGTGTGCTTTCTCCAACAGAATGTTCACCTCGCTACTGTCATTCCTGGCCCGAAGGAACCAAGCTTAGAGCAACTAAACTATTCACTGGATCCCTTGGTTAAGGAGATGCATCTGCTGAATACCGGTAAGATCATTCCTTCATGATATCAGGCTCAAGCATCACTTTGAATGTGTGTATAGGTGTCATCATGCTAATGTATAGCCGACAAATTCCGCCCCGCATTCAAGGCGGCCTGGAGTTGCATGTTAGCGACATTCAAGCAGCACGCAAAGTCACCGGTTCGGCAGGGCATTCTCATAAATCACACCCTTGCAACATCTGCCTTATATCGCATGATGACATCAATACTGCAGCAGGGTATAGCATCGCCCGTAAGCCTCAATTTGTTTGTAATGAATTCCTCTTGCATACCTTCTTACACTCCAGATTTTGTTCTGCGGGATGATTGGCAACAACTCGCATTAGGATTCAAGTCAAAGAACGCTAAAACAAAGAAAAAGCAAAAGGAAATACTCGACCAGAGTGGAGTGCGACACTCTGTTTTGAACGAATGTGCGGGATTTATGCCAGTTGCAACTACGGCACTCGACTATATGCATAATTTCTATGGTTTGTTTTATTTGGTGCATGCACGAAGAGCCGACTGTATGCTCTCATTCAGGTATCGTCAAAGAGATGCACAACAAAGTTTTGGATGAGGGGTACCTTCTAGATGCTGCGGGCTGGAGGCTGATGGAGGAGAGTCAGAACTCGATCATCTGGCCATCGGGTATTGGTCGGCTTCCTAAAAATGTGAGCAGCTCGCTAAGTTGTCTTGGAACATTTGCTAACCTGATGTCTTGAGCTTGGCGACAACCATGGTTTGCAGAAGGCAGATCAGTGGTGTCATTGGGTCAACGTGCAGACCACAGTAATGTGGATCTGTTGGCGTGACAAGAATGATAAAATTCCACACAGAGAACCACCCATTCCTTTGAATGCAAAGCATGAACCGACATTCCAATGATATCTTGATGAGGTGTACCAACTCCTCATCTACCTCTCTGTTGCTGAATGGATCCTGGCCAGCAAGGCTATTTCCATGGACGAGGTTGGCCGTGGCCAGCGTTACTTGCAGAAGTTCTCTCAAGGCATCCTCGCACTCGGCGCACACTTGGTAATCAACCATCATATGAGTATGCATTATTCACTTGTATTCAAATTATTTGGCCCTGCATATGCATGGTGGCTGTTCGCATTCGAGTGCTGCAATGGCGAGCAAGAAGCTGTCAATTTAAATGGGCATGCCAAAGGTGAAATGGAGACAACACTGATGCGCAATTGGCTCGCGAAACAGCGTTTGTATGAATTGGTAGAAGTACTTTAAATTTTTGCAATTGGAGACTGCTGATACTCCTCTCGGTATACAGTTTGTCTCTATGCCAGAGAACGCATCCCCAGAGGAGCGGAAACTAATGTCTCGTGTAACCACACAGAAGGGTATGAATCGAGGTACCCTGCACACACAACTGGCAGGTTTTGGTACAGGTGCGATGGTCTTCTTTCGAATATGTTATGCCGCGAGTGATACAGTCTCCCAGATGGTTCAATAAGGATGCCGAACTCCATGTGTAGGAAGAAGGAAACAAGATTTATCAATCTTCGAAGCCTACCTCATGCTGAAGTATATGGCTTGCTCTTAAGCTACACTCGCTCTGCATGGCCCGACCTCAATATTGTTGATGACTTCACCACATCTGCAGGTTTCATTCCCCTGTCAGCTTCTCATTCTGCTATCGGCATACCATTCCTGTACAGGGATGGTATACGGTATGGATCCTCGCTAGATGGCCGATCTCAAGCAGACCGCCATGCTTGTGTTGATTTTACACACTCCAGAGTGCCCTGCCGCCTGCTGTATCATTTTAAGCTAAGTATTACAGGCAAGCCACATGTATTCTGTTCTATTGTCCAACGGATGAAGGCAGACGAGCGCATTCCAACCATGCCATGGTCAATGTAGTGCGCAACTAATATCTTCGTGAAAAATTGTGCACCAACTGACGGAATGTGCAGTGCAACAGAACTCGGCATCTACGTCGCCTATCGTGACACCTACCATGACCTTGAGGTTGTCCCGACCGATAAACTCGCAGCTGCAGTTGCATTACTACCAACCACCTCTCGCCGCCTTGGCGCTGATGTGCTGTTATGGATAGTTCACTTGTTTGATCGGGTTAGTCTCATCGCTGCAGTGATTACACCTCTGCATTGACACACTAATTCTGATGATACAAAGATGGGCATTGAACCTACTGATGATTGGCTGGATGAAGTTGAACAAGAACTCGACGGCAGACCCGACGATCAAGATCAGGATGATGAACAAGAAACATGAAGGCCACATGGCCGACATCGCACACAGTGATCACTGCGACTCGCAGTAATCAGGTCTCTAAGGTGAGAACTGCGTTCATGTCCTCACCATTCAATAACTCATCAAGCTCCGCCCTGGACTTCTCCGCTGCACTCCGATCTATAGCACGTTTCTTCCCCTTCCCCCTCTTTGATCCTTCTCCATTGTGCTTGCGTTTCTTCTCACTTTCCGGCTCTGGATCTTCCGGGTCTCCCCACGCCATACCACTCTTAGCGACTCTCCCAGATGTAAACCAGTGCTCATTCACATCTAACAGCTCTTGCTTTACCTGCCATGCACGAATCTGACTCTTGAAGTTCTTGGCCTTCGGTGGAACACTATCCTTTTTCTCTGCCCCTCGTATACGTGTGGTCGCTGCCTTGGCCTTGTCTGGCTCCAGATCAGCAATCGCGTCGATGTCTTGGTATAACTGCTTAACCTGTGATTGGTATTAGTCCTCGTAGATGCATAGAAATGGTGAGAACTCTCACGATATCACTACGATAGTCGGGCGCGCGACTTATCCATTTCTTCATTCCTTCCCCCGGGATTGCATCTGGATCGTCTTCGTCATCTGACATGGTGTTGGTTATGAATGCTGAGTCAAACTTAGCATCCGTGTATGTGGAGTGTGCGCGTTTGCGCTGGCGAGCTTTGAGTTTCTTTCGGGCGCAATGTGAGTATGATGCATTTTGATATTGTAATCAAAACTCACCGACGAGACTCGGGAATTCTGTGCTCCGCGGGGCCTACTCTGTCTTGTATCCTTGGTAGCTACAGGCAACACCTGCCCCTCATCCTCTCCACCACCTTTGACGGCCTGCTCACCAAAGCCATCATCTTCAGCGGCTTGTAAGTCATCATTGCTCTCTGCAATCTTGTTGATCTCGCCCCACTCATATGCCATGTAGTCATACTTCGATCTGATTTGGGTCTCGAGGTCTGTATCAAGGATGTCCTCTAGGAACTTCTTGCATGTCGGCACCCATTGGGCACCGAGCGCACGAACTGTCTCTAACACCTTTCGAAGACCCATGGCATTGGTTTTCTGAGATGCGGAGTGCTTTCACATGAAACGGATAAGTGGCTGGTGAGTACCCGGGTCCTTAGGCCACAGCTCATGCTCGCGTGATATCTGATAAGGGTAGAATGGCAGAGACTTGGGGTCAATCTTCGGAACACCCATCAAATGTTTGAATGCCATATTGACGGCATCCTGAATCACTGTATTTAGCTGGCTGATATGGCCAATAACACTTAGCGTGCATACTTTGATCGGCTTACTCTCTGCAGCATCACGACTGAGCTCCAGTTTTTTCTCGTCCTCATCCATCTCATCTGCAGGCTGCTCTACTTCTCCTGCCATTGCGTCAACTTCTTGTGCAGAGCTCGGCCCGCTGTTGTCACCGCCTTCGACTGCAATACCTAGTTGCTCCTCAAGATATTCAACCCGCTGCCGGATCACCAACAGCTCGCCTTTGAGGACCTGGTTCTCCCCATGCAGAACCTGTACGATCTTCTGTGTCTTCTCCTTGTATGCTGACAAACTTGTTTTCAAGTTTTCTATCTCCTCGATGGCAGCGTTGAGCTTCGCAATGTTCGGATTCGGCGCTGAGTTGCTAGCCATGACCGATAGCAGGGTGCTCGAGTGGGGTGTCAGGTTGCTCTTCCCCGTCTCTGAGTCCGGACTTATGTGCGCGTTGGCTTATCATCGTCTTCCTGTAGTATGCTAGCTGTCTGCGAATCCCTACGGTGTCATTTGGGTGTCCGAGAGCGCGTCTAAAATAATGCATTTTCATTCATTTTCTACTGCCATATAGGGAATTTTTGTGAATTACACAAGCCTGATCATGACTGAACAGAATTTGACCAGAATGCTACCTGACACTTCTCAGGAACATCGCCATAACCTAGTTAAACTGACAAAGTTCTGTGATGGGCAGGATTTCATAAGAATGTACTCAGAACCTCCTCCGAATCGACATAACCTAACCAAATTCTGGGTCTTAGAAATTTTGCATTTCACGCGGTGTTGCTGAGTGCAACTTGCCTAGAAGAGCACACTGGCCATTACAGCAAATAGGCCGCGCCTGCACCGCGTGAAATGAAAGATTTCTAAGACCCAGAATTTGGTTAGGATACGTCAATTCGGAGGAGGTTCTGAGTACATTCTTATGAAATCCTGCCCATCACAGAACTTTGTCAGTTTAACTAGGTTATGGCGATGTTCCTGAGAAGTTTCAGCTAGCATTCTGGTTAAATTCTGTCCAGTCACGATCAGGCTTGCGTAATTCACAAAAATTCCCTATATGGCAGTAGAAAATGAATGAAAATGCATTATTTTAGACGCGCTCTCGGACACCCAAATGACATCGTAGGGATTCGCAGACAGCTAGCATACTACAGGAAGACAATGACAAGCCACATCAGGAAAAAATGCCTTGACTACATGGCCCGACGTAGCCTAGGTAGCAGTGGTAGCCCGGTAGACAAGTCCCCAGTTATATTGTACTGGTAGCTGCTGCAGCACCTCTGTAGTGCCCTGTAGCCCAGTAGGCATCCTACGTAGCTGTAAGTAATCCATTGTAATCGGCGGTAAAGTGGTAGCCCCTGGCCAAATTTCATAGCTAGAAGCCGAATAGCCGTCAAATCACACCAATGGACACAGTGCAAGAAATATATTCAGAATATACTAGCTATATTACACTAAACCGGAGTGCTGAAGCAGGGAAGCACGAGCAGATCAGAGCAGCGGGAAACAACAAACAGTGCCTGGCCGTTCATGTGTCGGCTGCCCGCGCGAACGAGGAGGTCGGAGGAAGGGGCGAAGGGCGAGGGGAGTGCGAAGTGGCAGTGCGAGGGCGGGGCCGTCGACCTCGCGCAGCCGTGCGGTGTTGCCTGGCTGTTCGCGTGTTGGCTCCTCACACGAACGAGAAGGCCAAAGGACAGAGGGGCAAAGGGCGAGGGGAGTGCGAGGCCGTGGTGAGAGGGCGGGGCCGTCGACCTCGCGCAGCCGTGCGGTGTTGCCTGGCTGTCCGCGTGTCAGCTCCTCGCGCGAACGAGAAGGCTGGAGGACAGAGAGGCGAAGCACAAGGGGAGTGCGAGGCCATGGTGAGAGGGCGGGGCTGTCGACCTCGCACAGCCGCGCGGTGTTGCCTGGCTGTCTGCGTGTCAGCTCCTCGCGCAAACGAGGAGGGCAGAGGAGGATGGGGGACCGAGGTGGCAGGAGAGTGTGGGAGTGTTGGGCCAGAGCGGCGTCGTCGCACCGTGGTGGCCAGTGCAACGACGAGGAGGAAAAAGTTAGCACTGTATTGTAGGGATATGAAAAATCTTTTTTTAACTGACCTGGGGGTGCCCTTCGACCTCCGAAAACAAACATGCTGCCGAACGTTTGCGTTCAATGGTGTGGGGGAGCGTGAACTGGAGGTTGGAGGTGTCGCCAAAAGTCTGCATCGTGCATCGTGAGCAGTGGTGAGTGTTCATCATCAGACATCGTGATACGGAGCACTCGCCGGCTTTCATCCTCTCCTCTGGGTGCATGATGCTGGGTGTCCCGCGATCTTCGTGGTGCGGGCAGAAGGTCATGAGGAGCGCACTGCATGATGCTGGCATGTACATATGCTGTCTGGAGGACAGACTAGGGCATGTATATCTCAAAGGACAGGCTTTAAACTTCGGCTTTAAGCTTGAGCCCGAAGATTCGTGCATAGGTAGCTGCATGAGGCTAGGAAGGCAGAAATAGCATAGATAAATTGAGAGGACGAGTAGCAGTGAGATGCGACACCGCAGCCAACTGAATTTGATGAGAGACACACCGGTGAGAGGCCAAGAGACAAGAAGAAAGACAGCGATGCCAACAGAGGATGCGCAAGAGTTGGGACGACCCACAAATTTTACCAAGTTCACGGAGCACGTGGTCGATGGTGCCATAGTTCGTAACAACTGGCCAATGCTTCCCGCCCTTCCCGACCTGCTCTGGCAGTGACTGAAGCACGAGGTGAAGCAGGTTGCTATCGGTTCTGTAACTATATAGCTAGCAGATAAACACAGAAAATATGCCAACACTACATTCCATAGTTCATCTACTGTCTATTCACAGTCCCAAGTCACTGAAGAGCCAGCTTAGCCAAGATATCCCTTTGCAGATGCCCACATTTAGGCTTGCATGCACCGGGAATTGGGCACGTTTGAGATCTCAATGCATGGTAGCATACGAACCAACTCAATTTTTAAGATGCTTTAAAGCTCCGCTTGATAGGCGTAACCTCTCCATGGTGCTATGGAAATGTGAGTGGTGGCTACACAGCCCTACAGAGGTGTACATTGAGCGACGTGCGGCTACATGCCCTACATGTGTCTACGTAATCATGGCGGCAGCTACCTCACTTGGCGCTTTTTCCTGATGCAACGTGCACATAAGTCCGGACTCAGAGATGGGGAAGAGCAACCTGACACCCCACTCGAGCACCCTGCTATCGGTCATGGCTAGCAACTTAGCGCTGAATCCGAACATTGCGAAGCTCAACACTGCCATCGAGGAGATAGAAAACTTGAAAACAAGTTTGTCAGCATACAAGGAGAAGACGCAGAAGGTCGTACAGATTCTGCATGGGGAGAACCAGGTCCTCAAAGGCGAGCTGTTGGTGATCTGGCAGCGGGTTGAATACCTTGAGGAGCAACTAGGTATTGCAGTCGAAGGTGGTGACAACGGCGAGCCGAGCACTACAGTTGACGCGACGGTAGGAGAAGTAGAGCAGCCCGCAGATGAGATGGATGAGGATGAGAAAAAACTGGAGCTCAGTCGTGATGCTGCAGAGAGTAAGCCGATCAAAGTACGCACAATAATTAGTGTTATCGGCCATATCAGCCGGCTAAATACAGTGATCCAGGATGCCGTCAACACAGCTGTGGTTCCCACCATTGTATTACAATTGCCCACAACACTGGGCAGGCCATTGTGCACAACTCACCAGCCATTGTAATTGTAATAACACTGGGCACATTGTAATACAATGGCAATTACAATGCCAGCCACATTGTAATACAATGACAATTACAATGCTGACCACATTGTAATTGAAAAAACAAGTGTTCACAGTGAGAGTTAAACCCCTGACCTCATGGCCGAAGTTTTGCTTATATAAGCTACACAAGTTATGTGCTCTAACCACTACACTATTGGTGCTTGCTGTTACTTCAACCTCAATTGTATATAATGAGTCTGTCCACTACAATAGAATATACAAGCTTCTATTACAAATACTAACACTTGTTACTATTCATTTACATAATATTCTAAATCATTATCTTTCTTTCTAATATCCTTTTAAAATATAATGCACATTCTAATATTATATCTAATACTATTACTTTAAAGCATTAGAAGTATTTGTAATAGAAGCTTGTATATTCTATTGTAGTTGACAGCATTATATACAATTGAGGTTGAAGTAACAGCAAGCACCAATAGCGTAGTGGTTAGAGCACATAACTTGTGTAGCTTATATAAGCAAAACTTCGGCCATGAGATCAGGGGTTCAACTCTTACTGTGAACACTTGTTTTTCAATTACAATGTGGCCAGCATTGTAATTGTCATTATATTACAATGTGGCTGGCATTGTAATTGCCATTGTATTATAACGTGCCCAGTGTTATTACAATTACAATGGCTGGTGAGTTGTGCACAATGGCCTGCCCAGTGTTGTGGGCAATTGTAATACAATGGTGGCCACCACTGGTGATGTTTCTTGTTCATCATGCTGATCTTGATCGTCGGGTCTGCCCTCGAGTTCTTGTTCGACTTCATCTAGCCAATCATCAGTGGGCTCAATGCCCATCTTTGTATCATTAGAATTAGCATGTCAATGCAGAGGTGTAATCACTGCGGCGTGAGATATTAGTTGCGCACTACATGGACCATGGCATGGTTGGAATGCACTCATCTGCCTTCATCCGTTGGACAATAGAACAGAATACATGTGGCTTGCCTGTAATACTTAGCTTAAAATGATACAGCAGGTGGCAGGGCACTCTGGAGTGCGTAAAATCAACACAAGCATGGTGGTCTGCTTGAGATCGGCCATTTAGCGAAAATCCATACCGTATACCATCCCTGTACAGGAATGGTATGCCGATAGCAGAATGAGAAGCTGACAGGGGAATGAAACCTGCGGATGTGGTGAAGTCATCAACAATATTGAGGTCGGGTCATGCAGAGCGAGTGTAGCTTAAGAGCAAGCCATATACTTCAGCATGAGGTAGGCTTCGAAGATTGATAAATCTTGTTTCCTTCTTCCTACACATGGAGTTCGGCATCCTTATTGAACCATCTGGGAGACTGTATCACTCGCGGCATAACATATTCGAAAGAAGACCATCGCACCTGTACCAAAACCTGCCAGTTGTGTGCGCAAGGTACCTCGATTCATACCCTTCTGTGTGGTTACACGAGACATTAGTTTCTGCTCCTCTGGGGATGTGTTCTCTGGCATAGAGACAAACTGTATACCGAGAGGAGTATCAGCAGTCTCCAATTGCAAAAATTTAAAGTACTTCTACCAATTCATACAAACGCTGTTTCGCGAGCCAATTGCGCATCAGTGTTGTCTCCATTTCACCTTTGGCATGCCCATTTAAATTGACAGCTTCTTGCTCGCCATTGCAGCACTCGAATGCGAACAGCCACCATGCATATGCAGGGCCAAATAATTTGAATACAAGTGAATAATGCATACTCATATGATGGTTGATTACCAAGTGTGCGCCGAGTGCGAGGATGCCTTGAGAGAACTTCTGCAAGTAACGCTGGCCACGGCCAACCTCGTCCATGGAAATAGCCTTGCTGGCCAGGATCCATTCAGCAACAGAGAGGTAGATGAGGAGTTGGTACACCTCATCAAGATATCATTGGAATGTCGGTTCATGCTTTGCATTCAAAGGAATGGGTGGTTCTCTGTGTGGAATTTTATCATTCTTGTCACGCCAACAGATCCACATTACTGTGGTCTGCACGTTGACCCAACGACACCACTGATCTGCCTTCTGCAAACCATGGTTGTCACCAAGCTCAAGACATCAGGTTAGCAAATGTTCCAAGACAACTTAGCGAGCTGCTCACATTTTTAGGAAGCCGACCAATACCCAACAGCCAGATGATCGAGTTCTGACTCTCTTCCATCAGCCTCCAGCCCACAGCATCTAGAAGGTACCCCTCATCCAAAACTTTGTTGTGCATCTCTTTGACGATACCTGAATGAGAGCATACAGTCGGCTCTTCGTGCATGCACCAAATAAAACAAACCATAGAAATTATGCATATAGTCAAGCGCTGTAGTCGCGACTGGCATAAATTCCGCACATTCATTCAAAACAGAGTGTCGCACTCCACTCTGGTCATGTTACGGGGGCCAGTCATGCCATCGTACATCCGGTTTGTCGTCGTCAGTGACTAGGCCTTTGCAAGGGCTCAAGTTAATCGTGAGGGGTCCGATCTCCAGTCATAGCGATTACCAGAGGTCGGCCCAGTGGAGTAGTCTTATGAATGCTTGGCTGCTGTCTGCGGACCAAGGTCGATCTGTTGCACAGATGTAGATGGTAAAACTGGTTGATGTGTAACCAGGACAAGATGGGGACTCCAGCTTGTCCTGTCGGTCTTATATACAAGTACAGGCGTCTGTCTATCTGTAATACTAGAACTACGATTGGTCCATCGGTATCAATACAAGGGCACAGGGTTCGTATACCTGTCCCACCATCATGAGAATGCTGAGTCAGTTATGACTCTGCGTGAGAGACAATCTGTCCATATGGGGATAAGGTCGTGCTGCAAAGACAAGGCAGCAGCAAGGTCATCGTGCATCTAGCGCATGTATCAGGGTCTAGGGCCATGCCCATGAGGTTCAGTATCTGTATTGTAAGAGTAAGGCAAAGGTGAGGCAACCATGCCTTTGTCGTGTGTGTGATAGGAAGTGCGTCCTAGGTCTGGATCTCGTACATGAGGTAAACATGCCTTGAGCACAAGGCGCATATCGTCAGATGATCAGGTAGATCCGTGCCAGATAGATAAGGGCGATGACCATGATGACATCATGGTCATGTGGTCGGTGACATCATTGTCACATGGTCAGTCTAGGCTCTGTGATGTCACTGTCACGTAATCGGTAAAGGTAGAGGCAGAAGTCGTCCGCGCGTTCCTCAGAGAGGAGCTTTGTAACAGGTCGAGTATTTCCTTTTGCTTTTTCTTTGTTTTGGCATTCTTCGACTTGAATCCTGATGTGAGTTGTTGCCAATCATCTCGCAGAACAAAATCTGGAGTGTAAGAAGGTATGCGAGAGGAATTCTGACATTACAAACAAATCAAGACTTACGGGCGATGCTATACCCTGCTGCGGTATTGATGTCATCATGCGATATAAGGCAGATGTTGCAAGGGTGTGATTTATGAGAATGCCCTGCCAAACCGGTAACTTTGCGTGCCGCTTGAATGTCACTGACATGCAACTCTAGGCCGCCTTGAATATGGGGCAGAATTTGTCGGCTATACATTAGCATGATGACACCTATACACACATTCAAAGTGGTGCTTGAGCCTGGAATGATCTTACCGGTATTCAGCAGATGCATCTCCTTAACCAAGGGATCCAGTGAATAGTTTAGTTGCTCTAAGCTTGGTTCCTTCAGGCCAGGAATGACAGTAGCGAGGTGAACATTCTGTTGGAGAAAGCGCACTGAGCGGTGCAAGTTGTTAATCGTGAGATACACTCCACCGGCAGAATGAGGCCGGTTGTCGGTGATGCCAAACCTATAGAGGCACAAGTACTCTCGCAACAGACTCCTGCATTATGTAAGACTCACCAATCAACATTGATAGTGAAGCTTAGCCCCACATCGCATTCCAACAACCTTCTCCTGGTACCTTCAGAAACCTCAACATCCGACACTTCGCCATTTTGGTTTACCACGCGCTTCGTGCCCACTTCTAGAGTACCGTAGTGCTCAGCGTCATGGATATCACTCATGAGCTCATAAGTAGGAATAGGACGATGGCGCAGAGTAGTGGGGTCGATAAGATTCTTCACGAAATTGGGACGCAGAGCGAAACGGCAGAGCGCTTTAATAAGAGACGCATATGGCTGTATTTTTGCCGACATTCATCTTTCTTTGCCATCGAGGTCACGCTTCACCCTGTAGGCAATTCCTTTGCAGCGGCGAGTAGTACAGTTGGGGGCAGCCAATGTAGCGATCTCGTCAGAGGTGTAGGGCTTGTAACATACTGTGCATATAGCAATCCTCTCGAAGTAAGACTCCACATCGAGCCCCAGTCGCCATTTAGCAGTAACGAGGCTTCGTGCAGGTTTTGGATAAGTCGGCAGGCAGCCACATAGTTTTATGACATCCAGGTAAGTATTTAGACTTTGCTCCGAAGCTGCCACCGTAGAAGAACCAAAGACATTGCCTAGAACTGCATCAAGATATGCAAGTCGCACCGGGGGTTGTTCACGGAATGCAGGTGCAAGTCCACTATCATCCTCCAGAAGGCGAGCATGTTCTTGCGCATCTTCGTCCTGTCCTCCAGCGGCATTTGCATCTTCATCTTGTCCTCCAGCGGCATGCACATCAGATTCTGCTCCATTGACCGTTGCATCTTCCCGAGAGGGATTGCCATCATTGGCTGCAGCTCCAAGCTCATCAGGTATATCGTTAGGTATGACATCGTCGTCAAACACAGATTGCGCCGGAGATGACTGATCTGCGCAGTGAGAACCTTCAGGAGAGTCAGGACTGTCTAAGTCTCCAGCACTAGGAAAAGTGACACCAGAATCATCTAGAAGGTGTGTAGACTCCTGTATCTCGCCAGTGGTAGAATCAAGTGCCCCAGTCTGATCCTCCGAAAGCGCGACATCGGCTTGAGTGGTAACTGTATGCAGTCCTATGCGAGACACCAGAGGTTGTGATTCCGCGGCTTGGGCTTGTTGCTGAGTATCTCTCTTCTTGTGTTGAGCAATTGTTTGCTTGGACTGGATCTTGAAACCACGTATGCTCCAGCTGCAAAGTGAGCAAAAGCAGGCTTCTTCAGCTTGCCACCGTGGAATCTGTACCACCGAGAGTATGATTAGCATATGGACTGACCAAGAAGACCTACTGCACAGATGAAGGCATTTATCTCGAGCTTCTCCAATATGTAGTGGTGTTCAAGCAGTAGTCCGGAAGGATAGTGTTTGGCAGTGCGTCGTAGCTGAGCATGTCAGTGGCACGCATGCGCATTGTATGGTGGTGTGTATGTGATAATGTGAGCGTGCATAAGCACGTGCGGCAAACTACTGGGACATTCCAGTAAGGGGGAAATCACGACAGAATCACGACAGAATCATCCCAGAGTCGCCGCATCCTAATCAAATTCTGGGTCTTAGAAATCTTTCATTTCATGCGGTGCCTGAAAGCGACGCTCCGTGGACTGTAAATTCTGAGATCCGGCAATTGGCGGCAGCCTGGAAGAAAGTCCACCATAGCTGACAGCCACTGCGAAGGTCGAGAGTGTCGCCGCCAGCAGGTCAGGTCTGGCGGTCACAAGCTGCAACTACAATCAGAAATTTTCATTGTCCACCTGTACATACACTGGCAGGTAACCGGGGCACTGCCATCTATCTTCCATTGTTAAATTCACTCTGATGTCTGTAATCTAAGGTAGCGGGCTGCCATGATACAGACTCATCAGCTACCGTTGTTGGTCCCTGGAAAATAGAGCGGATCGAAGCATATATGACATCTTACCCGCAAAGAGTCAATCTTACCCCATACTTTGTTGCGCCGCACGAGTGGTCTTCAATAGTGGTCTTCATATTTCATACTGAAGCTTTGAAGATCTGCAATAACTGCATCCGACGATAATGTTGAGATGCTACCGCCCGCAGAGCACAAACTTGACAGGTAATATGGAGGAAATTTACCCTCTAGTCACCCCGTTGTGGTTTTTCCATGTGGGACAGCAGCTCGTCGGTCATTTTAGATGGCGAAGTGTCAGAGTGCACATACACTGAGTGTTAGCAACAAGTGAGGAAAATATTAATATAATTCCCCGTGGTTGTCAGATGCAAATATTCCGAGGAAGAGAAGTTGTACAGTGTCTACAGCCTGCTTTTGGGAGACTACAGTGATTGAGCCTATGGCGTCTGTCTTTGTACAACAGTACCAGCATACGGCACATAAAACAGAGATGAAATCTGAGATGCATCAACGGCCCCAGTATTTATGTCTCCTACAAGGCTTAGTACAAGCTCATGTCACCTTGTAATTCAAATTGTCACTGCAACTCTGCAGAGGAAAACCTTGGGTTCTCCCAAGGAGAACCTGTAGATGACCTAATCTTTGTTACGCGGCAGCGAAACACGAGCGTCTAGTCGAGTCGTTACGAGACAAGGTCTTAGTCTAAGACACAAGTCCGTTCAAGTGACACTTCTGGCGATGTTCTCGCACTGAAGGTCGATCAGAGTTCGTTCTTATGACTCGTAGTAGCTGTCTGCTACTGACGGTCGATCTTAGTCAAAGGCAAGTGAAAAGCTGGTTTAATGGTAACCAGGTCGAGATGGGGATCCAGCTCGACAAGGTCGTTTACTTATACAAAAGGTATCCGCAGTACTACGCAGTAATGCGAGATCGTTCATTGGCTAGATAAGGTGAAACGATGTCTGGGCAAGGTAACAGCGAGGAAGTAATATGTATGAGAAAGCTGAGTAAGGTCGTGAGAGATAATCAGTACTAATGGGGATAACGAGTCGTGTATCAGAATGAGGTAAAGATGAGGCGTACATGCACGTCTTGCATGCGCGATAAGAAGAAGGTCCGGAGTTGGATCCGGTGTAACCCTAGACTAGGGGTTCTGGACATCTGGGTAAAGAATCGGAGGTTGCGCTCCAATGAGTCACGTGTTGGATCACATGGTCTGGTAACGTAAAGGGAACAAGGAAAAGAAAAAGAAAAGACGCGCCACAAGTGGGGAGCGTTGTAACATCAGCTCCCGTCTAACGTTTCTTGTCCCACAAGAAATATTGTGATCTTCATCGTCGTCGGGGGCAGTCGCGGACATAATGATCTCCTCCACATCTGTAGCATGTCCGCCGGCTGGTTCGTGATCCTTGTTCGGGGATACGTCCATTCCTGTAGGGATGACTGCGACGCGAAGAAGTGGATGCAGTCGAGAAAGATGGTTGGGATAACGGAGATCGTCCACTGGGTACGTGCGAACGAGGAGGGCGAGGTCGAACGGGAATTGGTTCTGGCGACGAGCGAGGAGTGGATGCGGGTATTCCATTAGTGGTGTATCCGAGGATGTGTCCGATGTCTTCGTCCCCATGCTCCCTCCAAATCTCCTGTGCTGTACGAGTGACCGTACTGCGCATCAACGACCAGACTTGGTCGACTCTGGTCCGGGCTCTACTCGTCCTTTCTTCTGCTGCGATGAGCTCTTGTCTGGCCGTCTGCATCCACTCGACCATTTCTAATGCTCGTTGCATGGAAACCACTGCTTGTCGATCTTGCGGGCGATTTCGTAAGGCGACGAGGATATCTGTGAAGTCGACAGGAACACGGATAGCCGAGACCAGACGTGTGGCAAATTCTTGTTCGTCCGATGCGTGACTGAGTTCGATAGAAGGTGAGGGCGATGAGGTGCGGATAAAGGGTGTCTGTGCTCGAGATGGTACTCCATTGACAAGCGTAGGCGATGCGGGTATGCTCATAATTGTGGAGGCGACTTCAGCGAGTATATTGTGAACAAGGTCATCTATGGCGGAAGTGGGCATTGATGATATGTCGTCTTCTCCCCCTTTTATACCTTTCGGTCGTTAAGGGGGTCGCGGTTATCTGTGATGTGAAATAGAATGTCGTGGATCCGGGTAATAATCAAATAGATGAAAATCCATTGGACGATAAAGAGTATTCCCACAGAGATAAGAGCTGCCTGATCAGTTCCAGGCATCGTTCTGATCACCCCAGCCGTTAGCGTGCGGGCTGTCTCGCGTGAAGAGTGTGTGTTCGACAAGTCGTCTGATAAGGATTCGGTGGATGATCCAAAGAAAGGCGAGGGTTGTGCAGTGGAGGACGATTAGGAAGATGATGAGGAAAACCGTTGTGGTAGTCATTCCGGGTTTCTTCTCCTCTACTGGATTCCCCTGGTCCTTTTATATGCATCGAGGATTCGCTTGGCATTCTGTAAATTGTGGGTAGGTTCCCACGAGTTTTCTGCTGAAGAATATCCCTTCCACTTGACTAAGTACCTCAGATGACCTCGGTATGTCTTGTGATTCAGGATGGCTTCGACTTCGTACTCTTCTTCGTTATCAATGACATCAGGTGGTGGGTTCATGTAATTCGGACCATGTATGTCGTTTTCGCGATAAGGAGATAGAAGGGCGGCGTGGAATACGGAATGAACTCGCCAGGTCTTTGGGAGTTTGAGACGATAGTTGGCCGGTCCGATGACTTCGACAATTTCGAATGGCCCCTCACGCTTTGGTGCTATCTTGCGCGAGGCGTAATTGACCTTCAGGTTCCTCGAGTCTAGCCAGACCTTCTGTCCTAGTGTAAACTTCGGCGATCCTTGTCTGACTCGGTCCGCCATCTGTTGTCGGGCTAACTCGTGCATGGCTAGTGCTTCTAGTCTTATCTTCTGCAACATGTCAAGCCTGGATTCAACCGATGGAATGTTCGTGGACGGAAATACGGAAGGGAGTCCACGTGGTTCGTATCCCATCATGATGCGGAATGGGCTCATCTTCCGTGCTGAGTGTTCCCTTGTGTTATGACAAAACTCGAGGTCTGGCAGGCGGTCGGCCCATGTTTCAGGGTTGTTTCCGCAATAGAGTCGAAGATAGATTTCCAGCTCCTGGTTGACTCGCTCTGTTTCTCCGTCCGTCTGAGGGTGATAAGCTGTGCTCATTGATGATCTGATCTGGAGTAGTCGATTTAACTCTTGGAAGACCTTGGATGCATATTGAGGTCCTCTATCCGAGATGATTCGGTCGGGTAATCCAAATCGCGAGTATACTTTGTCATGAAAAATCTTGGCTGTTCCTTCAGCTGTGATCGTTTTGAGGCAGGGCGTAAGAATCACCCCCTTCGTAAGGTCATGGTCTACCACGACCATAATTGAATCAAAACCATTGGAAATGGGAAGGTCGGTAATGAAATCGGTGGTGCAACAGGAAAATGGTAATGCGTGTGGGTCGGCAGGAATTGGTTCCAAAGGAATACGCGTTGGATGAGTGTTCGGTTTCATTTGTTGACAGGCGGCACAGCCTTCAACATAATTGTAGACAAATGTATACATGCCGGGCCACCAGAATTCACGACGTAACAGTTCAAGAGTATTGAACTTGCCAGGGTGACCCATGGCAGGGGAGTCGTGATGTAGTCGAACGAGGTCACGACGAAGAGTTTCGGATGGTGGAACGTAGATCTTTCCCTTGTAGAGGATGACACCATCACGAACTTCCCAGTCAGAAAGCGATGATTTCATGGGGAATGGCCCTTTGTGCGCAATTGCTTCGAGGGCTTCGTGAACAATGAGGTCTTTTGCTGCGTAATTCCTGATTTCGTCAAATAATGTCGGGGAAATGGATCGCACAAACAGTGCATTGGGTAAAAGAACGCGATCTTCATTGTCACTTTCACTGTCATCGAGTCCGTTACGACGAGATAGTGCATCAGATTGGATCATCTGAGTGCCAGGGACATGGATGAGGTGAAGATCAAATTGTGATAATTTGAGACTCCATCGTGCTTGTCGGCGGTTTAACTTCTGAGCTGTACGGAAGTACGTGAGGTTCTTGTGATCACTGCGAACTTCGACGGGATGGGGAGAGCCTTCAAGATAATGGCGCCATTCAGCGAGGGCTCGAATGATTCCGAGGAGTTCGCGGTCGTAGATTTCGTAGTTCCGTTCAGCTGGATTGAGCGTCTGGGAAATGTAGGCACAAGGATGGAGGTCTCCATTGATGTCGGCTTGGCGTAAAACTGCACCCGTAGCAAACTTGGAAGCGTCGGATTCAACAATAAAGGGTTTTGCCTTGTCAGGCAGTAACAGTACTGGGGCGGTACTGAATCGTTGTTTTAACGTGTCGAAAGCTGTCTGACATTCTGTCGTCCATTCAAAAGGTGGAGATCCAGCGGCAGTGCGCGTAAGATTCGTCAATGGTTTGGCAATATCCGAGAAGTTGGCAATAAACTTCCGATAGAAGTTTCCAAACCCTAGGAAAGAGCGAACACCTTTTACCGTGCTTGGTTCAGGCCATTCTGCAATTCCTTTAAGTTTGATAGGGTCCATGCCAATGTAGTTTTCTCGAATGATCATGCCTAGGAATTCGACTTCTTTAACGTCAAAGAAACACTTTTCCGGTTTAAGGAATAAGTCGTTGTCTTTGAGTCGTTGGAGTACGTGTCGGGTTCGAACGTGATGTTCTTCCAAATCATTTGAGAAGATGAGGATATCATCCATGTAAATGACTATCCATCCCTCATCGATCATGTCCTTGAAGAGTGCGTTCATCATCATTTGGAAAGTCGCCGGGGAGTTGCAGAGTCCAAAGAACATGACCATAGGTTCGAAAAGTCCGCGATTTGTCTTAAATGCGCCCTTCCATTGGTCACCATCTTTGATTCTGACATTGTTATATCCGGAGCGTAAATCCATTTTCGTAAAGATCGATGCGCCTTTGAATTGATCCATAAGGTCAGAGATGAGCGGAAGAGGATAGGCGTTCTTCACCGTCCCTTCATTCAGGTATCGGTAGTCCTGACAAGGACGTAGTGCTCCGTCTTTCTTTCCTACGAAGAAAAATGGTGAAGCCATGGGAGATTTCGACGGTCGGATGTATCCTTTTCGCAGATTTTCTTCCAGGAAGTCATCCATCGCTCCTTGTTCTTTGAGCGATAACGGATAGACTTTACAGTCGCGTGGAATAAAATCGGGTTTCAAGTCAATGGCGTGGTCCCAGGGCCTGGTTTCTGGAAAGCGTTCAGCTGCTTTCTTTTCAAAGACGGACTTCAAATCGTGGAGGTAGTTGGGGACCAACTCCTCGACGGTTTTGGGTTTGTCTACAGCTGATGCTTCTTTGTGTGCCTGTTGTGCCAATTCTTGTGATTTACCGGATGGTTTGTAAAAGACCGTATTCTGTGCGTTACAGAATAATGGGAATCGAGTACTGTGTGTCATTCTTCCAATGGCGGGGCCTCTTCGTATGGTGAAGACCGCGGTTTCAGTCTCTTCATTCGTCAAAGGTGACTCCTTTCTGATGGGTTCAAATATCCCAATGACTGGCTCTCCTGCGATATAGGATATAACTAGATCGTCATCACCGAGCTGATCCATAGGGGATTCTGATGGTAGGTCATCTAGTTCGGTATCATTCCGCACTGCGGGTAACTCGCCACGCTCAGCGTTATCGGTCATGATTTCTCTGATAGATTCCGAATGCCCAAATGAGGTAGGGGAAGTTTCGGTGGTGATTAGCTCTGGGAGTCCATCTTCCTTGAAAATCGAAACTTCTTTATCTGGTGCATCTTCGACGGTGGGTTTCGGTGGCCATTTGGCATCTTTACCAAACCAAAAGTCACCGGTTTCCCAGTTGATCATCGGATTGAGGCGTTTAAGCCACGGCATACCGAGAAGTATGTTTTCTTTGCCAATGCCGGTCAAGAGGAAGCGAGTAAGCGTCTTCCTTCCTCCGATTTTCATCATCTTCCAGGTGCAATGAGTAATGGTACCCATTTGATTTGGTGTGCCATCTGCATTCATGACTGTAATCGGTTTCGGTAATTCCCATCTGATGAAATCATTTTCTTCCGCAAAACGAATGTTCATGAACGTTTCGGCTGCACCGGAATCGATCAAGGCTTCTGTTGTAACGTCTTCCTTCTCTCCCAACGAAATATTCACAGTGATTGAATTTCCGCTAGTGTTACAAATAACGAGGGGAGATACGGTAAGATGCGACGGTCCATGCATTACTAGTGGCCGTCGTCTCAAAAACCCAATTGGGTTCGTTCTTCGTCAGTCATGTCGTTGAAGACGTTTCGCACATAGGCGATCTGTTCCTCTCTGGTTTCTTCCTTCGACGTCTCCTTCTTCTGTGCGAGGTCTTCTCGCATCTTCTTGATCCATGTGATCGTGTCTGTGTCTAACCCGGGCTGTATCGTTCTAGCACGGGTGAAACTTCCAGACTGGGGGTGAAATTGTCTGTCGTTGGCTATATGGCCCTTCTTTCCGCATAGGAAACATAGTCCTTCTTTCATTCTCTTCTGTCGCTCGTCTGGGGATAAGCGCGAGATATTGACACGATCAACATCCATCGCGTTTGGATCCTTTGCAGAAGCCGAGTAGTAGGGACGATGGACAGATCGGCCCTTTCCTCGCGTCGTCGTAGTGGCTCCTCGCTTGAAGATCTGAGCAGATCTCCATTGGTTATCAAACCGCGAGGCGTATTCGTACCACTTGTCAAGTGTCTTGGGCATGCTTTCCATCCCATATATCCTTTGTCTGAGTGGGTCGTTAAGTCCCCACTTGAAATACTCGATATTTCCGGCATCTTCTAGTTTCGCCTTGGATTCAAGCGATCGGAATTCGGCAATGTAGTCGTCCGCAGTACGAGTTCCTTGCTTGATGTTACGCAGCAAGGTACGAGCGGTTTCTTCAATATTTTCATCGCCAAATGCTTTGTTCACACTTGCAATGAAGTCTCTCCAACTCCCATAAGAAAGGAAGTCATCATTGGTGAGTTCCGTTTCTATGAAGCTCTGTGCCCATGATCCTGCTGTTCCTCCTTGCATGTGCGATAGCACGAATGTGATCTTCTGATTGTCCTCCTGGTAGACATGGCTATTTCCGGCCATGTAATTCTTGCATTGGTTTATAAATTCCCTAAGCTTCGAACGGTCTGAACCGTTGAAGATCTCGGGTTTTCTAAAACCAAGTTCCTTCTGGCTAACATGGTGACGTCCTTCATCCATGGTAACTGTAGCCATCGGTGGTATGTAATCGGATATAATTGGTGCAAGAATCGGTTGGGGTACGGGATCCTGGACAGGGGGGTTCCAAGGGGCGTCTGGTCTTTCTCCTGGATAAGAGATAGGTATGCCGCTGTCTGCGATGTGTGATAGTACGAGCCCTCCAACGTTATGGGGTAGGCCTGCTTCGTAGTCACCACTTGGGTGATCAATGTGTTGATCTGGTCTGATGAGTAAAGGTCGTCCGTTTAAAACGTGTACGTTCCTCTGTGCGTCCCACTCTGCCTGAGATGGGAGGAGATCGATGTATTGCTTGGGAAGAGCAGTCGGGTTGATAAAGTTCAAATCCAGCGTGGATAAATTCCCCTGTGTGGCCTACGTCTACACGTAGACTGCACACCGTCCTTAACTAAGTGGGTTCGTTCGTCGTCGGCTAACAAGCCCGTAGAGTGTCTTCTGTCTTCAAACTGGTACACCTATTTGCTGATTGCTCGAGTGATTACCTCAGCCTCCTCGGCCTATTGGTCTCTCGGACAGACCCCTCTCCGAAGATGAGTGATCAGTCTATCCCTTCAGCTACCTCGATTACAGAGTAATCTCAAACGGTGCTTTAGCAATCGAATCGGGTGTATCGTTCAGTCTTCAAGGTTCGGTCCGGTCGGTAGTTTGTTGTTAGACTCTAGGAAGTCACAGAGAGTAATAAGATCTCGACCTAATGTTACGCGGCAGTGAAACACGAGCGTCTAGTCGAGTCGTTACGAGACAAGGTCTTAGTCTAAGACACAAGTCCGTTCAAGTGACACTTCTGGCGATGTTCTCGCACTGAAGGTCGATCAGAGTTCGTTCTTATGACTCGTAGTAGCTGTCTGCTACTGACGGTCGATCTTAGTCAAAGGCAAGTGAAAAGCTGGTTTAATGGTAACCAGGTCGAGATGGGGATCCAGCTCGACAAGGTCGTTTACTTATACAAAAGGTATCCGCAGTACTACGCAGTAATGCGAGATCGTTCATTGGCTAGATAAGGTGAAACGATGTCTGGGCAAGGTAACAGCGAGGAAGTAATATGTATGAGAAAGCTGAGTAAGGTCGTGAGAGATAATCAGTACTAATGGGGATAACGAGTCGTGTATCAGAATGAGGTAAAGATGAGGCGTACATGCACGTCTTGCATGCGCGATAAGAAGAAGGTCCGGAGTTGGATCCGGTGTAACCCTAGACTAGGGGTTCTGGACATCTGGGTAAAGAATCGGAGGTTGCGCTCCAATGAGTCACGTGTTGGATCACGTGGTCTGGTAACGTAAAGGGAACAAGGAAAAGAAAAAGAAAAGACGCGCCACAAGTGGGGAGCATTGTAACAATCTTGGGGCCTGCGAGATGCGCTGTGCAGAAGAACTGTGCACTGTGTCTCGGCGCTTTTGTGAGTCTTATACTTGGCATCCAGGTTCGCAAGAAACTCAGGTCATCCATGCTTGCGGACAACCCCCGAAAAGCTGTGCATTTAGGATTTGATCATGGCATACTATAACGTGCTGCTGTTGTATTGCGGGGCACAAGTATCAAGCGGTACTTGTGCCCTAATCTTATCTAATCTCATCATGTATTACATAACTGTTGTGTACTATTTGTATGTACTCTGTGTGTATCGAGCGCGCGTTGGTGTGTTGAAGTCAGAGACTTTACACACCACGACCCTGATACATGCACGACGCTCCAGAATAGAGCTTGGTGCACTGTATCTGAGGTTCAGTGTGATAAGGTCTCGCCCCCTATTACACTTTTTTACAGTCTATTTTGCCCTGTGAAAAATTCTATTTGACAGTGAAGACCCCCATCAAGAAATCAAGAACCTTAACTTGCCACCCAATGGCAAGTCGAGGCCCCAAAAACACATGGATAATGCACTCCCAGCCAAGACAGGCCAAGCACATGGCCCTGGCAGATGTGGCCGAGAGTGCACCCCACGATGGCGTGCATGTGGACACCAGCATGCCAGCACAAGAAATAATGGACTGTGGGCAAGAACTGGCATCATCAGCCCCATGATCCCCTACACTGTCGTACGTCGAACCCTCATGCTCAATACGAGGAGGCTGAACGGACAAGCAGCGGCGGGAATCCGCCTCTGACCGTAATATCAGAATGCTGGTGAGATCCACTGGATCTCACCAGGCCAGCAAAAAAATGGAAATGACGAGAATGGGAAGGACACCACGACATCCTTTGCATTACTCGCAGAGATTTCCATCCCCGGCCCTGCCAGCGCTAAGGATAAAGCCCCAGGAAACACTGCAAGCGTGAGCTCATCAGAATGCATGCACAGAGAGAGAGCCTGAGAGGCACTCCAGTGAGCTCAAGAAGAGGTGAACCGCAAACTCGATGCATTGCAAGAAAAGCAGGAACACAAGATGCAGGCCATTTGTGAGGCACACGAATGGACCCGCCAAGTGCAGAACGAGCAGTTTGAAAGAATAATAAATGAACTCGAAAATTCCTCAGGAGATGAAGTTGACCCAATGGATCAACCCGTCCCCTTGGGAATGAGGAACTCCATCGAGGAGATAGCAGTAGAACAAGGATTATACCTCTCAGAGGTCGAGGACCCAATGGCAGGTGCTCCTGATATAATTATTGAGAGCGCGTACCGTCGGCTGGCCTGACCGCAGCAGGAGGGAGAGCTGGATGAGGATTACAATTGAAGGGTGTTAATATACACCAGATACTTGGACCGGATGGCCTCAGAGTCCAAAAGGGCATTGAGAGCATTCGGAGTACAACCACCGGTATCATCGACACCTCGCGCGATGTGGGGATTGCTCCAATCCAGAATGGCTCCGGTAGCAGCTCCTGAAGGTGATCCCAGAAGTGACGATTCAGATGACTCCAGTCCATACCCCAGAAATGACGGGAATGACTTCAACTAATTCAGAAGAAATGGTCGAAGGCCTGCAACACCACCCAGGGGACACCGATCTGGAGGACAATGACTACCGTGATCCAATGGATCGACTCCGCCACCACTGCCTCCTCAACCAACATGACCTGCAGGACCTGGATACCCCCATGGGCTGCAAGGGCTGCCCACAGCAGGAATGAACACATGACCTGCAGGACTGATGCAAGGTCCTGCAGTGAACGCAACAGCGGCTATGCAACAGCCCAACATTGCTCGGAACGTAACATTCCAATCGGGAGTGACCCAGCCAAACCCGGCAGTCACTACCGCAGTGAACCGACCCCCTCGATTCCCGGGAATGAATACAACAGCCACACCAGGTATGCATATAGGCCACGCGACCATACAATGATTACATGGCCCAGGAGTGATACCTCCGGATACATCTCCCGCAATTGAGAGGATCCATACAATGGTGGATGAGATGGTATCAAGAGATCCCATCGACGAACCACCAGCATACCTCAGAGTCACCAAGATGCCTCCACCGCTGCAATATGATGGAAAGGATGATCTTGATGCATTTGAGGTCTGGCTACAGAAGTTGCTGGAATACTTCAAGACTCTCTGCATTACTGGCAATGCCATGGATGCAGATTATCTGCAAATATTGGGGCAAAGTCTTAAAGACAATGCTGCCAACTGGTTTTTTCTGAATGTGCAGTCACTGAACTGCAAAGTACAACAGTGGTACTTCGAGGATGCAGTGATGCACCTCCACTGATGGTTCCTACACAAGAACTGAGAGCTAATAGCATCCGAGAAGTACGACAAGGCGACGTACAGTCTATCACACGGTGGCGTGAGTGAGCTATACGATAGGCTATTACACCATGCAGATCGCATGGTGCAAGACCCAATGGAATATGCCTTCCGGAAGAGGTTTATGGATGCGTTACCGTTACCAATGGTAGAAGTAATTCTAGCCCACCTACTATCACCTGAGAAACACACCATTGATGCACTGTATCGATCAGCATTGGCGACCAAACAGGGCAACAGATGGCTGGATCAATACCGTACATACAAGGACTGCCGACAGCCTCAGAAGACCGGGGACCATACGGGACCCAGACTTCAAGCAAGGTCATATTATTCCTTGTGCTGATGATATCATCGACAGGAGATACACGACCTACCTACCACCCGCAAGGACAAGGATGAGGAGGGGCACACCCAGGACATGCATGGCAGGCCGCTAATGCTGGCCATAGAATGACAAACCCACATGATGGACAACGTCATGGGGGTGGTCGTCCTACTACAAACTTGGCAGTCTCGGGATTGAGACCACCAGCGAATAACAAGGCGACGAATGCAAACATCACTTGTTATTCTTGCAGTGGTAAGGCCACTTCTCGACAGACCCAACGTGCCTGAACTACAGTAAACCTCGGCCAGTGCAACTACACGCACAACGTGTAGTCGATGACTGCTCCGAGGATGAGGAACAGATAAACCAAGAACTGGCGGAACCAGAGGCTACAGTTCAGGAGCCGGCTCCACAGGAGACGAACCCCGAAACTGACAAAAATGAAGGGCCATACCAGAATGACACAGGATACCAGACATATCCTGAGTCGGACTGGGCTCCAGAGGGATCACAGTACTCATCGGCAGATGAGCGTGAACCCCCATCTGGAGACGATGGCTAGAATGATGACTACGATGTTCACCTGGGATCGATGAGATTCAGCACCATGCATCAACACAAGCCTGGAGAGTGTATGCAAACTGTACATCTCCATGCTAGTGAACCTGCAACAGATGCACGATCCTCGAGGAATACATGGCTGTACAATTCATGTGTACAATGCCTGACCGACCCAGCCATGCAGCCTCAGTGAAACCCGCAGACACAACAAACATTATGTGCAGAGGTCTTGATCAATGGGATCAAGACCTATACACTATTCGACTCGGGGTGCACAACGGACTCCATTTCTCCGGAGATGGCGTACATCTTGAAGGCGGACCGAATTGATCTGGACGACCAAATAGGTCTCCAACTGGGCACCAAGGGAAGCAGGATGCGCATCAATTATGGTGCATGACCCACCATATCCATAGGCCCAGTAAAGGCACAACACTACCTAGATGTCATCGATATTGATAGGTACGACGCCGTACTAGGCACAGTGTTCATGCATAAATATGGTGCGGTCCTCGACTTCGAGAACTGTACCATATTGATCCAATGACAAAAGATACTGACCTACGTGGAAGTGGACGAGGCCACAATCCTTGCGAATCACAAGGATATGTCGCACTCACACTACCGCGTGCACAACAACGTCGGTACTGTTACTGCCATAACCCCAGACAACTCGCAATAGGACCTCGCAATGAGACCAGTGGCCACAAAGCTGCCCCAGTGAACCTGGGGACAGTCCTAAGAGGGGAGGGGAATGATGGAAATGTC